TACACAACCACTTCAATGTTCCCAACTCTTACTGGTTCACTTACTGAATACACTAGTACTTGGACTACTACCGATTCTAATGGAGACGTTGAGACTGATTCTGGTGTTATCATTGTGACGACTGATTCTGATGGTGACTTATACACAACCACTTCAATGTTCCCAACTCTTACCGAATACACTAGTACTTGGACTACTACCGATTCTAATGGAGACGTTGAGACTGATTCTGGTGTTATCATCGTGACGACTGATTCTGATGGTGACTTATACACAACCACTTCAATGTTCCCAACTCTTACTGGTTCACTTACTGAATACACTAGTACTTGGACTACTACCGATTCTAATGGAGACGTTGAGACTGATTCTGGTGTTATCATTGTGACGACTGATTCTGATGGTGACTTATACACAACCACTTCAATGTTCCCAACTCTTACCGAATACACTAGTACTTGGACTACTACCGATTCTAATGGAGACGTTGAGACTGATTCTGGTGTTATCATCGTGACGACTGATTCTGATGGTGACTTATACACAACCACTTCAATGTTCCCAACTCTTACCGAATACACTAGTACTTGGACTACTACCGATTCTAATGGAGACGTTGAGACTGATTCTGGTGTTATCATCGTGACGACTGATTCTGATGGTGACTTATACACAACCACTTCAATGTTCCCAACTCTTACTGAATACACTAGTACTTGGACTACTACCGATTCTAATGGAGACGCTGAGACTGATTCTGGTGTTATCATCGTGACGACTGATTCTGATGGTGACTTATACACAACCACTTCAATGTTCCCAACTCTTACTGAATACACTAGTACTTGGACTACTACCGATTCTAATGGAGACGCTGAGACTGATTCTGGTGTTATCATCGTGACGACTGGTTCTGATGGAAGCTCATATAGATCTACGTTGTCGTTCTCAAGTAAGACATTTTCGTCTGTTGCTACGCCGTCGCCTACTATAATATTCACTGGTATAGATGATATCGAGTTTGGATCTGCTGGTACGATAAATGCTGCGATTCCTTTAGCCCCATTATGGACTGTTAATGTGGCTTGGGAAATGACTGAAAATCATATTGTTGGTACAAAGTTTTCACTATTTTTGCCAGTTGTACTTGGTGTTTACAACATTAATTATGGTATTTCGAAACGTGATATTATTGATTCTATTTATCTTCAAGCTGATGATGTTAATTTTGCTGAATGTGTGACAGTGCCGGGCTCATTGGAAGCAATCAACTCTTTATTGCAATGTATTATTTTACAAGTTCCAACTTCATATATCACTAATACTATTGAACTTCCAATTGTTTTCAATGTTGGGGGTTCATCAAGCGATGTTGATCTTTATGCAGCTAATATGTTAAATACAGGAACGAAAACTATTTCATTTACAACTGATGATAATAGAATACTTCTGCATGATGTTATTTTTGATGCAGGATCCCCATCTCCAGATGAGGCGGATGAAATTGTATTTTCAGTTAGAGCTTTGGAATGGGATGACACTAATGCTTATTATCTCCTAGGTGGAAATTGTTCTACCTTATATGGCTTTGGTACGCTTTCATTGACCATCGAGGAAGGTAAACTTAACTGTGATACATGGGAAGCTAAAATTACTAACGAACTTAATGAGTGGTATCTTCCCAGATCTGCTCAAAGCTTTGGATCTATCAGATTGGAAAGCTGCAATGACAATGAAATTATTATTAACTATGCCAATGTTCCAGCCGGATACAGAGTATTCTTAGATGTTATTGGTCAGCCTGATGGATTTAATACGAATGTTACTTACAATGATGTTCATACTTGTGGTTTAGCTATATCTGGTAACAGCTCCAGTACTTTTGTTAGTACTAATTCAGTAGGTGAAACGATTACAGGTACTGCTGTTGTGGTTGTCACCTCTGATATTACTGTTATTGTAACTGAACTGTGTAGTGAATATGGTACTGCAGTTGTTACTACACTTCCAAATGTGAGTGTTACTACTGAATCTGCTGAAGTTATTATTTCTACTAATGCTGAAGGAAGTATTTACACTAGTACATTAATAAAAGATAGTCCAACTGTATACTCCATTAACCTCATTACGACTGATACTGTTGGATTTCCTTGTACTGAAACTGCAGCTGTGATTATTTCAAATTCTGAAGGTACATTTCATACTGTTACTTCCATCATTGGAAGTGTTGCATCTACTAATTCTACAGGACCGTTTGATATTTCCGCCGAATCAATTACTGAACCGGTTGTAGTCCCAGTTGGAACAAATGCTGTAGCTTCCGCTTCGCAGGTTCTAGCAATTGAGACAGTTACCACACAATCTGATTCAGATAGTTCTGGTATTTTAAATATTCCTTCAGCATATGAAAATTCATCCTCAAAAATATGGGCTAACTTCCTTTTGATCATGGCATCCGTTATAACTATTCTGATGAGTTTGGTTTTCATGTAAAACTATTCTTGTGTTCTTTCTTTTGAAGATAGTCTATTTTATGTTTCGGTCTATATATAAATTCATTTTCTGTCTTTCTGATTTATACTTTTATACTTTTATATTTCAATCTTCAAATCTTCTGTATCCTTTACTTAATATATTAATAAAATCAACAAAATGTGTAGACCAATAATAGCAAGTTTAAAAGAAAGATTTGGTACTCGAGGCAACAGTTCAATTTTAGATATATTCCACTTAATTAGAATTCCACTCAAATACTTTCAGAAGTTAATGACTTATCTTCACATAGTTTGGAATTCTTAAATAATTAATTTCAATTTGAAATCACACGAAAACGATAGAGTTAAACATCTTAATCTTTACGTTTTGTGAAATGAGAACTATTCAAACATATATATAAATATTCTAAATTATGTATGTTTTACGATTCTTATCTCTAAGTTAAAATTTTAACCTTACAAATTTATTAAGCAAAATTATTTTCAATATAAAATTTTATTTTCCGATAGCAGTATAAACTAATTGTCTCTGTTGTGAAATTTGGTGTAGTATTAGACATAATCAGAAACAATATTATTGATCTTAACATATGGAGTTTATCTACCACATAAAATTTAGGTTTTACGCATTTTTATTTATGCACTATAATGAGCTAGTTATTCATTACTTAGCGCTTGGGACCTGACTAGTAAACATCATGTTTACCATTACAATATAACAGTGATTTGCCAATTATGCTAAATTTGATCAACCTCAAAATCTTAAAAACATCAATACATTGTTTCGTATAATCTACAGTCAGCTGAAAAGTGATACAAAATCAAACTTACGACTTACATACATATTTAAATATTCTAATTAGATGATATCAAAAATATTTGTACCATAATAAGCAGATATCTACCACCTCTGATTAGATTCTCACAGCCAGTTTGCTTTTTTTCGCATACGAATCAATACACTTTAACACAGTTTATGATTTGCAATTTGACGTAAAAAAAATTGTGCCACCACAATCAAACAAATTTTTGCGCAGATAAGAAAATATGTCGCAACCATTTCAAAAATTTTATAATTCATTGTACAGATTGAACAATTACCACTTTTTGCAGAATCAAACTAGGTGAATCAAACGATGTTGGTGATTTTTACTCATAGTTAGTCACTTTTAGAGTGATAATTCGTAATATGCTTAAAGGATTCAGTTTTTTCAGAATTATATAAAAGAATACCAAGATTTCTTGGTTTTAGTTTTAACTCCATTATCTTGTTTTAGTCTTATATATTGGTCCAATTTAAGGTTTAACTTGAAGCCAAGAGAATCGGGTTTACTTTGATATATTTATAATGCCTGTTGCTAAAATTGGAAAAAGAATCGAAGTTAGGGAAAACCCTGTTGAATATTCAGGGGATGATTATAGAGAAAAGAAAGGTGCAAATGAAGTGATTACTTTGAGATCAATGGATTCCTCTTCCGATGAAGAATCTTTACTGTCTAAAAATCCCTTTTTAGATCCTAAAGTTGTAGAATATTATCGTCAAGTTTATTCGGCTGCTCATTATGAAAGTTATGAAGCTTTTGATCCAAACTTTACATGGACTCAAGAAGAAGAAAATAAATTACTTAGAAAATTAAACATAAGAGTCGCCTTGGCTGCCTGTGTTTTATTCGTTAGTTTACAAGTTGATAGAGGTAATTTAGCTCAAGCTGTCACTGACAATATGCTTCCAGAGCTTGGATTAACTACTGATAACTATAATACTGGAAATACTATAGCCTTGGTTACATTCTTATTAGCTGAAGTGCCATCCCAATTGATTTCTAAGAGACTTGGTCCCGATATTTTCATTCCTATTCAAATTGTTATTTGGAGTATTGTTGCTACTTCACAAGCAGCTTTAAAAGGAAAGGCTTCTTTCTATGCTACTAGAGGTATCATTGGTGCTTTACAAGGTGGTTTTATTGCCGATTTAGTATTATGGTTGAGTTACTTCTTTACCAGTAAGGAGTTATCTACCAGATTATCTTGGTTTTGGACTACATTGTCTCTCGTCACTATTTTCACATCTATTTTGGCATTCGGTATATTACGATTAGGTGGTAAAGGTGGGTTATCAGGTTGGAGATGGTTGTTTTTGATCGAGGGTCTTTTCACTTTTGTTATTGGTGTTTTATCATTTTATCTTATGGTTCCATCTGCTGTTCAAACTAAGAATAAATTGCATCCAAAAGGTTGGTTCACCGACAGAGAAGTGAAGATTGTCGTTAATCGTGTTTTGAGAGATGATCCTAGTAAGGGAACTATGCACAACCGTCAAGCTTTAGGTTTCAAAATGATCTTTAAGAGTTTAATGGATTATGATCTTTGGCCTATTTATGCTATTGGTCTTCTTGCCTATATTGGTCAAGGTACATTTACTGCTTATTTTGGTCTTTTAAATAAGCAATTAGGTTTCAATACTTTCACTACCAATATTTTGACCGTTCCAACTAATGTTATTCATATCATTCTATTGTTATTTATCACTTGGTTATCAGAATTCCTTAATGAAAGATCTTTAACTTGTACACTTGCTCCAATTTACACAGTACCAATAATTGCTGCTATTAGATGGTGGCCAGGCTCTGGTAAGGAAAAATGGACATCATATGTCTTGAATACTTTATACTTAGGTCAGCCATATATTCATGCAATTTGTGTTTCTTGGGCATCACGTAACTCAAATTCTGTTAGAACTAGATCTATTAGTTCAGCTGTTTACAATATGTTTTGCCAACTTGGTAATGTTGCAGCAGCTAATATCTATAGAACGGATGATTTACCACTTTATCATAGAGGAAATATGCAATTGGTTTTTATTGGAGCTGCATTAATCCCATTGTTAATTTTAACCAAGATTTATTACGTTTGGAGAAATAATAAGAGAGACAAGCTTTGGAATGCTTTGTCTCCAGAAGAAAGAGAAGATTATATTACAAACACCAATGATGAAGGTAATAAAAGGTTGGATTTCAGATTCGATCATTGATTCATTTATTATTAATTTAATAAATAAGCTTGCTTTCTTTCTTCATTTCAAATATTAAATAAAAATAAATATTATTTTTATAGAAATGAGATCTCGTATTTATTTTTAGTTGAATTGAATAATTATATCTTTAATTATTGTATTATTGATTTTGAAGAAATGTGGCGATATCTTTGTCCCACTTAGGTGAATATATTTATCGTTTTAAAGACTAAACAATCTCCGTAATCGATGATAAAAGAAAAATGCTGACATGCTTGTCTTGTTGCAAGATTGTTTTCATAAAAATTACTACTGGCTCTTTAAGCAATATATTAAATAATTTTATACTATCTGTTTAACAAATGAAAATTTGAACATACGTTTATTACGAAAAATAAAGAAATCAAAAGAAAAGAAGATCGGCGAGGAGAATAATTTAATCCTAAATAATATAAAGTGCTCAAAAACTCTCAAATGTAATTAAGCAAAAACACAGCAACAAACACCACTGTAAATGGAATAAGTAATTTATTATTTTTAATCACGAAACTGCCTGCTTCATTTTCATAGGAATATGAAACATCAGGTGTACTCCAATTAGGCCTTGGAGCTGTACTACTTGGAGGTGAATGAACAGTGGATACAATAATAGAAACTACGGATTCATCTAGCGATGTATTCACGTTGCGTTGATGTGGGTCTGAAGGTGATAGTGGCTCGTTTGTAGTTGAATGAGGCAAATCTATAATTGATATAGCTGTCAATATTCTCTCTGAATCACTCGCTATAACAACAACTGATGTCTGTATACACGACACCCCAATAGAATCTGAAATTTTTATGGTGGTATTATATATCGACAAATTAGGATCTTTCAAGTCAACAGTAGTCAAACTATTCGTTTCATCACCTAAATTGGCTCCCACATTTTCAGTCGACTTAGATTTTGTGACCTCGATGTTATCATTTTTGCTAATTACGGTGGAGTATGCAGTATTTACTTCTTTACTAGCTAAACCAGTAGCATTGCTCAGTCTACCTTTTGATTTATCAGACGAAATGGAAATTTCACTAGCAATTTTTTGAGGCGCATCAGTTGTCACGGAGGTAAATTCTCTTGAGCTTAGACTTCCACCAAGTATAGATGAACTAGCATAAAATATTTCATCAGAATTACTTAATGTATTGATAATTCCGGTAGAAATATTTGCGGAGCTTAATGTACTAGCAAGTGGACTTTCTGGACCATCAATGACTGTAATGGTTGTATGTGGGACATACATCGAATCAGTAGAAATAATTACTTCTGTGGTAGCTGTAATAATAGTACCATCAGATTCGGTATCACTAAAAGAAATAGCGTAAGCAGTTCCTAGACGATCAATGATTGAGGTAGCGGTGTGTGATTTACCTTCGGAATCAGTAGAAATAAATGGTCCATTGCCACTTCTGGAAACATCGCTTTCATATTCTTTGAAACTAGCCTTAGAACTGACTCCAAAAAGTAAGTTTTCAGTCAAAAATTCAGAAGCATGCAAATAACTATCTGAATCTCTTGTACTCGTAATGACAGGAAGAATAGTATCTCTGCCGTCTTGATCAGAGGATAGGAAAGTTGAAGAACTTTCTGCCAATGTAGTGGTAGAAGATGTTAAAGTACCCAAACAAGAATGCATATCACTGTATTCAGCAATGACTTCATATCCATCAGGTTGGCCAATAACATCCAAGAAGACTCTGTACCCTGCAGGCACATTGGAATAATTAACAACAATTTCATTTTCATTACAACTTTCCAAGTTTATAGTACTTGAAGTTTCATACGATTTAGGGAAGTACCAGTCATTAAGATTATTTGTAATACGAGCCTCCCATGAATCACAATTTATTCTGCCTTCTCTTAAAGTCAATGAAATCTTACCGTTTCCAAATGTCGAAGAACACTTCCCAGCAAGAACATAATAGATATTACTGTTATCCCATTCCATGGCTCTAACAGAGTATACAAAATCTTCAGGATCTTCAGGAGATTCGCTTCCACCACTGAGATAGATCTCTTTCAGAATGACTCTATCATCATCAGTAATGAAGGAGATTGTTTGTGTCCCACTAGATAAATTACCAGCGCTATATATGTCACTGTCTCTAGATGAACCACCCACATTAAACATGATAAGAAGATGAAGAATACCACTGACTTGCGAATTAACATCTTGTAAACTAGTGCATTCCAAAGAAGAACTGCTATTGAACAATGATCCATGCACAGGATTACATTTTGCATACATAATTCCGTCAACTTCAAGAAAAATATCCCCATACAAATCACGTTTAGACTTGCCGTAGTTTGGCGAGTAGAAACCAAATACATTAGGTAATGTTAATGAAAAATTGGAGCCTAGAGTGCGACCAACTTGCAATTCCCATCCAACACTAGCGTTCCAAACTGGAGCCATAGCAAAGCCTGCTGAGCTAACTGAGCTACTTATAACGTGGACAGGATCAATATTTTCAATATGAGTGAAGCCAAGACCTTTACTACTAGGTGTAGCAGTATTTATAGAATCTGATGATAAATATGTCTCTTCGGTTAACGAACTAGTTACAGTGTGTGGTTCTTGATTAGAGTCACTAGTGATAATCTCAGAAGCAATTAAGACAGTTGGGGAATGCACCAATTCGTTGATGTATCCACTAGATCGATCTTGGAACAATGACGTAGCAGTGTAAAATTCTCCATTTGAGTTAGTAGAAGCAATTGCATCACCCAGATCTATAGTAAAACTACCAACAAGCTCAGATGTGTATGAAGTGGCGTAATGTACAAAGTCATCGGAAAATGAACTTGAGGTATTATAGTATTTGATTGATGGATATGATAGGATATTACTGCTCGAAAATGAAACTCTTAAATCAATATGGGTTACTGTACTGTGCAGGTTTGATTCAAGTAATTTCAGTCTTTTCGAAGATGTAATGGATGATAGTGGAGTGATCAGTTCACTCTCTCTTGCTAACGGTAAAACGATGGATACTTCCGCCGAGAAATCAGCACTGGTAATAATTCTGGAATCACTTGACTCAGCTTTGTTATAATCCACACTGGTAGATTCGCTGGCATAAACAATATGTGGAATTGAAGTTGAGAATACTAAAGTTGAAGTAGAGCTTTCCAAGGGCCCTGAGTTTACGGAATTTACACCTATGTTGGTAATAAATCCATCAGGAACTGTAGTAGTAAATATGCTACTATAGGTGGAAGATTGATCATCCGCAGTGTAAAATAAAGAAGTAGATGTGTATATTTTTCTGTCATCGTAAGCAGTCACAATAATGATACCGGAATCAGTAGTGACAATCCCATTTGATAATGTGGTTTCAAAGCTGCTCGTGTACATAGTAAATTGTGTACTTATAGCATTGAACATTGAATAACTAATTGGAGTTTGGATATCAATATCTGATCGATTAGAATCTGAAGTTGCAGCAGAGAAGCTTGAATCAAAATTTCTTTCTCGAGTCACCGACTGTTCTGGTACAGGAGAGCTTGTTTGAGCTTTTGATGAACGAGAAGGCATATATGATTTCAGAACACTTGAGGATGTCATCCAGGGAGATTTTGTCGACGAACTTGGAAACGCAAGAGACTTGGAGTTCGAAACTGAATCCCAGGTAGATTCAATAAGCGAGATTGAGGATGTCGATATAATGCCGCTAGATTCACCTGTAGTATATGAAATTATACTTGAAGAGGTTGAAAATGTAATTGATGAACTTGAAGAAACAACTGAACTATTTGATGGAGCAACTGCCGAGTTTGATGGTTGTATTGATACAGAAAATACAAACGATGAACTAGACTCAATAGATCTGCTTAAAGAAGCAGCAGACAGACTAGATGGAAGAATTAGTGTGCTAGAGGATTGAATTAACTTGCTTGTCTGCTCAGTCGATGAAACTGCAGATTTAAATGATCTACTTGACAGTTTTGACGATGTAACTAATGAAGTCGAAAAATCAATTGATAGACTTGATGATATGACTATTCTACTTGGCTGGGTAACTGAAGAAGTTGATGAAGTAACAATTTCGCTGGAAGCACCAACTATTGAGCCCCGGGATATAGTTGATCTACTTGAAGATGAATCTACCGAACTCGAAGATTTAATGAATCTACTTAAAGAAGCAACTGACAGTCTAGACGGAATAACCAATGAACTAGAAGATTCAACTAACCTGCTTGATGGGTCAATTGATGAAGTTAAGGATTTAATTGATACAATTGACAATCGAGATGGAATAACCGATGAAGTGGAAGACACGACAGAAGCATTCGATATACCTCCTGATGAACTATAAGGTTCCGGTGACGAACTTGAACTTTTATGGGAGCTATCAGCTAATGAAATTGTTCCACTTGAAGATTTTGCCAATGAACCAGATAATATTATTGATGATCTTGCTACTTGCGATGAAGTTTGCAATGAACCTGAAGATACAACCGATTCCCAAGACAAAACTGCAGAAGTACTATATACAACTGATGCTCTTGATAATGCTACTGCTGAACTAGATTTAATCGATCTACTCGCAGATGTAACCGATACTCTTGGTTGAATATCTGATGAAGAAGCAGCGAAAGATCTAATTGACGAACCTATTGCCAAACTTGAAGTTGAAGCATGTGAATTCAAAGAGTTAACGAATATACTTGATGATATTATTGATGATTTCGAATAGTTAATAGAACCCCTCAAAGACAGAATCGGTACGGATGAAGGTGAAATTGATAAAGTGGATGATTCTGATTCCTTTGGAATAGATAATCTTGACGGAGCTGTTAGAGTTGTTGAATCAACTGACGAGCTAGTTGAAGTCAAACTAGATACACTTTCAGATAACAAATTTGAAGATTGAATTGATATTGATGATAAAACAAGTGAAGGGTTGTCTTTTCTGCTTGATGTTTCTGTAGCTGCTGAATTTGAAGACACGACTAATCCACTCAAAGAGGTAATCAATGAAGTAGAAGAATTCGATAATATACTTGTAGTTGTCGTCAATGAAATTGATGACCTGCCAGAACTTTTTGTAGAAGCAAGTGGCAATTTAGTGACAGGTGAAGCCGTAAATTTGTCAGATATTAATGAAACAGAAGATTTTGTTGAATATTCAACTAAGACACTAGATGGGGCAGCCGATATAGTTCTAGAAGCAATTGATGATTTTGAAGATTTAATAAACAAACTTTCAAATTTAACCAGGTTGCTTGAAATAATAAGTGATGAACTTGAACGTTTAATTGAGTTGCTCGAAAATGTGACCGTGGTGGTCGAATATCTGGTTGTGATACTTGAAGCAGTGATCAGTGAACTTGAAGTAGCAACTAAGGCAATTGAAGACGTCTCTAATGAACCAGAAAACATAGTAGCTGTACTAGAGGGTTTCAACATTGAGCTTGAAGATTCAGTAAATGAACTAGTTGCTGTAAATGTGCTTGAATATATTATTGACGAGCTTGAAGTTCCAATTGAGCTTGTAGATTCACCCAACACCATTGAAGGAGTAGCTGATGAAGTTGCAGATAATAATCTACTTGGCAAATCAATCGAAGAAGTAGAAGATTTAATGAATCCTCTTGAAGAGATATTTGATGAAGTTGAAGGTCCGCTGGAATTGATAGAAGACGACAGGTCTGGTCTACTTATCGACAACACTAAATTACTTGAAGAATAAGTTGAAGAAACAGTGACCCCAACAAAATCGTTAGATGATGTACCCGATGGCTTAAAAGAGCCAACTGATGCTCTAGAAGTAATTGATGAATTAAATTCCATATATATGCTTGTTTGTGATATTACTGAGCTCTCTGGATTTATAACTGATGTACTTGAAGCTTCCAAAAATGAACTCGAAGATCTAAGGGATATGTTTGACGAAAATATAACTGTGCTACCATATGCAGCATCTGATGGATTTGAAGACATAATTGAGCTAGTCGAAGATGAACCGTAAACACTCGAGGTTGGCATTGATGGGGTTGTCGAGTCAATTGAGCTTGTTGGATATAAAACAGAACTATTGGAAGATTGAAAGGACAAACTCGTAGAAGTAATCAACAGCTGGGTAGCTTCGAATACAATTGAGGAATTTAAAGATTGAAATGATGAAACTGAAGGAGCGAAAGATGATTGTGATGACTGAGGGGATGTTTTAGGAAATCTAAGATACGACGATTCACTAGGTGCACCTGAAGATACAGATGAGGGCACAAATGAAGATTTTGAAACGGAAACAACTGATGACTTGGAAGATGTAAAAGACAAACTTGAATCATCAGAAGCTTTGGCTGACGACAAAACAATCGAGCTTGGAAGATCTGAAGTTCCAATAACTGAAGTTGATGATGCGATTGCCATACTTGATGTTACAGCTGATAAACTTGCATATTTGGCTTCAGAAGTAGAGTATTCAGAAGCATACCCTTTCGATTTCAGCGATTCACGGATAGTTATCGAATTCAAAGATTTGATTGGTTTCCTGTAACTTACAAGTGAGGATGATTTTGAAATTTTCGAAGTTGATAAGTTAGATGGAGAAGCGGAAGCTTTCTTTAATGAGCTGGATTGAATTACACTAGGGTATACTGCTGTTGATGTGGCTTGATATGAGGTTCTGACGTTTGAAACAGACTCAGAAAATGAATTAGTAGGGGTAAGATCAATGCCACTTGAAGTAGGGAATAAAGAAGTCGTTGTATATAATTCTCCTGAGTGGTTTGTCGTCTCAACTGATTCTCTGGTAACAAATCCGTCAGATTCAGTAGTAGCAAATGAAGTGGAATATCTAGTATAAGATGCACTGGTTGAGGAACAAGATGCATTAATCAGAGACGTGGTTGTATAAAAATTTCCCAGACCATCTGATGTAATAATTACATTATCAACTTCAGTACAAATCTGACCCTCAGTTGTTGCATAAAAGGTAGTTATATATTGTTTTCCAGAGATACCCGGTATAGTAGGGAGTGAAGAACATAATGCACAATTTGCTGGCTTTGTTGCAGCTGCTGGTGGAGCTAACGAATAAGTGACTGCATTGTGGGTCAAAACTACACCTGCACCAACAGCATTCCAATTTGTAGTTACCGAAAATGCATTGCTGACATAACCTTGACCAATATGGAAAGCTTGATTAGCGATCGACGAATAAAGTATTAACACTCCGGTGGTAGGATTATATGTATAGGATGTTGAGCGAACTGCACCAGTGAAAGGGATTGTTGTGAGTGGATTTAGAGTTGTAGATAATGAAATCATATTCCCGTTACCAAAACCATAAATATTAATCGTTCTAGATGATGCTGATGGTGTTACAATAAGACTGGAATCTTTATCTGCCAAATAAATATCTTGGCCATTAAATGTTGATTGAGGGTTATTCATATAAATTGTAGAATTGGCCTGAGCACTAATACAACCATTACCTTCTATATTTAAACTGTGTACCAATACATCGTTATATAAACAGATTTGACCATCATTGGTTATTCCTTTTACCAATTTAGATCCACCTATAGTAACTGTCCCACCTGAATTGTGTGATTGATGAAATACCATTAACCCATTGTTAGTAACACTTGCACTTTCAATAGAAAGTACACCAAATCCAGCAGCTCCATTTGTACCCATATAGATGTTCCCATTATTGACAAAACTTTTAGCAGCCGTTATAACATAATCACTTGCAATAAAGCTTTGAATGGAATTAAATGATATTATACCATCATTAACGACCGTATCTCCTGTAATACCTATGTTCAAACCGATCAAAGTAGATGTACTACTGACATAAAATCCGGCTCCATTAGCAATTTTAAGATCACCCACAATTGAAGTATCTTCATTATTAATAATGGACCAATAAACGTCTGGATTGATAGCAACATCATTTAGGGATAAATCTAATGTGCCATAGTCAACAGTATTTTGAGTTACAGTATGGGTCAATACCAAAGATAAATGAAGTATTATAGGGAAAAGAAAACTAGTAACTTGCATTCTAACAGTTAATTACTTGGATCAGAACCTACCTAACAAAGAGAAGTTAAAATGGGCATCACTTCCTTTTATAATAAATTGATTTTACCAAAGGACATCTCCCTGCATATGAAAGCTGCAACATTGATATATCCAATTGGAACAAGACTTATAAGAATTCTAATGAGCATTAAACACACTTCAAATAAATAATTTCAATTGAAAAAATTTTATCTGAAGCTTCATGCATATTGAAAAAAAGAAAATTTTGCATTAAGGCAGTAATACGTATGGCATATAGTCAATAATTCATGAACAACTGTACTTGCTTCACTTGCTACTTTGCAAAAGTAGCTTGGACTACAAACACGGTAGGCCCAGTAATATCAACTGATCCATACACTGATACTAGAGCTATGTTTGGTTGTCAACGAACGATTATATTCATTAATCAACTTTACCATTAAAGCACTTGATGGAGGGGACCTTCGATGATAAATGCACGCTGTAGGCTTACAATCAAAAGAAAGCTGTAAATAGAAAATGATTGTGGGTAACAGTTTCAAATTGATAGACATCTTCTTTGAATGTTAAACTGTTGTATTTTTTTTATCTATGGGCCTTATATGCAGTCTTAGATTTCTTTTTATCGTTTCTTTTTATTTCTTGAGATAGGGAAAAAAAATCTTCTCCGTTCTTACGCAGCAACATGTTATAAAGTACGGTTGTAGGAGTTGTGTGTAATGAAACATTTATAACTTAAAATGACTTAACATATGAACTGCTGAAGTATTCTTTAACACGTACACATGCTTTCTATATACTAATGATTCACATTACCATTAATAAATGACTTTTGTTATTATTAAAGTTAAGAGAAATAAGGTTTGATATTTTATTTTGCAGCAGAACGCAAAAATATGGTGCTCGGAAATGCAGTTGTAAAATTACCGACGCTATTTTGTATAATCAAGAAAAAATACAATCATAAATTTAAAATAGTTTTTAGCCGTTCTGTGTAATTCCGTCATATATCACCAAGAAAAATGAATAATTCTTGGTGATATTTAAGATCATTTTATACTTCCACGAAAAATGTATCTTGAGAACCCTTATTCTAGATATCTAATTTATTTGCAAAGAGGGAAAAGGTTTGCACGTTGTCAAAGTGATTTAGCTGGAACTGACGCGCTAGAATCGCTTTGTGTGGATTGTGTATAAAGTAAAAACTAATTAAATGACAACAGCAATTTGTAAAAAGCATTTTATGCGCAAATTAAGCCCTGCAGGTAGTATCTTCTATAATCTCGTTGCAATAAAACTGTCTAAAGTTGTTTTGTCATATTTTTGAATAAATTTATATAACTCCAAAAGATGATTCGCAATAGTCAAAAACTTTATATATTATAAATGAGCTAAATGCCACATTTATTTTTTGAGCTTTAATTTTCGCTCCAGCTGTATTTTCCAATTTGGTTAAACAGATTGTTTTAGCTATCTTAATGAAGAATTAATTCATCTATTCCAATTCCATGAGAATGAGAAGTACTTTATTCGGGTAATTTGGGATGTTTTTGCGACTCATGATACATATGTTTTCTTTCAATCCATACTTTTCAGCTTAATTATTTCTAAACCACTAAATTTCTGAGTAAACAGACTTTCCTCGAACAGGTAAGATAAATGACTCAATTAGCTTCAATATATCATTCCATTTTCTAACCATATAGGAATTTTTTATAATTGGAAACAAAATCGTATTAAAAAAAAGACAGCTTATGCATAACTATATTTAGTTTTTTTTACTAGTGATTTACAAGTATAGTGCTCTACAATATTTCTTATAATTTATTTCTTATAATTTTCTAGATATCGTGTGGCTTCTATTTTTATATAATAATTTCTTAACGTTGTACCCTATTGATACTATAAAACTTATCAAAATCTTCTATTACAAACAAGTATTAATTAACCACGGCTAATCCATTATGTTAGACAGGAACATATATAGAAGAACCAAAACTAATAATTTCTAAAAAGAGATTTAATTTCTTTAGTAAGCCAATAGAAATGATGCCTCAATGAGCAAAAATAATGCTAATGATTTTAATATCAAAATTTCTTTCCAAAACGCTACCACCATAAATGTTCATTTCCGATCCTTTGTGCCGTAATTAACTCATATAGTATATGCCGATAATTATTTCGTTATAATCACCGAAAAGTTGAAATAAAATCACCTGTTGCTTTTTCTAAATGAGTGAACAGTTGTACCTCTTGGTTCATTTTAGTTTGTGCTGAAGTTGTAATTAATGTGAGGTGATTTTCTTTTTTGCAAAAAAAAATTAATTTAAATTGAGTTTCGCTTTTCTCGGAATAGAACAAAATTAAAAAAAAAGCGGCTGAATCCAAATAAACATTTATTATAAGGGGTTTAAAATTTTAACTACTGTTTTGATTATGATACTGGATAATATATTATTACTATGAAGTTTTAGGCAGCCGGGGTAAGAGAAATAGACTTGAATAACGGCTGAACTTGAGATTTCTATCACGAGGGTTATACTATATCGCATCAGTTACAAGAACCTAATTATCTTTGTTTTCGTCATTCATTTAAATTTTAGTTCGGTTATGAAATATGATATTTATTTACATAAAAAGAGTCTTAAGTTTTATCATTCAATTCTAAAATGAACCAATTTGAGCTTTATTTATAATTTTCTTCATTTAGCCGCCCTGAATAGTGTTGCTTTTGATTATAATTTTTTTTTGCCGTCATTTCCATATTATTGTTTGATTTTTTTACTTTTCCCTAAGAAGCTTTTTTTGCATTCGCTCGTACAACAATATAGAAGAATATAAATACTGCTATATTGCTTGTTGTTTTAATGTCTATCTTTCTTTATTTGCTTCTTTATTATATTCAAGTTATACTATCTATTCAATATTTAATTTAATCATGTCAACAAAAACTTTTTTCACATTTATTATTCGTTTTTTCCAATTTGCCATTGGTGCTGTGGTTATGTCGTTAACTGCCGATATTACTGCTCAATTAGGTAATATCAAAAAGGTAACTTTAGTTATGGTTATTGGTATTGCTACTGTTATTTTCACTGGTCTTACTTTAAGTGGATTATTAAGAAAAGTTCCAGTATTCTACGTTTTACTTTTTGAGATTATTCTTAATTATTTCTGGGTTATTGCATTTTCTTTAGTTGCTGATACTTTTGGTGATATTGATTATAGTGTTGGAAAATGGCCAAAAGAAGCTATTTCTCTTGTTGCATTCACTTTAGTAAATTGGCTTTTATTCATCGTTACCAACATTATTTTCGTTTCTGAAGTAATAGTTCCATTAGCTAGAGTCTATCCATTTAGACATACCTACACCAATACTACTCATTTACAATGGGGTGCTCTTTATCCTGTTGATGCCATTATTCCTGATGAAGAAGCTAGATCAGAAGTTGAACCAAAGGATGTCACTAGTACCGCTCCAACCGCAGAATAAGTGAATTGATGTTTTTTTTTTATTAAACCTTAGATTAGAATTATCTTTACTTTCTACATCATTCAAATCTTTCTAATACGAAAATCTATTAGATATTCTCATTCAGTTTAATCTTATTTATAGTTAGTTTTTATGGAAGTATATACTTATCCAGTCTAATAATAATAATTAATTGTTTTCCTATAAACTCATATCATTAGTATGATTACCAATTTTGCATCTGTTAATTTAATTGCTTACTTAAAGTTGAGACAAGGAAAAAAAAAGCCATTTTTAAATTACCCCAGAATTGTACATCAAGTTTAATTAGTACCTTTTCGATTGGTAGAATAAATCGTTTATTTTCTTGATACTTGTTAATTAAATAAAAACGATTATAATACTGTTCAAAATAATAATCTCTATATTTAATCTATTTCTATGTAATAAAATCTATAAATATTTTTATTTATTTTCAATGAAATCGTTAATATTTTTACCATCAGCTTCAATTATAGTTGTAATTTTTGATAAAATATCTTCAAATGAATTAAATTCAGTATAGGGAATATTTTCTCTAATACAATATTTAATTAAATCTTTACCATGTTTGGCGAATAATAAATTTGTTTCCTTTGCAGCTGATAAATCAGATACACCATCACCAGAATAAAATAATAATGGAGTATTTGATTCATTATATCCATGTTTAGTTAAATATTGTTTAATGGATCTTGCTTTATCATGACCAAAAGGGGATTCTGGATCTTTATAAATAATATCCCATTTTTTTGATTTTTCATCAATTTCAACTTCATTACTAATAATTTCAATATTTTTAATAGCTTCTTCACCTACTAAATTTTTTAATAAAGCATAAATAATTGGTCTCATACCTGAACTTATAACAATAACAGGAATATTTTTTGATTCACACCAATGATAAAAATGTTTAAAACCAGGATCTAATTGCACATTTTTTAATAAAATATCAATACATTCAGGAAATGGAGTTGTAACAGATTCTAACATTTCTCTAAATCCATCTCTAAATGATTGACTACCATTTAAGATTTCATCATTAATTTCTGAACGTTTCTTTAACCCAAATCCAATGTTATCAGTTAAATAATCATTGGAATCTTGTAAAGTAACGGTACCATCCCAATCGGTGAACACAATAGCAGGATGAGTGGTTGAAGAAGTCATTATGTTATTGATAATTTATAATTAGTATGTCTCTATGAACTTATATTATTATTTTTAAGTGAATTGATTTTGTTGATGTTGAATTATTTACGTCATTTGAGAATGTCGTCTATGTCTTGTCTAAACGACTAAATGTCTGTCTGTTTATGACTGTCCGATTCCTGTTTGTCAGATCATCTAAGATTTGCGCACTGTTTTAGTTTTTTTGTCTGAAATCTGGAAAATAGCAATCTTGAAACAAAATGTCGCGTCACCCGTGTGTTATTTTTTTCTACTTTCATCTCAGATTATTTTTTTCTAGCTAGTACATTTTAAAATGTCTGTCTGTTTTCTTACAAATAAATAAATTAAGGTTTGGGTGGGCCACAGCTTTTCTGTTCTTTTTGTCAGATTTTTCATTTTCTTTTGGTTTCTTTTTTTTTCTTCCTCTTAAAATTAAAAAGGAGAATTTGGTCTCTTTCCACTCTCACTGGTCTCAGACTTACGGTGTCACTCTCTCACACATTTTTTAAATTAATTGGTTGCTGCTCATTACGAAATATATCTTGTTCAACTTATAACCAAATCACATCAAATTGAATTGATTCTGTTATCAATTTGAAACCTTTCCTTTCATCAAGTTTGATTCTATCTGTTCAATCAGCAATCTTTGTGGAAAGAAACTTGATAATAGTTTGAGCCAATTCAGGACAATCATAGATTTATTCAATCACTATTATCATCCCCACCCCCTCCTCCCACTTTAATTCTCAACGACAGCATCGACATTGTTTCTAAGCAATTGTACCATCTCATAAGTTTGTTTTATATCGATCTATTCATTGATTTCATTTTATTTCTTATCTTATCTTTTCGTTTCATTTTTGGTTTGAATATCTGTTGTGCTAATAGAAAGATTTATAGACCCTTACTAATATTCATAAAATACCCTTTTCCCCAGCTTTAGATATATTTTTCAATTAATCATTATGTTCGAAAATTTAAAAGCTTTTATTAGACATGGTAAACAAGCCAATGATATTAAGAAAAGAAATCTGGTGAGTCAAAATGAATTTAATGACAATAATAATGGAAATAGTTATCAATCAACCAATAATCAATCTACCTTTCAAAATGATAATTCTTTTGGTATTCATGCTAATAATCTGGATATAACCTTAATAAATAATAATGCTGGCATTCAAAACTTTTATCCAACTCCTAATGAACAACCTCGTGAAGATCGTAATTATCAACATGTTGCAACTCATATAGTTGAAGAAGAGAATCTTCAAAAACAAAAACAAAAACTGACTAAATTTCCAAATTTAGATGATTATGATATCATTGATAAAATGGGTGAAGGGGCATTTTCAATTGTTTATAAAGCAAAACATCTTCCATCAGGTGAATTTGTTGCTATCAAAATTTTAAGAAAATTTCAAATGGATCAAGCTCAAAAACAGGCGGTATTAAAAGAAGTTACCATAATGAGACAACTAAATCATCCTAATGTTGTAAAATTCATTGAATTCATTGATTCTCAACCTTATTATTATATTGTTCAAGAATTGGCTATTGGAGGTGAAATCTTTACTCAAATTGTAAAATATACTTATTTTTCAGAAGATTTATCTCGTCATATTATTTATCAAGTTGGAAAAGCAGTTAGATATTTACATGAAGAAGTTGGTATAGTTCATAGAGATATTAAACCAGAAAATTTATTATATATGCCCATTGATTTTATTCCAAGTAAAGATCCAATTTCAAAATTAAGAAAATCTGATGATCCATCCACTAAACAAGATGAAGGGTTATTTATAAAAGGTGTTGGTGGTGGAAATATTGGTGTAGTTAAAATAGCTGATTTTGGGTTATCAAAACAAATTTGGGAACATAACACTAAAACTCCATGTGGTACAGTTGGTTATACTGCTCCTGAAATTGTTAGAGATGAACGTTATTCTAAAGAAGTTGATATGTGGGCTATTGGTTGTGTATTATATACTTTATTATGTGGATTTCCCCCATTTTATGATGAAAGAATCGAAGCATTGACTGAGAAAGTGGCTCGTGGTGAATATACCTTTTTAAGTCCTTGGTGGGATGAAATTTCAGTTGATGCAAAACAATGTGTAAAAAAATTATTAACAGTTGATCCTCGTAAGAGATATACTATTGAAGAATTTTTAAATGATCCTTGGGTTAATAAAAATAATATTCCACAACCAATTAGTTCTAAAGTTGATACTGATATCAATAAAGAACCTCATCCAATTCAAAATTTCAACGTTAAATATTCTAAAAAATTCAAATCTAAGAATGAATTATATTCACCAGCTGCTGTAGCTTTAAGAGATGCCTTTGATATTTCAACTGCTGTTCATAGAATGGGTGAAGAAGCTGCATTGGCCAGTAAAATTAATCCAAATACAATCCAAGATTTAGTTGAAGAAGAGGAAGAAGAAAATGAAGAAGATGTCGATAAGGATGGTCGTGTTTTGTTGCCAGCATCAACAGTAACACCCAAACAAAGTCATCGTCATCACAATCATCATAAACAACAAAAGGTGTTTGATTTGAATTTAGGTGGTGCTTCTATTCTTGAAAGAAGAAAGAACAAACAAATTCCAGTACATAGCTAACAAATTATATACTCTTTTTTAACAATATCTTATTTTAGTTCTCTAGGCTCTTCTAATCTTTTTGATTCTTTTTTTTTTTTGATTGTCTAAAATATAATAAATCTCTTTATTTGTTTAACCATGATTTTTGGTATTTTTAATGTAGAAATTAATTTTTATTTATATCATTTTTAATGTTCTGTGCGGCTCATATTTATTTTCCTTTTGTGGATCAGCTCTCCCTTAGTTTCTCTAAAAAAGGATTTTGATTACTTATATCATAAATCAAAAAGATAATGATTATCTTAAGAGTATCAAACTTCACCATTGAGAAGATTGCAATGGTTTAAAGATCCTGAAAAGGAGAATTACAAAGATGACTTTACTGTTGATACATTTCGAGTTTGATAATATATCTAATTTGGCGAAATTGGGTCAAGTTACACCTGAAAAGGCAAAAAAGAAACCAAAGACATCTGTCAATAGTTCATTATCTATAGACAATCTAAAGTATACAGAATATTATAAATCGGCGGGAATCAACAATGTCATTCCACTGAGATTACCAGATGATGAATATGTTACTTTGGTTAATAGATGTTTTAAATTTCACGACGAAAGCCCCATAAATCTAGCCGATAAAGACTTTTCAAATATGTTAGAACTGGGAAATGGGATATTTGAATTAGTAACTGATAACATTAAGTTGAGTATTGTATCTGGAAACTTGTTATATGTTAAATCAACTAATAAGTTTGATTCTTCAAAGTTATTATTGTCTATCGGTAATAGCGATTTGTCAGATATTCCACTGTTAAAACAAGAATTATCAATTTTAAATTTCCAGTCTAGTAAACTTGATAAGAACAAATTAACAGTTTCAAAACCAACCATAAAGCTTGAATTCAACCTTATCATCAATAAAATTGGAATTTCATTAACTTATTCAGTTCAATATGCTTGTGGTATAGGATTTCCTCATCAAGTAGACAAAATCAGCAACATATTATCAAGTAGAGTAGATTACTTCCCAACATCGAATGAGTCTTCAGCGGTCACAAGTATGCTTGACTCCGAACCAGTAAGTGCAAGATTGTTTTATACTTCCATTTCTGAAAATACTGATTTGATGCCTAAGATTGAAGACGAGTTTGATATTCCAGAATTAGAAACTAATTTAATTAGATTTCAAAAGAGATCAGTTAATTGGTTGTTATCAAAAGAAAATGTCAAATTCAATTTTGATACAAGTAGATGTTCTCCATTACCCTTTATAGACGAAGAACTGCAAGCCTTATTGTCTAATAATGATAATCCTAGTGATACCTTAGATTGCAAACTATATTCATTACTTAACAAACTATGCTTTGGTTGGAAGAGAATCAAATTAGACGGCAAGATTTATTTTTTTAATAGACTTACAGCTCACATAATTAGTCGAACTGGAGCTTGTCGTTATCTCATGGAACATAAAAACCAGCTTTTGCCTGCTCAATCGTTATTGTCTGAAGAAATGGGACTTGGTAAGACGGTAGAAATGACTGCTTTAATGCTAATGAATAAGAGATCAATCGATGAAGTTAATGATACAATAGAACATCAAATCAATCAATTTGGAGATGTTAAAACTTTAGTTAAGGCTAAGACTACCCTTGTTATTGCTCCTGATTCGATTTTAAAACAATGGGTGGAGGAAATTGTACATTTAGCTCCTAGTCTAGCGGTAACAGTCTATACGGGAGTTGGAAAATATCCTAAATTAGACAATAATCCTGCTTTAATTGCGGAATATTTAAGAAAATTTGACGTTGTATTTACAACTTATGCTGTCATAGCGAGGGAGTTGGATTATGCACTTTACTCGTCCCGTCCAAAACATACAAGAAATGCCAAGTCACAAAGGAGCTATAACTTAGATGATGATGAAAATGAACCTTCAAGTAGTTCACATGAGGCCAATGAAAGTGCATTATTGGATGATTATAAATCAATGTTTCAACTAACACTTACTTCCATAAAACCAAAAATTGCAAATGAGAGAACAGGAGAGTCACAGGCTGAGACAGACTATGAAAAAGCATTACAAGATGAAATAGGTCTTGCAATTAGTCACAACAAAATTCCTTCTATATATAAAAAGGTAGAATATGAGTCACCGTTGATGCTTAGTCAATTTTGGAGAGTAATTTTAGATGAAGTACAAATGGTTTCATCCACAGTATCAAGAGCGTTCCAAAGTGCAGCTTTGATTCCTCGTTTTCATGCGTGGGGAGTATCTGGAACGCCAATAAAGAAAAATCTTGAAGACTTGCATTCCATTCTACATTTTCTAAAGTATCAACCATTTTGTGGTGATATTGGTAAATGGGCCTGGGAATTAATTACTAAGAATTCTTCAAACTCAGACTTTATAAAGTTATGGACAACAATTTCGTTGCGCCACACAAAGTCAATGGTTCACGATGATATAAAATTACCTCCACAATCGAGGATTTTGCTTACCATTCCATTCACTCCAGTGGAGCAAGATTTTTATAATCAAAAATTTGAAGAGTGCTTGGCTGCTATCTGTTTAGATGTTAATGGTAATCCTATTTCAAACGATTGGGAACCTTCTACAACAATTATGAATTATATGAGAAGCTGGCTAGTTCGTTTGAGGCAAATTTGTTGTAATTCTCAAATTGGAAGACTTAATATTGGATCCAAGAGGTACAAGAGAAATAATACTTATATGTTCTCGGCAATACAACAGTTGAAGACTTTGGAAAATCTTTTGGATGATATGTTGACTAAAGCATACACTGATATAATGGAAAATGAAAAGCAATTGATTCAACTTTACCTCGAAGTTGGGGAGTTTTTCGAATTTTGCTACCTACCTGAAAGAGCCTTACCTTATTTAACTATTGGTGTAGAACAAACAGAAAGAATCATCTTCAGGTGTAGGCTTATTCTCAATAAGTATATCAAAGAATTTAAAGATTATAGGAGAAGGTTGGATAGTAGAATTGATGATGAAATAGATAATGATGACACCATTGGTAGTATTGATGGAAAAAATGAAACTCAGGCTATGAACGATGAGGTTTTGGAAAAATTAGAGGACAAAATTGCAGGGTTCAGGCTAAGAATAAGGACGTGGAATACCACTTTGCATCGCTTTTACTTTTTAATAGCATCATCTTACTTTCAGCGATATGATAAAGATTACAACGAAGTAATAAAAGTCTTTAAGCTTCCTGAAACATCAATAAGGTTTGATTTATTACAGAAATTTGAACACTACGAGGAAACTGAAAGATCTAATGAGATCGCATCACTTATTAATGGAGTAGATTTAGCAACTGATTTTGAAGTAAGCAATTATTCCAAAGATTTTGTCTTGGATCCTAGCTGGACAGATGATCAATCGAAGGAAGAGGAAGCAAAATTTCTAGAACTGAAATTTTACGAACTTGCAGAAGAGACTCGTGGTATTCTATTAAAAGGAACAATAGCTAATGTCAATAGTGTTGTGGAATCCAGGATAAAATCGCGAGGCCGGTATCTTGATTTGGATCAGGCTTTTATTGACGCTGGAGAAATTTTACTTCCCAAGAATTCCAAGAAGTTTTTCTTTGCAGTGCCGGTGATCGACGTTGGCGTTTTCACAGACCATTCGATCTATATGAAAGTTAAAGTTTTCAGCGATAAGCTCTTTAAGATGATTGAAGAGCTAAACTCTCAAGCTCTAATTCTTAATTCATGGGTCAAGCATTTAATTGAAATTTTATGCACTCCAGTTTTAACCCAAGATAAGAGTCCTGCCGGTACTGAATACGAAGAAACTATACAAGATCAAGATAAGGTATCTAGTTATTTGTTTGTTTTGTCTCAAACATTAATTGATAGAGGAGAGTCTATTAATGGATCGGAAAACTCTGCGAAGATTGTCACAATAAGAAAGGCCCAGGAAAAAAAAGACACTGATTTCGAGTTACAAAAGATTAATGATCAGGAGTTTTTAGTTCAGCTTCAAAGCGTTAGAAATACAATCAAGCCCAAGGGGAAGTCGTCGTTGCAAGAATTAGTTCTTCTGATTAAGAACCTTGAAACAGAAATAAAGGAAGATGAGCTATTAGATCAGTCAAGATCGGAAACACAACTAAAATTATTGGAAGATCTTGGAAAAAAGCTTAGGATAGTTTTCGACAATCAGAAACTTGCTTTGGTTTTATTACAGAAAGAACTAACAGTTAATTGTAATGCTGTATTTAATAGTCGTGTCGATTATTATAAACAATTGCAGCAAATTTCTGATACGGTACAAACATCCGATTTTGGTATGGATAGAAGTGCTTTAGCTGCCGTTTCAGTTAACCGACACCTCCTGCAAAAGCAATATCTGTATGATCTGATAAAGCTTCATATGGACAAATCCGTTGCAAAGTTCCGTTACTTACGAGGTTTGGTTGGTGTAGCCGAAGGTAATCTAAGAGATGATGAAGAAGGTATGATGTGTATCATTTGCAGATCGACTATTACTATTGGTTCTTTGACTCAATGTGGGCACAAATATTGTAAGGAGTGTTTGGAGCAGTGGATCCGAAATAGTCATACATGTCCTATGTGTAAAAGGCTGATACATTTAGATTCTGTCTATAATTTCACTCACCATAAGCCAAACTTGAAAGCAAATAAGGTAGTGGACTCCTTGGAGGGGGGTTCTCATAGTAAGAACTTATATTCTATTTATAAAGCTTTGCCGAAAGACACAATTGAGGAAATTCAAAACGTTAAGTTAGAAAACTCATATAGCTCAAAAGTAAATATGATTGTTAAACAGGTTTTATATCTAAGAAGCCAAAATCCATCAGTTCAAATTGTTGTCTATAGTCAATGGCAAGATATGCTTTATATATTAGGAACCGCATTTAAAGATGCTGATATTACTTATCTTGGATCTTATGGTACGTTGCGACCTGATACTGGTGTGGGAAGGAAAATGAAGATGTTTGACTCGGTCGAGACTTTTAAAAACCCAGATAATAATATTACATGCTTTCTATTGAATGCTAAAGCACAGGCTAGTGGCTTGACTTTAATTAATGCATCCCATATTTTCCTTTGTGAGCCTTTAGTCAATACATCATTAGAATTGCAAGCTATATCGAGAATCCACAGAATTGGGCAGACAAAACCTACTACAGTATGGATGTTTGCTATCGAAAATACAGTTGAGGAAAGTATTGTAGTTATGTCTACAAATAAGCGACTACAATATATGGAAATGACGCCAGAAGTTCAATCAGGGAAAACTAAAGCGGGCAATGATGCAAATATTCCGATTCCAAATTCGACTGCCTCTTTGATAGCTATATCAGACGAGAAAAGTTTAAGCAAAGCAGAATCCCTAACTTTGATGAATAGTGGAGGTAATGATACTTTGGTCGGAAAAGGTAAAGCGCAAGGGGAATCGGTTACTAATTTTGATTTGTGGGCAGCTTTCTTTAGCGCACGGGCGGGCTCTGGTATTGTTAGAGAATCCTTACAAGAGAATTCTGATAAACTAAATTGATTATTGTGTCTGTTAGTTAGTTAGAACTAATTTAAAGTTTACTTCCTTGCCATATTTTCCTATCGAGCATTTATCAATCATATACCACATCTGTTTACCGATTTATTTATATAAATATACAAACAGTTCTCGAAAATAAATATAAAAATTTTATGCATTTCTTATAATTGCACTGGAAACAATAATTTACATAATATCTAAATATAAGAGTACAGAAAATATATACAAAAACCAGTCAATTGATCTGAGTCCTGTACAAAATATAATAATAAGAAGTACCAAAACACGATTAAAGGAACTTGTAGCAAATTTAATTAGGAAATCGGTGTATAAGGTAATTTGAAAGAAAATCTAAACAATTAATATCATGAAAAACATACTAGCAAATGTAATTAACAACATCGATTTGTCAATTGCAATTTTACTTGCTGAATTCTCATAATATTCAATAGATGAAGCGACTGGTGTGTCTGATATAGTAGCAGAAAAATCAATGAAATCAGCAGAGGAGATTGGGCCCGTGCTGATCGTTGTGGTTATCTCGTTAGATTGTAGGCCATATTCATCATCAAATAAAACTGTAGTGAGTGATGAAGGGAAGTCGATAATAGAAATAGTTGTATGTGACAATTCTTCAATATCGTTTTCATTTTCGTTTTCACCTTCATCTTCAACAGGCACAGCTCCTGTGGCCAGAGTGTAGAACGATGTTCTGGTAGAAGTACTACCATGACCATCTATTGACTCGTAAATGTGTGCAGTTTCTGCAGTAACTTTTCCGTCGGGAAGAGTATTGGTAAATGTTGTTTCATATTCATTGCAAGATTCCGTAACTAAAGCCGTGATAGTTAAAGTTGTAGTAAAAGTATTTCCTTCGGCATCAATTAAAATAATACCTGATTCTGTGGCCTTAATTCCTTCACTATCAGTTGTAGCTAACATGGTGGTATATTCTGAAGCAATTTCAATTGGAAGTAATGATGTTGTAGTGTACATGCTTCCATCGGGATTGGCTGTAACAATAACCACTTCAGTTGCAGTCACAACAGACCCATCAGCACCAGTACTTGTAATAATGCACTCTGTTACTGTGACAGGAATCACAATTGTCTCAGTATAAGTTTTTCCAACAGAATCAGTACTAATTACCAATACTTGAGTGGTACTTGAGACTTGGGTATTGGTTGCGGCGGGAGAAGTAATAAATTCTGGGCCAGTAGCTCTTTCGTTGCTCGATGTACTAATAATACTGAAATCTGGAGAGCCTACTGTTTCTCTTGCTAAGTCATCGACACAGCTATGGATATCACTATAGCTAGCAACAACATCATGTCCACCAGGTTCACCAATAACTTCTAAAAATACTCTATAGCCTGCCGGAATATAAGAATAGTCGAGAACAATCTCATTGCCGTTACAACTTTCCAAAGTGATTGAATCAATGGCTTCAAATGATCTTGGAAAATACCAATCATTAAGATCGTTGGTAATATAAGCCAGCCACGAAGCACAATCAATAGTTCCGTCATCCACTTTCAATGACAATTTACCAAATCCATAAGAAGAGGTACAATTTCCTCCAAGAAGGTAATACGCATTACTATTATCCCATTCCATGGCTCTCGTTGCAAATACAATGTCGTTAGGGTCTTCCGGAGATGCTGGACCTGCACCAAAAGATGCCTCTTTCAGAATTATTCTATTGTCACTAGTTAAGAATGATATTAACTGAACTCCGCTTGATAATTCATTAGCACCAGACATATCAGTTCCTCTGGAAGAACCACCAACATTAAATGTGACAGGAAGATTAACAATACCATCGACGTATGACTCAATATCCTGTATAATTGAGCATTCTAAGTAGGAGTTAATATCATATAGTGATCCTGGGATTGCTGTACATTCTGCATAATTGATATTATCGACTTCTAGGTATACTAGATCAACAACATCACGCTTAGAATTGACATTAGGAGGAGAGTAGAAACCAAAAACATTAGGCATTGTTAATGAAAACTTGTGTCCCATCAAAAGTCCTTCCTGCATTTGCCATCCAATTCTAACATTCCATGATGGCACAAAAGGAAGATCGACATCGATTGGTCCGCCCTGACTCCAACTAATAGACTCGATATGAGTGAATATGATATCAGATAAGCTAGGTACTTCCGTTGAGATTGCCTCTTCGGTATTTGACGACAATACATCCGAGATGGTACTTGTGATTGAGACTGTAGTTGAGTATGTTGAGTCGGTAACGCCGATACTTGGGCTAACACTATTAAATATGGATGTACTTACAACTAAATCTCCGACAGAATCAGTACTAACAACGATTACTCCAGATTCATCAGGCCCAAACGTAGTACTATATGTGGTCACTTCCACGTTACTTGAATCAATAGAACTCAATGAATTGGTACTGACTACTTCTGATGTAATGACCGAGTCATAATTTACATCAGATTCACTAAAAGTACTGATCGTAGAAACATAAGCATCACTATAGCTAAGAATTTCCACGGATGAAGCGACTTCCGAAACCAAAGAACTGGCTAGGTCCGATTCATAATCAACAATTCCCGATGTCGGCTCATACGAACTTGTACCTGAGCTGCTATTATCTGCTGTAGATTCAAATTTTGATTCACTCAACATTGCACTTGATTCAGCAACTTCTGATGTAGTTTCCGATACTACGTCAATTGATCTTGCACTTGATTCATCAACATTTGTTGTAGTTTCACTAATAGAGTCATCGTCACTAGAACTTGGATCAACCTGTTCTGATGTAGATTCAGAATCTATGTCACTTGAAGTGGTACTTGATTCAGCAGCATCTGAGGTAGTCTCAGATTCTATGTCAATTGAGCTTTCACTGGATTCAGCAGCATCTGAGGTAGTCTCAGATTCTATGTCAATTGAGCTTTCACTTGATTCAGCAGCATCTGAGGTAGTTTCACTAATAGAGTCATCGTCACTAGAACTTGGATCAACCTGTTCTGATGTAGATTCAGAATCTATGTCACTTGAAGTGGTACTTGATTCATGACCATCTGTGGTAGTTTCAGATTCTATATCAATTGAGATTGCACTTGATTCAGCAGCATCTGAGGTAACTTCAGATTCTATATCACTTGAGCTTTCACTGGATTCAGCAGCATCTGTAGTAGTTTCAGATTCTATGTCAATTGAGCTTTCACTTGATTCAGCGGCATCTGTAGTAGTTTCAGATTCTACATCACTAGAGATTGCACTTGATTCAGCAGCATCTGTGGTAACTTCAGATTCTATCTCACTTGAGCTTTCACTGGATTCAGCGGCATCTGAGGTAGTCTCAGATTCTATGTCAATTGAGCTTTCACTTGATTCAGCAGCATCTGAGGTAGTTTCACTAATAGAGTCATCGTCACTAGAACTTGGATCAACCTGTTCTGATGTAGATTCAGAATCTATGTCACTTGAAGTGGCACTTGATACATCGACATCTATGGTACTTTCAGATTCTATCTCACTTGAGCTTTCACTGGATTCAGCAGCATCCGTAGTAGTTTCAGATTCTATGTCACTTGAGATTGCACCGGATTCAGTAGCATCTGAGGTAGTCTCAGATTCTATGTCAATTGAGCTTTCACTTGATTCAGCAGCATCTGAGGTAGTTTCACTAATAGAGTCATCGTCACTAGAACTTGGATCAACCTGTTCTGATGTAGATTCAGAATCTATGTCACTTGAAGTGGCACTTGATACATCGACATCTATGGTACTTTCAGATTCTATCTCACTTGAGCTTTCACTGGATTCAGCAGCATCCGTAGTAGTTTCAGATTCTATGTCACTTGAGACTGCACCGGATTCAGTAGCATCTGAGGTAATCTCAGATTCTATGTCAATTGAGCTTTCACTTGATTCAGCGGCATCTGTAGTAGTTTCAGATTCTATATCACTTGAGATTGCACTTGATTCAGTAGCATCTGTAGTAGTCTCAGATTCTATATCACTTGAGATTGCACTTGATTCAGCAGCATCTGTGGTAACTTCAGATTCTATCTCACTTGAGATTGCACTTGATTTAGTAGCATCTGTAGTAGTTTCAGATTCTATATCAATTGAGCTTTCACTTGATTCAGCAGCATCTGAGGTAGTTTCACTAATAGAGTCATCGTCACTAGAACTTGGATCAGCCTGTTCTGATGTAGATTCAGAATCTATGTCACTTGAAGTGGTACTTGATTCGGCAGCATCTGAGGTAGTCTCAGACTCTATGTCACTTGAGCTTTCACTTGATTCAGCAGCATCTGAGGTAGTCTCAGATTCTATGTTAATTGATCTTTCACTTGATTCATCAGCATATGTAGTAGTTTCAGATTCTACGACACTTGAGCTTTCACTGGATTCAGCAGCATCCGTAGTAGTTTCAGATTCTATGTCACTTGAGATTGCACCGGATTCAGCAGCATCTGAGGTAGTCTCAGATTCTATATCAATTGAGTTTTCACTTGATTCAGCAGCATCTGAGGTAGTTTCACTAATAGAGTCATCGTCACTAGAACTTGGATCAACCTGTTCTGATGTAGATTCAGAATCTATGTCACTTGAAGTGGTACTTGATTCATGACCATCTGAGGTAGTTTCACTAATAGAGTCATCGTCACTAGAACTTGGATCAGCCTGTTCTGATGTAGATTCAGAATCTATGTCACTTGAAGTGGTACTTGATTCGGCAGCATCTGAGGTAGTCTCAGACTCTATGTCACTTGAGCTTTCACTTGATTCAGCAGCATCTGAGGTAGTCTCAGATTCTATGTCAATTGATCTTTCACTTGATTCATCAGCATATGTAGTAGTTTCAGATTCTACGACACTTGAGCTTTCACTGGATTCAGCAGCATCCGTAGTAGTTTCAGATTCTATGTCACTTGAGATTGCACCGGATTCAGCAGCATCTGAGGTAGTCTCAGATTCTATGTCAATTGATCTTTCACTTGATTCATCAGCATATGTAGTAGTTTCAGATTCTACGACACTTGAGCTTTCACTGGATTCAGCAGCATCCGTAGTAGTTTCAGATTCTATGTCACTTGAGATTGCACCGGATTCAGCAGCATCTGAGGTAGTCTCAGACTCTATGTCACTTGAGCTTTCACTGGATTCAGCAGCATCCGTAGTAGTTTCAGATTCTATGTCACTTGAGATTGCACCGGATTCAGCAGCATCTGAGGTAGTCTCAGATTCTATATCAATTGAGTTTTCACTTGATTCAGCAGCATCTGAGGTAGTTTCACTAATAGAGTCATCGTCACTAGAACTTGGATCAACCTGTTCTGATGTAGATTCAGAATCTATGTCACTTGAAGTGGCACTTGATACATCGACATCTATGGTACTTTCAGATTCTATATCACTTGAGATTGCACTTGATTCAGTAGCATCTGTAGTAGTCTCAGATTCTATGTCAATTGAGCTTTCAGTTGATTCAGCAGCATCTGAGGTAGTCTCAGATTCTATGTCAATTGAGCTTTCACTTGATTCAGCAGCATCTGAGGTAGTTTCACTAATAGAGTCATCGTCACTAGAACTTGGATCAACCTGTTCTGATGTAGATTCAGAATCTATGTCACTTGAGGTGGCACTTGATACATCGACATCTATGGTACTTTCAGATTCTATCTCACTTGAGCTTTCACTTGATTCAGCAGCATCTGAGGTAGTCTCAGATTCTATGTCAATTGAGCTTTCACTTGATTCAGCGGCATCTGTAGTAGTTTCAGATTCTATGTCACTTGAGCTTTCACTGGATTCAGCAGCATCCGTAGTAGTTTCAGATTCTATGTCACTTGAGCTTTCACTGGATTCAGCAGCATCTGAGGTAGTCTCAGATTCTATATCAATTGAGTTTTCACTTGATTCAGCAGCATCTGAGGTAGTTTCACTAATAGAGTCATCGTCACTAGAACTTGGATCAACCTGTTCTGATGTAGATTCAGAATCTATGTCACTTGAAGTGGCACTTGATACATCGACATCTATGGTACTTTCAGATTCTATCTCACTTGAGCTTTCACTGGATTCAGCAGCATCCGTAGTAGTTTCAGACTCTATGTCACTTGAGATTGCACCGGATTCAGCAGCATCTGAGGTAGTCTCAGATTCTATGTCAATTGAGCTTTCACTTGATTCAGCAGCATCCGTAGTAGTTTCAGATTCTATGTCAATTGAGCTTTCACTTGATTCAGCAGCATCTGAGGTAGTCTCAGATTCTATGTCAATTGAGCTTTCACTTGATTCAGCGGCATCTGTAGTAGTTTCAGATTCTATGTCACTTGAGCTTTCACTTGATTCAGCAGCATCTGTAGTAGTTTCAGATTCTATGTCAATTGAGCTTTCACTTGATTCAGCGGCATCTGTAGTAGTTTCAGATTGTATGTCAATTGAGTTTTCACTTGATTCAGCAGCATCTGAGGTAGTTTCACTAATAGAGTCATCGTCACTAGAACTTGGATCAACCTGTTCTGATGTAGATTCAGAATCTATGTCGCTTGAAGTTGTAGTTGGTTCAACGGGATCTGTTGCAGTTTTGCTTACTGAATTATCGTAAGTAGAACTTGGATCAATCTGTTCTGATGATAGGTCTGATTCTATATCACTTGTTGAGCTAAGTTCAACCAGCTCTGATGTTGATTCACTATTTGTTACTGTTAAAGTTTCTGTATCTGACGGTACTAAAGTCAGGATTATAGACATCATCTCATACAATTCACCTGACACGGTTGTAAGCATAACATCACCGACCACTGTAGCATGAGATCCATCTGAAAGAGTAGTAGTAAATGTTATTATAGTGCATGGAATGCTGACTACTGTGTATGAAACTAAAATTTCCCCATCTGGTTGAGTTGTCATATATGCATGTTCAACAGATGTACAAACCAAACCATTATCGAGTGTAGTCTCATAAAAATATGTGCCACCTGGAGTGAGTGGACCTTGCGAAGAGGTAGAATGAGTTAATTCAGGAGCAACAGTAGATGTGGCTTCAGGCCAGTCTATAGAAGGATCCAGATCACTTTCTCCATCACTTATGGTCAGAATAATGTGAGTACCTGTTGAAACTGGATCAAACACCATATCTTCTCTGACTGTAAGATATATGTCACCAACAAGAGTGGCTATGGAACCATCTGAATATGTAGTTGTAAAGGTAATTGTCTCACAAGGAATGCTATACACCGAGTAAGAGACTCCAAGATAACCTCCAGGAAGTGTTGTCAAATACGCGTGTTGAGTAGCTGTACAAACCATACCATTTTCAAGAGTAGTTTCATGATAATAAGTTCCAATTGGAGTCTCTGGTGGTTCTGATGGGCTAGGTTCAATTTCGGAACTAGAATATGTTTCTTCTATATCTGTACTAGGTGCAATTTCGGAATTAAGATATGTTTCTTTTATATCTGTACTAGATGCAATTTCGGAACTAAGATATGGTTCTTCTATATTTGTGCTGGGTGCAATTCCGGAACTAGGATATGTTTCTTCTATATTTGTTGTGCTAAGTACAATTTCAGAACTAGGAATAACTTCAGGATCAATTGCGCTAGATTCAATTTCGGAACTAGGATCTGCTACCTGTGTTGGTGAAGTAAAAGGAAATGTAGTAGTATAAATGATCATGTTACCAGCACCATCAGAGGTCATTATTAATTGACCTGTTAGCGTTGCTACATAATCATCTGGAAATGTAGTTGTTATGAGCATTGTATCACAATTGACTTCTATGGAAGTAGAAGTAGATTCAGAACCATCTGATAAAGTAGAAACAGCATCAAACTCTATGGCAGTACAAGCCACACCATTGGGAAGGGTTGTTATTCGAGTTGTGTTATCAGCATTGGTGGTGACAACAATAAATAAAAATATAGTAGTGAAAATTGATTTTAAGATTCGCATCTTTTAAATTTTTCTGTCTTTTCAGTACTAAATGGAAAATGTTTGGTAAATTAGATATAGTTTATAAACATCAGTATAATAATATTGTCGTAGACATTATAATTTTAAGAGTATAATGGGATACTATTTATAGGATTATTACTCGATTGTAAAAGTAGAGATGATTATAATTGAACGAATGACAATAGTGGTCAATCATCATTCAACTTTTGTAACCTATTATCGCTATGATCTCAGTAAACATAGATTTAGCAATCATAGGTTCAATTAGGTTACTCAGGATGGATGTTATGCTCGACCCTGCGCAGTAACAAAGACAAATATGATCTGCAAATTCAAAGTATAACTATTTGTCATAATTGGTGCTCATGCAGTTGATACTTATCTCGCTTACTGAGGATTATTTTTTTGATTTTATTATTTTATGCACGCTACCAACCTAAACTTATGAGGCCATTTTTTTTATTCTTTGGGGTAAGTCATCGATAGTTCCCGTTCTCGCACATATTGTTTCTAACTAGCATTTGTACTTCAACTTGAACCATATTATAAAGCTAAGGTTATGATATATCTTATTATAGATTCAACGACTGAGATGCCGAATAGAAGTTAAACGCTTCTCATTATAAGATATTTCTCACTCATCGTCTGGTAGTTTTCATTATTCTTTGGTGTACGCTACCAATTAATCATGCCATATTCCCTACATTAAAAAGAAAACACTATTTTTAATATGCATGAAGCACGAATCCCTATATATACCATTAATGCACAAATTTAATAGAAATTAATTAACAACTAAGCCTAATCAATTTTGCCATTGCAATTCACTAATTAAGAATTGCCAATAGGAAACATTCATCGACTCTGGAATTTTTTTTGAGTATTCAAATCTCTGTGGTCATTTTATCAACCATTTAGCAGCAGGGTCATAATGATTGAAAGAGAAAGTAATCATAAATTTCTGAAGAGAAAAACTCAAGTAAGCAAAACCATAAATTTCGTAACATATTGATCAAACAACTATAAATAGTAAACATTAATTCACGGAAAGGTTATGAACTACGGATTAATAATTGTACATTATTCCCATATAATAAAATTTTAATTCGCATTAATATACGAAAAAATAAAAAGAAATTATACCATCATCTCCGATGAGACATAGGATAAATATGATATATTTACGTTCATTTATTTGGATACTAAAGAAGAAAATAATAACTAAAAAGAAATTTGAATCCACCCCCCCCCCCAGTATACGCGGTGTATTTATTATATCTAATAATTTTGGTATATTATTTTAAATGCATTCTGGTGCATAATGTACTAATATGATATCTTACATTTAATGCATTTGCGCATATCTAATCCCTTAATATTCAAGCTTTTTCTTTTAAAAGAAATAGTGCGGTCAGCTAGATCGGCAACTAAAAAAACCCCCATCAATGAGGTAAACAGTTATTTAAAATGGAATCTTGGCATTTTTGGTTCAAAATTTTAGGTTATGAAGAATTACTCAAAAGCCGAAATAATGCTTGTATAAGCTGTCAATAAATAAAACACCGAAAATCCAGTGACTTAACCGCCAAGTATGATTGGTCCATCAGCAAATTTTCAAAGTAATTGAAAATGACGCTATTTGATCAACTAGATTAAAAAAAAAATCAGATGACTGGAAGTATGCAGCTTAAGTTTATCAATAGAGTTAAATGAGTAAATCGATTAGCAGGTCTGCGCTTGCAGGTCTGTAGTCGCAGGCTTCTGACATCACTAAACCGGCGAATTGTTTTTATATATTGTTGATAAAAATGTTACATTGTTATTGCTGTCAAGACGATAAAAGAACATTTATTATTGTTCGTAGTTGACTAGTAAATTATTATTAAAGGTCATTTAAATTTTTTTTGAACAAACTTAAACATACATTAAATATTCTATATACTAAACACAAAAATAACTACTCTCATCTGTACCTTGATAAATTCTACCACTTTCAACTAACTCTTGACAAAATTTATGAGCGTCCGCAGTAGTAAACCCTAATTTTTGTGAAATAAATGGCTCTGTAACCCCAGTTGGCATAGAAGCAGAGTTTTCTTTAACAAAATTATAAATAGCATCAACGGGTGAAGCATGGGCATCATTATCTGTTACAAATAATCCAGTAGCTTGAGAAGACTTTACACTATTAGCGGTAGTAATACCTTGAGCCTTTAAATGGGTTTCTATAGCACTTAAATGATGATATAACACTTGATTATGATCCACAATAGGATAAACAACGGAATTTTGAACTGTCTTTCTATTGTTAAAACTCTTTAAAGCACCACTTACAAACACATATTTTCCTAATTCTTTATTATATTTTTCAAGTTCTTCTGTAGTACTAGTAGTGGCATCTGTCCATTTCTTAACATCGATGGTTCCAGTACCATCTTCCACCTTTAAAACTATACCAGAGGTTTGATCATCAATTCTTCTTATAATTCCAACGAAAGATACCATATTCAATTCAATTTGGTTTATTTTGAAATCCCCATCTGGTACATCTTGTTCAGCATCATTTATTTGTTTGATAGTTACGGGAGTTAAACTTGTTCTACTCTGATGTTTTTCAGCAATCCCATTATCCGTGCTAAATCCACCAGCATTTCCATCGGTGTTAAACCCACCATCGGTGTATCCACCATAGTTTCCATAATCTGATGACATCTTCAACCTCTTGATTAATACGTGTTAGATAATTAAATGTACCGCGTTCTTGTTTAGTTTTATATTTTGATTTGTCTTTTTTAAATTTGTTTAGACGCGAATATTTTTGTTCAACAAAAATTTAACTACTACAAATTACTAGTGATTTAATGAAAGAATTCGAATTTAGTCTATCACATCATCATCATTACTTATAAAAGCTCTTACTCTAAGTCTATTTAAACTTCAGGGGGATAGTATATGATTTGATAAATTTTTAATTATACTTATTGCCTAACAAATGTAAAATTACTTGACAATTAGTTTCGTAGGAATATCAACTACATAGGCTCTAACTGCATTCTGAATCTACTTATTAACAAGAACGTAGAGAAACAACAATTATACAGCTTAATATAATCTAACAGTACATAGTCTTACCTTTCATAATGTTCATAATTGATTTCAGTTAATACGCGTATTTTGCTAAAACACCATTTGATATGCCGGGTAAAATTTTCGCAACAGTAAATAATCATGTACCATTAAGTCTAAAGATCAATTACATTTTCTAACACCATAGGAATATGCATAAAGAAATCGTGGAAGCTGATATTAATGCCACTATGAGTAGAGCGTCTGATTCTGTGATTGATCTAAAAGATGGTAGCAGGCTGATCAAATCACTAAGCTCTGATGGATTCCCATACTTCACTGAAAAGACTAATGATGATACAGAAGAAATTCACTCCACTACTACAGCTGCATTACTTAGATATAATTCCTTAGTTTCAGGAGATAATGAAACAGAATCGTTTTCTGAAACTGAATCAGGATCTCAAAATAAAGAGTATCTCAATGACGTTAAACTAGTCCAATATGATCCAAGTGAAAAACCTCAAAGGTTAGGCAGACCACGGAAACATTTGGGTTCTAAATCTATGATAGTAGAGGATTCTTCTTCCGATAATTACAACCAATCAATTATTTCAAAATTTCGGCTTGATTCTAAACCATTAGAAGGACCAGGCTCAAGAGGAGGAATAAAATCGAGAATAAGTCCTAAGGGTAAAGTTACATCACTGATACTAAGGAAAAGAAAGCAACAATCAGTACTTAGTTTTAGCGTTGATGAATCTAAGAACGTCAAGCCTAATAAAACATCAACTGTACCTTTGAATGAAGGATCTGATACTCCCAAAGATATATTAGATGATTTACATCCAAAATCAGATAAATCTAAAAGTCCAAATACAGATCCTATAATTGAAATCCCAAGGGTGGCGGGGTCAGCTAATATGGAGAAGAAAGCAAGAACGTATAAACGCAGGGCCATATCAAATATAAATACAATGAAAACAAGTAGAACCACTTTTGTTAACAATAGAAACAAAAATTCCAGACAGTTACCAGGTCCCTTGATATCTTTAAATTATGCTTTATACGATGAAAATGCTTTACAGGCCCAACAGAATGAAAAAGCTGCGGCTGAGAAAATTGCCTTAGGGTATCCTGTAAAGGCCTCTAGGATTGCAAGTCATATTGTTTTCATAATATCATTCTTAAACAAATTTAAGTCCTTATTGGAGGTCAACGGTATCGGACCACAAACCATAGAAAGAGGTTTAGGCTTAACCTCTCAAGAAGATGATTCGTCACCTAATTCAGATTCCATTTCTATTGAGATGAATTACCTATTCCTAAAACTTATGGGATTAATTCTTAATAGAAAAAAGACAATAACATCACATTCCAAGGCAATCGTGGAGCTAAAATCATTGGTTTCATCTTTAGGTTTACCTAAAGAATGGAAGAAACAACCAAATGATAAAGCTAAAGAGAATGAACCGTTTTCAGAGCCAGTCGATTTACAAAAGCCATACATTCATTACGATTCTACTTTCGACTCTGATGAAGAGAGTATTAGGTACAACCCATTCGTTGATCCCGAATTTGAATCCAAAGGACTAAGCGGTATACATGATCCATTTGACAGACTTATATTGTTAAAGACACTTGTTCAATGGACACTTACATCTTCCAATGCTGTTAAATTGTTCATTTCCAATAGTGTGTTGAAGCAAGATGTACCTGGTGACAAGGACACTTACTATGCTTCCAGATCAATTTTAAAAGGCTTTAAAAACACCGAAGTAACTAAGAAGGAAGCAGAAGCCAAACTTGCCAAAAGAAAATCATCAGATGATGATACAAAGTATGTTGATCCAACTTCTAATCCTCTTGATCATACTATGAATATTAGAATTTTAGAAGAAATATGCGGAGATATTGGATTTCAGGTAGGCAGATTTTACTTATGCCGTATGGCTGACGAATCAAATGGTGGTTTAGCATCAATTAAAAAAATGAGGACTGCGTGGTCTGGAAATGTGATGTCAAGCCATTTACCATCCGAGTTTAAAATATATGTTCAAGATGTGTATCGAACGTTAGTTGAATGTCTTGCAAATGCGGGTATTGAATTTGATGAAAGTGGAGAAGAAGTCAAGAGTAGCTCGCAAAATTCTAATGTTGATGATTTATGGTACGAAGTTGCCAGTAATGGTGCAGAGCTTTCTACGTTTGTTGAGTATTTAGCAAAACGCTTGGGAATCGACTCTCACGTACGTGATGATGATTCTATTCCTATGACAAGTATGATCTATAAACCAACGTTGTATTTATATGAATACTTTGCTGCTATGTTGCCATTAATTATTAAACAGGAGACCATGCCTCCTGAAACACAAATTGGTGACAAGAGAAGTTCAAGAAAGCAAACAATTAATTACAGTGATAAAGCTGCTAGCCGTTTGTATGAAGAATACATGGAAACTGATGAATTTGTGGAAGGAAATGGAGATGAAGATGATGACTACGAAGAAAGTGATCTTGAGGAAGTAGAACAAATGGATAAAGAAGAAGATGTGGACTACATAGATTAATTGTATAACTAAAATTTTATTATAGTCAATATATAATATAATACAGCAGAGAACATAATGTAATCAAAATCTACTAGATCCAAGTAAAAGATCAATTTTTTCCTTAATGAGGGACTCATTCTCAACAAAATAATTAGCACGTCTAACTACCTCTTCATCATAACCTTCATCACTCTTTAAAGCCTTTAAGGTTTCCGATTGACTTTCAAGCCATTTTTCAATAAATTGAACTGGGTCTTCACTTAACTCGCTATAAAATGCTTCCCTTGCGTTGGCATTTTGTAATGCAACAACTCCTAAAGAAATTCTTGAATTTAATAATTGGATTGTATTATCAGCTTTTGTTAAATTTTCAAAAGCAACTTTATTAAGATCAAGGAATTCTTTCTGTATCTTCGAAAGGTTGAGCGGTAATTCTATTGGTATATCAATTACTACTTCACCTAGAGTAGTTGATTTTCTGGTGTTGACTTCATAATCGATAATTATTGGTTCACGAGGTTTGAAATGTGGTTGTAATAACTTATAAAGTTCGGAGAACTTAAAAGTTTTAACATTTAAAAGGCTTTGTAAAACTTCATCTGCTTGAACAACAGTTAAGTCATCATCATTATCATCTTGATTTGCAGTTTCTGGTAAAACACGATTTGTAGCAACTGTATCAACTCTTGTAAGCGCGTCAGTTTTTCTAAATAAGCCTTTATATAAGACATATTGCCAAATTGAATATACCAATTCTTGTTGGGTTGATTCTTGTTTACCAGTAAATTGAGCCATTTCATCACTAACCTTATAGGTAGCTGAATGGCTTTTGGCTAGCAAAGCTATCTTTGCTTTTATATTGAAGATACCATTTCGTTTGATGTCAATCCCATCAAAACTATTTGAACTTTTTTGATTAAAGTCATTACTATCACTTCTCCACTCTATAATATTCGATTGAGAATTTTGAAAAGCAGGATAGTCATCATTTGGAATCAAATCAATAGAGATAGCACTCAAGAAAGAACTGAATTTATCCTCGATGTTATTGTCTTTGGATTCACTTAAAAATCTACCTTCAACTCTTAAAGTCCAAGTAGCTTCTGATGAAGTAGGATCTGGTATTTGAAGACCTTGCTCTTGAAGTAGTTGCTTTTGCCAGGGCTGGTTTTCAGTTATGTTATATATGAAGACTCTCAAGATACCTGTTTCTCCTTTGAAATTTGAAGGATGGATTGACTTCTGTTGTGTGGCCTGAAAGTCTAAAGCTTTCCTAGAGATTAACAAGTCTACTTTTCTTTCAGCTTCTTTCAATTTCTTATAAAGATCTAGATTTGGGATTCTATGATATAACGCTGGAGGAATCGTGGAATCGGTTGGGGTATAAGAAATGGCAGGTGCGCCAACCGTATTTGGACGTGATTTATTCACCACTGCAGGTCCATGTTGTGCTGGAATTGGAGGCATGATTGGTTTTCTTGTAACAGTTCTATCAATGATAACTTGTTTATATTTCAATAGTTCAATTTTGCTGGTGAAGAAAATTGAAAATAACTTTTTTGCGAGAGGTGAGTAGACAAAAATGTCGTATCTCGTACAACTAAAATGTGAACATAAAAAATGTCCCCCCAGATTTGGTGACATTTGCAAAATCGGGTGCTTCCTCTATAACTACTAATTATATATTTATACCCCATCCAATAACTATTTTGGATTATCTTTCCTATTAAGATGCCTGTACAAGAAGGTGACATGGAATTCTCAAAGGGGACGAAGGTCCAGAAAAGGAAAGTGAAGACTTCAGCCACTTCTGGTAATACGGGTGGGTCATCGACCAATAGTTTGATCCACCAGGCCTCTCAATTAAAGAATACACGTATGAATCAAATGAGGAAACGAAAACGAGATCTATTAACTAGGATTAATTATACTCATACTTTCACTGTGGTAGTACTTCCATTGTTAATATTCGGTTATATTTATAAATACTCATTGCCCATTATACCCGAAAATCAGGACACTTTATACTTTTCATGTATATATTTCAATTTTACAATTCTAGCATTTAATTCGGGATATCATAAATATTTTGCTCATAATTCTTTTAAAATACGTTATAAATTCTTATTATATTACTTTGCAGTGTTTGGAAGTAGTATAGGTTTGGGATCAATTAGATGGTGGGCATCTTTACATAGAGCGCATCATCATTTTACTGATGACACTGAAAGAGATCCATATCTGATCAAACGAGGTTTTGCATGGGCACATTGGGGTTGGTTGATTAAGAAACCAAAAATTGTTGCCTTTCATCAAGATTTTATGGAACAGGAATTCCCAGTATCTTTAAAGGTTGTTAATGAAGTCGAAGAAGATGGGTTTGAATATAGTCCTCATGATACCAATGAAAATGATTTGGATGCTATAGATTTCTTGAAATGGCAAGAGAATTCATATTTTTCTAATTTCATTCTCACAACTTTCATCATTCCAGCATTTGTTACGGCGTTCATTTGCAAAGATACTTTAACTAATGGGATTATATATCCTGGTTTGTTAAGAATGTTTTTATGTCAGCAATCATTATTGGCAACTGAATCGATAGGCCATTTAAAAAACATTCAAGTAAGTATCCCTACTCAACCATTTAATGATAAAAACTCATCTCAAAACTGCAACAACCCATTGGTTTCATTATTAACATATGGTCAAAGTTATCAAAATTATCATCATGAGTTTCCTCATGATTATAGATCAACATCATCCTTTTTTGCCTTTGATCCTACAAAATGGTTTATCTGGACTTTAGATAAAGTAGGAATTGTCGAAGAGTTAAGTGTCACTCCAGATAACTTAATTGACCAACTTAAAATTCAACAGCAACAGGAGGTTCTTAATAGAATGAGAAGTCAATTAAATTGGGGAACTCCAATTTCAAAATTGCCACTGATTACTCCAAAGGATTTCAAACGTATAATAGGTTCATCAACTAATAAAGACAGAATTTATATAATTATCCAAAATATAATTCATGATATTACACCATTTATGGAACAACATCCTGGTGGGGTACCATTATTAAAAGCTTCTCATGGTAAAGATGCAACCAAAGCGTTCTTTGGTGGAGTCTACGGTCATCTGACAGCAGCTCAGAATCTTTTAGCCACAATGAGAATTGGGGTTTTAGATGATGGAAATGATGAAGAAGTTTGGGGGAGAGTTGTACGTGAAGAAGGTGAGGTAGAAGAAGCTGATTCGGGTCGTTTACGTAAGCTGTATAGCACTGCTGAAGCAGCTTAAACTTGTTTATAAATGGGTAAATACATAATAATAATAATATATATAATGACTTAACTATATGCTCTGCGAAAATAAGTGATTGTGACTAAATTGAAAAAAAAAAAAGCTTTGCTTAACAAGAAAAACTTTAAATATGATAAATTTCTCTACCATTAGTATTGAATTGAAAGTATCATTTCAGTATCAAACATAAGATGAGCATTTCGCTGAAGATATTCCAGGTAAGAGACTATAGAGGGGCAACCATAGAAGATCTTGATGTCAGACCTGCTATATCCATAAATCCTACCACACCAATAGAAGATGCTATAGAAATCTCATTTGAACATGAATTTGACTTCTTACCAGTTATTCATGAATCTAATAGAAAGTTATTAGGGGTATTGAATGTACAAGAGTTAAAAGATAAGGCTGAGACAAAAAATAATGGTTTAAACCCAATTACAAAGAATTATATGCTATGGTTTAATCAAAAGGCTCGTCAAAACTATGATTTAGAGCATCAAGAGAATAGTGAACCAAAAAAGACTCCAGTTTACTCAACAATCTATAAACCAGGTGGAACTAAAAAATACCTGGTATTAACCCCTTTGACACCTTTGGAAGATTTAGCTGCTTTTTTTAATTCTGGAAATTATTTTGCTATTATAACTAATGGAAGAGGTGATTTTGTGTATGGAGTAGCCACACCTGAAGATTTAACGAAATTCGAGACTTCAAGACCCAAATTATAATACGAATATATTATATTTAAAAATTCTTACGTAAAAAGACAAATATAGACTATACTTATTGAGGAATTTCAATAACTAATTTACCTGTAGTTGCTCCACTCTCAAGATCTTTTGCAGCCTGTGAGTAATCTTTTAAAGGATAAACTTTGGAAATTTCAAATTTAAGTTTACCTGAATCTAATTCTTCACGTAAGATAGTAGAGTAATGTTTCCATTCACTTTCCTCGGTAATATAACCAAACACTTGAGGTCTGAGAAGAGTGATGTTTTTAGCGCTTAACCTGTTAATGGCAAATGGAGGGACAACACCAGATGCATTACCAAAACTGACCAAAGTACCCTTTCTGGCAAGACTTTCAAATGAACTTTCAAATGAACTTTTACCAACGGAATTAAAAGAAGCAGCAACACCCTTTCCTCCGGTGATGTCTTTGACCCTGGCTACTACATCCTCAGTCTTATAGTTAATCACATATTCAGCTCCTAACTCTTTAGCTTTCTCTAACTTATCTGTGGTTGAAGCAATAGCAATCACTTTGGCTCCTCTTTGTGAAGCCAATTGAACTAAAATACTACCAACACCTCCTGCTGCAGCCCAAACTAAAATAAATTCGTCCTTTTTCACTTCATGAGCTTCAGTAATGAATGTTAATGCGGTCAAAGATTGTAATAAAGCTCCACCATAAATCTTAAAATCAGATTCAGAAGCCTCATTCTTCAATTTTAAAATTTGAATATAATCTTCTGGAAGTTTAACATGTTGAGCAAATGCATTGGGAGACATATAAGCCACATTATCACCAACCTTATACTTGGTAACAGCGTCACCCACAGCAGTTACAACTCCACTTCCTTCACGACCAAAAATATGGGGTTTATTGGCAGAAGGGTATACACCCATTCTAAAGTAACCATCGATGAAATTAACACCAGCGTATTTATTTTTAATAATTATATCAGTGGGAGAAGTGATTTGAGGTGTTTCAACTTCTAAAGTTTTGATAACATCATATGAACCAGTAGTCTCAAATCCGGAGACAAGGTGGGTTTTTGGAATTGTGGACATTTTAAAAGTTTGTTGAATAGCAATTAATCTGTTCAATGATGTTCTAGTGTTTTTCAATGGATTGAGAAATGAAAATGACATGTATACTTATCAATTGACCTTGAAATATATAACAATTGTTGGGCCTAGTACAAAATAAGGGGAACTGAAAAACTGTCAATTTTTCGGTACGTATGCTCGGAATGATAGTATCTTACTAATCATTTTTGACAGCAATAAGAGGATTTAAGTTAAAAAAAAAACAGGCTATATTTCGGTATACATTATAAGTCAATCTATAACAAACTATGATACACTATCTATTGGATCCTGTTTTAGGTTTGTGTACTTTATTAATTTTCTTCTTAGGCTTTGATCCTGTAACCTTATTCGTTTTAGCACTTTCCGCTAATAATCTTTCCACTTTATCACCATGTCGCACTTTACTATGTTGACCTGTGATTGGATCTTGTTTGAAAGCATAAGAAACATGAATCTTGGAGTTCATTAGAATTGCTCCGTTCATCTTCTCGATCACATAGTCAGAGACTTTGAAATCATCGAATGTTATGAAAGCGTAACCCTTTGATTCTCCTGTATCAACATCTCTCATTAGCAATGGGTTCCGTATAAGGGTACCAAATTTAGCAAATGTTTCCTTTAGGTACTGTTCATCGATAAGTGGATTGAGATTATTGATAAATAATTGAGCTCCCACATCAATATAGTTGTTATTTATTAGTTCTTGTGTTGTAACACCTATCTGTTGATCTTTACCAGTAAAGTTGGCTTTTGGAGCCTCTGTCTTCTTTAGCTTTAAAGCTTTCCCATATAGTCTGATTCCTCTCAATATATTTAACACATAGTCAGCTTCTTCTATACTATTGAATTCAACAAAACCAAACCCTTGATGTGTCTTTAGGATTCTATCCTTTGGCATATTCAATGATCGCACTGGTGCAAATTGAATAAACAATTCAAACATCACTAGCTCTGTAATCTGAGGATCTAGATTCCCAAAATATAATGAAGCTCTGGCATTCCTATCAGTTTCTGCCAATCTCCTAAATACATTTGCCATTATTATTGATCACTTATAACAATGTTGTTAATAGAATCAAATCCATCTTACATCTCATTAAAAAATTAACTCTATGTTTATTATATGCCGGAATTTGATTGCAAATCTAATCTATTTACTTACCTATTTACAAATGAAGTACACAATCTTAATCCTGTGCTGAGGTTTCATTAAATGTTGAATGAACGGGTTCTTTGGAAGACGATTCTTCTGGAGCTCCGTCATCATCGTCATCGCTTTCCTCTGCAGAACTACTTTCTTCATCATCAGAGTCACTGTCTGAATCCAGATCTGCATCTGAATCTGAAGTAGACAGAGAATCATCGTCTGCATCCAAATCAGAGCCTGGATGAACAGCTGAATCCCCAGATTCTTTCTGAGCATCATCTGTTAGCTTTGATTCGGAAATTACAGAGTCTATGTCTTGGGCTTGAATGATATAATCTTTAATAGCATCTTGTGAAGTTGAAATATAGAACGTTGGATATTCTAATACCATCCTATCTTGTAATGTATCAGCTATGGTTTTGGTTTTATCTACTTCAAACATTGAATACTTTGTATTCTTGAAATTAATAACATTATCAAAGTAGAAGAAAAGTTGATCTTTTTCAATGTTATTTTCAGCATCATTTTTATTATTGATGATATTCATTGGAAGAGCTTCCAGTATGATCAAGTGTTCTTTAAGTCTATAACTAAGGAATTTGGCTTTTTCTTCTCCGTCATTTCCCAATAATATCCATTCCACTGTCCAGGTAAATGAACCCAGTTTTTTATCATAACCTGTCTTATTCGAATTTGATCTACTCATCCCTGGCGGTAATTGAATGACTAAAGTATTTTGTCTCTTTGTAGTATAGTTTTGATTCATATGGGGAAAATATTTCTCTATTATGGCAATCCTTTTATCTGATTGTTCTGCAATAGTTGACTTAAACCGTTTATTCTTAGCTAAATTCGGATTATTGAATTTCCTTTTAAATACATTCTTTGCATTTGATCTAGCATCATCTTTACCAACTTGAATCCTTCGATCTAAGTTCAATAAAAAGTTATAATCCCTATTTAAATGAGTTGTATCCGATGATAGTTCTTTTCTAGGAACAAATTTTGTATGATCTGCTATTCCACTACACTCAGTTTGCTTCTTATGCCTTTTAACACACTCTATGCTGCATGTCTTAGACCCACAGGCTGGACACTTGTACTTATACGTATTTATATGACATATAGAACATAGTTGGTCCATGTTGTTTCTGTTATAAGTAAAATATCAAAATTTATTTAGGTACTCAATTTACTCAAATCCGTGTAAATTTTTATGTTCACAAAAAAATTTATATATTGTGATGAAAAATTATTTTTGTTCATATTAACTGATTAAGTTGTGAATAACGATTGTTAAAAAGGAAACAAAAGAATCATGTTTACCAATAGAATAGTTCAAAGATCCAGTATACCAAGCCTTAGATTGGTTAGATATCGTCATAAAGTATCTGTTGTTACCGTCAATGATAAGGTTACAGTTCAATTATTAAAGAATGTCAAAGACATAGGAATCAAAGGTGAAGTAATCAGAGTGAAAGCAGCATACATGAGAAATTTCTTACATCACGACAATAAAGCAGCATATATAACAAAAACAGAAGGTCCTCGTATTCCTGTGGTAGAAAAACCAGTTGTTGTTGCTGCCCCTGAAATAAAGAAAGAAGAAACAAAGAAGGTTCTTACTCCACAAAAGAAATCAGCAGAAGCCATGTCTTTGGATGAATTATCCAAGTTATTCAATACTATGCGTACTAGAAAGGCAAGAACTACTTCTCAAGGTGAAGCTATTACCGTTTCAGCAACCGAAGATGAGAGTAATATAACATTCAGTTTATCAGATTTAGATGAATTGATTCCAAGCACTTACACCATCAAAGAAACCAATTTCCCTATAACAAAGACTCGTGTGTCATCATTAATTTTCAATTTATCAGGTGATAAAGTACCAGAATCAAGCATTTCTTTTGAAAAGAGTACTACTTCTATTGATGAAATAGCTGAAACTGGTGATTATAACTTGATCATTTCATCTCCAATTGAAAAATCTTCAATTATCAAAACCTTAAAGGTCCAATAAGACCCACTTGTAAATATAACATATTATATATATAAATAACTTTGCATTATGTACATACCGTTTTTTTTAGTCAGTATCATTATTTATACATTTTAATAAAGAATATTCGATTTAAATTTTTTTCTTCTTTTTTGTGCACAAGATCTTTGTTTTATAAGCAATCTTATCATTTATCATATATTTATATTACTATTAATAATGGCAGTCGATCTCCGATATAGTGCTGCTAAGACGTCGAAGATAACTAAACGACTATTTAACACGTCTCCGATTAAGAAAATCCAACAGGATTTAAAAAGAAAATTACCATCACAAGTTAAATATACTCAAAACTTAGCCAAAACTAATAATGCTAAAAAGACAGAAGAAAGATTGGTTCCTCTGGATTATAATGTACAACTTGATTATCAACTATCTGAAAAGGAAGATATAATGGTTGCTATTGAAACCATAAGCTCAAATCTTTGGTCAGAATCCAGTACCTTGCATACCAAATATTATGGGTTGGTTGATAAAAGAGATCGAGATATGGAATCCTTGGTGTTTCTGTTGAAAGGATTATCAATGAAAGCGAAAGCGGAAGCAATGAAGTTCAGAACTAATCAATTTCCCAAAGATATGGTGACTACCACCCAATTATATACCGTTTATGAACATCAAGGAAATACATTTGTGGATCGAAAATTAGAAATAAATATAAGGAATGGGAATTTAAGAAAATTCGTTATAACAAATGCATCTCCAGTCATTCTGAGAACTGTACAAAAGTTCCAATTAGGGAAAGTCACTTATGGTCATGAGAATATGGAAGTTATTATACCAGCAAAGTCATATGAAAGTATGATTAAAGATAAGATTAAAGCTTTGGAGTTGGATATATCCAACGCGACAGAGAAGAATCCGACCTTAGAGTTTGAACTCTCAGCATTAAAGAAATTCCATACTTTTGTAATGGCAAATCCAACAGCTCTATATGTGGATCTTAATGAAATGACATATGAAGAGTTATCATCATTAATCGGATATGGTTTTGTTACCTTAACCTCAAATCATTTAAATGAGATTGAATCGCATCAGTTCTCAATATCATATCCTGCTTGTGGTGTCTTTTTGAAACTTATTAATGCAGGCAGAGTTTGGTTAGTTAAAGCTATGGCAAAAGCTAGTTATAAAGAAAGTCTTGAAGAAAATCTCTTCAAGAAATGGGAAGGTATGACTTTAAATGGAGAATCTAAAATGAATAATTTTCGAGCTCCATTCTATGGGTATGATTTAAATTGGGTTTTAGCAGATGCTTTAGGTTCAGGTTTAATAGAAGTATTTAATACACCTGTTGGAAGAGGATGGAAATTGACAGGAAAAGCTTGAAAGCATGCTTTTAAGTTATGTTTATTATGTATATAAAAATTTTTGGGATAGAAAGAAATATAGAAAATATTTTTACAATACTATGTATGAGGGTAAGATTTTGAGTATTTGATTTGGATTAAGCTCTCATCTTCTTTTGTTGTTTTCTTTGTCTTCTTTCTTGAGATCTCTTTTCAGCTTTAAGTTGATCTTCCTTTGAAGAGTTTCTTAATTTTTCTCTTTCTTCTCTCTTTAATTTAGCCTTTTCATCAGCTAATTTTTCTTGTTTTATTTCTTCTTCAATCTTTTTAAGTTTTGAAATTTCAACTTCTCTAGTTTTAACGATTTTCTTTAAAGCTTCAGATTTAAAAGTGATTTCCTTTGCAGCTAATTTATCAACTAATGAGAATAAAGCATCTAAGATTTTACCAAGTTGTTGAATTTGATCGACATTGGAAGTGACATGAGCGGATACCACAATTCTTCTTCTTGGAGTCATTTCATGAAGAGCTACAGGATGTTCTGAAGGTTGATCAGTAACAGCAATATATCTAAGATAAGAAGCTGAATCTAAAGTTAAAGCTTTCTTTAATTCTGGAGTAGTAATTTTTTCTTGGAATTCATTAGCTTCACTCATATAAACAAATGATTGAGGTAAATTTGCAGAATCTGAAGTTTTAGTTAATGATAAGAAATAGTTAAATTTTCTATAATCATTCATACCAATCTTTGCTACAATAGCACTAATGAAATTATCATATTCAGCATCACTTGAAGGAGTAATAACAAAATCCACTCTATCAGTTGGATAAGGAACAGTAGCAGTGAAAAATGATAAGACAGTTTCTAAAATCCAAACAAACAGATTATGTCTTGGTTTTAATTTGAAGATAATGTTAACTTTAGCAATGTTGGATCTACCAGTTGCATAAGAAGCATAATTTTCAGAACTATCTTTAACATAAAGACTATTTGGACCAATTCCGAATTGATAAAAGTTCTTGTCAAAAGTACTTTTTAAATTATTTAAAAGTCTAGTTACTAATCTTTTATTGTAAAGATCACCAGCGTAAAATAATGATACGAAAACAAAGATAAAAGCAATGGTGAAACCTTCCAATCTCCAATCATTAAGTAAGGCACGTTGGAGAATGGTCATTTCAACCAATTCTTCATAAGTATAGTCCTTGACAGTTTTACGACTAAAAAAATAAATGTTAGTATAACTATTGTATTAAATGGCTATTGATAAGCATTGAATTGAGGAACATACACAGTCTCTTCGGCCATAGCCCCAACAAGAAACAATGAAGGTGCAAGTAAAGCAGCAGCAATCATTATGTTTTGGTTTGATCTATTGTTCTTGATGATTTCTATATCAAAAGTGAAAATTACAATTTAAGTTTTGATAAATTCTCAGAGATCGTTGAAAAAAAAAAAGTTGTTGAAAGAAGTGTCACCACTCTTTTCTCTCCACTATATTTTTTGCCGCACAATATTACTATTTTATTATTTAAGTATTTTAATCAATACATTAAAGTCTATACATGATGATGATTTTATAAATATTATAGTTAGTAAGTTACTTAACTTGGGGTTACTAGATCTATTCTTTTCTTCTTTTAGATGATGAACCAAGTTCAACTTCAGAATTTTCCTCTTTATATTGAGAAAGACCCTCACGAACAGCATTTCTAACTAAATCTCTAAGTCCTTCCTCAGGATTTTCACTTTCTAAAATAGCTTCTAATTTCTTTCTTCTTTCTTCTTTTTCTTCAGGTGATAATTGATCTTGAATGGTTTCTGGTTCATTTTCCATCGAATATCTGATTTCATGTCCATCAATGGTTCCTGCTGCAGGTAATGAATCCAATATACTACTACTATTATGGTTTGCTTCACTTGTTTCACTTGGTTTATCATAAGCTAAAGAAAGAAGATATTGGGCCACTTCAGGAAATTCATCATCATCTTCAATATATTTTGCAGCAGTTAAACCATCACTATTTTTTATCTTATCATTAGCTTTCAATTCTTCTATTAAGTATTTGGCAGTTTTAACATCTTCAACATGATGTAATGGAGTATCTCCTTCATTGTCCTGTATATTTATGTCCCCTCCTTGCTCTATTAAATATTGAAGTAGATTAATATGACCATAAGAAGCTGCAGCATGTATAGGAGTATATCCATTAGGATCTTTTGCGTTGGGAGTCAAATCTCCTGATTCTATATATGATTCCACAACCTTACGTTGGTTATCAGCAGCTGCTATCCAAATATTCAAAACCATAATAATAACTTATCTTGATACTGTTATTGATATAGTTTATAAAGATTAGAGATGATGTCTATTTTACAAAAATTTTGTTTTAACGGTTTTGAAAAATTGTTATATGCAGTCGCAGCAAAAATTGGTTAAACAAACGTGAAAAAAAAATTGTTATAATTTTCAAATCGATTAGATTAGATCAGAAGGTAGAAATAGATAGATCAATATAGAATGTCAGATTCAAAGGAACATATACAAGATGCTTCTAGTATAGCGGTATCTCCTACTGAGAAACTAAATGGATTTGAATGGTGGAGAAGATCGTTACAATATAGAACTGGATTAGGGATCACCAATGAAGAAAGAAATCAATTTGAAATTGATTATCATCATAAATATTTACCACAAAGATGTGAAGAATGTGTAACTAATCTCGATTGGATGTTAACTTATTCACCATCAGTACGATTTATGATTGATCAAATTGAAAAAATTACCAAGAATAATGATAAAATAGTGGATAAAACCAGTATAATATGTGATGTATGTGATGATTTAAAAGGAGGAGGATTCCATCCAAATCATGGAATATTATTATGTGCCAATCGTATTCAAAGTAAATGGCAACTAGAAGATATTTTAACTCATGAATTGGTCCATGTTTATGATTATATGAAATTTAATATTGATATGAAAGATTTAAAACATCATGCTTGTACCGAAATAAGAGCATCAATGTTAAGTGGAGAATGTCGTATTTGGAATGAAATTAAGAAAACTGGGTTAGGTAATTTTGGGAAAAAGTTTCAAGATTGTATTAAAAGACGAGCAATCTTATCAGTTAGTGCCAATCCTATTTGTAAAAGTAAAGCCGAAGCTGAAGAAGCAGTAAATTTGGTATGGTTATCATGTTTTAATGATACTAGACCATTTGAAAGAATTTACAAATAGAGTAATTCAGTATTAGTCATCGTATCATTACACATTACATTACATAGTATATAGTGTTATATAAAATTCATCTTGTAAATATAAAACAACGCTTTAAAGAGATCCGATATTTCATTTATGTGATAGGGGATGAAGAGAGGATAATTTTCCGTTAAGGGTCAAACAGCGCATGTCAAAATGGAACAGACAAACACTCACCCGCATTTTCCATCCTCAACCCAAATTCAATCTTAGAGGTTTGTATATTATAACTTACACATACTGTAACTTTACATGACTTTAGTTCTATAAATAGTTAATATCATATCTCAATTGGATTATTATCAAGAGTCCTACTTTCATTATATCAAGTTTTTTTATATCGCTCAAGATATCTTTCGTTCTATCGGTAGGTTGCCCGACCTTGTTGTAAATATCAAATCAATCAATTAATCAACAATGTTGAAAAAGTCATCTACAGAAGATAATTTGTCTTCAATCGCAAAGTCTATTGGTAGACGTCAATCGTTGGATATAAATAATGAGTATATTGAATCATCATCGTCAGCAAGCGATGATGATAAACTGGAGATTCAGGATATCACCCCTAAGGAAAATGATTCAAGTCTTGAATCTTTACAAGAACATGAATACAAATTGAAATTTAGAGGGAGAGGTAGCTCATTGGAATCAACTTCAAGTTCAACAACAGCCATTGATATTGAATCTGCCATTGCCTTATCTGATGCTAAACCAGTCAAACATGTCCTTGATGAAATGATTCGAACTTCTAAAACTAGATTGAATAAAAGGAAATCAGAACAGCATAACCATAAATATAAATCTCCACTTGGGGATATTAGGTTCCATTCCGTATCATCAACTATATTTGATTCTCAGGATTTTAAAGATTCTCAATTTTTTGGATTTTATGTATTGTTCTGGTTAGGTACAGCCTTCTATATGATAAATATCTTAGTCCATGCTTATTTTGTCAAATCAGAATTCATACTAGAATGGCCAGTTGTCAAATTACTACTCAAGGATTTATATAAAGTGGGATTGACTGATTTAGCCATGTATTTATCAACATATTTTGTATTCTACATTCAATATGCTTGTAAATTAAATGTCATATCTTGGGAAAGAGTAGGATGGATAGTTCAATCAGTTTTCGAAATTGCTCATTTAAGATTTTGGTTATGGTTTGCATCAGATTCAGTTATGGGTTTTTCTTGGATTGCAAAGGTATTCTTAGTATTACATAATTTGGTATTCATTATGAAAATGCACTCTTATGGATTTTACAATGGTTATCTTTGGAAGATTATGAAGGAATTACAATTCCTGGAAAGTTATCTTGCAAGGATCAATAGTGATACAGATGTTAAAATCCCGGAAGGTTATACTATAGATCAATTAAAATCAACATTACAGGAAAGTATCGAATTTTGTAAGTTTGATTTGGAATATCAATCCCAAGCTACCACTATAAAGAGTGATGCTTATAAATTTGATGAAAGTCGAATTAATGAAAGTCTTGAATCTTTACAAGCCAAGAATATTATTACATTCCCATCTAATATCAGCTTCTTCAATTTCTTTGAATATTCTCTGTTTCCAACTGTGGTTTATACATTACATTATCCAAGAAATGAAAGAATTAGATGGTCATATGTGTTTCAAAAGACATGTGCTGTGTTTGGAATTATCTTCTTGATGATCTTAGTGGCTCAGAATTGGATGTATCCATTAGTACTTCAATGTATTGAAGTTCGTAAATTACCAGTTCAAGAAAGGTTTTCTCGTTATATTTTCATATTACTTGATATGATTCCTCCATTTCTTATGGAATATTTATTTACATTCTTTTTAATTTGGGATTCTATTTTGAATGCTATTGCTGAATTAACCAGATTTGCTGATCGTGAATTCTACGGTCCTTGGTGGTCATGTACTGATTGGTCTGAATTCCTGAGAATTTGGAATGTACCAGTTCATAAATTCTTATTAAGACATGTCTATCATTCTTCGATTAGTTCATTCAAAGTTAACAAGTTTCAAGCTGCTTTGTTAACATTTATAATTTCAAGCATTGTTCATGAGCTTGTCATGTATGTTATATTTGGTACATTAAGAGGATATTTGTTACTATTACAGATGTCTCAAATTCCATTGGTTATGTTCAGTAGAACAGCGTTTATGAAGGATAAAAAGGTATTAGGGAATATTATTTGTTGGTTTGGGTTTCTTTCAGGTCCGTCTATGATTTGCACATTATATTTAACATATTAAAAAATTATTATTGCTATTTTAATTTTGTTGGTTTTTCTTCTATATAAATATATACTATATACTACACTATATACATGGTATGATATGGTTTATTTTTTTATTTATATCATTATTATTATATTTATTATGTTTATACACACATCTCTAAAGTCGCTAATAAAAATTACTGTTTCTGGAAAGGTAATTCTTTTGCATGTGCATAATTTTTGTGTCCCTAAATTACCGCATTAGGCGCAATTTAGCAAAAATAATTGCTATCAACATTATGTAGATATAAGCATCAATGTCCTGTAATGCCCCTCACCAGATATATGTTTTCTTTTGTTTTATTTATTTTATTTTATTAGATGGAAAAGGAAACATAATCAATGTCAAATTATACTGTATATACCCCCAACCCAGATGGATATACTCCATCAGTGGGAGTCTTCCATTTGCTTGAACAAATTCATGATGGGGCAAATAGAGGTACGGGGATCTGTGCATTGTTCGCTTTGGCAGAGCAGATAATAGGACCAAATATACCACAGGACTTTATAAACTATGCTATTGGATTACAAAATAATTTATTCGGAGGTTATCCTACAACCAAAGATGTTGCACCCTCAGGTCTATTTGCAGGTATATTTGCATTGGTGACTTTAGTACATCTACTTATCTTCATAATAAATTTCACTAAAGGTCATTACTTCTATCTAACATTGGTATTTGTATTTGCATCTCTTACCAGATTTGTTTCATTTATGCTTAGATTGTTTTGGGCTCAGGCTATTCAAAAAGTTAAGATCGGTTTAACCGATGAAGTCTTACTTGTGATTCCTTCCATTATTCTTGTATCCTTTAATTTGATTTTGGCTCAAAGACTTTTCACTTGGAGACATCCTGTTGGAGGTTCTAGAAAGTTATTTTGGGGATGTATGTTTGGTTTGTATGCTCTAGTCATCATAATTATTGCTGTAACGGCCACTGCTTCATTAGTTCCTTATATTGCATTTTTGTCAACTAATTCTTATTTAGCTTGGCAACGATGTGTCATGGCATCTTCTGTTTTGGTCAACATATATACTTTAACAGCAATCGCTTTAATTGGGTTGTCTTTCTGGTTACCAACTACGAAGGATGAAAACTTATATACTTATCAACCTTGGTGGATTGAAAGTTTCAGTCCATTCTATTTCGTGGAAGCTGGTGCAGCTCAAAGAGCTGAAGAAACATTCATGAAAAGAAATCATAATCATAGACATGCAGTCAGAGTCATCGCTGCCACACATCATCATTATAAAATGGTTAAAGGTTTAAGTAACCAGAGAGGTGACTTATCACATAACACATCTTTATTAATAATAAGTATATCTACCTTGTTATTATTTGTCAGTAACTTTTTAAGATCAGTAGCTGTATTTCAAGGTAGAATAAATTACTTTAGAGGTCCAGTTGCTAATCCAATTCCAATGTATATGGCTTGGGGTGTATTTGAATTCTTCGTTCATTTACTCTTCATAGTTGGGAGAGTTGATCTTAGGTTTTATAGACCAGATATATTACCTTTAGTTGTGAGATCAATCATTACAGCAGAACAATCTGTTGTGGTAAGTGACGCCGAAGATAATCTGGAAGGTGAAGAATTTGAAGGAGATGATGAATTTGATTCTTATAGTGAAGAAGATATGGATGAAGGTTCATTAAAGCACTCACGGAATGTTCCACCTATTTATTCATACCCCGTAGATGAGCCTGGAAGGTCGACCGTCAAAAGGGATGATGAATCAGAATTTTTCTTCTAATATGTTATTCAAGGATCTAAAACAAATTACGGTAATCGCACTTCACAAGTGGTCTTGTGGGGAAGCATATTTATCAATATTATAGAAAACGATAAAGGAGAACAAATAGTATAATCTCTTTTAATATAATTAATATAATTTCACTTATTGCTGCAAAATAGTGCAGAAAAGTAGAAAAAATAATTTTTTTGATCGCTTAGCTCTCCGAAATATAATTTTTGCAATGAATCTTGTGGGGAAATAACAAGTAAATTAATACAATCAACATAAGTTTATATAAAGGGTTCCAAGTCTAATCAAGTGTTAAAAATCAAGTAGAATGCAATTTTCCAGTCTATAAGCATTAGCAAGAAAGGTCCTTAAAATAATCTTATTCCGATCGATATGCCTGAGAATCAATCTATAAGCAATTCCACTTTCACTGCTGCTCAAGGTGTGTATAACCTTATAGTATTCATAGAAAACAATCCCGCAAGAGGAACTGGAATATCATTATTATTAAGTCTAGTTCATAACTTGGTGGGACCAATAGTACCTCCGACTATACTCAAATACTCTATCGGTTTACAAAATAATTTATTTGGTGGATACCCCAGTTCAAGTGAAATTGCTCCTGATATAGTTTTTGCAGTATTATTCTTTATAATCGGTTTAGTGCATCTTTCAGTGTTTGTTATGAATTGTGTGAGAGGACATTACTTTTGGATATCAATTGGATGGGTGGTATACTCATTTATGAGAACAGTTGGGTTCACGTTAAGAGCATTATGGGCTACAAATATAACACTTCTACCAATTGGTTTAACCAGCGAGGTATTATCTATTGTACCTTCTAATATCATTGTTTCATTAAATTTAATGCTAGCACAAAAATTATTTACTTGGAGGCATCCTGTAGGTGGTTCTCGTAAATTATTCTGGGGTTTTATGATTGGTTTGTATACTTTTGTGGTATTATCTATTGGTGTTGTCATTGCGGCATCTTTCTATTCTTATTTACATTTTGTTGATAATCAAATTAATTATAATATGAATTTTATAGTTGAGGTTACTTCTGTTACTATTATAAGTTACAGTCTAACTGCAGTTTCATTGATCGGTTTATCCTTTTGGTTCCCAACATCTAAAGATGAAAATTTATATACATATCAACCTTGGTGGATTGAAAGTTTCAGTCCATTCTATTTCGTGGAAGCTGGTGCAGCTCAAAGAGCTGAAGAAACATTCATGAAAAGAAATCATAATCATAGACATGCAGTCAGAGTCATTGCTGCTACTCATCATCATTATAAGATGGTTAAAGGTTTAAGTAATCAAAGAGGGGATTTATCACATAACAAGTCGTTATTAATAATAATTATAACTACATTATTGATTTTGGTTGGAGCTATTGGAAGATGTATTGTTGCCTTTCAAGACCGAGAGAATTCCAAAGCAAGCGCTGCTGCAAAACCATATTTTATGTTTATTTGTTGGGGAGGATTTGAAGTTATAATCAATGTATTATACATTGTTGGTAGAGTTGATCTTAGATTTTATCGTCCTGATAGATTACCTTCTAAAGTTAGAGCTATAATTACTGCAGAACAATCATATTATCCGTCTGATTTTGAAGATGATGTTAAATCTAATTCTGAAAGTGATGTAAATCATTTAGATGATAATGAAATTAGTTCTGATCCATCAATTCTCAACCCAAGGTTTTCACTTAATCCATCGAAATTAACAGATAAAAAGATGATAGTTTCAAATGAAAGCGTAATTGACACTGTGTTTTACTTTTAAGTTAAACTCTTGCAACATCCATCATATGAAATGATTGCAAAATTGAACATGAGTCGTCGTCAAAGGGCATATGCATAAAGCACAATTAAGATTAAAAAATAAAACAAAAAAACAATTTATCGGTACCCCACATTAAAAAATATGCACATATTTTGAGTCTGTATAGCATTTTACCCAAATTGGAATAGTAAAAACTAAATTAACAAACGTAAGGCGCTGTCTTTGTTCTGCAGTGTATATTCTAGGTGTCGATCAAAGTTGAAATAGATATGTGGTCTACAGAGTTCTATTTTGACATGAATAAAATGTATGAAATTATATTAATATTTACTTGTGATACTTCTGTTACTGTTTTATTGCTTCTTCTTTTATGTAGATGTTAAGAAGGCGATTTATCTTGTCAAGACTATATCTGTAACGGCTGATCGGCTTAAAGTATAGGATTTATTAAAATAACTTTAAATGATAGAAAGTGAATTTTGTTTTGTAGCCATATCTAAGTATCTAGTAACAAAAGTTTTTGATGAGGACAGAAATTTCCTAATCGGGTAATTTTTTTAATTCCTTTTTAGATTGTCTTTTTTTTAGCGTGGGGAAGAAAGCTTAACTTTTGCATTTAAATTGGATTAAGGAATTCTATTGATACGTATGTTTTGAAGGGAAAACATATATATAACTAACCGAAATTCAATAGTTGGCAATTCACTTCGACAATTATTTGAAAAGAAAAGTTGTTAACTTCCTTTCAATAATCTGGTGTATTCACTTGTATTTGTTGTTGTCACTCTTTACATCAACTTGAAAAGATTCAAGACCACCTAGTCTGGCATAATTCACTTCACTTTATTTCAGTTCAATTTCAAACTATTTCATTTCATATCCAAAAACATTAATCAAAATTTTCCTTCTTCAAACTTTGCATAACATAAAAAAGTAAGCACATCATGACAACAGTGGTGGATTTCAATAATACCCTTCGGTTTGATCCTGAATATACAGCCGTAGAAGGTCTTTTCAATCTTATAGGTCATATGAAAAATAATCCTGCTCGAGGAACTGGTATTGCATTATTAGTTGATCTTATTCATAATTTATCAGGACCAAATATCCCTCCTACCATTACTAAATATGCCATTGGAATTCAAAATAATTTATTTGGTGGTTATCCAACTCCAAGTCAAATAGCTCCTAATATTGTATTAACCGTATTATTTTTTATAATTGCTATAATACATTTAGCTTTATTTTTAATTAATTTTTCAAGAGGGCATTATTTTTGGATTTCATTAGGATGGGTGATTTATTCTTTAATGAGAGTGATTGGATTTGGTTTAAGAGCCATTTGGGCTAGTGATGTGACATTATTAGCTATTGGATTAACTAGTGAAGTATTTAGTATTATTCCATCGATTGTTATTGTATCATTAAATTTAATATTAGCCCAAAGATTATTCACATGGAGACATCCAGTTGGTGGTTCTCGTAAATTATTTTGGAGTGTTATGTTCGCATTATATGGAGTTGTTATATTATTAGTTGGAGTGGTTATCTCAGGGTCATTTATTCCTTATTTACATTTTTTAAATCAAACAACTTATGATAATTTCAGAATTGTGATTAAATCAGTTTCAATTTTAATCATTGCTTATAGTTTAACAGCAATTGCATTAATTGGGTTGTCTTTCTGGTTACCAACATCTAAGGATGAAAATTTATATACATATCAACCTTGGTGGATTGAAAGTTTCAGTCCATTCTATTTCGTGGAAGCTGGTGCAGCTCAAAGAGCTGAAGAAACATTCATGAAAAGAAATCATAATCATAGACATGCAGTCAGAGTCATTGCTGCCACTCATCATCATTATAAAATGGTTAAGGGTTTAAGTAATCAAAGAGGTGATTTATCACATAATGTTTCATTATTAATTATTATTGTCACTACCATATTGATTTTAGTAGGAGCAATTGGAAGATGTATAGTTACATTTCAAACCAATTTCAACCGTGATGCCGGTGCTGCTGCCAAACCAATTCTAATGTTTGTATGTTGGGGTATTTTTGAAATTATTATTAATATTTTATATATTGTGGGTAGAGTTGATCTTAGATTTTATCGTCCTGATATATTACCTGCTAAGGTTAGAGCTATTATTACTGCTGAACAATCATATTATCCATCTGATGCTGAAGATGAAGATGATGCTTCATTTGAAAAGGAAGATTTCCAACATCATGAACATGATGATTATCGTCATACAGAAGGAGAAGAAGAAGAATCAAATGATGGAGAATGGAATTTTGTCGATGTTGATGTTGATGGAAGTTCAGTATCAAGTTCCTTACCTATTAAGAATCATCCACAACCTCCATATCCAGCTAAAGAAAAGAATAGAAGAAGTCGGGATACCGATAATGATTCAGAATTCAATTTCTAGGCCATTTCATCTACATAATATATAGTACACATTAATGTATTTTTTTTTCTTTTTTATCTATTTGTTACTACAAAATGCATGATTCTAAGTTATTATAGTAATGTTAACATACAGTTAACTATATAGACGATACATCATTTGTAGATAGCTGGGAGGAGGAGTAAAAATTATTTTGATGTGTCAAGAATTTTTTTTTTTTTTGACTCGTCATTTTCAGAAAATGAGCCGCCTTCTGCAACAACAGCAACAAAAACAAACTGCGTTAATTATACAAATAGAAAACGAAAAATTTTTCAAAAAGCTCGGACTCAAAATATTTAAAAACTTGATTGATTCCTCTTATTTTCAATTTGAATTCTTGTTTTATTAAGTCAATTGTTGTCCTAATCGATCAAGTAACACTATGAGTTCTGAACAACAACCTTTAACTCATCCATCTATTAAAGATGGATGGTTTGCTGAAATTTCCAATACCATGTGGCCAGGTCAAGCTATGTCATTAAAAGTTGATAAAGTTTTACATGTTGAACAATCTAAATATCAAGATGTATTGGTGTTCAAATCCACTGATTATGGTAATGTTTTAGTGTTGGACAATTGTATTCAAGTTACTGAACGTGATGAATTCGCTTATCAAGAAATGATTACTCATTTAGCATTAAATTCTCACCCAAATCCAAAGAAAGCTTTAGTTATTGGTGGAGGTGATGGAGGTGTTTTAAGAGAAATCTTAAAACATGAATCCATTGAAGAAGCTTGGTTATGTGACATTGATGAAACTGTTATTGAAGTTTCAAAGAAGTATTTACCTGAAATGTCTAAATCATATCAAGATCCAAGAACTAGAGTTCATATTGGTGATGGATTTAAATTCTTAGCTGAATATAAAAATCAATTTGATGTTATTATTACTGATTCATCTGATCCAGAAGGTCCAGCAGAATCATTATTTCAAAAACCTTATTTTGAATTATTAAGAGATGCTTTAACTGAAAAGGGGGTTATTACAACTCAAGCTGAAAATATTTGGTTGCATATGCCAATTATTTCTAAATTAAAACAAGATTGTCAAGAAGTTTTCCCAGTAGCTGAATATGCTTATACTATGATTCCAACTTATCCAAGTGGATCTATTGGATTTATGGTTTGTTCTAAGGATAAAGATGCTAAAGTTAGAAAACCAATTAGATTTGATTGGAGTGATGAATTTGTTAGTAAGAATTTAAAATATTATACTAAAGAAATTCATGAAGCTTCATTTGTATTACCAAATTGGGCTGATCAAATCTTAAACAAAAAGAAAGATTGACGTCATTAGTTATTTATTTGCAATTCGTTTTTAAGAATCAATGAAAACTATAAAGAAGGGTAGAAAAATATTATTAGAAAAATCAAAAAAAAAAAAAACCTCTTTATAAGGAAAACACATTTTCGTGGATCTTTTAAATGCTTTGAACATAGTTGTTCGAGGTGTTTTCTTTTTATTTGTGTGTTTTTATTCTTAATGTTATATTGTAATGAATAATGATGTGATGACTATTTATAAAACTTTTATTAGAGAAAAAAACATGATAATGGGTGGTGGTGATGGTATTAGTATTTGATATTCATTAATGGTTGATTTATAAATCGATGATTAATGGATACTTTTTATTTTTACTATTACTACTTATTATTATTATTATTAAAAAACCAAAAAAAAATCTTTAATTATTTAATTAATTAAATTCTTTAAATAAAACATTCTTTTTGTTTAACTATTATGAAGGTGTAGGTACTACTTGTTTCATTGTTTAATTGATTTTGCAACCTGTATAATGAATTGTGTTAAAAATGATCTCAAAAATAATGAGTCGTGTACTTTTCCTCAAATTTAACCCCATACTTTAAAATAAATCGCATTTATCGCTAGTTGTAATTACGACTTCAGTCAGCGGCTAAAATACCAAAAATTGATTAAAGAGGCTGAAGAGAATAATTTAATTTGTATCATGATTTTTTTTTGAAATAACTAAAAATAATAAATATTACTATGAGGGAATATAATTAGGTAGTTACTACAACTAGACATAAACCCATTAAAGAACTATGATTGGAATGACATGGCTTGGTGTACCACAGGTAATGAAACAGCTGTCGTTTAATAATTCAACCGTATAACATAGCATAGCAGAGAATAATCTTACCGATATCATATCAGTGTAATTTTAAAAAAAAAAAAACGTCTTTTATGAAGCAGATAGGAAATAAGCAAAAGAATAAATGACCATAAACTAATTTAACTGCAAAGGGCTTCCAGTTAAAATAAAATGAATGATTTCTTTTTCTGTCTGCCTGTCTGTCCCTTAAATTTCCTTCAATTACCGCAATTTAATTTTAATTTAGCTTAATTTATAACCTTCCAATCTATCCGTTATTATCGTAATTTATAATGGGGTTTAGACATGGCTATGTGCATCTTGATCATTAATTCATCTATTCAATTCAATTGATAAAAATTTAATTTAACTATGAATTAACTATGTAAAAAAAAAACATATTCACTCATTCTCATAATAATAAGCCCCAAACAATATATTGTAAATGACCGATCATGGCCAGCCATTTACTTGATTGGCTAAATTTAATCAGTCTATTGGTTGAATTAAGCTACTCAATTTGTAAAAGGTCATACCTTCGCTCTTTAATCGATGGTATGGCCATAGATCATTTCTATCATTCCCCCCACAATTATACAGCCATACCCTCTCTCTCTTTCTTTCTCTACTTTAAACGGCTGATTTAAAAAAAAAACAATTGATTTCAGTAACAGAAATTTAAGTTGCCCTAATAGTAACCAAAAAAGTTATGACGTTATTTTTGGTTAAGCTTTTTTTTACTTAGTTTGTAGCGGCTATTATATTATTATTTCTTTCTTATTATGTTTGTGGTTATAACACTTTTTCGATCCTTTTTTGGATTATAAATAGGTTTTAATATATTGTCAATTTGGAAATTTTATTATTTCAATTAGTTATTATACTTTTTATACTCTCTAACCTCTATTAATCAAGTTAATTCAATTCATCATGTCAAACGCTTCAACTCATTCATTTGATCCTGATACTTATAAAAAATCAATCAATGCTCAACCAAAACCAAATGAAATCATTCCTATGCAATTAAGAAATTTTGCTAAAACTTATGAAACTCCTCAACAAGGTAGTTATCAAAAATTCCTTACTTCAATGGGAGAATTATTTGGTTCATGTGGGATTTTTTGTTTTCTTTGTGCAAATCCTTATAAAGAAGTTGATCAAGGTGAAGTTGGTTTAATTCAATCTTTTGGTGCTTTATCAAGAACTGTTGAACCTGGTTTATCTTATGTTAATACTTGGTCAGAAAAATTAACAAAAGTTTCAATTAAAATTAATATTAGAGAAATCCCTGCTCAAAGATGTTTTACAAAAGATAATGTTGGTGTGATTATAACTTCAGTAGTTTATTTTAATATTATTGATCCTCAAAAAGCTATTTTTGCTATTGATAATATTTATACTGCTATTATTGAAAGAACTCAAAATACTTTAAGAGATGTGGTTGGTAGTAGAAGTTTACAAGATGTGGTTGAAAAAAGAGATGAAATTGCTGAATCAATTGAAGAAATTATTTCCAAAACTGCTTTTGATTGGGGGGTTCATGTTGAATCTATTTTAATTAAAGATTTAACTTTACCTGAAAAAGTTCAAGCTTCATTATCAATGGCTGCTGAAGCTAAAAGAATTGGAGAAGGTAAAATTATTAATGCTAAAGCTGAAGTTGAAAGTGCTAAATTAATGAGAAAAGCAGCTGATATTTTAGCTTCTAAACCTGCTATGCAAATTAGATATTTAGAAGCTTTACAAAATATGGCAAAATCTTCAGGTTCAAGAGTTATTTTTATGCCTTCATCTCAAGAAGTTGAAAGAATGGCAACTTCAAATGTGGGTTTACCATCAATTACTGGTAAAGAAAGAGCTCAAGATTTAGATGAAGATGATGAATGGGCCGCTGGTGCTGGTATTCATCAAAATTCAACTGGTGGTGGTATTTCTGATACTAGACAAATCACAAGTACAGTTGCTTTACAAGAAGCTTTACGTCCTTGATCTTGAATTAAGCTTATATCCTTTCTAGTCTTAACTTATCATGTCATTCGTTTGGATTTTTATTTATTTTACCTTTTTTTTTTAGTTTTATTTATTCTTCCATTGATTGAATCAACCATTTGGTTTATGTCTTCTTATGTTGTTTTATCCTACTTTCAATTCAATTCAATCAATTCAAAGTTATGACTCCTTTTTTAATAGTATCATTGTATATGTGTACATTGATATCATAATAAATGTTAATAAATCCATCCATATAGTCTATCTATTTCTGTGTAGTAGTTGTAAATCATCATCATTATCATCATCCTCCAAATCGCCTAAATTTTTTGGCAACATCCCCCAATACATCAAGAAACCCTACTTTCTATTCTCCACCATTGCCATACTTAGATATTAACCAGTTTATAATATGAATGGATGATCATACTATTCATGACATACCTACATCTACAACTCTTGTTCCATATACATTGATCTATCGTGTAGTCCTTGTTGTTATTGTTACTCTATTCTTAATTCTTGTTGTTGTCATTTTTTGGTTAGGGTAAAACATCCATACCTTCATACTTTAAGTAAAAATTTGATACAAAATCATAAAAGGACAAAACCACAAATTATCATAACACCTTTTCTAAATTTTTAACCATCAATTCTAACATCAATCTCTTCATTATCATCATCATCTTTCGTGCACTTTAGAAGCTGCTACCCTTCATAGACCATAGTCTTACCATCTTTATATTTTTTACTATTCATTTTGCATAATTGTCGTTTAGTACGTTCGTCTTCTGGTTCCTTCTTTCATTTTTGGATTTGTACACATCCGATCAAATCCTAGTCAATTAATTTTTAACATCAATAGTTATACACCTTTTCACAATATCAATACATGTTCTAGAATGATGAATGGTCAAGGTTTCGATTGGTCTTACCTATCTTCATCAAACACGTCGTCAGCTTCATCTCCTGGTGGTATGGCTCAACCTCCTCCCGCTGGTTCAAGAAATCCTCCACCTCCTCCACCTAGAATCACAAACACCAATCTGGCAAATACAAATACTACTTCTAATAATAGTAACACCAATAACATTTATAATAATTTCAATAATATCAATAGTGGGACGAATTCTCCTGCTCCAATGGTATCATTTGGAAATAATTCCATTCTGTCCGATTATAGTCAACCACCACCAGCACCACCACAGCAACAAAATCAACCAACATTTTCAGTATCACCGTCTACTAGTCAATCAATTCTGGAAGATTCAAACAATAGCCATAATAACTACTTCAATACCAATAACAATATCAATAATCTAAGAATTAATCATAATGATTCTGATATCCAAAATTATTATTTTAAAAATAATTCAGCAGATCAATTACCTAGAAAGAGTTTTGGAAGTTATTCAAATGATAGAGTGGTTTCCAATAATACCATCAATAGTAATTCATCATTCCTTAATATTGCTAGAAGTGATAATAATAGTGTGGAAAGTATTGCTCATTCTACTTCAATGTCAGGTACAAATGATATTAGTGGGTTAGGAAGTTTGGGAGGTGGTGATTATGGTGATGATGATTCAGGTATACCTTTATCATTAACTGCTCAAGAATTGACTTTACAAGAATCAAAAACTTATATGAGATGGTATAGTGATATACTAGCAAGAACAAATAGTAGAACTATAACTATGAATGATGTGTTTAATTTCTTAGTTAATTTTAAAATATCTCAAATTACAAAAGATAAAATTAATAGAATATTTCAAAAGATTATTTACTCAATTAATATTGGAGAATTTTTTGCTTTATTAAGATTAATAAGTCATACTTTAAATGGAGCAGATCCAAGTCGAAAATTAATTAAGGTTCAAGCTCCTGTACCAACTCCTCCTTCAATCTTATCAAAAAAGAGACAAAATGATGATGATAATGATAGTGAAGGTAATAATCATAATGATAATGATTCATTATTATCTTCATCAAATATAGCGAATGGTGGATCTTATAATGGTGATTCAAATGGTTTAGATCAAAAAAATGGTTCATCATCTTTACCTGAACCAAATAAACCTTTGGATATTGATAGTTTTACTCAATTTATCCTTACTGGTGAAAGACCAGATGATACCCCTAAAAAGAAAAGAAATAAAAAATTAAAATCAGTTAAATTTTCAGATAACGTTGTTACTGATGTTCATGAAGATTCATTTATGCCATCACCATCAGGGTCACCATTTCCTCAATCTGAAACTTTGGATTATTCATTACCAATGGATCAATTATTAGATCGAGTTAAATCTCAACCTCAAGTTCCTATAAAGCCTCCTTCACCTGATGAAGAAGAACAAGATTTATTAAAAGATATGGAAAATCAAATTAATCATTTTCAAAATTTACATTCAGTTGATACAGCTTTAAGAGGTGGTACTCTGTCAAGTATTCATTTTCATGATGGTTATAGTAGTGAAAATTTATTAAGACCAAATGTAACTGGACCAAATGATATGGCAAGATTATTTAGTCCTTCACCTGAACCAGGATTATTAAAACCAAATATGACAGGCCCAGTTCAAATGGCTCAATTATATGATACTTCAAGAGATGATGATTATCAAGATGAAATTGAACCACAAAATTATTTAAAACCAAATGTTACAGGACCAGCTGATATGGCAAGATTTTTTCCTCCTGATAACATGTATAATAATAATAATAATCAAGATGCTTCAGCTCCTAAGATGTCATTACAATCATTTACAAATCAGATGACAGGTAATACCATTGCGAATACATTACAGAATGCAAGAGTTACTGATGATGGTTCACCATCTCGTCCTCAATCTTCATCATTTTCAACCGGTTCTAGACCAACACCCCCACCTCCTGCACCAACCACAAGAAGAAGTAGATCAATATCATCTCCTACTCCAAGGATCAGTTCCCCATTATCTAATAATGTAACCATTGCTGATCCAGGGGCACCGTATTATGGAAATTCATTAACGGTGGGTCCACCTCCTGTTCCCATAAGATCACCTTTACATGCTAGTCCAAATACAAGTACAGCAAATTTATTAAACAATATTGGTGCTGGTGCCAAAGTTCCTCCTCCTCCACCTCCATCAAGAAGAAGAAATGTTTCTACAAGTATTCCAAGTCCTCAACCTACTAACCCTCCATTACCACCAAAAATTTCTATTGGTGAAAATAGTAATGGTTTAAGTGGACTTTATAGTAATAACAGTTCGAATGATAGTACAGTTAATATATTGGATGATTTAAAGGCATTACAAGAAGAAGTTGATAAAATACGAGATATGACTGGTGGGTTTTAACATAGAATTTTATCTCTGTGATTTTATGACTTTCTTTTTAAGACAATATTTATTATTATTTTTCAAATACAATTAATTTATTAAGGGGAAAAGTAGAATATTTAGTCTATATAGTATGAGGGAAAAAAATTAATTAAGTAAATAGATAAATAAACTTTTATTTATTAAATTTTTGGTTTGGTTTGCTTTGCTTTGGTTGAAGGCTAGTCCTCTATAATGTATCAATTGATTCGATTAAACTAGCTTTTAAAGCTTGGACAAATTCATCCATGACTTTATTATAAGTCAGGGCATTCTTTAATTCTTCAGTTTCTTCAAGATTACAAAGAACAATATTAATTCCACCAGCTGGAGTACCAACCACTGAGAATACAAAATGACCTGAAAGACCTACATCTTGACTGAAGATTAAATTGGTAATTTCGGAACCATCTGAAGTTTGAAACTTCTTATATCCAAGATTAGAGATTTCAAAGGTTGCTCTATCATATTTGCCAAATCTCTTTTGAATAAAGTCCCAAATATTGATATAATTGATCATATTAACCATTTGAAAGCCATTTCTGGAAGTTACGGCATCTTTAATAATTTTGCTACTACGCTCGATTACTTCTTTTAATTTTAATAATGGTGGGACAAACACACGAGCATCGGATACAGCAAAGTTATACTTCAATTGTTGATGAAGCTCTGGGTAGTATCTTCTACCATCAACCACTATCGATGCTGATATGATTTTTTCTTCTTCGGAAATGTAAGGGAAAACCTTTACTCTAAGTTGTTCGGAAATAATACCTAATAAATAAGGTGTGAAAGTTAATTTTTCCAGTCTTAATGAAGTCATGATTGATTTTGTTTCATCTTGGGATAAATTAATGATTCTATAACATATTTTAGATTTGATATCAACTCTTTTATGAGTAAATACTTTATAAGTATCAAAATCAACGTCATAAACATTCTTCCATACAAAATTGGTGATAAATTTAGGTAAAATTTCTGATAAAATAACCCAATTAAAAAAGAAATATTTAAGATTATACAATGAAGTTAATTTAAGGGTAGTTTCAGGTAAGGCATGAAGTAAATGTAAATCATCTTCATAATCAAAGATAGTGTCAAGTTCTTCTAATTGAGTATTATCTTTTAACTTTGAAAGTTCTTTTAATAAATCATCATGGAAAAAACATGCACCATTCCCATCAAAAATAGTATGATCACAAAGGAATGTCAAGTATTGTTGATCTTTGAATTCATGAACCAATAACTTCCAAATTGGTTTATTGATACTTAATTCAAATCTTCTTAAATTGATTTCTTGTAAATTTTCAGCATTAAAAGGATGATCTAATGGTACATATTCCACAATATCATCAAATGAAATGGTTTGAGATGGTTTCACTGTATAATCAAAAAGATTTTTAGCAGCTTCTGACTTATCACCTTTGAAATAATTCACGGTAAAGATAGGATTTTGTAATAATAAATTTCTTAAACCATTTGATAAGGTTTGGCGATTGATATTGAAATTATATTGAGCAGTGATATTGAAATTACTATAAACTCCTAAATTATTTCTAGCCAAGTTATAATTCTCATAGTAGGTACTACCTCTAGTATGAATTGGAAGCATTGAATCTAATGATCTATAAGAAGTTATCCACTAATGAAAAATCAACTGGATTCAACTCCTTTTAAATGCAAAAAATAGGAGAGAAGTTTGGTCTAAGCCCACTCTATTTGCCATTATAAAAAATCTTCATCACGTGTTAAATGGTCATGTGATACGCGCACTTCCCGAAAGAGTCAAATTTTTCAAAATTTCGAAATTGGCTTCACTAGCTCAGTTGGTAGAGCGTCAGTCTCATAGTTAAACTTAATTGTGTCATCTGAAGGTCGACAGTTCGAACCTGCCGCGGAGCAATTTCTTTTTTTTTTGGCTTCTTCTTCTCATTCTTTTTTGTGTGTTTGTAAACAAACGCGATAGTTGAAAATAAACAACAAATTCAGTACAAACTACATTCTTACAACAACAACAACACAATCCATCTTTCAACGTATATTCATCGTTAATTGATAGTAGTCATAGACGATACTTTCAACCATTTCACTTAGTTGGTTTCCATTTCTTTTTTTCATTTCATTCCTCCTTTGTTTCCTTCATTCATTTCATCATTCATCTTGGGTTTCATATCAATCCCCAACAGTTATTCATTTAATCTTGGTAACGAAACCATTACACATCCTGTTTTATCGTCATAACAACTTATCATACTTAATGAATGACAATTGCATAAAGTTATGTCATTTAAAAGTCTAACATCTCCTTCAACTGGATCAGCGGGTGGTAGTCATCATAATAATAATCTTCATGATTTATCCCTTACAAATAAATCACAACTTGATACCCATAAAAGACATTTCTCCCATGATGAAGATAACACTTTTCTTCCTCCTGCATTAAGTTCTTATAGCATAGCATTATTAAATGATCGAACTAAAAACTTTCCTATCATGAATACATCATCAAATAGTAATAGTAATAATAATACTTCCACAAATACAAATAATAATATCACTGGAATTTATGAATTGGATTTCCCTGATAATAAAAGAACTTCATCATTAAGAAATAAACTATCAGTTCATTTCAAAGAAGCATCACCTTTAAATCAAATCAATAATAATAATGATAATAATAATAATAATAATAATATAAAAGATATCAGACCTATATCACGACAGAATAGTGTTAATTCAGTAAATACTCCTGATAATATCAATAACAGCTCAGCTCAAGACTTTTATTTATCAAGTCATAATTCATTCAACTTATCCATCAATAATTATTCATCTCATACCCATACTACAACAGATGAAGATATCATGGGAGAAGAAGCTGCTTCACCTCATTCTACATCTTCTCGTACACCAGCAACCACTCCAGGAAGTATAATACCCAATTCTACCGATAATAAACCTTCTGTCAATAGCATTAATTCATCCAGAAATGGAAATACTCATACAGTTAAACGAGCAAGAAGATTTGGTAAATCATTAGGTCCTCCGAAAAGAGCTTCAAGATTTAGTGATAATTATGATAAAATTGATCTTGAAAATAATGAAAATAATGCTTTAACATCTACTACATCATCTCCTCCTCCGACCTTTAATTTGAATAACTTTTCTCCTAAAATATCTTCAATCATACGGATGCCATCAAATGATAATTCTAATCCTAATCGCATAAATTATCCACCTCCTTTAGATTCTCATAGCTTCGTAGTGAGTAATGATCATAAGATTCCAGATCTAATGGATTTTCAACTACCACAAGAGAATGATAATAAACCTCCAATCACAAACAACTTTAATATTCCAAATATAGAGCCATCAATTAATCCAAAAATGACTAATAAGTTAAATGACATAATCCCATCTGAAGATCAAGAGAACCTTGAAGCTTTACCAAAACATTCAAAAATACATAAAACTGAAAGAAAACCCTTATCAAGTGTATCAATAAGTCAAATTAATTCTCAAAGTGACTTTGAAACATTTAGAAAACCTAAATTACCTAAATCAACCAGTCAAATAAGTGAACCTCAACAAGAGCAAAAAGTGATATCTACAGTGTCTGAAATTATACCCTTAGCTTCACCCGCCATGCCAACAGAAGATAATAAGAAAAAGAAAACTATAATAATAAATGGTGTTCATTATGAAAAACTAGAATTACTAGGTCGTGGTGGAACATCGAAAGTTTATAAAGTAAAGGCATTGGCAAATAATAGACTTTATGCTATTAAAAAAGTTACATTTGATCAATTTGATGAATCTTGTGTTAAAGGATTTAAAGGAGAAATTGATCTTTTATTAAAACTTAAACATGCTGATCGTGTGGTTAAATTAGTTGATCATGCAGTTGGAGAAGGTTCTATTTACTTAATAATGGAATGTGGTGATATTGATTTAGCTCATGTATTACAAAATAAACTTGCATCTAAAAGTGTTTTGGATTTGAATTTTGTCAGATATCATGCTATTGAAGTTTTTAAATGTGTTCAAGCAGTTCATGAATCAGGTATTGTTCATAGTGATTTAAAACCAGCAAATTTCTTATTTGTCAGAGGTATTCTTAAGATTATAGATTTTGGAATTGCTAACGCTGTACCAGATCATACTGCTAATATATATCGTGAATCACAAATTGGTACTCCAAACTATATGGCTCCTGAAGCGTTAGTTGAAGTTAATCAATCATTTCCAGGACTTCCTATGTCGGATCAAAATTTATCAAATCAACGTAATACATGGAAAGTTGGTAAACCTTCAGATGTTTGGTCTTGTGGCTGTATAATATATCAAATGATTTATGGTAAACCTCCATATGGTGGTTATTCAGGTAATCAAAGAATCATGGCTATTGTGAATCCTCAAGTCAAAATACAATTTCCTAACAAGGGAATTGGAGGTGTACCAGTTCCAATAAGTGCCATTGAGTTAATGAAAAATTGTCTTGAAAGAAATCCCAACGATAGATGGACTGTTGATAGGTGTTTGACTAGTGATTTCTTAAAACCAAAGGTGGTTAGTGAGAATTTCGTCCGTGATTTGGTTCATCTGGCGGTTAATTATGGTTATAATAAAAGAACCAATGGTAGTGGTCCTATGGCTATAGATGTATATGATGCATTGGTTGATTCAGTTTTATTACAAATTGAGAATCTAAATTACGCATAAACAAAGAACATTTTACTTCATTTTTAAAATTTATTCATTTCGTTTTATATATTTCATTTTACATATTTTATTTTATATATTTCATCCTTTACATATTGTCTTATTTATCTTATTGCATTGTTACAATTTTCTTTTTTTTTTTTACTTCATTTCTAGTCATAATTCTTTTTTTAAAGTATAGATGTAAATATAAAAAACAAAATAGATTAACTTTTAGGGGGGTTTGACTTAATGTATGATTATAAGAATATGCTCACCTATTTCAACGTGGTCCTAACTTTTCTAACACACGAGGACCTTGTTCTTCCCATTCTTGTTTTGAAATCCACATATGATCTTTATCTGCCATTATATTAGCTAAAACAGCACCACCGATGAAAACCATATGTCTTCTTCTTGGTGGATCTTCAATTCTTACTTTGAATTTATCTAATCTTGTAGCATCACCCTTTAAGACTTTAGTTAACCATAATTGTTTTATTTCTTTTTCTAATCTCGAAGGTAATCCAGGATACATTGATGAACCACCTGATAAGACAATAGCTTTATATAATGAAGTTCTAACATCAAGATCAGCACTTTGAATAACATTGAATAAAGTTTCACCAACACCAGGTTGTTCAACATCTACTAAATGAGGTTGGAATAAACATTCTGGAGCTTCAAATCTTTCAGAACCAACTTTTATAACTCTACCATCTGGTAATTCATATGATTCAACTAAAGTAGTAGTTTCTTGAGCTAATTTACTATCTAATGATAAATCATAAGAAACATAACATAATTTTTCTTTGATTTGACGAACTGTTTCAAAATCAGCTGTTCTATTAAATGCATACCCACGACGTAATAATAAGTTTATTAAATTTCTTGTTACATCTCTACCTGCAACATCCAATCTTCTAGTCAAATGATTTAAAACAACAGATTCATATACTGGAACAATATGAGTAACACCATCACCTGAATCAACAACCACACCAGAACTTAAACCTTGAGCATATAATGCTAACACAGCTTGGATGGCTACATACACACCACCGAATTGATATTTTTCAAACATAACGTTACACATAGTTTCCCTATTTTTTAAAGGATTCATTGGTGGTTCAGTTAATAAAATTTTCTTACCTTGAGTAGGTATTTTTAATCTTTCATAAAAGGCATAATCCCATAAATGTTCCATATCTTCCCAATTCTTGATAATACCATTTTCCATTGGATAACTGATTTGTAATAATGATCTTACATCACTAGCTTCTGAACCACACATTATATCTTTAATTTCAAGATCATCAGGGACAAGAATATTTCTTTCTTCAGCTCTTAATATTGGTCTACCAACAATAGATGGAAAAGTATGATCAGGGAAATTGGTACCGGCTCTACCAATTTTCACAAACCCTGTACCTTGATCAAGGACTATAGATTAGTTAGTAATTATATTCTACAAAATCGGAATCCAGATTTGAAATAAAAATTTCAACATACCAATTGGTTGTTCACTCATATTTATCTAATAAATCTCTTTATATTATGATATTGGGATCAATTGATTCGTATCCCTTGATTATTTGTAATGAATTGATCTTTGGGGATTGGAAGGGTTGATGTTTCCTCTGTCTGTGTTAAACCAACAACTGATAGCTGGAGCGTTTTTTTCTCCTAAATCAGAATTTGGGCAAAAGTGCACGACCAAAAGAGTTATAGCCTACAAATATTTCAATCTATATGTAATGTCATTTATATTGATAAATATATATATATCACAGTCTACTATAATACAATTAGGTTTCCTTGGATGGTACGTAGTATGCAAAGGTTAAGTAAGAGGTGTGGGTTTTTATCTCACTTTCAATTTTAGTGACATTCCTCCATTCATAATTCTCATCACCCTCTTTAACTCTAATACCTTTTCCAAATGGATTATACCCTTTTCCTAAGTTTTCAAACTTTTGATCATCTGTATCATCGTCATTATCAACTTCAGAAAACTCTCTCTTCTCTCCTGCTTGGACTTTAACATTTCTTCTATTTTCAATTCCTTGTCCCTTTCTAGACTGTATATCCTTAAGTCTCTTAACAACGTCTTTAATGTCTCTAACTAATTCCTTTCTAGCTTCCCATCTTCTTCCTGCAACTTCAGTCATCTCTATATTTATCCATCCATTTTCTTGTAATGATTTTATAGTTTTATCAACTTGTTCGATACATGGAGAAAAACAACAGATTCCAACTCTATTAGTGGTTGATATAACTTTTTTAAGATGTGGAATAGCAGTCCAAGGTGATGGTAAATCTAAGAATACCACATCTCCTTCAATAGATCCATTACTTGAAAAGTGCTCTGGAATGGTTTCAATTTCGAATCCATGATGACAAACATCTCTATGAGTGATTAAAGTATTTTCAAGATTATGATCTTCAAATTCCTTCTTTGCTTCCAAATATCTTGGTTCATGGAATTCATAAGAAAATACCCTTCCGTTTAAACCGGTTGTTCTAGCAAATGCATGGGTGAATGATCCTGAACCAGTACCTGCTTCGATTACTCTAGTTCCACTAGTTACATTCAATCTTTGGATAATATATGATGAATCTGGAGTATAAACAATTTGTGTTCTATGTGGTAATGAAATGGACCATAATTCAGGAGTAGGATGAAGTAAATATATAAACCCATAACCTCTGGCCCCTCCCATTTGTTCACCATATTTCATTCCAATCATTTTATCATGTTGAAAATGACCATATCTTGTATTTAATTGTTCACCTTTTTTAATGGTGATTGGTTTAATGGCTTGTCTGCTAATGAAAGCTAGCACTATATCACCTTCCTCTATATAGTCTTTGTATTGATAAAATGACATGGCTTGATTCTTCTTAACTCTTGCTATATTAGATCAATCTAAACCCATCTTTAATTTTTTCACTTTTCAATGGTCATCTGCTTATATACACACCATAATTTTTCCCATTATCTGAAATGACTGCAAATAAGTCAATCATATCCTGTATTTCAACTGTTAAATAGGATATCAGGTTTACTGGTCTTCTTCAGTTGGCCTTATTGGATATCCTGGTAGCCTTAAACATCTTAAGTTTGGTCAGTTGATTGGATTTGTGGATATATTAATGTTTGTCTAATTTTTATTTTCTTACGCTAAAGCCTTTAACTAGTATACCTTTCAGCAAAGATGGCTTAAAACAACCCCAATAGCAGTTTCATTATCCATTGATAGCTTATTTATCAATAAAATATATTAATTGAACTACTTCTTTGCTATATACATGTTTTTGCAATAATTCCTTATAAGATCAAGAGGTCGTGTGCTCGTGTTCAAAAAACTCAACCTAAAATTTTTCGAATTGACTTATGTTGATCAATCAATATTATAGGTACTTGTTAAGACCATAGTGTTTCATATCAAGAAATGTCCCAATCTCCAATAGCTGCTCAACCAAGTCAAAGCCAGCCGTCACAAGCTAAGGACCCATTTTCTCCAAATGTTGAAGATTTATACTTGGAATCCTACGCATTCACAACTGCTGCTGCCATAGTAGGTTCAGTTGATAGAAAGGTATTCGTATTATTAAGAGATGGTAGAAACCTTTTCGGTATATTAAGAACATTCGATCAATTCGCTAACTTGGTATTACAAGATGTAGTGGAAAGAATATATTTAAATGATGAAGAAAATTCTCCAACAAAATTTGGAGAAACTTATAGAGGTGTATTTATGGTTAGGGGTGAAAATGTTGTAATGTTAGGTGAATTAGACATAGATAAAGAAGATGATCATTTAGAGAATTTAAAACAAATATCTTTTGAAGAAGCTGAAAAAGAATTAAAAATTGTTCATGAAAAAACCATAAAAGAAGAAGGTATTAAAGGTAAAAAGTTATTATCAAAGGGACTTATTAATGATTTTGTAAAATCAGATTTATACTAAGTAATGATTATCTTCACGAATTTTGTATATTTAGGTTATGTTTTAGTATTATTTTTAATAGAGCTTGTCTACAATGAAAGTTACTATCGTTAATATCATAAGTTTTAAGTTAGGGTACTCATAATTTCCCTAATGCAATTCTTTTAGCTTCATAAGTTGCAAAGAATTTATCAGCATTTTTGAAACTCTTAGCTTCGTTTCTACCTAATTGATTTAAATGAGCTTCATCTGGTCCATCAGCAATTCTTAAAATTCTAGAATGAACAAACATTCTTGCAAGTTCAGTATCTTGAGACATACCTTCTGCTCCAAACATTTGAATACACCAATCAATGATCTTCACAACAGCTCTAGGAGTCTCAATTTTAGCCATAGCAATCTCACGTTGAGCACCCTTGGCACTAGTTAAATCAATCTTGTGAGCTGCATCTAAAACTAATAATCTACATTTTTGGATGTCAATCTTATGTTGAGCATATTGCGTAATAAAAGTTTCTCTTTGACTTAATGGTTTTCCAAAAATGATTCTGTTATTGGCTCTACTAGCAACTCTTAATAAAGCATGTTCAGCAGCTCCAATTGATCTCATACAGTGATGAATTCTACCAGGACCTAAACGTGATTGAATAATTTCAAATCCTTTTCCTAATCCAGCCAATAAAACATTTGGCATGTCATCAGTTGCAACTTCAAAGTTGTTAAATTCAATTTCACAATGACCATGGGGTGCATCATCATAACCAATTACAGTTAATGGTCTAATTAATCTTGCCTTACCAGTGGCTAAAGCTTTCTTTGCATCTAAAACTAAAACCGAATGATTTTGATATGGAGTTTTTTCATTTTTACCGGTTTTACACATTACTAACCATACAGCACATCTTGGATCACCAGCACCTGAAGCAAACCATTTTAAACCATTAATAACATAATTTCCTTTTTTGTTTTTGATAGCTGAACAAGAAATATTTAAAGCATTAGAAGAAGAAGTTCCCCTCTCAGTCATTAAAAAGGCTGATCTGATCTTACCATCTAATAATGGATTAAGATACTTTTGACGATGATAGGTATTACCATACTTGGCAAGAATTTCCATATTACCAGTATCTGGAGCATTGGTGTTGGTAGCTTCTGGAGCAATAAAAGATTTTCCTAAATATTGTGCCATTAAACCATATTCTAAATTAGTAAATTGAGGACCCTCTTTATAATGTTTTGATAAGAACATATTCCAAAGGCCTAATTCTTGGGCTTTCTTCTTTAATTTTTCAGTGATTTCAGGAGTTGATTTCCATCTAGTAGCTGGATTATCAGACAATTGCAGAAGGTAAATCTCATCAGCTGGTAAACAATAATTATCAACAAATTCTTTACATTTTTCAATTGCAGCATAACCCCTTGGGGACAATTTATCAAGGAAAATAGCAGGAATATCGTCTTCAATGGACATTTTGTTTAGATAATTTTAGGTTATAAGTTATAAGTTATAGTTATAATTATATAATTACAATAAAATTGATATTTGAACTTTGCATGAATAGGATTTATTTGTGATTATATACCCTTTTCAAGTCCGCTTCTACCCCAACTTTTGAATTATTTTTCCGCTATTATAAAATTTACCGAGGAGAGCTAAACTGCAATCTGATTTCACTTTTTGCAGTTTGTTTAAACTGCAAATCTACCTCAAACTTTTACAGGTTGATCCACCACTGTTTTTTTCAACGAAACCCATAATCAATAATCAAAGTGTACCGATTATATATAACTTCAACTTTTATTACAATTATCGAGTTTAAGCTTTCAAAACTCATTTTGAATAATTAATTTGAATATATATACCATGGATCTTGATTCAGACGTCCCTCAAATCCCAGATTACAGATTATCAGAGAAACAATTTCTCTTGACCACTGGTATAACTGGTCGCCACCGTGAAGAAATCTTTGAAGAATTGATAGCATCAATTAAAGAAGATAATCTTGCACCATACTATAAATACTTACAATCTCAATATTCTGATTTCCCATATGATGAAGAAGTTTATACTGCATTAGCTGCAAAGAATGAAGAAGAGATTTCAAAATTGACACAAATAATAAAGGAAGCAGAAGCTGATGATGAAACTGAAGTGGATATATTAGGTACCACCATAAAATTAGCAGAATATTATACCAAGATTATTGATAGAAAGAATGCCACTGAAACTTTAAAGAAAGCATTGGATTTATCCCCAGGTACTGGATCAAAAATTGATCTTCTTTTAACTTTAACTAGAGTTGAATTCTTCTTTAATGATTATCCTTTGGTATCCAAATACTTAGATCAAGTTAAATCTTTGATAGATAAAGGGGGTGATTGGGAACGTCGTAATAGATTCAAGACTTATAATGGTATTTATTTAATGGCCACCAGAAACTTTTCTGAATCTGCAAAATTATTAATTGATTCATTAGCTACATTCACTTCAACTGAACTTTGTAGTTATCAACAAGTTGCTCAATATGCCATTGTTACTGGTGTTTTATCATTAGATAGAGTTGATTTAAAAGCAAAGATCATTGATTCTCCTGAAATTTTATCAATCTTTTCATCTGCTCCAGAACTAGAACCATTACTTGATCTCACAAACTCATTATATACATGTCTGTATGTTTATTTTTTCCAATTCCTTTTAAAATCATATGATAACTTATTACTTCCAAACAAGTACTTGCATCAACACGCCAATTATATCTTACGTGAAATGAGATGTAAAGCATATGGACAATTATTAGAAAGTTATAAATCCTTATCATTGAAATCTATGGCTCAAAATTTCAACATTACTGAAGAATTCTTAGATCAAGATTTATGTAAATTCATTCCAAACAAAAAGTTGAATTGTACAATTGATAAAGTTAATGGTATAATTGAAACTAACAGACCAGATAATAAAAATAATCAATATCATTTATTAATTAAGCAAGGTGATAATTTATTAACTAAATTACAGAAATATGGTGCTGCAGTTAAATTAAGTGGTGCAGAAAGAGTAGCTTAGTTGTATAGACATGTAATTGATATTAGATTAATATAACCAAATAAGTTAAATCATCTTAAGAGTAAAAATTATAGAATTTTAAAAAAATAGTATAAAGAGATTGCAAAAAATAAAAGGAATAATGAAGGATGCGAGGTTCGAACTCGCGCGGACACCGTCCAACAGATCTTAAGTCTGCCGCCTTAGACCACTCGGCCAACCCTCCAATTTTCGACAAAAAAAATTGCTACGTTTGTGGCAAAGAAAAAATATCCTTAACAAAAAATTGAATTTTCAAAATTGGTAGCGCGGTTTGAGCTTTTTAAACATCTAATCCAACAGGCAATTAAAAGCATTAAAATAATCTCAACTATGTCTACTTATCTAGTTTATCCTTCTATATCTAAAGTAACTTCCAAAAAGAGATTAAATACTTGATTTTTCTTTGGTTAAATATTATTCATATTTTTGCAATATTTCAAGCTACATTCTAATATAAAAAAGTTTATATGTTATTAATGAATATATTTTGAAGACTTAAATACCAGAGTTCTAATAATCATTTGACTGTCTGTCTCTTTATGAACATTTACTTTTTAAAATCATACTTTGTTATAGTTTTAAAGTATTACTCTTCAATTATTAGACATCCATTTCAATTTTTTATTTTACAGATAGTTTCACCTAAAATGATTATTATTCTATTATATTGCATTCATCTATATACTATACATTGAACTCTAATGATTATTAATGTATCAAAGGTAAATTAGTCTATACAATGAATTATATTTTGCAATCAAGTATTATATCAAACATGAAAAATAATTGGGCTCTTCGACACGACTAATTTTTTCTAGCACATTCAAAAAAAATTGTACATACATAAATTTAGAATTATATTATATTACTTGTTCTCGCAATAACTAAAGCAACAATGTCTAGAAGAGGAGGTGGAAATAATAATAATTTGAACTCGTCTGTAGTATATTTGGGTCAAGTACCCTATGATTGGGATGTGGCCACTGTTAAATCAGTAGTTTGTGGTTCGGGTAATGTGGTGGATGTAAGATTAGGATTCGATTATGCTGGTAAGAATAAAGGATTTTGCTTTGTTGAATATCTTAATCCATCAGAAGCTCAAAGAGCTTTACCATTCTTAACTCAAATAAAGTTATTTAATCAATCGAATAAAGGTCAATTTAAGAAATTAAAAGTTGAATTATCCAAAGAAGGATTTTTAAAATCAAACTCTCCATCGGAAGCAAAAACTGTACTTCACCTTGATAGAAATAATTTACCTAGTTATGTTCAACTTCCTCAAGATATGTTAGGTGGAATACCACCCCAACAGAATCCATTAGGTTATTCAAGACTGTCAAATTCTCCTGCTCCCCAAAATATTTATAGTCCTAGAACCAATCAATCCCAAATACAAGGCCAAGGTCAAGGTCAACCACAATCACAAATTCAAAGTCAATTACAATCAAAACCAAATGCTGGACCTTTACCTCAAATACCGGCTAAGATTTTAAGTGCTACTAAGCATTTACCTCAACCTCAACAATTACCGTTTGACAAATCATCTGATATTAATCAAGTGTTAAGTAAAGTACCACCAGCACAGTTAATTGAATTAATTGCTACGTTAAAGAACATATTGAATTCTGGAGATGAGAATAAAGCATTTGAAATATTAAATTATGGTCCTGATATTCTGTCAGCAGTTGCTCAAGCATTGTTATTAATGGGATTTATTGATAATGATGTCATTAGTAGTGCCAAAGATGCTCCTGCTAGACCTCCACAAAATCAACCCATACAGCCTCAACAACAATATCAAGCACCATCATTACAAAGTTTCATTCCACCACCACCACCACCACCCCAACAACAGCAACAACAGCAACCTATAATGAATAATCAGTATAATAATGGTCCACCAAATTTACTGATTGATGCTCAAGCTAAATTAATGTCTGATCAAATGCCAATTGCCCAAGTTTTAGCATTGTCTCAAGATCAAATAGATAAGTTAGGTCCGCAAGAAAAGGAGTTATTAAATTACTTAAGGTCTCAGTATAAAACCTAAATTTAAGATCATGATCGGTTAGATAATTATCCCGCTATATATAGCTTGCTCTAATATAAATATAAATATATGTCTAAATTTAGATAGATATCTAACAAACTGTAGTACTATATAAACATCGCGTAAATCGCAACATCAAAAAGAATCGGAGTATTTCTAAATTTTTGTTTTTTGGATGCTCAATTTCTAAATTTAGAGATTACAAGTTTAGAGAGACCAACTTTTCAACAATTTTACGAATTAGTCTGCCCAACATTATGGATCCCGATAATATTCCTACATACTTGGGGACTACTGTTATTGGCATAGACTCTGATGGTGGAGTATCTAATGATGTTCCCGCTTGGTTGAGAGATTTTATTGGGAGAGCTTTAACCGCTAGAGGAATCAGAACCAAAAGAAAAGTAGCTTCAGAGGAAGCTATAGAGAGTCTTTCAAGAGTCGATTTTGATCTGTTGAAGGAGAAAGATTGTCCTATATGTTACGATGCTTATGAAAAACCCCTTCATGAGAATAAAGTACCTAATGTCTTAAACCATGGACATATGCTGACTCAGCCTGAAGTTAAACCAATCATCAAACCAGAACTTGAAAAGATAATATCAGAAGATAAACGTCTAAACAAGACTTTAGTGGAAGATTATAATATTCGAAGTGTGGAGCCTGTTGAAGATAAGTTAAAATTTAAAGATCCAGCCTTATTTTTAGCAACGGATGAAGGTGCTGTCGGTTATTTTAGATTTCCACAAAGAAATTTGATTTCAATGCAAAATATTAGTGATGAAGATATGTTTCCAGGGTTTTTTGATGAAGAAAATACTAAGAAGGAAAAGAAGAGAAAGTTACAAGAGTTTAAGAGTGAAGGCCATATACCCGTTAAAATGCCTAGTTGTGATCATATCTTTGGTAAAACTTGTATAGTTGAATGGCTTAAAGCAAATGTGAGTTGTCCATTATGTCGCTCTGAAGTTGAAGCCTTAGTTGAAGAGGGCCCTCAAGTGAAAAGGTTAAGAGAAATTCAAACTAATTCAACATATAATTTTAATGATCAAGATCCAAGTGATCAACATATTCTTATGCACTCTACAGATGTGTTCAATCCTTATAGGAGACCATTTAATCCATTAGTCACTCCCCTTACTGATTCATTTATGCTTCAAGATTGGGCTACTCCTTATGATGGAACTTCTGGAAGAGTTAATACGAGAGACCCTTCATTAATTTTACCAAGACGGTTTCCATTTCCTGAGCCATCTCTTTTAAGAAGGGGACGTAGTAGTTTGATAGGTAGAGATGATGAGAGACCAAGAATTGATTTACCTCATGGTCCAGATGGTAATGTTATACCTCTTCGCGGAAGATTTACTGGATCAAATAATAATAATAATAATAATAATAATAATAATACTGCCAGCAGCAATATTAATAATAATAATACTAACGTTGATAATGAATCAGTCAATGAAAATGGAGCTCAGGATAGTGATTCTATGAATCTTTCTGATGATCAATTTAATTCTCCTTCTGCTTTTGATACAAATAGTATGAATGATGGAGAAGATTCTAATGACGGTACAACATCGAATAACTCTCAAACAAGAAGTAATACTGCTCGTCCACTTTCTACTGGTTCACTTCCAAGATGGTCTACTAGATTGAGAGGTTCAGATCGAAATCGTCGAAGTAGTCCTAGTGTTAGATCACATCCTTATTCCAGACCTCAAAGTGAAGAGTAAATATAGGGGTTCATATACGTTTTCTACAATTTATATAAACGATTAATGACCAAGTAACACGGGTATAAATATAATGCTATATAGAGATTTATAATATAATGAAACAAAAAATAGATGACCATGATGTAATAAATACTTTGGTATATACCAGAAATAAGTAAAAAGCCCATACCAGAGCAATCATTGCTATTTTCCTTTATATAAGATTTTTGGAGCTAAATAAGAGTATAAAAGGGGAGTAGTTTCTAGTAATTTGATTACCAATTGATATGTTACGAATGGCTAACTGATAATCAATCAGAATATATCAACCATGTTTAAACCAATTTCACAAACAAGTGCATTAAAGACCGTAAGTCAAATTACCGTTCATTCTCAATCCTTAACCACGAAAGTCGCTACCAAACCTAATGCGAAAATTATTACCAATTCAATTAGATCATATTCAATATTAGATAATGCAAAAATTGCTATGGATAAATTGAATAAGGGAGCTGGTAAAGTTGCGGCTGATGGATTAGGATTTGCCGAACAAGCTACTAAGACTGCAAAATCAGGTGTACATGAAATCAACAAGAAGACAGTTGAAACTCTTGATACCGTTAATAAATCTACGGGGAAAGTTCTAGCTGATGGAATGGACGCTGTAGAACAAGCTGGCGAGAAAGCTAAGGCCGCTAAGGACGAGGCTCTTCTTACTAAGGATCAACTTGAAGCTAAAAAGAGAGTCAGAGAACATCATAAGGGGTATAAGGATTTGCAAGATAAAGGTAGCAAGACCGAGAGTGAACAAAATCGCCCTGATGATGCCGTTTGAACGCTGCTTATTTAAATAATATATATAAATATATATATGTGAGATTTACAATATATGAAAATTGAAAATGGACCGTAATGTAGAATTAAAAAAGTTGAATAATAAATAAATAAATTAAATAAAATTAAATGCAAAGGGATATATATAAGTACAAGAAAGTATTTTTTTTTAAATCTATCTAGTTTTGAAATTTTTGAAAATCAGCCACAGATAATCCTCCTTTTTCATTAAATTCTTGAACTTTATCAGCTTGTGATATGACTTGAGGTTGAGATTGGGGTTGGGCTGGAACTGAATCAACTTGTTTTTGTTGACTCTTTCTTTCAATCACACTAAGATAATTCAGAGGCACATAACCAACTTTACCCAGTCTTGATCTTACTTTCCACCATTTACTTTCATTACCTAATGGATCTTGTTTTGATAAAATGGCCACTAATTCATTTGGTTTTAATTCAATTTCCATGGCTGGATTTTCTGGATTGAATTCATATAAAGTCTTTGCAAATTGTAAACTTGATGGATCTAAAGTACCACCAACAGCACCATTTGCATTACCTGGACCCATTAATTGTTGTTGTTGTTGGAATTTACGTTGATTTTGTTCATTAATTCTTTGAATGGCTTTACTTAATAAATAAGGTAATCCAATCGATGCAGCTAAGAAAATAAGTAATGGCTTAAAAGACATTCTAGCGGGTTTACCTTGTTGTTGTCTTTTAATATTATCTTCGAGTTTTTTTTGTTGTTTTTCAAATTTAGAAAATTCAGATAAATTTATACCATAATTATAAGTATTACCTGTTATTTTATGAAATACTTTTTTAACAAGATTAATTAATGCAAATATACCTAATAATGAGCCTAAAGCATTTTTTAAATTTCCAAATTGTTCAGCTAATGATACCATAGTGAAAAATGATGAATGAGTAGCCATATAAGTTGCTTCTAACATTTGAGCAAAACCTCCTACGGCCCCTATTATAGATTCGATTAATTGAAATGTAGCTTGAGTACCTTCACCTAACATACCTGGACCTCCTCCAGGTCCCATCATACCAGGTTGACCATACATTCCTCCTGCACCATAACTTCCCATACCATACATTCCACTTCCATATCCTCCACCCATACCATACATGCTACTACCATATCCACTTCCCATACCACCATAACTACTTCCATACATTCCACTACCATACATGGAACTATTTCCATACATTGAAGATCCATAACCACCACCAGCTCCATATCGTGATCCATATCCTCCATACCCAGTAGTATTAGCTGTACCATATGGAGAGCTATTGGCCATGTTATTGAAGTCTGAAGTTAAGGAAGTAGGTCTGTCGGGTAAGGCAGCAGCAGCATTAGCAGCAGCATTATTTGCTATTGATCCTATACCTGAAGTATCTATATTTGTTGCTGAAGGAATTGCTTCTCCACCTGATACTGAAGCTGAAGAAGTTCCTGAAGAAACTTCCCAAGGTTTAGGTCTAGGTGGTATTGATGACATATCTCTCTTACTCTCTGATCTCTGATGATATATTATATAAGTTTTATGTCGTTATTTGTTCTGAATATACTATGATTACAGTCAAATTTGACTATTTTCCTATAGGGTTTTTCTGTTTCGCCCTCTTCCAGTCATTCTTATTTTTGAACAAAGGGAACGACTCACACGTGATGTGGGGAAAGTCAAAAAAAGATATCTCCACTTGTTGCGTAATTCCTCGGTACGATAAAAAAAACGATTAGTTACAAAATCATAAAGTTGCAAAAATAAATAACAGGAATAACTTATTTGTAGAGATGTATAATAAATATTTATATACAGAGATAGTATAAATAGACAGAGAAAGATAGGGAGATATAAAGGAATTGGAGATATAAAATACTCATGGTAATGGTTCTGAACTACTACTTAATCTATTCAAATGTAAATAAACATCAGTACCATATCCATCCATACTAATTAATTTCAAATCACCTCCGAAATATTGAGCATATAATCTTGAAATTGGTAAACCATAACCAAATCCAGCCATAGGAGCTTTAAAAGAATTTTGATTTGAATCTAATTCTGGAGTTTCACTTACAGTTGTATAAAGATAAGTCCAAATTAATGGAACTTCAGAACGAGGAATACCACCACCTTCATCACTTATCTTGATACAAATATCTTCAATCCCTTCTGAAATAATCACTTTTATAGGAGGGAACGTTAAATCATTAATATCGATTGATTCTTCTTTTAAAGTAGGATCTTCTTGAATCATTTTAGCTTTTAATTTAGGAGTATGGAATTCAATGGATGCACGTAATGAATTCTTTAACGTTTCAAATAACATATGAATTAAATGTCCAGGAACATACATGAAACTAATATCTTCTTTAGCCATGATTAATTGGATTTCAGGACCTTCAAATAATCCATAATAATCTTCACAAACATATTTGGCAGTTTCAATGGCATCTTCAGCAATATCACCCACATTACAATCAGTACAAATAACTCCCACATAATTTAATTTATTATTATATCCACCTGCAGCAGCACCATTTGATTGGGATGATGATTTTTGACCATTTCCATTTAAAAAAGTTGAGATTCGTTGTTTGGTAGGTGAAGCTTGAGCTTGATTAAGAGCAATATGTTGACCAATTAACATTCTAATACCAATTCTTGACATATAAAATCGATCCAAAAAGTTTTGAATATCAGCATTAACCAATACGGTTTTATTCTGTTCTTTCCATTCAATTACGCCTCTTGCCATAGTTGCTACTGTAGCATCATGTCTCTTTTTAATTTTCGTTAATGCATCAAACACTGATTTATTATAATCATAAACTTCTTTAGGCCAAACTATATTAGCTGGACATGAAGTGTAGTATGTTTTACCAAATGTAGGGCTTTCACTTCTTAATTTGGATGAGGAATGACTTGATGCGGATAATGATGCTGATGATGATGGCGATGACGATGTTGTTGATGATGATGAAGTGGCTGTTTCGGTTGTGATGGAGGATGATGGATTTACAATGGATGGGTTATTTAAATGATGATGATGCTTTCTAACTACTATACCATCATCACTGAAATAATTATTTATAGCTGGATTAGTTGAATCATCTGATGCATCCAATGATTTTTCTAAAATTTTATTTTCATCGGTATGATTTTTATTACCACCATTTAAATAATCATTGGTAGATGAAGCATTTAAATTTGAAGTTAATAAAGCTTTAAGGGATTCTGAAATATGAGGTTTTGGTAATTCAGTTAATTCTTGAAATGATTGAGCATACCAATTTTTAACTGTAATGGTTGAAGGTTGTTTACTTAAACCTAAAGGAGAATTTTCTAAATCTTTAACTTTTAAAGCTAATCTAATAGGTAATTCTTCCACGATGAATTGAGATGCTAAGAAAATCGAACCTGGACTTGGATTAGGACCAAATTGAACCATTTGTCGAAGGGATATTGATGTTTGTTTATAATTTGCATATTGTAAGATTTTCTCTCGAAGTTGAGATGTTAATTTCCAACTTGTGCTCATAGCAAAGAATGGGCTGAATATATGGGGTGGGTGAAAGTAAGTCTAACGAAGAATGAACAAGTGACTGAAATAAGGTATGAATAAATGAATAGTACAATCTAATAAGGTAGGAATAGTTAAAGCTGGATGTATAATATGAATAAGATAATAGGGTTGATAACAGTATTTTTGACTAATAAGTTAAATTATTTGAATTATCCCCAGATTTTTTTTTAATTTGGTTGTTGAAATTTTTGTGAATCGAAGCAGAGTTATATACAGGACAAGAGAAAATAGAATCAATTTTACACGTGCAATTTTTATCATAACAAATACACGGCTAGTACCAGTCCTCTAGGTAAACTATAACCTTACTATATGATAAGGTAGTTTAAATAGTTTAAGTGGGGGAGATATAGATAGATAATACAGTACAATACTAACTAAGAGGGGTGAACAAGAAGGTTTTAATCCATAGTCAATTACGATTGTAACCATACAGAGTACTGTATACTATATATAAATTCTGAATTGTGGGGTTGGTTGGTTGGTTATAGGTCTTCTCCAATATACTATTGTTCTATTGATTGATATTATTTTATATAACGTAGTATGAAATAATACAATTAACTAATTACGTATAAATTTATAGAATACTGTGAAAATTGAATCACCCATCAATTAACCAATCAATAGCACTAAATAATCCAACCAACCAACCAACCAACCAACCAGAATGCAAAAATACAAAAAATGGTCTTATAGGAGTTATAACTGTAGAAATCATCCAATAAACAGTTACAAAACAACGTTATTGTATAAAAGGTTAACATTCGGTTAAATGGAGCTGATTAACAATCAGTCAATTTTTGTTTTGTGGTTATAGGGATTCTGATTTTTTGGACATAAGGAAGTTTTATTTTTATTTTTAGTGGACGAAAAATCGCACGACCTCCTTAAAATTTTGTTAAGCAAACTTAACTAACTTTAATCCCTTATCCCTAACTCTCAGTAAGTAATAAATGAATGGGCTCATTCGATTGTTTCAACAACGTTTTATAAATCATATCATAACCTATAATAACTGGGGTTGATACTTAATCATTCATCACCATTCTTCTACTCTATACTATGATATTATAATAAATCATTAGTACCATAACATACATTATCTTATTAGCATATGAAACTAAATTAGCCTGTCAGTCATTGGTAAATAAAAATTTTGCTAAATCCTCGGAGAATGAGTCAGTAAAACACCCCCTGGATAAATAAAATAAAATAAAAACTTTTTTTTACCGTAAATGTATGATGAAATGACTCAAATTGCTCACTAAAAAAATGTGAGCAATCCCGGCGGACTAACGGCAGATCACTTAATCTGGGGAAACACATACATAGTAAGAAATATTTTTAATTTATCCCATTTACATAATTCAAATTGCATGATGATTGAAAGGAACTAAAATGAATCATCCTTTAATCAGACAGACGAGGACCAAACATGTATCTTTTTCAAAACTATATAAGTACCTTAAAATCTCTAAATATTTTTATTTAGTTTAAATCTGATGTAATCTATTTTAATTATATTTTTTTTATTATTTTTTATATAACTAAATAACTACAACTACCATTAAAAATGTCTATGACTAGAAGAATATTACATATCAACGCTTCCAAAACTGCTGCAAGATGTTGGATCCCCATTAATTCCACTAATAATCATCATATTATTATGTCAAGACCAAAAACAAACTTACACTCTAAATTCAATTATTCAAGACAATTCTCATCCCAACATAGATGTGTAAACTTTAATAATGTGTCTGATGCAAGTTTAGTCTCTAATGATGATACTTTATCAGTCAAACTTCAATCTACTTCCACCACTGGTGATATTGAATATTTCGAACCAACCATTGCTTCTTCAGAAGAAGTCACCACCGCAAGTCCAGTTAATAAACTCGATTAATATTAATTAAAAATTCATAGCATATAAAAAGCATATCCCCAATATTTTTAATTAATGCCGGTCCTTAATTTCCAATCCTTCTTTGCTTTCACTTCACATTTTCACCATCCTTTGCATTCATATTTTATTCAATTCTTGTTTTATATTCCCCGGAGTATAATGTTTTAATTTCCTAATCATATACAAAAAAAAATAGGGTACCACAAAAATGAACTAGAATAATAGTCATAACATAAAGTCATTAAGTCTATACTTATATATATATATAAGAGGTACACACTACCATAGTATATAATTCTTCTAGTCAATCTCATTTCCAAAACAATATATATTCATATTCATACTTTACTTAAAATCTATTTGTGCTTTTAGTATATGATTTATTTTTTATTGAACACTTTTTACGAATACCCATATACTTACCAAGACTTAAGATAACCATGTGTGTAGTTTACGAGAAGCAATTGGCATACAAGATATTCAATATACGACTTCAAAATGGGATAAAAGTAGATACTTTCAATCTATGCAATTGTTTCTATATATAACTTTAAATCTAATTTTAGATCCGCATTAAGTTTTTTAATAGATGCAAAAAAAATGTAAAGGTCTATTTGTAGCATTATATATATTAAATATGTATTTATCATTAAATTGACTTCCACTCCTTTTTCTTACGAAATCCCATCAACTTAGATTCAGAAAGAGGAAGAGAGTTGCTTATATCTTAATCTAATCAATAGAAACACAATATGATCGATATAACTCATTTCATTATATTAATAGTCACTATTATAAGTCCACTAATCGATGCAACATTTCACCAATCTTCAGCAATTCCGACCCGTAAAAGAGAAACATTTTTCTATTTTTTTGCCAAAAGGGATCCATGTGCTTCTATTTGTCAAGAAGCAGGATTTCAAGTCTTTAATGCTTGTGCAGCTTGGGATTCTAATGATTGGTCCACCGCAAGTTGTCTTTGTGAAATAGATGATGAAACTCTTTATGATGAATTTTTTGAATGTGATGAATGTGAAAATGATACGAATCAAGATACCATTCAAGGGTTAAGAGATTATCAATGTGAATTGGCTAATAGTCTTTATTCAACTTATGTACCATACTCAACTCCACCATTCTCAGGTTATCTTACAAGAACTTATAGTTTTGAAAATCAAATATTCTATTATACTTATAATGGAACTAATATTTTTACTACTAATTCGGATGGTCAAACGATACTTCAAACCTTAACTCAAACCAATGGTTCCAGTTCAACCAATACTGTAAGTTATCAAGTTACTGATTTAAATAACAATACAGAAACTTATGCAAGTTCATTTTCCCTTACATCTTTACCTCTGTATGCTTCAACTCAAGGTACAGTAGTTGATTCAGGTCAACCAATTCAAATTGCAAGTTCTACTCTAAGTCCAAGTTCAAGTTCAAGTTCAACCACTAGTTCTAGTTCAAGTTCAAGTTCTACATCAACATCAACTCCATCAACTACGTCAACAACCAACACAGGCTATGAAACTACAACCACTACTCTGCTCATCATCACTATTACATCTTACCAAACTGTAACTGAAAATATGGCAATTAACAAACAATCACCAATTTATCATATACTTTTAATATTATTATCTATATTTAATTTAGTTTAGTCTATATAGGTTAATCTAAAATATGTTTAAATACATCTGATCTTCTTTGTTCCATAAGTGGCATATTTTTTCTAATATTTAATAAATGATCATAATCAAAATCAGCCCATCCTAATTCATAATAATCATTATCAGCATCTTTAAATGGAGTTAAATCATCAGTATATTTTGATAATCTTACTAAAACTTTACCCCAAGGATCAATAATAAGTGATTCACCATAACTTATTCTTGTTACTGTTTGTTCTTTTGAAATCGTGGCAGGATCAGTAATATCAGCATTGGTATCATGATGACCACATTGAGCTGGCATAACTATATAACTTTGAGAATCAATGGCTCTAGTTTTACCTAAGAGTTCCCAATGAACTTCTCCTGTCTTAGTAGTGAAAGCTGATGGATAAGTGATAATATTAGCTCCATGTCTAGTTAAAGCATGATTTAATTCGGGGAATCTTATATCATAACAAATCGCTAATCCAACTTTCCAATCTGGAAATTGAGATGAAACTGGAAATGGATCTAAAACTAATTTCCCTGGTTCAACTGATTTTGATTCTTGTAAAATAGGTCCATTTTTAATATTAACATCGAATAAATGTAATTTTTGATATTTCTTTAAGATTTCCCCTTGAGAATTAATCCAAATTAAATTATTTTGAACTCGATTTGTGGTTGGTGAAGGTTGATGAATACCAATTGCAACATAAAATTCCTCTTCTTCTTCTTCTGTCTTGGGGAATTCCAGTTTTAAATGAGATTGAATCAATGGTAAGAATTTCTCATCGATTTGATTAGCTAGTTCTAAGGAATGTCCAGCATTTCTTGATAAATAATCAGTAGCTTCTGGTAAAAATAATATATTAACTTTATTCAATTTTGATTTCGAAATTAATTTATTAACAATCGTGGCATTATGAAAAATATTCGACGATGAAGTCAATTGACCTACAGCAACTCTTAATTTCGACATTTTATTAGGATTGTTCGTTTATTTAATGTTCAATTGATGATATATATATATATATATTTATATGCTATATTTAAATTGTGGTTTGTAATCGTCTTATCCCTTTTTTTTTCCAACCTTCTTATCATTTTTTTGAGCCGCACTTATGGATCATATGACTCAAAAATTAAATCGGTAAAATTTCCAAATTAAGGTCAATATTCAAATAAAGATTAATGATTGTTGATTGTTTTTGTTGTTGGTATTTTTAGGATGATTTAAAAGAAGTATGCTATTATTTGATTTAAATATGGTATTATTGGATTGAAATATGGTATTATTAAATTGAAATATGGAGTTATTAAATTGAAATATGGTATTATTAAATTGAAACATGGTATTATTAAATTGAGATATGGAGTTATTAATGGAGTGGTGCTTACGGAACTCATTCTGATAGCCAGAATAACCATTTCATCTCTGTGTGCAATTATACCTGTCTGCACCAAACCCATAATAGATTGAACAACTAGAATAGGGTATCTAAAATATGGTGGGATTCTTCTAGCCACTGGTCTTAAAAATTGAATAACTGGGTTACAGAACCGTTGTATTGAAGTGAGTATATAATCACAAGTTCTTGTAATAGTATGAAGAGCCCTTTCATCTATAATTGCAAAAATTCCTCTTTCTATGAAAAACCAAATTAAACTACCAGCAGGCATCGCAAGTGTTGTAGCATATCTAACTGCTACTCTAAGAAGCACATCACTAGGCCTAATACAGGATGTGCTTAACAGAACCGCTTGTCTGAGAACTTGAGCACCGTATCGAATAATGTTCATTTAATGATTATATTGGTTTACTAAATCGATCAATTTAATAGTTTAATCTTGATAGTTTTGAGAAGCTTAGGAATACTCAAGCAGGTATTTATATCTTTGAAATGGAAAGTCATCTACACGTTTTTAATAAAAATTCTGATATAAGATGTATAATTTTAAAGATAAGATAGATACTTTTGAGGAAACATCCTATTCAATTGCTAAAGAAAAAGTATAAATTTAGAAAAACCCCAAGATCGATGACTTGAAAGCGCTAAAATTAGAACTTAGCCTTTACCCCACCCACGAGATAGTAACCAATTTCACTAATTTTGGGTTGATCTAAGTATTACCCCCCTCGACGATCGATGTGAATTATCCCGAATGAATTTTAACAAATATAGTTGGATGCACATAATTCGGACTTTCTGTTTTTCTTGTTATCGTCAGTCTCATCATTGATTTTAAATTATCATTTATCGATATGGTGGTAGCAAACTGTTGAATCTTATTATTTTAAAATACTCCTATACTTAGAAAACATGACAAATCAACAGTTTATGCTTCTATTTTCATGTTAATTTACAGTAGTAAATTGTGACTATTATTGAACCTTTACCCTAAATTTTTTTTCACTTTAGCTTAAGATTAGGCACTTCATTGAACTCACTTTAAATGTACTATGACTTGTGCACATCTACTTTAACTAGCCCTTCCTAGTTCAGGAACTAGTTTTCCTTTAAGTATTAGCGATAACCATTCGGTTCATTTACTTAATTCTATCCTATTTCATATCATATTTCTTAACTTTTTCCCTTACGAGATTCTTTCACTGCAACTATAATCAAGGTAGTTAAAGCAAATGTAAGACTTAAGGCCGACATAACTCTAAGAAACATGAGCAATTTTGGATTAACTGGTGGTTTAGGTGTGATTTCTTCTTCAAAAGGACCCCGAGACTCGGGAGGCTCAACTGGAGTACTCTGAATAACATATTGATCTCCAAATGGATTCTTTGATTGATGATCTGTCAACTCTACTGATGAAGACATTTTACCATTCAAGATTCTAACAATTCCTTAATCTTTACATTTTTAAAAGTGGATTATGTATCTATTTATACTATCCGCCCCACATTTTTTTAAATTATTTGGAGGTTGTGTAGTTAGGTTGTTATATTTTTCTGAGCTGCATATCATAAAATAAAATTACGAATTTTATAATCTAATTACACATAGAAGAATGTAGGAGTTGAATTATAATCGAATGATATATGATTAAGTTTTAATCGTTCATTATGAGTCAAGTAATGTCATTGAAAGTGAAATGACATCAGAGTTCTCCTTGATCTCGTATCAGATTTAATGACATTATTTTGTCATAATTTCTACATGACAGCCGTATGAAACTAAAATCGTTGTCAGTTTAACTATCAATTCAAGGGATGAGGGATTAAATAACCTTAGAAATATCTGCGTGGCGGGTTATAATGCAAAGTATTGCATCAAAAGTATAATTTACCAAATCCAAATCAAAATGAGTGAAAGAAAGGGGCTTTGATCACATAGATATTTTGATCAAGTCATACCCTGAATTAATAATCAGAATCCTATATATATATCACGTAGATCTGCATCTTTACTAGTTTCAACCTAAATCAAAGCTTCAATATAATAGTTATTTTAACTATCTTTGAATTTCACAAAATGTAACCAAATATGATTGATAAGATAGCTTACGAATTTACCAGGAGCAAAAAATAAATTAAACTCGTAAAAAGTTTCATTGTAATTATTTGACATATTATTCCTTCTTGACATATATACTTTAAATAGTCAAAAGGTTTTTTTAGAGCCTTCTGATATGCATTAAAGAAGATATGCTAAACTGTTGATATGTTATCGAGAGGGTTTGAATATGTATTTTTGAAATGAAGATGATCTCAATATACTTATTAATCTAATTTATCAATTACCACATTAAACATTCAATTCACAACTATATAATCGTAGTTAATCTTACTTCAAACAGTATTGACTAATCATTCATCTAATCTAATAAAATAAAAATAGGTGAAACAATTAATTAGGGACATACAAGTTTCATTTGACAACAGTTGTGGTTTGTGATATACTCAACAAAACATCCAAACTTCAATAGTAAACATTACTGATTCCTAATTTGCTAAAGATATACTAAACATTGGAATTATGTACATGAAAAATATTTAAAGTAATTATATATCTAACAAATTTTACTCTAAATATTCATCATTAACATATGAACTAATTCAAATAAATAAAACTATTTAAAAAAATAATTAGGAAGATCCAACTTCCATCTGGCAACAAAATTTAGATAAATTGATGATTTCTTGTGATGTATTTAAAATTAAGTATGGCAGATTTATATATGCAGGATATATAAATTTATATACTTTATAATTATAATATCTTTATTAAGATTAAATTTAAATGATATATATCACTATTAAAACTTACTTGAAATACTCTGAATCAACTAATGAATGAATCAAATAGAATAAACGTATCTAAAAAAATAATTAAAATCATATGACACCTTGATTTATAAACTCACGGACCAACTGGTCAACTTTTCAAAAACGGTTTACATAGTGCACCAAAAATAACTGATCCATCAATTACATGCAAAATTTAAAAATATGATTGTAATTGTTGAATCATTCTGATTATGCTCATATCTTTAATTATATCAAAAGTTGAATTGTTAGTACTGTTAGAAGTGGTCAAACATTGACACCTTGATTTGATCATTATTCAAAAAAAACGACCATCTGGTCAAATTAATTGTGTGCAGGTTCGGGTTGGGTGATATTTTGCAAATCGAGTTGTGCAGGATAAATGTTTAAAAATCAACTTAAATTGAATTTAACTATATGTCACATAAGTTTAAAGGATATATATCACTAATAAATGTTAGTTTAAATTATCTTATTAATATGGATATCTAATTTAATTCATAATTTATATTAATAAAAATAATTGGGATGTTTTTATTTTGATCATCACAAGAATATCTCCTAAAAGTATTACACTCCAGATTTTTCAAGTTGCTCTGTGAGGTATGGATGTTTTGTTGCACCAGGACAATTTTGTTGCTGGAAGACAGTTGTGTTTGGCCCGTTATTGTATGCAGGAAAAGTCAACATTTCTCTTTTTGCATTTGATAAGAAAGATGATTATATCTATATTTACAAATTAATCGTAAGATAAGTGATATCATCATCATCCTGTACCAACAATTAACTTAGTTGCTGATTGTAAGGATGATATGATATTTTCAGAAAAGGGGAGAGACAAAAGAATGGAGGAGATTACTCAATAGTTCATTTTTAACTCTGTTTACAAGTTCAATTGTTGGATATTCATTATTTGGTCAAGGGAGACAAACAGAAAGGGAGGGGATTTAAATCAATTCATATGAATATTAAATTTGAATAGGGGGTAAGACCATAATAATATTTAATCTAGGCTACAATATTAATCTAAACGAATAAAATAAAATAGAGAGTAAAGGAAAGGAAAGTAAAGTAAACGATTATAATTAGTAGTAGTAGTAGTAGTAGTTTATTATCGTATAGAGTAAAAATAATTTGCTTAACTATGAATCATGTGACCTATTTTACTCCTATTTAAATTTATTGTCTTGCTTGGTATAATGAAAAAGGAGTAGGGGGGAGAATAAGGAGGGGAATTTCTAGTTATTATATATAAATATAGTTAATAGATAGATAAAGGAGGGGAGGGGATTATTAAAGAAAGAAAATGTAAACAACCGAAAGAAGAGACAGTGAAAGAGATAAAGATAGCGAGATAAAGGAGGGGATGAGAAAGAGCTGAAAGTAAATAAATAAATAGAGGAACAACTTTCTTAAATGGCAATGTTTCCCAAAGTGGTAATATACATTTTATAATAGTTAACAGACAAAGGAGGGGAATCAAAAGAAAAAAAAAAGCAATTTAAATATTTTTGACATTTCGGATTAACTTTATTAATTTAAAACGGGTTTTCTTCCATGAATCGAATAGTCTAGAATTGATAGTAGAAGAAAGAAGGAAGGAGTCAACGCGTGTCTGATGTGTATATCACCTTATCTTACCTGTATGCACTTTAATTTAAGTTAAGCTAAGTTAAGGGATATGGTTAAATCTAGAACTATATATATTCAATTCTAGACCAATTCACTTTGTAGTTAATTATACCATATTAAATGGTCTAGACAAGATAAGTTTAACTTCTACAGAAGAGGAGTAAAAATAGCATAAGAAAGAAGGGAAGACCTCTCTCTCTCTCATATGACTCTTTACCATAGTTTAATTTATTATAGCCTCTATTTACATTTTAGATAGTACTGGCTCACTGTGGTTTCTTTTTTTTTCATTTGGATGTTGTCGTTTAAAAGAGGAGTAAAAAAATGTACTGTATATAAAATGTTGGTTCGAATATGAAGACCAACAACAAAACATCCAAACTTCAATACTTAACCTATAAATTTGAAGGGAGGGGAGGGGATATGAGTAAAGGAGGGGATTCAAATTCAAAAATAATTTGTTGCAAATAATTTAAAATCATATAAATAGAATTTAATCTCTTTTCAAATGTAAATTTGTTATTGCTAACTGTTCTTCTTCAGTTAGTATAATCAAACTACTTTTACCATTTAACATCATCTTCATATATTCAACATATATCATATCAATTAGTATCATCTAATCCATCAATCAATCAACTTAAACCTTAATCAGATCTTATCTTTTCATCCCATCACTCCAAAACACACGCGCACTAACTATATAATAATAAGCATATTTACAACCAACTCATAATGTTCAAATCATATATATCTAGAATTGGTCAATCCATCATTAGATCAACCAATAACCTTTCTACAACCACCATAACTTCATCTTCATCTGCTTCAGCTGCTGCCGTTGCCTCATCTATTGTAAATACTTCAACCTCATCTTCTAATGCTGCTACTTCTAATAATAATACCGCCGCTACTCAAAAACCACTCATAACTATCTACCATAACTCAAATTCATTATTATCCCTGAATTTATTTTCAAAATTGAATCACTACAGTGATTTACCAAATAAATTCTCTATTGATTTAAAATTAAATCAATCATTATCAAATCAAGATTATGATTTTATTAAAGATGAATGTGTTGATATTCATCCTGATAATAGATCTATTTTAATGCAAATTATGAATATTAAACATGATCAAAAACAAAATATGGTTCAAAATTTTCATCAATTACCTGAATCACCAAATTTTAATAATAATAATAATAAAAATATAAGTTTAATTATTGATTATAAAAATAAATTAATTGCTAATGATGAAGCTTCATTTGATAGAATTATGGTTAATTATTTATCTTGTGGTATTCAAAATTTTCAAAGAACAAAACCAGTTTCAAATTATTCTTCATTTATGAATAATAATGGTAATAATAATAAGAATGATAAGAATCAAAATAATTCTTATATGACAGCTCAATCTAATAATAGTACTACTTCAAGTACAACATCATCATCAACTTTACCTTCAATTCATCAAAATTTGGTTCATCCTCATATCGCAGAATTTGCCGATTTATTTTAATTAATAATTTACTTTTTTTACTTCATTCATCTCTCCCCTCCCCTTTTTACTTTTGCTGGTACGGTGCAAAATTACATACATACACATATCTCTTATAATATTTCTTTATATAGTGATTTATAGATTAATTTAATAATAATAATAATAATAATAATATATTCAAGTATCAAACTGTATAAATAATAATATAAATGAAAAACATACACTAACAAATAACAAAACTTAATAGATTATATACCCATACGTTTTATAATATATTCTTGAATTAAAATTCCAAAACTTAAATTTAATCCTTGTTTAATCCAATCTTTAACCCATTCACTTGGATCAATACCTAATTCTTCATTTATAGTATCATTATCATCTTTTGTAAGTTCTTCTTTTTCTTTTGTTTGTTCTTCTTTTTCTTTTTCTTCTTTTTCTGGTTTAAATATATTTTTATCTTCTCCATCTAACCATTTTGCCCATTTTAAAGGGAATGGTTGAGTTTTAGTTATGATGGTTATATTATTTGTAATATCTTTTAAAATTATCGTGAATGAAAATGAATCACTATTATTACTTTCAATTAAAATTGGTTTATCATCATCATCATCAGATGATGAAATAATATGATCATGATCATGATTACTAGTAATTGGTTGAATTGAAATAAAAATATTAGATCTCTTTTGTAATTTTAATTTCTCTTCTTCAGTCTTTTCATCTAAAATTAATTTAAAATTCTTTATTGATGAATCTAAATTTGCAAAACATAATTTCTCTCCATCAATAATCTTTCCATAAAACATATTTAATTTCCCTTGTAAATTTGTATTATGTTGATGTTCATCAATAACTTTAATTTTAATATTTCCTTCAACTTGTTTCATAATAGTTTTGAAATTTTGATTAATTAATTGATGAATATATTTAATATTCAACATATCATAACTTACTAAAATTCTTAAATAATCATCATAACTATCATCATAATCATCATTATCATTATCATCATCCAAGATAATATGTTTAACATTTTCAAGTAAATCATTCAATTTTAAACTATTTTGTTGTCGTTGTTGATTTATTTGATTGGTTGTAGTACTAGCTAATTGATAAGTTTGTTCACCTAAATTTTGAGCATTTGAAGCTAATGAATCCCAAAAATTATTAACTTTAGTTGAACCTTCTTTAGACCACCAATTAGAAATAGTACTAATTGGATCAGGAACATTGATTTCTTCATTGGCTGATTCATCAGTAGTAGTTGGTGTAGTCTTTTCGGTATATCCTTCTTCATCTTGATCTTGTTCATCATTGGTAAGTGGTATATATGATTCTTTAATATTATTGTTATCTTTCTTTTTTGGTTCTAATTTAGATGGGGTACCAATGGTACCACCTACTTTCTTTTCATGTTGAGCCAATTCATCTAAGAATTCTAAGAAATCTTCTTCATTACCTCCTTCAACTTTCTCTCCCTTCCCTTCTATGATGGTATCTTGATTAACCTTATGTGGCTTTGGAGTCCCTGATTTTGAATCAGGTAAAGAGTTAATGAAATCCAATACATCTTTTTCATCAGCAGTGGATTCTGCCTTAAGTTTATCAGCTGTTGACATGGTAGTATCTGATATCTTCCCTATTCAATTGATTGATAACAACTTCAAATTCAAATTATGACGGTCAAAATTTAAATTTTAGTTGTCCTTTTTTTTTTGAAGTTTTGTTTTGGCTCCTCTCTCCCTCATTAAAACCAGACCACAAATTAATTTGAGAAAGAAATCAAAAATTAAAAATTTCAAACACCGTATGGTCAACAGGGAAGTGTTCATCATCATATTCATATTCATACCATACCACATAATATAACCATAACAAGATGCATCCTCAATTAGATAAGAACAGATTCGATACTTGTGAAAAACTAATGGATGCGTTAGAAGAATGTCATCGTCAAGAATTTTTAAAACAAATTCTTGGAGTTTGTAATTTTGAAAAAGATGAATTAAGTAAATGTTTACATTATACAAGAGTTAATGATGCTAAAGAAAGAATTAGAATAAGTAGAGAACGTCAAAAGAAATTACAAGAGAATGCTAAAAGAGCTGAAGAAGAAACTTATGGTAAGAATGCTTATCTTAAAAAAATGATTGAAAGAGAAGCTGAAAAGAAATTAAATCAAGATCAAGGGAAGTAATTAATTAAATAGATAATTTGGAAGTCAAAGGTAATGATGAAATGTAAATATCATAGCATATATGAAATGTAAATAGTAACCAACAATAAAAAAGTATATGACTATAATTGTATTTATTTATTAAAATACGTAGAAGAATACATAATCTAATTTAATCTTGACGAGTTTTTAATACTCGTCTTGTTACATTATCTTTAGTAACAATATAAACTATAGCACCCCAACCTGATAAAGCATCTCTATCAACTGCATTTAAAAGGGCTTGACTAATGGTTTCAAATAAATCTTCTGGTTCTAAATTTGGTTCATAAAGTGATTCACACATACCATATAATTGATCACTAGCGGTACCACTAACTATAAAATCTTTAGCAAAATCAATACAACCAATTGAATCAAATCCACATATAAATGGTTTATTGGTTTTTGAATGTAATCCTGCTACAATTGGACCAACAAAATATGGTCCAAATCTTTTTTCATATAATGTTGAACTAACTAAATTAGCTAAAGTAGTTGGTTCAATTGATCTTTCTTCTCTTAATTCATATAAATTATTTTTAAATCGGAAAGTTTCACTTAAAGTTATAACATCTGTTGCTAATCCAGTTAATCCTAAAAATGTTTTATCCCCAAATTGAAATAATTTTTCAAAATTATTACTTAATCCTAATGATTGATTACCTAAACGTAAATCACAAGCAATGGCTATACAATCTTTACCAACCATAGCAAGGGCCGAACCACCGTTAATTGAACTTGGATCAGACATTATGAATTATATATATATATATGTATGTGTTTATGTGAATGTGTATGTAGGAATAAGGAAGTAAATAGGGTCGTGATTGTGATTGTAATTATGATTTATGATATGAGATTCGAACAACAACAAATGATAATGATCTAAAAGATTCTAGGTTCAAATTGAGAGTATGAATGGATGGTATACTTCAATTGACTATTGGAATTGAATGAGAATTGAATGAAATGATGATAGATACTTTGATATCTTACAGTTATAACTTTCAGTTTTGCCTTTCAGATTTTCTGTCGTTAACAAAAGTTCATTATTTTTGGTGGCGCTTTTCATTTTCTGAGGTGAGACAGTCGTGTGAAAATGTGAAAATAATCTTCACGTGAATAATCATGTGATTGATAGAATGCATGGATGTTATTATTAAATTAGTTTTTAACAGCCAAATTTTAAAAAATAGGATTGGGAATATATTATATTAAATTTAACTATATATATATAACTAAAAAACACACACAATATTACAACAATAAAAGCATAAAACATCAAACATATAACAACAAGGGGATATATACAAATTAAAGTATAATTAAAATAGTAGTTAAATAAAAATAAATAAAACAAACAAAGAGAATTAAATTAAATTAAATTAAATTAAATTAAATTAAATTAAAATAAACATAGACACCATTGAAAAGCAAATTAAAATAATAATAATAATAATAGTAATAGGAAATAATAAGAGGGATAATAACAGGAATAAAAATTTAAACTAACACAGCTCCACCGAAAACTCTAACTCTCATAGCAGTGGCTGGTTCTTTTATAATTTGAAATGAATCAGTTGATAAATTTGGTGTTTCAACTTTAGTTTCAGTATCAATTTTTTCAAGATCTTTAATATCTCCAAGTTCTTCTTCTTCAGCATCTTCATCTTCTTCTTTAATAGTACTAGTACTATGACTATTTGATATTTCACCGGGATGATTACCATTTGAACTTGATGATAATAATTGTTGAATTGGACTTTCAGTATCTTTAAAATTTGATAATGTGAAATTCTTGGGAGATTTAACTAATGGATTAAAATTCTTTATAAATTGTTCATGATCTAATAAAGCTAATCCACTAATAGTTTTACTGGCTTCAAAAGTTGGAATAATATTACCAATATCTTTCATATTAAAGAAAAGTTTCTTGATTTCAAATTTAACCATAGTAGTTAATTCATCATCTTCATCCTCTTCTTCTTCTTCAACTTCTTGAGTTTGTTCATCAGATTGTTGTTGTTTAGATTCTTCTTTTTCTTCTTCCTTTTGTTCAGTTTCTAAATCAAATCTTAATTGTAATCCAAATCCAATCAAAATTAAATAATTCTTATATTTATTTAATTCTTCTTTATAATCTTCAATTTTTAAATCATAATTATGAATAATTCGGGAATAATTTGAACCATTAAATTGTTTGATAGGGAAATTCTTTAAAAATCTTTGTTTCATACTAAGAAATTCTTGATATAAATTCTTTAAATTATTATAATAATTTAAAGTTTTACCAAATTGTTTCATTAATCCATAATTATTATTAGATGAATTAGTAAGATAAATTCCCCGAGGTAATGATTCATATTTCATAATATTCTTTGATTTCTTAAAATTTACTCGTTGTTGAATAAGATAATCAAGATTAGTCCATCCATATTCAATTGAACTAACACTTTCTTCTAAAGTTGGTATAGCAGTAATTTTAGAAGCCCAAAAATTACAAGTATTAATAAATTCAAGGGCAATTTCTTTAGTACCAGCTTCAAATAAAAACTTTTTAAATGATTTTTTATTGGAAATACGTGGGAAACTTAATGACCAAACATAAGTCTTTCCAGAAGGTTGAGTATTATGAATTGATTTTTCTAATTTAGCAAATGTTGAACATAAATTATAATTACCCACATTAGCAGCATTTTTAAGCCAATTACCATCACCAATAGCACTATCAATATCTTCTTCTTTATTATACATTTGAGTTTGTTTTAATTTTCGTACCATTTGTTGATGTTTCTTAATAATCTTTGGATCAAATGAATATAATGATAATTGACCTTTAGAAACCACTACGAAATTTTCATTAAATTTATTATTCATGGGAATTAAACTTGATGAAGTTCCAGTAGTAGTATTGGTTGGTTCACGTTTATTTGAATTTCTATTACCACCAAAGAATGAAAAGAAACTTCTTGTTGTAGAAGTTGAAGTTATTGAAGCATTAGAAGGACCATTTGAATGAGCATTTGAAGAAGTTTCATCTTGTTGATCATTATGTAAGATTTTTAATTTTAATAAACCTTCTTTTAAATATGGTGAACCTTGTAATTCTAAAGTTAAATCATATTCATCTTGATAATTTTCAATATTAAAATTTTCAATTTCTTCACCAATTGACATAGTATCATCAAAATGATTATTAAAATCATAATCATTAGTAGTATTATTTTGATTACTATTTATAAGTTGTTTAAATTTAGAATCAACTGAAATCATTGAAATTGTATCATCACCACTATTAACATAATTTGAATTTGTTGAATCACGACTTATAATAGAAGATCTAGAAGATTTTCTATATAATGGATGATTTTGACCACTATGCATATTTCTTAAATGATCCATAGATTGACGATTTCTTAATCCTTTAATAGCTTGATCTGTCATTAATGCACTTCTGAAACCAGCTCTTGCTGCATTATTAGTATTGGTTGATGGAGCCATGGAAGGATTCATGGATGTTTGACCAGAAGTATTAACTGAAACACTACTAGCATTAACATGAGGTGGTTGTGGTAATGGATGATGATTACTTGAAAGGGAAGATAATCTTTTAGCGGCATTTGATAATTTTCTTGAACCAAAAATGTTATTGTTATTATTATTATTATTATTATTATTTGGAGCATCAGTTGACCAAATGGATCCTGATCCATTTGTAGGATGTCTTGTTAATTGATTATCACCATTAGTATTATTATTATCAGCAGAATTATTATTATTATTATTCTTATCTGATTGAGGGGTACCTTTTAATTGTAATTCATGTTTTAATAAATCATCATAAATTTTAGATAATTCTTGTTCAATAACAATTCTTTGTTTTATAGATAATTTTAAACTTGAATCTTGATGTAAAAAAGTTGTTAAAGTATTTTTTATAAAATCAGTTTGACTTATCTTTTTTAAATCTAAATTATTATGTAATGAAGTATTTAATAAAATAATGGAATAAATGATAATATAAATTTGTTCAAAATTTGAAGTATAAAAGTTATTTTTTGGAAATTGAATTAAATAAGCTTTTGTAAATGATGTTAAAATTCGATCTAATTCTTGAGATTCACCTTTTAAATATAATTTTGAACATAAAGTACGAATTGAAGTTAAGATATTTAAATCCCAATCGAATAAATTCATATAATAATCTCTAATTTTTTCACTATCATTTTCAGTACCTGATAAGAATTGAGTATATTCTTCAGGTTGGATTGAAATAAAAGTTTCATTAAATAATTTGGTTGCAATTGATTTATAATCATTTTCATCATTTTGAGGAGATAATTTCACTTCTTCAGAGTGGATAGAGTGAGTTGGGGTTCTTGGAGGAGTCATAGTAGCTTGTTGATTGAGTAAAGGTGTAGCCATAGGACTTTGATGATGATGTTGATAACTTGGATTATGATGATATTGACTAGTAGGAGGTGGAATAGGAGATTTTGATTCTTTGGATGAAGTGGTGAAACTAGTATGAGTATTTAAATCAGATACAGCAGAGACCATAGAAATCGAAGTATCAGGAGAAGACGAAGTAGTTATAGTCTGATGCATTCTAATAATATGGTTCTATATCTTATTGGAAATGGGTTGGATTTGCAACAGGAATTTAGACGACGACACGAAAAAAAAAGAAGAGGTTTCAGTCGTGAGGCAGACAGACGTGTTTTTAACAGGTGTAATTGAGGTAAGGGTCCTAAGTAGATAGTCACCAGTTGATTGATTGATTGATTGATCAGTCTTTGATTGATGGATTGATTGATTGAATCTAACCTTTCAAAGAGGAAGAAAGAAGAAGGAGCAAATACAAAATTTGATGAATTGTGCTGTAAATAATTATTTTTATTTATTTACGTTTTTCTGTCAGCTTCTTTTTATTTTTTTTTTGTGATTGGCTTCTGAAAAAAAAAAAATTAAATAAAATTTAAAAAAAAAAAAATTTTTAATTTTAATTTTGCATTTCAGAATTAGGAAATATTCAAATTAATTTATAGTTTTACAATCTGTTGCTTAACCATATCTTTCATTAAACTTGTAATAAAATATATTATTATCTAGTACTTTACATTACATTACATTACTATATTGTATTGGAGAGGTTATGCATGATACACATGGTTAATTCAAGGATCTCCTATTCTTTTATATTCTTTACCTTGACATGCTACCGTAGGTTACATCTAGATACAGGTATATCTTTCCTCGACCAATTATTGAATAAGGTACCCCCTACTTATATGACCCCATTCCATTCCATTGGTTATATCTAAATTGTAATATAAAACCAGGTACCATCCCCAAGAAAAGAACAAAGCAAAAAAAAAATAATAATAATAATAAAACTGGGTGTTGAAATGTATAAACTCTCCATGATTTTCAATCTGTAAAAACAAAAAATTATTGACGACTTATACCCTCTCCAAACTAAATTATGTTTAACCGAGTAAACACGTATTTCAATTAATTATATAAAAAAAGTTAAAATGTGAATGTTAAACTCGGTCGGGTACAGTATCATATCATAATTGAGTCCGGTATTTACATATAACGATAACTTAACTTTATTGTCAAGTTGACAACAACAACATTAAAAATGCTCGTCTTAGTCTTAATAAGAAAAATGGCTCGATTTAAGAAATCAAAGATATCGGATACTCGATTCCATCATCCTCATCTTGTCGTCCTTCCTTCCATCTTTTACTCTTGTTATACGCTTAACTGAACACCAAGACAATCATGATGAAGGTGAAAAGGAAGAATAAAAATTGGGCGTACCCAAACTACAATATTGATATTAAACGTACATCGTCACCAACTATCAAATATGACAAAAAGAAAATTAAAAATCATAATTTTAACTTAGTAGTTTAGGACAATTAACTAAATTGTTTAACGTACATTATGCACATAATATAGCCTAAATGAGACCATCCATCCCAACTTAATAATATATCTCGTTTGATCAGCAAAGTTAACGATGGTCATATTCCCGTGCCATATATATAGTTTAATATTTCTAGGTAGTGTTATTTTGACAAAAGTGTTTTTATTTGGGTACTTTTAAAATAGAGGTGAGTTCATACATACAACGGTATGGAAGAGCCTCTTAAATAGCCATTAAGTTTTTAATCATGTGGGTACTAATTTCTTTCATTCTATTCATTGTGTAATTTGGATTTTCTTAAACAGAAAGGGTTCACTCCTATTGTATTCTATAGTAAATCCCTTTGCCCAATAAATTGTTCATGAAGTCAATATTACTCTTAACGCCTGGTTTCTTTTTTAACTTTTGGTTATTAATATTATTAGATATTTCAATTTTGTTATTTTACGTCAAAATTTAAAATTTGAAATTATCAATTGAAAAGTTGTCAATTGATTAATTGAGGTTGGAATGGAAATAAATAAAGCATTCTTAAACCCCCTTGATTAATTAAGGAACAGTGGTCAGCCCGCCTTAAGGCTTACACTTTCCACCAATTTCTAAATCAATTAATCACAGGAAAGATAGGAAGTAATGAAAAAAAAGAATCATCATCTACATCTAAACTGAATACATAATTTGAAAACTCATTAATTTTCCTAATTAGGAAATTTCAATTTCATCTTATCGCATATAACAAAAAAATAATTTTTTTTTTCTTGTTCTTTTTTTGCTTTCGCCTGTTGGAAACTTGTTCTTTCTTTCTTCTTCATCGTTCGTTAGCTAAAAGTCAAAAAATTCACATGGTCATAAACAAATTATATGCTGATTGTTATGTATGTATGTATGTTTGTATGACTGTATGCATCGTATGTATCGACTGTTTCATACTCTGACATAAGGGTTCATTCATTCATTCATGCAAGTCGGTTATAACTAGAAGCATAGAACAATAACAGACATGGCTAATATTTATAAATAATAAAATCCCTGCAGAAAATATTCCAGTAAAAGTTTATTCTTCAAAGGCAGTGAATTCTGTTGTAATGGAAACTAATGTTTGATAAGGGTACTTTTAGTTTAATTTTCTTTGTCTTCTTTGTTATATGCATCCGTGATTTTGACAAGACTTTTCACATCCTCTTCATTATATTATTACACCCCTACTTGCCAGTTAAAGTTACGGTCTTTGCTTAATGCACAGATAAACTTTGTTTTGTTGTTCTTCTTATCACACCCTGAACCCACACTCATGAACAATGGTGGAGTTGACCCTGGACTGTTTGATGACGAATGTCTTTACCAATCAAGTAATCGTTTTGATAGATTGGGTAATGGTCAAAACCCTTTTGTTTTGATTTCTGAGTCTGATTACTTTTCAGTTTTCCGAAATGAAATGATTCTTCTTATCTAACTGCATTGGATTTACGTCGATTTACATACCTATATATGTAACTTGTATGTAAACTTATATCGCTAAAGGATTGGAATGGTAGCAACAAAAATTTCACAAAACGTTTTTTTTTTTTTTTCAGTTTTGTATGGGGTGGCGATCAGCTGAAAATTCAAAATTATGGCAACCAAAAATTAATGGCAAACTTGATTTATCCCATTTCTTGCAGTCAAATCAAATCAATCAATCAATGCTGGAAGGATTGGATGATGAGGTTAGTAGTAGAGTTCTACTAAACCTTCAAGCAAGTTATGATGCTAAAGGACCAGTTGATCTTAAGTTAATTGATGATTTCATTCCTATTATTAATACAACTATCATTGATAATAATTCATCATCATATTTATCAATTATAAATCAAATCTTAATCGATGAATCATATCATATCATCGATCCTCATCATATTTTGATTCCATTATTGGAGAAAATCCTTTCATATATCTCATTCCAACAAATTGTATCTATCTATTCAACCGATTATATCATGGTTAATTTGTTAGAGAATAAGAATATCGAAATTAATAAATTGATTCTTTCATTAATCAATCGTAAATTGAATGAAATTGAAACCATTCAATTTCTTGAATCTATATCTTATCAATTGATTCAAGCTTATTTAACCAATAGATCGTTGGATTTATCGATTGTGAATCAAATTGAATTAATTATTCAAAATTTAATCGATTATAATCATCATGATTTACTTAATAAAATGTTAAATTATAATGATTTATACAATACAGTGAGATCAAATGAAGATGAAACCCTTTTATTGGCTCGATTTCTTGATTATTTATTAATTTTAATTCCATATATCATCGAAAGTGATCAAGAAAATTCATTAAATAAACATTATTATCAATATAATGTTGATAATTTTAAAATTGATCCATTATTTTTAATATTATTAATTCAATTCTATGAAAAATTAATCCAAAAGTTGAAATCAAGTTCTAAAGATTTAATAATATTTAGAAATATTGAATCAATTTTAATTCAATTATTCTCGGATTATATTGATGCTAAATTTGATGATTTTATAAATGATGAAATTATAAATGTCCTTATTAAATTATCATATATTGATCAAACTGATAATGTTCAAATCCATCAATTCACAAATAAATTATTATCCACCACTAATATCCTTAAATCTTATAATCTTTTGAAAGTATATGAATATAATTCATCCGATTTGAAAATCCTCAGTTTCATAAATGCAAATGTATTAATTGAATTCAATGATCAAGTATATGAAGAAATCATTGTTAATTTAAATCTTTTATCGAATAAATTATATTTCCCCATTCTCATAAATTTAATCCCATCATCTCAATTATTTGAAAAATTAATCCAAAATTCACCTTATTTGAGTTCTAATTCATTATCGAAACTTTCTACTGATAGATTATTTCAAATTTTATTACAAGTTTCAAATTTCAATCATAGTAAACAATATTTGTTTAATAATTTACCATCGATAATTAATGATCATTTAATTTCAAATGATAAAGCATTTATAAATAATGATTTATATCATTTAAAAATTGAAATCTTATCTAATTTATTACATGATATTAATGATGATAATATTTGGAAATCAAATTTATCAACCTCCTTACAAGAATTAAAAGTTGGTAAAAAAATTACACCCCAAGTTGATATTATTGATGAAACTATTTAGATTAAAATTATATAGAACATCCTTATAAATATATATGAAAAAAAAAGTTCATTAATCTTGTTTTGAATTATCACTACTAACAGAACTATCCCCACCGTTAGCAGCATTCTCTAATTCCTTTAATTTCTGTTTGGCTTTCTCTTCCCTTTCAAGTTTTTGCTTTTGTCTTTCTGCCATTGCTAATTTTTTAGCTCGTCTATCACACCATCTAATATTTAAAATTAATAATAAATTAGTTACAACTATCCATGTCACCAATACTCCTAAATTCCGACCTAAATGTCCCTTCCAAGTATCAAAAAATACTATTTTTAAAGCTTCATAAATATTATACATTGGCATGGCATAACCATAATGGAAAAATCCTGGCATCATTACAAATGGAGCAAATGTAGTTGAAATATTAATAACAATATTAAAAATCATCCATGGAGCTAATAAAATCTTTTTATCAAATGCTAAGATTATTGAAACCACATTTTCATTTATACCTCCACTAGCTGAGATAAAAAGATACATAAACATCCATAATACAAGGAATCCCGATCTACCAAATGCCACATTGACAGGGACTTGGAATGCTATGGTGATTAATGCATATACTAATGATAATACCAAACAATTGATTTGAGATGCTAAGATTCTATAAGTGATATATTGACTATATTTTAATCGAGTTCGAATATAGGCATAAATTTCTAATGAAAAATTAAATTGATGAAATGAAAACACTTGAGCATAAATTAATCCTAATTCTGATGGTCCTAATACAGCAGGTGATCTAGCTGGTCTTTGATCTAATAAATTAAAAGTTGGTTTCATAGCTAAAATTGCTAAGGTATTATTATTTGATAATAAGTTTTCTTTCTGATCGTTTGATAAATTAGTGATTAAAGGATTATAAACATCGGAGGATGTATAATTAACAATCCAAGTAGCTTCGATATTAGCCAAATTCTTGGTAACATATTGACTTAACGCGGAATAATGACGTCCTGATTCATAAATCACATTGATTAATTCCGGTATGGCGGATAAAGATGAATAATTACCGGTACTCATCATTTCATAAATTAATTGAGTTGAATTTGGATTTATATGAACTCCAGCCCAATATTTTTGATGATGAATTTCTCTAATCACTTCAGCTTCGATAGTATTATTATGTTGTTGTGCTTGTTGAGTGAAATTTGATATAGGTACTACAGTCCATGTACCTAAAGATGTAACAGTTGGATCTTGAGTTATCATATGCACAAAGGTATCTGATAATAATGGTTCAATGGTAGTTCCATTACTATTTATAAAACTCTCATCTTCGGTAACCAATAACATATTAAAATGTTTATATCGATCAGTTCTTTTATAAAATGTAGCCCAATAAACAGACAATATCCCCACAAATATACAAAATAATTTGACATAATTCCAAGCAAATTTCAAAACCATATCCCCTATAGCTTTCCGTTTTTCTTTAGGAGTTCTCTTATCTTTTTCTTTTGGTTCTGGTGTTTGTTTATCATCATTATTACTATCATTCTTATTACCTGATTTAGAACTATCATTAGTTTGAGTACGACGTCCTTCATTGATGGTGTCAGCCGCATGTTCACCACCAGTCAATCTCTCAGGAAGGGAGTAACCTAACGGAGGTGGAGGACTATCATCATCGAACTCGTCTGGTATACTTCTTGAATCCAAAGGATCAACAACACAGTCTTTATCCTTGGAAGAAGAATTAGTCATTGGAAAATCGTTCTATTATCTATTTTGACACTTTCTATGACTAAGGGACCCTTTAATTATACTGATTATACTAGTAAATTCAATCTGGCCTGATTATACTTTTCAATCAACAGATCACAATGGACGACCCTAGTACGATATTTTAAATTTATTTTCGTGGAAGGAACAAATAAAATTAATACGCACAGAAACTTTCCGTACATCTCACCACAAAAATTGCGAAGGGTAAACATGAAAGTGATCATGAAAGCTTGAATGATTCAGATTGTGAACTCTTCCATAATTAGAAGGTTCAATTCCATAGACAGGATAAGATATCATTGTGAATAGAGTGTGATAGAATTGTTATGTCAGACTTAGGTAAAAATTCAGAGTCTAAACAAGAACTGGCGCAGCAACCGGAGGAACAACAGCTGCATCCAGTTCAAGATAATCATATTGAACAGGATGATGCCCATTCATTGTCCACACTTTCATCAACTGAATCTGCTCATCTAGAAGATGATACTCATGCACCTGTTCCTCTTGATGAAGCTACCAAACGAGAAGTTGCTGATAAGCAACGTCATCCTAAACCATCGTTATTAAGAAGAATATCAACAGTAGCTTCTGATTATTTAGGTAGTTCGATTGCCAGTAATGATAATACAGTGGGGACTATATTACAAGAAGAAGCCAATGATTATTTGGATTTGATTGATCGAAATTATACTACCGATGATTGGTTTGGACAAGATCAGTTAAGACAATCGTTTAGTAGACGAGGCTATGGGGATGAAGAAGAACATGATGAAGATTTGGAAGAATTTCCTCAAACTTTTGGAGGTATAGGTGGTGAATCTGGTGGTGAGGGTCTGATACGGACAGGTTCTGTTTCATCCACCGGTGCTCCCCTTCAAAGAAGAAGAAGTACAGTTGTTTCTGCTATTCAAGCAGTTACCACAAAATTAGGATTCTGGGATAAAGAATTCCATGCTGAAAGAATAAAAATCATTTTAACCTTTGCCAACAATTATTTATTCCTTTTAACTGGGTTTACAGCTGCATTATGTATCTATTGGGGTTCTTATTATGATCGTACTGCCAGATATAAAAATATTGATTTTGCCATTATAAATGCTGATACTCAAGAAGGTCAATTACCGGCTGTAGTGGGACCTGTGGTAGCATCATTTTTTAATTTAACTGCATTACAAGCATTAGGAAAATTCCATCCTATAGATTATGCTACTATATCTGCATCTGCCATATCTCATAATAATACTATAACTGAAGAAGTTTATCGTCAAATTCATCATCAAAAGTATTGGGCTGCCTTTTATATTAAACCAAATGCAACTTTAATGTGGTATGAAGCTTTAGCAACTGGATCAAATGAATTCTTACCAAGTCAATTATTGGAAGTAGTTTATGAAACTGGTCGTGATTATAATGCAGTCAATAATTATATTGTTTCAGTGGTACATAATATCCTTCAAGCATACTATGCTTATACTCCACAAACACCATTATTTGCCGATTTAATCAGTAATTTAAACTCCACCCAAAAATTAAATGTGATGACCAATGCCCCTCAATTACTAACTACCATTCCAACATTTGAAGAAATCGATTTAATTCCAGTTCCAAATCAAATTGTTCAAGCTCCACTTCAAATTGGATTAATTTATTTAGTGATTTTCAGTTTTTTCCAATTTATTCTTCAATTACCAATCCATATGTACATTGCATCCAAGATCAAAGGATTCAAATATGTGGCGTATAGAATGATTTCATCCCAAATGGGGTATGTGATCTTAGCTTTAGGTTATGTCTCATTGAATGCAGCATATGGTTTAAGTTATTCCACTACTTTTGGTAGACTGGGATTCTTAGTAGTATGGGCATTTGCATATCTTACCATGGGATCATTAGGAAGTATCATTGAAGTATTGGTATTACTTCTATTTGCTGTAAAACCACAATTAATTGGATTTTTATTATTATTTGTGGCAGTTATAAATGTTAGTCCCACCGTGTCACCCATCATGTTATGTCCCGATTTTTATAGATACGGTTATGGTATCCCCGTAAGGAATTCATATGATTTAATGCATGTGGCATATTTCAATGCTTGGAAGGGGAATATGGGTAGAAATATCGGTATCTTATTAGCATGGATGGTATGTAGTAACCTTGCTATGCCATTCTTGATGAAGTGGATGGCGGCTAAAAAAGCTAAAGCCGATGCCGCAGCAGCAGCAGCAGCAGCGGCTGAAAAAGCAAGACTTGAAGAAGAAGCCGAAGTTAACTCAGTAACTGAACATAAACAATAGTATCAGTATTTATTACATATAAACTAATATCATAATCTAATATCTTAATAAACGTTCTATTTATTTATTTACATTTTTACTTACTTATTTAAATGTTTACCCAAGAGTTCCCACAAATGCATGTTCTTTGAAACACCATAGTCCATAAACCGATGGTACTAGGCGCTTCAAACACTAAAGGATCAGTAACTAAAGAAATAGCTCTGCATCTCGTACATTTTCTTAATTTGATAATCTCCTTGTCTGATTTAGAAACTTCAAAATGAGATTTAAATGAATTTTCATCAATATTGATAACTATTTTCCTTAATGCATCAATACATTCTCTATCTGAATATTGAAATCTTGGTAAAATACTATCTTTTAAATTTGGATACAGATAAATGACTGCATTCAACAAACTATCATTAGGATTTTTTTCAAATCTATTAATACCAATATTTAACCAATCCACATCATAGAAATATAAATCTGAAACTTTCATATCACGATTGATATTAACAGCATGACGATCGATCAATACTCGTCCAATTCTTTCCATATCTTCAGTAAGCTTACCTTGACATACTAATCTTTGTTCAACCATTAATAAATATTCCTTATCTTTACCAGCCATACCTATACTTTGTTCTTTACTTATAAGGGCATCACATTCTCTTAAATAATTCTCAAATAAACTTAATGTCAATGGGGAATTATTACAGATTGTGAAATAACGACTTAAGGATTCTTTCATAGGACTGAATAATTTATTAGCTTCTGCTAAATCCTTATGTAATTTTTTCAAAATTTCATGAGTCTTACCGATAGATGATAATGCATACATAAGGAATAATCTTGGTACTTTACTTAATATGATTGGTAATGCTATGGAATTGTGCATGGTTAATTTACTATTATTTGGATTATTCTTTGAATATGCTAATTGTAATAATTCTTGATTTATGTAAACCAATAAATCAATAAGCCATTTGACATTACCTATCAATGATACAATACTTTCACCTCTTGTGATTGAATCTTGGAGACTATCTTCGGTGGGTTTTTTCTTGGAAATTTGTCTATATATGCTTGATAACAGAAACATAATACCAAAACTTGTACTTCTTAAATTTAAAACTGTCCATGCGATATCACTAACCATATAATTTTCATCCAGTAAATCACCAAGAACCAATTGTAATGATAATAATTTTTGTAATGGTGGACTTGATAATAATTTATCCACTGATTCTTTACTGAACAGATCTAATCTGAAATTAATGGCTTTATGAGATTCAGAAATGATTCTTTCTATAAATGATGAAATCAAATGTTTATTTTCATGTTTTACCACATTCAATCTAGCAACTTCAGTTTGCATTAAGGCTATAATATCGTCAGAACAAGTATTGGTATAACAAGCATAAGCATGACGGAATGCAAATGCTACCGATGTAGCGAATAATTCGGAATCAGACGTTCCTAAATGTTGTTCTTTCTCTACCACTTTCAATGTCAAGTTGAAAGAATCTCCTATCACTTCAGTATATGCTATTGATGTTAAATTTGGTGATGCGATTAATATTAATGGATTTTCAGTTTCAATTTTAGGGAATCTGAATCCGACATCAAAGATGGTAGATATGGTTTTTGGAGGAGGATCTAATGATTCAGTATGATTTTCATTTACGACTTTCATAGTAGAACGATCAATCACATCTATATGACCATCTTCATAATAGATTAATATAAAGTAATCAGCCAAGCCAGTGGTTATACTTTGGATTTTCCCTGATCTGGTTAATTTATCTTGAAATACTAAATTAACTGCTGAAGTTACGATGGATGTAGGAGCATTCTTACGTAACCCCAATTCGATAAAAGCATCTGAAACCAATTTGATTTCATCCACGAGATTATATCTATTCAAAGTAGTTATCACATCACCTGCTTCATTTTCCATAGCATAACTTATGATTATATCTAAACTTGAGTTACTTTCGGGATGGGCTGATACTAAATCAATGGAGGCTAAACTACCAAATTGATATTCCCCAATTTCCATATCATCATTATCATAAATATTAGTTTGTAATAAATCCAGTTCATGGATTTTCTTGATGGATAATTTTGGAATTCTTTGTTCTTCCTTTGGAGTATGATAATGAGGATCGACTTTTTGTCTTTTTGCTGATTCAACTAAGAATCCCCAATCGATAATTATAGTATAGATTAAGATTTTATTTGAAACTGAATCATAAACAGTGACTACTATATTCTTATCATTTGAAAATCCAATCGATGCTTGTGAAACCACCATCACTTCATCACTCAAATTGATAGTAAGTTTATGATATTCTACTTTATGTTCACCTTGATAATAAAGTATAAATTGTCCATTTTGACGTAAGGCCACACAAGCTTGCTTAGTGGAAATAGGGTGAGTTACACCATGAGATTGAAATTGACTTACATCATAAGTATAACTATGTTTTCCATTTTGAAGGGATTGATTATTCAACGTAGCTGGTTTATTAAAAATTTGAGCCTTTTCAATATTAAGCCATTTAAATGCAACAAAAGTTGCTCCTGGATTAACATGAGATGTATCATCTTGATTTATGATATCTAAATATATCTTTTCCATATGATTATAAGAAGTCAATTCATAACTTGGTGAATTTGTAGGTAAATTTTCTGGTCTTATACCTTTCAGACTAAAATCAAGTAAACCAACTCCAGCTAAAAGGATATAAAAGTTCCCATACACGTCAGAAATAGCTAAATCAGTACTTGAATTACTCCAAGATACCAAAGATAACTCAGGAAGGAAATTATTTTCAAGTTTAATATTAATTGGTTGAGGTTTGGCTAATTGCCATGATTTCCCATTAATATTTTCAAGATAGGTAAGATAAAGGTTATCCTTTGAATTCTGTCCTACTGGAGCTGCATAAGCTATGAATCCATTTCTTGACCATGATACTAGGTTTGACCCTTTCAGATTCGATGGGAATGATCGTGATAAGTGTCCTTGAACTGATGTCATTCTTGATTGATGGTTCGTCAAGTTCTTTCTGGTTGGTTGTAATTACTGTCTTAATTTCAATTTTTCGATTTGTTTAAAAATCAAAATCAGATTTTTTGAGGGCAGTGCGGCGTAAAATTAGTTTAAATTATTTTTAGTGTGTATTAAGTATAATGATAATTACATGAAGAGAATATATAGAAAAAATAAACCTATAAATCACCTGGAACTGGGTAAGTTGAAACCCAATCAGAAACTTCTTTACCTAAAGCTTTAACATCTTCACTTTCATTAGCCAATTGTTTAAATGAAGCAAGTAATTCCTTTGCAACTTTACCTTGTTCTTGAGATTTCAAATGTAAGGAGATTTCAACAGCTCTATCGATGAAACCAGCAACTTTATCGAATTCTTCAGCTCCAAATCCTCTAGTAGTCATGGCTGGAGTACCAACTCTTAAACCTGATGGGAATAAAGCAGATACATCACCTGGAACGGTGTTTTTATTAGCAGCAATATTAGCTCTTTCTAATACAGCTTCAACTCTGGCTCCATCAATATTTTTTGATCTTAAATCAACTAAAATCAAATGAGTATCAGTACCATCAGATACTAATTTGAATCCTTTGGAAACTAAAGCATCAGCAAAGGATTTAGCATTGGAAACAACATATTTTTGATATTGTTTATATTCAGGATAACTAGTTTGTTTTAAAGCAACTGCTAAAGCTGAAATAGTATGATTATGAGGACCACCTTGATGAGCTGGGAAAACTGAAAAATTAATTTTTCTTTCTAAATCATATGGAATTTCTTTACCTTTTTTAGTAACCTTTCTAATCCCCTTTCTAAAAAAGATCATAGCTCCTCTTGGACCTCTTAAAGATTTATGAGTTGTAGTGGTAACAATATCAGAATATGGGAATGGAGAATCAGTTACACCAGCTGAAACTAATCCTGAAATATGAGCCATATCACTTAATAAATAAGCACCAACTTTATCAGCAATTGATCTCATTCTTTTATAATCAATAACTCTTGAATAAGCAGAAGCACCTGCAACAATGACTTTTGGTCTAAAAAGAATGGCATTAGCTTCTAAAGTATCATAATCAATTATACCAGTTTCTTCATTTAATCTATATGGCATAGTTTGGAAATATTTTGAAATATAAGAAATCTTAGTGGTTGGAGTTTGATAACCATGAGATAAATGACCACCATGAGGTAAATCTAATCCCATAATTCTATCTCCAACTTCTAAAACAGCAGAATAAGCATATAAATTAGCTGGAGCTCCTGATAAAGGTTGAACATTGACCCCCCATTGTTCAAGATCTAAATCAAAAGCTTCTAAAGCTCTCTTTTGACATAATGATTCGGCTTTATCAATAATTTCATTCCCACCATAATATCTTTCACCAGGATACCCTTCAGAATATTTATTTTGCATTTCAGATCCTAATAAATCCATAACGGCTTTTGAAGTGAAATTTTCAGATGGAATTAAAGTAATGGACTTCTTTTGTCTAAGTCTTTCTTGATTTAAGATATCAGCCATTTCAGGATCAACTTCTTGAACTGATTTTGAAATTAAATTAAGAGCATTACTGGATAAAGCATAATGTCTAGTTGAAATCAAACTAGATAATCTAGTATTTGATTGACTTCTTAAAGAACGTAAAGTATGAGAAAGCATGATGTAACGAATTTGAATGTCAATTAGACTATACAATCACGATATAATAATCAAATATTCAATAAATGTAAAATGGAATAGACTTTTCAACCAGTTTATATATATATATTTGTATAGGGACTATGACACATCTCACCTTTCAACAAAAAAAAAATTGAAAAATTTCCGGTACGGTGAATCACGTGCAGCCGTCATAGGCACAAACCAAGTTCTCCACAAAAAGATTCAGAGTCATTTGAAGGAGTCAACTCCCGCCAGGAGTCAACAAGAAAGAGTCAAACCATTAGGCATTTTCATGATCTTTAAATACTATAGTATGATTTATACCACATCTTATATCGGAATGACAATATTTTATATTTGTAAACCAATCATTGGTGAAGAATTCTTCGATGCCACATCTCTTTTCAGGGTCAGATTCGAATATTTGACTCGTTAAAGGCCATGATTCCGATGGTAAATAACGTAATACCGATGGTTTACCAATTTCATATCCACTTTCATTCAATATTGGTGGGGGAAGGTCTGATGATGAAGATAAATAATTAGGATTTAAACTTAAGAATGCCTTATATCTTTCATCTTGAATTTTAGCTTGTTTCCAAGGGAATTTTTTATTAAGAAGATAATAAAGGATGATTCCTAATGACCAAATATCGGCTTTTTTACCATCATATCTTATTCTTTCTAAAGTTTCAGGAGCAAAATAACTGGGTGAACCAACTAATCCAATAGCTAATTGATTATTATGAACATCAGCCGCAGTAACTAAATCAATGATTTTAACAGTACGATTCGGTATATCGACAATTAAATTATCTAATTTAAGATCTCGATGACAAATATCTTGAAGATGTAAATATCGTATGCCTTGACATATTTGTTTCCAAATACAAAGCATTCCTAAGGGATCTAATTTTGATACTGGGACATGTTTGATTAAATCATACAAATTGGGACTACCAGCTTCCATGAATGTCTTTATGGTATTCCCATTAAGAGAAACATCATATTTATAAACTTGAATAATATTTTCATGATGTAAATTATGTAACGTATTATATTCATATAATACACGATCTTTATATTCTGATTTTGATTCATACATTTCTTTAGAATGATAAGTCTTCACCGCATATTTGAAATCAGGAGATGATCTTGATCTATAAAGATCAACTTTTCCTGATACTCCATCACCAATTTGATTTATTTTGATATCATTTCTTGAAATTTTCTTTTTACTTGCAATAGTACTATTACTTTGATTACTAGTTAAACTATTGATAGTATTAATACTATTAGTAGTCAGAAATGAAGTATCATTAATATTATTTAGATCTTGAGTCTTTTTAGATTTAGTAAATAAACCCATTAAAAGGAATACATTAGTTGGATATGTAGTGGGGGAAGGAAGAGGAGGGGTGGATAATGAATAGTTTTGTAGATCAGATCATAGATAGGAATTAAGTTCAAAATAAGAGATATTTTTACCTCGAATAAAATTTCTTCTGTATGTTCCTTAAACCGTTTCTTTACTATTTACGGGTTTTCCGGTATATAGGGCATTGGTCCTAATTGGGTAACTATCCTGTATATATGCATTAATGTAGGGCCATTCACTAAAATGGCCCAAAACGAACTCAATTAGGAAAGAGAAGATTAAATTAAATTAAGTACGTAATTCCGCACTTGGAATTTTACACTTTACAATCAGACAGACATTTTTTTTTAATTGAGTTAAGACCAAGAAATAAGAAGGATATGAAGTATGAAGTATGAAGTAAGACGTAAGAATACTACATGTTTCGAAGCATATGCTGATCTATAGATGATATACAATTAATCAATTGATCAAATATATATCGAGATATGGTTGCTTAATAGCATTTTATCCATACTAGTTCAATATTATACCATTTACTTTACCTACTAGTCGGTTATTTAGGATAATTTACGAACTAAAATAGGATTTGGTATTCCGTAACCATCTTTGATCTAATGTAAAGTTAGATTTAGCTACTATCTCATTACTTGTAGTCAATGGTTAGGTGAATTGAATTGACTTACTATACATTAAAAGATAGCTGAAAATAAAAAATAAGACACAAGAAAATAAGACAAAAAAAAGATGATCATTCAGTCAGACACAGAAGACAGTTTAAGTAAAGTTTTGTGTCTTAAGAGCATAATATAAGTTTAGGGGGAAAGAGGAGGAGGAGGAGGAATAGGAATAGGAATTGGGTGGCAAGAGTAAATCCTTCCTTCAAACAAGTTGTGGTTAAAGTTATAGTGGTTATCAATACTATAGTTATTATCAATTCTTAAGACAATAGATTGTAGATAAGTGTAGTAGTAGTTGTAGTTATGGTATTTAGCCCATAGATAATGGAGGAGGTAAAGATTAATTGGGAAATAAATCCGCAAGCCATTTTTTGTCTGATTTTAAAAATTGTCTGTCTGGTGAGCATTAATTTCTATTTGTGTCCGTCTTTACATTGCTGGGGGTTACAGTTAGAGTAGAGGGATGGAAAGGGTTATCTCTATTTATTTCACAAATTTATAAATCTTTCCTTCTTTGCTTCTTTTTAGTTCTTCTTCCTTCTTTCTCCTACTTACAGTTCATCCATTGACTAAATCATACATCTTATCTTTTATCAATTGAACTTGGAAGTATATAGACTCTTGTTTCAATATGAAATTATCTACAGTTTCAACCTCCACTTTATTGGCTACGGCTTCCATTCTTGGTGCCTCTAATGCCTTATCTTTATCCCTTCCTTCATTTGCCAATCCTCAACAACTTTTAAACTTGGATTATGGTAATGCTTTCCATTCTCAAGTTGATAGATTATCTGAATCAGTTATGAATGGTAATGTTCTTGGCGCCATTGCTAAATTCTTAAATGAACCATTAGAATCAATTCCAGCTGAAACTAAACAAATTTGGGCTGATTTAATGTTAGATTTTCCTCAATCTATTGCTTCATTAAACTTTAAAACTCCTGGTAAAAAAGCTTCTAAAAAAGCTGATTTTGATTTCCATGTTACTGATCAAAAATTCCCCGGTCATAAATTAAGAGTTAAATCAACTCCAGAATCTTTAGGTGTTGATACTGTTAAACAATATTCCGGTTATTTGGATGTTGAAGAAGAAGATAAACATTTCTTTTATTGGTTTTTTGAATCTAGAAATGATCCTAAAAATGATCCTGTTATTTTATGGTTAAATGGTGGTCCAGGTTGTTCATCATTAACTGGTTTATTTTTTGAATTAGGTCCATCATCAATTGGAGAAAAATTAAAACCAAAATTTAATCCTTATGCTTGGAATTCAAATGCTTCGGTTATCTTTTTAGATCAACCTGTTAATGTGGGTTATTCTTATTCTTCAGAATCTGTTTCAAATACCATTGCTGCTGGTCAAGATGTTTATGCCTTTTTAGAATTATTCTTTAAACAATTCCCAGAATATAATGGTTTACAATTCCATATTGCCGGTGAATCTTATGCTGGTCATTATATTCCAGTATTTTCTGCTGAAATCTTGAGTCATGAAGATCGTTCATTCAATTTAACTTCGGTTTTAATTGGTAATGGTTTAACTGATCCTTATGTTCAATATAATTATTATGAACCAATGGCTTGTGGTGAAGGTGGTGAACCATCAGTATTATCTCCTGAAGAATGTCAAAGTATGACTGATTCTATTCCAAGATGTACTTCATTAATTAAAAGTTGTTATGAATCACAATCTTTATGGTCATGTGTTCCTGCTTCAATTTATTGTAATAATGCTGAAATGGGTCCATATCAAAGAACTGGTAGAAATGTTTATGATATTAGAACTATGTGTGAAGGGTCTAATTTATGTTATAAAGATTTAGAATATATTGATTCTTATTTAAATATTGAAGAAGTTAAAGCTGCTTTAGGAGTTGAAGTTGATGAATATGAATCATGTAATTTTGATATTAATAGAAATTTCTTATTAGCTGGTGATTGGATGAAACCTTATTATACTAATGTTATTACTTTATTAGAAGCTGATATTCCAGTTTTAATTTATGCTGGTGATAAAGATTTCATTTGTAATTGGTTAGGTAATCAAGCTTGGACCAATGAATTAGAATGGTCCGGTAAAGAAGGATTTGCCAAAGCTCCAGTTAGAACTTGGACTCTTGATGATAAACCAGTTGGTGAAGTTAAGAACTTTGAACATTTCACCTTTTTAAGAGTATTTGGTGGTGGTCATATGGTTCCTTATGATCAACCTGAAAGTTCATTAGATTTGGTTAATAGATGGATTAGTGGTGATTTTAAATATTAAAATTAATCTAATCTAATCTAATTTAATCTTGATCTAACTATATAATATTAAAAGCTTTCTTTCTTTCTTTCCTTCGATTGATTCGTTCGTGTTTTCCTTTCCTTTTCTTTCTTTTTTATTTGTATTCATTGTCAGTTATATGTCTTACACCTCAATATTTATTAGCCAAAATTCATTGACATTACTATTTTTTTTAACAATTGAAGTTTTTGTTTAATAACAACTGTGGGTGATTCAAAAATATAACATGTCGTTATATAATTTATATACCACTTTTATATATATAAAAAATACTCTCATAAAATGCATATGTGTGATTTCATATATTATTGTTATGTTGTAGTTGTAGTTGTAGTTGTAGTTGGAGGTTGCTATTATGATTTCTCAGTTGAGGTCGTCGTCATGTTATTTTTTATTTTTATTTTTTCACAACCAAATCGCAGCACTTTCCTAAATAGGAAAAGTATCAACAAGGTTATATGTTTACCTTCCTTCCTTCCTTCCCTCATCTATTATCTCTTCATCTAACCTTAACGAACTCAAGTGTGTTGTGAATTTAAGCATGTATTGTGTATGTACAGTACGGGCGGGTATTCTACGGTGATTTGATTTCCCCCATCTCTCTCTCTGTGTGTCTCACAATTTATAATATTGTACCTTTTATTTCAGTATAAGGGTTAGGTTGTTGTTGCTAGTTTTCAGTCTTTTTGTTCCATTGTTTGATAGATTTCATCTTTCTTCATTGAACAAACATCGTGATTTTTTTTTATTTGTTTTTGTCTTTTGTATCTTTATTTTGAATTCAAATTGAAGTTCAAAAATATTCATTCATTCATTCATTCATTCATTTAGTTCTGCTCTTTAAACGATTGATTCGTTCATTGGAAGGAAACGATAAACACCAATTTCATAGATTCTTATCAAGACATCTCTTTTGACGAAGACGCAAGATTCATAACTTGCAAAAGTCCAAACCCCCTTCAAACTATATAATCATATCCAAATCATCATCCACACATGTTCATGTCCATCACCAAATAAACAACATACAAACATACATATACACACACATACACCATGAGATACAAAATACCGATATTGGTAGTATGTCTCATCGTACTCGGTTGTTCATTAACCACTTCCATCATTGCATTATTGGTAGAACTCACTAGAAATTATATCCCCTTATTATTATTCATCGTTGCAGGATTCTTGATCTCAATTGTAACTTTGATTAATTGTATCATATTGATGATTGTAAGCTATCAGAATTTACTTCAGATCATCATCCAAATCCTTGCATCGGTGTTTTATGTGGTTACTGGGGTCTATTTAATAGTTCAATTACTTGCAAAGAGAATTAGCTTCCACTATAACAATTTACATAATTGGGATATTATAATTTCCATAATTTTCATGGTTAATATCGTTTTCATGGCATTATCATTATTGTTAATCATCATGTTATATTATAAGATTGTGAAAGAAAACCTTCAACAAATGAATAATGAGGAACCAGGTGAATATTCAGAAGCTTCATCCAATAAAACTAAAATAAGATATTCTGATGAAAAGGATTATTACATAAATCCAGCTACAAACTTGGAGAATAATTTCAATATTGGAATCACTAAGAAAATGAGTGAAAAGACCCTTATTGGGAATGATAATCATAACAAAGATAATGATGATATTGTTCCAAGTAATGAAGAGTCAGCAGAGTTGGACTTTATATTAAAGAAATCAATGGAAATGCAACATACTGATAGAAGTTTCCTTGATTATAACAACGATGATAATTGGATGTCAACTGGTTTGAATTCAATTTCATTTAAACAACACTTATCAAAGACTCAATCTTCACCTGATTTGATTTCAAAAAGTAGTAGATTTGGTTTATTTGCTGGCAGATCAAAATCGAATCTTAATTTAAATCAAACTAATCATTCTCATTCTACATCACTTGCAAATTCAAAATCAACATCTAATTTAATATATGATCATAGTCATACTAGAAGTATCAATAATATAATCTTAGCCAATCAAATGTCAACCAATAATAAATCAAATAATAATAGAAACTCAATGCCAAATTTAACTGAAAGTAATTCAAAACTTTCCCTTTCAACAATCTATACTGATGCATCATTAACGGGAGCTTCCAGAAGTGCTTCGTTGTTAATTTCACACAATTGTTCTGAACATACATTATCGAAATTAACCTTGAATGAAGTGAATGAAGATTTCCATCTTGATTCCGAAGCTTTGAAAAGATCAAAATCAACCAGTTATATTAATACCCGATCTTCAAAATCAAAACAACAAACTTTAATGTCGATAAATGGGGAACGAAACTTCTTATCTCAAGTTAACGAATCATTATTACCATCGGTATTAAAGTCAAGTGAAAGTCCCATCATGAAACTGAAACGGAAACAAGAAGCTTCTTTGAATACTGTCCATTTTGAAACTGCACCTCCTACTCTTGAAGAAACTATAGAACCTCAACCACCATTAGAACCTGATTATAATTTAGTTCCTTCATTAAGTCCTGTGGGTGAAGTTGATGATACCAATTCAAAACATTCCGATCATAGTTTTAATATCCCGTATGGTAATGAATTTGATGAACCTATAGATCAAAGTAATTTTGCTGATTTTGATGCATCTTATAATATCCCAAACATTAATGAAAAGGGAATACAACAAACAAGAGAGAAGAAATCATATCAAGTTATAAAACCTCCCGATGAATCATATCCATATACATTGAATGGACTTGAAAAGATCCCCAAATCAACTTCAAATGATGCTATTAAATGGAATGTATCTCGAAATGCATCTGGGGTGAATAATATAACATTGGACGAATGGAATACTCAATCTAACTTATATCAAAGTAATATGAATAGAGGTGGTGCCAATCTTAGTATCCCTGGGTTATCTCATGTGGTTTCAGATCATAATCTTAAATTGTTAGATAATACCAGTGATAATAAAGGAGGATCAGATTATATTGATGATGATATGTTGTTACCACGTAAGGAAGGAATGATTGATAATATTGATAATTTGAGTGATATTCATACATCAAGCAGTAATGATAAACAAGGTTCATTAAGACTTACATCACTGAGTAGATCCTATAGTGCTCCATCATTATATACTTTCCGAGATTATGTTGAACAAACCAATAATCAAAAGCATCAACAAATATATCAGCAATATTCAAATTCAAAACTTCCTGAATTAGTTCTTTCTCTGGAATTTACTTTAAAACCGTGTCGAACTCCAGAAGAAGATTATACAAATAAGTTCACTGTCAATACATCACCAATGAAAATGTTAATTGAAAGTCCTAAAAGAGTCGCTAGTTCAATCAGAAGACAATCAAGAAGATTCAGTATTGCTATGAGTAATGAACCATCAATCAGTAATCATAAACATAAGAGTTCAGTAGCATCCAACTTCTCAACTAAATCAGCTACATCTTCTCGTTCAGGATCTCCAAGAAAATCACTTCGTTCACTTATGACTTCTTCAAAATCTCACCATAGACATAATTCATCAGTACCAACCTTTAGTTTATCAGTTCCTTCACTTCCTAAGAAGCATGAGAGTAACATCGCAGATATGTACATCATTTCACAAGATTTAGCCCCATCATTCCCCCTTCCTGATGATCCATCTGACTTTTGGGAATTGGATACTAACGCTGGTTCAGAACGATCCAGAATTAGTTCGTTACCAAGTGCCGTGATTGGAGAATACGATAAAGAAAAATGGAGAACGTTAAAGGCACTTGAAAATAAAGAGAAACTAATGACTGTAAATATAGATAATTAAATAATATCCCCCCACTATTCTCTACAAATAATGATAGGAATTATAAATATACCCTCATTCCATTGCATATATGAAACTTATGATTGCAAAACCTCTTTTGTATTGTAGAAAAACTGGGAGCGCACAAAGCCCAAATTAAATAAATTTTTCGCATCGCCAAACATCAAAAATAAAAATAAATTTTGAAAAAATCACAAAATTGTATGGAAACCTATCTGATATATCAGTAAGAAAGTACATCGATTGGATTTGACAACATGGATGATCTCTTTGATGTCTTTAACGAGGCTCCAACTACTACTCCCGTAGTGGTGCCCGAGGTTGAAGGGACCATTCAAGAGAAGGTTGATGTAAATAATACCAAAAAGAGACAAGCATCGGAAGAACCAAGTTCTGAAGATGCAGCTCCAGTCGACAAGAAGAAATCAAAGAAAGGCAAACAAGATATCAAAGCTGTGGTGTATGATTCGGTTGAGATTGAAGCTTCTAGAGAAGTTGCTGCTTCAGAGGGTTTAATGGCAGATCCATCTGCGACTAAGACTGAAGGTGGACAATTAAAATTAAGACATCAAGTTAGACATCAAGTGGCTGTTCCACCAGATTTCCCATATGTTCCTATTGGTGAACATAAAAGAGTAAATGATGCCAGAACTTATCCATTCGTATTGGATCCTTTCCAAGATACCGCCATTTCATGTATTGATCGTGGTGAATCGGTATTAGTATCTGCACATACTTCAGCTGGTAAAACAGTTGTTGCTGAATATGCTGTTGCTCAATCGTTAAGAGAAAAACAAAGAGTCATTTATACTTCTCCCATTAAAGCTTTAAGTAATCAAAAATATAGAGAATTATTAGCTGAATTTGGTGATGTGGGTTTGATGACAGGGGATGTTACTATAAATCCTGATGCCGGTTGTTTAGTTATGACTACTGAAATTTTACGTAGTATGTTATACAGAGGTTCAGAAATCATGAGAGAAGTGGCATGGGTTATCTTTGATGAAGTTCATTATATGAGAGATAAATCAAGAGGGGTGGTTTGGGAAGAAACTATAATTTTATTACCGGATAAGGTCCGTTATGTTTTCCTTTCAGCTACAATTCCTAATGCTATGGAATTTGCTGAATGGATTGTGAAGATTCATGCTCAACCATGCCATGTGGTTTATACTGATTTCCGTCCAACTCCATTACAACATTATTTATTCCCTGCTGCTGGTGATGGTATTCATTTAGTGGTAGATGAAAAGGGAACTTTCAGAGAAGAAAATTTCCAAAAGGCTATGGCTTCTATCAGTGATAATGTTGGTGATGATCCAGCATCAGCTGATAAAACTAAAGGTAAAAAGGGTCAAACTTTCAAAGGTGGTAAAGATGGTAAATCAGATATTTATAAAATTGTTAAAATGATTTATATGAAAAGATATAATCCTGTCATTGTTTTCTCATTTTCCAAAAGAGATTGTGAATCATTAGCTTTAAAAATGTCTAAATTAGATTTCAATACTGATGATGAAAGAGATGCATTAACTAAAATTTTCCAAAATGCTGTTGATTTATTACCTGAAGCTGATAAAGAATTACCTCAAATTAAAAATATCTTACCTTTATTAAGAAGAGGTATTGGTATCCATCATTCTGGTTTATTACCAATTTTAAAAGAAATCATTGAAATTTTATTCCAAGAAGGGTTATTAAAAGTTTTATTTGCTACTGAAACTTTCTCAATTGGGTTAAATATGCCTGCCAAAACTGTGGTGTTTACTTCAGTCCGTAAATGGGATGGTGTGGGTTTCAGATGGGTTTCTGGTGGTGAATATATTCAAATGTCAGGTAGAGCTGGTCGTCGTGGTTTAGATGATCGTGGTATTGTCATTATGATGATTGATGAAAAGATGGAACCTCAAGTTGCTAAAGGTATGGTTAAAGGTCAAGCTGATAGATTAGATTCTGCTTTCCATTTAGGATATAATATGATTCTTAATCTTATGAGAGTCGAAGGTATTTCACCTGAATTCATGTTGGAAAGTTCATTTTTCCAATTTCAAAATGCTGCATCAGTTCCAGTTATGGAAAAGAATCTTCAAGAATTATCGGATAAATTAGTTACCACTCAAATTGATGATGAAGCTACTGTTAAAGATTATTATGATCTTAAATTACAATCTGAAAAATATCAAGAAGAAGTAAGATATGTTATAACACATCCAGGTCATATTTTACCATTTTTACAAGAAGGTAGAGTTGTTAAAGTTAAAATTGGTAAATTAGATTATGGATGGGGTATGGTTACTGCATTTTCAAAGAGATCTAATAAAAGAGGTCCATCCCAAACTTTCAATGATCATGAAGCATATGTGGTTACTGTATTTGTTTATACTATGTTTATTGATTCACCTGTGAATTTGATTAAACCATTCAATCCAATGTTACCAGAAGGTATCAGACCAGCCAAAGAAGGAGAAAGATCAAGAGCTGAATATATTCCAATTACTCTTGATTCAATTGAAAAGATAAGTAGTGTGAGGTTAAGAGTTCCAGAAGATTTAAAATCATCAACAGCAAAGAAAACTTTATTAAAAACCATGAAAGATTTACCTAAAAGATTACCTGATGGTATACCGTTATTGGATCCACTTGATAGTATGAAAATTAATGATGCCCAATTTAAATCAACTTTAAGAAAGATTGAAGTATTGGAATCGAAAATCCTAAGTAATCCATTACATGATTCAGTTAGATTAAAGGATTTATATGAGAAGTATAGCGAAAAAGTTGGTATAGAACAAAACATGAAACAATTGAAAGATAAGATATTAGAAGCACAAGCTGTGATTCAATTGGATGATTTAAGACATAGAAGAAGAGTATTAAGAAGATTAGGATTCACTACTCAAAATGATATTATTGAATTAAAAGGTAGAGTAGCTTGTGAAATTAGTTCTGGTGATGAATTATTATTAACTGAATTGATTTTCAATGGTACATTTAATGATTTAACCTGTGAGCAATGTGCTGCGTTATTATCATGTTTTGTATTTCAAGAAAAGGCTAAGGAAGTTCCAAGACTTAAACCTGAATTAGCTGAACCATTAAAATCAATGCAAGATATGGCCACTAAACTTGCTAAAGTTTATAAAGAATCGAAAATTGAATTGGTTGAAAAAGATTATGTTGAATCGTTCAGACCAGAATTAATGGAAGTCACTTATGCATGGTGTAAAGGTGCCTCATTCACGCAAATCTGTAAGATGACAGATGTTTATGAAGGTTCACTTATCAGAATGTTTAAGAGATTAGAAGAATTGATTCGTCAATTAGTCTCTGCCGCAAAGACCATTGGTAACAGTGAATTAGAAGAAAAGATGGACAAGGCTATAGAATTAGTCCATAGAGATATCGTGTCTGCTGGTTCATTGTATCTTTAGACAAGCCACATTAGCTACCCCTATCGTGTATATTAAAATAAACATAAATTTTGTATAAATTTGTATAATCATGAATGTGAAAATTTAAAAGTAGGCGCAAAATTTGGGATCTTTTTTTTTTTTTTTGTAACTGCCCCTTCCCCGTAAAATTGCATGATGCTAACACATCAAATTATAATTGTTGCCATCAACACCTTTTTCATTCAAACACCATTAGGATCAATCCATACCATATCATTGTTCAGTAGACATGTCTAGTGCCAGACCACAGGCTCGCCAGAGAGTTTTGGCCACCAATGAGGTTGAATTGTTGTATGCCAAGTCAAAGACTTATCTTCATCCTACTTCAGCCAAGAAGGATAATATTCCTGGATTCTTAAGTTTAACCAGAGGTTCCAATGGAACTAACTTGGATATCCTCTTGTCATTCACTCCTGAAAGTCAACTTTCATCTGAAGAAAAGAAAGTTTATGAGACGGTTGATGTGGAAGATATTTCCCTTGATTTGGATGCTATAAATATCAATTCAAAAAGTAATATTAATAACACCAAGATTGTGGCATCAAGAATTGTTCCTAAACCATCAGTTTCATTATTATCAGGATATTCATTTAGTGCTCCATTACTGTATGTATATTCAATTCAAGTTAGAAAACCTTCGTTAGGGTTTTGGTTTGGATCGATTGTCATTAATACTAAGGATGGAGAGAAATTACCCATTGTATTCTTTCATGATGATGAATCTCCATCAAGTCAATCTCTGAAAAGATTGAGTAATAAGAAATTCGATCCCTTTGATGAAAATGGTAATATGTATTGGAGTGGGAAAGAATTTATTAATGTATTAGAAAAGTTTGTTAATGTGGAAAAATCAACTGTAACTAGTTCAGTTTATCTTATTAATCCTGATTCTGGTGATTTAAGAAATTTTGCTCCTATTACAATTGAAGATAAGAAGAATAATAGTGGTGATAAGAAAATTGAACCTATAGTTTTACCTGATATTGGTAAACTCTTTGCATCAGCGAAATGGAAAGTTTTAGAAACAGTTGCCACTATTTCGGCCAAAACTAAGAATCAAATGATCAATCTTCTTGAAGAAAATGCTCCATTGACTGTTAAACAAATCATGAATAAACCTGAAGTTCAAAGAATTGGAGATGATTTTGATCTGGCTAGAGTTTATTTAGCTAAATGGGCTCAACAAGTTAAAGAAGAAGCTGAAGAAAGTCAACGGAAAAACATGTTACATGATGAAATCTATAGTAAGATCAATCGGGAATTAGGATCAACTGAAATATTAACCAATGAAGAAATTAGTCAAAGTTCAAGAAGAAAACCAATCAATAAACAAGAATGGGAATCATTTTTCGATTATAGTGGTAGATTGAAACTTACAGCTGATGAAGTTAAATCCAGAATTTTCCATGGAGGGTTAGAAGATGATGTAAGAAAGGAAGCATGGTTATTCTTATTAGGGGTATTTGATTGGAATACATCAACTGAAGATCGTGAACAATTTAAAAAGTCTTATGAAACTGCATATGAAGAATTAAAATTAAAATGGGTAACTGATGAAGATAAGAGAGCCACTGAATTTTGGAAAGATCAAAAACATAGAATTGAAAAAGATGTTAATAGAACTGATCGTAACTTAGCAATTTTCAAAAATCCACATAAGAAGAATCCAAATGCTAATTCTGAAGGTAATAGTAATTCTCGTGAATCAAGCCCTGAAACTCCTGATGAAGATGAACTTGATGATGAATCTGATATTTCCAATATTAGAAATCCTCATCTTTATAAATTAAGAGAAATCTTATTGACTTATAATGAGTTTAATGAAGATTTAGGTTATGTTCAAGGTATGACTGATCTTTTATCACCATTATATGTTACTTTCCAGGATGAATCATTAACATTTTGGGCGTTTGTTAAATTTATGAAACGAATGGAAAGAAATTTTGTTCGGGATCAATCAGGAATGAAGATTCAAATGAATACATTGAATAAACTTTTACAATTTATGTTACCTAATTTATTTAAACATTTAGAAAAATGTGAATCGATTGATTTATTTTTCTTTTTTAGAATGTTATTAGTATGGTTTAAACGAGAATTAGATTGGGATCATGTATTACGATTATGGGAAATCTTATGGACAGATTATTATTCGAGTCAATTTCATTTATTCTTTGCTTTAAGTGTATTAAGTGATAATGAAAGGATCATTGTTCAAAATTTAAGAAAGTTTGATGAAGTTTTGAAATATATGAATGATTTACTGATGAAATTAAATGTGGATCCATTATTAATCAGAAGTGAATTATTATTCTTGAAGTTTAAGAGAATGATTGATATTATCGATAGAGATAATAGTATGAAGACCATTGATGCTGAAGTTTATGAAAGTGATGTTAATGCAAATACGGGAAAGAATGATAAGATTATTGAAATCAGTCCTGAATTAAGAGGATTATTAAGTAAAGAAATCGTCATTCAAAAGGAAGTTCCAAGACCAGAAGGTGTTGGAGGTGGTTAAGTTGGATTGGGTTTAAGTTGGATTTGGTTTTTTAAGTATTCGTTGTGTTTCATTTTTATAGTATTCTTTACTTCATTATATAGATGTGGTCTTTTCATTGTTTAGTTTGGTTTATTTATATTATATTATTTTTTCATTGATTATTGCTATATATGGTAGCACCCTCCCTCTGATTAAAATGTTTACGTTTTTTTAGTTTTGTGTGATCATCGTCATTTCTCATCTGTAAATATAAATCTGTCAATTTATTACTATCATCATCATCTTAAGTTAATCCTTTTAAGCATCACACGATGAGTTCTAAAGATCCATTGTTACTGAAGAAACATAGGAATAAACGAAAATATTCAACTGACGATGTTGAAACTGGTGAAGTTGGAAGTTATGAGGATGAAGATGATGGTGAATATGGTACATTGTTTAAGATAATACCTTATTTAAGTACATTTTTAATTGGAATGGGTACTTTATATTTCTTTACAGTGTTTTTACCAGAATACTTCATTCCTGAATCAACTGACTTGGTTGGGATCCCTCATATATCTGAATTAGATGTTATACTTAAACCAATCACATCTACCAGAGCTTTGGACCTTAAACTGGGGAAAAACGTGGACCTTGATGAGAATGAGAATGACGATGATGATGATGGCGATGATGATACCCCTTCAAAAGCAGTGGAAAGATTGATTCTTATAGGTGATATCCATGGTCATTATACTCAATTCCGAAAATTATTAAGCACTATCAATTATAATAAGAAAAATGATCATTTGATAGTATTAGGGGATTTCATTACTAAAGGATCAGATTCATTCAAAGTATTAGAATATTTAATCGCTAATGAAATTGATTGTATCTTAGGTAATCATGAATATTATGTATTACAGAATTATGCTACGTTCCATCGATTAGAAGAACCTCATTTCACTGGTAATCGTACCCAATTCTCCATCAAGGAAGATTTCAATTCAGATGCTGATTACTTATTAGCTAAGAAATTAGAACCTCATCATGTTCAATACATAAATCAATGTTCAGTCATTAAGAAATTAGGTGATGTCCCAGTTCATAAACCTAAGAATAATGGTTCACCATATTCAGCTCCTGGTATAGCTGTTCATGCTGGGATTAGATGGGATTTACCCTTAGATGAACAAGATCCAATTGATAATTTAGAAATGAGATCGTTATTAGGTCCTTATTTCAATGAAACTACTCCTGATCCTGAAGAAGAAGATGCCATAAGTTGGTCCAAAATATATAATTTAAAACAGAAGGAAAAAGATGATAATGATGAACCAACCATGGTAGTATATTATGGTCATGATGCAAGAAGAGGACTTAATTTGAAACAATACACCAAAGGTTTAGATAGTGGTTGTGATAAAGGTGATCAATTAAGTGCCATTTTGATTTGGAAAGAAATTCATACCCTGAAAAAGGGAAAGAAACATATCTTGTTTAAAGAAGAAGCTGTACTGGTTAATTGTTGAACATTTATCAGTTTGAGTTTGATTTAGAAATGATTTTACATAGTTAGTTAGAGTTAGAGTTAGAGTTGATGTTATGGCCTGTATAATTACTTAATCTCTTTTATTTAAATAATAGACAAATACGATAACGATTTATATTAAATTGCAAAAAAATAAACTATCGATTAGCAACAAGAAAGTTTAAAAAATTGAAAAAAAGAATCTTCCGATACCGGGAGTCGAACCCGGGTCTGCTCGGTGAAAGCGAACCGTGCTAGCCGTTACACTATATCGGACTTTTTCTGACAAAAAATTGGCTAGGTTTAACAGGGTTTGCTTTTCTCACGTGATTATCACATGACCCAATTTGGCTGAAAGTGTTCTGGTAATTTTTAAAACTTTTTGTAATAATTGGCTCTGTGGCCGAGTGGTTAAGGCGGCAGACTCAAGTTCTGCTATCGTAAAGATGCATGCGTTCGAACCGCGTCGGAGTCAATATTATTTTTTTTTTTAGTTTTTCATTTATCTAATTTAGTTGCAAATTAATTTATTGTAACTTTGATATCATATCAATAGTTAAACTTACACTCTAGATACTTTCTTTTTTTACATAATTTATTTATTTATTTAATTGTTCACAGAATTATAGAAATATAAGGTGACTATATAAAAATGACGAATTTATGTGAAAGGGATGAAGTTTAATTTGATTTAATTTAATTTTTTAGTTTATTAGTGAATTAAAACGGTTTTGATAATAATTAACAATGAATTTGGATACTGACATATCCTCATTATTGATCATTAAATGTATAAAAAGGAGGAACCATTAATGTGACAGGCTTTAGAATGTTAGATTAAATGTAAAACAAAATGGGAAATAAAAACAAACCAAACAATCATTATAAATAGTAATAATAATAATAGTAATAATAACAAAATGAGAGAACAAACGATTTGATTGGGTAGATCCTCCCCAAATCATGAAAATATTGAATGATTGATTTTATTAACTTGTAAGGATTAAGTCTCTTATAATCCTCCAAAAGCACTTGAGAATTGAGAATTACCTCCGGTTTGTTGATATTCTAATAAGAATTCTTCTAAAATACCAAAAGCAGAACTAACACCAACAATGATGGAAACTCCCTTACCTAATCCACCAAGGATTTCACCTGCTAAAGCTAAAGCAATTAATGAAAAAGCTCCACTTACAGCAGCAACTGGAATAACTCTTGATAATTCTTTAGTGATTGATATATCTCTTTTACCAGCAATTGATATACCTTGATCTTTAAAAAGTTTAGAAGTATCTTTTGGACCTGAACCTGATATGTAACACCATTTTTGACTAAACCAAGTTGATAATACAATACTAAAAGCAACATAAACCACTGATTTAATTGGACTTAATAATGAAGCTATAATTGATGAAGAATTTGAAATATAAAATAAGACACCGGTAGTTAATTGATAATTATTAGCAAATGATGGAACATTATATTTCCCAATTAAAGCCACTAAACTTGGTGAAACATTATATTTAGTTAAAATACTAACTAAGAAATAACCAAAGATTTGAATATTGATAATAACAGTATAAGTGAATAAAACTGGTAAAGCACCAGTATATAATAATCTAATTGGATAAACATTATTAGCAGCTCTAACTTTAGTTGATCTAATTGGAATTTCAATTCTAAAATTTTGTAAAAAGATAACCACTAAAATACTTAAGATTGAAATATAAAATTGAGTTAAATTTGGTAATTGAGATCTGGTAAAAGCATTAATGATATTTTGTTTTAAAACAGTTAAATCAAACGAAGTAAAACTTTTTAATAAGTTTGATAAAGCTCCATAAGTTTCTGATTTATTTGAATTAATTAATGGGAAAATTTCAAGTCCAACTAAATCTTTAATAACATTAGTTGCAGTTTGTAAAGTTAAGAAACATAAAATACCAGAACCAAAGGCATAACCTTTATCGAAAACTTCAATTAATAAAGTAGTAAAGAATGACCAACCAACAATTTGAACAAAGATAAAAGCATACCAACCTAAAGGTAATGAATCACTTAAGACATCATAACCATTAATAACATTATCAAAATAACCAGAATAGATTAATCCAGCAGTATAAACCACTGATAAAAAGAAACTAGTTAATTTTTGACCAGTTTGAAATAATTCACGATCTTTAGCTAAATTTAAATTAACATTAAGGAATTTTAATCCCACAGCTAATTGCCAAATAAAACCAGCAGTAATAGCAGGTAATAATCCTAATTCTAATAAAGTACCCTTTTCCATGGCGAAAATGGTTCTAAAGTTATATAATGGATCGATGATTTTAAATTGAGCATTGGCCACTAAACCATAGATTGGTAATTGACCAAAAAGGAAGATAATCCCTGATGCAACGGTAAATACCACTCTTTCATCAAAACTAATTCTTTCATAGGGGAATTCAACTTCAGGGAGAATTGGTAAGAAGAACTTAACTAAATCAAGAAGACGGACTAGAATGAAGAAACTGTTAGTAAACTTGTTATATGTAATTGGTGGTTGGATTATAGGATATGTTCAGCTTAACATAAACTGATCCTTTCCCACCCAAACTGTCTCAGAGTTCCAATCGTCATCAGACAAAACGGAAACATCAACAGTGTAAAGTCATATTAACACATACATCCACTCATCTTGTACTATGTGATCCTTTTATAGTAAAGGAAGTCCGGGGAGGTTAAATTGAAATTATAGTTATGACGGTCAAACTTTTATGGTGGTAAATTTTTCAGTTCAATTCAGTTCACACTGTCGTCCAAAAAAGAAATTTAACTTTTAGCACGCATTTTTAATAGCAGTTTACGTCACGTGAATTACATGATAAGAAATTAATAATATCAATGTTTATATTATTTTATGTTAAGTAGTATGAGTGTATGTATGTATGTATATATAAAAGTAACAAAGGGAATCACTCTAATATAGAGTAGTATGTATAGGAAGAAAACAACCAATGAAAGAGAGTAGAAAGATAGATAGAATACAATGAACCAGATTCTAATTATAAAGAGAACAAAAACCAAACCAAAGCCAAATTGAGCCAAACCAAACCACATCAGATCAAACCAAAACCAAACCATATCATAATAGTACAGCATTTAAATGTCTAGTAGTATAACGCATGAGAGAAGACTTTTCCAGAAATCAAACCCCCATCACTCATCAATCACACATCATTCCAAGATGATCCACCTCCAAATCCAACACCACCACACATTATTAATGATGAATTGGTAGTTTCAGAAAATGTAGATGGACGAACATATACATCATCTACATTATGATGAGTATGAGTGGCATGTTTTTGATTTGCATTTTTGATTTGTTGGATATATTGAGTCAAATCATTTTCATCAACTTGTTTATTATCATTATGATTAGTCAATACGGTATGATTCTTTAATAATAATAAATTTAAAATTTGAGTTATGATAGATGAACTTGAATTATTATCTTTTTCTAATAAAAACTTTTTAATATCAATTAATTTATTAAAGTGTTTAAATTTCTCTAAATCTTGGGGAGTAAAATATTGGAATAATTCATCACCATAAAACTGTTTGATGATTAATTGTTGTTGTTGATGTTGATCACTGTCATTGGATGATGATGTGAAACTTAAGGTGTTATTAGAAGAGATTGAATCTTGAATTAAATTCTCATCTAAATTCCAACTTGCTATATTATCATCAATAATATGATTATGATGATCTGTTATACTTGAATTATACCAATTATTGATTTTATTAGATAATGTGTTAGTTTGAGGGGTGGTTGTATCATTAACAGCTTCAGTTATGGCATCGACTGTATGTTGGATCTCATCATCCAATTCCCCTTCAGTTTCCACATCTTCTTCTTCTTCTTCTTCCTCCTCCTCTTCATCAGCATCTTCTTCATCGATATAATGATATTGATTACGAGTATGAGAATTTGTATTAGATGTATTAGTTAAAGAAAGAATATCAGATTCATTTTGATGACTAGGAGGTAATGATTTATTATTAATATTTTTCTTTAAGGGATTAAATACCACATACAGCAGATTATCATCAATTTCTTCATCCATTAAATCATCATAATCAGATAAGATACTACTAGTAGTATCGAAAGGTTGATGTGATTGTTTCGAAGTGGATGTTAATTTGGATGATGCATTTTGATTCTGATTTGATTGCAGTTGTTGTTGCTGTTGCTGTTGTTGTTTTTGATGAGAATTCATGATGGTCTTATCAGTTTTATAAGTTAAAGTAGTGAATTTAAAATTAGACATCTTTTACAAAAGTGTAGTAGAAGATGTCTTAAAGTATTAATAGGATAATATTATGGAATAGGAGGGAAGACAGGTCAAGTAAATAATAATAAAATAGATTGTTGTAAATAAGAAAGGTCAAAACGAAACGAATGGAAACGCCATCCCAAAAACTCCTTCATAACAACAAAAAGCCCCCACTATCGCTCACACTTTACACCACCACCACCACCACAATTTTAGAATTTAGTGAGAGATAGCGTGGTAAGATTAGAGGGAAAAAAGCGAGAAGACACAAACACCGTAGCGGAGACTGACTCAATTTTATTTATTTATTTATTTATTTAGTGGAGATAAGAGACATTAATTTTAACTCACGTGAGCTAAAGTGTCGTAAGTAATGATGCCGTTCATTGTTACATCATTTAAAGAGGTTATAATGAACTCATTACTTCATATTAGTTGTCCTCATCTTCCATCTCATCCTATCCATCTCATCCTATCCATCTCATCCTCTTTCCCCAAGTTATACGTAGTATAAATAATAATAATAATAATAAACAATAATGACTGAATGGATAATATTTTATGATATAATCAGTTGGTGTGTATCCTTCGTAGCGATTCCCCTCTCTCTCCCTAAGGCATCACTCACTCACTCACTAAATCTCACTAAATCTCAAAATGAGTCTCACTAAAATCCAACAAATTTTATTGTATCGTAATTTAACTTTAAACATGAAACGCGTTATTTTAGGTTGGTTTGTAGTATATACTTCTAACCTTCTAATGGTATAATTAGGAAATCATTCCTCTAGTATAATATATTACTATCAACTTCTGGTGTGTGTGTAGATCTTATTGCAACCATTTAGTGTATGTTTGTGTGTGTGTTTGTTTTGTAGTATTTGTATGGACTTTCATCAGCCGTTGTTATCAATTCTTTTTCTCTACTACAAAGTTATTCATATTCCTCTGCGCTACCACTGTTATCATAGATGATGATACCAAGAGTAAGTAATATTATATAGTCAAACGTTATTCAATCGAATCAACTTACGTATGATCAAGATCTCTTGTTATCACTCCATTTGCTACGATACGATATGGCTATATACAGGATCTACAGTAAAACTAACATTCAAATACAATTACTATCAACAAGCATCATCATTAACTTGAGATAATGTTAATGATATTGATTCATATTATATTTACATGTTGCATAGTTTCCAAATATCAAATCAATGTTCTAAATCTTTCAGTTAGTAAATAAATTCAATCATAAACCACAATCAAACCATCCACGATTAAATCAGGATCTTTCTTCACTTCAGATTTTGCATACAAATTAGAAACTCTCGAAAGTTTCAATAAGTCAGATAGGGGTGAAAGACTATTATATACCATTGTATTTATATAATCATGTTCAATATTTTGTTGAATATTTGATATACGATATCATCATGTAGAAATAATAATGCAATACTTGAAAGAAAAGAAAACATCTTTAATCGTTTTGGTTTTAAAAAAAAAAGGATTAATGCATACCATTTAGAACATATACTGAATCTCAGTATATCTATCCTTTGCCATCATAATACTATATCATTTATAGATTGTTATTGAAACATACAAGTATCAAACTTCATGATGTTAAAAAAATTTTCATTTGTCTCAGTTTTAGTAACAGATTTAAAATGCGGGTAATCTTTTTTTCATTTAGTGGAGGAGGGAAGGAAAGTTTAACGATAATTTACTAATCGGTCAATACTGTAATTTGAAATATTTCAAATCACTTTTATAACATTAAGCTCATAATAAGAATAAGAATAGTAATAATAGATAACAATGGCTGTTAAGGGATTAGGAGAATTAGATCAATCATATGATGGTATGTATAATAAATCTCAATTAAACTTAAAATATTTCACGATTTACTAACTAACAATCTTTACAGGTTCAAATTTAAGAATTGGTATACTTCATGCTAGATGGAATAAAGAAATTATTCAAGCTTTAGTTGAAGGTGCTAAGAAAAGATTACTTGAATTAGGAGTTAAACCAGAAAATATCATTATTGAAACTGTCCCAGGTTCATTTGAATTACCATTTGGTTCTAAATTATTTCATGATAAATATAAAAAATTAGGTAAACCATTAGATGCCATAATTCCAATCGGAGTATTAATCAAAGGTTCAACCATGCATTTTGAATATATTTGTGATTCAGTAACTCATCAAATCATGAAATTAAATTTCGAATTGAATATTCCAATCATCTTTGGAGTATTAACTTGTTTAACTGATGAACAAGCTCAAGCTAGAGCTGGTTTAATCGAAGGTAAAATGCATAATCATGGTGAAGATTGGGGTGCTGCTGCCGTTGAAATGGCCACTAAATTTTATAATTAATTAATTAATTAATACTAATACTTTCTTATATAAAAAATATACATTAAATCGATCAAATAATCAATCACAATCAACTCCTATCATTAATAATCATGATAACTATCAACAATAGTAAAAATATCAAAAAAATGATGCCTTCAGCCAGAGTCGAACTGACGATCTCCTCATTACTAGTGAGGTGCCTTACCAACTTGGCCATAAAGGCTTTGGAAATTAATGATAATTTTAAGGGGTTATAGAAATGCGACCCCGGTGAGGATTGAACTCACGATCTTGAGATTAACAGTCTCACGCCTTAGCCAGCTTGGCCACGGAGTCTCTTACTATGGCTCCAAAATTAGGCCGCTCAAGGATAATAAATGTGTATCACGTGGTGAAATGTCACGTGTTTCTGATGAATTTTACCATAAATCTATAACCAATATGATTATAGTGTTTAAAGTAGTTGAATCATGATATAATAGATCAGAACTATCTTATTATGGCTTTCAATATATATAATTTGATGTTTGAAATTTTCTAAATTTATGGGTTTTTGAAATTAATTGCTAAATTATATTTAAAAGTTTTATAACATATAAATGACTATAAAGTATGGTTGATTTTTTATAATTCAGAAATTTATAGCATCCTGAAATTTAATATCTACTAATAACACCACTGCATACTTTATACCATCGTCAATGGTGCCTAATGTCTACAAATAAAGAATTAATTGCAAAAAAGTCAATATCCTGCATACAATCCCCAATATCAAAATTGATCTGCTTTAAAGTGAAAAAAATCAGTTTAACCAAATCAGTCTACAATAATCGATCTTTTACAACACAGATTATACAATAATATTTAGATATGGTGGTATTGAAACGACTATTCCATTCATCTTCAAACCTTCTTCTTGCTTCAAAACACACTTTCCAATTAGATCCCAACTATAAATTCAAATGTGGGATTGAAATACATACTCAATTAAAGACAAAATATAAATTATTTTCATTATCCAAAACTAGTTTCAATGAATCTCCAAATACCAATATAAGTTATTTTGATATTGGATTACCTGGTTCTCAACCTAAATTAAACCCAGAAGCTTTATTATTAGCGTTGAAAGCAGCAGTGGCCTTGGATTGTGATATATCCTTACAATCTAAATTTGATCGAAAACATTATTTTTATCCTGATCAACCTTTAGGATATCAAATAACGCAATTTTATCATCCTTTAGCTAAAGAAGGGAGACTTGAACTTGATAAAAAGTTCGATGATATACGACAAGATTCAAAAATCATTGGGATTGAACAGATTCAAATTGAACAAGATACAGGGAAATTAAATTATAATAAAGTGGATAATATTATCAATATTGATTATAATAGAAGTAATACCCCCTTGATTGAATTAGTTACTAAACCCGATTTTGAAGATTTACTTCAAGTAAGAGCTTTTGTTAAGAAATATCAAAGTTTAGTTCGTCATCTTAATATTTGTACGGGGGATTTAGAAACTGGAGCTATAAGAGTTGATGTTAATATTAGTGTTAATGGATTTCCTCGAATTGAAATAAAGAATTTAAGTAGTCATAGTGAGATTCAAGATGCTCTTAAATATGAATATACCAGACAAGTTTCATTAATCAAACAAGGGAAACAGAATGAGATAGTTCAAGAAACAAGAGGTTGGGATGGTGATAAAACCACTTCATTAAGATTAAAAGAAAATTCAGTGGAATATAGATACTTACCTGATGCAGAATTACCCATGGTAAACCTTGATGAATCAATCATTAATGATGTTAAACAATCATTACTGGAATTTCCCGAACAAATTTTATCAAAATTAATTAATCAACCTTTCAATCTTGAATTAAAATATGCTCGATTTTTCATCGATAATCCAGTTGTGTTACAATATTACTACGACTTATATGATATAGTAACCATCAAAAATAAAGAATCAGTTAATATGGTGAATAATTGGCTTCTTCATGAATTAATTGGTGTATTTACTAAACTTGATTTGAAATTAGATTTAGATAGAATTCCAGCATCGAAATTAGGTGATTTAATTATGTTCATCACATCCAAACAAATCTCAACCACATCAGCTCGATTATTATTAATGCAAATGATTGAAAATAAAGATAATTTTGATAAATCAGTATCAGAACTCATAGAATTATATGATTTAGGAGTTCCAACAGATATCTCACCTCAAGAATTCGATGAAGCAGTGGAAGAAATTTGTCATGGTATAATCTCAGATAATGCTGATGTGGTTGAAAAGATTAAACATGGTCAAAAGAAATCAATCAAATATTTAGTAGGTCTTGCAATGAGAGAAACTCAAGGTAAAGTTAACGCAAAGACTTTTGAAGATAAATTACAGGAAATTATTAACACATTGTAAATAACTTATGCATATAATTAAATATAAACTTGTACATAGAAAACACGAACAAAAATGCAAACTATAAACGAAATAGAAGAACTAAAAGAGATATGTATAAAAAGAAGCAACAATGGGGGTCTATTGGTTTTGTTTAACTTGGAAATTATATCCAAAACCTTCATCCATTTCAGCAATATCATCATTGATGAATGGTAATTGATTAGCAGAATTTCCAGTAACAGTTGGACTACTTGCCCCTGATGATTTTTCTAAATCAGAATTATTAATTAAATATTTTGGAGTAGAATTGGTTGATCCTGGACTATCTAAATTATATCCATCATCTAAAAGATCACCATATTGTCTATCAAATTCATTCATGGTTGAACCAGTCATACCGGTACTAGTAGTGAATTGAGATTTATTACTATTAATTCTGGATTGAGATGGTAATGAACCAACTTGAGTGGCTAAATCATCTTGCATATCTCTATGTTTACTGAATTTATGGAAAGTAACAGTATGGAAAATGGATTTATACATATCAACAGCATCTGAACCTAAACCAAAGATTAAAAATGTTATAACTGATAAACCCATATTAATGAAATTTTCATATAATAAGAAGAATCCAAAATCAAAGTATTCAATATTTCCCCATAATTCATTATGAACAGCACTCCAATTAAATGGTCCTCTAAAAACACTAACATCACCAACGAAATAATAAATAGCAAGTGGTGTAACCCCTAAAATAATAATCACACTAAAGATTAATAGTCTTGCAAATCTTCTAAGATTTAATCCTGAATTAGTACATCTTAAAATATCACCCACATCTTTTCTAATCATGAAATATTTATAAATGGTTAAAATAGCAAATACAAGAGCAAAGAAACTCCAAACAATAGTCCATACTGAGAAAAGTGCAATGGTAGCTCCACTATAGACATAAGCGGAAGTACAACCTTGGAATCTAACAATGATGAATCTTCTACCTGCAATAATAAAATTAGTAGCCATGATAAAGATTGGAGTGATTAAACAGATGGATAAATCAATAAGTTTCTTTTTCCAAGAGTTTGGGTTTAAAAAGATTGGATGTTTAGCATCTAAAACCATATAAAGATTCATAGCAAGAGCAGCGACAGCAGCGATTTTACCTGTTGATGACCCAGCTTCGAATTTAGTACTGATATCACAATAAACTTTCCCATTCCATTTATCATAAAAATCTTCACCACTCCAAATCAAAAGATTAACAAATGTATTATAGTTGATGAATTGTAACCAGAATATTAAGCAAATAGCAGGAATATTCTTACTTCTGCAATGCCATATAAAGGCAGGAATCAATAAAATGAAGGAGATGAATGATAAGGAAGCTACACCAGCAGCGACAGGTAACATATTGGTAGGGGATGATTAGTTGAAATATGATGAAGGAAGTAAGAAAGAAGGAAAAAGAAGTAATGTAAATTTTTTCAAGACAACATAGGAATAGATGTATTATATAGTTGATTTCTATTCAGTTTCATGGCAAAGACATGAAACAAATCATGATAATTGACCTAGATACATCACTATAAATTAATTAAAATTGATCAGACATTGAAAAATTTGATTGTAAAAAAATTCCCTTTGTAGTCCCAAATAGGCAATTTTCTGCAACTGATGGGTAAAAAATTACATCTCTCAAAATGATGATGAAACATGACTTACTTTAAAAATAAATCTTACCCATTTTACAACAACCATGACAACGATTTATGGATGGATTTTATAACAATATTATAATAATAACTATATTCAAATAAAAGAGGACTTAAATAAAAAAAATATCTATGTAAAAGAAAGGGGGAAAGGAGAAATGTTCATGACAAAATTCTAATTATAATTATGCAATGACGGATCTTAATACTTCATTAGCAGAAACAACACCATTGAAATTTTGATCAATAGATTTCAATAATTCAATAAGAGAAGCTCTTAATTCTGGATTTTCAAATTGTTTCATGGCTTCAATATTTTCTTCTCTACCTAAGGTGGATTCATTTAATAATTTTATTCTATCAGCTTCTTTAACAAACACTTTAGCAAAGATATCAACAATCTTTGGAGTTTCACTAATAATTAATTCATTATTAGAAGCATATAATTGAATGATTAATTTGAAAATTGGAGTATTTTCTTCAAATCCAGTTTCTAATGGTAAATGAGATAATAATGGAGTAAGAACATGAGCTAATGGAACAGCTTGTTCATGTTTTAAGATTAATCTAGCAACACATCCACAAGCATTAGCATAGGATCTATTAACGGTTTCTTTAGATTCTTCATCATCAGCAGATCCAGCCTTTTTATCAGTTTTATTTAATAATTGGAATAATAATTGTAAAATAGTTGGATAAGCACTTGAAAGATCAGTAGAACTATTTTGAATAATTAAACCAACACCATAAGCAGCATTACCTTTAACATGTAATGATTTATCATTAGCAAGTCTATCAGTAAAGACTTGTAATAATTCTTCAGAATAAGGATTAGAAGAAGTAATACCACCGACAATTTCAGCTAAACCACCAACAGCAGTACTTCTATTGGTTTTATTCTTAGTAGCAACATTCTTAATAAGAACATCTTTGAAAGAAGCGAAAATCTTAACAAAATCACCTCCTAAAGCAATAGATAAACTAACTAAAACTTCTAAAGCAGCCTCATATAATAAAGCATCAGTTTCAGATGAATCATCATCATCTTCAACATTTTCTTCATCTTCAATTTGACATGGATGTTCCTTTTTAATAATATTCATTAATTCAGCACATAAAGATTCTAATTGAGAAGTTTGAGTTTGATTTTCAATAATAGCAATAGCACCAAATTGATGAAGAGCATCAGAAATACCATCTAAAATACAAGCCACCATATTAATTTCAAATTCTTCAGCTAAAAGTGGAATAGCAATGTTTTTAACTTGATTAATTAATTCTAATACTGAAGCATCAATATACAGGGATTGAGGAACCCCCTTTGGAGCTTTGAAACCTTCACCTTGAATAGCAGTGAAATAAGCTCTGGAGATTTTAAATAAAGTATTCATGGCAGTTTCTCTCATACCATAAGAATTTTCAACTTGTTCAGCAAGAGTTTTAACTGAGATTTCAATATATTTGGTGAATTCTTTTCCAGTACCAATGGCTAAATCACCCAAGGCAACAGCGGCAATTTCCTTTTCAATGGTAATACCAGTGTTGACATGGAAAGCATTACTGAGATCTTCTTCTTCATCATCTTCATCAACATCTTCAGCGTTAATAGTGAATTCTTCTTGTCCTAAACATTTAATAATTTGAGGAACAATTTGATCAAGGAAACCAGCAAATTCAGCAGCATAAACCTTAGCCATATTACTAATAAAGGCAAACCCAGATTCTCTAATTCTAGAGTTATCAGAACTTAAAGAAGTATAAGCAGCTTCGACTAATGGTTTAGCGTAAATAGCAAAAGGTTCTGAACCAACAGCTCTAGCCATGGTAGAAATATTTTCAAAAGTTAAAGCTCTTAATTCAATATCATCTTCAGTTAAACCTTCAGTGGTGGAAGCATTAGCAATTAATGGTTCTAATAATTCAATTGATTTGTTAAAATATGGAATGAAAGCTTTACCAGAAGCGAAAGCAGTAGAACCAACAGCTGAAACAATGGTACATCTTAATGAAGAAGAATTAGCTTGATGTAACATAGCAAATAATTTATTCATTAATGGTTCAATATATTGACCCATGGCATCATGACTCATGAATTCAATTAAACTATCTAAAGCACTACAACCGTATTTGTAGGCTTTGATGGAAGTAGCAGAATCGATATTTTCAAAGATTAATGGTAATAATTCTTGATGATAATCAGTACTAATATCTTGTAATTCAGAATTTAATTGAGTTAAGGTTCTTAAAGCAGCAACTCTAACAATAGGAGCAGAATCTTTTAAACCAGTAGTAACAGCTGGCATTAATTTAGTAATTTGAGTAGCTACGAAATCTGGAGCACCAGCAGAAGCAACACCGATACTTAATAAACCAGCTCTTCTTTCAAATTGATTAGAAGAAGCCATCATAGTTGGTAAGTTTTCTAATAATGGGGAAACCACTTGAGATGGAGGTAATTCAGCAGCTAAGACTGAAATTAATCTTAAAGCTAAAGTTGAAGGAACATTTTCTTCATTTTCATTTTCTTCTTCTTCAGTTTCTAATTCAGCATCAACATCAATTTCTTCAGAAGCGATTTTAGCAGCTAATAAAGTAACTTCAGGACCTAATTTATTAGAACTAATTTTAGATTTTCTAACACTAACAAGAGAGATTAAGAATTGTAAAGCATAACTTCTATATTCTTCATCTAATTGAGTATTACTGGAGATTTCAGCAATAAATTGAAGTAAATTAATAAGATGATCACCAGTTAATTTACCATCAAGATAAAGGAAACCATTAAACACGTTAAAGATATCTTTAACTTTAGTTGAATCATCAAGAGCAATAACTTCTTTTAAAACATTAACCATACCTGGAATAGTATTTTTAAATTTAGCAGCTAATTGTAAATCAATAGTTTCAGAATCTTCAATAAATTGACCAAGAACATCAATTGATAATACAGAGTTGACTCTAACTTCAATAGAAGATTGATCAGCTAATAAGCCAGTGAATAATTCTAAAAATTGACTAGTATGAGGTTGTAAAGCTTGAGTCATGGTTTCTAAAATAGAATATAAAGTATAAACAGAAGCTTCCTTGACATCAGTATTGGAATCTTGAATGTAATTAACCAAGGTTGGTAAAAGTTCAGGCCATTGATTTTCTTCTAAATCAGTTTCAGCAATAGCAGCAATTAATCTTGAAAATGAATGTCTAACAACTTTTGAAGTTTGAGAGAAAGCAGTTTGTAATAAGGTTGATTTGATGGATGCTTTACTGGAAGCATCAACAGTTTCCCATTTACTCAACACCAACTTTCTAGCTTCAACAGCAGCCACTTGTTTCACTTCATTGCTATCACTAGTATGTAAAATTTGAAATAAAGCAGGAATAATTTGTGGTTTAGTGTAAAATTCTTTACTTAACTTTTGAGATGCTTGCTTAAGAATAGCATTATCTGGAACCAAAGTTTGCTTTAAAGTTTCCTCCAAAGCTCCAACGAATTGAGCGTCCATCTTTGCTATTTATAACTATTAGAATGGAACCAGAAGAAAGGAATAGTTTTAATTGGAGTTATACCAGCAAACTGAATATAGAGATCAAATTATGATGTTGTTACTGAAAAAAAAAAAAAAAAAAAAAAAATTCCATAAAAATTTTGAGATGATTTTGCACGTGATAAGACGCGCTACCAATAAATTTGAGGAAACTATTATATGTTATAGAATGGATTGACACTAGGATTGATGTATGTACGGCTTATAACTAAGTAGGATCATTATCTGTATTTGTCTTACTCAATAGATATTATCTTTTACAGTCAACTTCTTACAGTTGTGTAGAGTAATGATGTTTATCGTCTAATAATCTCCCGTCGTATACTGCCAAGACTAACTACATAATAATAAGGTGACAAACATAAGATAACCGACATTAATTACTTATTGTCTATATAATATCATTCACATTCATGGGCATTTCTTTGATTTTTATCGAATAATACTTTTCAATTTCTCTTAATGTAGAAGTATCATCCTTAGTAATCAAATTTATAGCTGCTCCCTTTCTTCCAAATCTTCCTGATCTACCTATTCTATGAATATAATTCTCTTTATCCAAGGGTAAATCAAAATTAATCACCAATGAAACCTGTTGTACATCAATTCCTCTGGCCCAAACATCAGTAGATATTAATACTCTTGAATTCCCATTACGGAAATCATTCATAATGGAATCTCTTTCATCTTGCTTCATATCACCATGCATAGCAACCACCGTGAAATTTTGTTTTTTCATTTGATCAGCTAACCAATTCACTTTAACTTTAGTATTACAAAATATAACTGCTTGAGTAATAGTTAATGAATCATATAAATCACATAAAGTATCAAACTTCCAATCTTCCTTCTCACATTGAATATGATATTGTTTTATTCCTTGAAGCGAAACCTCATCTCTTTTCACTAAAATCTTAACTGGATTATTAGTGAATTTATTAGTCATTTCCAATACTTCCTTTGATAAAGTTGCACTTACCACCACTACTTGCACACTTGAAGGTAATGATTTATAGATTTCATAGATTTGTTCTTTAAACCCCTTAGTGAATAATTCATCAGCTTCATCTAATACTAATAATTTAACACTTCTAGTAGATAAATTTCGTCTTTTAATAATATCAACCACTCTACCAGGGGTACCACTTACTATTTGTTGACCTTGTTGTAATTTCTTAACATCATCACCTAAATGAGTACCCCCAATACAGGCATGGGTATGTATGTTCATATAATCACCTAAATGTTTAACCACATTTTGAATCTGTACTGCTAATTCTCTAGTAGGTGATAGTATTAATGCTTGACAATCTTTGGCTTTGGTATCTATAACTTCCAAAATCCCAATCGTAAATGTAGCAGTCTTCCCAGTCCCCGACTGGGCTTGAGCAATGGTATCCTTACCACTTATAATTTGCATGATAGCCCTCGATTGAATGGCTGATGGAGCTTCAAATCCATACCCATAAATCCCCTTCAATAAGTCTGGTTTCAACTTCATACTTTCAAAAGTTGAATGAACCTTTATGTTTTTCGTTGACTTATGACTGAATTCCAACTCATTATCAAGGTCTCTATCAAAGTCATCCATGGTTATCTGTTATTTGCTATGATCTGAATTAGTTAATTGCAAATTTCAATTTCTGCTTCATCTCAAAAAAAAATTATTATACAAAAAAATCATCGCGACTTTGACTTGTGGAGGGGTGTTACAGTTCAGTTCCAACTGTAATTGCAAGTTCAACTACAATTCATACCATATACCATGACGACATCTACCAATAAGTCTATCATAGTGCTAATAGGAGGTGGTCATGCTGCTGGAAAAAGAACGGCTGCTAAACTCTTAAAACAAGAGATTAATGATACTTTGCCTAAGGCTCCCCTTGATGTTCAACTTATTGATTTAAATGAATATAAAGATGATTGTAAAAAGACGATTGATACCGATAAATATAGCATGGATAAGTCAGTGGTGACCAATGCTAATTTCAAAAATGACAAGTTTCCTCCTTTAAAACCATCAAGATTCAATTTTGAAGAGTTGAAGCTATATTTACGTCATAATTCAGACATACCTCAAGATCAACCTCAAAAGGTTTTCATTGTCCATGGGTTATATGCGTTGTATGATAAGGAATTAAGAGACATGTCATATATAAAGGTGTTTATGGATAGTGATACCGATACAAGATTAATCAGATGGATAAGACGTGATGTTCTTGGTGAAGGGGATGATAAACTTAATTTGGAAACCTTACTTAATTCATATGTCTTAGGAGCTAGAGCTGAAATGAGTGATTTCATATTCCCCACTAAAGAGTTTGCTGATGTGATTATGCCTAGAGGGGCTGAACATAATGCTGTCAAGTTAATATTCGATGGTTTATTACCATACCTTGCTGATAATCATTCCCAACCTGAACGAATGTTCTTACCTCATGCTCCAGGTAATTACTTAAGACCCAATGATCCTTTTGATAAGGAATTATTCGATGGACAAAAGAGTACATTCTATGAATTGAATTAACTTAAATCAAATAGACTTTTTTCATTAAACTTTTTAATATATATATAAATAATACTTATACATATCTCTATACAAATACTCCGTTACCTTTAACAAATGTATTTATAGGATCTTTATCAATGGAATAAGCTCCTAAATTGTTTATTTTATCAGCACTGATTAAATCTCGAAGTCTCTTATCAGTAGCATACCAATTCTTAATCAAATAAGTCATTTCTTGATTTTTTAATTCAGTAGTGAACCCAGCATAGATTTCAAACGCATTATGTTCAATCAATGATTTCATCACATAATAAATCTTATCATAATTAACTCCTGATTTAATAAACATATCAACAATAGCACCCTTTGGTGGTGATTCCACTGCTGATGTAGTGTTTTCTTCAGTAGCTTGTTTGATATATTTACTTATCAATTTGATTAATTCATCAATAGGGAATACTAAATCATTAGATGATAATTTGGATCCAATGGTAGTGAATGAATTGTGAAGATGAATATAAAATGCATCTTGATGTTTTGATTTTTGATTATTGAAATAATCATAATAGATTTTTTCAAAATATAATTCCCATCGTTTTAAAATATCATCACTATTTTTATAATCTGATATTTTAAAAATAACCAAATCTAAATCATAATATCCTAATGGATCAGAATAATTATTAAATAATTCTGTGATTGGTAATACTTTGAAATTCAAGGCCGATATGGCGATATCTTTATTCTCTGGTTTGATTCTATCATCAGCTTGAATAGCAGTTAATACATCCAATTGAACATTAGCCACATCAAATAATTCTTGAATCACAGAAGATAATTGAATTACTTTTTGTCTTAAATTTGGTGGACAAACACAATTACAGAATCCATTTGCTCTTGATAAATATTCGATTCTTTGTTGTAAATCCAATTTAAAATCAGAAATAGCCAGTGCATGAAGAATAGTGGCCGCATCATAATAACGTTCTCTCTTGGCATGGTATAACCATAATAAATCACTTAAGGTTAAATCATTAACTGATTTTTCTTCTAAGAATGGTAATATAAATGGAGTATTCAATTCTAATAATCGTTCACTTACACCTTGACTTATAAACCATTCATAAAATTGATAATGGAAAAATTTATCCTGGGATGCAAAACAAGTTTCATAAGTTGAATCTCTAATGTCAATAAATTCATTAATATGTAATTGATTATTACTTTCGGTAATTCTTAATGCTTTTAGATCAACTTTAGTAAGAATACTGAAAATTAATTTATATAATTGTAATTTCCTAGCATTATCAATTTCAACAGTTCTAGCAGCTGTGGTAGCTGATGTAATATTATTCACATCAAACGCTACTCTACTTGAAATCTTAGAATTAATCCCAATCTTTTGGGCCAATTTTAATAATAATTCCACTGCTCCCACATAATAATCCAAATCCAACATGATATTAATGGAATTTTCAATGTTTTCTAAAGTTAATGAATCATGAACTTCTTCAAGTAATAATACTGCATTCTTTAAACATTTATTCTTAAGATCATTATCTCTATTACCGATATTTTTAGCTCTGGTTAAGTTTTCAATGGCTTTAAAGATAAATACATCATCTATTGAACAGAATGATCCACATCTATTTTGTAAAGAGTCAGCAATTAAATCAATGGAACCTCCCTTTAAGATATTTTTATTAATGATTGATGAAAGTAAATCTTTAATTAAATTCTTTACTTCTCTATTAGGCAATAAAAGATCTTTAAATGATAAACTTAAAAGATTAGTTTGATTAACCAATGATAAGAATTTAAAAATATCATCGAAATTAGATTGATTAATTTGAATTTCTTCAATTAAAACCATCAAGAATGAAAAGGCTTCTTTCATCGAAGTTAACGATTTTATAATGGCTCCAAAGGCAATATGTTCAGCACGAAGACAAACTTCACTTTCAAATTGATTTGGATCAGAACTATAACTTGGAGCATTTAATCCTTGAATGATACTACCATTTTCCACAAAGAAATCAATCAATACAATAATTGATCCGATGAAAAATTCCACTTGTTTCTTATCGATATTTAATCCTTTCACTAATAAATTATCTTCTTTAATGGAACTAGAATCAATTTGATTTGTAATATTATTCACTTTGATATGAGGTAATGGAATGAATACTTTTTTATTCCATGAATCTCTAAGTAATCTTGAGATTAATAAAATAGTACCATAGAATCTATCACTTAAAATAACTTGATCAACAGTTGGATGTGAATCATGAGTAGTACCTCCGATATTGGCCAATTGTTGCAGTTGATGAGGTAATAAACCTGCATTGGTATTAGACTGACTAATGGTTGGATTATCCACTAATCTAGCACTATTACCACAGGATGAGAATAAAACTTGAGCTTTTCTTTTAAATAAATCATTCGAACTATGAGTATTTCCATAAGCACAAGCTAAATATAATAAAGTTGAACAAGCTTCTTCAAAACCATTTTCTTCAATGAAATTTTCAATAGTTTCTTCCTTTAAAGATTTTAAAATCAGATCAGGATTTCTATATTGATAAATGATGATACCAAAATTAGTTAAAATAGCAAATTTTAATGGTTCTTTAGTATATTGACTGGCTAATATATTACAATAACCATTTGGAGTTTCAGTGGCATTCATGGATGGAGTCAATTGAACAATATCATGAATGTATGTGTATGATCCATTATCTTCATTTGCCGAAGAGGCTGAAGCACCGGTATAGTTTATGAATTCAGCATCTTCAACTAATTTATTATTTTTCTTTAAAAATCCATAATTTGCAGTTGCAATAAATAATTTATCTGATTTTTTAGTTCGTTTAACACATAGAAATACACCTGGACTTATAATCTTTGATAATTTTGTATTCTTTAAAAGCTGAGATTTTTGTTGATTTTGAATCAATTGAAATAAATATTGTTTACTTTTGGTGAAGGCATCTAATTCAGCATTTACAACTGGTGTTTCACGAGATGGAGGGAATTTAATAGTAGCAAGATTCAATCTTAAACTAGCAGCTGATCTTGATTTTAAACTTGATGGTAATAAAGATCCTAATGTAGAGGTTGGACCTCCTAATTTGATTAATATACGACATCCATTACTTGTTATAGCAATTAATTGGATTGTACCTGATTCTTTAGATGATATATGTTGAATATCAATGATTTTAAAACGTTCAAATACTTTAATATTATTCATATCATTGAATAAACTGGATGCAGATCTGAAAATTTGAGCAGGAGTAAGTCTACTTTGTTCGGTTAATTGTTCTGTTTTTGAATCTAATTTATAAAGTCTTATGACGGATTTATTAGATAATGAATATAAGATATCTCTTTCTTCATCGATTTCTAATTGAACGATTGATTCTGGGATATTAGCAAGTTTAGTTGGATCATTGGCTGGGGTAGTAGTTGTAGATGATGAAGCTGATGCAGATGCAGGGGGAGTATTAATGGATGAATTAGAAGGTAAAGAATGATCTTCTGAATAATTGAATAAATCAAGACCTGGGATTTTACTTGGAATTACCATTGAAAGACCACTTTTAGTAAGACAAACTTTATCACATTTATTTTTCATAAAACTTGATTTATTAGAATAATCCAATCTCCAAATATTTATACCATCACCTTCACCACTGAAATAAATATCATTTGTCTTTGGATTTACAGTGAAATTATTCACAATTAAACCTTGAGTTGAAATTGATAAATCAGGATTAAAAATCTCTAAATTATTTAATTGAGGATTATATTTGATGATAAATATATGAATTGACATGGTGGTTGAAACCAATAATAAATAATTAACTTCCTTGACAAACACACCTGCTTTTGGTTTAACTAATTTAACAGTTAAGATAGTATGTCTTATTTGATCAATGGTTAAGAATTGAGATGATTGATTGAATGAAGATTGAGGTAATTTATAATTCCATAATAACAATTTATTATCAATGGCAACCCAAGCTCTTTCAATATCATGGAATAAACCTAATTTAGTAATCAATTGAGTTGAATTATATTCATCGAAATATTTATCCGGAAAATTAATTTGATTAATTTTTTCAAATCTTGAAAATTCTCCTAATCCTTGATCATAATCGAAATAATAATTATCCAATCCTGAATCAGTCTTACTTATATTTTCTCCATGATATAAATCCACCGGTGTCATAGAATCAATCTTATTGAAATCACTAATATATTTAGACCCTAATTCTAATGGAGTTAAATTTGAAAAATTTGGAACATTGATTTTATAATTGACTTCATTGGATTCAAAGTTGGCAGGATGAACAAATCGTTTTGATAAGTTCCCTCTTGATGAATTGATTCCTGATGAGTTTCTATCTTCATAGAATTGTAATGATTCTAAATTGGGATTTTTAATTGGTAAGGTTGGTGTTATGAATTTTGAATTGTTCAAAGTACTGGATGGAGTTCTAGCACTAGTACCAACATTACTAGAACCATTGGATGCAGATGCTGCATTGAATGATTGACCAGTGTTATACATGGCTACTGTCATTAATTCGAAAATCCCACTTGATATGGTTTGAATTCCCAATAACTTTTACCAATTTTAATTGTATACCAAAAATTGCTGTAAATCTTAAATCAACATTTGTTTATGGTTATACCCAGAAGGAAAAAAATTTTGATGGGATTGGGACAAAGTACACGACCATAGTTGAATTTGGCTGTAAATTTGTAATTACCAGTAATAAAGATGGTATAATGGGATATATGACGATAGAAATGAGTTGGAAGAGGGATATATGACAGAAGTTGATCAATTGTAGTTGAATTGACTGATTTATATGCTTGATTCAATAATTGTGTGGGAATTGATGGTGTAAATTGTTAAAAATGAATTGCGAAAGGAGTATATTTGACAACACATTATTGACGGTAGAATCAATACTATCGTCACTTCAAGAATGTTAGATCTCCAATTGAGTCAACTAATAGTTATTATAAATAGTAATTTATGATGTATTGGATGATGGATTGGGATTAAGTGAAGAATTTAGTATCGTAATAGATGAATAAGATCCATTTGCAACATCCAAAAGTAAGATACTTAACGTCAGTTCAATCAGTATCACTCTGACCAGCGCATAGTTACATTTACAACTACATTAAACAGAGTCAACTGCTTTAGAAATTTAATAATATAACTTTCAATATAAATTTAAAAAATTGAGGATTCAATAATAATAATTTCACATTAAAATGCTTCAGAAATCTCTTCAAGGGTCTTACAACAAATAATGCTAAATTGATGGTAAGTAAATGTATAACATAAATAGACCAAAAAAGGTTGAAGATCACGATTTTATGCTCCTTAATTCAATTTAACATGCTGTATCTTTGTAAGTATCGAAGAAAGAAGAAGAAAGAAGAAAGAAGAGATGTAAATAATTTATCTTTTTCAAAATTTTTAAAAAGTGATTCTGTTCAATTTATAGTCTCCCTTTTTCCTCAATACTCTAAAAAGTTAAATCTATTATCTACCATCATTATTTAGGTTTTAGTTGTATCCTATAGATCAATCTACATTAGTTTAATCTAATTTAACCATTATATATTCAATCCACTCCTCTTCTACATCATTAAAATCATAGTATAATATAATATAATAAAATGTATACTGAACATAAACAGGTAGATAAAATCGAAGGGAACCTCATACGTCTTTCGAAATTTATGCTTCATGGAGCCTATTGATGTTAGTAATATGTGTATCCTAAACACTTTGACGTCGTCAATACTAATAATTGATTTATTGATTATAAATAAAGCATTGATAAATTTAAATCATTCTAAAAAAAAAAGGTGGAAATTGAGTTTAATTTATAGTAATTGAGTCAATTTGGCAGCATCAACCAAATAAACATGTTCACCCCTTTTTAATCAGTTTAAAGATCTATAAACCACATCAATTGATCTGATTTATGGTTTTAATAGTTATATATAGAGATTCGTCTACAACAAAATTCATTATACTATAATTATACATATATTTATATTGATATCACTTGCTTTATATCTAAAACCAAAGATTTACTATGCGATAATGACTTACTGAAGGTTAGTAATATTATATCCTAAATAATGTAGTAATTTGAAACAGTTTCCTAAACAAATAAATAATCCTAATGCACTTGCAAAGGAGCAAGATTCTCTTTAGTTTCAGGATTTGGGATTATAGAAGAAGAAGAAGAAAGAAAGAAGAAATATTTAACTATTTTGCCAAACCTCCTTGAAGTTATTTATACCCATTTTTTTTGACCACTGAAATGACTACATTTGAAAATTGACCTCACGACGTATACATTAGATTGATAATAAGCTATTTTTAATTGCATCCATCATCAAAGATGAAATTGAACACCATTTAGTATATTGATCAGCTTAGTTAAAAGAGTAACTATGATTATATTTGAATACAATAGTGATCAACTTAGTTAAAAGAGTAACTATGATTATATTTGAATACAATAGTTTTGCAACAAACAAGTATAATGAAATAGTAACTGTATTATACAATATAACAATACATCAATCCATAGTAGTTATACGTAAGAGATGAAACTACATTAATATAATAACAATAATATAACAATATATATATTTATAAAGCATTCAATCTGCATTTCATGTTAACGATTTCTAGAATAAAGTAAGTAACAAATTATCCTAAATCGAATTAGATTAGTTAAGGGTAAACCATTTAGAAAAAGAAACAAATTTGGATCTTACTATGGATAAAGAAGAAGAAGAAGAAGAAGTAGAAGTTGTAAGTAAATAAATTTTGATGAGTGGGTCATTTGGTTCTATTTATACTCTCCCATCAAATTTGGCAGCATCAACAATATTTATCAGTGACTTCACATTAACCATCAAATTGACACTGATACTTATAAATGACATTACATAAACTGATCAATTGACCTTATATATATACATACTACTATTCAACTTGATTATACTTATATGGTTACATAGTGTATTTGCAGTTAAGTTACTATTAAATAGTAGACTTCCTAATTAAGAAGTCTTGTGCACTAATCGGATAAGAAGAGCCACACAGATTGAGACCGACCACAAAATTGGAAAGTACCAGCCTTTATCATCCCTCCCTCCACAAGAAAATTGACATCACTTTAGTCATCCTTCTTCCTCCAACTCCATATTATTCAACCATCAATATCTACTACAATGAAGGTGTCTATTGTGTTAATCACTGTTCAAGCATCATTAGCTTTGGCTTTTCCTACGTTTTTCTTTTCAGATTGGAATAAACATCAACAATTATTACAACAAGAATTATCCATTCAAGAAGGTGGCAATGAAGATAGATTAATTAAATTAAGTCCTAATGAATTTAAAATCATCAAGGAAGCCGAAAAAATGAAATTAAGAAGATCTAATATCAATTTCATTGATATCACTGAACAAATCTCCATTGAACAAGCTTATGAACAAGGAATTATCACTAAACCATCAAAATCTAATTGGTTCCTTCCTGATTTAAATTTAATTGGTGCCAAACAATTGAGTCAAATTAAAAAGGTCCCCGAATATAAGTATCCTACTGAAGTTAAACATGATGAAAAAGTTAAAAAATTATATGAATCAATTAATATTGATTTGGTTTATGATAATTTATCTAATTTTACATCATTCTTTACCAGATATTATAAATCAAAATCAGGGTTTGAAAGTAGTAAATGGTTATTCCAACAACTTTCGACTTTAATTGAACCAGTTGTTGAAAAGGGAGTCACTGTTAAACCATTCAATCATAAATCATGGGATCAATTCTCCATCATTGTTAGTATTCCAGGTCAAGTTTCTGAAAAAGTGGTGATTGGAGCTCATCAAGATTCAATTAATCTTTTATTCCCTAGTTTGTTATCTGCTCCTGGTGCTGATGATGATGGTTCAGGAACAGTCACGATCTTAGAATCATTAAGAATCTTACTTGCAGCTTATGAAAGTGGAGATTTCCAACCCTATAACACTTTAGAATTCCATTGGTATTCGGCTGAAGAAGGAGGATTATTAGGTTCGATTGATGTTTTCTCAAGTTATGCTGCTAATCATGAAGTTGTAGTAGGTATGTTACAACAAGATATGACCGGTTATACTGCCACAACCATTGATCAAGGGATTGAACCTCATTTTGGATTAATCACCGATTATACCTCTGCTAATTTAAATCAATTTATAAAATTAATCATTGATCATTATAATTCAATTCCATATCATGAATCATCATGTGGATATGCTTGTTCTGATCATTCATCAGCTTTAGAAAATGGTTATCCTTCCGCATTTTTAATTGAATCAGAAATGAAATATACTAGTAAATTCATTCATTCTGTAATGGATACTATTGATAGAATTGATTGGGATCATGTTACTGAACATATTAAATTAACCGTTGCCTTTGCTTATGAATTATCATTAGCTGATAAATTATAAGTGTAGTTAAATTATTTAAAGTAAGTCTTATTTTTTATTAAAAATATACATTTAGTCACGTAGAAGATAGATAAAATTTTTCGATTAATACAGAATAGTAAAATTTTCAAAAGTAATTGGAAGGAAGGGGGAATAATAATGAATAATAATCATCAAATTATATTCAAAACAAATAAGAAGAAGATAAAAATATAACAAAAAGATATGTACATATAAAGGTTAAGAACTAGAACTAGAGAGAAAGTTGAATTAAAGATGAATACATCTATTCTTCATGTTCAGTCACGTCAGCATCTTCAGCTCTTTTACCACCAAAATATAACAAGTCAAAACTCTTTTGTCTGAAATTAGTAACGTATTTCTTTTCACCAGTAGCTTCATCAACAATAACTTTTTGTTTAATATCAGCATCAACTAATAATCTAGTTCCTGGTTTAATGAATTTTTCTAAAGCAGCAATTTGACCTTCATTGAATACAGAAATATTATACCATTCAGTAGTTTCTTCAGGGAAAGTTTTATTAACAGCTAAAGAATATTGAATAAATCTATTTCCATCTTTAGTTTCTCTAAAATTAACAGCACCAACTGAACCCAAGATAGAAGCTCTAGCAAAGGCAGATTTTATAGGAGTAGTGGCGAAGGAACGAACAGTTTGTCTTAACATTGTAATTTGATTGATTGATTGATATTCAATTGAATTTGATGAATTGGTATCAGATGGCAAATGAAGTAGAAGTTGGTGGTTATAGATAACTTTTTTTGTTTAATTTTCCAATTTTGGTGTGGACTTATTTTTTGTTGTGGTGGGGCGTGTCCCTTGACTATTTAAATTATTTAAGACGCGTATTATTCTTATTCTTATACTATACTATACTATACTTCTAATTATAACTATTATAATCTTTGCTTTTTAGATGGTAATTTGGGGAAATTAAGATCAACAGCAGAATGGGATCTGAATCTTTTACTTGGTCTTGTTTCAGTAATAAAATCTAATGTAGTAGTAATACCACCAGTTGAACCTCTCTCTTTATCATCATTATTATTATTATTATTACTATTTGCAACAACAGCAGCCACACCATCATTATCACTTAATTTAATTAATTCTTGATTATAATTAACTTTGCCATTCATAATTAATAATGATGAATCATCAACCCCAAACATTTCCGATTCATTTATAAATTGAAGTTTCAATTCTTTAGTTAATTCATGATTATCAAAATTTGTAGTAGTCTCATTATAATGATGATCATTTTCTAATCGGGATAAGGTAGTTAAATTAGATAAACTTGAACATTTCGAATCAAATCCATGATCCAGTAATTTATAATTTCTAACAGTATCATCATAATCATTTATCATATGATCATCAATAAATGATTTTGGAATTTGAGGTTCAATTGATGATGATGGTGATTCTAATAAATAAGAAAGAATACTTTCAGTTAATAATTTCTCATCGTCAATATGGTTCTTAAGATTATGAGGATGATGATTAGGATGAGACAAGACCGAATTAGAGTCCAATAATTCCATTGATGAATTCGATGAAGATGAGGAGGATGTTGGGATGAATGGGATGATCCATTCTGATGGAAATATAGTTGGCGGTAAATAAGATGATAATAATTGGTCATGATTATGATGATGAATATTCTTAACATTATGTAAAGAATCCAATTGTTGTTTGGTAACCATTATTTTAACCCCTGTAGTAACTGTAGTTAACGTTAAATGTTGATTAATGGTGATTCTAAAAAAAGAAGAGAAGTAATATATAGTTATGGGGTTGATATGGTAGCACATATTTTTTTTGTTTGATAATTCGGTTGTTAGCCGCTACAAGCAACAGAATGAAAACATCACCACGACAATTAATTGCAATCACTATTTATATTGTCTACATATTATATATAAATCATCTATAATGGATATTATGACTACTCATGAACTCTAACTTATACCACCCTTTCTAGGTGGAGTCACCTTAACACCTGAAACAGATATTTACATATTATTGTTATTGATTTTGGGGGATTATGTTTCTTCTTCCCTCGGAGTAATTCACACTGTAATTAAGGCAAGAGGCTGTATATATACTGTATTTATCTATCTATCTGTCTATACTGATAACTGTTAAGCTAATAACTATTAGTTAATGAACTACATATAACATATATAATCTGTAGTATAATAACACCTTATTAAAACGTGTGTGGATAACCAACAACAACCGTAGTTAAAGCTAAAGGCCAACAAATTACGGGTACTATACTGTTAAGAGATCCAGCACCACCACCACCACACTAATTGATATTTTTACTGATAAGGAGAAATAGACACGGTAATGTTATATACAGGAATTAACTGTGTTTTGATTTTGCCTTCCATTCTAAAAACAATCACTCATCTTTTTTTGGTTTAGTTAATCTATCCATAATAATAATTACTTTGTTTGCTTTCTGATACTTCTTCTTTCTTCTTTCTTCTTCCTTTACTAATTGATTATTATATCATCAATCAATCAATCAATCAATATCAAGCACAGTATGTATACCTACTATCACCATACCACATCACCACAACTGTTGGTTGTCATGATCCTTGCCTTATGCTTGCCCCATCTTTTATTTTATCTTATCCTTCCTTCCCTCCCTCACATCCCCCCTCTCTCTCAGTCAGTCACTTATCCACCCCCCCCCCTGATTCCACTTTGATTATACCATCTTACACCATCATTTGAATCAATCAATCCAATCAATCGATATCAACTACTACATCCATCAACCATATAATCTTACTATCAAGATTGTAAGATTTGAGAATCATTACCTAGAGGGTGTCATCAGATAAGGGATGAATGGCAATTTTTTGTGGCAACCAACAACAATAACAACAATGACATCACATCTTTCACTTTGATCAATTACTAACTAACTAACTTTATAGAACATTACCATGAGATCGGCATTTAAAGACGAACATCCCTTTGAAAAGAGAAAGGCTGAATCAAGTAGAATTACTCAAAGATTTAAAGATCGAGTTCCTGTTATTTGTGAAAAGGTTGAGAATTCAGAAATACCAGAAATTGATAAACGGAAATATTTAGTTCCATTAGATTTAAGTGTGGGACAATTTGTTTATGTGATTAGAAAAAGAATTAAATTACCAAGTGAAAAGGCTATTTTTATTTTTATTAATGATATTTTACCTCCAACTTCTGCTTTAATTAGTACTATTTATGAAGAACATAAAGATGATGATGGATTTTTATATGTATTATATTCTGGTGAAAATACATTTGGAGAAAAATTTGAAATTGATTTATCATCCATTGATTTTGAAAAAGAATTAAAGGATTATTAGGGGTTTCATACCTACTTTTTCTTATGGTTGATTCATTTCTATGAGGTTTATTCTTATTGATTAAGAATATTAGATATAAAGAAAGCGATTATCAGATTAGATCCATCCATCCATCCATTCTATATTATCAAGTTTTTTTTTTAAATTTACTATCTATTTATTACTAAGATTATTATTTACTTTTTATTATTTTTATACTATTTGTTTAAAGAGCTCGTTAGCTCAACTATTCAATCAATCAATCAATCAATCAAATTAATCAAATTGTTATTGTATTTGATTATGGTGCTGATGCTGATGCTGATATAAAGGTGTTATTTTTATTTTTATTTTTATTTACTATTATTATTACTATTATAATGTTTATGGTTTAACTTGAGTCATCATTCATTTGACTGATTGACTTAGTGATTAAACATTTTATTAAAGTCTGGTTTTGTTTATGCTTGTTTTGTTTTATTATTATAATTATCATCTTTTTATAATTGAATAAATAAATATATTATATTTATATTATATATATAATTAGGATGATTATTGCTATTGTAGTATATGGTTATCGGTTGACTCCGCATTTAATCATTATCAATCACCGGTTCATACCGCGGCCACAGAAATCAAAAAAAAAGATTATAACATCCACACCGCAAACATCCATACAACTCAAACATTCGGTATCCCGAGAAAAAAAAACTAGTGGTCGTGCATTTAACCAATAAAAATTATTTCTACTACATTACATCTTAAAGAGCTCATAATATAATGATATGATATGATATAAGAAGTAGTTTAAGTTTGATGGTGGTGTTATAGTAGTGTTATAGTAGTGTTATAGTAGTGTTATAGTAGTAGAGTTAAAGTAGCAGTAGTATGATTTTATTTTAGTAAGGAGATAGGTTTGTAGTAATGTTAATTTTAATAGGTAAAGCTTATGACAACTCCGAGTTATTACAAGACTGAAACTTATTAGTAATAACAGTAATTATTATTTAATAGTAGTGGTTGTATATTTGATTTGAATGGTTGTACCCCTAATTACTCTCCACTTTGCCTTTCCCTTGTCTTGTCTTGAATGAAATTGATAATATACCGTTAATTAATTAATTAATTAATTAATTAGACTTCCTAAATAGGCAATGAGTATCGATTCCAGACCCTCATAATTAAACTATTCATCCGTTAACTATGAGAGGCTCTTTGTGTAATGTCGTGTACTTGTTCACACCAGAAAAAAAAAGAAATTTAAATTAGTTACATATTAAAATTAAAGATTAAATGGAGAGTCACACAGAACTGAACTGAAAATTTTTACACTTTTCACAACCAAATTTAACAACTTTAATATGATATTGAAATGTGGTAAATTTATAGTCAATATAGTTCATATTATGACTTACACATTATGGTATCCTACTATATCAAGTAACAACCTGTACTAAATGCATGAGATATTGTAATCCTGGTAACTATATGCAAAAACCCATCCTCTTTATCCGTAAATTAAACCGGTATAAACTATAATTAAATTGTAACTATAAAATATTATTTTATTTTGTAGGTTGTAAAAGAAAAAATTTTCATTTATAATAGTTAATTATGGAACGGCGGCCCCTAATTCCTTAAATCATATCAAATTTGGCATCAAAATATGCTATAAACCCTCCCCATTGATCTTACTGACTTCCTCTTTCGCCTCTGTTTCCCGTAACTTAATCTTATATAATTAAAAAGTTTTCCTCCTCCTTTTATAATTTTTAATTCTACTTCTTCTTCTTCTCTCTTTAGTTCAAACTCACTAAGTCACTCCTTTAAAACACTTACACTCCTTTTAGTTTAAACTATAACTATCCCCCTCCACTTTCGTTAATTACTTTACAATGTACGCTTCATCTTTATTATTTGCTTTAACTGCTGCTACCACTGTTTTCGCTGGTTTCTCAAATCAAACCACCATCACTACCGATATCATCGTTACTGAATTCACCACTTACTGTCCTTACTCTACTGAAGTCGTCGTCACTATCTGTGATCAAGAAAGTATTTGTGCTCCATCAACCATCACTGTTACTGAAGCTACCACTTTAGTTATCACTGAACCATGTTTAATTGAAACTACTTTAACCAGTTCTGCTGCTCCAACCGTTGTCGCTGCTGAATCTACTATCTATGAAACTAGAACTTGTACTGAATGTGCTCCAGCTACTTCTTTCGCTAATGCTACCACTCCAGAAGTTTCTACTTTAGAAGCTGGTGCTGGTTCAAACCAAGTTGCCGTTGGTGCTTTTGCTGGTTTAGCTATTGTCGCTGCTGCTTTAATCTAGATTATTTAATTAATCTTTTGATTTCAGTTGGGTTTCTCTTATATTGGTTGAGTTGGGGGTTCTGCCTTTCTTTCTTTGTTATTTCGGTTGGTTTCTTTTATATTTGTAATGCAATCATTTAAATGAAAAGTATTAATTTACTTAATCATTATGATCGATTACAAATATCAGTATTCGTCACATTCATTCGTCACATTCCTTATCTTTTCTTTTCTTTTCGGTATTACTCCTTACTATTTCGATATTATCGTTTTCTTCTTTCCCTCTTTCCCTCCATCTCTTACTTATTATAGAAACTATCAGCTTTTTGTATTATTATATAGTTATATCTTACAATGTATACCTACTCTTTACATCCCCCCCTCCTGTAAGTCCATATGACAATATCATACTAATTAGTCTTAATTTGTATTGGTAAACTTGTGATGTTTAATATGGTTATACCACAAAATTAAAAAAATTCTGTTCACTGCTCATTTTTAAATTTTGTATGGGAATATCAATCATGTAACAAATCTAAAATTTAATTACAGAATTTATAATTTACACCATCAGTTTACACCATACTAACTATAGAGGCACAGGAGAAGAAGATAGAAGATAGAAGATATCATCCATCCATCCATCCATACCTCCCACGCCTCCCATTCCTCTCCCATCACATAATGTCCACTATAAATACTATAGATGGTAGTACAAACCATGATTCTGAAATTTCAAAATTCCCACATACTTCAAGATTCTTTAATACGAAGAATTTACCTGATTTAAGAACATATCAATTCACGAGGGATAATAAACCAATCCTGCTCAATGGTCAATCTACCGGAATCAATTATAATCCTTATAATCATCCTCAACTGAAAACTAAAGCCAATATCCCTTTGGATTTTTATAATCTCCCCACCAAAATATCCATCAATCATACTCCCATAAAAAGCGAACAACAAGATAGTGTAAGTGGACGGGAAATACCTTATTATGAATTGAATGATCAACAGAGTAAAGATCCCATTCGATTCATTGAAAGTGTGGCGGATGAAGGAAAGAACTACGGAGCAGTTAAAATCAAATTAAACGAATTAGATCATGTAAAGTTAATTAAATCAAAGATTCAAATTAATTCTGATTTATTTTGGTTTGAAACTAATAAATTATTAAATAATCCTAATCAAAATGAATTATTAAATCGATTGAAATTCCAACATGAATTAATTGAATTCCATTGTTTATACGCTTCAGAAAACGATCATACTCCCCCTCCATCGAAAACCAGCACCATCACCACAGAGCAAACCACAATCACTACCCCTTTGGCCATCAAGAAGGAGTTCCCTAATACTGCTATGTCACCATCATCTATAAATCGATTACTCAATAGTCCATCTCCTGCCATACGAGAAAATTCCATCGTTACGACTCCTTCAACTCATATCAATGATAGTGAAACTGATCCATCTTCATCATCAACAGCCCATACTCCCACCAGCACAGCCAATACATTCGATAGTCCGAAGAGGAAGCCTATCCCTCCATTCTTATTGAAATTACCTATGGTGGATAAACGTCCCTTGGATGTCTATAAATTGTTCCGATCGGTTATGATTCGAGGGGGGTTTCTGGAAGTTATAAATAAAAAATTATGGGCTCAAATAGGACGAGAATTAGGATATAAGGGGAAAATCATGACTAGTTTAAGTAGTTCTTTGAAATCTTCTTATCAACGGATTTTATATCCCTTTGAATTATATCTTCAAGATTCAAGGATGAAAAGTTCGATTATGAAACTTGAATCACATAAGAGAGAGGGTGATGAGAGTATAGAGGGTGAGCCTGATTTAAAGAAAGTTAAGTTGGATAATGGCAGTTCTGCTCCGTTGATATTAGGTTCAGCTAAAGAATTTAAACGTTCAATCAAAAGTAAAGGTTCTAAAGGGTTTATTATAAATTCTCCTCATTTAGTAGAAGTTAAACCTCCTAATACATTTGTCATTAAATCAGAAGAGAGTACAACTTCAACCTCAACATCAAAGAAGAATCGGAAATCAGCAGATAAGATTGAAACTCCGATATTACCCCAATCTCAATTAAAACGATCATTGAAATTCCTTATTGATAATCAATCTCATTTAGAAGATAAATCCCGTATGAAATCAAATATAAACTCATCATTCTATACATTACGACAATTCATGGAAAAGGATCTTAAATTCCAAGAATTCATCATTGAGAATCATCCTGATATATTCAAGAATGGATCCTCAAGTCATCCCCATCATAATCATCGTCACAATGATTATTCAAATTGTAATAATAATAACAATGGATACGCCCATGATAATGATCGGAAATCAATTGATATTTCTCAATTAGAAGATTTATTCCTTAAATTCATCAATAATCAAACTAAATTTGATTCATTAGGTATGGATGATGGATTAGAATTGGAATGTGGGATCGATATTCCAAATTATATTAATGGATCTGCCTTCGTTCAATTAGGTGATGATGTGGCCAAATATAAAAGTAGTCTTCATAATTTAACCATTATGAATTCTACTACTAAAGCGACGAATGCCGCCATGAATGCCGTTATTGGCAGGAATGAAAGTAATAATGGAAATTCTAGTAATATCAATAATCCAATCAATCAAATGACAAATGTAAATGATGCAGCATATTTCAATTCACCAGAATATATTTCAAATATCATCTCATCCGCTTTATTTCCTTGGAATTTACATAATTTACCCATTTTACCCAATTCATTATTTGGATCGTTCACTGATTCCGATCTTAATAATAAAGAATTAGTCAACTCAAGATTAAATATTGGCATGACGTTCAGTTTAAATAATTGGACATGTGAAGATCATTTCACCAATTTAATCAATTATCAATTCTTTGGAGCGGTTAAACGATGGTATTTCATTCCGGAACTGGATTTCACTAAATTTGAACAATTAGTGAAAGATATAAATGATGCTGAAACTACGAGATTGAATATTAATAATAATGTGAATTGGCAAGTTGATCAATTAAAACAATATTTTGTGGATCATCCTTTTGTCGATTATGATAATTTAATCATATCATTGGAAAATATGATTAATCCCATTTCAGATTCAAGATCTTCTCATATAAATAAACATTTCCAATCTTTAATTGATTTAAAGACGAATAATAATCATCCTTTAAAATTAAATCAAGAATTCTTTATCACTCCTCAATTACTTTCAGAACGAGGAATCAAATTCACTACTACATTACAAAAACCAGGTGAATTCATTATGAAACTTCCCAAGACTTATTCTGCTTGTGTATCTTATGGATTCAATTTAAGCGAAGAAGTGAATTTCGCTACTAAGGATTGGTTAGATTATGCCTTGGAAGCCGAAACATGGTTATCAAATCAAAGTATCATACCTAATTTCCTGACATTTAAATTATTAATTAATTTAATTCAAATTTATGATTCAGGGCAAAATATTGGATTCAGTTCGGAAATTTATAATAAGATTCGTCCTATGTATGATGAATTACTTGAGAATGAATTAGAATTACGGAATAAGATTCGGAAATTAAAAATCAAAGAAGTTTCTATCGATGAGAAACAATTCCTGGAGACAGATATGATAGCAGATGATGATTTACTGAATGTATTCCCTTCAAAAGTGATTGTGATTGAAATTAAAACCAAACAATCATTCATTATGTCCATGGCAAGCTTTTTACAATATCAAGAGATGAATAAATTGGATCCAAAATTATATAATTTCGAATTACATTTGTTTTATTCCGATGATAAATTAAGAAATTTAGCTAAATTATTAAGTAATTATTCGATTGATTATCAAAGTTGGATGAAGAAATATATTGAATTAATGCAAGAGAATTCAGATGTATCGTTGAAATCATATCGTACATTATTAAGTGAAGGTGAAAGAATCTTATCTGCCATTGAATCAACCACGACTTTAAACAGTACTGAGGAGTCAATTAAACCAGATGATGAATTTGATTTATTCAAAAGTTATATTATCAATCTTCGTTATTTCATTAATAAATCAAATGAATTCATTGAAGAGTGTCAACATTTATTATCCATAAAACATCAACAACGAATTAGAAATGGGAATGAATATCGTCAATCATCTGATTTAAAAGATTTATTCAAATTAGTAGATAAAATCCCTAATTTGAATTTCTCATGTACAGAAATTGATCAAGTTTTAGAATTTAAAAATGAAATTGAAAATTTCGATAAAGCATGTCGAACCTTACTTTCAAAAAAGAATAAGCCAATTCAAGAATTTGATGATTTAATTAATCTCGGTGAAAGTTTTGGTCTTGAAATCCCATCTTTAACTTTCATCACTCGAATTAGAGATCGATTAAATTGGATTAAAGTTTATAATTTGATTCAAAAGGGAGCTGATCCCTTGGCAGATAAGAAAGAAGTATTCACGTTTGATAAACTTCAAGAATTCTTTAATAAAGGATTATCAATCTTATCTAAAGAAGATCTTGATATGATAAAGGATATCGAATTGATTGTTAATAATAGTGAAGAATTTGATCTTGATTGTGGAGAATTCTTAACTACAATTGATTATGTGGAGAATTATAATATGGAGAAATTAACTACTATAGCAGAAAGATTTAGAACGGAAAAATTATTTATAACTATGACTAATTATATTGAACTTTCAAAATTACAATTCAATGCTAAATTGATAGCTCAATTCAATCAATTTAAACATAATCCTGACGAAAGATTAACGTATGCTGATGCTAAACAAATTCACAATTCAATTAATGAAAGTGGATTAAAATTCAATGAAATCATCTTAACTAATGAAATCAATAAGACCGAAGAATTCATTAATCAATTATGGTTAGAAATCGATCAAGTTAAAATCATAACTACTTTAAGTAAAGATGTTGATTTAGATCATTTGAATTCAAGATTAACTATGAATACGAAATTAGTCGAAAAACTTTATCAAATCCTTTATAAATCAGAATTCGCTTTATCAGAAGATGACATTTATGAAAATTCTTCATCATTCAATGCTAAGTTCTCCAATGCCGATGATGATAATGAAAATGATCCGGGGGTCAAATTTTATTGTTTATGTCGTGAATATGAATACGGAACTATGATTGAATGTGATAAATGTAATGAATGGTATCATATTCTGTGTGTGGGAGAACAAGTTAATAATGCTGATGATGATAATTATTTATGCCCACTTTGTAAATTGATTGAATCGAATGATGGAGAAGATGTCTATGTGAGTAAACAATTCACTTTATCAAGATGTTTAGAGTTGAAGAATTTATTGGATACCTTGAAGGTTTATCCTGGTAATGAATCCAGAGTAGTGAATGAAATCAATGAAACGATTCAGAAGTATCAACACTCGATTCGAAATAAAATGATTGAATTGAATAATGTTGATAATGAAGTTCCACTTCCTAAAAAGATAGATAAGTTAAAATACTTTTTAAGAAAGATTTATGGAAGTGGAGTCTTTTTAAATGAGTTATTTGTGGATGTCTTGAAATTGGTAAGGGTGAAGGAGGGACAGTATAATGCATGGTTAGCTACTCAAAAGGTAAATGAAGTTAAGATAGAGGTTGTCGATGACTTGCCAACTGAGAAAGTTGAAGAAGTTAAGGTAGAGCCGATAGTAGAAGCATCAGCTTCTGAAGCACCTGCATTTATAGAACAAATAATCTCAAGCCAAGAACCAAAGGTTGTTGATCTTATTAGTCCAGATATTGCTACACCCGAACCTCCTCAAATCGAGCAATCTCCATTGGACGTTGAACCAGTGGTAAAAGTGGAAACAGAAGTAGCAAAAGCTCCTGCTGAGCCAATTACTGCTCCTATTGAAGAATCAGTTCCAGAAGTTTCTAATGTTGAACCATCAACAGTTGTCAAACAACCAAATGAAGAAGTCATCAAAGAATCAGAAGCTGAAGAATTAGTTGAGAATCAAGAGGTGGACGTAGAAGCCGTTGAGGAACCTACATTAGATGAAGTTTCTAAGGTGATTCCATTACAAACTGAAGCAGTTAAACCTGTTAAGGAAGATGAAGTCAAGGTAGAACAAGAGATAAAGGAGATCAACCCTGTTGATGAAACCACAACTGGAAAAGTTGAAACCAGCAACACTGTAGAAGAGGTCAAAGTACCAGAACCAGTTATAATAGAACAAGACACAGAAGAGAATAAACCATTGAATGGACATGAATCAAGTAGTTCAACTCATATTCAACAGAATGGAACCATAAAAGAAGACATTATATCATCAACAACATCTCAACCAGGAGATAAGACAGACAAGGACAATGTCATAGTAGAACCCACTACTACAGAAGTATCATCATCATCATCATCATCATTATAGATGATGACCCAATTGTATAACACCCATTAAATAGCATAATTAATATAAATTGTATTTGTATTTTAAAAGACGCGCATTTTTAAATTTTTGTATTTTTTTGTTTACCATTTTAAAATTTACAACAAAACAGAAATTGATAATTCAATTGCAACCAAACCATTCAAGAGGTTCAATGAGTTCAACATCATCGATGGATCCCATTGATGAGTTGATAAATCAATGTTGGAATAGAGTGGGCAAGTCCACCACCACCACAACAACAACAAGTTCAACCACATCCAATGAATACATCTATATAACTCAATTACTTGGTGTCATAAGTGAAATTGAAAATATCCTTCTGATCAAACAATTATTGAATGAAGATGAATCAAAGATACTACGAAAGATGATCGAAGCTACTCCTATGATGAAATTGTATAAACGAAATGTCCAGGAGTTTATCTTGAAATTGGTTAAGTTTAATCGATTTGATCAGTTTCTTCAAACAAGATTTCAAATATCATTATCTGATTTAAGATTAAGTCTTAATGTATCATCATCATCATCTCATAAGAATACTTCTAGTTATCTACCCTTTCCATTTAAACGACTGGAGAAAGAATCAACTGAACCAAGTAAAAGTTGGTTTAGTAGAACTACCACTATACCTGATTCAAGACAATTACATTCACCACCATTATCCCCACCTATATTACCACCATCATCAACTATTATACCGACAGATTTAATAAAGAAGAATCAAGAGATTGAAAGATTACAATTCCAAAATAAAAGTTTAGAAGCTACCATACGAACTAAAGAAAGTCGAATCCTTGAATTACAAAAGGAAATCATCACTATCAATAAACATACCAATAATATCGAGCAACAACTTCATAAACGACCTGATCAAAACAATGTTAGTAAATTATTACAACGGATTAAAGATAAAGATGGGAGTATTAAAGATTTACAACTATTATGTGAAGAGTATCGTCAGGAAATAAGTGATTTAAAACAAGCTCAAACTTTAAAACAACCAATGATTGATGAATTGATTAAAAATGTAACTAAACAAGATAGTTTGATCCATCAATTACAACAAAAACTACAATTAGATCAAAAGTCATCTTCATCTCCTCAAATAAACTCCTTCTTATTGAACTTACCATTCATTAAACAATATTACTTTTTGTTAAAGTATAAACAAGATCATAAGAATTGGGGATTAATCATGATAAACATCCTTACGTTGATCCTATCCATGATTATATTATTGAATGGATTACAATTTGTATTATATGTAACATTATGGATCTTTACTACCAGGGTTAATCCATCAGCTTACGTTTATGATGATTATGGAGATAGTGTATTCAGTTTAACTTCAACGTTTGAATGGTGGAAAGAGATTGAATGGTTAGAGTACTTAGTTTATAATCTTGAAGATTATCTATGGCAATGAATATAGGGAATACAAATGATGATGATGATTTTAAAGATAAACCGATTCATTAAAAAATTATACAAGATTAAATAAAATGCTAATAATAAATAGTAAAGATATAAAAAAGAATTTTATTAATAAAGATATTTATTATAATAATAATATACAAGAAATATTCTTTTAGTTAAACAAATCCTTTGATAAAAAGACCTATTAAAATTAGAAAAGAAATATAAAAAAACTAATTTCAAAAGATGAAAATAAGGGTAATAAATACAAAGACAAAAACGATAAAGTTAACACTTAATGAACTTAGTTCATTTGTTTAACTAAAGCGTTAATGAATTCTTCTCTATTACCGGTGTCACCACCTTGGATGAAATGTTCGAATTTTCTAGTTCTGAAACCACCGTTTGGATTAGATAATTTGAATGGCCATAAAAAGTTGTTAACTTGTTTGAAATTTGGACCAACAGTGTAAATTTCATGGATTAAATCTTCAACAGATAAAATGTTGAATTTACCTAAAGAAGCTTCAATGATAGCATTATCAACTAATGGGATTCTTTGTTTGTTAATCTTACCGTAACCTCTCTTGTAGATTAAATGTCTAATGGTAGATAAAGATGGGTAACCATAAGCAATGTATGGTTCAGCTAATTTGATTAATTCAGCAGTAGCTTTGGTTAATCTAACGAAAACACCAGCATTAATTTGAGTTAATCTTAATAATTGTAAAACCTTTCTTGGCTTTGGTGGAATTTTCATAATACCCTTAATTCTGACAACGAAAGCTAATTTTTCTTGAGCATCAACATAGTATGAACCAGCAGCTTTGGCATCTCTTTTAGCTTGAATGATAGATCTTTCAGCATCAGTGTATTCCTTTTGGTAAGCAGCAGCTCTGTCAAAGATAACCTTTCTCTTTTCTTGGTTAGCCTATAAGTCTAAAGTTAGTATAAAATGGTCATTTTTTAATATAGATTTACACTCTTTTGATATTTGATTTCATCTTTCATATTTCAATCAGACCCGAAAGATGGTTAATTGATTGACAACATTGCCGAAGCTAGTCGAATTCGATTGGTAAAACAGTTTTGCATCTTCAAAATAGAAAAAATTCAAATATCACAAAGTGTTAAAAAGTATTATATACATACAGCTTTTCTAGCAACCTTGGCGGCAGCACGTTCTTCAGCAGTCTTTTGATCAGCTTTAGATTTCTTAACTAAAGTTTCTGGTTTTAAAGTACTATAATGATAAAAGTTAGTATATAAAGTTTTTCAAGTAGAAATATCAATATCAAAACATTTCTCTTACTAACAAGATAATTGTGTTATCCCTGTGGGTCATATATTTTTTATATTAAGAACAAAGTAATGTCATATAGACTATGGAAAAAGTCATATAAACGAAGGATAGGAACTGAATAGCCACATTCATTCCCACTTCACATTACCCACCAATAGATATTAGTGGTCTTAAAATATAGTGCACAGAAGAAAACAGATATATCAGGCATTGGCGTAAATTTAAACGAAAGATAAATGAATATAAATTATTCAGCTGCAAGACAATCTGACTTTCCCTTGGCATGGTAATCAAGTATTTAATCAAAGTCAACAAAAGTAAAGTAATGTAGATACTTCAAAATCCAAGGTTGACAATTGACAAAACCTCATACGAATATGAGAGATAAATACTACTAATAGTATTTATATAAAAGAATGGAATGACGAGTAAAACTTGTAATAACATTCAAACCTTAGTCGAAACTAAGAAAGTTTGATAGAAGGATTTGATTCCATTCTATTCATGGTATATTCAAACATCTCACCTTTAAAATCAACACCCAACAAGACCCCAAATTAAACCTTTCAAACTCGAGAAGAGCCAAAGATCAAATGGAAGTCATTGCTAGTAAGTGTTTATTAAATGATGATTGTATTATAAAAGGTATATGGTACATACGTAGCCATTTTGAATGATAGTTGATTAACAAGAAGAAATAAAATGAAAAATTATATAGAAAGAAAATCTGTTATATATATTTTTTTTCACTTTGGTCTTCGTCTTCCCCCTCCATCGTCTCACGCTGAAGAAAAAAAAAAATTAAACTGTAAAAAAAAAAAGGACCAAAATACACATCACGTGGGAATATCACCAGTGAGGGCAACGACCCTAAAGACAAAGTCTGTCAAACCTGGAAAAATACAGTTAAAGAAGCGCAAACTTAAACTTTAGCGGATACATTCCAAATTAGGTAATATATCATATAAACCATTATAATTACTATGATTAATCATATACTATTACTGATTATTATTATATAGATCAATCAATCTATATCTTAACCAATGAGATTATGAGTCTATCTGATTATTTAGGACTTAATTTCCTTTATGAGATGAAGTAGAAATTGAAGAGTAAGATCTATTACCAAGCTATTAATAAAATAACCGCAATTAAAGTTTGAATTAATCCATGTTTATCAGATTATCAAGACATATTAACATATTGTATAGATATTGATATGTTAGCTTTAATTATCATTTCTTAGTAAATAATCAAAGTAATGTTAAGGTAACTTGTACCATACTAATGGGTTGTACTCTTATCATTGCCCAATTAAGCAATCGATAACGCGCTAAATCAAATAAATCAGACAAAACTAAACAAATAAAATCAGACAGACAAAAATAATTTAATTGCTTTTAAATAAATTGCGAGAGCGCACCGCATACAAAAAAATAATTCCTTATCAGAAAGTTACTATCAATTTGCATCTTTAAATTCCCATTCACCAGGCACAATCCTTCTAGTTGCCTTGAATTTGTAACTTATTATAAGTGTGTAACTAAGACATCGGATCAATATAATTTGAATTATTTTTCAGGTTGGGAAATATCCTATCAGAAATCTGCGGTTAATATCGACTAAAATAGAAATTTAATCTAAACTCCCTCTCCCCCATATAATTCTTAACTATGTAAATCTATCCTTTAAAAAACTTTAAATTCAATTCTGATAACAATGCCATATCTCTTTCTTTACTTACAAACGACCGTTAATTACATTGCATTAATTTTGATATAAATACATCTTGAAATATTCATCCCAGATAAGTTATTCTTGACTTTTTTTCAACTTATTCATCCCAATGTCCAAATTACAAACGGTTCTCTCTAGAGAACAAATCCTTGAACAAGTGGTTTCAAATAAGAAATTCTACAACAATAATCAAAATGTTGAAGAACCTCATATCGCTGCCATCTTCTCCAATAGTGATGAAGAGTTATTAGCTCAAATTGGTTATAAACCAGAATTAAAACGTCATTTCAGTACTTTACAATGTTTTGGAGTTGCCTTTTCTATTATGGGTCTTTTACCTTCTATTGCTTCCATCTTAGCCCAAGGTATTATCGCTGGTCCTGCTGGTTGTCTTTGGGGTTGGGTTATTTCATCAATATTGATTTTCACCATTGGTATTTCCATGTCTGAAAATGGTTCAAGTATCCCAACTTCTGGTGGTTTATATTATTGGACAAATTATTATGCTCCTCCAAAAATGAAGACTTTAATCTCTTATCTTATTGGTAATACTAATTCCATTGCTTTGATTGGAGCTTTATGTTCGGTTGATTATGGATTTGCTCAAGAAATCTTATCGATTGTCGTTATTTCCAAAGATGGTGATTTTGATATCACTCCAGCAAAGACTTATGGTATTTTCGTGGGTTGTGTATTAGCTCATATTGCCATTACTTGTTTCTCATCTAAGAATTGTGCTCATTTGCAAACCACATCCATCGTTGTCAATTTATTCGTGATTGTTTTATTCGTCATTGCTATGCCAATTGGTGCCAGAGGTCATTTCAAACCAGCTTCTTATGTGTTTGGAGAATTTGATAATCTTTCTGATTGGCCAATGGGTTGGACTCAACTTTCTGCCGCTTGGTTACCTGCTATCTGGACCATTGGAGCTTTTGATTCCGTCATTCATATGTCTGAAGAAGTTAAAGATGCAGAACGTACCATTCCAATCGGGATCTTAGGTTCTATTTCAGCTTGTGGTATTTTAGGTACCATCATTTTAATCATTACCTTTTTCTGTATTCAAACTGATGATATTGAAGGTCATCTCTTAGGATCAAAATTTGGTTTCCCCATGGCACAAATTATTTATGATGTGTTAGGTAAAAAATGGGCCATGGCATTTATGGTCCTTATTGCATTTGCCCAATTTTTAATGGGTGCATCTATTCTTACCGCTATTTCAAGACAAATTTGGGCTTTTGCCAGAGATAATGGTTTACCATTCTCATCTTGGATTAAAAAAGTCAATCATAAATTATCCGTTCCTATCAATGCCGTTTGGTTTGGTGGTATTATGGCTATTATCATTGGTTTATTAGTTCTTATTGGACCTGTGGCTGCCAATGCTCTTTTCACCTTATATATTGCTGGTAATTATGTCGCTTGGTCAACACCAACTTTCCTTAGATTAACATTTGGAAGACATAAATTTAAACCAGGTAAATTTTATTTAGGTCCATTCTTTTCGCCATTGATTGGATGGATTTCAACCACTTTCTGTGCATATACTTTTATTATGGTGATGTTCCCAGCTTCTATTGGAGTTGATAAAGATACGATGAATTATACATGTGTGATTACTCCAAGTGTGTGGATCTTTTCCTTAATTTATTATTATGTTTATGCCCATAAGATTTATCATGGTCCATGTAAAACTGTTGATGTGGATAGTACCGGGGAATATTTAGAAGGTGTTGATCCAAATGATGGTGCTAGTTCTGAACCAACTGGTGAAAAGACTTCATTGACTGATGTTAAAGTTCATGAAAAGGTTTAAAACTAGACTAGATAGATATACAGGGTTTTTCTTTCATTTTTACTTCTTCAATTCTTGAATTATATTCACACTTTCTTTCTTAGTTTATTTCTTTCTAATTTAATTTAAGTCCATTCGTTTAATTCACTTCTTTCCAGGAAATGTATAAACCCAAACCATATCTGATTTAATTTCACCAGTCTAATCTAATTCTGATTTTAATTCATCAACAAATGTCTCAGCGTTATTATATTTATCACCATGAACCTTCATCGAAGTATGATATTCACTTCAAATCATTTTAATGTGATTCTCTTATGAATGAACAATGGTGGGTAGTCGTCACCTCATTAATTGAAATATGTGAGGTATCCATCACTAGCAGATTCTGTAAAGAATGTACGATGGTTATGACACCATTCTTTCCTCGTATTTAAATCAATTGAATTGGGGGGAGATATTAGAAGGATAAGTTACAGCATAAACAAATTTGATAACTAGAAAGTCACATCTCCTTACATTATTTAAACATAACCAGGGATCCATAACGGTTACATATGGAATTAAGCGCCTGAATAAGTAGTCATGAATTTAATTGTTGCAAAATGAATTGAGATAAGAGTTGAGATTACCCATATTTTAGAGCACCGACACCGGTCCTTCTGCGGACACGTCCTCTGTCATTATGATCTATATTATATATATATTTCAAGTTAAAATACCATAGAAACTATAGCATATATATAAAGAGAAAATATTTAACGACTTGATGGATATTACTAATAAGTAATATTTTATCCATTTACAGAATTTAAGGTAGATAGATAGATAGCCATTTTGGAAGAATTAACGGAAGATCAAACTAATGATCATTATGATTATGCACTTCAATAGATCAATTAGATGGTATCTTAACCAATGATATTATTAGCTCATACCAAGAGTGAGATTACCCAAGCTAAGGCTTAACTTAAATGAAGAAGAAGAACACTACAAATGTTAAGCTTAATTATGAATTGTAGATATCTTTACCTAATTAGGTTAAAGATAACGAAGTAAGTAAGTAAGTAAGTAAATCATATGAGTGAGTACAATATGGATCTGAGCCTCTTATGGTATTAGCAAAACTTGATTGGGTTAAGCTGGTGGTATAAAATAGAAACACCACAAAAAATATTTAAATTTCTTTTTTAGAATTGCAGGACCAAAAAATAAAAAAAAAATAAAAAAAAAAAAAAGAAAAAAAAATTTTCCTTATCTCAGAAAAGGGAACAAAAATACGTCAAATTTTTGCATCTTTAATTTAAAATTTCATTCTACTCATCAACATCGTTTTAAGGCACAATCCCGTTAGTGTGCTTAATTTTTGTTAGCTAGCGTGGGCGCCCGGCATCTAAATATAATACCTCAGATCAACATAATTAAAAATTGATAAGTACTTATGTATGTACGTTCGTACGTCTTGTGAAATATCCTTAGATTAATCTCTGGTTAATATCGACTAAAATAGTCCTTTCCTCCCCCCTCCTTCCTTCCCTCTTTCTATCTATAATTATTAAATATGTAACTCTATCTTTTAAATACGCTAAATTGATCTATTATCTCTCTTTAATTACTGATAACCGTTAATTACTTTGCGTTTTAATTGAATATAAATACATCTATTTATCCCCAATTTCTAATGTTTTTTTTTAAATTGTTCATACCCACTCATCAAGCATGTCAAACTTACAAACTGTTCTCTCTAGAGAACAAATCCTTGAACAAGTGGTTTCAAATAAGAAATTCTACAACAATAATCAAAATGTTGAAGAACCAAATATCGCTGCTATTTTCTCCAATAGTGATGAAGAGTTATTAGCTCAAATTGGTTATAAACCAGAATTAAAACGTCATTTCAGTACTTTACAATGTTTTGGAGTTGCCTTTTCTATTATGGGTCTTTTACCTTCTATTGCTTCTATGTTGGCTCAAGGTCTTATTGCTGGTCCTGCTGGTTGTTTTTGGGGTTGGATTATATCTTCCATCTTTATCTTTACTATTGGTATTTCAATGGCTGAAAATGGTTCGAGTATCCCAACTTCTGGTGGTTTATATTATTGGACCAATTTTTACGCTCCACCAAAAATGAAGACTTTAATTTCATATCTTATCGGTAATACTAATTCCATTGCTTTGATTGGGGTGTTATGTTCAGTTAATTATGGATTTGCTGAAGAAATCTTATCGATTGTCGTTATTTCCAAAGATGGTGATTTTGATATCACTCCAGCAAAGACTTATGGTATTTTCGTGGGTTGTGTATTAGCTCATATTGCCATTACTTGTTTCTCATCTAGGAATTGTGCTCAATTACAAACTGCTTCCATCGTGGTCAATTTATTCGTCATTACCTTATACATTATCGCCTTACCAATTGGTGCCAGAGGTCATTACAAACCTGCATCCTATGTTTTCGGTGAATTTGATAATCTTTCAGATTGGCCAATGGGTTGGACTCAAGTTTCAGCATCTTGGTTACCTGCTATCTGGACCATTGGTGCTTTTGATTCTGTCATTCATATGTCTGAAGAAGTTAGAGATGCCGAACGTGCTATCCCAATTGGTATTTTAGGTTCAATTGCTGCATGTGGTGTTTTAGGTACGGGTGTTTTAATGGTGACATTTTTCTGTATTCAAACTGATGATATTCAAGGTCATCTTTTAGGATCAAAATTTGGTTTCCCAATGGCTCAAATCATTTTTGATGTTTTAGGAAAGCAGTGGGCAATGGCATTTATGGCTCTTATTGCCTTAGCTCAATTTTTAATGGGTGCATCTATTCTTACTGCTATTTCAAGACAAATTTGGGCATTTGCCAGAGATAATGGTTTACCATTCTCAACTTGGATTAAAAAAGTTAATTATAAATTATCCGTTCCTATCAATGCTGTTTATTTTGGTGGGTTTATGACTATTTTCATTGGTTTATTATCACTTGCTGGTCCTGTTGCTGCTAATGCTCTTTTCACCTTATATATTGCTGGTAATTACGTGGCTTGGACAACTCCAACTTTCCTTAGATTAACAGTTGGAAAAAGTAAGTTTAAACCAGGTAAGTTTTATTTAGGTCCATTCTTTTCTCCATTAATTGGTTGGATTTCATCCAGTTTCTGTGCATATTCATTTATAATGGTGATGTTCCCCGCATCTATTGGTGTTACTAAAGATACTATGAATTATACATGTGTGATCACTCCAAGTGTGTGGATTTTGTCATACATTTATTATTATTTCTATGCTCATAAATTCTATCATGGTCCTTGTAAGACTGTCGATGTGGAAGGTGAATATTTGGAAGGAATTGATCCAAATGATGAAGTTAGTTCAGAACCAATTGGTGAAAAGATATCATTGACTGATGTTAAGGTCCTTGAAAAGGTCTAAACTTTTTTATATTGAGATTATTTATACACGGTTTTTGTTTATCTTTTACTTCTTCAATTATATATTTATATTTATATTTCTTTATTTATTTATTTACTTCTTTCTAATTTAATTTAGGTTTTTATCTCTTTCTAGCAAATGTATAAACTGTATCCCAAACCACATCTAATTCAGTATCATCAGTCCATCCTAATTCTAATTTCAATTCATCAACAAATCGTTCCGCAATATTATATTTATCACCATGATCTTTCATCCAACTATGATATGCACTCCAACTCTTGACATAATTTAAAAACCATTTTAATGTAATTCGTTTATGTATGAATAATGGAGTGTAATCATCTCCTCCTTTTTTGAAATCTGTGGGGTATCCATCTCGTTCAATAATATATTCATGTCTTAAAACATCAGTAAATAAATCTTGAGGAACTTCAATCTCCTTTAATAAAGTTCGAAGATAATCATGACCTGGCTGTTGATAATATGGACCCATATATCTTTCAAATTTATCCTCAGGGTTTAATTCTAAGGACGAATTATAAGTATAATTAGTATATATCTCATTGGCTTTTGGAAACCCTACAAACACCGGATCTTTATAAAACCAATATGCCAAAGTGCCCCCTTTTTTAAGTACTCTAGCTGATTCTTTAAAGAATTTGGGATGATCAACCCAATGACAACATTCCGCCCCCGTGATCAAATCAATTGAATTTGGAGCGATAATCCCAGGATACGCTTCAGCATATCCAATTTCAAATTGAATTTGGTCAGAAGAAGGTTTCTTCTCATTACATTGTTTAATCATCGCCTGAGATGGGTCTATACCATATACCTTTTTAAAATGATTACATAATTCATAAGCGACAAACCCTGATCCACAACCAGTATCAATAGCAACGTCATGGATATACTTTTCAGTATGATAGTTGAATGGTTCAATTACGGAATCATGATATCTCATTAATTCTTGATAGAACGACTTGGGATAATTGGGTCTTGAATCATCATAATGTTGAGTGTTAAATGATGCGTCTGAATAAGTAGTCATTCTGTTTGTTTTATCTTGTAATTAATTTAATTGTTGCAAAATGAATTGTTGATATATATAAGGGTTGATGGTATTTACCCCATACTTATAATTTAAATTATTTTGTGTGGTGCGCCGGTGCCGGTCCTTTTGCGGACACGTTTTGTAACAATTTGATCTATATTAACGAGTATAGATTATAAATTGAGTCATTGTTATAGGATTACTATAGAGTAATTGTCATATAGGGGATAGAACTAACGTGGTTTTATCATTATGACTTCGAAATAGGTTCTGTTTTGTGAGTAATTGGCACAAATATGTGTACACACAAGTGAAACTGATTTCAAATCTAAATATAGAAATCTTTCCTTTTGATTAAAACAAATAGTATTATGACTAATAGGATATCTATTATTTAATCAAACTGTACAAATAATTATTGTATTAGTCAATTTTATGTAGGAGGAACCAAAATGATTTTGCAATTTTAAGAACAAATAAATCGCGACTATCTACAGCCTCAAAAAAATATAGATTTATATTTATCCATATATGATCCCAGTAAGCTCTATAAGTATTCATACAATATGAGTGATAATACAAATAAAAAGGATGATCAAGTGGATTCCACTTCATTTGCTAGTATCTTAGCTGGGGTTCAACGTATGCGTGAACAATTTGGGGTGGTAGCAGATGATCATGAACAAGAATCAATACCTCAAAGGGAACACACGTCTGCTATATCGAAACCACCAATAACAACTACATCCACAACTGCATCAACAAGTACGACTACGATCAGTCGACCCAGTACTATAGAATCTAATATCCCACCAACCACTACGGTGAGATCCACTTTAAGTACAATCACAGGAAATCCAATTCCAGCAAATACAGACTCACCTTCTCCATCATCAACTCCAGGACCATCTACAGTTAGAAGTTCAAGAACAGTTCAAAACATTGCCAAGACTGCCAAAGTCCTCGTCCATCCATCGCAAAAAGGAAATCCATTATTGAGTGAATCCTTACTTAAATCAATCGGATATGAGTTTAATAAAGATGTTCTTTGTGATTATTTTATCAATTCAACTTTCCAAATTTTATTTTTATCATTAAAATATCATAAACTTAAACCAGAATATCTTTGGCTGAGACTTAAAAAGATGAATCGTGGTTCATCAAGTGTCAATACGCGTAATGATCGAGCTTTAAGAATGGTATTAATTGTGGTTGATATTGAAGCACCTCAAGAACAAATTCGAAATTTATCTGATTTTTGTATAAAGCATGATTTAACTATGGTATTAGCGTGGACATTTGAAGAAGCCGGGAATTATGTAGCATTTTCAAAACAATTGGATAATGCTCCTGCCAAGACCAAACAAGGTATACAAGGGATAAGAGGTTCAGATTATAAATCATGTGTAGTGGAAGCGTTAACTGGTATACGGTCCGTTAATAAAACAGACGTATCTAATCTTTTAGCTAATTATGAATCAATTAAGAATATCGTTAGTAATACTTGTATGAATGATAATATTACAAATGTATCTGGAATGGGAGCTACAAAAGTACGAAATATGAGAAATATATTCCTGGAACCATTTATTTACAATAAGATTTATGAACCATTAGAAGAGTGATAATCTATATATATATTCTAATACATCATTAAACCTTTTGAGGAGGTTGACCTTGTTGTTGACTTTCAATTTCAATCATTTTCTTTCTTAATACTAAATTAACGGTATTTAAAATTTCATTCTTTTGTACTAATATATCCTTTAACTTTTTAGCATCTTCATCTAATCTCTTTATTTTAAAATCATACACTTGTTTTGCATCTTTAGCCAGTTTTTCAACAAAATAACCTGTCCCTATATCCACTAAATATTCATTCTTTTTAATGGTTTTACCAGGTAAATATAATGAACTAGTTAAAGGGACTAATAAATCTTCACTCTTTGATTTTTCTAAATTATCAACACTTGTAACACAATCTTTTAATTTAGATTGAGCAGTTTGTAAAGCTTGTAACGATTGAGTGAAATGATTTATCTCTTGATCAATTGATTTTCTGAATTCCACCAATTGTTGAGGTGAAAGTGAACCCAAATCAACTTTATTAGATGGTGTTGACATAGTATAGTTGGTATAATGATGATGGTATGTAAAGTTAAGTTGGTTATCGTTAGTTGCAGTTTCCTTAAAAGTTTCAACACACTTTAAATTTTTTCTGTTCACATTTGTAGATACTTCTTCACACACACATTTTTTTTTATCTCTGAGATTAATTTTAAAGTTTTGCAATTGATCTTAACTTACAAACTATAGATCATATATTCATACCACATCATATCATGGGGAACGACGGGGGGACTATAGCCAAGAGACAAGATATCTTATCATTACATTCCCAATTTAATGGTTCAGATTCAAAATCCCAACAAGGCGCTGATGATATTGAATCAACTTTATTAACCACTTGCGCTATATCATCATTACCATTATATTCATTAAATGGTCTTGTTCCTATTGTGGGAGATTATAAAGGAAGGTTATATATCAAAGAGAAAATCTTGGAATATATCATTAAACAAAAATTTGATAAATCAAGTTTAAAACCAGCATATGCTCATATTAAATCATTAAAGGATTTAATTGAAGTCAATATCAAATGGATAAAAGATGATGAATCAGATACATATCATATCCAATGTCCTGTCACCAAGGAACTGCAATCTTTCAAAGCCTCCTATGCTTATCTTCGACCATGTGGATGTGTGTTATCATATAAAGTATTGGAAGAAGTATCATCAAGTTTTACTCATACTGAAGTACCATTCCCAAGTTTATGTCCTGTTTGTGAAAAGGAATTTCAATTTAATTATGATATCGTGATTATAAATCCTTTGAAAAATACTGACAATGATGAATTTAATGAATCTAATTATAAATATCTTGGTGATGTTCTTGGTTTAACTCATTCAAAAGCTATAAAGCAAAAGAAGAAATCAAAGACAAAATTACTGCCGCTTAAAAGAAAATTACAAGATGAAGTGATTGACGATGATGATAATACGAGTGATAATGATTCCTCGAAAAGGGTAAAGGTTTAAACTGTATAATAATAATAATGTATATTTAAGGTTAATATTTTTAATAAAATAAGAAACAAATATGTTTCAACTATGTACACTGATTTTAAGGAGACCAATCTCTGATGTAGATTATTGATTACTTATCATCTTTACCTTCCAGACGAGCTTCATGATACTCTTCTTTAACGAATTTTAACTTTTCTTTATTCCATGGAGCATAATCTGAATTAGACCATACATTGAAAGTAATTGATCCCATTCCAACCACAACAATACCAACCAATCCTAACACGGTAACACGATGAATGACATCAGTAACACGCACACCAAGTGGAAGTTTCCCTGATGATGACATTATCTTTATATATAGTTCTTAAAGTTATAGTAATTATAAACAGTTAGATTCATCTCTCAAAGCCCATGAATGTTACTCAGAAAAATCATACAATAAAAGAAAACGCGACATTTCACGTAGAACAACCACGACATACGATATCGCAATACTGCATATAATAATATAATATAATACAATTTACATTTCTATACTTTATATACTTATAATTAGAAGAAATATTTCAACCATTTACTATTAATAAGTCCACTTTCAACTAATGAAGGATTGGCATATACTAAATCAGGTAACCAATGATTATTATATAATCGGAAAATATTCTCTTCATCTGAACTATGATGATTATTATCTTGATTGATAAGAATTTCAGTAATGATATATTCTAAAAGTTCATTACTGATGATATTGATGGGATTTATGATATCCATGGTTTTGGTGATTCTTGATCCTTCAGAAATGATGGTATCGGTGATGGTATCTAATGAATGATTGAATTTATCAATATCAATATGTCCAATTGGTAATTTATAATTTTCTTCAGGATTGGTTGATCGTATAGGTGGAGGTTTTAAAGCTTCATAATTACCCACTTCAATACTAACAGCAAATTGACGAGGTTGAATACCTTTAATGATGAATTTCTTTTTCGGTTGTTGTTGTTGTTGAAGTTCTGGTGTATCACCCCCATTACTTTCTAAATTAACTACCATAGCTTCTGAATTTGGAAATGCACGAGATACATTCTTAATAAAATCAACAGCAGGTAATAATGGTTTATATTCAGGATTAAGAACTCTATCATTTGAAGTATCCCAAATTTCTTCAAATTGATTTTCATAAGCTTTCCATAATGAAATTTGAGTAACTTCACCTGGTATAACTTGATTTGTAGCAGGATCATTTGGGGTAGTTGAATTTGAATTGATAATTCCTCCTGCAAATGGTTCATAACAACAACGTAACCATGATGTGGCTCTTAAAGGTTCGGGGAATCTCACTATGATACTATATAAATCAGGAGTAAGTTCGGGTAAAGTAGTTGGAATACCTGAAAATTGAGATCTTTTTGTTAAATTCAATTGATTTATAGGTTTTATATTCTTGGGATCATTCAATGGTAAATTATAAACAATTAATGATGGTAATTGTTTAACCAAAGTATGATAATTTGATTTTGTAGTATGGATTTGTAATAATTTTCTTAATCTATGAAGTTGAGAATCTTTAATGGAAGTAGGATAATCAGGATGTAAAGCTTCTGAATTTAAATAAGCTTTAATGAAATCTAAAATAGCAAAAGTTATTTCAGCATCATTAATTAATAATTTATTAACTAAATTCTCCAATTGAGAAGGAGTTATAGCATCAATACAATTATTTGGAATTATATCTTCATTTTTTGTTTCTTCTTCTTCATCAATATGATGAACATCATCATCATCATGTTTAGGATTTGAATCATCATCTTCTTCATCATCTGGTTTATAATTCAAATCACGAATGATTAATAAATGAGATAAACTTTTCAATCCACTAATAAGGACGGCTTTATCATTAGTTGATGATAAGATTGATAATAATAATAAAAATAAGGGATCATGTTTAGTATTATCGATATAATAACATGATAAAGGTTCGAGTAAATCAAGTAAATAAGTGAATGATTCTTTAAATTGATTATCGAATCTCTTTAATGAATAAGATTGTAAATTATCATTATAAAACCAATTATAAAAAAATTTTAAAACTTCAACTATACTTTTCTTGAATGTCTTTACTTGAGCCAACCATTGTTGATTTGATAAATCTTGAACCAGATTTCTTAATGTTAATAATGCATCGATACTGAAAGTGATATTTTCTTGTTTAATCTTATCGAATTTCTTTTCTAAAAACCATTGATAAGGTTTAATGAAATATTTAATTAATTCAGATCCAATGAAGGGAGAACTTTCTAAATTTAATTGTCCTTGTAAAGATATTCTCGTTAAAGTAGTCAAAGCCCATTTAACTTCAGATTCTATACCTGATTTGAGAGACATTATTATTCGATGTATATCTTCAACTCCTCTATGACCATAACCTATTGGAGCCATATATCCATATCCACTATACGCGGTACTGATATAACCATTTGAATCAGTGCCACCACCGTTTTGATTGGCTGTAGTGGTGGTATATCTGGATGCCACTGCTATAGCTGATAATCCATTTGTACCAGACATGGTTGCTTGGTGATGTGATTGATTGATATGAAGGTGATTGATGGGATGTTGCAAATTCAATAAAATCAGATTTGTTTATTTTGAGTTCAGTTCAGTTCAGATTTCTTTTCACTCAACGCTGTAAAATCGAAAAAAAATCAAGATATGTCGCACACTTGGAAAATGTCGTATGAACCGAGGGTAAAATGTCTCCTTGAAGGAGTTAGTGCCATTTGTGTACAAGGGACCGCCATCCCGCTAAAAGATAACCACCGCCAATAACTATCATAGTTATATTGATAACCAATTCTTTCTATAAATAGTTGCTGATATCCCTCCCCCCCCCAATTGAAAAGGATATTCATACAATTTATTCCTCTTATCAATTGTCAATTCCCAATTAGAGTCTTTAGATATGAAGTCTTCTACTTTAATTAGTATCTTAGCAGCTTGCTTAGCTACTAGTAATGCTTTCTCCTTGAATTCCCTCTTTAGACAACAATTCCTTGATGATAGTGTCGTTGTCATTCATGATGATGAACCATCTGTCCATTCTCCATCTGTGTTTGAGCAATTGACTAAGAATATCGATGAATTGACTAAAGGTGCCATTACTCCTGAAGTTGAACAAGCTTGGAAACAAATGCAACAAAAATTAGGGTCAAAAGCATTATTGAAAAAAGTTGATGAATATAATTCTAAAGCTAATCAATTAATCAATAAAGTTAAAGATAGTTCGAAGACTTTCACTAAAGCCAAAACAGATTCATCATTTGAATCTTTGTCTGTTGATAAATACTCTGATTATTCATTAAGAATTAAAAAAACTAATCCAGAAATCTTAGGGTTAGATACAGTTAAACAATATACTGGTTATTTAGATATCGATAGTTTAGATAAACATTTCTTTTATTGGTTTTTCGAATCGAGAAATGATCCTGCTACTGATCCAATTATCTTATGGTTAAATGGTGGACCAGGTTGTTCATCATCCACCGGATTATTTTTTGAATTAGGTCCAAGTTCAATCAATGCTACTTTAAATCCTGTTTTTAATCCTTATTCATGGAATTCAAATGCTTCTGTTATCTTTTTAGATCAACCTGTTGGAGTTGGTTATTCCTATACTGGAGGTGAAGAAATTTCCAATACTGCAGCTGCTGGTAAAGATGTATTTGTATTTTTAGAATTATTCTTTCAAAAATTTCCTCAATTTTTAGAAAATAAATTCCATATTGCAGGTGAATCTTATGCTGGTCATTATATTCCAAAATTTGCTAGTGAAATCATTAATAGAGCTGATAGATCGTTTGATTTAACTTCAGTATTAATTGGTAATGGTATTACTGATCCTGTAGTTCAAGCTGCATCTTATAAACCCATGGCATGTGGTGAAGGTGGTTATAGACCAGTATTAGATGAAGATGAATGTGATCAATTAGATAAAGATTATCCAAAATGTGCAGTATTAGGTAAATTATGTTATAAATTTCAAACTGCTATTACATGTGTTGCTGCTCAATATTATTGTGATGTTAAATTATTTCAACCATATGCTCTGACTGGATTAAATCCTTATGATATTAGAAAACCATGTGCTGATGAAGGTGGTAATTGTTATATTGAAATGGATTATATGGATGATTATTTAAATCTTGATTATGTGAAGGAAGCAGTTGGTGCATCAAATATTGATATTTTTACCAGTTGTGATGATAAAGTATTTAGAAATTTCCTTTTAGATGGGGATGAAGCTAAACCTCATCAACAATATGTGGCTGAATTATTAGAAAATGATATTCCAGTATTATTATATGCTGGAGATAAAGATTATATTTGTAATTGGTTAGGTAATCATGCTTGGTCAGATGTATTAGAATATGAAGATCATGAATCATTCCAAGCTCAACCATTAAAACCATGGTATACAGCAGAGAAGAAATTAGCCGGTGAAGTTAAAAATTATAAGAAATTTACCTTTTTAAGAATTTATAATGCGGGACATATGGTTCCATATGATCAACCTGCTGCTGCGTTAGATATGGTTAATAGATGGGTAGCAGGAGATTATTCCTTTGGATATTAATCTTAGTTATTTATGACTTTTACTTTTACTTTTAATAGTTTATATTGTTTTGAAAAAGTTTCTTAAAATAGAAAAAGAAAGATTGCAAAATTATGAGTAGTAGTGAACAGGGGAGTGATTGTAGATTATGTAATAGATGATTACTTAGTCTAGAAATAGGGGTTATTATTATTAGATTACACATTTAAACAATCTCGTATATTAATAATAATTAGAGTAGATCAGAGAGTAAAGCCTTTCCTTAGTTAACTCTAACTATCCATCCTCTGTATAATAATTAATTACTAATAATTTTATTTTGTGCAATCATCCTGTATATAACTTTAGTAACAATTTAGTAACTACCAATTTTGAGTATCAACATTTTTAGCAGCAATGTAATTTTACCAATGATTTATTAATTATGATTTGAATGATTTAAATTGAATTTATATATATATAAGCTGATATTACCAATTGATATTACATCACTAATTTGGATTATAACATTCTATAATCATCGAGAATATTCTAGTCCTTCATATCCTCTTCATATAAATATATGCTGAAATTCTCCGCATTCATCATCTTGTTAATTTTTTTAATTCCTTTATCATTATCAAGTTTATTCCATAACTTATATAACCCAAACAACAACAACAAACAACAACAACAACAACAATTAGATTCAATGACTTCAACTACTGCTAGAACTATTCAAAAAGTCGTCAATGCCATCCAACAACCAGAAGGGGTTGGGGCCACCGTTAGAAGATCCATCGGTATTATGAGTAATCGTAAATACAATCCATTTTTATTATTTGATCATTTCACTTCCAGTGGTTCTGATGGTTTCCCTGAACATCCTCATAGAGGTCAAGAAACCATCACTTATATTATGAATGGTTCCATTGCTCATGAAGATTTCACTGGTTCCAAAGGGATCTTATATGCTGGTGATTTACAATTCATGACGGCTGGTAAAGGTATTGTTCATTCTGAAATGCCAGTTCCAAGTGAAGATGGTAGTCCAAGTGTTGGTATTCAATTATGGGTCGATTTACCTGAACAATTGAAAGATACTCCTCCTCGTTATCGTGATTTAAGAGCTTGGGAAATCCCTGAAGTTAATGAACAAGATGGTAAATTAAGAGTTAAGGTTATTTCTGGAAAGAGTTATGGAGTTGAATCTTTAAAGGATTTAGCTTATACTCCAGTTAATTATTATCATTACATTATGAAACCAGGTTCAACTTTCAAACAAGAATTTGATCCAACTTTCAGTGTGTTTTTATATGTCTTAAAAGGTCAATCATTATTAGTTAATGAAAAAAATGTTAAACAATATCAAAATGCCTTTTTTGAAAATGATGGTGCATTCGTAACTGGTCAAGTTCCATCTTCCTCAACTGATGAAGAAGTTGAATTTCTTTTAATTGGTGGTCAACAATTAGATCAAAATGTGGTTCAATATGGTCCATTCGTTGCTACATCTCAAGCTAAAATCCAACAAGCTTTCTTAGATTATAGTCATGGACGTAATGGATTTGAAAACATTAAGAATTGGAGAACTTTGATCTCCAATGGGGTAACTCAAGATATGATTGATGGACCATTAAAAGGTAGTAAAGAATATAGAGATCAATTAAAACAAGATTATTTAGATAAAATTGCTGCTGAAAAGAAAGAAGCTCCTGTTAAGGATGAACTTTAGAGTTATTTATTTATTATATTATTATTATCATATTTTGCATTTTATCATTTATCATTCAGTGAGTTTTTTATATAGGTTTTTTATAGTGTTTTCAGTGTATATTAAAAGAGAAGTTATATTATATATTTAAAATAGTTCATTATATCTGTAGAGACGCCAAACCAAAAAAAAAACGCGTATAAAAAATTAACAGTGCTGAAAAAAGCCAATAACATCAATCATCATCATAATCATCATTCATCATTCACCAACTCATCACAGGATCAAAGGACCATGACAATGAATGCTTCTCAGGCCGAGGTAGAATACTTAAGCTCCCAACTCTTCGAGAAGGGGAAATTGGTCACTTATAAAACTCTTTCACGAGCTTTGAATGTTCATATCAATCATTCTAAACTTGTATTATTTGAATTTTATGAACGTAATAAATCAAAACTTTCAGCTAAATTGGTTATAACCGGTAAAGATAATACAGGCACGTTGATCAAATTCATCGATGATGAAAGCGAGGAAGTGGTTAAATCCCATTTAAATTCTTTCACGGTGGAGATCAATACTATTCAAGTATATAGTATCAATCCTAAGGATTTAATCCTTGATCAATCAAACCATAATGAAATCATTCAACAATCAAGAGAATTCCCCATTGATCTTGCGAATTTGGATAAATATTATCACAATGGGCTTATAAAGGGTCCGAAAGTTGTACCAGTTGAACAATCCACCATTAAACAGAATTACATCCCACCTCCAACAACCAACACAAATACTACTACGACTAAACTGATTAAGAAGGAAGAACCAAAGATTAAAAGTTCAGGATTGAGTTCTGCATATGTATCAAGAAAAGAAAAACCAGCTGCTAGATCAAATACGTTATCAAATTATACTTCTCGAAAAGCAGAAAATGCTGGTACTAAAAGATCATCAACAGAACCTAGTAGTGGTGGATATCAATATAAATCAAGAAAAGTTGAAAGTAAACAACCTAAAGAGAGAATCATTGTTTCAAGTCATAATGATGATGATGATGATGAAGATGAAGATGTTGAAGAAGTGGAAGAAGTGGATGTGGAAGAAGTTAAACCAATTAAGAGTACTCAGATTCAAGATTTATTTGCCAATGAAGAATGGAGCGATTTTGAAGAAGACGCTCCTGCCAAGGATGAACCTATTGTGGTTGAAGAGGAGATAGTGAAGAAGAAACCAGTGGAGAAAGCTGAATCTGACAAGGATCCACAACAACAAGAACAACCAAATGAGGCAAATGTTGAAGAAAGTCAAAATGCACCAGAACAACCACAACAGGAAGAAGATATGACTACAGAGTATGATGAAGATGGATATATAATAACCAAGAAAAAGAAACCGATTGCTAAACCTGCTCCATCAAGAAATGTTAAACGAATGATTTCTCCACCTCCAACAACTTCCAAATCTAAAAAATCAAAAGATGGTAAAAATCAAAGTATATTGAGTTTCTTTGGTAAGAATAAGTAAATATATCTCTATAGGAAATAAATAAATAAAACAAACAATAACTAGCATTAATTATGTCATTGTATAATGTAGACGTAGTAAAGATCGCAATTATGAGGGACCCCTCATTAAATTTAAGTCTTGATGAAATTTTGTACTAGTGTCTATAATTTTCTTGTCATTTTCTCTAATTAACCCAATTCGGTTCTTAATTACATTCAAGCTAATATAGAATTGTCTCATATTTGCTTGGTAGGTTGCATCATCTATTCACTCACATACTTTCGCACTATAGTTCTATACTCTACACCTATAATTTTAATAACCTCCCACATGTAAATTACAATACAGAAGATCTACCTACACCTCACTTAATTAACATACAACTTAACAACTTCCCCTTTATTAGGAGTCAAATCGTCAAGTTTAGGAATAATCAAAACATAATATAAATCATCAGCCTTAACTAATTAAAACAAGCTTTAAGCATGAAAATAGTGAAAGAAATTTCCTAATTAGGAAGTGCAAAGTGCACCCAATATTCCCAAAACAGTAATTTAATTTTTTTTTTACATCCACCTAATACTTACTTACTTTAAACTATACCTTGAATCTCTGTTTATGGCTTTGAAACAGGATATATAATAATAAAGAATCGTCAAATGTCTGAAAATAGTTAAAAGGGATTCCAGTTCCACTTTTCTTTTTAGTTAGAAAGTTTTCGAAACATAGTCCTCAAGAAGTTTTCTAACTACACTCATTCGTTTGATTTATTATTATTATTATTGTATTTGGAAGTAGTTATGAAGTTATCATCATCAGCAGCCATTGCCATATTGGCCTACTCAGCTGCGATCAATGCAGCTCCAACCGTGACTGTGGAAAAAGTAATCAATAACGATGTCATAGTCAAGAGAAATGCCATAGCTTTAGCCAATCCTAGTCCAGTCGCAGTTCAAAATATTGATTTAGATAAATTATTGGCAGATTTAAAAGACTTCAAAGTTAAACGTGATGACATTACAGAAGAATTATCCAAAAGACAATATCAAATTGTTACTGATGTATTGGCAGCTATCAATCAATCTGAATTAGCTCCTACTATTTTAAATTATTTCGTTACTGATAGTGTTTTACAACCGATTGTGATTGAAACCATTATTCTTGTTATTAAATCAGGGGTGATTAATTTAACTGCTTTATTCAATGCTTTAGATGAATCTAATTTAGTAGCTAATGTGGTTCAAGATTTAATTTCAGATTGTAGTCTTTATGTCCTGTTATTTAATACTGCTAAAGGAGTGATTAGTGATTTAGCTACTATTGTTAAACAAAAAATTGCAGCTGGTATTTCATCATTAAGTTTAAAACGTGAATTAGCAACTCCTTACACAACTGATTTATTAAATTTAAAGAGAGATATTGCTGATCAAGACAGTTTATCTGAATTAGAGAAGAGAGCTATTTCAATTAATGTCAATAATATTGTGGTTAATTTATTAGAATCATTATATTCATCAGGATTAGCTACCTCAGTAATTGAATCTGTGTTAACTGATGCTAATTATATTCCATTTGCCGTTAAATTAATTAGTGCTTTAATTGCTACTAATTCTATAAATCTTTCAGCTATTGTTAGTGCTCTTGAAAGTTCAGATTTAGCTCCTGATTTATTAAAACAAATTTTAACTGTTAATACTTTCAATACTGTTATTGCAAATTCATTTGCTGCTTATGCTGGAACTTGTTCTGCCTCTACAAGTGGTGGAAGTAGTTCAAGTGGTAGTGGTAGTAGTTCAGGTAGTGTAAGTAGTAGTGGAAGTGGAAGTGGATCAGGAGATTCTGCCGTGGTGAGTAGTGGAAGTGGAAGTGGATCTGTAGCTCCTGCTAATCCATGTTCAAAGAAGAGAAGAAGAAGAAAGAGATCAAATTATTAGATCCAAATTAAATGAATATAAACAACCAACCTATCTGCAACTATAGAATAAGTTGCAAATTACAGAATGAAATACCAAACCCTTTTTACTTCTCCTTCTACCTTTAAAAAATTACGTTTTAATTATTATTCCAGTTTCGAAAAAAATGACAGTTTAATGTTATTATTTATTATTCTTATGATTATTGATATATATATGTTGTATAGTTTATATGATTAGTAGATCAAATATATCATACGATACTATGTCATATTTAGGTTTATTGAAAAGACCAAGAATTTTTAAAAAGTGAACGATCTCAAATACACTATCAATATAAATATGGTTTGATTTGCCCCTTTTATAACATACTTATTATTTATTTATTAACAACTAGGATTAATCAATCAAACAATGGATCAGTTAGTATTTAAAGTATTGGTTTATAGAATAAATAATAATATAATACTTGAATCAGATTGTCAAAATAAGGAACTTAATGTTGAATATATTGATATTACAGACGAAAATGAAATTTTAAAAGATTTAATCCATAGACTGGATACTACATATAATAATGATTATATTGTAATCAAAAGTGATGATGACTGCGTTTATAAACGGAAAGATAGTGGATTCATTAACCATAAACACTACATGGATAATTCGGAGGCTTCTATAACCATTGATATGTTAAACATACATGGGGCAACTCTTTTTAATTTAGAATCACACTCTGGAGAATATCAAGAAAAGATTAATTTGTATGTTTTAAATGATGACAATTTACCCCATCATGATTTAATAAACATCATAAAAGTTAATGAAGAAGATGATATTATAAACATAGAATATAATTTGTCTCATGAAACAAGTCCATACTATGTATTTAGAGACAGTAATCATAAATTCGTATTAAGAAACATTCATCATAAATATAGTGATACAAAAATTTATGATGAATTACCAATTGATTTCTTAGAAGATAATTTATATTAGAAATTGGATTATATCTATGTTGTATAGTTTTATTACTTAGTCTATGTTATACATACTTATATCTATCATATAATACTATATCAAACTTAGGTTTACAGAACACCAAGAAAATATGACAATGACGATCACAAATACACTATTAATATAAATATGGTTTGATTTGCCCATGTTTCATATTTTTTAAAAAAGTTATTTACAAGTTGATTCAGTTCATCAATCATTATTCGAACCAATTTATATACCTTGATGAATTGTCCACATTTAATTTATTTAGTAGGAGATACTAAACAGGAGAAAATATTTAATTTAGAATTCGATGAAGATACGATGTCAGAACTAATCAAGAATATCTTTTATATTCAAGTATCACTGTATGATGAAGTCTTATTAGATATAGCATACAGGTCATTAGATAATTACCAAAATATGTATTTCATAAAAATAAAAGATCAAGAATATCATTTAAAAGCAAAATCAGTTGGGATAGAAAGATATAATATATGTGATACAGATGATATATTAAATGTTTTATTTTTTACTTCCAATGATATTTACAGCTGTGAGAATATTCGCCATATTCCAGAAATAGATATCTTTGATACACGAAGTTCTGTATATATTCATAAAAAGTATAATATAACTCTACCTGAAGATTTATTCGAAGTTATCGAAATAGATAATGAAAATGAAATTATGGAAATTGAGCATAAAAGAGATCATTTTTACAAGAATATTTATTTATACATAAATGATGAAAATAAAATTATAATGAGAAATATAAGAGATAGTTTTAATAAAATCAGAGAATTTGATTCTATTAACGATGAAGTTATAAATATTATAAGAGATGAGGATGGAAGTAGATGGTGATTTTGCGTTATTAGAAACGTATAATGAAGATAACGCAGAGATGAACATGAATCAACTTTCACGAATGAGAAGGTATATTAGAGTCATCAAGATTAGCTGCATCAATAGTAGAGGAGATATTAACTGACGTCTAATTAGATTCCATTTGCAGTCAAAATAATTGGTGTATTGCTTGCAACTGATTCTACTGTGAACGTCTCTAGTTTCGAAACCAAAACATTGTAGAGTTGTTGCTATATATTATTATTATAGATACATATATGTTATATTGTTTACATAATTGGTATATCCTATTCATACATATATTCATACCTATAAAATACTATAATTTATATAGGGATTGTAGCCTAATAAATGGTTTGCATTGATATGATTATCGCTAACTGTCCCAAAACATCGATTCCACTTCCTAAATAGGAAATACCCAAATAGGGCACAAAACAGGGATTAAAAATGTCTGTCCGTTTTCTGACAGACAGACATTGAAAAAAAAGTGAGCCCTTTCTTAACTGAAGTGGAGGACGAAAAAAAAAATTTGGGTGTGATGAAATTAAATTAAACTAAATGAAATGAAATACGAATTTGAATTTGACTTGGACCATTTCCATCTCTATTGTAATTCAGACATTATCATTACTTACTTTCTGATAAGGTTCATCTCATCTGAAACTGTTATCATTTAAGGTAGTCATCTTCATTATAAGGGACAAGTTCTTTTTAACTAGTTTCCTTCATTAGCATCCATCTCAGATCTGGGATCTCACCACCTTCCCAATACGGCCACAGTGTCAACCACATTCATTTTCAAAATTGACATAATTTAATCAATATACTTTGTATATATACACTTACCCACTTTTAAGTTTCATTCCTTTACAGATACCCCATCGTCATATCCTAGAACATTAGGACCCCCCCTATTCAATTCAATTTAATCTCATCTTAATAATCCTTTATCTTTTATAATTCACATTTAATACTATAATTCATTTCTTATGTCAATTCAACCATGAGTGATCCAAATACCAATATTAATACCAGAACTAGTTCTCTTCCTCCTCCTCATACTAATAAACCACCTCCTCCTGAAGGTCAAATATCCCAATCAACTTCAACCACTTCATCATTAGCCAGAACTTTAGATTCATCTCAAACAAATCAAACTGAATTAACATCCCCCAGTAAATCATTTCGAAATTTCTTTAAAAGTAGATTATCAACTTATTCTATAGAGAGTATAAGTGAAGAACCTGCAGAAAGTAGAAAATCAATCGCATCATCATCAACAAATCAGGATATAGTATCTCCATCTAAAATTTCAAATCTTTTATTAAGACCTAAATTTTCAAGATCAAAATCTTCATCAAATTCAATTCAACAACTGTTACAACAAGCTGCAGGTGGATCCATACAAGCACCACCTTCCACATCTTCATTTGTCCAATTGAATAATCTGTCGAATGGAAGCTTGACAAAAGAAAAAGAAGTCACGATTGATGATTTCGCCGATACAGAATCCTCCAATGATGATAGTGGAGATGCTATTAATAAACTGTATGATGAAGAATCAGTGAATTCATTATTAATGGAATACCAAAGACCAAAAACATTTGTATATAAAGAATTACTCGATGAAGATGATCATCAATCACCATCAACATCAAAATCTGTTGCAACAGAAAGTAAATCATCACCCGATAATACTAATGGATTAAATTCAGGTGATCAAACTATCATAAGTCATTATGATGAGAATGTATCGATTGGGAGAGTTGAACGAGCCATTAGAGTGTCATCACCACCTGTGGTTAGACAATCACCCGTACCAGAATTAAAAGATCCATCAATTAGAAATAGTAGAGGATCAGATTTAATTTCAACCACCATGTCTGATTCAGATCATAGTCAAACTAAATATCCTGATCCAAATTTATCCAATGTAGCTACACCCATGCAAACTCCAACTATAAGACACATGCTTAATAATCCTCGTCATAGTGGCGGTGATGATTCATTGAATAGTGCTTCAAGAAGATTAGGTGAAGTCATCACTGGTGGAGAAATTAAAAGTGGTGATATTATGTATAATGAGAATGAAACTGCTTTAAAACTTCAGGATAATAGTGTTAGAAATCTGTTGAATACTAATGAAACCATGTTAAAAAGAGAAACATTCAGATCATCAATGTCATCGGGTGAATTATTAAATAAATTACAAGGTTTTGAAACTGGAAATGATAAACCTCAAGCATCATCAACTTTAAGATATAGTCATTTAGATGAAGATGATTTAGAAGATTTGAAAGATCGAAAATTCGGGAATTTAACCGCTGGATTGGATTCCACTAATGAATTACCATTCATGTTGTATAAAGTTCAAGATAAAGATTATGATGAAAGTAATCAAAGATGGTCAGTGTATGAAACCAATAGAGCATCACAAATCAAACAAGAACAAGAACAGGAACAATTGAAAAATACCAGTCCTCAAGTTATTCAACTGAAAGCATTACCACCTGATTTTGAACCTCCAAGTTTTCCGGAACATGAAGATTTAAGACAAGGTAGTATTAGTAGTAGTGGATCAAATTATGACAGGTATGAAGAAGCTAATGAATTTTTTAATAGTAATCAATCTCATCCTTCATTTCCTGCTCCTCCTCATCATATTGGAATTATTCCTACTCAATCTTCATCATCATCTTCAAATCAAGTTTATCATACTGCAAGTGGAAGAGATACTACTGATACATCAAGTAATCTTTATCATACCGTTACTGAAGGAACTATTTCTTCTGCTGCTGGGTCAGTATCAACGTTCCAACAAGTAGTACCTGATGAGAATACCGAACCTATTATTCCAATCCCACCTCAAGTTCATGCTCATGAATTTCAAAGTAATGTTACAACCCCTATAGTTAATCAATTCCCATCACGTACATCACCTGCCAGCAGTCATTATCGAGAAATTACTCCGCCAATACTTCATCCAGAACCAGTAGCACATATTGATTCGCCTCATAGAAATATCACTCCACCATATATAACTGATGAACCGCAAATACACCCTCAAACCCAACCATCGACTTCAAATGTTTATAATCAACAAGATAGGGAGCCAGAAACTTTAGTGTTAAGTAAACCACCTCCTGATTTGATTATCCCCAATCCATCTGAATATGATGGTAGAAGAGGTATTAGTAGTCATGGTGGACAAATTGATGAAGATGAATATTATATTCAGGATATTGAAAAACAAATCATGCATGATAATGAGAATGTTAATCATGGAAGAAGTGCAGGTGGATATGTGATTAATGAAAATAATCATTATTCATGGACGAGATTCGGAACTATAATGCTTATTGGATTAATTATTCCTCCTGTTTATTTCTTATTATCATTAGGAGTATTTGATTCGAGTAATAATTATCAACAATATTATTCAGGATTACATTATTATAATAATCGTCAAGTATTAGCTTCATCTACTAATAAGGATCCTAATTCGATTAATCAATTTTCAAGATCTCAAAAAATGATTAGTTTTGGAATTGGGATAACTTGGACAGTAGTTATACTTGCCATGATTGGGGTTGGTTTAGGAGTTGGATTAACAAGTTAGTCGAGTTAATCCAGTGGTCATCGTTTACATAGGGCAATCTATTTCTATTTCTAATTCTATTATTTTGCATTATCATTATTACATACGTACATATATACACTCATTTAATATATTAATTAATCATTTATAATACCATAATGATATCACTATAATCTATATGATCAGATGATTCATGAATGAAGTTAAGTATTGCGGTGCGGGTGCACTTCCTAATTAAGAAAGTGATCACCATTTTTTTGTATAGCCTTGACTCTGGTTAATAGGGGAACATAGGAGTACTATGAAGAAACTTTTCAACAATGATGAAATAGGGAGTTTAAACGAAGTTGATTTAACTATTTTAATTTGCTGTTGTTGTTGTTGTTGTTGTTGTGGTTATCGTTTAATTGAATTTTGCTGTGGTTGATAATAGTTACATTGTCTTTAAACTTGCTTTACAACACCCACACACTGTGACACAATTAGTGAGAACTGCGATTGTTTCCCGGAAGCTGGTGCGTAAAACTGATACTTTAAAACTTGAATCACTCATTCCACATTTACATCACCTTCTTTAACTTAACCACCCACCCACCAATCCTTTATCCATTTCATTTATTTATATCATCTCAAGGTATAACCCTATCACTAGTCAGTCATCTCACTTCATAGACAGTACTTCGATCTACTGATTCCATTATCATCATCATCATCTCCCTTTCATTCATTTCCTATTTTGTTACTATTCTTAGATTTTGACAGTAGGGTCATAAGGGGGTATCATTAATCCATACCTTTCCCACTTATTTATTCATCTAAACCTAGACTTTTCCCTCTATCCTTATCAATTATCAGCCCATCAATCAAACAATAAACTGTTTGATTCGATTGATTATTAGGCCATATATAGATATATAAAAATTCCGGTTAAATATGGGGAATGTACCTACTAAAGAATCTAGAAGTAGATCTAGTACATTTTCATCCAATAGTGGGATACAACCACCTTCAAATGGTGACATGACAGGTTTCATAACTCGAACTTCAGTTCCAAGAAGATACGCCACTTCATCAGCCATGAATCAATCGAATAGTAATAATAATCTTGGCGGTTTATTATCAAATAATACTTCATCATTATTAGATTTTAAAAAATCAAAACGTCAAGAAGAAAAAGATCGAATACAAGAATTACATTATTTGAATTTATTAGTTAAATATAATGAAAATGTCGATGGAGGTTATTTAGCTCCCTTTGGAACTTATAAATCAAATTTAGATTTTAATACTGATATTGTTCGAAAATTAATTATAAATCGAGAATTATCTCCCTTTTATACTCCATTACAAGATTTTGATGAAAGTTGGAGTGAAAATGAATTATTAATTATTTTAAATCAATTACCTTTACATGCTATTGATATAGCGTATAGTGATTTAGAAGAAAATTTAGAAGATGATATTGATAATCATAAAATTCATAAATCAGCAAATTATTATAAAAGACAAGAACAAAAATTAAAATTGAAAAACTTATTAATAAAGATTAAAAATTTACAAAAAGATGAAGAATTAAAATTCATGATTGAAAAGGAAAAAGCTAAATCGTCAGATAATACCAATGTGGAAATATCATCAAATGATTTATTATTAGCATTATATCAAAATCCATTAGAATGTCCAATTTGTTTTCTTTATTATCCCGCCAATTTAAATATTTCAAGATGTTGTTTACAACCCATATGTACCGAATGTTTTGTACAAATTAAACGATTAGATCCTCATCCTCCTCATGATGAAACTTCAAATAATCAAAATAATGCTGATAAAAAGTTCTTACCTCATACTTTAATTTCAGAAGCTGCAAGTTGTCCATATTGTGCATCTCCCGAATTCGGAGTTACTTATGATACCCCTGATAATATTTTTACGGGAATAGGTAGCAATGTTAAACCAGGAGATTATAAAATTGTTAAAGATAATGAATTTGATGATGAAGATGTCGATGAAGAGGAGGAGGAAGACGATAGAGAAGAGGATGTATTAGATGATGAAGAAGCGGTAATCACATCATCAGATTCTGCCTCATCATCACCTTTAAAATCAAATCCTGAACCAGAATCAATCACCAAACAATCATCATCAATCATTAGTATCACTAAAAGAAGAAGAAGAAGATCGTCACTTGCGGCCAATGCACCAGGAGTTATAACCATTGATATGATTAGACCTGATTGGGAACAACGATTAACATCGGCTCGAAATAAATTAGAACGGAAAGCAGCAACAGCCACTGCGATCCATGCTTCTAATTTATTATTAAATGGTGATGAAGATTCAAGTCGAAGTAGATCGAATAGTAATATTATGATGACCAATAGTAATAGTCGAAGAAGATTAACTGATTTGAGTGGTAGTCCAACCACATCCACCAATAGTATGAATAATGCCAATCGAAGAAGAGGGAATAGTGCTAATTCTCATTTAGTTCAATTACAAACGGTTGAAGATCGAATGATTGAAGAAGCATTAAGATTATCAATTATTGATGAAGAAGAACGGAAAAAGAAAGTTGAAGCAGAAGAAGAAGCTAAAAGTAAGAAGTAAGTGAAAGAAGGTAAAAAGTTTTTATGAAGAAATGATATGATATAACCAGTATATAAATTATATAATAATAAAATAAGGGAAATGGTTATATAGGTTTATGATTTAATTTAATTTATTTTTATATTTATTTAATTCGTATGTGTAAGAGTGGGTTAAATCAATCAATTACGAAATAAGATTTACAATCTAAATCAATCTTTTACGAAAAAAGGTAATATTTTCTAAAACACTCTTATATGTTACTAATAATAATTTTAAATTAAGTTATTTATAATTTACTAATTGTTTGATATTATGAAATATTATTTAGTTGTACAGTGTACAAATGTGTAGGAGTGGAGAGTTGAGGTGTTGAAAGTCGTGTGAGTTGGCTATCCTGCATACACCGCACATGCAGTTTACAGATTTTAACCGAACGCGTAAAAATTTAAATCAGACATTTTTATTTTCCAAATTTTTAATTTTTAGCTTAGTTTTTAGGGACTACTAAGCATTAAAACCCTGATTAAGTTAATTAATTATTAACATAATGCGTTTATACGAATAGATTAGGGTAAAAATTTCAAACAGACAAGTGGGAGTATGTGCTCACAGGCAAGAACAAGCAAGCTCTCCAGTTTCAAGATATTTTAAAAGTGTCAGTGTCCAGGGTCAGTCTTTCACTTTCTGACAGACAATTTCTGATTTGTTTACCCCTTTCCTGTTTCGGCAAATATGTGCAAACAAAAAAAAAAAGAAAAGTTTAACGTGCGTAGACGCTGCACAATGTATAAGGGGTCGGAATCAATCGCTCAGTAACTCTCACTGGGTGGGTTTTGAATAGGTTACGAGTTGTATGTGGCAACCCTTAATGATAAGAAAACTATTCACATTCATTTATTTCCAGATCGGTAACTAATTAGAGCTGTGATGTGATTTTTTAGTTCAGTTTGGTTTGTTTTGATTTTTGATTTTTGATTTATTGATTGTTTCAGTAGTTTAGTTAAACGGTTTTTAGGGTTTTGTTGCACCACTTTAAAAGATTGACCCTGGTAAGACCAAACCCTAATCATATTAACATTCCCGTACCATAAACACCCTTTATGTTAAAATCGATCCATTACAGCATTGTAGAATAACATGAAATACTGAAATGACGACCAAAATGGAATCTTAATTGAAAAAATATATACCAAATCTAATTTAATTAAAAATAATTAAAATTATTTTAAAGCGCCTCAAACGTATGTAAGTTATTTAAGTTAAGAAATGTGGGAAATAGCTACCATTAAAAATAAATAAATAAATATATAAATAAAACAAATTCGAGGCAAATTCATCAAGGAGATGATGAAGATGTTTCACAAATAAGAATTTAGTAACAGTATTTAATTTTATATAAATACAATTAAGCTTGTCCTGACTTTATACCTGTTTAACAGAATTTTCTTTTTTAATCGTCGTCGTCTAAATTTCGGGGGGAGTTCTTTTATTTTTTATTTTTATTTTTTTAGTGACAATTTTTTCACAGCAATTTGGTTTACCATTGTTAAAAATCATATAAATAACAATAACAACGATCAAGAGAACAATCCCACATCCACATCCACGTCTGTACAACGGTTTCAAAAATCATAACATATCATTGAATTGATTTACCACAAGAAGAAAATTATCCCATTGATAACCTTTATAAGAAAAGTAATATCCTGTACGAGGGTCAAAGTGCTTCACAAAATCACAATATTTACTTGAAAGTTTCCAAGACCTTGAAGATTCACAAAATCAGTTTGATTTCATATCAAATCTTATTCAAATCTGTTGACAATTGATCTTCTAGAGTTACCAAGTCAACAACCTCATTGAAGTATTAAAAAAGCTTTTAGCAAACATCATCATCATCATCATCATCAGTCACTTATACATTCATTTCCATCGTCATCGTATTTTTGCAATTGATACAAAAAACAAGATCACAAACAAATACCTAGCTTGGGATGACTTCAACAAGTTATCTAACTAATGAACATTTAAATCCTATAAATGATAATTTCTCCAATGAATCATTCATACTACCGGAAGTTATCAACTCTTTACCGATTAAACGACTATATGATTTTAAATCAAAGAAATTGAAAGAATTGGTTAAATTAAATCATGAATTGAATTGTGAATTCGATCAAGTCATCCTTAAAGTGAAATTAATTGGCATTGATTATAATCATGATTTCATCACATCAACTAATGAAAGTAAGAATCGTCATCCTCGTCATTCTCATTATAATAGAGATCATCAACCTAATCCCAAACAAATTGTTCCTGGGTTCAAAATCATTGGGAAAGTTCATCAATCAAGATCATCATCATTCTCATCTACCGCAAATAAGAAATACTTGGTATTCCCATATTCAAATTGTTTACTACAAAATCAAAAACATCTATGTCAACAATGTCAATTCCTTCTTAATAAACAAAGTCATATTTCTTCGTCTTTTCCACTCAATGATTTCACCCCGTTACATACTCGTTATCAATGTTTGAATAATATCATGTATGGTATCAACATCGATGGTGGATTCCAAGATTATTTAAAGATCTTACACCCAAAAGATAGTCTTGTTGAGATTCCCAAAAATGTAAGTATGCATGATTGTTTATTCCTATATGATATAATGTTACCATTTTACTCCTTTTTACAATCTTCATCATCAAATATGGATATTATGCATACGGGGAAAGTATTAATAATCTTGAATGATTCAGATAAAGAACTTAATGATGTTTTAATAATATTGAATCATTTTAAACAAATTGATCAATCCCAAATCTCAATTGTTGATTATTCTAAAATCAAATCATCAATGATAAGTTCGAAATATCATAAACGATTCGATCAAATTTTAATCTTTAATAAACAACTCCAACTTCAAAATGATAATGACACAATGAAACTAATTCAATTATTCCTGGCTTCAAATGGCTTGGAATCAACTAAATCTCGATATAACGTGATTATATTTAATAATCATTTACAAACCATTCCACAACTGAATCAACTCCAACAACATCAACAAGATAAAGCGATTCATCATTTCAAACTTGCATATAAGGATAAACTTCATCTTGAACAAGTATTATTGATACTATCGGATTTGAATTCATCATTTAATTCTACTACTACTGATGAAGCTAATTTATCAGCTTCAAGTACCATAAAACCAAGAGTATCGATTGGAAGTATGGATTCAACCATATCATCATCAACATCGACTTCAAGTGCATCTATCTCATCTTCATCGTTACCAAGTACACCTGTCAATGAATCCTCCCCAAATTCCTTCTCATCAGGATCATTCAATGAAGATAATCATCATCATCATCATAACCATGGACAAACCCATCAGAATCATCAGGGGAAGAATTTACGATTTAGAGGTACAGCATCGATCATCAATGCTTATCCCAAATCGAAGAAGAAGATCACTCATCATTGGTTGAATTGCGATTATGATTTCGATCTCGTGAAGTATGATGAAGATGAAGAAGATTATAATGATAATGATGATGAATACAGTACCCGACAGTTGATGTTGAAAAAGAGTCATAATATCAAACATATTAATAAAATCATCCGAACTGCTTCAACTGCTTCAAGAGTATGTTACAATAATAAAAGTAATCGACCTACCAAATTAAATGCATTTATATTCTGTTAAGAACAGTTTTTTTTTCACTATAGAATAAATAGAATAAATAATTAAATAAATATATATACATATGTACAGGGGGTAAGAATCAATCAATTACCAAGTTCTTGGAATGTATCAGTCAAGATTGATCTTAATTTATATAAATTGATAATTCTTAACTTTTCATTAATCAAATGAGCATTATCAGAAGCTTGACCACATGGAATTTGAGCAGCAGGAGCATCAAAACATTTTTCTAAGAATCGAATGGATGGAATTGATCCTCCTTCACGAATGAAAATTGGTTCAACTTGATCCCAATGGAATTTCATCTTTTCGTATAATTTCGAATATACTAAATTCGATGGATCTCCTAACCATGGTTCACCTTCATGAAAGATATTGACCAGTAAATTATTATCGGAATTCAAATCTTGAAATAATTCAGTTAACTTATTAATTAATGATTGTTTAATTTTCTTTAAATCTTGATTTGGTACAATTCTAATCGATATGGTAGCTTTGGCAATCTGAGGGATAACGGTATTATTATTAGGACCTGACACTTGAATTTTATGAATTGTTAATGATGGATTTCTCCATTTTGAAATTAAAGTTTTAATATCTTGATTATTGATATTTCTATGTAAGGCCGCATCTTCAATGGTTTTATAAAATTCAATTTCTTTAGATGTTAAAGGTAAAACATCATCATAAAATGAATCTAATTTAATTTCATTAGTCTTTGGATCGATTAATTGACCGAGAATTTGAACTAAATCCATAGTAGGTTCTTTTGAAACACCACCGTCAACACCCGAGTGACGATCAGGTCTATCGGATTTGATACTCACTGTGGCATTGATAACCCCACGTAATCCATAATTCAAACATGGAGTTTCATCATCAAGCCAATACGAATTAGAAAGCATAACCCAATCAATATCACCAATAAATGATTTATTAGCTTGAATAACTTTTTGAAATCCAATTGATCCACATTCTTCTTCCCCTTCAATTATAAACACCACATCACATGACAACTCTTTACGTTGATATAAATCAGCCACGGCATAGATTGAAGCTAATGTAGGACCTTTATTATCAGATACACCTCTTGCATATAAATTCCCATCATGTGCAGTAAGGACAAATGGATCAGTTTCCCAATCATTAGCTTCATGATTAGTAGCATCCACTACATCATAATGAGCATAATATAAAAGACGAGTACTCTTATCATCTTCATCATTTCCATCCTCATCCAGCTTATTGTTTCGTTTGAATAACGAATAAACTATTGGATTCCCATTTTCAACCGGTAATAATTTAGTTTGATAAGCACCTAAACTAATCAAAAGTCGACATAAAAATTGGGAACATTGACGAGAATCTTCTAAATAAAGGGTAGGGAATTTTGAAATGGTCTTATAAGAAATATATTTTTGTAATGATTTTAATAATGATTCATTACTATAAATATCCACCTGTTTATTAGCCGATTTTAAATTGACAATTTCATCAGGTTGAGGTTTTTGAGTAGACTTGCCCACATTAGTGATATCCCATAAACAAAGAGCCTTGTGACCTCCGGATAATAAATAAGTTGTTTTCCCGGTTTTATCAGTGAAAATATTAGCAGCCAATACCGAACCAAGATTTTCTTCACCATCATGATGACTAGTTTGAGAAAATAATTTATTAAAATTTTCATCTTCATTAGTAAGGATTACTGTAGATCGTTTATCTAAAGTAGCAGGATTATTATTTCCCTTTTCACTATCATCATTGAAAACCAGGGTACTATTGACAGGATAACTCTTTAAATTGAACTTAACCAATCCACCCAAGTTTGAAGCTTTAAAAATACAATCATTATAAATACAAAGACTTAATACTTCATCATAGGATGAATCATTACTTTCAAAATGAAACGATCTGATTAATTGGAATGTCATTAGATCCCACACATTAATAGTTGAATCACCTAACCCGACATAAAGATAGGAATTAACAATTTTCATAGATATCACTGATTCTTCATTCTCCAACGTTTTGAATTTGGAAATGGTTAAATGTTTCTCATCTTCATTAGAATTGATCCCCCAAATATGAACTAACCCATCTCCACCACAGGAAATTAATATATTATCATATATGTTTTGATAATGATAACTGAAATCAGTATTGAGATCTTCATCGCCACCCTTACATCTGAATATATCCATACAGTAGACATACCCATTATGAGCAAATCTTATAATATCATCATTTTTAACTTCGATTAATTTGGGAGAATTAGGAATGTTTTGAGAATTAGTGGAATTTTTTCGTAAGATTTGATGTTTGGATTGTAATGTATTAAATGATCCACCGGGACCTCTTGAATCAAAGAATTTATTATATCTTAAATGAGGTAATCTTCCCATATTCTTTAACGTGGCATGAGGATGATGATTTGATTCATCAAGGGATAAAGTACACCATAAAATCGATGCATTTTGAGCTCCAATAAATAAGGTAGATAATGCATCACACCAAGCAATGGAGAAAATATCTCCAATATCAACATATGAATAAATTATATGAGTACAATGGATTTCATCTATGGTTTCATTACTATCATCTGTAGGAGCAATGTTTTCCTTTTTAAGTTTATGAACATTTGATACATCCCATACTTTAACTAATGAATCTGAACCTGCACTAAATAAATAATTTTCATCTTTAGATAAAGTAAGAGTTAAGACTGATGCAGCTTGATCTTGATGACCACAATTGATTTCATATTTCAAGGAATATTCAATCATATCATATACTAAAATCTTTGAATCTTGAGTTCCACAGAATAATAATTGTTTTTGAGGAGCCGGTATCACACATAATATAGAATGAGTATGAGTCCATTTATGAATTAACGTTGGAGAATAATCAGGGGATATATATGAATTAGATACTAATGAGAAAGGAGTGGCAGGAACAATTGGAGGTGGTGTTCCATTTGATGCAATGGAATCATTATCATTAAAGAGAGGACTACCTTCCCTTCCATTATTGGTGACGTTATTTAAGATATAATTATGGGATTTATGATTATTATTATTTGGATTAGAACCAGTATGAATATTAACATGACGAGAATGAGGACTATTATTATCCAAGATGGATAAATCGGCCACAGTTAGATTAGGAGAATTCAATCGTACGGGAGTCGATGAATTAGGAGAATTCACTAGAGGGAAGGAGTCAGTAGATGAGGTACTATTGATGGGCAATGGTAGCCTTGCTGGTATCAGTATATATTCACCTTCATGAATGATTCCTCTACTAAACTTTTGAGGTTGAGGATGAGGAGGAGTCATACTCTGTTCTGTTACAACGTAATCAATTGATTGATATGAACTTCCGGGGTTTGACTGGAGTTGATTGAAATTGATGTTGAGATGAGATGAGATCTGACGAGGTCTGATGTGACGATATCTTATCTGATGATATCTTCTTCCCAATGATCCAAACCTTAACTGGTTGTAAACTTAAGTATAAGTATTATGTATCGTTATTTGATGATGTTGAGACAGCCACATATTTTTGTTCTGCTAAGACGGTCACGTGTAATGATTTATCGTGTGAGAGTTAACAAAATTATAGTTGCAAAATATATTATTAAACGTAGAAACAATTATTTAATAGAAATAGAATAGTAATAGAACTAGGAATAGAAAGTAGAGAAAGTTGACTAATAAAGTAGAATAACTATTTAGTATACAGTTCTTCGAATGGAATATTAGTACATTTATCAGAAGTAACACAAAAAAATTTAGGAGACAGATTAGAAGTTGGATAAGAAAGATCTTTGGTTTCCCATTCACTATAAGCAAGGCCATCATAAATATAACCAGGAGTAAATGTAACATTTCTAACTTGGGCATCTATAGCTTCATAAACCATGGGGGACATATGAATTTGACCCACTTTACCAGCAGGCACTTTACAACTATATGAACCAGTAGTTGTAAAAGTTGAACTAACTTCAGGTTTCCAATCCATATTAATACTAGTACCAAACAATAAATCACCACCATAAGTGAAATCAATGGACGAAGTTTTTCCAAAATACATTGAAAGTGAACCCGAAAGTGAACCACCTTTACCTTTTGTTTCATCAAGACATGGACTAATGGCTACACGTTGAGCAAATTTAGTTTTATAATAATCAGTACGAAATTCAATCCATCTTGAATCTTCACTGCCGGTATAAACAGCAAACTCATTACCGGAAAGTCTTTCAGCAGTATTCAATACTGAACTATGAAGAATAATATTCTTATATTTATCATCATTATAATCATTCATTTTATAAATAATGGTAGTTTCAGCATCATCACCTAAATATTGTCGAGGATGATTTTCTAATTCATCTCGATCAAGAGGTTGAACCGATAATTTATTTAATGATGAACTTGGAGTATTTTCCAATCCAGCAAGATCTAATTGTCTATCTTCAGCTGCAACGAAGGCAGTAAGGATTAAGATTATAATACAATTAAGAATTTTCATATTTTGATTTTTTGTTTGAGTTTAATGAACAGCAGAAGAAGAAGAAGAGAGTGATGAGGATTTGATGAAAACTATGAATAATAAGATGAATTTAAATAGTTTGATAATGATGAATAAATTATCAATTAGAAGGTATAAAATTTAGGAAAACTTTAATACAAATTTCCTCAAAATGTGATATTACAAGGAAAATATTTTACTATACATTCCGGTATATTTGAGATATTGGAGGAATAAGTCCGTGGTGTAGAATGAATCAGAGGAATGATAATTAGTGGTAGTTATAGTTATACTTGACTAATTAACAGTTTAACAATATATTATAATTGACCATAGTTAAGCATAACATACCAATAGCGAAGTATATGCTGCTAACGATTAAGAATAAATAGATGAGAAATGAATTGAAGAATTAATTTTCAATTGATATCACTTTTGTTTTGTTTTCTTATTTAATCCTATAAGTTTTTGCAACAACAACTGAACAATTCAAAACAATTATACTTTAGATCAATTAGATTATTATCCTTTCGCTGTTTGTTACCATTTCTGTCATTCATCACTTCTAATTTTTTTGTGTTAATTTACGGTTAAAAATTAGAGTTATATACAGGAATAACCAACAACTCCATACCGCAGTACACAAGAAGAATCTTCCACCCCACGTGGGCTCAAAAAATAATTCTCATCGTAAAAAATAATAAAAAGAAATTTAAACTACTATAACCAATTGGAACTAAAGGGGCCCACGTTGTTTAAAAACAGTCACTTTCAAAAATAAAATCGTTAAAAATTTTTCTTCTTCTGAATCAAGAAATTCATCACACGAGTCTTAACCTGTTTAGTCGATCGATCCATTTACTCCCTTGGCACTTTATAGAGATCTTTTTTTACAACCATTAGCTTTCCATTTTACTGGCAAAAAACGTGGGCTAAGACATTTGAAAGGGCTTATCTATTCCAATTATAACTTTACTTTACCTAATCTTAAGGGGGAAATACAGTTAGTTATAGATTTACCATTTGTTAAAGTAAGGGTTTTTGGGTTGCACAAGTTTTACCGTATCTGGTTAAAGGTCACACGACAGTTAAAAATACTATTATAGAGTTCATTATCTTATAATGAAGTTTGAACATTCGCTTAAGTTTAATGCTGTTCCTGAATGGCAAGATAGTTATGTTAACTATCCTGCTTTAAAAAAAGTCATTTATAAATTACAACAAGATCAAGTAGTTATTGCTTCTAATGCTCCTAAAGATGGTAGTGTATCTGTTGAAAATGTTAATCAAACTACGGTTACTGAATTAGTTGATATTTATAAACATAAAAAAGTTGAACATGAGTTAACTGTTAAGGATAATAATGAAAATTATACTACTAAAGATAAAAAATTCAATGCCACTTCTTTAATTCAAAGATTTAAAAAATTGAATTATTCAGCTCCAAAAATTATTGAAACTTCATCTACTGAAGATGATATTGAAAAATATACTGGTTCTTCATCAAGTGAAAACCAATCTCAATCTCTTAATAAAAACAATACCTCTATAGAATCATTTGTTCAAGAAGTTGAAACTGATGATAATGATGAAACTTCAACTATTATTTCATTTGATGATTCAACCAAATACTCTGATCCATCTTCATCCACTTTTGATCCTTTAAAAGTTTTCTCCAAACAATTATTAATTGAAATTCAAAAAATTACTCAATTTTATGAACAAAAGGAATCTGAAGTGTTTTTAGCTTATGAGAATCTTATTAAAGATTTAGAATTGAATCATGTTCATATCGAAGATGTATTTAGATTCACTCAAGCTTATCATCATGAAAATCCCGATGTCATTACTACCGATGAACATCATCAATATCATTTAAAATCAACTTTATCCAGAACCGTCACTAATGCTTCCGTTTTCGATACCATTAATCATGTGGGTAATGATCATGATAATCATCATCATGAAAGTTCATTCCCCGTTGATTTAGAAAAACAAGAATATATCGCCGCTGATGAAGATGATGAAGACGATGATGATGATGAAGACGACGATGATGATGAAGATGATCACCACAGTGAAGATTCAGTCTTATTATCTCATGTTGATTTTGATAAAAAAGTTCAAGTTAAAATCACTTTAAAAGAAAAATCCAAAAGTTTATTCATAAAGATCTCTGAATTGAAATCATTTATTGAATTAAATAGAATGGGATTCACGAAAATCTGTAAGAAATTTGATAAAAGTTGTAATTACAAAATAAAAACTGATTTCATTACAAATTTCTTACCTTCCAACTCCAGAGTATTCATTTCTGAAACTGTTGATAATTTAGATTATAAATTAAATCAAATCACCAAGATTTATGCCTTTTTATCCGATATTTTAACTTCCAAAACCACCACTGAAGATTTAGAAAAAGTTAAACAAGATTTGAAATCTCATTTAAGAGTTCATATCGTTTGGGGTAGAACTACAGTTTGGAAAGATTTATTATCATTTGAAAAGAAATCTTATAATTTAGAACTCGATGGTGGAGCAACCCAAGCTAATAAAATGGGTGATGAAGCTCATATTAAAGATAGTTTTATGTTTGTGAGAATGTCAAGTTTTAAATTACCGTTTAATATTAGTATTTCTGGTCATGATCATATTAAAATCCCAACTTCATTAGTGCAATGGCAAATTGTTAAATTATTAGTTATTATTACTGTTTTCATCGTCTTAATGTCGGTTAAAACTTTTAATGATCCAGTTCAAGCTCGTTGTTTAGCGGTCTTAGCTACTGCTGCTATGTTATGGGCTTCAGAAGCTTTACCTCTTTTCACTACTTCAATGCTTGTACCATTATTATGTGTCACTTGTAAAGTTATTAAAGTTACTGGTACTGATACTCCAATGGCTGCTGCTGATTCTGCAACTTATATCTTAGGTACGATGTGGAATTCAACTATTATGATCTTGATAGGTGGTTTTACTTTAGCAGCTGCCTTATCGAAATATAATATCGCTAAAGTTCTTGCATCTTTCATTTTAGCATTTGCCGGTACAAAACCTCGAAATGTTTTAATTTCAATCATGGCAGTTGCATTATTCTTATCTATGTGGATTTCAAATGTGGCTGCACCAGTATTATGTTTTTCATTAATTCAACCTATGTTAAGAACTTTACCTACCAGTTCACCAGTATCTCAAGCTTTAGTGTTAGGTATTGCCTTAGCTTCTAATGTTGCCGGTATGGCCTCACCTATTGCATCACCTCAAAATGTTATTGCGTTAGAATATATGAATCCAAATCCAGGATGGGGGAAATGGTTCGCAGTAGCATTACCAGTATCAATCATTTCTATGATTGGAATTTGGGGTTTATTATGTTTGACATTTAAAATCCATACTACTAAATTAAAAGCTTATAAACCAATCAGGGAAAAATTCACTGTGAAACAATATTATATTTGTGCTGTATCAGTTGCAACCATTTTATTATGGTGTGTAATGACTAAAATCGAAGGGGTATTTGGTCAAGCTGGTATTATCACTATCATTCCTATTGTACTTCTTTTCGGTCCTGGATTACTTAAAGCTGATGATTTAAATAATTATCCTTGGAGTATTGTTTTATTAGCCATGGGTGGTATTGCCTTAGGTAGTGCTGTCACATCATCCGGATTATTAGCTACCATTGCTCATGCTTTACAAGAAAGAATTATGGATTTCAATGTATTTGTTATTCTTATTATTTTTGGTATTTTAATATTAGTAGTTGCCACCTTTGTTTCTCATACCGTTGCGGCATTAATCATTATCCCATTAGTTAAAGAAGTGGGAGATAGTTTACCAGTTCCACATCCATTAATTTTAGTCATGGGTACTGCATTCTTAGCTTCATCCGCTATGGGTTTACCAACATCTGGATTCCCTAATGTTACCGCCATTAGTATGACGGATGAAGTGGGTAAACGGTATTTAACCGTTAATACGTTCATCACAAGAGGAGTTCCAGCTTCTCTTATTGCATATATTGTTGTTATTACCATTGGGTATGGTATTATGCATGCATTAAAATTCTAGGTTTTTGACATTGTTTTTGTTTTTTTATTTTAATAGAACTTTATAAAAGTAAATTTGTTACTGTTTTGTTCATCGTTTGGTTTTTATGTTATTTTGTTATTTTAATAGTTGTTTTCAGCATTGTCTTGCTTGTTTTTGTATAATATATTTTAATAAACATTCTTATAAATTATAAACATCTACAGTAGATTAATTAGATATTGAAATAAAAATTATACATATAAATAGAATGAAGAAAAGGAGAAATATCATTAATAACGCTAATGATAATATATAAAAAAGAAAAATAGAGATGAATAGAAACAAGGTATAAAAATAAAGATGAGTTAGAATTAAAAAGGTATTCAAATATTTTTTTTTTTATCTAAATGATTTGTATGATGGTTTTAGGAACAACTTTTTTCACTTTTTGGGAGGTCCATACATTGCATATTGTAAATTTTGATAAACACCAGTTGCTTCTAAATATTCCAATAATTTTCCAATAGGTGGAGACCAAGTTGGATTAGATACAAGGAATTCCAACCCATTTGATAAATAATTTTGTTTTTGAGCTAGACGATAATAATAATTGATATCAACATTTTCAAATACTCCTGAAGAATATAAATCCCCCACTATAGAAATGACCATTTTAACCACAGCAGTATCTTGTAAAATATCAAGTACTAATGGTACCACAATACCTGATTGATTCACAGCAATAAGGATATCACTTAAGGAATTACCTACAATGGCTGAATTTAAAACTTGTTGAGCTAAATTATTAAGGAAACTTTGAAGTGATCCAGCATATTGATCGGTGGCATTATCACGTTTTTCAAAGCCAAATAAAACTGATTTACTAGATCCAGCATTAGCAACAGATCCATTATTCTTATTTGGAGTGGTTTGAATAAGTTGAGCAATATAATCAATGGTTAAATCATGACCATTACCTAATCCAAGTAAAAGATATCCAACCCAAGGAGAATTACCAAGACCAGGACCAACAATGGAAGCAAGTTTATTTCTATTGGCATCATTGATTAAGAGACCACCAGCTACTGATTGAACAAGTTGAGATTGATTTACAGCATTTAAAATGTTAGTGAAATTCACTGTAACATTAAATCCTTGAATAACTCCGCTACTTGATTTTAAAAGTTGAACAATAAATCCTGAAATGATGGCAGTGGCATTTGGAGTACTTGCAACTTCATTTAAAATATCTAAAATGATACCTGAATTATTAACAGTTTGTAAGATTTGACTAATAGTAGCCACTGTACTTGAACCATCTCTCTTTTGAAATACTTCTTGATTATCACGTACAAATGATTCTAGTAATTGTTCAAGATTACTTTCATAACCTCCAACTTCTTCATAGGTAGTATCAAGAGCTTGTTCAATACTCGATAATTCAGCTGTTATTGATGTTGTGAAAAGGAATATTATGGAAATTATTATATGAATTAACTTCATTTTGAGATGATGATGATGCTAGGGATAATGACTATAAGGTTGTCTTGTGATAATAGTAAGGGAAAGGATAAATGAAGGTGGTAGATGGGTATATATATGTATCGTTATTGAATATCAACAACTGAATAAAAGTCAAGCAAAGTAGATGTATAAAGTAGTAAGATGAAATGATGTGGAAAAGAAAAGTTGTTAAAATAAATTCATAAAATGAAAATATCAAAAAAAGGTTTAAACTTCAGCTTCAACCACCAAAGATTAAAATTACTCTTACAAAAATCTTAAACGGAGTGGTTTAAAAATATGGTTATTTTTATTAATATATTTATTTTAATTAATTATTTTTACTAGTATTGGTAAGACTTCAACAAAAGGATTAACTAAAATGAATTTACCTATACTAATTATGAATATTCATCAACCATCACAGTCAAAATATTATCATAAACTGGGGGGTGAGGTAGCAAAGATTTAATTGATACTTTCCTAAACGGGAAAGAATGGTATTTTCATCCTGTATATAATATAGAGTTAAATTTTTACCGTTTTGTGACAGAGGACAAAATTTCTTAATACAAATTGGATTTTTTTCTTATAATCAAACGATATGATTTCGCTTAGCACAACATTTTACTCAACAAAAGTTGTAATTGTAATTGCTTCATTTCAATTCATATTGATTGATATTGATGTCATACAACTAGGTTGTTCGAGATGACCTTGTTAAACCTATCTACATGTATCAGCAGATGCTTACATCGTCCCTCTAATGCACTGTAATGCTACTACATGTCAAAGTCCTGCACACAACCAAGGCACTCATTTCCCAATTAGGCAATTTGTATTTGCTTCAATCACATTTCCCAATTAGGCAAGTACAATTTTGTTATAGTTTCCAAAATGGTAATTTTTGCATTTCACAGCTTAAGAGAGATCGTTCAAAAATTTATATGACATATCGACGTGACTATCTTAAGAGTATAATGTGTTCTAAGTTGTAATTGATTGTTTTGAATATAGCCTGGGTTGGGTTTGTTGGAATTCAATTGCTATTCGTATCCATTTAAAGTTTTTAAAACTTTTTTATAACTCTTCTTCTTCTTCTTCATCAACTTCTTCTTATAACCATTGCAATTAGACCATCAAAGGAACTTATAATTAACCACCCCAACTACAATCAGAACATTCATACCCATTAGAGAAGATTGATACTAACCACTTTTCTACCTTGCCTATCATCAACATCACGAACAATGAAATTCCTCAATACTATAGCAGTTTGCATTATAGGCTTAACAGCATCAGTCACAGCATCAATATCATCACCATCAACTGCAAATGTCATACCGATCGATAACACTCAATTTGAAATATCTGCCATGTGGGAAGATTTCGTCAATACTCATTTTGAACAAGATGACCTTAATATGATATATGAAATGTTTGAAGATAATAATGGAGGATCAGGCTTACAAAAGAGAGATTATGAAACTACGGTTGAATCAATATTAAACTTGGTGAATAATTCAGGAATTATTTGGACAGTATTGGATGAAGTTGCAGGTCATCCTGAAAGAATTCAATTTCTTGCTAATCTTACTGGTAATTTACTTTCATACGTTAATGTTTCATCCCTCAATTTCGGATCTCTTTTATCAGTTGCAACTGATGTTAATGCAACTGGGTTAATTAAAGCTGTTGAACAATCAGGATTAATCTCTTCATTGTTAGATGGAATCTTATTAGATGATAGTTTCCGTCCTGTATTAGTCAATATAATCTATAGAGTTGTCAAATCCCAAGAAAATACTCTTTTATTCATTATTGATGGTGTCTTCCAAAAGAGAGATTTAAATGCTTTAGAAATTTCAGATGAAGAATTTGCTGCATTAGTTAAAAGAGCTTCGGATGATTATGCTGGAACTTTATTAGACTTTGCTGGTAATATTGCTAGCAAAGTTTTAAGTTCAAATCTTTTTGTTAATCTTACTGGTGAAGTTTTAGATGCATTAAATGAAACTCAATTCTTAACTTATACTGTTAAGAGATTCTTAGCTGATGAAGCTTATCAAAATATGACTGCTTTATTAATTAAAGATATTATTAGTTCTGGTGATATTAAAATCAGTTTAAGTAGTCTTAATATTACTGCTCTTGTCAGTGCAGCTGTTAGTAAACCACAATTAGTTGCTACATTTATTGGAGGGTTATTATCAGGTAATGTTCCATCATCAGTTACTAGTTCATTAGGTAAATATGCTGGTGCTGTCAAACAAATCATCTTGGATTTACAAAATACTGGACTTTTCCAACAATTGAATAGTTATATATTTGGATCAACAACTACTACTCTGGGAGCTACCACAACTCAAGGTAGTAATAACAATAAAGAAGCTGCTATTACTTCATCAACATTGAGTACTGTGTTAAGTACCAGTGCAGCACAAACTAGTACTCCAGCCACTACATCATCTAAAGCTGCTGGAGAATCATTAAATTCAGCATCTGAAACCAATATCCCAATTATCAAGGCATTATTCTATATTCAATCCTTGGTTTTTGGAGGAGCTTTATTCATGATTTGATTTCAATCAATTAATACCCCCACCCAAAAGGATTAGACTGACTCTACCAATCTTCCATATCATTTTTTATTAATTATTTATTAACTAGTTGTATTTTTAACTAGGATAAATTATCTTCATCTTCTTTCCCGTAAACTTTTACCATCATACGATTTTTTTTCTGTATTTAATTTTTAAATTAGGTTTGTTTTATTCTTCATCAATAAATATTTTATAATATAATCATTATAGTGTAGTACCATACCACGATCCATCATCATTATCATGAATACCCCCAATACCACTTTAAATTCAAAAAGGGTCTGTAACAACCGATAGCCGTAGATTAAACAATTTTGTGTCATTTCAAGTTACATACAGGAATCCACCAATTATTCCCCATTTCCATATAAACTCTAATTATCCATCTTTTGATTTCATCTTACAGTATAGATATGTCAATATTTAAAGGGGGTGAAATTCGTTCAATTGTTCAAGAAAGTAGAATTGATAACTGGAAGATAGTTTATCAAAGTATAAGGATTAAACATCATACATAACTTTTATTCTTCGTTTTGCAACGTGAAATTTAGATAATTACTATATACGTCATACTCGTGTTTGGCAGCAACATCAATTAATCAAATTCAATCATGGCACCTATAAGTGGAGCCGATAAATTAAAGGTGTTTGAATCAAGAGATATATTACGGGAACGATCAGTATCACCCAATACACCTTTTGAAGATCTGAAGGCCCAACAATTGAAAATTGCCAAGAATACCATCAGCAACAGAACAGATGAGGTAGGATATGACGATCAGGATGAAGAAGATATTGACAATGACGATCATGGCCATGACGAGGAAGAACATAATGGTAATTCAACTACTCCAGTTTTATCTCATAGTTGGGCTCCTTCAAGTACATTGAAATCACCACATTTTCCTAGTAAACCAAAATTCTTTAAGAGTTCAAGTATTGCAGTTCCACTTGGAGTACCAAATGATGACCATACAAGATTAACTAGAACCAGATCAAATCCTCAGATTTCAGTTGAAGAAATTGGAAATATCAAAAACTTCACCAAGAATTATATTATCCCTGCTGCTAAATGGGCATATTCACCTATTTCAACTTCAAAATCAAAGGGGTCAGGTCGAAATGCAAAACATAAATATAAAATCGAATATAGTGTATTTAAGCCATTGAAACATTTAAGACCTATTAAATCAGAAAAGGATTTCATTATTCATTGGAGAAAAATCGTTGAAGATGAAACTAATGAACATTTTGATTTCCCATCTAATTTCATCACTCAAGCAGGGTTTGCCGATATAATCAATGGAGTTACGAAACTCATTGAGATTGAAAATATCTTTCCTGAAAGAATCGCTGCTGGTTCCTCAGGAAGTTATTTCGTATATAATCGTAATTTCAAAAATCGAGAAATTTTAGAACGAGCAGGGGTGTTCAAACCGAAAGATGAAGAACCTTATGGACCTGTCTCACCTAAATGGACAAAATGGGCTCATAGAACGTTCTTCCCCTGTTGTTTTGGTAGATCATGTTTGATTCCAAATTTAGGTTATATCAGTGAAGCTGCTGCTACGGTTATTGATCAACAATTATTATCATATATTGTTCCTCATACTGAAGTTATTCAATTAAGATCACCTACATTTTATTATTCTTATTTCGATAAGTCGGATACTATATCGAAATTACCTCAAAAAGTAGGGTCATTTCAAATGTTTTTAAAAGGGTATAATGAAGCTATAAATTGGTTAAGATTATATCCTATACCTAATGATATTAATGGTTTACCTGAGAATTTAGAAGTTGAAATTGGTGAAGATGAGATTATTCAAGATACCCAATTCAAATGGTCTAAGAAAAGTATAGCTCAATTCCGAGAAGAGGTTGAGAAATTAGTGATTTTAGATTATATCATTCGTAATACTGATCGATCATTAGATAATTGGATGATTAAAATCAATTGGAAATTAGTTAAAGATACCAAACCAAAACTAAATCAAAATGGTAAAAAGACGAAGAAATATATCCCCATTATTAAAATCGGAGCCATCGATAATGGATTAGCCTTCCCCTGGAAACAACCCGATCAATGGCGTTCATTCCCATTCGGATGGTTATTTTTACCATTATCAATCATTGGTCAACCATTTTCATTAAAGACCAGACATCATTACTTACCGTTATTAACGTCTAAGTTCTGGTGGGAACAAACGGTTTCGAAATTGAAAGAGGTGTTTGAAAAAGATAATGATTTTAAAACTCGACTTTGGCTAAAACAATTGGCAGTGTTGAAAGGTCAAGCCTTTAATGTGGTTGAGATTTTAAAATTAAGTTATGCTGGGCCATTGGAATTAAGTAGACGAGAGAATTTAGAAGTGATTGATGATATAACTTCGATACCTAGACTGGTATGTAATGATAAAATGTTACGAGAAATGCAATCGAGTGTATATGATTTAGAAGGATTTAATACTGGATATCTGCCTTATAATCCTAAGATTGATGAAGATGAGGAAGAAGAAGATGAAGACGAAGAAGATGCCGATGAAGAAGAAACAGTAGGTGGAGTTTCAAGTGGTAGTACTATGAATGATACTACCCCATTATTATTAGCTGGTTCACCTGATATTAAATCAAAACTGAAGGGATATGTTGAAGAAGATGATATTACAGGGTTTGAATATAATTTACATCATCCAACTCCAATGGAATCTAGTCATGATGAAAGTAATTTAAATGATGTTGTGATTGAAAGAATCGTCAAGGCGAATGGCAATCCTCCGGTATTTACATGGTGTTAATTAGAAAGTTCATAAGTGTGTTTTTTATTCATATTAAGATCTATAAATGGTTGGTCATAAAATTTGAATATGTCTCTTATTAATAAGTAGTAGTATTATATATATAAATATGGTTTCTTTATTTCTTAGTTTTATTGTTTGTGAATATATTTATCAAGATAAATTTGATGAAGATCATCACTATTACCTTTAAAGTCATCTTCATTGATTTTTAAGAATCCAACTGATTCTTTAATTCTGAATTGAACCATAGATAATAATGAATAAATAACCGATAAAGTTGGAGTTGGAACATTATGTTTCTTGGCGATCTTTAATGGATTACCTAAGATAATTTCTATTTCCAATAATTGATTCTTTCTCATATCAACACACATAGATGGAGTATAAAGTAACCCATCACCGATATGAAGGAATTTTTCCTTTTTTTCAGCTTCATCAATAATCACTCCTTCAGCCTTAGCAATAGCAAGGACTTCATCCATGGCAGGTCCGAATAAATCAATATTCCCATTATTGATTTGACAACGAGTTACATCTAAATTAACGATAGCAGTGACGGTATTGAATACTGAATTATAGATTAATTTTTCCCATCTTGTTTTTTTAACATTATCATCAATTCTAATGAAATTCAAATCATTATCATTTTTATAAATATGAATGAAATCATTAATGATTTTTTGAACTTTTGGTGAACAGGTATCAAATGAATGATCAAAATCTCCTAAGAAAACATTATCAGCACCTTTATTTTCAATGACAGCATGATAATTAGTAGAACCAATATGAGTGACGGCACTAAGGGTAACATTTTGAGGAAATGCTTCTTTCATAGGTCCATCAATACCAATTCCATTTTGCATTAAGATGATAGTAGATACACCTGGTGTAACAGCTGGTTTAATAATATCTTCACAAGTTGAATAACCATCAGGAATATTCTTAGTAGTAACAATGATATAATCGAAATTACCAAATTTTTCTTGAGCTTCAGGAACAGTTTTAGCAATGTTATGAGGTCTCCAACCTGTGATTTTACCATAAGTACATGAATCAAAAGTATAACCTTCTTTAACAACCTTATCATAATCAGATCTAATCACCATAGTAACCTCAGAACGATTACGAGTGTGTAAGGATAAAGCTGAAACAGCACCTACTCCACCTGATCCAATGATTAAAACTTTAGGTAATCCTGTTGTTGATGCCATTGTGATGTTTGTCAATCTCTATGATGTTGTTTCTTTCTTAAGATCAACAAGGAAGTGGTTAAATTGGAGTATTTAAATACGAACAGTGTTCATTATGGAAGACAGCCAGTAGTGCGGAACTAACTGCTAAATCTGACTTTGTGATCATTTCCGCAAAAATGAGTCAAATATTTATTAACTATGGATCTATAAATAATAACGATTATATGGGTCTATATATATTAATAATCAACTTTTAACAACTCAGGTTTAAACGCTCCATCTCCACAATAATCATATAATGATCTTGATTCAATGATTTTTAATTCAAAATATTTCATAGAATCAGCATCGTTTATCTTGCCGATGATATTACCCGACGAATTAGTAGTACTAGAAACGCTTTTATGCTTATTAAACTCTTTTAAACCGATGGAATGAGTCAACTTTAATGTCTTTGACATAATTGTAAGCACTTGATTCACCGATCTCGTTAACTTTTCAATATCGCTAGTGGTAGTAGTAGTGGTGGTGATACTATGAATATTATTATATAATTTATCTAATAATAACGCGGAGAACAAATCTCCAACTCCGGTGAAGTAAGATTTTATGATTGGTATTTTGAATATTTGAATTTGATTAAGATTGGTTAAGGTTGAACATGCACAATAGATGAATTTGTCATCTTGTTTATTTGATTCGGTATCTTCATTATCAGGAGGATTAAATATCGATGAACTTAATGAAGTTATGACAATATATTTAATATTAAAGTTTAAATGCAATTTTAAAATCGATAATTTCAATGTATTTAAATCAGTGATTTTATTATTCAGTAATAATTCCAATTCAAATTGATTAGGAGTGATTATATCAATCATATTATAAGTTAATAAATTTTGATATTCTGTTATACATGATTCACTAACATATAAGTAATTATTATCACCCATAACAGGATCTAAAAGATATAATACTTTATCATCTTGTTCCTTAACTTGTTTCACATACTTCCCAATACAATTAATCAAATTTGAATTCGGAATATAACCAGTTAAGATAGCATTATAATTTATATGTAGATTATTAATCAATTGATTTAATATAGGATTTAATTCATCATTTTCATCAATAGAGTTCCCCTTGAATGATCCATACCCAGTATGATTTGAGAAATTAACCGTATTGATATTATCCACTTCCCATCCTTGAGTCTGTAAGGGAAATATAGCAGCTTTACCTCCAACGTATCCATGAACCACATGAGATTGGATTGATAAAACTGATTTTGACATAATAGGTCTATGAACGTCGAGGCAGTTAGTTAATGAATGAGATGTGATATAAAAGAATGGAATAGGTATACCCTGAATATGACTAAGACTATGCCCTTAACAACTATAAAGTTAAACAGGATCAAACTATAACGTTATCTATAATCAGTTTATGAATTTTTGACATATTGTGACTATTAAACATCACAAAATAAAAAAAAAAAAATATTTTAGATGATTCTGGAGGTATGGATGTTTGACATGGAGTGCTACCAATTGAACAGAAATAAAGACATATATAAACGCTGATAAAAAAAAATAGAACAAGTTTATCAATTTATATATCTTTCATTAGCTTAGCCAAATAACAGATCAACTACCCTTGGTAACCACCTGGTAACCGTTGTTAAAATGATTATTAACATTCAACTTTCTATCTAAGACTTTTCTGTTCCTAATACTAACGCTTATTATTATATAATGGAATAATTGTTTGATTAAATAATAATCCGGATCCTCCTTAGTCACTTTTGTTTTATTAGGATAATTTTATACTACAATTAGTTGTCTTCATTGATACTGAAGTGGTAATAACTGTTGTTTGTTTCTAACTTGTTGTACAGAGAGTGAAAAGGTGCGTTTTATTAGCGTTGAATATATTTAATTGTAGTTACTTAGCAGGATTATAAATTTGCAGTATGTAAATTTGAACCACATCCAGTAACAGACTAAGGGACCAATATGGAATGGGAGGACAATTGGGGGAGCGGAGGTAGGGAAGGAGGAGGAGGCAAATTTAATGTCCAATAAATTTACAAAAGGTTACAAGTATTTATTATGTGATTATAATTATTTATTATTTAGGAGGTATTATTATATTTAGGAGGATTAAGGAAGATTTAGATTAGGGAGGAGGGAGGGAGGGAGGTGAGGGAGGAGGTATTTATTTATTTATTTATTTATTTTATTTATATTTCTTTATTTATTTTTATTTATTTCTTTTTCTTTCTTTCTTTTTATTTCTTTATTTATTTCTTTATTTCTTTTTTATTTCTTTATTTATTTCTTTATTTATTTATTTCTTTATTTCTTTCTTTTTTTCTCTTTCTTTCTTTCTTTCTTTTTCTTTCTTTCTTTCTTTCTTTCTTTCTTTCTTCTTTCTTTCTTTCTTTCTTTCTTTCTTTCTTTCTTTCTTTCTTTATTTCTTTCTTTCTTTCTTTCTTTCTTTTTCTTTCTTTCTTTCTTTCTTTCTTTCTTTCTTTCTTTCTTTCTTTCTTTCTTTCTTTCTTTCTTTTTTCTTTTCTTTCTTCTTTCTTTCTTCTTTCTTTTCTTTCTTTCTTTCTTTCTTCTTTCTTTCTTTCTTTCTTCTTTCTTTCTTTCTTCTTTCTTTCTTTCTTTCTTTCTTTCTTTCTTTCTTTCTTTCTTTCTTTCTTTCTTTTTTCTTTCTTTCTTTCTTTCTTTTCTTTCTTTCTTTCTTTCTTTCTTTCTTCTTTCTTTCTTTCTTTCTTTCTTTCTTTCTTTCTTTCTTTCTTTCTTTCTTTCTTTTCTTTCTTTCTTTCTTCTTTCTTTCTTTCTTTCTTTCTTTCTTTCTTTCTTTCTTTCTTTCTTTCTTTCTTTCTTTCTTTCTTTTTTTTTCTTTCTTTCTTTCTTTCTTTCTCTTTCTTTCTTTCTTTCTTTCTTTCTTTCTTTCTTTCTTCTTTCTTTCTTTCTTTCTTTCTTCTTTCTTTTTTCTTTCTTCTCTCGCTCCTCTCCTTCTTTTCTGTGGTCCTTATAGGTTGGCTGAAATAATTTTGATATGCCTTCACAATATGATTTTGATGAAAGAATTAACTAACTCATTAACTAATATTTAGGAATATTTTAGGTCTATATTGTTGGAATACTATTAATTAACAACTGTAATGTCGGGTTTTTGGAAAGTTATGACATTGACTGAATATTTAGGCTTATATTAACTTAGTTTAGTACTATTATTAATTCATTATATCTATCAGTCCAACTAAGTATCTATGTATTTACCTATTTTCAATTATTAGTTAAATTGCTTTGTTTTACATTATTATATTCATGTTACAAACTTATATTAATATTAAGATTTCTTGTAGAATTATTCATGAACATATACTAAGACTGATACACTTAATTACAGTAGGTCAAAGTAAATTGTAGTTTTGTAATTAGTTCATTGCAAGTGCAACTAGTAATATGAACTAAAAAAGTAAAATGGTTTAACCAGTTTATAAATAAATACCAAAAATAATTTAAACGTTCCAACACTTTTCTTTATACCAAAGGAACTAGTTGTCGCCATGTAGAATCACTAGATGTATAATTGTTTTCTGCTAATAACATTGAATGGTATATTCTAATATCATATTTATATTTAGGAAACTTTAGATACTAAGGATTTCAACAATTACTAATCATCTGGATTTTAGGACTTTTGATTTGTTTTGGATTCACTTTCCGCTTATTCGTGGTTAAATTTATCTGGTATGGTATTCTAGAGGTATGTATTACAATTCAATTTATGTTAATGATTTATTACTTTATTATGCTCATATTTGTTATATTAATTAAACTGTATTATCTAATGTAGTTATTGTATGATAATAAACTTTCCCAAGATAAGTTTTAAATAATTATCCCAAAGTCAAATCATTTTTAAACGCTATTATAATTAACCAAAATTTCTATCACTTTTTCTTTTTACAAAGTTGGATAACTGTTCGCTTCTAATGATTTCTAAATCTTATAACTATTCAATTTCTATTTAGGAACCTTTAGATGTAAATCTAAATTATACCTAACAAATAATCTAACTGTTTTGGGTCAAAATAAATATGATGGAAAGTATAGTACTCTGTGATTGATTGAAATCTTTAAGATACAACAAGCTTTATGATTTCTAATAACTTTTGAATGGTATGTGCATTTATTGGTAATCTCTTGCTTTAGAAAGGTATGTATTACAATTAATTTACTTATTTTAATACTATTTCATTTTTGTTATACCTTTAGATTACGTTGGAGAGAATTCCTAATTGTAGTTTGTAGACGATAATAATTTGATATTATTATGTAGCTCATACCAGTCCAACCAAAGCTACAGCATAACGACCTTGGTTGAAGCGTTTAAGCTCATATAAACTAATTACGTAAATGGTGTAACCAAGTAATTTGTTCTATGGATAAATTTTTTAGGCGCCTAAATTCTTTTTTAGAAATTTTTCATTCATATTTTAAATTTGATCTTCTTATTAGTTCCAATAAACAAGCATCAGTGTTTAATCATCTGTTGATTTATATTTGGATTGGTTATGGTATTTGTTGGCTTCTTCAAAATCAAACTATCTCTATTTAGGAATCTTTAGATTTACATTCATTTGAAGCTAAATCTTAACTAACATGTATTGTGTAAGCGGCAAAATTTTAGTTCACTCTGAATTGTTTATCCAATATTTTTTTGACACTGGTAAGGTTTAGAAAGGTATGTATTACGATTGATTTACTTGTACTATTACTTTATTAAATTCATATTTGTTATATCTTTATATTATTCATTAAGCTTATTATAGTTTGTAGATTATGTAAAGTTAACTAATGGTGCAGACAAACTATAAAACACTTTTTATAATAATTTTATCAAATAATTTTATCTCTTCTTTTAAATGATATCAACATCATCCTTAAAAGTTCCAGGATATAGAAAGAAGTTAAATATACCTTTCTTGTTATATCACAACATTATCATTTGGATAACTGAAACCTATTTCTATTTAGGAATCCTTTTTTAGTTTTCATTTTAGATCAGCATAATTGATATTGGATTAATTGGGAAACTGTGTCATTTATAATTAATAACTTTATTGAGTTATTTAGGCTAATTTAATTTGATCATAAATCATCTAGGTTATTGGTTAAACTTCTTTTTTGAAAGTCCATTTTTTGTTTTTCTTGACCGTTAGAATTAGGCAGTACGTATTACAATTGATTTAGTTATATTATTACTTTATTATACCCATATTCGTTATATCCTTAAATTATTTTCATAGAGTTTCTTAGTGTAGTGTTTATGTTTAGTAATTAACTTATTTCAGACTGAACTGGGATATCATATAATGATCTTGTTTGAACTAGTTAAAGCTCATATAGAATAATTTGGTATAACTAAGCTATAAAATTTAAACGCCATAAATATAAATATTTATAATTTTAAAAAAAAGTTTTAATATTTCTTTGGAATGTTTTCATCATCTTGGTTTGTTAGCTTCTCTTATTGTTAATGAATTCTGGTGGAATGATTGATACAAACGAAACTATCTATTTAGGAACCATTAGATTAACTTTCATTTAGATCCATTTTTTAATGAAATATCTTAGGCTGTATATCTACTTGAACAAGGCATGTATTACAATTGATTTACATAGTAAAATTATACTCATATTTGTTATATCGTTATATTACCCGAATACCTCTCATTCTAGTAGTTTATAACACCAATTTATCTTAACCATGATTTCTTACTCGCCACATGGTCAAACACCCCATACTTTGTTGCAAAAATGTAACCAAGTTGATAAGCTAAGATCAGAAGAGAGAATTAAGCTTTTATTATTACAAGCAATTTTAAAGTAAGCGGCTAAACATTCATTGATATCAATCAAGCATCAAGACTCTACTGATAAGAAAGAATCGATTGGTCAGTCATTTGAAATTAAATCCTGTGAATATTGACATTTCTTGAAGGATTAGCGTTATAATAAAACAACGTTTTCTTTCACATTATTCAAGGGTCCTGTTAACTCATTGACAACCTTATTGTCAATTGAACCTACAAAACTTATCCTTAGTTAACTAAAAATTTGAATCAAGATATAGTGGTTCAATAATATCAATTTGTTTTCTTGAACTATTTTTTTTTTTTTGGTTTATTTCGAATAACCGTTGGTACCCTGATTGGATTGGACTGGATCTCAGATTCTGATATTTGTTTAAACCAAGCAGACCGGGTAAGTATTACGATTCTTGCATATATACATACGTCCATTATTTTCATTTTTCGTTTTAATAACGCCCATTCGGTATTTGTAATGTATAACACACAAATAAAATAATTTATGAACTAATAATATCGGATAAACCTGGATTAACTTAAATTAAATTAAATTAAATTAAATTATCAGGTGAATAAGAGTGACAAAAGTCTAGAAGGGAATATACGTAATCGTAATCATAAACCCTAAAGTCAAAGGGAACACAACTATAGAGAAGGGAATGAAATGCAATAGATGAATAAAATTTAAATCGATACATATAACCGAACTAAAAAATAATTCATTCATAATTATTTCTTAGCTCATTTTAAGGACAAGATAATTTAAAATTAGCTGGTTTAAGAAAAATTCTATTGTTATTTAGAGTGTCTATTGTAGACTGAATGGAAGTATAGAAGGAAATACACGTAGTTTATTGTACAAAATTAGAATGATGCATTACTTATGGTCTGATAATCACAGATACTACAAAGACGCTTAATTTGGCATGGATTGTAGTTGATTCTCATCTCATCTCATCTTATCCCATCTATGATGTAGAGTTATGAAGAGATTTCTTGAGGATATGAGAGGGTTAGAGGGAATCGATGGGATATTAGACAAAGTTATGTCTTGGAAATATAGGAGTATGTAGTAAGTCAACATTCCTACAATTTAAGGTGGATATATAAATCAACTACATGAAATTTTCATTATCATTGACAGATTAGTAACAAGTTTTTTTTTTTGCGTTTTTGAGGTGAAAAATAACATGAAATTATTTTTATTCAGGGTTTAATTTAGAGATTAAGTTTGCTGATGTAGTTTAAAATTTTATTTTTATGAGGAGGAGACGAGATGTAAAAAGTTATGGGTGAATAATTTCAAAATGGGTAGAACTATGCATATGGGTTTATAACAAGAAGAAGAAATTGAAAAGAAAAAAAAATTCATCATTAATAAGGCATTTCATTTGGTTTATTATGAATTGATTGGCGCTGAGTTGAATTATTATTTAGTAAAAATAATAACTGCAATAATAAGAGATAGAAAATCCCATATGTCAAATGAAAGGAAAGGAAAGTTAGTCAACCGACAAATGACAGTAGATTGTACTAATTGAACGGAATGTTTAACCAATCAAGTAAATGATTTGAATTCAAGACATTTTTAAATAGTTGAAATTATCTTGGAAGTCGTTGGTTGATTTACAATTTTAAAAGCGGATTGGATTATTACTGTTATAGTTACTTACTGTATATGTAGATGATGATTGAGATGAGTGACAAGAAAAATTTAAACAGGTAGTATTAAAAATAAAGAATTGAATCTATCATATATAAGTTAAAAGCTTTGTGGAGTGGTTAAATCATTGTACAAAGCAGATGAAGGAAAAAAGTGCAGGTCGTGTACAGGAAATGGAAGAATAAAACTCAACTGATGTTGCAATAATTAGTTAATAATGTACGGTTAAATGTACTTGTATAATTAAAAAAATAATAGACAAAGAGAACATGAGGAGGAGAAGGAGGCGTAAATTGGCAAGGTGGCATAAAGCAGACAAATAAAGAAAAAGTAAGTAAGGAAGTAGGAATGAATGAAAGAAGGAAGGAAGGAAGGAAGGAAGGAACGGACAAGAAAGAATTCGTAAGTAATGGCAAATTAGATAGGAGTAAATAAGAAATATTGGATGTAGCAGGGAAGGGGTAGTTAAGTAAATTAAGGATAGGATAGGATAGGATAGGGATAAGAAAAGTAGTAAAGGTTAACCAAGAGTGAAATACGAATAAATGATTGTGGTAAATTTAAATTTCATGGATAGATAGATAGATACACACAGATAGATATAGACATACACATTTAGAATATGACAAGATACGAACTATTATTATTATTATTATGTCATAACCATTTGATATTATTTGCCGTTTAGGGTGGAAGTTTATGTGAGAGAATGTGTTAAATGTATGTGGAGTCAAAGTTTAAATAATAATTATTAAACCATGATTGAATCATTACGAAGTCTTTCATCATAGTATTGTCGTCTTTGATCTAGATCAGTTGGTGGTAGAAAAAGAAATTATTTACACAAAGACCTGAAATTACAAAAACAAAAGAAACAAAAAAAAAAAAAAAAAAAAAATGGTTAAAAATAAAATAAATTACACAAACTGTTTTTGAAACACACCTCCTTTTAAGAAATTATTTTTACATGACGATCAATTTGAGCAAAAGTACACGACCTTCCATAAAGTGAGCAAATTTTGTTTCTGCTTCTCCTCGTTTCTAGAAATATAAATATGGTTTGATTTGACCGTCATTTTTTATAATTGTTATTTACAACCCTTTTTCCAAATCAATCAATCAATCGATCAATCAATCAACATAGGTTGTACATACTACTACTGCTACTCAGGATAAGTATTACATCTAACCTCCCCCTCTCTATTCAGTTTATTCATTCTTCCAAGTTTCTTCTATCTTATATCTCATAAACAACACGTTGTCTACACCCATATAGATAGATCCCATACTTACACCTCCCCACCTCCTTCTTCATCTAATCAACTTCTGATCAATCAATCAATCCAAACAATCAAATCAAATCAATCACCATCATCATCATGTCTGCTTCTGATTTAGTCTCTGCTTCTAACGTTAGTACTCCTTCCAGTACTTCCATACCTACTGATCTTAACTTTAAGTCAACTTTACCTCCAAGAAAAAGAGCTAAAACTAAAGAAGAAAAAGAACAACGTCGTGTCGAACGTATATTAAGAAATAGAAGAGCTGCCCATGCTTCTCGTGAAAAAAAGAGAAAACATGTGGAATATTTAGAATCTTATGTTTTAAAATTAGAATCTAATTTAAAATCTTTATCATCAAATTTTGATTCTGTATCAAATTTATTATCTAGTAATCAATTAAATCAATTAAATTTAATTGAATTAGAAAATATAAATGATTTAAAAGAAAAAATTCATCAAAATTTAAATAGTTCAGCTGCTTCATTCAATAATAATAGTTCTAACAAGAGAAAAAGTTCAACTGGTGATGATGATTTTGAAGAAGATTATGAAGAAGAAGAAGAAGAAGATTGTGATGATGCATCAAATGTTTCGTCTTCAACTCCTTCATCTACTACTAGTCCATCTATTCAACAACAACAACCTTTGAAGAAAATAAAACTTGAACAAGAACAAACTGAAATTAAAATAAAACAAGAGGTTGATTCAAATTCTATTGATGCTATTACCACTGCTAATTCTGGTTCTTCTAATACTACCACTTCTACTACTGGTGAAAATAATTATTATAATTATTTATCTCCTGTATCAATGAATTCTCCTATGAATTCCCCAATAGATTTAACTTTATCTAAACAAAAACAACAACAACAACAATATCATCAACATCATCAACATCAACATCAACAATTCCAATATCATCATACTACCACCACTACTACCAAACAATTTGATTCTAATATGTCTTTGACTTCTGCTTACGAAATGGGGCAAAATTCAGAAGTAATTTTGTCATCATTGTCGTTATCTTCATCTTTACCATCTGGTTCAATTATCGTTGGCAAACATAATTCAAATATAAAGATTTATTAATAAATAAATGTGTACACAAATACTTAAAAAAGAACAAACTCATTCAAAATATTAACTACTGTTGTTTACTTTATAAAACCATACTTACCATTAATAATAACGAGCATTTTCCGACATCGACTATTAATGCTTTGGTTTAATTGTTTCAACATAATATTTTATCAACCTGTTTTTTAATGACAAATATCTTTTCTTTGTCTTTTTGTTTTGTTACACGAATATTTATTTCATTAATAGATTTTATAAGAATCTTTTTTTTAAATCTTGATTTATTTGTTTTATAATTATATTATTCCATACTTGAAAGTTCTCTGCTTGTCTCCCAAAGTTGTTTTAAATAACAATCAACATTCAACAAGAAAATTAAATAAAAAGGTTCAAGGTTTAAGAAAGTTAATACCTACCATTACCAACCTACCCTTATTTTTATCTTACCCAGTATCATACCATATCATACATTTTTTGAAGAAGAAAATAATTATCATTTTTAATTATAATTATAGTCTCTTAGGGATGTATATTAATTTATTTATATTAGCCAGGAGGTTAATTGTAATAAATTAATATACGTGGAAATTCCTTTTATGATTCTATTAATTATTAATTAACTTGATTCTTTATGTATATGGTTGGGAAAAGATATCCTTGAGACTACCTTTTTAATTTATCATTATTTCTTTGTTATTGTCTTGTCTTTGGTGATTGATTTATAGCATTGAAGTAACTTTTTTAATTATGAATATTTTAGAAAACTTTTAACAAGTCTTTAGTTTTTGAAGAAGAGATTATTTATAAGTTTTTATGTTTGTCAATTATTGTTTTCCACGTATATCTAACTAATTGAATTCCAACTACGTGTGTTTAAACGAAGAAGATTTCGATCATTGGTCTGCAGCACCACTCGTACCAGATTTCATTGAATCATTAGAATCAAATTTAAATTCCCCTATGATTGATTCCAAATCAATCGATGATTTATTCTTATTCACCAATATTAATACCAATCATCAACCTTTAACTTCTCATCATGATACCATGGTATCTAATGGAGCTGAAGATTTTGGTTTAAATATGGATGAATTTTTCTCATTCTAGAATTTTTATCATTTGTTTGTTTTTGTTTATTTGTTGTATATTAGTTTGGGTTTTGTTTTGTTATGTTGGTCTGATTTTTTTTATCAGTTTTTGGGCTTGCTTTTTATTATGTTTATTTGTGATATCTTTAATCTTAATTCTGTTTTTATATTTGGTTCCATTTGATATCCTTACACTTGTTAGAGAAATTATACTTTGTTATATTATATTAATTTAAAAAAATTAAAAAAATTAAAAAAAAAATTAAAAAAAAAACTCCATAAAAAACAAAGCTAGTTTTTAAAAATATCATCATCATTATTATCATTATATCCAATTCATTTTTATATTATAGTTTCTACAATTTCATCAAGCATTATCAATTATCATCAAGTCAATTTACTGTATATTTAACTGATCAGAAGTATGAGATTAGTTTTATAAGGCGCTCCATTAAGTTGTTGATGCGACTTTAATCTGTTCTGAATACGTTTTATTACGATATTGATTTTAGATTTGATTTTGATTTTAGTCTTTTGGATACGTGGTGATTTAGTTTATGATTTGTGAGTTTTTGAAGTTATGGATTTTGATTTGAATGGGTTTGATGACCGTTTATTTTGGAGTAAGTTTTAAAAAATGTTGGTTTCTCTTTCGATTGTTTGTTACCTGGTGTATATAATGTTATATAAATCCAATTAGAAGTTTAAAATTATAAATAAATAAAATCTTTAGTATATTTAAAATTGTCTTACTAGTAGTTTTCAGTAGTTTCCAAGAGTTGAGTTTCATGATACTTTATAAATACGCGCAAGTAGAAAATTACACGTTATAAATTTCAACTAACTAACAACCATTATATTACAACAACTATCACCAACAATGCCACCACAGATTGTGTTTCTTAAAGTATCCAAATCGCAATCAATCCCATTAAAGATCTTTATAAACAAATCAAATCACGTAAGTCCCAACTCAACCCAAACGACCACCACAACTAAAAGTCTTGCTATAAATGCCAAATCATTAATCACTCTCCAAAACGTCCCTATAAATTACTTCCATATCCGATTGAGTAATAATTATTTACAAAGTTTGATTGAGACTCAGATCCGGGATGTGTTTGTTAAAGTATTGTTTGAAATGGGGTTGGATCAAGTATGTAGTGTTGGGATAAGTGGGAAAGTTAGTATTAGTTCTATACTTCGATTTAATTCTACATCAGCTGTATTCACCAATCCATTAGAGACAAGTAATACGACAGAGAAGGGGGAGAAGAAAGTACGGTATAAATTCACCATACCATTATTGTTGATCATCAGTCTTCGGATTCATTTTAATAAATTATCAAAGGGGGATATCACCTATTTGCATGGTATTAATATTTTATCTTCCACCAATCCTTCGTTCAAGCTTATCAAACCGGAGAATCAATTCAGTCTACTTGTGAAGAAACAATCGTTTAAGGAGATACCGATTGAAGAAGATGATATACAGGATGAACCAGTGGTGTTGGTTGAAGATGATGATTTAATGGTTGTCCCTGATGATGAAGTGAATGATAAAGAGGATGGGGATGAAGAGGATGAAGGTGATACGAAAGGTATAGATGATAAGAAATCTTTACATTATAAATACAGAAGAATACAGATCTTCAATAGTATAGCTCATAGTATTAAATTATATATTATTGAATCATAAAGTAGAGTAGAAGTTAATGAATATAATGATGAAAACGTATATACAATTCTCTCTCACTGCAAATTTATTGGAGGCAAAAATAAAAATCGTAAAATTCAAAAATTATAACTGACCGTCAGATCAACTATTACTAACCACTATCTTACCGCAACACAGCTTTCAACATAACTATCAACATATCATACTCATCATCATGTCCATAATACTTAGATTCAGATCCAAAGATGGGATGTTTAGAATCTCATCGAATTTGAATGATGATTTCTTAATCACTCTTGAACAAGTATTACCTATATTACAACAGAAATCTCCATCCATAGACTTACAATCAATTTCTATAAGTGATAAACCTAATGTCAAGGGTCAATTGGCTAATTCATTATGTGGGAAGTCTATTCAAGAATTAGGATTTAAGAATGGGGATTTATTATTTGTTAGTTATGAATTGGAAGAAGGGGCAGGGGATTCATCTGAAGTTCCAGCTGGTGCTGCTTTACTGAGTTCTACAACTGCCGCCACCAATCATCACGTCTCCATCAATCCTATTCAAGTTCCTTCATCTGGACCATTAAAATCCATCAAACAATTACCTATTGATGACGAATTGGAGAAACAAGATGGATTAATTAAACGTCCTTTGACTAAATTTTGTCAACATGGTGTAAAAGGTATGTGTGAATATTGTTCACCATTACCACCTTGGGATAAAGATTATCGTAAAGAACAAAATATTAAACATATGTCATTTCATTCCTATTTAAAAGAAATTGATCAAACTAAAAATAATAAATTTAATAATAGTTCATATATCGCTCCATTAGATGAACCAAATTTTAAGATTAATTTACATTGTCCAAGTGGAACTCATAAACCTTATCCTAGAGGGATCTGTTCAAAATGTCAACCTAATGCCATCACATTACAATTACAAAAATTCAGAATGGTAGATCATGTCGAATTTTCCGATTCATTAATCATGAATCAATTCATTGATGTTTGGAGACATACTGGTGTTCAAAGATTTGGTTATTTATATGGTAGATATGAAGCATTTGATAAAGTTCCCTTGGGGATCAAAGCGGTGGTGGAAGCTATTTATGAACCTCCTCAACATGGTGAATTGGATGGAATTACTTTATTACCTTGGGATAATGAAGCTGAAGTTGATGCTATTGCTAATGAATTAGGGTTATATAAGGTTGGGATTACTTTCACTGATTTAACTGATAGTGGATTAAAAGATGGTACTGTACTTTGTAAAAGACATAAAGATTCATACTTTTTAAGTAATTTAGAAATCTTAATGGCTAGTAAATTTCAAATTAAATATCCTAATGCTACTAAATTCTCATCATCAGGTCAATTTTCATCTAAATTCGTTACATGTGTTATAAGTGGAGGATTACAAGGCCAAATTGAACCTCGATCATATCAAGTATCAATTGAAGGCGAAGCCTTAGTTAAAGCAGATATTATAACAGGATCAACTCAACCTTCACAAATTTATGTTAATGGAACTAATGAAACAAGATATGTTCCTGATATTCAATATCTGAAATTGAATGAATATAATTTAGAGATTAAAACTAATGCTAAACCTACATTCCCAGTTGAATTCTTATTAGTATCATTAACTGATTCCTTCCCATTAAATCCTCAACCATTATTTAATAATGAAGCAAATCTGATATTTGTCATTGAAAATAGAGAATTCATGGGTGATTTACAAAATTTACAAACTTGTTCTAAATATTTGAATTCGAATTTCAATCAATCATCCTTATTTAATTTCCATTTCTTAGTTTATTTATTCAAATTGAATATTTTAGGACCTCATGAATTGAAATTATTAATCAAAATCGTCAAAGATAAGGATGAATCTGATTATATTCAATTGATTGAAAGTCCAGGATGGATGACCTTACTTACTATAGTTGAACAAAGTAGTTAAATAGTATATATACCTCCCTCAATTTACGATATCTCATACCTGTTAACTCATAACTCTATGGCTATAATTAGAAGATCTTCTCGAATATTCTAGATACTTTCAGTGAACGCCCTTGCCGCAGTACTTAGCTGGATCATCTCACAAATTTGTTGAACTGAACACGCCAAATTTTAATTTTGTGGATTTTTCACTGAGAATTTTTTTTTTGGTTACCACCACCACCAACCATCATATGAACAATAAATAAATATTTATATATATTGATTCAATTGACTTTTACTTGTTTCTTTAGGAATTGTTAATTGTAAACAGTTATAGTAAGACTTATACCAATATAACATCACTATTTACAAATGTCTACTCCATTCGGTATTGATTTAGGTACTTCCAAATCAGTCATTTCAGCTGCCAGAAATGGTGGTATTGATGTCATTGTTAATGAAGTTTCCAACCGTGCTACTCCATCTTTAGTTGGGTTTGGTCCAAAGAATAGATTAATTGGAGAAAGTGCTAAGAATAAACAAATCTCCAATGTTAAAAATACCGTTGATAACATAAAGAGAATTGTTGGATTAGATTTTGATGATGCTGATTTAGAAATTGAAAAGAAATATTTCACTGTTCCTTTAGTTAAAGATGCCGCCACTGGGGGTGTTAGTGCTAAAGTCAGATTAGGTGGTGAACAAAAAGAATTCACTGCTACTCAATTATCTGCCATGTTAATTAATAAATTAAAAGATACTGCTCATAAAGAAACTAAAGCCAATCTTGAACAAGTTGCTCTTTCTGTTCCATTATGGTATAATGAAAAACAAAGACATGCTGCTGCTGATGCTTGTAGAATTGCTGGTTTAACCCCAGTTCAAATCGTCAATGAAGTCACTGCTGCTGCTGTTGGTTATGGTGTTTTCAAAGCTAATGAATTACCAGTTGATGAACCAAAAAAAATTGCTTTTATTGATATTGGTCATTCATCTTATCAAATTTCTATTGCTTCTGTTAAGAAAGGAGAATTAAAAATTTTAGGTTCTGCTTATGATAAACATTTTGGTGGTAGAGATTTCGATTATGCTATTGCTGAACATTTTGCTAAAGAATTTAAAGATAAAAAGAAGTTGGATGTTCATGAAAATCCAAAAGCTTTTTACAGAGTTTTAGTTGCTTCTGAAAAAGTTAAGAAAGTTTTATCAGCTAATTCTCAAGCTCCATTCAGTGTTGAATCTCTTATGGAAGATGTTGATTTCTCTTCTTCTTTAACCAGAGAAGAATTAGAAGCTTATGTTCAACCATTATTAAACAGAGTCAATGTTCCAATTGAAGCTGCTTTAAAAGATGCTGGTTTAACTATTGAAGATATTGATTCCGTTGAAGTTATTGGTGGTTGTACTAGAGTTCCATCCTTAAAACAAAAATTAACTGATATTTTCGGTAAACCATTATCTTTCACTTTAAATCAAGATGAAGCCATTGCTAGAGGTAATGCTTATATTTGTGCTGTTCATTCTCCAACTGTTAGAGTTAGACCATTCAAATTCAGTGATTATAATCAAGATGCCGTTACTTTTAGTTGGGATAAACAATTAGAAGATGATGAAAATGAAATAGATTTCCCAAGAGATCATAAAGTTCCAAAAGAATTTACTATTAAATTCCAAGCTAAACAAGATTTTGAAGCTTCTCTTAGATATACTGGATCACCAATTGATTCTAAACCAATTGCTAAATGGCAAGTTAAAGGAGTTGTACCAAAAGAAGGTGAATCTGAAATTGAAGTTAAATTATATGTTGGAGCCAATGCTTCAGGATGGTATACTCTTGATGCTGCTGAAACTAGAGAAGATACTTTAGTTAAAGTTTTAGTTGAACATGAAGATGAAGAAGATGCTGAACCAGAATATAAAGAAGAAAAGAAGAATGTTAAAAAAGATGATTTACAAATCATTGTTTTATCATCATCTCAATTAACTGAATCAGTTAGAAATGAATTTATTGAAGTTGAAAATGCTTTAACTTCAACTGATAAATTAGTTGCTGATACTGAAGAAAGAAAAAATACTTTAGAAGAATATATTTATGAATTAAGAGGTAAATTGGAAGATCAATATAAAGATTTTGCTTCTGAACAAGAAAAGGAAACTTTAACTGCTTTATTGTTAAAGACTGAAGATTGGTTATATGATGAAGGTGAAGATGCCAAGAAAGCTAAATATATTGCTAAATATGAAGAATTAGCTTCTAAAGGTAATATCATTAGAGGTCGTTACTTAGCTAAGGAACAAGAAAAGAAAGAAGCCAATAGACAAAAGCAAGAAGCTGCCAACACTGCTGCTCTTCAAGAAAGACTTGCTGCTTCAAGAGGTCAAAAACCAACTGAAGAAAAAGCTGCTGAACCAGAAGATATTGAAATGGATTAGATTTTTCCATTCCAATAATAAAAACTATATCAACCGTTTATAGAATTTGTGATTGATTTTTTTCCAATAATATTCATGGTCATACCTGTATGGGTGTGATTAACGAACCAAAGTCATGTTAGATTAGGATTTAATAGTAATAATATATCTATCTTGATGATATTTACTTATACATAATATTAGCTTTCTCTCTATATATATTTTAAATTTGTATGTATGTTTAATTATCTATTTATCATTGTTGTTATAAGGTAAGTAACAAGTGTAGATGTTTCCCTCATTGTGGTAGTACATGTTAACCACACATCTAGATCAATACAATTGTTGTAGTCTTATATAACCCCTGTCGGACCTTACCATACGTCATAACATCCATGCTCACTTAGATTAAGCTCGTTAACCTCCTCCACCCTCGCTCCCTCCCATACCGCAACAAAAAAAAAATTCCTTCAAATCAAAAAAATCTTTCATTCAGAAATAGAAGCAACATTTTTACAGCACAATTTCGATTACCAACCCTTCATCATCATCATTACTTTATAACCCTCACTTCCCCTTTGCTCATACCCTTATACGGGATCCTGTACCATAACAATACATCATCGATACAACCAGAGTGTATCGCGACCCCTTATCACTTTCAATCCAATCCCTAGATCGATCAAAAAGGGTTCAAATCGCATTCCCCTAACTCTCCCTATCTCAGTTTCATATTATTTAAAGAGATTGAAGAAGAGGTTCTTAACATTTGTACTATATTCCATATCTAATCTTCATATATTGTATTTAATCATCTACCACAAATCGGTAGAATAGCATCTTTCATTCTTAAATCAGTATTAATTCTTAAAAAACGTTTTTCATTCCTTATCCTAATTGTCATATATTCGTTATTATTAATAAACCATATCACATAAATACGTTCAAATCATATAGTTCTTCATAATGCCTAATTCACATAAATCAAACTTATCCCTTGCTATAAAGCAAGCGGAGAAAGAAAGTAATTCCCTTTCTCCCAGACCTAATCCTCCCAGTCGCCAGAATTCAAATACAAATACTATAACACCAAATAATGAAAGTTTGGTCCCTTCACAATTATTACCTACTTCTTTGATGCAACATAGTGCTTCGACAGTATCAACTAGTGCTTCTCTGGCCAAACAATTCAAGCCAGAACCATTATCAATTCAAACAAAGCTTGATGATAATGATGATGATAATCAAAGTGCATATAGTTTCAAATCCAGTAATGAAGTATTACAAACCATATCAAATGCCAATAAGAAAGAAGCAGCTGAAAAGTTACAGGAAGGCACTGACATTGCTGGACCTGAACATCACATTGATGAAGAAGATGAAGATGATGATGACGAAGATGATGAAGATGAAGTTAATCCTGCTGATGAAGAAGATTTAAAGGATTACGTTCCAGGAGGTTATCACACTTGTTACATTGGAGAAGAATATAAAAATGGGAAATATACCCTTGTTAGAAAACTTGGTTGGGGACATTTTTCAACTGTTTGGTTAGCTAAAGATAATGATAAAAATTCTCACGTGGCGATGAAAATCGTACGAAGTGCTAAACATTATACGGAAACTGCCATCGATGAAATCAAATTATTAGATAAGGTCACTACTTCTGATTTAAATCATCCTGGTCATGAACATGTCATTCAATTATTAGATACATTTACTCATAAAGGTCCAAATGGTGTTCATGTCGTAATGGTTTTTGAAGTCTTAGGAGAAAATTTATTAGGTTTAATCAGAAGATATAAACATCGTGGGATTCCCATTGTGTTTGTTAAACAAATTGCTAAACAATTACTTTCAGCTCTTGATTTTTTACATCGAAAATGTGGTGTGATTCATACTGATTTAAAACCGGAAAATGTCTTGATAGAAATTGGTGATGTTGAACAAATTGTAAGAATGGTTGAACATGAAGAAAATCAAAAGAAATTAGAAAAGAAATTACAACGACAACAATCAAGAAAGCTTAATAATAGTAGTAATAGCAACCTTAACAATGCCAGTCAAAATAGTTCAAACGGTGTTACTCCAAGTACTTCAATTCAAAATACACCTCTGAATCCAAAATTAAATGACATGATAGTCCTGCAATCACAATCAGGTAAATCGGTCAATAGTAATAGTTCTCCATCATTAGGTAGAAATGGTCGTGGTTCAAGACGTCAAACTTTAATCACCGGATCTCAACCTTTACCTTCCCCATTAAGAACATTTAATAAATCATTCACCAATGTTTATGGCTTAGCTAGTTCTACTGCCAATACACCAGTTAAATCATTTATTGCTGGTGAATCCATCTCTGAATCACCTTACCCACATATAGAAGAAGATGAGGATGGAAGTATAAGTGCCAACATAAGTAGCAGTTCTCATCATCATCATCATACTAACGCAGCTCCTATACTACAAGATACAAGTATGACTAATGAACATACTTTAAATAGTTCACTTTCATCAATGTCAATATCAAATACTGCATCCAATGTTGATCCAGTACAAATCCCTAATGATGATATGAGAACCCTTCATCATCATCAAGATACTACAACAACCACCACCGATATCATTAATGAAGATGAATTGATTTCCGTCAAGATTGCCGATTTAGGTAATGCATGTTGGGTGAATCATCATTTCACTGATGAAATCCAAACTCGTCAATATAGATCCCCCGAAGTCTTATTAGGTTATCATTGGGGTGCATCGAGTGATCTTTGGAGTTTTGCATGTCTTGTATTTGAATTATTAACCGGTGATTATTTATTCGATCCTAGAGATGGAAAATCATATACGAAAGATGATGATCATATTGCTCAAATCATTGAATTAATCGGACCTATCCCAAGAGCGGTATTAAAAGAAAGTTATTATACTAGAGATTTCTTTAATTCTAGAGGTGAACTTCATAGAATTTTAAAATTAAAACCTTGGGGTCTTAAAGATGTTTTAATGGAAAAATATAAATTTTCCATGCCGGATGCTTTGGAAATTGCTGATTTCTTAGTCCCCATGTTAAACATTCAACCTGAATTAAGAGCAGATGCTGGTGGGATGGTGAATCATCCATGGTTAAGTGATGCATTAGGTTTAGAAAATGTTGTGCTTGAAAGACCTGTGGGTGGATCCGGTGAAGATATTGTAGGTTGGTCTAAAGAAGTTAGTAATCAACCTCCACCTCAATCTCAACCACCGGCTCAAAATAGATATTATTATAATCCTAATGATAGTACAAAGCATCATCATACTCATAATCATGATCATGAAAATAAAAACAACTAATTAATGAATGAAATTATTATCAGTTATATATATTGTCTTCTATATATGTTCAAAATATATAAAACTATAATCTATCATTTAAAATCTTTAAGAATTGAACTTTATCATATTTGATATACTTAGTTTTATTCTTAGCAAAATCAGTATTAATAAAACTATCATAAACTTTAAAATAAGTATTACTGACTAATTTTTTAATTTCATTACCTAAATAATTTCTTAATTGAGGATCAGTAATATTAAATTTCTCATAATTCTTTAATGCTTCTTCAAAGGCTTCATTGAAATGTTTAAACATATCCTTAACCATATCTTTTTCTTTACTAGTTAAATGTTTACCGATATTGGCTGTAGATGCAATGGATGAAGTAGCAGTACTTGATCTTGGAGAAGAAGTACCAGCATTAGAAGTCATGTTATGAGCTTGACTTTTGGTGATGGTATTCATTTCATTGATTAATAAGAATGAAGCTGTATTCCAATCTTCAAGGACAAATTTAACAAATCTCTTTTTTAATTTTTCTAATCTTTCTAATCCTAAACTTCCTAATGCAGAATGTAATGAAGGAGCATGTCCTATAATGGTTTCAATAATATCTAAATATTTCAATAATGAGAAACCTTCAGATGATGATTTTTTAGAATGAATACTGGCCGAACTACTATTGGATGGTTGTGACATTCTAATTTCAATATCGATAATGATAGCATTGATCATATCGGATAATAAAGATGTTAATAAATATTCAGGACTATTATCATTGGTAATATTTGGAATCAGCGAATGACAAACACTAATGAATTGAAATGGGGGACTTTTCGTTACCCAATCACCTAATTTACATTGTGATACCAATGCTAATAATGAAGTTTTATATTCGGAGATTTTTCTTACTCTTGACATTAATTCCACCACAACCGCTTCACTTTGTACATTGGTTGATAATATTTTATAGTCGATTAACTTGAAGTATTCAAGGAACATGACATGGTATTGGATCATGAATGCATTTAATTTATATTCATAAGTCTCAAGGGCTAAATCTCCCACTATCAACTTCAAACTTGTTTTCAATCTTAATAAATGTTCAAGAATTTCAAATAATAAAGTATCATTATTAAGTAATTTTGTGGGATTTTTAAGATTAAAAAATTGAGTTAATAAGATTAAATATGAATTATTAACAAGTTCATCTAACGATTTTTCCGTTAAACTTATTAAATTATCACCTGGAAGTTCCAATTCATACAGTAATTTAGTTTCATTATCAATCATACTTATAAACCCATCCACAAATACGGCTATACCATTACTACCCTTTTCATAAGGTACATTATCCGGTCTATCTTGTGGTTCACTCGCATTCTTTAACGATCGTAAACTTTCCACTACTATTGCACTTCGAATTTTACTATATGAAATATGTTGAACTGAATCTTGTTCTTTATGATATAATGCCATGATACTTTTTATATCTTGAATTTTAGAAGGACTACTTAATAACACATCTGATCCTTGATTTAATAATCCTTGATAATAATTTTGTAATTTTAAATCAGCTTTATCAATAGTATTAGTGAAATTATTAATGATACCTCTAAATCGTTTAAATTTGCCTTGTAATTTAGCTAATAAAGACTTTGATTTATATAATGTGTCAACATAACTTTTCAAGCCAATATGTTCAATTGATTGACTTAGGATACTTTCATAGTTATTAATGATCTTAGCACTTTCACTTACTTCTGTTAATATGCTTAAACCACGATCCACTTGGTTTTTATTATTAGTTAATTTATTAACATCTTGTAAGATTGGTTTTATATTATTGGATGCATTGATGGATTTGGTGGATATGGTATGAAGTGATTTGGAAATGGATACAAATAAGTCTTTTGATTTGTTCAAGTTCTGATTTAGAACTGCCACATCAGCTTCATCTATATCTATATTGAATGACATTGTCGTAGACGTATGACTATGCTGTCAATCTAAGTATTGAGGGTGTCTTATAGGGAAACAATTAATTTAGGAATGAAAGGAAGGATCTGCAATAATCGACACCAGTGATACTTTGAATATACGATCTTCCTTATGATGTCAACACGTTTAACTTTGGTTGATTGATTAATGGGATCATCAATTGATCATGTAGAATCTTCACCTCCTCTCCATGATTGTTTTTGATTCTGCTTGAAAACTCTGGTCGTGCGAAATATTCAAAATTGTATTATTATATACAGGTTGTACTATATAAGTAGACTAATTAACTTATAAATATCCACTATTAAGGACCCTATACATTTAAATACCATAAGAGTCATAAAGAGACAAATGGCATAGTTAATGGCGTAGCCAGTACAAACCTTTACCTGAATATCATGATCTATATTTTCAGTCCTGTTGATTATTAAAGCATTTAAAGTTTTATGAGACTCATGGTTTTTACGAGTAAAGTTTAGCTTACTACGAGAACCCTTATGACGAAGCTTCAATGTCAGCTTATGGATTAATCCAACCAGAAATTATTGCATATATTGGTGTAAGTTGGTGTATTTAGAGAAATATGTCTCTTTGAATACACATAAAGCAAACGTATACTCTTATTTATCCATTAAATTGATATTATAATTACCACGACAAGATAGTGTTCCGCCAAGCAGAACATTTTACGCTAAACTTTGTAAATTTCCAGGGGTATAATTATATATTAAATGCTTTACAAAAGACAATTGTTACTAGATAATACACACTTACTTTCTTTGTTGTAATTCAATCAATGGTATCTACTTTTGTCAAACTTTTCGAATATATTTCATTAGTACACCAAAGGATTGAATAAAATGATTTAGGACTAATATAATTATTGATAATTGAATCATATTAACAATGAATGGAAATGTATTTAACCCTTCTTTAATTCTTTTAATGAAAAATTTATCATCGATTGTTCTCACTCTATTCTCATGGATGTAATAATCTTGAATATTTGGTCTTTTGTCTATATAGGTTCGTAATCTTCTATAACCTAGACCAACTTTAAACTCTCTTTGATGTTTCATATTGAGTAGTGTTTGAAGCTTTTGTTGCGGGAAAAAATAGAATGGTTAGGGAGAAACTCTCACTAAATGTGATTCCTAAGCAAGCAGATTAAAACTAAACACTTTTAGCTGCGAAACTGTCCTTGCGGTACCCAGTAAATCTAAGGAGAAAAAAAGAAGTTTAGTGAAACAATGATCCATTAGAATTAACTACCAATTCGAAGTACTATCTTCGTTAATTTGTTTATATCATCTAGTAAGAATGTCCACTTCAAGTGAATTGCATATAGTAGAAAAAAGTAATGAACATTTATGCATGTATCGCATAAATAAATTATTTGTTGAACATCGTAATCCATTGCATGTGGATCAACATAAGACATTAATCGATTTAATTCATACAACCTGTTATTATATCTTCTATATGTATTTTGTCTTTGTTGTCTCTTTTTAGAAGCCTTCGATTTCCTCTTACTTTTCATTCTAACAGAACAAACCGTTTTCTTGACCAGATTATCACGATTGGTTTGAATGAATTGAAGTATGATTATTTATTAGATTTAATAACTCATATAGTCACCATAACAAAATTTATAAGCATAACAAAATATTGCACACACTATATAGCCAATAAATTCCAGGTGAACTCATATATTTTGTTTTTCATGTATATAGTAATAAATCAGAAAAGTGACATAAGTTCAGCCAAGAACTGTCTTAACAAATTTATGGAAATGAAAAATACAAAAAGAAATAAGTAAAATACAGAAAACTTGATCTCTATGTTTTCAATTTGATGTTCAATAGTATAACTTTCATCAGATTCAACCGTTAAACCAGTAAACTCTTTCAAAATTGTAATTAAATCTTCTAAGATCATTGTATTCATACTTCTGATTATTTTAGGTTAAATGGTTTCTTTTGTAAAATAAACTAGTTGATTTCTTTTATATTTATCTATTCTTCCGTTAGCAGCATAAATTTTAGAATGTATATATTTAAATCCACAAAACCAAATATAATTAAAGAAATAATAATAATCACTATGAGATTTGAATTCACAGAATAACTTTATTAATAGCCTTTATTAGTATTCCGAATGATTGGATAACTAGCATCATAAAAATTGCTCTAGTTCCAAAACTTAAACATCTCAATAATCTGAATTTGAAATTTTCAATAGCCTTAGTTGTGACATCATTAAATTCATCTGCTAGTAAAGTGTTTATCTTTTCTCTTAACCTCCAAATATATGATATTAGCTGTTCAAATAATCCCCTCAACATTTTGTAGTGTTTATAGATTTAAATTTAAAATCTGATTTTTCTAATGATATTTTGTTTAATAGACGTTATTGATGTTAAGCAGAATAAATAGGTTTAGGGTTCCTTGGCAATGGTATTAATCAAGCGAAACTTTCAAGATCTTTTTAATTGTACTTCCAATATAGAATACCAAGACACTTGAAGCTAAACAAAAGACTGATATTTTAATGAGTAAAATGCAAAACCTAAATGATTCCAAAGATTCGATATGGAACTCGCTTAAAATTTCAATTGGATCTTGTATTTTCTTTTTAACCCTCGAATAGTTATCTTCGTGAGATGGAGCTTTAACTTTATCAACTCTTGTCTTTCTACAAGTTTGTAAATTCTTACGTTGCAGTTTCACAGTATGAGATTTTCTAATATTCATTAATTGTAAGTGATGAATGAATGAATTGATATTAGAGAAATTTAACAAATATTGATAGTGAGAAAAAGTCTCATTAAAAATAAAATTCATTTCGCAAATAAGCAGATTAAAAAAGAACATAAAAGTGGTAGTTGCGAAAACTGCCGTGCTACCAAATTCATTTGACAAAAGAAAAAAGCTACAATATAATATAATATAATATAATATCAAAAATTTAATTAAAGAAACTTTCAAAATATAAGAAAGGGGCAACTATTTAAGTTTATCTACTAAAGATAAAAATAGGAAGGAATTTTGACATCATTAAGATATTGGATTTTTAATGAGATGATACTAATGAATAAAAATATGGATATGTCCTCTAAGGAAATTAGACTAAAAGTCTTTTAACCTTTAAAAATAAAAAAATGGGAAGATCCTAAAGTATCATCAAAAATAATAAAATAAACAAAGGAAATAAATTATGTCTTTAGAACAGAAGCAGCTATTTGCGGTTACTTCAAGTATACCAACATTAATATTTTGAAACACGATTAATCAAGATCAAATAACAAATTACAGCGGTAACTATTGATAATGTTGCAGCACAACCTTTTCCAGCACCAGCATATAAAGATAACCAAAACTCAAAGAATATATTTGAAGTAATTATTTCAATTGATTTAGTACCTCTACCATAATTCTTGTATCTTCTTTGGTGAAAGTGAAACCTATCTTCAAAAGAATTTTCATCTTGTAATGCGTCATAAAGGTTATCCTTTTGAGAGACGTAGATGGTATGAGTGTTGTAATATCTGGATCTGTTAAAATCCTTTAAATAGCGTAAATTTCTGGAGTGGTAAGTACTCTCTATCGCATAACAATGCTTTGCCTTAGCTGAGGACATAATCTCAATACTTATGTAATGCAAATAGTTTTGGGTATGGATTAACCGCCAAAACAAAAAGGGATAAATAAAATTTATAATTTTTATTGAAGCTATTCATGGTTTTGGTACAATTTTAGATGCAGACAAATATTGAGCATATTTTTGTAAAAGAATTATTTTATTAGCAGCTATTTAATTTCTTAATTGTCTAATTTAATAGACAGTATATTATTTTATGACATAGTTAATATATAAGGTGGAAAACATTGATTGAGGATAAGTAGATCTTACCATGTACGGTGATGCCATTTGATTTGATTTGATTGTTGGATGGATGTATTACAATAACAAGAAGAAGAAGAAGAAGTACGTGTAATATTTGAAAATGGCAGCATAAGGATCTTTAGCTTTATTTACACATTTGAATAAATTGAGTGGTGCCCAAACACACAAATATTCAACTTTATATCCTAATTAGGATTAATTGAACAGATTTGTCATTTTTCTTTTGAAAGCTATTTTCGACAAAACTTTCAAATTTTCGACAAACCAAAAATGTCAATTATAATGACACAAAATCATAATTAACGTCACATGATTAATATTATATGCAGTTCATGTGTTTTGATCTAGTTATACCCTAGTAAAGTAACTTGTAATGTTTCATTATCATTCAATTTTATCATTCATATCCTTCTTATATGGATCGTATAACTATTTAAGATCTTAATTATCACTTGAAATCAATATATCAACGAGTTTTGTCTACTATTATAGACATCATTTTTTGAAGTAGTGTACTATGGTTAAGAAAAAGTAGTTAACATAGATATCCCAAAAATAGTATTGAATTATACTAAATTTAATTATATAAAGCTTATAATTAAAAGAAAGATTTAAAATAGCTTTTGAAGAGAGATGTCTACAGGGGTTGATGAAGAATTAGAAATATGGAGAGATGACGTTAGCTCGGTAGAAGAGGTCATTCACAAATTAGAATTACTTAGAGATGCTAAAAGATATGAAAAATCAAAGAAATTTACTACAGTCATTCCAAATTCTGAATTTAAAACCATAGATAGCTGGAAGTTCAGTGATTTCAGCTATGCAAAAGTGGATACTCTTCCTATCAATGCTCGTGGTTTATTCACTATCAATTCAAATTCCATTGCTATTAGAGGGTACGATAAATTTTTCAACATTGATGAAACTGATTCTACTAAAAAGCAAAATTTGAAAACTAAAACTGTTGGTCCTTATAAAGTTACACTCAAAGAGAATGGATGTATAATTTTCATTGCTGGTACTGAAGAAGGTCAATTATTAGTTTCTTCGAAGCATTCAATAGGTCATAGAGATGATGTCGATAAGAATCATGCCCAATATGGCGAATCAACCGTGTTAAATCAATTAAATGAAATTGGTAAAAGTGCTACTGATTTAGCTAATTATTTATATAAGTATAACCTTACTGCAGTGGCTGAATTATGTGATGATGAATTTGAAGAGCATGTATTAGCTTATACCAAAGATAAAGCAGGGTTATATTTGCATGGAATAAATTATAATACAATTCAATTCAGAACAGTACCAATAGAAAAAGTGGTTAGCTTTGCTCATGATTGGGGGTTTAAAACAGTGGATTATCTTTCATTTGATAATATTGATGACTTCTTTACATTCTATGATAAATGTTCAGAAACAGGTACTTATGGTGGAAAAGAAATTGAAGGATTTGTGATTAGATGTAAAGATATTGAACATAAGGATTTCTTCTTTAAAGCCAAGTTTGAACAACCTTATTTGTTATATCGTCAATTCAGAGAAGTAACCAGAAAAGTGTTTATTGAAAACAAACCATTAAATCAAATTCATATTCCAAAAAATAAACTTATTACAGTCCAGTATATCAATTTCGTTAAGGATCTTTTTCTGGAAAATCCCGAATTAAAAGAAAAATTCGCTGCAAACCATGGGGTGGTAGAATTAAGACAATCATTCATTGCTAGTTTAAATGAAAGTTTTGGTATAAATTTATTAAATATCGATAGTTTGAATGAAAAATTCTCCAATGAATTAGCCGCTGCATCATTAGAAACTATTAAATATGTCATTGTCCCCATTGCAACCATTGGATGTGGGAAAACTACTGTGTTTGAAACTTTAACTCATCTTTTCCCTGATTGGGTTCATATCCAAAATGATAATATTGGTAAAAGTGCTAAGATTAAGATTGTGGAAAAGACCGTGATAGAATTAAATCAAACTAATTATCCCGTAGTGTTGCTTGATAGAAATAACTGCGAATACCGTGAAAGAAGACAAATTTTACAAGATTTCGAAACGTATAGTAAGAAATATCAAGTGGAACCATTTACAGTTAAATTCATTGGATTAAATTTTGTCGGTGATAAAGATAAATTATTTGTAAAAAAGATAACGTTAGATAGAATCAAAAAGAGAGGTGATAATCATCAATCAATTAAAAGTGCCACTGATGAAGAAACTTCTAGAAGAGTCTTGGATAATTTCATTTACAGATTCCAAGCTGTGGATACTACAAAATATCCTGATAATCAATTTGATCTTATGATTGATTTAGATCTTGAGGCTGAATCTTCATTGATAAATGTGCATACCGTCTTACAAACTTTGCATACGGAATTCCCTGCCTTAGTTAAAAACATCCCTGATGAAGAAGCCGTAAAAGTGGCTTTTGAAAAAGCATTGAATACCAAACCAACTTTTACGAAAATCATGAATAATAAAAAACAAGTACAATATTACGCCTTCAATGTTGAAAAAGATTTATTACTAGAACAGTTAAACGTATACTTACAAGATAATGAGCAATGGAAAAAGTTAATAGAATTGAATAGAGTCCAAGACGAGTTTCATGTAACATTAGGTCATGTCTCTAGCCATAGAGTTCAAGAATCAAAAGCAAAATGGAAAACATTAGTGAGACGATTCCAAACTGTATTTGAATATGATGATCAAAATGTGCTTAATTATTATGGTGATATTAGATTATTAAAAGTTGTCATTAATAAAGAAAAATTAATTTGCATTCTTGTTGAATTATTGGACGTTTATTCCGTTAATAAAGTAGATCCCATCCCTAAAGTTGAACCAACCAATAAATATTTACACATAACTTTAGGTACCTTTGATAAATCCATAGCAGCTTTTCAATCCAACGTTACATTATCTAATTTATCTGAATCAAGAGAAATTCTTGGTTTAGAAGATGATGAATACACTGTGGCCAATGGTGATGTGATTCAAGTCATAAATTTCAAAAATGATATCGTATTTAAAGGCCAATGGTTATATGCCCATTTCTAAAATGCGAGTTTACATATCATAAATTAGATAACTCTATATAGGTTAGAAAAATTCTTGTCAATATAATGTACCTAGATCAGAATATATACATCTTCAACTCAAGTTACACAATATTTTTGAACTATTTCATCATTTTTAACAATTTATGGAATTGTACGTATTACCTATCACAGTTCAACGTTACCACTTATCATTTGCCGCAGTAATAAAAGACAATTTCCATCTAATAATGAAGACATATTTGAAAATTTTTCTTGGTTCGAGAATTTAATAGCTATTTATACCTCCATTAAACTTTTATAGTGTAGATAATCAAGCTTTTTTTTTTGGTAGCTGCCACCACAGTTTTCACGTGAAGGTCTTGGCAGCTAAAATAAAATTAATTTGCAGTCAACTTATCTACAATCATATAAATATAGAATGCTTTGATCGTTGATTTGAAAGATATATTAAAATGTGAAGTAATAATCATTAGAAAAAAATGGTCAAGTCAGAAGAGGACAAGTTATCCCAAATCGAAGTTGGTGGTGAGCAATCCAGCGACACATTTGACAGTGATAATGAAAAGAAAGCAGCTATCACTACTGATATTGAATCAACTATTAGTTTATCATCATCAGCCGATCTGAAAAATCCCTTTATTGATCCTGTAGTAGCTGAATATTATAGAGGAGTATATGAAAAGGCCAAATACGAATGTCGTGGAGTCTTTGATCCTGATTTTAATTGGGATCCAAAGGAAGAGAAAGCTCTCGTTAGGAAGTTAGATTTTAGAGTTGCTCTTACTGCTTGTGTTATGTTTGCTGCTTTACAAATTGATAGAGGTAATTTAAGTCAAGCTGTTACTGATAACATGTTAAAAGATTTGGGTTTAACCACTAATCAATATAACAATGGTAATACTATTTTCTATGTTTCATTCTTACTTGCTGAATTACCTTCCCAAATCATTTCAAAGGCTTTAGGACCTGATGTGTTTATTCCCATTCAAATTTGTACTTGGAGTATAGTAGCCATGAGTCAAGGTGCATTAAAAGGGGCAGCTTCATTCTATGTCACTCGTGCACTTATTGGTGCCATTGAAGGTGGATTCATTGCTGATTTGGTTTTATGGTTAAGTTACTTTTACACTAGTAAAGAATTACCTATTCGATTATCATGGTTTTGGACAACATTGTCTCTTGTATCAATCAGTATTTCATTAGCAGCATTCGGTATCTTGAGACTTAGAGGTCATTTAGGATTAGAAGGTTGGAGATGGTTATTTATACTTGAAGGTGCGATAACCTTAACTATTGGTATTTCATCATTTTATCTTATGGTACCATCAGCTGTACAAACTAAGAGTAGGCTTCATCCAAAAGGTTGGTTCACTGATAGAGAAGCTAAAATTGTCGTCAATAGAGTATTAAGAGATGATCCAAGTAAAGGAGATATGCATAATAGACAACCATTAACTCCAAGAATGATTTGGAAATCTTTAACTGATTATGATTTGATTCCATTATATATCATTGGTCTCTTAGCTTATGCGCCAACATCTACTTTAGGTGCTTATCAAACATTAAATTTAAGACAATTAGGATTTTCAACATTTGATACTAATTTATTAACTATCCCTGCTGATGCCCTTCATATTATACTTTTGTTATTCATAACTTGGTTATCAGAAAGAGTTAATAATAGAATTTTAATTTGTTATTTCTTACCATTATATTCGGTACCTTTGGTTGCAATATTAGCATTTTGGGATGGTACATTAAAAAATGTATGGGGAACATGGGCAGTTACATCTTTAGTATTAGGAGGTCCATATATTCATGCTATTGTTGTTGCATGGGTTTCAACCAATTCAAATTCAATTAGACTGAGATCAGTTGCTAGTGCCGTTTATAATATGTCAGTCCAATTAGGTAGTATTTACGCAAAGAACATCTTTAGAGAAGATGATAAACCCCTTTACAGAAGAGGTAATCGTCAATTATTTGCCTTGGCAGTTATAATGTTCCCAGTCTTCTTTTTAACTAAATTTTATTATAAATGGAGAAATAGTCAACGTGATAAGAAATGGAACGCATTCACGCAAGAGGAAAGAGAAGACTATATTAGAAATACAAAAGATGAAGGTAACAAACGTTTAGATTTCAGATTCATTCATTGATTGAGTGTTTCGACTTAGTATAAGTATGGTTATATTTATATTTTTTATATAGTGATAATAATAATATATTCTGTTAATTTTATTAATAAAATATTTAATTGAAAAGACAAACTGAAAGCACAATCATTCATAAAATCATCAAGATTGATAGCAATGAATTATATAAAGACTCATTAACTAAGATTTATTAGAATCATGGAAATTCTTACCAGCATAAACAGCGTATTTTTCTAAATCATCTTCAATTCTAATGATTTGATTATATTTAGCAAATCTTTCTGATCTTGCTGGAGCTCCAGATTTAATTTGGGCAGTTCTTAATCCAACTGCTAAATCGGCAATCGTGGTGTCTTCTGTTTCACCCGATCTATGAGAAACTTGAACTGCCCAACCTGCATCATAAGCCAATTTAGCAGCATCGATTGCTTCAGTTAAAGTACCAATTTGATTTAATTTTAACAATAAGACATTAGCAATTTTCTTTTCAATACCTTGTTCAATGATTTCTGGAGTAGTTGAAGTAATGGCATCAGCCACAATTTGAACTTTACTTTGGAATTTTGGATAATATTTAGTCCAAGCTTCCCAATCATCTTCAGAAAATGGATCTTCTAATGAAACAATAGGATATTTATTAATTAAATCCCAATATAACTCAGCTAATTGATCACTAGTTAAATAATCAATGGCATTTGAAAGTTCTTCATTCTTAAAGTTTAAATCATATTTACCTTCTTTATAGAAATCAGAAGCTGATGCATCAATAGCAATACCAACTTGACCTTCATAACCTGCACCTTTAATGGCTGAAACAATCAAATCTAAAGCTTGACGAGCATTTTCAACATTAGGAGCAATACCACCTTCATCACCTAAATTAGCTGAAGAAGAACCATATTTTTCAATAGTAAGAGTTCTTAAAGTATGAAAAATTTCAGTAGCATATCTAACTGCTTCAAAAAATGATGGAGCGCCATATGGAACAACCATAAATTCTTGAAAAGTTAATCCACTACCAGAGTGAATACCACCATTCAAGACATTAAAGAAAGGAGTTGGAATTAAAAATGGATATTCATGTAATTTAGCTAAATCAGCAATATGTTTATATAAGGGAGATCCCTTTTTACCTGCCCCAGCTTTTGCGACTGCTAATGAAACAGCTAAAATTGCATTTGCACCTAATTTTTCTTTAGTTGGAGTACCATCTAAATCAATTAAAAATTCATCAATTGATTCTTGATCGGTAACATCCAAATTAGCTTTAATTAAAGCAGGAGCAATGATTTCATTAACATTTTGAACTGCTTGAGATACACCTCTACCATTCCATTTCTTAGGATCATTATCTCTTAAATCAAGACATTCATGAGAATTATGATGAGCACCAGAGGGGACAATGGCACTAAATTTACCTTTTTCAGTACTGATTACAACTTCAACGGTTGGATTACCTCTAGAGTCATAAACAACACGAGCGTAAACTTTTGAAATGGTCATAGTGTGGGGGGAGTGGGTGGTGGGGAAGAAAATAAATGGTGTGATAAATGAGTTTGATTGGGAGTGAGTACAATCAAGTCAATAACGATTAATGAAGAGTAAAAGAGAAAAGGAAAAGGGAAAGAGAAATTGAAAAATAAAATAATAAACTATTTATATTTATATAATAGAAGTTATATAATCGGCATTGGCGAAATATAAGTGATTGGTGGTAAGTGGTAGTTGGTTGGTCATACACTATAACGCTAAGGAGAAAAAATTAAAATTACATTGTAATTAGTGTTATAGTGGAACAGTTTACGAATGGCACCACCCCTCCTTTTATGGACTAAGAAGTAATAATAATAACTCACTAAATAAAATGGGTAACAGTAAAATTTCTTAAGGAGGTCAACAAACCAATACGGAATAAGTTCCTAAACAATAGTGGAGATTTTAATTTTATCATTCCACTTTTGGAACAAGTGACAAAAGCCAAAAAGTATTTGTTTTTTTCTTATATAGAGAGTTATTACTATCGTACATCTTTTTTGGATATATAATTATAAATCATTCAATGTAAGCTACGTAGTGATGTATTCACTAAGTCATTGATCAGCTTTCTCACTATTCTTTTATAGTCTAATCAGCTAAATTTACAGTCAATTGACTTAATTTGTTTAAAAAATCCCTCTCTAATTCTGTCCCCCATGAAAAATAAAAATGTGATGATTTTATTTTTAGTTGCACTCCGCATTTTTTCAGTAAAAATATGGGGTTACATCAATAACTTCACTATGACAAATATTTTCATATAATTTATCATTTAGATACTATTGATTTAATTTTGATGATATAAGATATAATTTTTTAAAATTATATTTACGGATTTCAAATGACGTTGAGGTTTATATAGAGACCAATTATGTCAATTTGTTTGTTTGTTTTGAAGAAACAAAATCAATCATATTATATTATATATGCATTTTGTTATTAAAATTTCACATTAAGGTACTGATTCAATGTCTCATCATCGCAGTGGTTCTCAGAGTGGATCTTCTGTATTAGTACCTGTTGATTCAAGAGCTACTTTTCGCCAAAGACAACATTCTTTAGATCAAGAATTAAGATTATTAAAAACAGAATCAATCATTGATGCTTTACCAGAGGGTTTCAATACCGATGAAACTTATGAACCTGGTCAAGATAATAATTATACTGAATATAATGATATATTACCTGAAGGGTTCAATGCTACCAATACTAATTCAACAACCGATCATTTAAAACGTTCACAATCGTATCATACAACGGATGATACTGAGTATGAACCTCAAAGTCTGTTAGGAAAAATATTAGCTTTCTTATGTTGTCAAGATTGATTCATCACTATTAATCAATCATTTAAAAGCTATCATATAAAATGGTATGCTTTTCTCAAAATGAATAATAAATTTATTATTACATTGGCGATCATGATTTAATCTTAGTCGCCGGGGGTTTTGAATAACCCTGTTTGAACTTGTGTGGTTTACTTTCACATCAGTCATTGTTATCATGTCGTTCAATTGAAGAAATTATAAGATTTTTACTATTGTATTTATCAATCAAGAGTTTTTTAGTATATAACTCTATTACACACATTGTTTGGTCAGTCAAATTATTTTGTCATAAAATATATATTTTGTCATAAAACTTTTTTTTTTGTCATAACTTTGTCATTTTTGTTTCAATTATATTTTTTAGTGTCCGCCTGCCTAACATAAAAAATAATTATAGGTTGCAACTAACTAAACTTTTTAATTACTATATCATCATTGTTTATAGACAAAAATGGATATTAAAGTCTAATGAAATATCTAATATCCAATTTTTTTAACTTTAACTATTCGTATCGGAATGAGTTACTTAAAAAGTAATGTATTTCCATAATATGGACATACTATTGCTTCTTTTTAATTATCCTTATCAGAACTGAAGTAAGTACATGCTTTCATATTGAATTGTGTCATTCTGATAAGGTTTTTCAAATCTTTTTAAAGTTAAACTCTTTTAGGGTCATAACAGCAATCTTCTATGATGATTTGATTTGCAGAAATTGCCAATTTCTTAGCTTAATATCCATACTTTTGATATTCCTAACCATTTAATATATATTTTATATAATGAAAATGTATTTTATTGAATAGTTTCGAGGTGTTAATATTCATGTAATGACCTCAACGGTACGGCTCAAAGACATGCCGGGGGATTCCACTTGACATATACGAATGAATTCTTTGATTTTCAATTATAACTATGATACAATTTGACGCCACCACAATTTAATTTTTCCCTGTCTCTAATGTCTATTATGTATCCAGTTTGCAGCTTCACCTTAATAATAATTTTAAGTTTTATAACACAAACACCCTAATGATGTTTTTGCAACAACAGTGAAGGGCGAATTGCAGATGAGATTGAATAAGGGATTGAATGTAAGATAGCAACATGAAATTCGTCAACATGGTTAGTTTCCTTTAGTATATATATATAAGAACATATTTCATTAATTGATAAATTTGAAAATAGAGAAAGCAATTATATATCAAAGATGTCAACTTATACTGAAGGAAAAGTGGACCATGAACATAACTCTTCTTCTTCAGATGTCGAAAAGAATAAATCATACCCAGTCCATGAAGAAATCAACTCCATTGATGAATCATTAACCAAACCAGATCCCAAAAATCCATTCCTTGATCGTAAAGTTGCTGAACATTATCGTCAGGTTTATGAAGAGTCTCAATATGAATGTAGAGGAGTTTTTGATCCTCATTTCACTTGGGATCCAGCTGAAGAAAGAAAAATTGTTAGAAAATTAGATTATAGAGTTGCATTATCTGCATGTCTTATGTTTTGTGCTTTACAAGTCGATAGAGGTAATATTGCTCAAGCTGTATCTGATACATTGTTACAAGATTTAAAATTAACAACTGATGACTTCAATACTGGTAATACTATCTTCTTTGTATCATTTTTGTTTGCTGAATTACCATCTCAATTAATTTCCAAAGCTTTAGGTCCTGATATTTTCGTCCCTATTCAAATTTGCCTTTGGAGTATAGTATCACTTTCTCAAGGATGGATTAATAATAAAGCTTCGTTTTACGCTACAAGATCATTGATTGGGATTTTAGAAGGTGGATTCATTGCTGATTTGGTTTTATGGTTAAGTTACTTTTACACTAGTAAAGAATTACCGATTAGATTATCATGGTTTTGGTCAACATTGTCTCTTGTGTCAATTGCTGCTTCCTTGGCTGCATTTGGAATATTAAGACTTAAAGGTCATTTAGGATTAGCAGGTTGGAGATGGTTATTCATTATTGAAGGTATATTCACGTTATTAGTTGGAATTGCATCATTTTATCTTATGGTACCATCCGCTGTGCAAACTAAGAGTAGGCTACATCCAAAAAGTTGGTTCACTGATAGAGAAGCTAAAATTGTAGTTAATAGAGTATTAAGAGATGATCCAAGTAAAGGAGATATGCATAATAGACAAGGGTTAACACCAAAAATGATTTGGAAATCATTAATTGATTATGATTTATACCCAATATATGCCCTTGGATTATTTCAATATGGGCCTGCATTAGTTTTAGAAACTTACCAAACTATTAATTTAAGAGAATTGGGATTTTCCACCCTTAATACTAATTTATTAACCATTCCGTCTCTGGTGATACTGATTATATTCTTGTTATTGATTACTTGGTTATCTGAAAAAGTTAATAATAGAGCATTGCTTTGTTTGTCATTACCAATCTATGCAATTCCACTTATGGGAGTTATAGCATTTTGGGAAGGAACCATGACTAATAAATGGGGGACATATACTTTAATCACCTTAATGGTGGGAGCTCCTTATATTCATGCTATTTTAGTTGCTTGGGTATCAACCAATTCAAATTCAATTAGAAGTAGATCAGTGGCAAGTACAGTATACAATATTCTGGTTCAAATCGCTGCTATTTATTCCAAAAATGTTTATAGACTGGATGATGCCCCAATTTATAGAAGAGGTAATATGCAAGTATTTGCTATTGCGGTAGCTATTCTTCCATTAATTATTATTGCTAAATTTTATTATATTTGGAGAAACAACCGAAGAGACAAAATCTGGAATGCAATGTCTCAAGAAGAGCAAGAAGATTATATTAATAATACCACGGATGAAGGTAATAAGAGATTAGATTTTAGATTTGTTCATTAGATTAGTGTTTATATGACTTGTGATTAATAATACTAAATATATTTATTATGGTAGCGTTACTATCTACATTGTCATGACATCAAAAAGTTTGTCGCGACACAGAAATGTTGGAAAGATAAAATGAGGCAAATCTGGTTAATCAAACACTTATTGATAACACCAGATTAGATCTTATTCGAAATATTCATTAATCAACATGTTCTCATATATCGCCTCTTTCTTTAAGAGTGCTGGTCCAGTCACTCCTGAAATCATTGAAACTTTGAAATCAACTATTGCTTCTGAAAAAGTCGTTGTCTACTCCAAAAGTTATTGTCCTTATTGTAAGAGTACCAAATCATTATTAGATGGATTAGGTCAAAAATATAAACTCATTGAATTAGATATTGAAAAAGATGGTTTAACTTATCAAAATGGTTTACAACAAATAACTGGTCAAAGAACCGTTCCAAATGTCTTTATTTCTGGTAAGCATATTGGTGGTAATTCAGATATTCAAGCTTTAAATAACTCTGGTGAATTGAAAGGTTTACTTGCTTAATCTTATGTTCATAGATTTATAGTTATGTCTTTATAATATATGTTAGGTCGTGATAATTCATTGGATAATGTTGTAGTGATAGCTTTTGCTGTCTTTTTGTGATTTTGGCAACAAACAGTTTTTTTTTTTCAATTCTTGAATGTTGCCTTTTGCTAGCGGTTATGGAAAGCAAGGCCTAACAGACAACACAACGTAAGCTTTACCATGAAGTTGTGAAATGTTTCCATTACGTGATATAAGTCGGTTTTATTTATCAAAGGTTTTCAAAGGGTCCTTGAAAGGGTTGACGTTTTGTATGAACCTTTTAATAGATCAATATTTGGCTTCAGTTATCTTGATTATATTTATAGTTTATTCATACATTTATCCCACATCATATTCTTATGATGCAATCATAACTAGCAAGCAAGTTGAAAAGTTTGAGAGATCATCCCCTTTGGTAAACGAATGGTTAGTCAAATCATATTTTCCCAATACCATTTTGCAATCCATTTATCCCAATTCAACTATTCCAAACTCTGATCATGATATATCAAATCGCATATATTGGGATCTACAACAAGAGTACGATCCACGTTTATTACCATCACTTTGGATTAATTCTATTCTAAATAACTTAAAGAATGACCATGATCATTTATTCAATCCTGAGATTTCTTTACCTTTCAGTTGGAACAGTCTATTAGGTATAGATAGAAGATTAAAACTGATTGAAGTTGGAATGGATTTACATGTTTTGAATTGTGAGAAATTCGCTGAAGTGTTCGGATTAGATTATTCCGAATTTTCAAAAAGTTGTATAAGTTTAAAAGGTAGTCCAAGGAATTATCCCAAATTAAAAATAACTCGACCTGTTGATGATTTAACATATGAAGAGGGTCGTAAAATAATTGGACTTAGTCATTTATTACATGAAGCTCCTATTCCACATAGATTGGCACTTTTAGGAGTCGGTCCTGAACAATCAAGTTTAATCGTTCCATTAATGGGCCTTGGAAGGGTAAATGCATATAGTAAAGGTGATTTAAATTACTTGATTTCAAATTATTTGGATAATATATCTCAAACTAAAGAATCTCCATCTAATATTACAAATAGTATTGAGCTAGGAATTGAATTACATAATCTTAAATCATGGTGGGAAAGCATAGATCAACCAATATCATATAAACCATCACAAGAATTAAAGTATGATTTGTTCAGAGCTATGGATTGTCATAATGCAATGTCAATGGATTTAAAGAAAGAAGAATTTGATATAGATATTGAACAATACATAAATACACTACAAGATAAAGTTTCACATTCATATAGTATGGAGATAATTAATGATTTTGATAAAGAATTGTTAACAGTTATGACTAATAATATTGGACTTCAGCCTAATTTCACTAAATATTTTAATGAAGCAAATTGCATTGGATCACATAAAGGTAGTCATTATGATTGGCGGTTTTTTAAACAACTTCGTTACTCGGAATATGAAAGAAAAGCTATTTTACATAGATTAACAAGATCATGGCTAAGGTTCGCTAATTCTGTTGGTCTTTCAACTTGGTTAGGTCATGGTTCATTACTTGGATGGTATTGGAATGGAATGAGTTTACCTTGGGATGAAGATTTAGATGTTCAAATGACTTTAGAATCGTTATATGTATTAGCACGAAATTTCAATCAAACTTTAGTGGTAGATCTAACTGACGATCCTGATAATTTAAATAATGCAATGGGTTCATATTTAGTTGATGTCAGTTCTAATTTCTTTAGTAGAGATAATGGCAATGGTTTAAATACTATAGATGCCAGATTTATTGATACCAATACTGGTTTTTATGTTGATATAACAGCACTTGGTTTGACAAATGCTTCACAATGTCTTTCATCCAAGGATAAAAGAATGAAAGAGCTAAATCAAGTCTTAGATCCTGAATTTATTGAGAAAGATGAATCAAAGACAATTGAGTCTGAAGATCTTAAGCAAAGTTTACATGTTAAGAGAGATCAGCTTGTAAATGATCGAAATATTTTCAATTGTCGTAATTATCATTTTTATACATTGGAAGATCTATCACCATTAAGGAAGACCTTGTTTGAAGGAGTTCAAGCTTATGTACCAAATGGATATAAAGCGATATTGGAAAGAGAATATACTCGATCATCTCTCTATTCAAGACAACATGAGGGTCATACGTTTAGACCTACTTTGGATTTGTGGATTCCTAGTGGAGTATGTAAGAGAGATGTTATGGGAAATCAATGTTTTGATTCTGAAGTATTATTAGAAAGGAAGCATACTATGCCAGTTACTTTAAGGCATAGAGAAGAATTAAATAGGAAAAGAGATTTGACTCTTGATGTTGTAAATATTAAAGATACAGAAGTTTTACCATTCCGGGTTGATCCTTGGATTATTGGAAGATGTCTTCGATTACAAAAATTGCTAGAACGATTTTAGTGGCTTGTATATATATGTATATGTATTTTAATTAATTAATTAATTATCATTATAAACCCCCAGGTTTAAATCTATCGTAATATATCTTTTAAAAGCTCGATGGCCCATAGATGAAATTTCACAAATATATGATCATCATCAGTCAATTCTTTTAATGATTTAGGTTTTATCATTGAACGTCTAAGATATTTTTCATTATCAAGTAATCCCGTAACAGTATTTCCATTTCCTGAAATCTTTTGGGCAGAAATCTCTTCCATAGTCTTGGTGACTCTTTCTTGAATAAGATTAATTACTTCATTAAAGTAAAGACCAACAATATCCCAGTTCGATAAAATATCAGTTTCGGAATCCGATATCACTATCAACGCATACTTTCTTTCTGAACCTCTAGCGTTTATATCCTTTATAGTGAAGATCTTATTGATACAGTATCCATTTATAGCATCACCAAAAAACATTGGCTTTGAAATATCTGATGAAGTTTCGACTGATAATGATTTCATTACTAATTTCGTTAATGCAGTATATCGATCTTGGGATGAGGGATAATGATTTGATATGAATACCATTTGTGGACCATTCCCTTTATTGCTACTATGTAAGGAATCCTTCGTTATGATGTTTGCTGAACCATCAGGTATATACAACTCACAAGAAGCGCATGTTTGTACTTTTGAATTAGGTGCTAGTATATGTTTATCTTGAATCGAAGGTTTAACAACCTGAGTACAGATGATAGTGGATGGACCATGCAACTCACAGAAATGAGCTAAACATACTATATAGTTGGCCATTGACCCATTTGATAACTTTTGACACAATTGAACTGGTGTTCTTTTTAGTTTAGTTTAGTGTCTTTAAAGGACTGGTTGTCGTAAATTCGCAGTTTTTAATTTTTGTTCCCCAAATTTTTTGATGCGATGAAATTTTTAGGAGATTTTTCAACAATAATTGGACATCTTGAATACTATAGCAATTACTACCAATTCATATCAATTATGTCATCTGCTACTACTGGTAAGTATATATACGTCTAAACATAGTATTACTGAGGTCATCTACTAACAAGATTATTCTAGCTGCTGCTCCAGATTACTCCATCGCTAATTCCGATGTTGTCTCCAAATATAAGACTGCTGGTGAAATCGCCAACAAGGTTCTTGCTCAAGTTAAAGAACTTGTTGTTGCTGGTTCTACCACTTATGGATTAAGTGTTAAAGGTGATAAACTCTTAGAAGAAGAATTATCTAAGATTTACAATTCTAAGAAAGCTTCCAAAACTCCAAAGGGTATTGCTTTCCCAACTTGTGTTAACCCAAATCATATTCCAGCTCATTTAGCTCCAATTAGTGAACAAGATTCCGCTAACATCACTTTGAAAGATGGTGATGTTGTTAACATTATGTTAGGTGCTCAAATTGATGGTTTCCCATCCATTGTTGCTGATACTGTTGTTGTTGGTGCCTCTAAAGAAAATCCAATTACGGGTAAAAAAGCTGATTTACTTCATGCTGCTTGGAATGCTTCTGAAGCTGCTATCAGAACCTTAAAACCAAATGCTAAGAATTGGGATGTTACCAATGTTATTTCAAAAGTTGCCAAAGATTTTGAAACTAGTCCTGTTGATAGTATGTTAAGTCATAATCAAGAAAGAAATGTTTTATATGGTCCAAAAGAAATCATTATTAATCCAAGTAAACAAAATAAATCTCAAGTTGAAACCGTTAAATTCGAAGAAAATGAAGTTTATGGTTTAGATATTTTAATTTCAACTTCTGCTGATGGTAAAGTTAAACCAACTGATTTTAGAACTTCATTATACAAATTAACTGGTAATTCATATTCTCTTAAAATGAAATTATCTCACAAAATCTTATCTGAATTCAAAAATAAATGTAACAATCAACCATTCCCTTATAATATCAGAAACTTGGAAGAACCATCTAAATCAAGAGGTGGTTTAGCTGAACCAACCAATCATAAGGTTCTTTTAGCTTATGAAGTTGTCAGTGAAAAAGAAGGTGAATTCATTGCTCAATTCTTCACTACGGTTGCTATTACTAAGAATGGTATTGTTAAATATACTTCTCCATCATTTGATGCTGATCTTTATAAAACTGAAAAGGAAATCACTGATGAAGAAGTTAAAGCTACTTTAGCTCAACCATTAAGAGCCCCAAAGAAGAAAGCCGCTCCAAAAGTTGAAGCTTAAGTACGAAAGACTCATTACTTTTTTATATAAATAAGATAGCCTTTTTTTAAAAGGGTCATTCTATATATACATATATATATATCTTTACGATCTACTTTATGAATATACCCAAGGTATTCCTATGGATGATTGTTGTATAATGTAAATTTGAAAAATTATGATAATTGGGAAACAGAAAACTTTGGCGCGTACTCAACATTTAAAAATTTTAGATATTGACGGTCTGTTGTAACGGGTATTCAATTGATAGAATCAAAGGTTATCACAGATAGTATAGAGGGTGGTTAGGTATATCTAGATGTCTGGTTCTACTCGAGATAATTCCTTTTCAGACTCAACTGCTAATGGGAATGAAGATAATAATAATATGCTGCTGAGTTCTTCCCAATTAGATTTATCAATTTATTCGACATCCGAGAAGTTAGATAAAACAGGAAGTCAAGACACAATATCATCACTGAATGGTAACCATTATACCACAAATTTATATCCAGATGTTGATTCTGATATCAATAAGACCAGCTTTACTGCTCCATCTACTTTAAATGGCTCTACAAGAAGACGAAAATCGTCGAGGATATCCCAAAAAGCAACCACTTCAGAGATCTTAACTCCAACTTTATCTGCAAGTCCAATAATTCAAGAAAAACCTGGCTCGAATCGAATTTCAAGATCTAAAGTCAGTGGTGTCATACAGAATGGAGGTCATAAAGAATTTGTAGAACCTCCTTTGCCAGAACCAACTCCAATTTACACCGGTTTCCCACTTGAAACATTTCCAAATGCAAAGATAAAAAAAGAATCATATTGGCCAATCAAAGTCAAAAAGTCAAATAAAAGTAGTACATCAACCTCAAGAGAGAATTCTACAGCTCCTCAACTAGATAACGATATAGATTCTACTGTGGAGGAATTATACAGTAGCAAGCTTGAAACTCAAAAATCAAATAATATTACTGAACCAAGTGCAGTACGAACGCCATTAAAATTGATCATAAGGAAAACTTCTAAATCAAGGTCAAGAACTCCAAGACAAGCTAAAAGAGCAGAACCTCAATCAACATCTCCATTAAGATCGTCTAAGAGAGTTAAGATAATATCACCGAAAAAGACAGCAAGTACAAATCTCGCACCCGCTACTGTGACCAATAATGGACATCCACATGAAGAAGATGATCCAACAAAGGATAATGATGATTTCTGTAGTTCATGTGGAGGTCCGGGTATATTTATTTGTTGTGAAACATGTCCCAAATCATTCCATTTCACTTGTTGTGATCCACCCCTTGAAGAAGCTCCTGAAGATGATTGGTTTTGTCGTGAATGTATCGTGAAACGTGATCCAACCTCCATGCCGAATTGGGATCATGTTGGAATATTCGGAAACTTATTGAATCAACAAGAAAGAAGGAATCCTAAAGTCTTTCATCTCCCCAAGAATTTAAGAGAAAATACCTTCCTTGGTGTCACTACTGATGATCATGGAGATTATATCGATGATACCATTAAACCTGAGTTATCATATACAAAAGCTAACGGTTCTCAAATTCCAGGTTGTAATAAAAATATTGATCTTGAAATAGAAAGCTTATATAACAAAGATGGAAGGCCATATTTATGTCATAAATGTGGTGAATCAGGTTTGAATCATCGAATTTTAACACATTGCGATTATTGTCCATTAGTGTGGCATATTGATTGTTTGAATGAGCCTATCTTTGGGCCCAAAACGATTGGTAGTAAATGGAGATGTCCTAATCATGTTGAAGAATTACTTCCAACTGGAATGTTTAAATTTAGACATCTTAAGAATGCAACTGTGGTTGATCCTTCGATACAAAGTAATTTCTTAAATATAGCGTTGTTAAGTAACATTATCATTAAACATGATTCTCAACCACTTATAAAAGAAGATCAAAATCCAAGTCTTCAAGAATATAAGCAATTTGAAATGGAAGATTTTTCTAAAGAAGACTCGGCATTTAGTAATAAGGATCAGAGTCTAGATGGTGATCTGGTTGATGAATATGACGAAGTACATCCTAATTTCAAATTGCCTGACTATTTCCAAACATCAGCTAATAGTGTTGGAGTGACAGCAAAGGCTTCTAATCGGTTGACCAAATATCTTAATATAACTACTCCAGAAGAAAGTGGAGAATTAAGTTCATTCATATATCGAATTCCGGAGAAGCTGATTCTTATCGACTTTTTTGCTAAAGTTAAACTGGATAATGAAAAGTCCAAGATTATAAATACCATCCAAGAATATGATGCCTTGAAGAGGATAGAAGAAAATGAAGACGAGAGAAATCTCGTAGATAGTTTAGTTGAAATAAAGAGCAACCCTTCCACAGGTTTAAATTTGAAGGAGTTGGTTAATATTGCTTTTAAGGAAAGCAATGAAATAAAACAAGAGGAAGAAGAAGCTACAAATGTTGAAGATTTAAGTAAGGATGAATTGAAGGATTTACTTTATATTAAAAAGTTAATGGAACTTAAAGGTAAAGAAAGTTTATTAAAATTCCTCCAATCTTAATGGTGAATTATACAATAAAACTCATAAATGAGTGGGTAATTAATTGATTTGTAAGATATGCAAGGTATGAGTTTTATTAATTGTATACAAGCTACTATTTATATATATGTACAAGTAATGTAATGAATATAATCATTAAATTAATTTTTTTAATCGTCTGTAAAATTTATGAAATGTAGGGAAAGACTTATGAGATCCATTCTGGTTTTTGTTCATTTGGATCCCTTATACGAGGGATTTCTTCAAGAGGTATATTAACAGCACCAGTTTTGGTAACTAATTGTCTTAAAATCTTTGAAGAATGTAAATTAGCACAATCAATTTCGACGTTATCCTTTTGATCTTTACCATGAACTAAGATTTTAGCAGGACATGCAGCTGCTTCAGCTTTATTATTAACTTTTATTCTTGTCATTATGAAGTCGATATCATCATTATGGAACTTAAGGGTAGGTAAGAAATCCTTCCAGAATTTCTTTAAACCAACAGATTGAGCATGAACGTTCTTTTGAATTAAGAATAATTCAATCTTGGAATATTTTTCAGGATTTAATTTGTATGCATTTTCAGGATTTCCAGCAATAAGATTCAATCTATATATTTGTTTCAATATTTTGGAAGATGGCAGGTTCTTGAACATAGAACAACTAGAAGCGGCCAGCATTATGAAGATATTATTGTTTATGTAGTTTTCAATAGGTTGTTAGATCAGAGATTGTAGATGAAAAATAATATCTTCATCCTTTTGGAAATGAAAAAAAAAAATCAAACTTTGAAATGCTTACACGACTTTTTCAATTTTAAAGAAAATCACGTGATTTGATTTTGATTTTAAAATTGGTAGCATTTCTAGCAATGTAAGGTTTATTTTGTAAAGAATTAGTGGTATCACCAGTTATTTGTCTAATGAAAAGGTGTTCGGTGTGTTATTAACAATAAAATTCATCTCCTTACATATACAAGTTTCTTAGATTTTGAGGAAAGTCAACAATAAAAATCCAAATTTCAAAAACATTTGGAACAAAAATTGCAAAAGTAAGCGCTTCCAAATTTATTTTTGCATTTGTAAACTTTTCCTTTTAAACCAACGTGTATCATACCAACGACAACAACTACACAATCAAACATTTATCATTCATAATGGGACCTTTATTCTTTACATTGGTCATCTACCACCTCAACAAACAATTTAGATTTCTTTCCAATGCATTGATTGGTAATTATTTTGAACCAGAAAGAGATATAGTTTTAATTACTGGAGGTTCATCAGGATTAGGTAAAGAGATTGCTCTAAAGTTTATTGAAAAGGAGGGCAAAGTTATTGTTTTAGATATTAAGATTCCCGATAAAGAAGAAGATAAAATTGATGGTGTTATATATTATCAATGTGATGTTAGTAATAGGCTTCAAGTTCTGATGATTCAAAAACAAATTAAAAAAGAGGTTGGAAAAGTTACTATTTTAATTAATAATGCTGGTATAACTACAGGAAAGTCTTTAATTGATTTAAGTTATGAAGAAATTGAAAAGACTATTCAAATTAATTTATTATCAAGTTTTTATACCATTAAAACTTTTTTACCTGATATGATTAAAATGAGAAGAGGTTATATTGTTACTATTGGATCTGTGTTAGGATATATGTCACCTGCTAGATTAAGTGCTTATGGAGCATCAAAATCAGGATTAATTGCCTTACATGAATCATTAACTTATGAATTAGGACCACCATCATTAAATCCTACTGGAGTTAAAACTTTATTAATATGTCCTGGTCAATTAAAAACAAGAATGTTTCAAGGGGTTAAAACTCCATCAACTTTATTAGCTCCTGAACTAGAACCAAAGTATGTGGCTAGTAATGTTATTTCAGCAGTTGAATTAGGTAGAAGAGGTGAAATCAGATTACCATTTTATACTAATTTTATTCCAGTATTTCGTGCTTTCCCCTGGCCTATTGTTGAAGTTGTAAGAGATCTTAGCGGTATAGATAATAGTATGAAATCATTTAAGAATACTCTATCTAAAGTTGCTAGTAAAGCCAGTAGTTCTATTGCATCATTATCATCATTAGAAGGTTCGAAAGTGACATCAGCAACTTCTAGTTAAACATTTATTGTTTTAAAGAAATGTGTGCTGTAATTATTTTATTTTATAATTCAAAAAAAATAATTATTATTAAATGATTTTTGCAGTTTAGATTTTATATTTTGTAGACAATGAATGCGCGGAGCAAAATTTATTATTCCTTATTTTATGGCTTGCATTATTTGTGCATAGCGCCATATGGCTGGCGAGGAATGCTTTTTTTAATTTAAGGTTTTTTTCCTTCTATGTGCTTAAATTATCATAACGAGAAACATGGTACAAAAGATTTAAGTTAAGTTACACTAAATTAAGGATAATCTGGAATGGTTTGGTCTTGTCTGCAACACTATACCACATATATATCTGGTTAGACTAAAAAAAGAACATAGTATAATTTTATAGGTGAATTATACAATCAGGGATGTGTATGTTTTAATGATGTAATTAGATTTAACCAGATGAAGAAAATAATTAGGGGAAGCAAAGAAAATAAAAAAAGCAATAAATACCAAAACAGGAAAATGTTACCACCACCACCACCCCCTCCATTCAAATTTTTACACCTTCTCAGTCCCTCCACCTAATGACCAAAGCACCCCTCTCTTATATAAATAAATGTCTCTGCCGCTTGCTTTTTTAATTATTTTATAGCAATGACCTTTTTCATTTATTTCTTTTTATTAAACATTATAGAGGTCAACAGACATTTATATAATTATATAAGGTAGTCATAGCGAGAAGACTCTCAAACCAGAACTGAGATCAAACATCATCACCAGAGTCTTTTACACCCCATAACACAAGGTCTCATCACACGTTGACAGATCATCATCATTTAGGTTTTTACCATTCTCAGTAGGTGAAAACTTTTCCTAATTTTACAGTCTTTGTTTTGCCTTTGACTTAGTATCATCAAAAGGTATCGTATCACATCTTAAAATCAAATGGTGATATGATTATACTGCAGCAGCAATACAACTGGCGCTACGGAGTTCCAACTCCATATCAACTAAAGAACTCCGAACCCATATTAACTATTCATAAAATCGATCATGATTCGATTGATTTTTATGTCTTAACTTGTACCAGAAAAAGTGAATCAAGTATTCCATTAAAGGGGAAGGTTATTATATGTCATGGATATAGTGAACATTCATTAATGTATCTTCGATTAATGGAATTTTTATTGTCATTAGGATATGAGAGTTTAATCTATGATCAAAGAGGTTGTGGTAGAACATCTCTTGGTAAAGATAGAGGTGATAGTGGTGATAGTCAAGAAGTAGTGGTTAATGATATGAGTCGTATGATTGAAGAATTCTTTGATATTGATATCGAACCTCAAGACAGAACTATCACCTATAATTTAATCGGTCATTCCATGGGAGGTGGTATTGTGTTAACTTATTTAAATAGTGGTCGCTACAAAGATTTAATCAATAACGCTATTGTGTCATGTCCTTTAATTAAACCTCATAAATCATTAGAACCTCATTCCTTTATTTATTTTATTTTCATTTACTTTGCATATTATTTTCCAAAAATGAGATATTTTGGACAAATTCCAAAACATTATCAAGAATTAAAGTCATTAACGTCATCTCCAGAATGGCAAGAATACCTCTATACTGAATTATTATGTAGAAATGGTGGTACATTTGGTCAATTAAGTCATATGATGCAAAGAGGTAAAGCCTTATTATCAGCAGATCTTGATTATAATCCAAATTTAAATCTTTTAATCTTACAAAGTAATTCAGATTTGATTGTAAGTGCCGAAGCGGTTGAATCGTTTTATAATCGATTAAAATTAAAAAAGAAATCATTTATTAAAATAAATGGTCATCATGCATTATTCATAGAAACTGATCAAATATTTAATGAAATTTCAAAAATAATTGAAGTGTTTTTAAAGTGAATTAATCTATTTATTTATTTATTTATTCAATATCAGGAAATTCATCACCAGTCAATAAATCTCCTAAGGTAAAGTCTCGAACTGTCCAAACAGTTTCACTAGACATTTTTAGATTAACTTTTACATTAATTTTATAGAGCTGTAACTTGTATAACTTTTTGGAAATAATTGAAAAATTCTTGTAGACATATTGATTTAATTTTGGTAAGCCCAAATATGTAAATTCATATGATTTTTCATCGAAAAACTTTTGAACTTTATTAACCGGAATAACGACTCTAATGGAATTCGTAGAAGTTAAGATTACATCTCTGCCTTTTGAACTTGGTCTATTACAGAATATGAGCTCCATCTGTCTTGGACTAGGATCTTGCGGTTCATGCCTTTCAGTCAGATCATCATATTTATAAGTCTTGGCTACCGCATGAGTGAAATCTTGTGGAAATAAACCAACTAAATATCCTTCAGTAGGATATATTCTGTTGTCGATTACATTTGAGATCTTACTTAATTCCAGGAACTTATACAGACCACCAGAAGAAGAAGTGACGGTGGAATTAGATGTAGCAGGGACTTGGATTTCATTGGCAGTTGTTGTTGTGGTATTATGGTTATTATCATCATCACTATCATCTTCATAATCGCCAGAATATTCTCGATCAGGGATTCGAGATCCTACCAATGGTGGTGAATACTCAACTTTGACTTGACTTTGAGGCGCTCCTATAACTGATCCAAATTGTAAACTATCATTTGAATTAGAATCAGTATGGGGTTTATTATTACTATTACTATTCAGATCTCCTGAAAAATCAATTCGTTCTTGTAATGGATGAGCTTGACCAGGATTGTAGTTTACATATATTGGTTGAGATGTTGGTTCAGCATGAAGTGGTTGATTGAAGAACACATTTTCATAGTAAATAGTAGCAGGCATTGAATCACTTACGAATTGTCTTGATTGTGGCAGTTGCAATTGTTGCAATTGTGATGCTTGTCTTGATTGATATTGTTGCGATGATGATCGTACAACCGGAGGAGGTTTTACAAGGGAATTGGGATTATCATGTTCAAACATTGCGGGCCATAACAGTTGTGGAATAATACAAGGCAAAGTATTCATACTTGACAATAATATAGGTTGTAAGATGAACAATTTCTCATACAACATTTTAAGATAAGAACCTTCCTGTTCTGGTTCATCTTCAATACGAGGAATTTTCACACCAAGAGCATAACCTTCTAGTTTTCCATTATAAACTTTTAATCTTACCTTTAATTTAAGTATCATAACTTCTTGATAAACCACAGCTGTCATTTTATAATTTTGATTCTGCGTTCTTTCACTATACTCTCGTCGTATTTGTTCAAGGAAACGAGGATAAATAGCAACTTCAATAATCTGATCTGAATTAAAAACATGCTCACCAGTATCAAACAGTTTAGAATTTAAAGAAGAATGTGATGTGAAATCAGACACAAATAATAGTGCTGGTCTTGAAGAAGAAAGATCTTCAAATCGTTTTAATGTATAACAATAGAATTCCCTTTGGTATTTTTGAGCTTCACTAGCATGAACATCAGGCAAATCCTTTATTTGACATACTCTGCTAGCATATGGATCAATGACACCTTGAGAATTGACTGACATCTTCAACCATTGATCGTTCAAATCATCGTTTCTAATCGTTTACAATTTTCAAAATTTGCTTTTATTTTTATTTTTGGTTTATTTACCAAAAAAACGCGTATATAAAATTATCTATGATGAGTTTTTTTATTTTGTACGATTTATATCTAAAATCTAAGATCTATAATCACCATTAATGGTAACGTATTCATGAGATAAGTCACAGGTCCAGAATTTGGCTTCTTGACCACCTCCAGTACCTAAATCAATCTCAATAACCAAATCTTCAGCTTCTAAGATTTGTGATGCTCTAGCTTCATCAACTAATTCTGGTTCTCCATCAATTAATAAATCTAATTTTTCAGATCCATCACTTGGAATGAATGATACACTGGTTCTGGATGGAATGATTGATTCAGAACTAGTAACATTGGAATATCCAATGGCACATAAGATACGTCCCCAATTGGCATCTTTACCATACATGGCAGTTTTAAATAATGATGAATTAGCAATACTTGACGCGACAATCTTAGCATCTTTATATGATAAAGCATCTTTAACTTTAAGTTCAATGAATTTGGTGGCCCCTTCACCATCTCTGACTACCAATTGAGCTAATTGTTGAGCGAAATCAGTGATTTCACGTTGTAATATTGAAAAACTTGTAGCTGAGCTGGAAGAACTCTCAATTAATTCACCACCAGCAGCACCATTAGCAATAGCAACAATGGTATCATTGGTTGACATATCACCATCAACAGATATACTATTGAAAGATCTATCAACTGCGTATTTTAAGATTTGTTGAAGAGCACTTGGAGTAACTGGTGCATCAGTAACGAAGAATCCTAATAAGGTAGCCATATTTGGACAAATCATACCTGCACCTTTACATAAACCAGCTAATGTATAAGTAACTCCGTTTAATTCAAATTGTTTAGTGACCAACTTTGGGAAAGTATCAGTGGTACATATAGCAGTAGCACAATCAATCCAATGTTGATGAGTATTACCTAAATTAGTTAAGGCTAATTTAGGAATTCCTGATAAGATATTATCAATTGGTAAATTATTACCAATTACCCCAGTTGACATGACTAAAGTTGAATTACTAGAGTTTTCCAATACCGAATCAGTAACTATAACCATATCTTCAGCATCTTTTATACCTTGGGATCCAGTAACAGCATTAGCATTTCCACTATTGGCTACTAATGAATTGATACCTTTACCCTTTTTTTCTTTAATGATTTTGGATGAAACTTGAACAGGAGCAGCTCTGAATTTATTAGTAGTGAATACAGCTGCTGCAGAAGCTTCCTTACCAAATTCATTCTTTAAAAGAGCTAAATCTAATGATTTCCCATCTTTCTTGACTCCAGAATGGATCCCCCCTACCACGAACCCCTTTGGATAAACCCCAGTTTTAGGAACAAATCTGGCAGCTTTATCAGATGCATACCGAACTGATTGACGAACTATACTTTTGACATACATTATTTAATTGAAAGTTCAATCAATTAGCTTCAACTTTGATAAAATTGATGTATATTTTGACATTTTCTTATCAATTCTTGATGTCAATTTTGAGATTTTTCAGTCATAATGGTATATACAGGAAATTAATTTTATTATATAGAAATTTTAAATTTTGCACTTTTTCAGCTTATAGCCATTTAGGATAAAATAACTAGTAATATCAAATGATCTATGATTTATAAGAAGGCTGCCTCGATACGAATACCGTTGTGGATAGCGTCGAAGAGATTTACTAGTGTGGTTGCAACATCTTCAACTTCATCGAATGTAACTCCATCTCACTCATCATTCCAATATGGCCCGAGACAAGATAGTATACTAGATTCAACTCCATTTGAAATATTCAATGAATTAGAAGATAAGAAGCCTTGGACTAGAGGGAGTCATCTAAAAAGTAGTATCCTAATCAACAATTTCATCCAATCCGTGTTTAATAATGATTTCAGTAGATCAAGTTCACTCCTAAATAAATTATCCCAGAGAATGGATCAATATAATAATATCCATATGGATAATTATTACTCATGTATGATGTTATTGCTATCTAATGCTTTATCCAATCATAAATCTATATCAATCCATAATATAAAGACTCTTATAGGTAATTTGGAAGAAGCAAGAGCGAAGATATCCGATCGAAACGATATTTCTGAGTCAGTAATAGACTTGGATTTACAAGTTAAAAATAGTCTAATTATAGCATTGTTATATGCCTTTTCAAATGAGAAATCGATTCATCAACCTATGAGAAGAGCCATAGCGACATACATCAAGAAGAATATTAATAGTTTTAAAATATCATATAAAGATATTTGTGGACTTTTAAATAATAAGGTTTTAGTGGATGCTTTTATTGAAGTTTCAAGACTTACTGGAATCAAGATGGATTCTACTTTATCCTCATTAGTACGACAGTTTGAAGGTAAAGAAATTGATAACATTAAACAAACAGTTTCTATAAATGATTATAAAGACCATAATGGGTTTATAAGTTTTCATAGATTGTGTCTATATCTACAAGATAGTAGATTTACCCAGTATGATCAAAAGAATGGAGCTAAGTTGAAAATGTATGAAATTTATGATGACTTGAAACAACATGATCCTAAAAAGGCGGACTCATTCTTTAATGAATATTCTCATTTTAACGAGATTAGACAAATTAATGTTGAATCTAACTCTCTTGATTTAGTAGAAGATTTAGATTCCACCATAGTTACAGAAGAAAGCACAAGAGAAACCGATTCTCCTAAGAAATTAAGTTTCAGAGAAGCAAATGCACTTGATTTCAGAAATGCCAATGCTGCTCTTTTAAATGACTGGTTAGATAATAGTGTCGAACTTTTATATGAAATTACAAAGAAACTAAACAGATATGATCAAGAAGGAGTTCGTGGAGGATCAATACTAACAGAAGATGAAAAAGTATTATTAAGATCAGTCAGTTTTCTTAATATTCTTCCAAAGAAGTCGTTGGTATTGTTGGTTATTTCAAGTTTATTATCTCAGACTATGTCAGCTGAAACAGGATATGTTAAAGTACTGGCCCTTACCCAGACTCTATCCTATTCATTCAAAAGACTTTTGTACAAAGAAAAATCACTTGAATCAATAAAGAAACCATTACTTCACTTTTTTGATGAAGAGAATCATGGAATTCGATTATTCTCCATCTTATTAAGAATGATCCTTAAAACTTGTAAGATAGATTTACCCGCTGCTAAATTCAATGAATTAAAAGAATCTTGTGATTTATTAGGAGTTAGAATCAAACCTGAATTTTATCCTGATGAAGATGAAAAAGCTCAAGCCTTTTACCATCGTCTTATTCAAGTAAATAATGATAGAAGATTGGGTGTCATTGAAATTCATCCATTCTTATACGATCAATTGAAACAATATACTTTCATTACTCATAATAGATCATTTTATTTCCCTATGATACATCCACCTAAACCATGGACTTCTCCCACTGAAGGTGGATACTTACTAAACAGTAAACCAATAGTCACTACCAGAGATATCAATACCAATATTGCCTATTTGAACCGAGCCCATAAAACCAACCAGTTGGATTCGATATATGAAGGTCTTAATTTTTTAAGTCAAACTACTTGGGCCATAAACCCTGATGTATTGGAAGCGTTCAAACGAGTCATGACCTATGACAAAGGATTCCTTAAAATTCCTGTCCCTGTGGAGTTCATGAATAAAGATAGTGAGAATTTTCATGAGAAGAAAACTAGAAGGCTTGAATATGAAATGTTATTGGAACTTGCTGAAACTTTTTCTGAAAATGGTGAAATGATATACTCACCTCATAACGTTGATTTCAGAGGTCGAGCCTATCCAATGTCATCAGCCATGAATCATTATCAAGAAGATCTGGTCCGCGGGTTATTAATGTTTTGGAAAAGTGAGCCATTAGGTAAAGATGGTTATAAATGGTTGAAATCTCAATTGGCCAGTACCTTTGGATTTGATAAGTTATCCATGAAATCAAGAGTTAAATTTGTGGATGATGATATGCAAAGGTTTCTCCAGATAGGGAAGAATCCATTTGAAAGTGATAGAAGTTGGATGGAAGCTGATAAGCCATTTCAAGCTCTTGCATTATGTATTGAATTATACAAGATTGATGAATTTATGAAATCTGGTGGGAATGTGGAAGAATACCGCAGTCGAATTCCAGTTCAACAAGATGGATCCTGTAATGGGTTGCAACATTATGCCGCTTTAGGAGCTGACAAAGAAGGTGGCGAAGCTGTTAATTTGGTCCCCCAATCAAATATCGAAGATAGAGGTGATATATATGTCACAGTTCGAGATATAGTTGAATCACATATTCGTGAAGACGGTATATCGGGAAAGGTTTCACCAGAATTTGCCGAAGCAGCTATTCATGTCCTTACTAGAAAATTAGTTAAACGTACAGTAATGACAACTGTTTATGGTGTTACTGAATATGGAGCCACTTCACAAATTGAACAAGTTCTCAGAGAAACTATTGACAAGTACGATTTAAAAGATGAGGACAATCCTGTTCCTTATAATAAACATGTTGAAATAATCAGAGTTCAGAAATTTAAGATGGCTCGTTATATTGCAAAAATCATTCTTAATTCAATATCAAGTTTATTTGTCCAAGCTCAAGTTCTTCAAGAGTGGTTAACTATAAATACTATCAGAGTTATAAATTCCTTCGATCTTCAAACAGTTCAATATTCCATGTCTAAGAGAGGTCGTGGTAATGAAGTCTTTTCATTAAATCATACTTATAAACCTATGATGTGGACTACATTATCAGGATTCCCTGTGGTTCAATTATATAAACAGACAAAGGTAACCCAAATTCCCACTTCATTACAAAGAATAGCTATATCGAGACCAGAATCAATCGCTCCGATTAACAAGACTAAACAAGTCAATGGAGTTGCACCTAATTTCATTCATTCCTTAGATGCTATTCATATGCTTATGACTTGTAAAGCAGCTGAAAGTGCCGATATGACATTTGTTGCAGTCCATGATTCATATTGGACTTATGCCTCCCGAGCTACTGAGTTGGCGACTTTATTAAGACAAGAGTTTGTCAGATTGCACACATCGGATATTATTGAACATTTAAGAGAAGATTTGATATATTCAACGAGACATTCATATCAATTAGCGTGGATAGATAATCAAAGCTATCCTGAATTAGTGGATCAGATCAAGAGTTTAAGAGAAACTTATGAATTATCAAGTTATGTTGAGAAATGGAAGAAGAATGATAAGATATTATATCATGAGTTACAACTGATAACCAAGGGCGAAGATGATAATCCAATGTCGTTGGTTAAACAATATGATCCCAAACTTTATTATCAAAAATCACCAGCAAAAGCAATTTTCACGGAATATGGATTTTCATTAGATGATAATCAAATCCTTCAAAAATCAAAATTAACTTTCACCCCTGTATTAGTACCTGTTCGAATTTTAGATTGTCCTAAAAAGGGGGAACTAGACGTTTCCGAAGTATTGAAAAGTCCTTATTTCTTTTCATAAAATTAACCTGTAAATATGTGTATTATTATTATTTTTTAAACTTATATATATATATAAATACATAGACATTTGTATCATTAATAAAGAATATGGTTTATATATTCCTTAATTCTCATCCATATCTTGGATCATTTTCTCCAATTTTCCAAACACTTTATCTCTATGGATGGCCATTGGATCATGTTCATCAGAAGCAAAGAAAGTATTTCTTTTAAAATTTGAGTTCATTTCGTCATCATTATCATCATTATCTTCATCGACATAGTAATTATCATCAGGTAAATAAGAACCAGCATTTTCAAACCCATCTAATTCACTATCATCTAATCGATTGTCAATATATGATTTACCAATCTGTTCATTCTCATATTCTTCACCTTCATCATCATCATCAGGATTTTCCGTAAATGAATTAGTTTCACTGAAAGCTCCTGCATCTTCATCAGTAGGATAATCATTTTGATAAAAATCTTCAGCATTGGAATCTTCATCATCAGAGAATGCCGTAGCAGGCATGGTAGTATCATCATCACTTTGATAAAGATCATTAGGATCATCATCATCGAAAAATCTTATATATCCAATTTGAGATTGAGGGTGATTTGCCGAAGTCAAAGGTATGGCACTATTCAATTGATAGACATCATAAACATATTCTGAAGCTTCATCATCATTAGATTTATCGTCACCTTGTTTAGGCTCTTCAGTGGTGGTGGTAGTGGTGATTTGTTGACGTACTTGAACTGATTCATTAAAACTAACTTTATGATTTCTAGTTCTTCTCTTTCTAGTAGTATCATTAGTATTACTTACGGTTAACATTGAATTGACCATATCTGATAACTCATTAGGAATGATTGTATCTTCTTCAGTTTGATTTTTAGGTATAACGAATTTTCTTTTCCTATCATGACGTAAATTCATCTTCAAAACTGAATAAAGTTCATCATCTTTAGTAGGAGTATCCAGTACTTTTGTATTGATACTTTCTGATAAAACAGATTGTAAAATAGTTTCATCCCAATCATCTTTACCTAATGTATCAGTTCTAGTCAACGTAAAGATAAGATTTAAATTCTCTCTTGAATTGGACTTTATGGGTGTACTTATTGGAGATTGGATTGGAGTTGAAGGTTTCGAACGTTTTGAACTTCGTTTATCTTCAAGAATCAATGCTTGAAGAGGATCTTGATTTCGTTTCCTCTTGATCCTAAGGATCTTAGGTGGGATATTTGTTGGCATGATCCTAATTTACTAATAGTTAAAATCAAACAGAACAACACTTTTGATATCTATCATAACCTCATTTTGTAAACAAAAACATTTATGCGTGATAGTTTAATTTTTTTTTACAGTCAAGATATCATAAAATGGGTACGGCTTTATTATACAATAATATACAAGAATTGAAAGGATATACAATGGTATATAATGATGCTAGGAATGGAATTTATTGTCTAATTATTAATTGAAGTATGAATATTAAACGTTACAGCAGGGAATTGAGTAATTTCAGCAGTTACATTTGATTCAATCCCAAAATTCAGTAATATACCTCTAATGATTCCACAAGGTAACCATAAATAAACTTTAGATTTGGATAAGGTATCATTAATACCCTTTGCACTATTTAAATTGGAGATTAATTTATAATTACTATCGACCAATACAAATGTCCCTCTATGATTAGTACGTAAATTATCCATTTGTTTATTATATAAACATTTCCAAACATCTCGACAAACGAATTTCATAATATCAAGGATATCTACTATTTTAGTACCATTATTATTACTTTTATATAATAAAATTTCAGCTAATTTGATTCCTAAGTTATATCCATAACTTTCAATTCTTAAGGTTACTTCATCATTATTTAATAGAGATGAATCTAAGACATGAACTGTACCAGGAAGATCCTTTGGAATTGATGATAATTGATGATCTAGAGTGGTTGGTTCGTCTTTATCTGTGAATAATGATGATGTATTTGTCGATGTAATTTTTGTTGTTGTAGAAGCGGTAGATGCAGCAGTTGAAGTTGATGTTGAAGGTGAGGAATCAAGTAATTTATGAGATACCCGAATTGAAGTCGGTACTAATTCTTGAAGTAAATAGTATAAACTACTACTACTAACATATGTCTGACTATCTAATATATCTTGAGTCATGATTAATAATTAATATAGATGAATTGACTATAGAGATTAGTATAACAATCTGATAATAAAGAGAGTTAGAGGGAGATCAAAATACATCAAAAATACATGTCCTGTATATAGAGGGCTCACGTGGAACCCAATCACGTTCCAAATAGCGTGACTACAAAATGTGCCGGTGGCAAAATTCTTGTTGCCTTAGTTAATGATGGAATTTACTTAGAACTAACCGTATTTCCCATACTGATAATGGTTACCACACGTAGTTTTTAAATATTTTTTAAATTTTTTATTTATTTTTGTTATAGTTTCCCTATTACACATGGGTAAACTCGATTATGTAACCGAATACTCGAATTTGATTGGTTTAAAAATGAGGTTTGACCAGCAAATAAATGATTCCTGCATATAATCAATAGGGCAAAAAAAAAAAAGAAAAAGAGAAAAAATTTTTAACGTCTTACTGCTGCTATTGCTGGTACTACAATTAGTTCATGCTTAAGTTTGCTTAGCATTTTCGTCAGTTTCTATTCTCCCTAAATTTATTACTTACCATTTCTCACTTTCTCACTCCTTACCCTCCTTCCTCACCCCCTCTCCCTCCCTCCCTGTCACTTTCCCTCTCCCTACTATATTCAAGCTTAAGTTTCATGGTCATTTATTTTTTTAGGGGGTCAATCTCAATTCCCACCTTTTTTTTAAAAAGATTTTTTCTGTTTAAGCTAGCTTCAATTTAACCATTTTTGGGTTTAAGTTTATCGAGCTAATTAATTAATTAATTATATTAATTAAAAACCGTAAACGTTATATGTCGAATTGATCATCATCATCGTCATCGTCACCATTGTAATAGACCATACATGAAGTATCTTGAGAGTAATAAACAGAGGTTAACTAACTATAATAATAATCTGATTCAAAAATCTCTCTAAGTCTCTCTCTTTCTCCCTAGACTGATTTCTCCCTTAAATTGTCACCACCAAAAACAAACTTGTGGTCTTCTTCCTCCCTCTTTAAATCTAGTTTACGATAATGATAAACCACAATCAATCAATTCATTACAAACCATTGTATCATTTATTATACTTATCGTTATCTATACACGTTATACACTCTGCCCTCGTGCTATAGCATATCTCTATTTATCTTTGTACCATTCTTTTTATCATTGCGGTCATTCCCATTCTCTCTCTCTCTCTCTCTCTCCCTAAACTTGTCTCCCTCAAGTTTGACTTGGTAAAATTTACTGGTTGTCAAAAATTTAATTGAGTATACTTTCCTGCATATAAAACCCACTTCATTTTTTTTTTTTGTCACTAAAAATAAAAATAAAAAAAATTCTGATTATTAAAAAAACGACTTCAAAATTTAAACTTATTCATTTACAACAACTTATCAATCATATCATATCCAATCCATCTTAGATACTTATCAATCCATCAACTATCACCAATCTTGGTAATCATCCGATTCATCCTTAACTATCTCCTCCATTCAAACCTCCTCACTTTAATCTCATTCCTGCACACCATAGTTTGTGTTACATAAACTTTTGTGTGTTTTGGTGTTTTTTTATATTCTTATTATAACTTATTATTCATATCGTATTACAAGGTATTGATCAAGCTAATTACCTTGTTTACATCCTTCATTGACATATACATCCTACACAATCACATCTTTCTTTACTTGTTCAACCCTCCTCCATCATCCATCCCCTTTGTATTAGTGGCGGAACATTAAACTAAACAAAACAAAACGAGAACGAAGCAGAATTATCTAAACCGTTTTCATTCCTTTTAAGATTATTATAATCAACAAGATCGTTTTTTGAAGAATTGAAGGCAATCAATCAATATAAGCCTGAAATACATCGTTTAACTCCATATTCAATTCCAAACAGAGAATAAGGATTCAATAACGCGTTCAAATATTTTCCATATTTTATCATTTCTTTCCCATTTACCGTTACCCACAACCATTCCAACTAGTCATATTTTAAACATAATAAATCATAATCATCTCATCATACCATCTCATTCCCTAAGCATAATATAATATTATATCATATTAACGAACATTTTTTCCTTGCATTATTCTCCATTTCATTACTTCATTATTTTTAAACGGCGGTAAGGCATTTAACATATTCATTATCATATCATTATACTTTTTTTTAAAAAATAAAGAAAGAATTATTACTATATCTTTTCATAATCATTTGTACTTTTCATTTTTTAAACGGCAAATTTCATTCTTTTCAGCATCTAATATCTTTTTACATCAATCATGTCTTCTGAATCTAATTTAGGTCAATACCATCATAATTTGCCATCCTCAAATGGTTCTATATTATCATCCAATCAAATACCCCAACAACAGCAGCAACAACAACTACAACAACTACAACTACCTAACTCATCATCATCCCATCCTATTGGTCCACCCCCTCCTTTGTTAACCAATAATTATCAATCTGTACCTCCAGCGCTTACATCTCCAACTTCTGCATTATTAGTCCTTAGTAATATTCCACCTGATTTAACTCAAAGAGAAGCAACTATAATATTCTCCTTAGTAATTGATGAAATTATAAATATTGAAGTTAAAGATTATAGAATATTTGCATATTTTAAAAATATAAATACTTGTTTAACAACTGGAAAATTAATTGATGGGAAATTTATATTTGGAAATGATTATCCTCCAATTAAAGTTGATTATGATAATAATCCAATGTTAAATAATAATTCACCTCAAAATTTACATAATACAAATAATGCATTTGGAAATTTAAGACTTTCAAATTCAAATATTTCTCCTCCAAATTTATCAAATCATCCTCAAATTCATCATCAACCTTCAAATCCAAATATATCGTTATTAAATGGATCTCAACAACAGCAACAGCAACCTCAACAACAACAGCAGCAACAGCAACCTCCTCAACAGCAACAGCAACAGCCTCAACAACAACAACAACAACAACAACAACAACAACAACAACAACAGCCTCAACAGCAGCAACAGCAAGGCCAACCTCCATTTGATAATTTCCAAAAGAGACAATCAATTGGAAATCAAAGATCAAGATTTGTATTTAGTGATCCATTTGCTGCCAATCCAGGTTCAAACCAAGTACCTCCACCTCCTCAACTTACTCAACAGCATTCTCAATCTCAAATTCCAACCTCTCAATCGTCACAACCTCAACCACCACAACAACAACAGCAACAACAACCTCAACAACAACAAGCACAACCTCCTCAACAATCAAATTCTCAAGAAGGTCCATCTCAAAATCAACCTGGTCCGGTAAATACAATTGATTTATCTGATTTAAGTGGTAAATCAATTTTATTAATGGAATCTCAAAATGATGCTAGAGAATATGAAAATTTGGTTAGAGATCCATGGGGTTCAGGTTCTTCAGCATCTGGTAATCCTGGAAGTACCTCTCAACAACAACCACAACCATCATCTCAATCGATTGGGTCTAATCCTCAAACTCCTGGAATTTCATCGCATAATACTTTTGATTGGAATAATAGTTCAAATACTGGTAGTGGAAATGCTTATGATAATAATGGAGCTGTGGGTCCAAATAATAATGGCTCATCTATTAATGGTACTGCTAATCCGGCTTCTGGTCAACCTGATCGTAGAAGAACTTCTTCAGCATTCTTTAATACTAATCAACCACCTTTATTACCATTAACTAGTACTCATCCTTCTGCTCCTTCATCAAGTTCACAATCTGTTCAAGTACAACCAACTCCACCAACATCAGCACCTACTACTACTTCTACTTCTAATCAATCGATCGTTAGTTCTTCCACTGTTGTTCCTCAAGGTCCTACTGCTGCTGGTTTATTGGCTGCTGCTCAACAAGCTCAACAACAACAATCTCAACAGCAACCACAACAATCATCTCCTCCAAATGCTAATGTTCCATTAACTATGGCATCTGCTTTGTCTGCTGCTGTGAAATCGTCTGCTCCACAACAATTACCACCACAACAGCAACAACAACCTACTACTCCTCATCAAACAGCTGCACCAGATAAGGATATTCCTGATTTATCATTATTAGCTAGAGTTCCACCTCCTGCAAATCCTGCTGATCAAAATCCTCCATGTAATACCTTATATGTGGGTAATTTACCTCCTGATGCCACTGAAGCTGAATTACGTTCATTGTTTGCCCCTCAAAAGGGATTCCGTCGTCTTTCTTTCCGTACTAAACAATCAACTACCGGTCCAAATACTACTGCTGGAGGTCATAATCATGGTCCAATGTGTTTTGTTGAATTTGAAGATGTAGCACATGCTACAAGAGCATTAGCTGAATTATATGGTAGAGCATTACCAAGACCAAATGGAGGTAATGGTAAAGGAGGTATTAGATTATCATTTTCTAAAAATCCATTAGGTGTTAGAGGACCAGGAAATCCAAGAAGAACTTCAACTAATCAAATTCCAGGTACAACTGGTGGTATTATTGGAGGTAGTGGAGTTTCAACTGGTCAACCTCAACCACCATCACAGCAACCACCTCAACAACAAGGTCCTGGTACAGTAGGTAATTATGGATACCTGACTTACAATCAAAAGTAGGTTTTTGTATTAAAAAGAAACAAAATTTGTCATTATCATCGTTTAATCATTGTAATTATTTTTATTATTATCATTTACATTTATTCTTTATATTTTTATCAAATCTCATCATCATCTTCATCATCATCAATCATGTTCATAATAATCTAACTTAATTTACCTGATGGTTCTTTTATCAGCTGTGATCAATTCTGTTAATATGTTTATTTTTATTATTATTATTATTTTATCAAATCATTGTTTTATCATTTCAGTTTTCGATTCTGTTTGTTTATTATTATTATTAATATTTGTTTATTCCATTCTTCGTTTATGATGTTTTTTATCTATTTTTTTATACTTTGTTGAGTCATTATTATTATTAAACATTTTAATCTAATTCCCCTTACACACTCATATTTTATTATTATTATTATTACTATTGTTATCTCTCATACGTTTTTTAGTTAGCTTGATACTGTATTATTTTCTTTTTGTTATTATCTCATATATATTAAAAAAATATATACCTCATATATTAGTCGTTTTATAATATAATCAATTAATCCATTGTAGTGTGGTGATTTTTTTTTTTGCGGTCAAGCCCAATTTGGAAATGTATGGAGAGAAAGTTTAAGGAGGAGGAGGAGGAGAATGTGGACAATTTGAAAAATGATGTATAACACCATTTCACTTCTTTAACATCATATGCTAGCATATTCACAATATTGAATTTTAGACATCATGAGTGGGAATAAGAATTCAGGAGGTAATCAATATAAGAAAGATAATACCATTCATTTTGATTCTTCATCTTCTTCATCTCATTATAGTGGTACCAGTGTGGTTAATTCTCGATCTAAATCAAATCCAAATTTATCATCAGGGATCAATACCAATTCAAGTTTCAAGAGAAGTAATAACTCGAATAATGGTGGTGGTGGAGGAGTTGGATCTAGTGGTGGATTAGGGAGGAATAATTCTAATTATGGCAATGTTCGAACTTCATCAAGTGGATCGAATAGTGGTAATTCATCAAGTGGAGGGAATAATAATGGTGGAGGATACTACAATAAGAATAATAATTCAGTCTCATTCAACACTAACAAGAAGAATAACAACAACAATAACAATAATAATGTTTCTCCAATGGTTAAAAAAGTGATTACTAAATCAATTGCCATTCAAACTGAAGATGAAAAAGTTGAAGATATTAGCATTGAAGAAAGTGTTAGTGATGATAATGATGATAGTTTAGATACTTCAATCACTACTTATTCGAATTTACCTGATTTAGATGAATTCATTAATCAAGTGATTAATAATGATCATATTAAATATACTAATTTACAACTGAGTATTAATCAAGATTTACAATACTTATCTACATTTAAGTTTGACTTAGAGTAGGGAGTCTGATGATGATAAATATTTTTTTATTATATTCTGACATGTCTAAAAGAGAGAATATATACCCATTTTAAATAATAAATAATTGTATGTAAAGGTTACGAGGTTAAGAAATAAATGATTGCAAATGTAAGTGTAAAATGTAAAATGTAAAATGTAAATGTAATAGCTGAAGGAATGACTGTAAATTGTAAAAGGAAAACACCACCCACCTCCCGGAACTGAAAATAAAAACCTATAGCCTAATGTGAGTCTAATAACTCTTCTTTTTAGTTAAATCAACTAAATCTTTAGGATTAGCGTAGACTTGACTTAACCAAGTTGAATCTAATAATGATTGACATGAAGATCTTAATAATGGATTTGGATTCAATAATCCAAGAATATGTTCTCTCGAATCATAATGAATCGATTTAAAAAGACTCATTACAGGATTATTACTAGAACTATTATCATTACCATTAGTATTTAAATCCACTAATAATTTTGATAATTGAGATGATGATTGAGGATAATTCTTTTGGAATTTGATATATGAGATGTTTTTAATATCATTGATGTTTGAATTATTCCAAGGAGATTTCATAAGATAAATTTGGAAATAGATTATTCCTAATGACCAATAATCTAATGCTTTTAATAATTGATGATCATTTTTAATAATGGATGTAAAGAATTCATCGATATTGAAATCAGATTGTGAATCTTTGATTTTTTGTTCAATAGTATATAATTCAGGAGCTTTAAAACTATTGGTACCACAATAAATTTCATCCACATTTTCAATAAGATATGTTTGATAATCAATTGGATTATTAATATTTAAACTATACCCAAAATCACTTATTTTTATAATTCCATTATCATCAATTAAACAATTTTCTGGTTTTAAATCACGATGAATTATTCCTTTTGAATGTATATAATTGACTCCTTTTAAAATTTGTTTAAATATGGAATCTTTCATACTGGTAGTTATATCATATTTCCCTCTTCTTAAGATACTTAAATAATCCAATAAATCACCCATTTGATAATATTGAAAGATTAATGCTAACTCAGTTGATTCAGGTGTTGTAGCAATATCAAGGATAGTTGCGATATTTTTATTATTACTTGAACGTTTCATATTATTATATTCATTAAGGACTAATTTATGATAATGATCTATAGGATATTTTTCATTACATTTAATGAATTTAACAATCAATTTAGATCTACGATCTTTATCAGTACATTTAATAACTATTCCATTAGCTCCTTCATATATGGGATCTTTTGCACTTTTAAAATAATCTTGATCAAAAGATTTAGAAATAGAATCAAAGGTAGCGTCAAGATGGTCACCAGTAGATTTTGTAGATGAGTTGGTGATAACTTTATGAATAGCAGTAGTGGTATAAGATGATATATGATGAGTACTATTGTTTGAAGATGATGGAGACATCATACTTGAAGTAGTAGATGTGATTACACCTGATTTAGGTGATGAGGGGGGTGAAGATTTAAGTTGAAGATCGAATAATTCACCTCCATCTCTTAACGTCCTTGGAGGTGAATGAGTTGTTGTGAATAATGATGATTTGATCATATTAACGTGATGTTGGTAGTTGATAAGTTGATAAGGGTAAACGGTTGTAAAGGTAAATTGCAAATTTGAATTGATTGATTGATTGATTGGTATAATAATATTTTTTTATGGTGAGGATACAACAGAGTTAAAAAGTGTTGTTGTAATTCATAGTTCACTAGACTTTCTGGTCAAGTGATACTGTTGTCATATATATAACTGAATGAGTTGATTCGTTTCCGATTATCAGAAATGAAGAAATATATATAGTAAAATAGATCAATAATGATATAATGATTATCGTTCTCTTTTCAAATCAGAACTACCACCTTCTGATTATTTTAAATATAATTTTATTTCAATCAATCAAACAGAAAAAAGAAATAAAAATTTTAAATTTTATTTAAAAATCGGTTATATTCCGCAACTTTTTGCCGAATGGGGTAAAACATCTACGCCGCAATACTAACCCCAACCCCTCATCACGTATTAACCTGCTAACTACTATTATAGACACCCCTCCTAACCATAACCAATTAGTTAGTCCATTTAATAGAGGGTTACTCACCTCAAACCTCTCCTATTTTTTTTTGTTTTGTTTTACTAGTTAGCTGTGGTGTCTCTATGCAGGTACACACATAGTGTACAGTTTACATATTATGGGGTTTAGTCATATTCTGTTATACCCACCCACCCATCAAATTAAGTGGAGTATACATCAGTGTAGCTCTACCCACTTTTATTCAAACTTTTTCAAATGGTGGGGATACAAAGTATATCAATGAAGGTAAACACAATATTTGATCAATATCAATTCAAAACCAGTCAAGACAAGAAAATAATATCATAATTACAACCGGTAATTATAATTTAATTTTAGCGTTTAAAGTTTTTCATTGGTGGTGCAATGTTTTAACGGAGCACACCACTACTAAAATTAATCAACTTTAATCCCTCTAATAAACCTATGTAAATGACCAACTAACTAACCATTACAGTTTGTTATCACGTTCATCTTGTAATTTGTAGTATGAATTAATATTATGATATAACCGATATTAAAACTCCGTTCAATTGTACCTGAGAACCTAACTACTACTTACATCATACAAATTTTAGAGGATCGGTTAATACTAAACAATACTCCGAAGATCTCACATAATTAGTTTTTCCATCCATACTTTCCGAATTACACTAGTAAATTTAAAGTTAACTTTGCGATGGATATTACAGCGGCTGTTCACTAAATAAGGAAACCCCTTATTCTATATTATGAAATCTCAGTCACCAAATTCAAAACAGCAGATATTAGTCCTACTCTATCAATTTTTGAGTGATATAAAGGATAAATTCTTTTTTGGTCATTTACTCTTTCCTAATTGGGAACATTATGGGGAGAGACTCAGACAAGGAGAAAAAAAAATTAATATAGCACAAAAATAAGTCAGGCTATAACCCAAACAACCCTTTACATAAACAAAATAAAACTCCTATTACTATCAAACTTTTAAACAATGTAACACACATTTATGATAGTATATAGTAAAATTAAAAAGAGGGCTTGCTTTGTTTTGTTTGCTTTTATATTCAACTTTGCTAAATTTAGTAATTGGAATGAATGAAGTTTATTTTTTAATGAATGAACAAAACAGCAATGATTGTTAAAATTTTCAATCTCTATATTACAGTAATATACATTAAATGATCATTTCATCAGCCCTGTCAAATAAATTCAATTTAATTAATAAATTTAATTAAAATTGCATTAATTTTTGTTCTGGAATTTTACTTATTTCTCTTAAGTAGGCTGTTCATCTCTTTTGTTATAGTGTGTGTCAGTTTTCTTGTCATAACGTCAGTAAGTCATCGATTTCAATATTCTAAATTATAAAAACTTCCAATTATATAAACCTCTATCAATTCAATTTCAATCCCTATCAATTGAACTCCTCAACACAATCAATCAATTAAAACCATGCTTAAAGGACTATTTACCTCATTCTCATTCCTTTTCTTATTAGGAGCAGGACTTCTTTTATTCTTAACCAATTTAAATGGTGGAGCAAATTCATCCGTTTTAAGAAGATTCTATTGGCTTCAAGTTGATACAAGTGGAATATCAGGAATTTCAGAATCCCCAATTCGTTGGACTCTTTATAATATTTGTCAAGTTGATGGTAATAAAAATACCAATTGTGGTAAAACAAAAGCAGCATTCCCTTTCTCACCTGCTGATAATTTTAAAGATGCATCAAGTCAATTACCTCAAGATTTTGTTAATAATCGTGATACTTACTTTTATTTATCAAGATGTGCTTATGCTTTCCTTTTAGTTGCTTTAGCATTCACTATTTTTTCAATCATTATCTTTATCATTACTCCATTTATTAAAGTATATGTCATTACTCCACTTTTCAATTTCATTGCCCTTTTATTCGATGTTGCTGGTGCGGCATGTTTAACTGCTGCTTATGTTAAAGGTAGACGTGAATTCAATGACGCTGGTCATACAGCTAAAATCAATGCTTTATCATTTGGATTACTTTGGGCTTCAGTGGCATGTTTGATATTATCATTTATAGGTACTATATTTTATTGTGTCCTGCATCGTCGTTATCCAACTACTACCACCTATGATCCTGCAACTTATGATAAAGAAAATTTCAGTGATTCATCTTATCAACATGCTGGAGTTGATGAAAATACTTATGTTAATGATGAAAATCCAACTGTACCTGAAGATTCTGAACCTCAACCTGATACTTCAGCCGGTAATTTTAGATTCTTCAGAGTTAATAGGAAAAAACCTGAAGTTGAAGTTTGAGTTGATTTTGAAATCAAGTAAGTCAACTACTCAATGATATTTAACTGTATTTAGTTGATATCTCACTACCCTTATCATTTTCCGCCTATTCTATGTCCGTTACTTTTGTTGTTTCTTTCTTTTGTTGTTCCTTATTACTTTATGCTTGTTTGACTTGGCTTGGTTTTGGCTATATTGGTAATATTATTATATCCATCCATTTGTTTTTGATAATTAGTTAGTTAGTCAGTTTATTTATTTATTAATCTAATTCTATTAATAACGTATAATCTCTTTTTATAACAAAGTCTAATTTATGGTTTATCAAAAAAGTAATATGTATATCTATAAATAATGTTTAAAGAGCAAACATTTATATAGCGAAGATAAGCAAATTAAGAAATATCAAGAAATAAAATCATAGTACAAAAATTGAAGTCGAACAGAATCTCTAATTAACAATAAAAAGTCAAGGATCTGTGAAAGACATGGATAATTAGTTAATCTCGTTAAATACAACAGAGAACGTTGAACCCACTTTTCTCCATATATTGTAAAATACGATTTTCGTAAATAAATCAGTGAATGAATGAATGAAAGAATGAATGAAAGCAGTACTGAAATGTTCTGCTTAAACCACAGTTTTACTCATCATCGATGTGTCTCAATTACAATAATACAACTCTAATTTAAACGTCTTTAAATTGGAATTTGATTCACTTAGTTTGGTTATGACCTATGGTCAAACTATATATTAAACTGCTAATAGAACAAATTCAGACCAGTCGCAAAAAATAAAATAATAAAGTAAAACGCCGTTTGGAGCTTTTATCTAAAACTTTATCAGTAGAGATGTGGTTTTACAGATTTGCAATTAAATAGCGGTTTAAATTAGTGGTTTAATCCATAGTGAACAAAATTGTGGTTGCACCCCTTTTCTCCCTGTCTCGCTCTCGCGGAAACTTTTTTTTTAAAATATGCATAATGATAACAGTTTGCTTTGTCTTTTTTTGTCTATTTTTTCAATTTTTGTCTGAAATTATTCATCTCCGTTGTTCACCGCTGTGTCTGAAAATGATAACGAAAATGGTTGTTTTTAATCAATGATTTACCACTTACGAGACGTGCAATATTTTAAAAGCTTAATTTCAACAAATCAAATAGATTCAATTTATAATATTATTATTATCATTTGTAGTGGTTTTACCCTGGACAAGAAAAATGTCTCTCTTTTTTATTTTTAGTGGTGCATACACTTTGAATGTGTCAAGAATCTATTTTGAAACATACCTTGATACTTTTATTACTTTCTTTCTTAACCATTTAAAAATTAATTGGTCTAGTATAAAATCATTCATTAACATCGTAGTAATCCCCTTTCGTACATAACCGAAGCAAATTTTTTCTTATCAGTGGAGTACCAATCAATCAATGGACAATCAACAAAAGCCTCCCCTCTATCTTTATCTGTAACAGAAAAAAAATCCACATTAAAATTAACTGAGTAAATTGCGAAAAAGTTTTAGCGGGCCCTAATAATAAATACTACCAAATCCACAATTATTTGTAGCCACTATCAATTTCAAATAGTGTAGCCGCCGCTATATTATTTACACACCTATTTTTAATTTCACACAGTTAGATGATTCAATAATGCATTAATTTAACCTTACACTAAATTCATCGGTAATTATTATCCTAAATAAGTAAACACAGCGGAATGAATACCAAAAAACTCGTAAATGAACTTGTAATTAAGGATCGGATGGTGAAACAATGTAACTCCTCAATTCTAGATAAGACTATATAACCCTACTATATTCTCTTTAATTTTAAAGTCTATAAATGTCTTTTTTAGTCCAGTTTTAGATTTCTTGGTAGAATACTAAGCAACTAATATAAAACAACTACTATAAATGTCAACTATTAGTATTGAAGAGAGTTCATCTCCTAAAAAGACTCAAATTACTGAAGTTGCTGTTGAATCAGATGTCGAATCCTTAAATTATAGTACTGAAAATGAAAAGGTTGATTACTTTTATCATGAAAAAAGACTTTCATCTGCCTTAAAGGCTAGACATATCGGTATGATCACCTTGGTCGGTGTCTTTGGTACTGGTTTGTTCTTATCTTCTTCTGTCTCTCTTTCCACTGCTGGTCCAGTAGGAATGTTATTAGCTTATATTATGGTTGGTTTGGTTATAGGTGCTAATCAAATGTGTATTGCTGAAGTTTCATGTCTTTTACCAGTTACATCAGCTTATGTTAAACATGCTGAACATTTCGTTGATGAATCTTTAGGTTTTGCTATGGGTTGGATTGATATTTATTCATCTATTTTACCAGGTGAATTATCAGCTGTTGCCGTGGTCATGACTTTTTGGTCTGATTTAAATCCAGCTATATGGATTACAGTATATGGTCTTGTCGTTGTATTAACTAATGTTTATAATGTTAAATGGTACGGTGAAATTGAATTCTTTTTTGGAATTTTAAAAATCTTGTTAGTGGTTGGTATTGTTATCCTTGGTTTAGTTATTGACTTAGGTGGTGTCAAAGGTCAACAAAGATTAGGTTTCCACTACTGGAGAGACCCAGGTCCATTTGCTGAAAAATTTACCACTGGTTCATTAGGTAAATTTGCTGGTTTCTGGAAATGTGTCTCATCTGTTGTTTATGCTTATGGTGGTACACAAGCCATCTCCATGTTAGCAGGTGAAACTGAATACCCAAGAAGAGCTATCTTCAGAGCCGCCAAGAGAGTCTTCTACAGAGTCTTCACTATGTACCTTACTACTGTTTTCATTTTAACTTTACTTGTGGCTTATAATGATCCAGAAATCGCCAATCCAAATGGTACTGCTGCTGGATCACCATTTGTTATTGCTATGAAAAGAGCTGGCGTGAGAGTTGTTCCTCATATTATTAACGGGGTTGTTTTGACTTCAGCTTTATCAGCTGCCAATTTGGGTGTTATAAAAGCTTCTAGAACTTTATTTGCCCTTGCAACTAAAAAGCAGGCTCCATCTGTTTTCTTATGGGTTAATAGACATGGTTTACCATGGGTTGGAGTTACATTAGCATGTCTTTTCCTTTCATTATGTTATATGTCAGTTACTAATAGTGCTTCCAATGTTTTTAATTATTTCCAAAATGTTTCTAGTTCAGCATTATTATTTAATTGGATTGTTATCGCATTGAATCATATTCATATGTCAAGAGCCTTAACTGCTCAAGGTTATACCAGAAAGGATTTACCATATACATTTTATGGAACTCAATATGCTTCATGGTTTTCATTATTCTTTTCCGTGTTATTCTTATTAACTGGTGGATTTGCCAATTTCATTAAAGGTAACTTTGAATTTTCAAGTTTTTTCGCAGCTTATTTTGTTATTCCTCTTGGAATTATATTATTTATTGGATGGAAATTTTTCAGAAAGACTAAGTATCTTAAACCTGAAGAAGTTGATTTAAAGGGTCTTTTCGCTGATATTCAAAATACTCCTGAACCAGCATATCCAAAATTAAAAGGATGGGAATATATTACTTTACTTTGGGGTTAGAAAATTTTTGTTTCTATGATATTTTTGTATATGCAGGAATGTCCTTCAATGCAAAAATTAAAAAAAGAATGGTTCGCTTAAAAAAAAAAAAATCTTTTGGAACTGCAAAAATGTCGTTTTCTATCACACCAATTATAAAAGTCAGACATTTTAATTAGGTTCTATTTTCCAGTTTGAAGTTTTTGGTGTTTGAGCTTTTAATTTTTTTTAATCTTGCAGTTGGTGAATAAGACTTCTAACATTGTGGTCAGTTAAGTATTTAATCTATTTAAATGTATATCGTACATATATGAAATAAAATCTTTTTTAAGTATTTAGTTTATTTGCTTTTCATAGTGCTGAATTGAAGTGCGTAGACCTATAAATAACGAACTTCGACGTTCAGTAATTGAATAGTGGGATTTATGTTAATCCTGAAATGCAACTTTCTCTAGTTCATATCTGTCCCAGTTAGCGTCTATTGCAGATAAAATTTCGTTAATCATACCGACGGTAGAAGTATAGTACGTAAAAGTGATCTTTTTGAGGCAACAACTCGTAAATCCTAACAAAGACAACGAGATATGGTTTTTGTATTTCATTTAATTTCTCCCCATCACCTTTGATAGACAGATTTATTCGTATCAGTTGATATTGTATCTGAAACTTCCTTCCTCTTTCCCAATGTCAATTCGCCGTTCCAAGAAAAAAAACAGATGTTTGATTCCATTCAGACATAAATCGTCTTGCATATTTTTATTTATTTTTTTGTCGTTTTTTTCTTGTCGTTTTTTTTTGTCTGATGCTGATAAGAAGTTGTCAAAAAAAAGATAACAACAATTCGCATACAAACCAAATCAGGAATAGGTTAAACAAAATATCCTTCTTTCTTATCTCTGTGTCTTTACTAAAATCTCTATAGTTCTTATATTAAAACCCTACACGTAGACGCATTACTAGAGTGCTTTCTAACTTAGCAAATAGATAATATTTTCCGAAATATAACAATCATGTACGGCTCCAAATTGTTTTGATAAAACTTCATTCATTACCACCTATAATTGTATCTCACTAAATATTTGCTCATATCTTTAAACTTAAATCTCGAACGCCTTTGGATATTCCTAGTGTGTTGTACAGTTATAAAGTTTACTGTGAATGCCTTAATTACTTCTCTATAGTAAGCACAAACAAATAATTGAATGTAAAATTGCGCCTATAAACAGACATTAAATGTACGGAAGGGGTGGGGATTAAAACCAAGACATTTTTTCTTATCAGTCAAAAAATCAAGGAACAGAAACACAAAATAAAAATAAGACAAAAAATCAAAACCGCAGACGCAAAAATATCCCAATTAAGAAACTTTAAATTTTAAAATACAATAAAGAGATTACCAACCATTAAATGTAATGTAATTAGCACTAGTTTATTGGGTAGCACTTTGCATGAGAATCAACTCATTAACTTACTATTTTGGTTCATTTTTCCACTCTGTGGTGGCTTATTATCTCCTCTTAAATAGAGATTGGGCTTTGGTTTCCGACGCCGCTTAAAATGCCTGGAAAGCCTTTCTTTTATCTTGCAGTAAAATACTAAATCTTAATATACTACTTAATTAAAACTTGGAGATAGAGTGTGATATACTTTTTCCGCTATCTATTGTTAATTTAAATTAATTAACCCTTGTTTATCCAAGTTTTCAAACTATATAAACTCAATTAAATACGAATATTTTAGAATATTCAACTTATGTGATTTATACTATAAAGGTTTATATAATTAAAAGCTTTTATTTTAATCATGTCAACTCCAGAAGTAGTTGATAGTGCCCAAAAGAAGGCCCCATTAACGGAGGTCGTCGTTGAATCCGATATCGAATCATTAAACTATAGTTCTAATAATGAAGAAGAAAAGGATTACTTCTTTCACGAAAATAGACTTTCGTCCGCTTTGAAGTCAAGACATATTGCTATGATCACCTTAGTCGGTGTCTTTGGTACTGGTTTGTTCTTATCTTCTTCTGTCTCTCTTTCCACTGCTGGTCCAGTAGGAATGTTATTAGCTTATATTATGGTTGGTTTAGTTGTTGGTGCTAATCAAATGTGTATTACTGAAGTTGCTTGTTTCATGCCAGTTACCTCTGGTTATGTTAAACATTCGGAACATTTCATTGATGAAGCTGTTGGTTTCACTATGGGTTGGTGTGATATCTATTCATCCCTTATTCCAAATGAACTTTCTGCTGTCGCTGTCGTTATGTCTTTCTGGTCCGATTTAAGTCCTGCTATTTGGATTACTGTTTTTGGTTTAGTTGTTGTTTTAGTTAACATTTATAACATTAAATGGTATGGTGAAATTGAATTTTTCTTTGGTTGTTTAAAGATCTTGTTAGTAGTTGGTTTGATCTTAACTGGTTTAATCATTGATTTAGGTGGTGTTCCAGGTCAAAAAAGATTAGGTTTCCATTACTGGAGAGATCCAGGTCCATTTGCTGAAAAATATACCACTGGTTCCTTAGGTAAATTTGCTGGTTTCTGGAAATGTGTCTCATCTGTTGTTTATGCTTATGGTGGTACACAAGCCATCTCCATGTTAGCAGGTGAAACTGAGTACCCAAGAAGAGCTATTTTCAGAGCCGCTAAAAGAGTCTTCTACAGAGTCTTCACTATGTACCTCGCTACTGTCTTCATCTTAACTTTGATAGTTGCTCACAATGATCCAGCTATTGCTACTCCAAACGGTACTGCTTCCGGTTCTCCATTCGTTATTGCTATGGAAAGAGCTGGTATTAAGGTTTTGCCACATATCATTAACGCTGTTGTCTTAACCTCAGCTTTATCTGCTGCCAATTTACAAATTGTTAAAGCTTCGAGAACTTTATTCGCACTTGCAACTAAAAAGCAAGCTCCAGCATTTTTCTTAAGAGTTAACAGAAATGGGTTACCTTGGATTGCAGTTGGTTTTGCTTGTTTATTCGTTCCGTTATGTTATATGTCAGTCAGTTCTTCAGCTTCTACTGTGTTCTCTTGGTTACAAAATGTTACCAGTTCAAATATCTTATTTAACTGGATTATTATCTCTATTAATCACATTTATATGACTAAAGCTTTGAAAGCTCAAGGTTATACTAGGAAAGATTTACCATATAAATTTTACGGTACTGAGTACGCTGCTTGGTTTTCATTGTTCTTTGCTGTTTTATTCTTATTGACTGGTGGTTTCCCTAACTTTATTCATGGAAACTTTGAATTCTCAAGTTTTTTCACTTCATACTTTATTATTCCATTAAGTATTATCTTATATGCTTTCTGGAAACTTGTCATGAAGAGTAAATATATTAAACCTGAAGATGTTGATTTAAAGAGTCTTTTTGCTGATATTCAAAATAAACCAGAACCAGAGTATCCAAAATTAAAGGGATGGCAATTAGTTACTTTACTTTGGGCTTAGGTTTATCTACTTCCAATTGGGAAAACCTTTTTGGTGGTAGCGAATTGGTATCTGGATTACCAATTTTTAGAAGTCTTTAATTCAAATTTCGTCGTTTTGTTCTTTTCTACTTTTGTTTCTTAGTTTTTAAGTAAAGTAGTTTAAAATTTTATATTTACGTTTAAAAAATTTATAAAATTGATTTTATACAAGGTTAGTCGATAAAGGATGAGAATGTATCTATTTCTTAGCACCGTATTTTGAAACAGTTTTACCATCTGGAATAGTATATAATACAGGAGTTTGACCTTCTTCATATGGTTTATCAACTCTATAATAACCCTTTCTTTCAAATTGAATAACTTCACCTTGTTTCAAGGTACGGATATTCAAATCAGCAAAGGCTTTAGAATGGAATTCAGTTTCTGGAGTAAGGAAATCTTCAAAGTTATCACCTTCTTCTAATTTATCCTTGGTAATTAAATGATCAAAATCAACTAAATCAACTTCAACTTTATCTTTAGTATCAGCTAACCAAGTAAGTTTCTTAGAAGTTTTACGGAAATCACCATCTAAATGTAATTTAGCATCAATAGATTTGACTATGTCACCTTCTTTAACAATCTTTTGAACAATAACATTACCCCAATCCATAAAAGTGATTTCTTCATTATCTTCAATGGCAATAGCATCGGCTTGATCAATTAAAACTTGATTAGCATAGACAACTGGTTTCAAACCAACATCTGGATTCTTTTTATGTTTTGGTTTTTCTTCAGTATATGGTTTAGCTGGACCATCTAAGTTAACTACAACGGCATTTTCAGCATCAACAGCAGTAAATCTTGGAGCAATTGGATCAATGACCTTTTTATTTAAAGCCCAAATAACTGACCAATCTAAATTGATAATGTTTCTAGATGGGCCTTGAGCAATGATAAAGTTTCTTAAACCTTCAACAGTCATACCTCTTCTTCTAACCCCTCTAACGGTTGGGAATCTTGGATCGTCCCAATTACCAACGTATTTTTTATCAACAAACCATTGTAATTTTCTCTTGGATAATAAAGTTCTGACGAAATTAACTCTGGCAAAATCCCAAATATGAACGTGACGTAAGTTTAAGGCTTTAAGAATCCATTCGTATTGTGGGTTACGATCTCTATATTCATTAGTTCTTAAGGCATGAGTTACACCTTCGATAGAATCAACGACTGGAGCACAGAAATCATAAGTTGGATAGATTTTCCATGTAGTACCAGTTCTATGATGAGGAGTTAAGTTACCTCTGTAAATAACTGGATCTCTTAAAGCCTTGTTTGGAGCAGTATAATCCATTTTAGCTCTTAAACAATTCTTTAAACCTTCTTCAGTACCATTCTTCATATCTTCAGTGAAGATTTTCAAGTTTTCTTCGACAGTTCTTTCTCTTCTTTCTGATGCATCACCAACCATTCTTTCTTCTCTCATTTTTTCTAATGGAGTATCATCACAGTAAGCGTTACCATCCTTAATCATTTGAATGGCTAATTCATACATTTTTTCAAAATAATCAGATGAATAGGAAACAATATCACCTTTAACACCCAATAAGGCCAAATCTTCAATAATAGAATCTTGGAATTCTTCCTTTTCTTTGGTTGGATTGGTATCATCAAATCTAATGATTAATTTACCTTTGTAATTATGAGCGAAATATTCATTTAAAATAGCAGCTTTAGCATGTCCAATATGTAAATAACCAGATGGTTCAGGTGGGAAACGAGTAACAACTTTACCAACTTCAGCCCCTGGTAAATCAATTTCAAAATTAGCTTTATGAGTTTCTTTCTTACCACCATTGTTAGCAGTCTTGGCTGATTTTCTTAAATCATTAACTGATTTAATCATAAAATCCACAGCTGAATCAAATCTTTTATCAGAAGCTAATAAATTATACCATCTTGAAATGTTGATATAAACTTCATTTTTGATGATTGATCCCATTAAGGCATTGGCTCTTAAAGCACCCCAAGTAGCATAATCAGCTAAAGAATAAGTGTAACCATTAACGAAAGTTCTATAGTTTAAGACACTGTCTAATTTTTCTAAATCAACAGCTAAAACTTTGAAATTTTTAATGTACAAGTGTTCTAAAGCAAATTTAGCTAATTCTTGAGAAGATTCAGCATTGGCTAAAACAGTTGGGAATTTTCCAGCTAAATAGTTTAAAATATCTAATTGGTTACTATAAGTTTTACCTTCTGGAGTAACTAATTTAGCTGAACTATCAGCATCAGATGAGTCTACTGATTTTTCATCCACAAATTCAATAGGAATTGAAACTTCATCAACCACATCATTGATCACGTTAACAGCAATCAATACTGGGTATGCCACAAATGTAGCTTTTGCAGCAATAGATAAACTGAATGACATGATTTCACCTCTATCTATTGTTATTGCTAAAATTAGTTATAAATCTTCCTCTTTAACTATATATAAAAATTGTATCCTCCTCCAAAAAAATTTTCGATCTCAAAAAAACACCAAAAATGGTCACGTTCGGTTAATCACGTGTGTCATCACTGATTTTTAATTTTAAGCGGAAAATCTCAAATTACCACACACATAGACAGATAGACCAATTATGACTTTTAATCACCTAGATAGTACGATTTATCCCATCAAGAAAGATAACAATAGACAATGAGTTCAAATTCGTCTAGGAGATCAGGGTCTCCCAACCCTGAAGTACTTCAAAGACCCACGGCTAAGAGATCACCGTCTATTTTGGTGACTGATTCCAGAACGCATTATGTGAAAGGAGCTAGAGCTCCATTCGCAGGACATAATTATAAGAAGCAACAGCAACAGCAACAACAACAACAGCAGCAAAGACAACAGCAGCAACAGCAACAACAACAGAATCAAATACAACATGGTGGATTTCAACAAGATCAACATCAAAGTGCATTACAAAAGAGATTAACCTTCAGAAGTAAATACACTGATATATCAGTTGATAAGTTATTAAGTAATTCAAGTGATATTCCATCAGGTCAGAGTAGATTACCATCATTAATATCAAGTACCATCAGAAGTTCATCACCTTACGGTAGGAATTTATCTCCACAATTACAACCTCAACCATCAGATGCTTCATTAAGAAGAAATATTAGAAGCATACCAAAATTATCCCAATCATTACCATCAAGAACATCGAAGACATCACAGAAATTGGTGTTGATTCCTGAACAACAAAGATATAATTCACCCCCACCCCAATCTGTTCCATCTCTGTTGAATACTCCTCAGGATTTACAAAGTCAAATACAGAGATCAAGAGCTGAACTTATGCCTAAAGATGTAAGAGCTCAAGAATTTAGTAGAATGACAGCTTATTTCATTTGTGAACAATTCAATTTAGTGGCTGTATCTAAATTCTTAAGAGAAAATCATGAAGTGAAGCCTAGAATGTATGATGAAGCATTATATGTTCCATATGCTTTACCATTATTACCTGGTTCAGAAGGATTTAGAGTTAAATCAAATAATTCAACTAAACTTCAAGCTAATAAAAGAATTATGGAAAAATTAATTAATAGAAGTGAACAAGCAAATCATTTATACGAATATTATTCTGGAGTTGAAACTCCTGAAGATGCCAATAATTATTCTATGGATCCTGAATTGGAAAATTTTGATAATTCTCCATTTGATCCATCTGAACCTCAATTTTTTGCTCCACCATTGGAAACTAGCAGGATTAGTGAAGATGGTGTAAATAGCATAATCAGTGTTAATAGCACTGAATCCCCTAATTCCGTTCATTCACCAAATAATGAACCTGCATCTGATAAGAAATCAAAAGAACCTGAAACCAGTGAAAGAACTGAAGAAAGAGGATCTCATTCAGTTCATAATCAATCAGAAATCTCTAAACATCATGCTGAAATGTTTATCTTTGCATATGGGATTGTTGTATTTTGGAACTTTTCCGAAATTCATGAGAAGAATATCTTGGCTGATTTGGCATTTGCATCAGATGAACCTGAACCATTATTAATCAATCCAATTGATGAACAAGATATTGAAACTGAAGAATTCCATTTCGAATATGATGGTCAATTACAACGTCCTAGAATATATAATGATATGATCACATTAAGATCGGGTGATCATTTGATCAAACTAACTATGTCGCATGCTATAGCCCAACTGACCAAGCTTTGTTTATTTGAGAGTAGAATGGTTAATGTATTACTGCTGATTTCAAAATTACCAAAAAAATTAGCATTAACCGGTCGATTAGGTTTAAAGAGAACTCAATTGTTAAAGAAATCAGGAAAACTTTTCAAACTAAGAGTAGATGTTAACCTTTCTAGTTCAATCTTAGATACTCCTGATTTCTTCTGGTCTTTTGAACCAGCTTTACATCCTCTCTATAATGCTATTAGAGAATATCTTGAAATCGATCAAAGAGTTCAAGTTTTAAATGATAGATGTAAAGTCTTCTTAGAATTCCTGGATATCGTCAGCGATAGTATGAATGAGAAGAATACCAACAGGATAACCTGGATGATTATCGTTATCATCTTCTTAAGTTTATTCGTTAGTTTATTTGAATTCTTATTAGAAATAATTTAGTTTAGCTATATATAATCTGAAACAACTTTACTGCATACAATTTTTTTTTCTGTTCAGAATTAATTTAGCTGTAAAAATTTAAAATAATTGTTTTATGTGGAGCAGGAATAATTTATTCGCTTTAGCTTGATGATTTACATGTCATTACCATCCAGATATGCCCCAGAGGGTATAAGTGATAGGGATGCACATAGAACTATCACAAGTGGTAAACCAAGACCAAAAAAACCGATAAATTTTACCATAAGAACTATTGAAACTAGAATCAACAATGCAGTAAATCACCAACATAATCAACATCATCAAAATCATTATGATTATCAACATCATCATCACAATAATCAGTATGATAATTTTAGGAACGGTGTAGACGAAGATATAGAAATGGTTGGCATGGATGATTATAAAGAAGTAGATGTGATATCTGAATTTGTAAGTTTTACCAGAAATTCAGGAGACCTCATATACAGTGATGTAATGGAAGGAATAGAACAACAGGTCACTGACGTAGAAGTTATAAAGGGGAATATATCCTATTTAATACTAGATACAAATTTCATTTTATCTCATTTAGATATAATTAATGATTTGACAAAACTATCCGATGAATATGGTTTAAGGATCATCGTACCAATAACTGTAATTCAAGAACTTGATGGTCTTAAAAAATCAAACAGATACGTTAGTGATTCAGAAGATCGAATATCTAGTAAGTCAGTTGGACATTTAGCAAGATGGGCTAATGATTGGATATTTTCAATGTTTTCTAAGAATAGCGCCATTATAAGGGGTCAAAAATTACGTGAAAGACTTGATAAAACTGCATTACAAGATGATGCTATTCTTGATTGTTGTTTATATTGGAAACAAGAACATCCAAAATCATTGATTGTATTATTTTCAAATGATAAGAACTTCTGTATGAAAGCTCTTGCTAATGATGTATTGACGGTTAGTTATAGAAAACAAATGACAGCAGAATTAGTTGCAAAAGTGATTTACAATGAGAATGTAAATAGATTTGGTAAGATAAAAGAGGAAACTGTACATAGAACTAAGATTAAAGTTCATCAACCAGAAGTGGTTGTTCCTCAAGAACCTTCTGATGAATGGAAGGATGCCACCAAACAAGTTCAAAATTTCTCTTCCTTCGACGAAGTTGCTGATCGTGTCCATACTGAGATACAAACAATTACTCTTTCAGCTATACATCATTGTATGGAAAATGAATATGGTGAAGATTTAGAACTATTAAGAGAGTATGATAGAGATAGTGTTATCACGCTTTATGATTGTGCTCAAGTATTTATAAGATTTTGGTTTACTGTGTTTCAAACTTATTTCAAAGCATCAATAGATAATTTCACTCCCTTTGAAGAAACAGGTAGAGGAAAGAAATCAGTCAAAACTCCTATTTTTGTTGATATCCCTAGAACTCCAGTGGAGTTGAATGCATTTATTAAATTTTGGTCTGCCATTTTAACTACTATATATCAATCACAAATGAGTGAAGTTGAAATCAAAGCATTAGATCATTTAATAAAACGATGGGAAAATATGTCAACTTTATTCTAGAGTTTCCTCTTCTTCAGTGATAAAGCTCCAAATCGTTTAGGCTTGGTGGGAGATTTGTTCACCTGTGAATCAATACCATCCAGCTTATCTTGAGGTTCTATGCTATTTTCTAAAGACGTTCGTTTATTCAAACTCTTTAAGGAACCGAATTTTTGTTTCTTACGTTCTGGGGTGGTTACTACTGGTTCTACCTTTACTGGTTTATCATCATCATCTGGCTCCAGTTCCCGTTTTGGTCTAATAGGAGATGATTCTGGACTTACTGGTTGAACGTTGTCTATATGCCATATATTTGAATAATTCCATGATTCAACATCATTAATAGAATTACGAATAGCTTCTTGAAGCTTATCCCTGCTGGATTTTTGCCTTTTAGTATAAGTTGTAGAATATTTCTTTGCCACTGTTTGTTGCCATGTTTGTTGATCAAACTCTAACATATGTGATGATTCGTATTTATTATTCTTTTTAAATTTGGTAATTAATTGATTCCCATGACTAAGTTTGAAATTGGCAGATAAAAACTTGATGAATAAGTCTTTAACTTCAATACTATGTTGAAGATCATTCAATTGATATAGTAAGTATTTATGATTTGAAAATTGTTGGAAATTTAAATTGGCAAGTACTTCTATGGTAATGGTTTGATCTTGAATTATGGGTGAAAATATCCAATTGAAATCTCCATCTTTGAAATTTATAATCAATGAATCATCCTTAATAGTGAATTGTATATCCGCTTTCTTGTATATACCTCCTTCTAACAATCGTAGTATATCGGTTCTTTCAGGTTCAAGACCTACTTCATAACCAAACTTTGAAGCTATATCAAGGAACTTTGCTTTATCCACAGTCTCTAACCATACTTGTTTGAAATTGGTCACATATAAACTATATGAATCAATCTCGTAAGTGAATCCCATCAACACGTCACTTGAGTCTAGACCAGGAATTGATCTCGATATCCACTTTGTTGGTAATATCATATTGACTGTCAGTGGTATCTTTTAAAGGCATAATTTTGCAGACGCGATATTTTCGAACTCAAATCTATTTTTGATTTGTCTACTTTCAAAAGACTATATAAAGGGTGCAATATTTCACTAAACATTTACAGCAATTGCCACTCTTTTAGACATCACTCTGGGACACATATCATATAGGATCACATAACGATCATGTTGACTGTTGATAGTTCACAGGTATCATTGTTATCCAAGTCTACCCTTAGGAATTATCAACAATCAAATCCTGGGGAACGTTATATAATTTCAATAGCAGGTATACCAGGAGCTGGGAAGACAACATTTGCTTCTCGAGTGGCTGAAGAATTGAATAAATCTGTTAAGACGATGGTTTTACCTCAAGATGGATTTCATTTATATAGAAAGGAATTATTACAATTACCAAATCCTGAAGAAGCTGTTGCTAGAAGAGGAGCTCCATTTACATTCAATGCCAATGCATTCGTGGAATTGATTAGTAAGTTGAATGATCCTCAATACGTTCAAACTACTATCAAAGTTCCTTCATTTGATCATAGTGTTAAAGATCCAGTTGAAGATGATATTGAAATTGATCCCGAAACTAAAATAGTCATCATAGAAGGGAATTATGTATCATTAAAGGACCCCGTTTGGAATGATATTGAGAAATATTGCAATGAGTCATGGTTCATTAAAGTAGACCTAGAAGAAGCAGCATTACGTTTAGCCAACAGACATTTAGAATCTGGAATTGCTCAAACTTTAGATGAAGCCCTTGAAAGAGCTAAAGGAAGTGATTATTTAAATGCTCAATATATTTTAGCCAATTCTAAGAACGGGAACGTCTTAATTAACTCCAAGTAAATAATAAAAGTATTTTTAAATTTTATTTTTATTTAAATTGTATGTATGTATATATAAGTTTATATAATGTATAATTAAAATAAAGTCAATTCTTATTTTTAAAGAAATTGACCATGCAATTTTTTGGGTAATAGAAGAAATGGATGCAAATAGCTAATGTACAAAGTTTATATTAAAGTGTTGTTTTTTTATTGATACAAGATTCTCTTTTAACATGGAGCCACATTATATTTCATTTTAATACCCATGGCTGATAATTCAGAATCTAAGTATTTCAATACGAATGGAATGGCAACAGTTGATGTATTATCACCACCAACGAATTTCTTACCTTGACCATCTTCCCAAATATCAGAGTCATCAGCATATCCATGTTTTTGAACATATGACTCCAACTTTTGAGCACATCTACGACATCTTATAGTTGCCAATGATCCGATTCTTGGAACTGTAGTCTGAGTAGTTAAAATAGAACCACATTGACGACAAATCGATGTTTGAGTATAATCTGAGCAATTTAATAATCTATCTTGTAATAAGAATGAAGTACCATGACCAATTAATGCATCTCTTTCCATTTCACCTACACGAATACCACCAGATCTCTTTCTACCTTTAACAGGTTGCATAGTTAATGAATTAACTGGACCAGTTGATCTGACTTGGAACTTATCATTGACCATATGTCTTAATCTTTGATAATAAACACAACCAATATAAATATCAGCTCTTAATTCTTCACCAGTAGCACCAGAATACATTGGTTCATTACCATGATAATTATAACCGGCTGAAAGTAATTGTTCACCAAAGAAATCAGCTGGAGTATCGTTTTCACTGAATTTCCATGGAGTAGAATCTTGAGCAATACCATGTAAAGCACCAGCTTTACCAGCTAAGGATTCCACAAACATACCAATGGTCATACGAGATGGGAAAGCATGAGGATTAATAATAACATCCGGTTGAATACCAGTTTCGGAGAATGGCATATCTATTTGAGGCCATTTTCTTGAACAAACACCCTTTTGACCATGTCTGGAGGAAAATTTATCCCCAATAAGTGGTTGTCTTGTAATTCTATATTTAATAGTGATATTTTGACCTTCTTGATCGGCATTGTCATCACCTAATAATTTAACTTCTTCAATGTAAGCTGGTTCAGATGAATGATAAGTCTTAACTTTAGTTTTACCTAAAGTTTCATCAAAGTAAGCCACAATTGGATCACCTTCTTCAACTTTAACACCAATGATTGGTAATCCATCATCATCTAATTTTTCTTTCCAAGATTCTGGCCAAGCATCAGTACCAAAACCAAAATGTTGAGTAATTGGATCACCTCTTCTTCTTGATTGAGATAAATCAACTTTTTCAACTTTATAAACTGTACCATAACCAAATCCTCTTTCATCAGCCGATTTATTAATAATCATCGCATCATCCATATCATAACCGGTATATGAAATAACCGCCACAACAGCATTCATACCATTAGGGAAATTATCCATACCATAATCATCATAAAGATTAGCTTTAACAATTGGAGTTTGACCAGTTTGTAATCTATATAATTTATTATCAGATCTATGGACTAAAGCCACACCAGGAGTACCCATGGTTTGCTTACCCATTTGACATTGATACATATTTCTTGGAGATTGATTAAAATCGGAAAATGGAGTTAAATTGGCTAAGATGGATAAAATATTAGTTGGTGATTCTTCAACATGACTATGAACATTATTAGTGATTTCTTCTGGAGTAACAGCAATATTCATATAAACTTGTTCAAATGGACCTAAGATATCCTTTTTATTTAATGGCAAGTATTTAACTGGTCTCATCATTCTAGCTCTTCCAGCGAAAAGATATAAACCAGGATATTGACCTTTAGATGATGGAGGTACATAACCGATTTCTAAATCTAATGGTAAACCATGTTCACCTTCGATTTTCCAGAATCTTAAAGTATCAGCTACCACTTTACCTTGTTCATGACTTGTCCAACCAACGATTTTACCATCTAATTGAACACAACAAACATTTGGACCAGCAGCAAATGTATGAGCTGGTGATACACCTAATTTAGCTAAACATTGAGCTACAGTAGATACATCTGAATCATGGGTTGAAATTTGACATTTATGAGCTAAATGGTTTAATAAACCACATGGAGAACCATCGGGAGTATGGACAGGACATAAGAAACCCCAAGATTCTGGTAATAACTTTCTAACAGTAGTAGTTTTCAATTCAGCAAAGAAAGAACCTCTATGAACCATTCTGAAATGACTTATAAATCTATGGAAATTAATCTTTTCAGCAACGACAGTATAACCGGAAACTTGTTGTAAATCTAACCCAGATTGAGATACTAAATTACCAGTAGAAAGGAAATATTGTAATTTTTGACCAATGTTTTCATTAATCTTTGAAAATACTTTGGACATATATTTTCTATCATTGAAGTTAACGGCAAGACCACGATTTATATCAGCTTGAATTTGTAATCTTATATTTTGTAAATATTCTTCAATTTTTTCCTTAATAATCATACCATAAAGGAAACCACCTAATAATACTTCTTGATGTTGAGTAGCATCTGGATTATCAGGGGAACAATCACCAGCCACTAAAGTATATAATTTTCTGATCATGAATAATAACATTTTAAATTTATCAGCGTTATTATCTAAATGAACTAAGACAATTCTCTTCAATACTTCTTTTCCAACTTCAATATCTGAAACATCAGGAGTAGCATTGAATACAATTCTGAATTTATCCCCTAAATAAGCTAAAGTTTCTTGTTTAGAATATAAATTATATTGTTTAAAAGTTCTTAATAATAATTCCAATCTATCAGTTAAGAAAGAATTTTTAATATCTGAACCAACAATACCATTGAAAATTTCACGATCATTAGTTTCAATTAAAGCTTTTAAAATCATAACTACTGGAATCAAATATTCATTTTTTCTCCAAGAGAATCTGAAAGTAACATTACCATCATGTAAATAATGTAACACATTAGTTTGAGAAGTTTGATCTGGTCTAACACATCTAATTTGAATACCAAATTTAGAATATGAGGCACCTCTATTACCAAATGAAGGTCTGATTAAAGCCATAGGATGATTTCTTCTTTGAACAATTAACATTCTAATTAATTTTTCAATCCCATTCACAACGAAATACCCACCTAATTCATCTGATTCTTCTTTATAATTGATTAATTCTTCAGGACTTAAATTTTCTAAATGACATCTATTAGAATTCACCATGACTGGTAATTGACCCACTTCTCTGATTTCACTGAATTCTTCAGGAGAATCATTGACAGTCCAACTTACTTTCAATAATAATCTCGATTTATAAGTTATCATTCTTTCTCTACATTCATAAGGTAACATTTTTCTATTAATGGATAATTTATCATTAGAATTAACACTTGGTTTGACTAATTGCACGGAATCAACTCTGATTTTCAATTTGTTTCCTAATCTGTCTGATGTAGAATTATCATTAGTATCAAAGATAGTCTTGGTACCAATATCTTTAACAGCAAGATTTAATAAACCACCATCAGGTCCATCAGTTAAAGCATTGAATGATCCAAGATGAGGTCTAATGGCATCTTTCAAAAGCGGATAAATCTCCTCATGATCCTTAGGAGGGTTCTGGAATCTCTTTTCCCTCTCAAGAGTTCTAAATTGTGCAGAAGGCATCTTGATTTGTTTGTTCCATTCAACTGAATATGAAAGTAATGGAAATCAAATTCAATTTTGATGTTTGTAAGAATCTTTTTCATTCTCATCTTGAAAAAAAAAAAAAAAAAAAAAAAAAAAAGATGAGGTCACGAGGATGATTGAACGTGACTCAGATTGCAGTAAAAACTATAAGAAAAGAAGAAGAAGTATTAGATGATATAAATGATCAAGAAGAAGAGGAACTATCGCTGGTCAAATCACAAGATACACAGATAGCTACTTAATATGGCCAAGTCAAGGTTTGAATATGTACGAGAGTTTGAACGAGAGAATCATCTCCTTCAAGAAACATACATTGTCATCCGTATTGATGGAAAAGGATTTCATAAATTCAGTCAAATATATGAATTTGATAAACCAAATGATATAACTGCTATTGAAGTATTGAATTCAGCAGCTTTAGAGATATTCAAACAAATACCCGATGTCGTGTTTGCTTATGGTCAATCTGATGAATATTCATTTTTATTAAAGAAGAATTGTAAATTATATGAAAGACGAGAGATGAAATTAATCACTCTATTTTCAAGTTTAATAACTTCAGCATATATGTATCATTGGAACTTAACTCATCCAACCAATCCTATCAGTATTGAAAAGAAATTACCGGTATTCGATGCTAGAGCTGTGATTTATCCTAATTTCGATGTGGTTAAGGATTATTTCCGTTGGAGACAAGCTGATTGTCATATAAATAATCTTTATAATACTACGTTTTGGGCATTAGTATTAAAGGGAGAAGGGATGACTACTAAGGATGCTGAAACTTATCTTAATGGGACTTTCTCAAAAGATAAGAATGAGATATTGTTTCTGAAATTTGGCATCAATTATAATAATGAACCAGAGATATATAAGAAAGGTACGATTATAATTCGAGAATTAAATGAAACTATAATGAAGAAAGATATCCAACATCAACAACCTGGTGAAGAAGGAGAAGTTTCCAATCGTCAATTACAAAGATTGGAAAAAATTGTTAAGAAAGCGGAGATAAAAACTTATCACCAAGATTTAATAACTGATGAAGAATTTTGGTCTTCAAGACCATGGTTAAGCATGTAAATAAACAACTATTACAAAGTAAATAAATAAGTCTTCTTTATAAATGTATAAATAATGTATGTATTAAAGAATAATATACTATAAATAAATCTTATATAAAAATCATCAGAAGTACAGATATATATGTACGAATGTATAAATGATGATTGATTAAATTGATTGATTGATGAAAACCCCAAGAACGAATAAATTAGAAGTAAAATTAATAAAAGGTGAATAAAATAAATAAATAAATAAATAAATAAATAAAATAAATATCAAATAAATAATCAAATAAATAAAATAAATAATAAGAATGGTTGGACGATGTTTAAATAAATAAGTAAATGAATGAATGAATGAAATAAATAAATATTGCAATCCACAAGTGAGCAAAGAGAGGTAAGATAAAAGTAACGTTGTGTTTGTTTCTCCTTTGTATGGGTTCACTTATAGTGAGATTGTTAATCGTTGTTATTGTTGAACTAGACTGTGCAGAATTAAATAAATAAGGAATGGAATGGTGATTAAATATGAATAGAATCACTAAATGAATGGAATGTTGAAGCTGGAGTTGGAGAACAACTTAAACTATTGGTTGATTCATTGGGTGGGGCGATTTTGATTGGTAATGGTTGATGAAATGGGATTGATGGTGTAGTAGTAGTACTTAAAGGAACAGCAGTAGTAGCAGCAGATGCATTGACAGTACCTGAAGTAATGGTTGATTCTCCATTTGAAAAACAAAATTTATTAATGATATCAGTATAACTTAATGAACTAAAATCAGTTGATAAAGGTCTGGCAGAACTAACTGAATTTAAATTAGATGATGGTTGTGATTGTTGTTGATGTTTTGATTTATAGGCTTGAGAATATCTTGATTGAGGAATATCAGAAGCAGAATAAGAATGTTTTAATGAAGGTCTTACATTTGAATCATGATCAGTAAAATTATATTTCAATGAGAAACTTGCCACTGGTTGAGATTGATTAGTAGTTTCAGGTTCAAATTCAATAGCTTTTAATTTCAATACCAATTCTTGATATTCTTGTTTTTGAACTTGTTTTTGAACTTGTTGTTGATTAGCCTTTTGTGATGGAGTTGATGGCTTATAAGTATAAGATTGAATACCACTTAACATTGGAGCCAAATGAATTTGGTAATTGGCACCATTATTACTATCCCAATAAACTTGATGATTATTAACAGTATATTTAATACACATTTGAATATTAATATTACCATTTTTATCAGTTGGAGCTTGTTCTTCACCAATTAAATCATCCAATAAAATCTTGAATTTAAATTGATCAGTATTTGAATTAATTGATTTATTAAAACTAGTAGTTAAACCATTATTAAAAATAATATTGGAAAGCCAATTATTCATGGATAATTTAATCATTAAATTCTTTTCAAATCCCATATTTTCAACATTAATTAAACCAAATAAAAATGATTTACCAAATTCTTTAATTAATGAAATTGAAGCAACATAAACTGGTTGATTATATGGATGCATACTTGGTAAGTTATTATAAACAATTTTATATTCCTTTTTGTTTCCAGTATTAGTATTACTTTGAGATTGAGGATTATATGAAGCAGCAGATGCAGAATTTGATCTTGGAATAGTAGTTGGATGAATTGACCAATCATCTTCATCACTAGAAGTATCAGAAGCAAGATCATTGCCATACCATTGGAAATAATCACTTCTTTTATGACGATGACTATTATGATGACGTTGACCTTTCATGGATAATGGAGGTAAAGATGATTGTAAAGTATATTCATCTTGTAAATCATCAAATTCATCCATAAATTGAGGAGAATGAATAGGAGTATTATCACTAGTAGATACAGTTGAAGGAGATTCCATACCATCAAACATTTTAATGTTGGTTAATCTTGATGCAAAACGAACTGATTTAGAACGATTTAATTGAGATGTACTTAAAGCTTTTGGTAATAATGAAGGTAATTTCAAGGAAGATTTGACTAATTCACCTGACTTTTTACGAACTAAAGGAGGAACGATCTTTGGAACATCCAAAGTATGATGGATTTGTTGATGACTTTGATATTGTTTTTGTAAAGGTTTATAAATAGTTAATGAAGGAGATGGAGATAATTTGATGGTTGATACTGAAGATTGGGAGTTTAATGAATCAGTTGAATCAGTAGCCTGTAAGAATGGAGATGACGATGAAGTGGAAGATGTAGATGAACATGATGAAGAGGATGCAGACATCAATGATGAAGTAGCGATAGTATTGTTTTCAACATTATTGGTACTGGGTATGGCGGTTGATTGAGGAGATGGAGAGGATGTGGTGGTGGTGGTGGTAGTAGCTGTAGCAGTTACTATGATTGACATTATCTCGCCGGACTATATGTGAATAAAAAATATCAATGCCAACAAAGAAGTTGAAAAAGATTAAATGGTTTTAAAATTTGGTTTATTAATTAATTTTCAAGTTTGTGTACGCAATCGAAAAAAGTGACCCTTGTTCTAAAAATCTCAAGACTTTTTGTGTTAGATGCGATGGGATACGGAAGGCGATGGGGAGATTGCGGATGATTAAGGGAAAAAAAGATTACGATTGCAACAAAGTGTGGGCGTGCGTGCGTAATGAATGAATGATTTCCTTCTCAATAGGGGGAATTGCGTGGTGGTAAATAGCGTGCTGGGAAAAAATGATTCTAAGCTCTCTATTTTCTTTTCTCTAGGGAGGCGAAAAATAAAAATTAAAGATACACAAAATGCGGTAAAAAATTGAAATTTGTGGAAAATTAAAAATGTAAAATTCTTAGGGGGGAGGGATGTCAGTAAAAATTAAAAATGTAAAGTACAAGCGTCCGCGTTTGGTTCTTTATGCTTCTTCTGCGTAAATATTAGAATTCTTATTTGAATCTGTGTAACAAATTTTATTTTTTCTTTAATGATCCTTCTTACTCACTAAAAATAATATTCTTTCCTTACTAATTAACTGAAATGATAACGAGTAGAAAAAAATTTTAGATTGATGGAATGGATATGTTATGCTATGATTGATAAGATACTATTAATACAATTGATTCGTTAATTAGTAGTAGTGTTGGTAGTTATAACAAGATATGGTACAAAAAAACGTAATAATAGTAGACTAATAGATACGATTGATGTTTTCTTTTTTTGAATAAAATGCAATAAATTTGATTGATGCTAAATTCCCAGTAGTTGATGTTGTAGTAGTAGCTTTGTGAGGTCCTTTTTTTTAAAATGATGGAGTATTAGAAAAAGAGAATCGAATGCTAAAGATGATGATAATGTGAATGCAAAGTAGTTGATTGTTTTATGAAATAGTTTATATGCTGGCGATTGAATAAACTAATGTATATAATGTACAAATAAAGAATGAAAAGTAAATGACAATGCCAGATTGATAATGTTGATGTTGTTGTGGTTGTTGTTGATGATGATACAGTTAAATGTATGATCGGATAAGAAGTAATATATTAGGTTTGTTAAAATAATCCCGATGTATGATATAGTAGAAGATTAGTGTTTAACTTTTATGATGATTTTCTTAAGGGTAGTGTGGTATGTATTCCTAAGAAAAAATGCAAATGATGATAATGATTATGAATGATATGATATGAAATGAACTGATCAGGATACCCACTCTTAATACAAATCCACCATAAAACCTTTAAGTTTAATATTACAAGATAAAATGAAATAAAAAAGTTCCAAAATAACCAAATACTACAACCTGATAAAATTTTATTTATAGGTCTTTTAAATTCGTTTTTATAATATAAGAAATTTATTCCTTTTTTGCTCAACAAAAAACAAAAGGGAATTAAATCCAAAAAAAAAATAAAAAAAATAAAAAAAATAAAAAAATTAAAAAAATTATAAAAATTAAAAATTAAAAAAAAAAAAAGATAATCATTTCTAAAAAATATTAATTTATTATTGAAAAAATTAATAATAAAATCATAAATTTGTCTTAATCAAGAAAAAATATAGTAAGACAACGGACCTGTGTGTAATCTAAGATGCGTCTTCCATAGAAAAACTTTAATTACGTAAATAATCTTTTTTTTTTTTTTTAATCCTCAGTCGACCCAGTCCACAGTACAAATGCTGAGTACCTCTCTATCATATTGATTTTTGCCCTGTCTGACCCGTCCCAGCGAAAAATAAAAAAAATAAAAAAATAAAAATAAAATAAAAAAAAAGAAAATTAATATTACAATAGAGAAAAAAATTGATTTCGTCATTTTTATGATATCAACATTTATTTCATCATCATTAGTATCATCATCTGATAAGCTATGTCAATCAGAATTATGGATCGATCTTGGAAGAGAGGATTGATTGTTCAAGGAAGGCAGAAAGGTCTAAGCCTAGCTGTTCCCTATAAACCGTAGAATTTAGATCGTATGATATAAAACGCATTTTAAAATAGAATCGCAAGAGATGGATGGCACTAATACAAAATTAAAAAACTATTATTGTGAGGGACAGTTTTGTTCTGTTCTGCGTGGGAAACTCATATTTTTCAAAGTCAAATAATTAAAATTTATTTATTTTGTCACTAACAATAAATAATGGGCTGGATCAACCACAAATTGATATAGAATATATGTATAATACAAAAAAAAACATTCTATATCTCCACCATACTCTCCCATTCACACACATCCCTTAAAATAATCTTGCTATCTCTCTTTCATATTATATTATCCCTTATTCTGTTATATTCTGCCGCTATATTTTTGTACTATGTGTGAGTTTTTTATTATCACCACATTATGTCAACAGGCTACAAACAAAACAAAAAAAAATTTTAGTTGAACACAATTCAAATAATTTCGGTTATGTGTAAAAAATTAATGGGGTATGAAAGTGGAGTAATCTGTTACACAAACGACGTAATACTCTTACTACATCAACTGAGTGGAGTAGAGTAGACTATAAAGCCATTCCAACAAATTTTTCAACTATTTCATTTGATCCATTATAATAGTTCTCAAATAGGTAAAATTGGTGCTTTTAACAATTTCGTTTGTCTCCCTCACTAACAAAAATCAAACCGGTACACTATTGATTGATAGAGACAAATAAAATTTTAAAGTTTAAATTGATTAAAATTAAAATTAAAATTAAAATGAAATAAAAAAAATAAAAAATAAAAATAAAAATAAAAAATATTAAAAACACGCGTGTTGTCCTGTATACACCATGCATGATCTCATCCCTTATTCACACACAATCAATCACTCCTTAATAGAATAAATATTTCCATCACTATTTTCGGAATTCTGTTAAATTTTTTGTGATCGTTTACTGAGGCAAGTATGGAAATTACGTACTAAAAAAAAAACACTTGGAACAGAAGATCGTTCATAAATGGTTATAATATCGAGTTATAATTGTAGGATCAACTATAAAAAATTTTATCTTAGCATTTGCTTTTAGATCATATATATACATATATATAACGTAATCATCGAAAAAATGCCAATCTTAATGAAACCAAGCCCTGAGTCCGACCAACGCAATTCTGTTGTCTTCTCATCTCGTTTCATCTCGTTTGTAAGACGTTTATTATGCCTTCAACTATACGATTTATACCACAAGGATCGATATTTAAACCACCATTTATTTTAATTTACTATTAGCTAATGGGTTACATTTTTCAGTTAGTCAGTCTTTATTAATGAAAGAAATGATGAAATCAATCTAGCCGCATTTTCCCTAAGGTTTCCCTTCATTTTCCACAACATTAATCTAATCCGTTTATACCGCAATAAAGTTTCTAAAGAAAGCCTCATTATTATTAATTTTTTGGTACATTTTATTAATATTTTTTTACTGTATTTCTCACTAATTGTTCTCATTAAATTTTCTGGCATGTTTTAAGTTTGTTTCGAATATAGAACTAAGCTTAAACTAAGCTCAAACTGAACTGATATGATTTGACTATGGGCCCATCTTTACATTCCAATTATTTCCGTCTTATATCAGATATTCATAGCCACGTTCTATAATATTATAGTCCATACAGCTTGTTATGATCCACTAAGCTAGGAATACGATAGGGGGGAATAAGCTTTTTTTTTCCTTTGTTTTTATTACGGATCCCTAACTAAATCTCTTATCTGGCCTCACTTTATCGCTCGCTCGCTCAATTTTTTAGTGAGAGTGAGGCTTTCTTCAGTATACTGGGAATTGTTGTTTTTTTTCCTTTCTCTCTTTCTTTCTTTCTTTTTTTATCCTTTTGATACTCAGCTGGTTACAAGATTTAAACTTTAATTATTATTTAATGCTTTTCTTTGTTTGCACTTTATACATTTTTATTTTTAGCATATTAATGAATTAATTATTATTATTATTATTATTATTTATGACTATGAGTCCTTTAATCTATTATATACTCAACAAAAAAAAAAACAGACTATTCATAACCAAATTAATTTTTTTATTTTTTAAGAATTTCTTTTATTACTTTTATTTTAGATTCTTCATTTGCTTCACTTTAATTCAGGGGGGTTGCTTTCTTTCAAAGTGGGAAATAAAAAATTAATGTGTTAAAACCATCGTATCCAGTATTCCCACATTGATGGATTTTATCCCCAGTTTATTATTTGATCATAATTAAAAGTTTAATTTGGTTCAAGACTTTTTAATCGAACAACCGGTTTGGTTTTAGTTTCTTGACTTAAAAATCAGATTTGGTCGTTATAGATTGAAACCAATCCTTGGAACTGAACTGAACTGAATTTGAACTAAAAACAAGGACTGAAAAAATATTAATTTTAGATACAGTTTGTTTTCCTTTGTTCTTTTTGCGCTTTTCACAAAATACTGAATGAATGTTACATTCACACAAAACAGGTATATCCACTTACAATTCTATTACAATTTTATTTTAGATTTTTGCCGCAATTATCCCATCATAAGGCTAAACATGCGGATATACAGAAACTCAAGTTTATATAGTCAAGAAACTAAATGAAATGGTTAAACATGTAAATCAATATGTATACTCCATTCGATGATTCACTTACCTACTATACATAATCCAAGAAATCTGCCTCCTCTTTAGTTACTGATACGAAATTCTAATTATGAACCCTTTTACAATTTGGTTCCTGCTGGGGGACTCAGTTAAGACCAAATACTTCCAACGCACTTTTTTTTGTAAATCATAACCTGGTTGAAATAACCTATCAACATCATCAACCCCTCCCTCGCCTTTAATTTAAAATGAATGAAGCCCCTCTATTACATTCTTTGAATGGCTTTATTGTTTTCATTACCAATTTATTTCTCCTCTTTGAAAGTTATTAATTCCCCTCTCTATTATTGTTATTTGAGATCCTTTAATTTAACTAGCAGTAGAAAATATACAAGGAGATTTACATACAGGATTTTTCACTTTTTTTTTTTTTTTTATTTTTTTTTATTTTTTTTATCTTATTTTTTTTTTTTAATTTTTAATTTTTTTTTGGATCTTTCCGAAGGCGGACTTTGAAAAAATACACGTCTAATTTATTTTCTTTTTCGTTCTGGTTTGTGTTGTTGAGCGTATATTGAAATATTTTATTACCCCTCCATTTGCCCCACATCCTACCGAATATGACACAAACTGATATTGCATTGTACCCCCCATTTAAAGCCTTATAACCATCCAGATTATAATTAGTATGAAAATAAACAAACATTGCTTTTTTATTGTTGTAATTACTATTGCTATTGTATGTACATCAATGTCAATGTGTGTATGTGGATCTAAATGTGGTTGTTTTTATAATTAACTTTTTTGCAATCAAAATAAAACAATTCCCAACACTTTTCGGAAAGATCTTAAACATTAGACTTCAAAGTTCATGGGGTATCGAAACTTAGGTTAAACATGTCATGTCAACCAGTTGAATCTTAACTTAATCAGTTACACACTCTGATGGGTCATTATAACTTTCAACCACCATTGATTTTAATACACTCCTTGATCATTGTAATCGAGAGGTAGGTTTACCCGGGATTTTTGTGGTCGTCTGTACTTTCAATAAATTGACACAATCAAATCGTAACTTTAAATTGCTTTCGTAATTTTAATTCACACATTTACATACATGGTAATATCAAAACATAATTCAAACTTTGGGACCTTGGGAACTCTAGTTTACAATGTTTGAAATTAGTTTTAAATAATCAGATCATTTTGAGTGCATAATCTGACTTATTTCATATATATTAGTACAGAATTGTACCTTGGTCTACATTTACCCCTACATTTAATTTGATCTTTACATTATCTAATCATAATCGTTACCTTCAAATGAACTAATATCATCCAAACATTTAATACGCTCAACAGTATAATTATCACTAAATTATGAATATGTGACCACCAAAAATTTTAGCCGCTGACATAAAATCCTTCAAGTTAGATCAATCCCTTGATAATTAATACAAGCTGATCATCAGACTACATTACTAACTTCTACAATATTTTGAATTCAAGAAATAGAAATATAAATAAAGATATAAATTGATGCTTGTTGAAGATTTAATTGATGTCTAAATCGAAAATATTCCACCAGAATCGCAGATTAGCTATGCCAATCAACCAAAACTTCCTAAAAGTTAGTTTGCAGTATATTGTTCTAAATATAAACATATATGTTAGCTGAAAAAATCATACCCCCGAAAGTAAACATTAACTATCAATTTTGTAAATAAGTCAATTCCTTTAAAATAAATTAATCATTCGTTGCTCTTTTTATACTCCGAAAATATCAACAAAATCATTTGAAAGATTTAAGCGCTTAAAAGTTTGAAGTAATAGACAACTCTGAATGAATGCTCAAATCATTTGGAAAGAGATCATGATTACATTAATCAAAAGTCTACATTATATCAAATAGTAATATAAATGACTTATAATATAATATTTCATTTTTCTTATTCCATTTACAGTTTGGCCACAGGAGTAATATCGATTGATCATCACATATTTTGAACAATTTCAAAGTTAATTAGTATAATTGATCCTAAATATAAGCTTGAGTTATTTTAATATGCCATTCAATATCAGTAGTTTTCAAGATGAAATGATTTACTTGATAGAAGGTATATTTGACAATTTTAAATTTCTTGCCGCCATTTGCAACTTTTATACTGCAACGAAACAGACAATTGAGATTCCTTCAAGTTTGTCATCCACACGACCACTTCGTTATTTTTAGCAACCAAATACTACTACATGAACATTTCAATATAATATTTATTTATTATCATTATTGCTACTATGTATATATATATATATGTATATCAGATTATCTATCTTTTGCAATCAAAACAGACTTAAATGTAAATTATTAATTTATTTCTTAGCAGAATCTTCCTTTAAGGTGACAATTCTATTAAGAATTACTTCATCATCATTATCACCACTTTCTTTATCAACACAGAAATAACCAACTCTTAAAGCTTGGAATCTGATGGTATTCTTACCTCCATCTTCAGCAATATTGAATTGATTATTTGGTACTTCGATATTCAATGGACTTAAGGCTTTAATTTCATCAAATCCTCCCTTTTCAATCAAACCAGTAGTAATGACTTGTTCACTGACAGGGTTAATATCACTTAAGAACCCATCTGGGTTTTGATTTGGATTCTCACTCTTAAATAATTGATTATAAATTCTAATTTCTTTAATATTGATTTTGTTTTCATTACTAATCCATTGAATAAAAGTCTTTGGTTTAATCTTGGAATCACCATAATTATATTTAACATTGATGGATTCAATTTGTTTATCAGCATTATAATTAACTTTATTAACACTGATGGTGTATGGTAATTTGATTAATCCTACTGGTTGGTTTGGAGTTAATCTGAAATATTCAGCATCATCAATCACATTACTGAAATCATTACGTTCAATATATAAAGTTGAACTTATGGATACTTTTCTTGATTTGTTGAATTGATTACAGTTGTTTCTATAAGGAATTTCAACTGGAGTTTTACCTTCTTCTGGAATTTCATCAAAATTATCAATGATAATCTTAATTGGATCTAATAACATGAATAATCTTGGAGTCAGATGATCTAAGAAATTTCTAATAGCAGATTCTAATCTAACTACTTGAATATTACTTTCACTGATAGTAACACCTAAAGTATTTATGAATGATAAAATAGCTCCTGGTGGAACCCCTCTTCTCTTAATAGCAGCAAGAGTAAATAATCTTGGATCATCCCAACCACGAACATGATGATCATTAACTAATTTAGCAATCTTTCTCTTGGATAAAACAGTACCGGTGATATTCAATCTACCATACTCACGTTGAGCAGGTCTATAAACATGTAAGACATCACATAACCATTCATAACTTTCACGACTTAATCTAAATTCAGTAGTACATAAGGAATGACTAATATTTTCAAAGGAATCAACCAAACAGTGAGTGAAATCATAAGTTGGATATATTTTCCATGTTGATCCAGTACGGTGATGAGGTTTATTTAAAACTCTATAAGCCACTAAATCCCACATTTGAGGATTAGAATTAGTATAATCTTGTTTCATTCTTAAAGTAGCTGCCCCAATTTCATATTTACCATCTTTCATATCTCTGAATTTAGCAAGGTTTTCTTCAATAGATTGGTTTGAACGATGAACACATCCTTTTCTTTCACCTCCTAAAGTTCCATCTGGTTTTAATCCTCTTTGGATTTTAACTTCATCAGCAGTACAATGACAAACATAAGCTTTATCATTTTTAATCAATTGTTCAGCTAAATCATATAATTGTTGGAAATAATCAGATGAATAAGTGATTTGCCATGGTTTGAAACCTAACCAATGAACAATTTCTTTAATTGATTCGAAATAAATTTCTTCTTCAGCTTCTGGATTAGTATCATCAAATCTAAGATAACATTTCCCTTTATGATAAGCAGCATAACCGAAATTAACCATAATAGCTTTGGAATGTCCAATATGTAAGAATCCATTTGGTTCTGGTGGGAATCTGGTGAATACTTGACCTTTGGTGAATTCTAAATGAGGTTTGATTAATTCAGGATACATTTGAGGTTGTTCACCTGGTTTATGTAAATCTCCAAGGAAACCTTCCGAAAACATGGTTCTGACTGGTGCTTCAGTAGTAGTAGCTTTAGAATTGGTGGTATTGGTAGCAGCAGCTGGCTTTTTCTTTTCCTTTTTGACAACATCACGTTCATCTTTTGGACCTAATTTTTCCAAGAATAATTGATCAATGATTGGTTTGAATAATGATGGTGATGCCCATTTCAAATTTGGAATCTTTCTAATCTCTCCTAAAACCTTGGATAAGATAGAATATCTTTTATCAACTAATTCATCATTAATCGATTCAAGATATTTATTAATTTCAAATTTAACTTGTTCTTCAGTCACATCTTGACCAATACCACTAGCAACATTAAAATCTTCAACTTTAACATCATCTTCATGACTAGTTAAATATTTTAATCCCTCACTGATTTGTAAATTGGTCTTAATGGTTTGATCTAAGATTCCATCTACAATCAAACTCAAGTGTTTAACATCATTACCTTTCAATTCAACGGCTAATTGTTGTAATAATGCTAATTTCTTATCATCTAATGATTCACTCTTATCCCCAATACCACTCAAGATAGTATGTAATGATTGAGATACTTTCTTATTCTTAATGATTTCTTTGCTCTTCTTATCATTGATACCAAACTTTGAAAATGAAGCAATTAACTCATCTTCCGAAACAGAACTAACTTTTGACATGATGAATCGATTCTTCCAGTATGTCACTTACGTCTTATACCAATAATCTTTTGACTTTTAATATCAAAACGTAACTAAATACTATGTTCTCTATAAATATATTCAACCATTTCCATCTGTCATAGCAGTTTCTAAAATTTTTTTTATGACCAATATCGGAAGCTTGTCCTGCATATTAAAACCAAAAAAAAAGACAATTTTAACGCGACTAATAAAATTTAATTAAACCCAAAAAAGGGAAGACGATGTGACAGGATCAAACTGATAAAGACAGTGGAGGTCAACCAATTCATCATCAATCCGTTGATCAATCCATCAAACGATACAGATTGGAACCTGATATCAATAAGATCACTACTGGGTCTACTACTGCTACTTTGACCGCTTGTTGGGCGAAATAATTCATCATATCTTCATATCTTTACTGTTTTCAATTATGGCAGATGTTGCAAAAGCAAAGCAGGTGCTTGATATGCTCATACAGAACTTCAATGATCCTATGTCTGATCTGAATTTCTACTTGCAGTATAGTATAATACATACCATTCTAATGTATGGTGATATTCCTTTATCTTTACGTAAGGGGGATGAAGAATTTTTACAACTTATTCATGACTATATGTATAAATTTATCCATGAAGCTGTTAGATCAGTTGAACAAGTTTATCAAAAGAATAAAATCTTATTATTGTTTTATTGTTCATCATATGTGAATTTTCTTTATCCTGATTTTGAAACTCTGTATTGGCCACAATTGATGAAATTAAATTTCAATGTCCCAGATTTTGAATTGATTGATGTGTTAATTAAACGAGCTTGTACAGTTAAAGTGAATATTAAATCGAGTTGGTTATGTTCAAAGATCCTTGTTAACTGTATAGATCCTAACACTGGCTATGTTAATCAAAAGATAGCCCGACTTTTTAAACAACTGATTACACCATCTCAAATAAAATCACTTTTAAATTTGAATGATGATTTTACCAATAACAATTATTTGATAGAATTAATCATGAAATTAGGTTTGAAAGAACAAAAGTATCTCGGATTTGCTGATGTGGATCTTCAAAATGAATTAATTGCAAAACCAGTACTTAAAGCGGGAGATTATAGAATTTGTAAATTTTTAAATTTAATAAATCCAAGTTTTAAAGGGGTATTTCAAATTAGATCATTAGTATGTTCAACAGTTCCAAAATTAAATTGTTCATTATCCAATTCTCAACTTTGTTTTTTACAAATCTTAAATTCTTCCATAGTTGTATTATGGGTTCAAGCAGATCCAAAATTTGAAATATTAACTCCATATTATTTCAATTTGAAATCTTTATCATCCATAAAAAAACTTGATAATGAAATCAAATTACAATTCAATAGAATAAAACCAACTAAGAATTCTTTAAAACAACCTTTGAATCCAAGTATTAGCCCTGATTACCAATTTGCACAAACTATTGATATATTTATTTATTTACATAATCCAAAGCTTGTTACTTCATTGGTTCATCATTTTGTTACCCTTATAAAATTCTTTGCTATTAAACAAGGTGAAGTAACAAAAAGAAAAATTTCACTTGCAGAATTACAAACTCAATCAAAGACAAGGCAAGCTTCACCATCAATTATCGTTGCTCCAAAGAAAGATATTGCTAAATTGAATAAACTGTTCCCACAAAAGGCAACTAAAACTGTAACACCACCATCAAGCCTGAAAGCAACGAATGGTACAACAACCTCGCCAGTAGTTAATCACGTGGTTCAACTGCCACCAAAAGAACCTATCAGCACATCAAACACTACCACCACTAGTACTACTACTGCTAGAGTTGAAAAGCTGTCAGAACAGACAAAAACCCAATCATCACCACAACCTCGGACTCCAAGTACTGAAACTAAAAAGAGGAAACTGAATTCCCCAACAGATGAGTCTACAAGTCGATTAAATAGAATTACCAAATTAAGACCCGCCACTCCTCATTCAAAAGCTACCCATAGTTTGACTTTGGAAGATACTATAAATAGTTCAACCACAAGAGTCATTCCATCACCAACCAAACCTCAAGATAGTACAAACGGAATTGTAAATGTTAAATCAAGTAATCCTACGGCATACGCTACTATGGCTGAACTTTTATCTGAACAACCACAACTGACTCAAAATAAAGATGATGTATCTGAGATTCAAGATTCGACATCAGTTCAACCTTCAACTGTTCTAGAGCCAACAATGACTGCTTCGTCGTTTAGACAATATGGCAAGAAAAGAGTAACCAGATCCAATGCAAGTGGTTGGGGTGTACCATCAGATGATAGTCAATCAAATGGTAATGATACCACTGTTGTTATTAATGGTTCAACTGTACCTAATTCCGAATCTAGTTTAAGCCAAGTTACAAGAGGTGCCACTATAACTGATTCTGTGAGTTTGATTAGTCCAGATGCGGGTGATTATGATGAAGTTATGTCTGATGCAGATGAAGGTTCAACTGTGGTGATTGAAACCAATAAACATAAAGATCAAACCGCATCGATCAATGGAAGGGATGATAGTGATAATGATGATGAAGTAGAAAATGGAACCATTCAAAGTGGTGATGATAGAACTAATAATAATGGACATACATCAACCATGACGGCTAATGGGAGTGGATCTGATTCTTCGGAATCGAATTCATCTCAACAGCGATTACTTACGAATGAGGCTAATGATGATGGAGAAAAAGAAGGAGAATCAAATCACCTTCAAATTGAATCTACTAGTAATGATAATATTTATAATTTACTTGAACATAATATGAGAGTATTAAGTCAATCATTAGTGGATAAATTACGAGAATTAGAAAAGAATATTGAATTTCGAAAGAATCATTATGAACAAGATATTGAAACTCAATTTGATATTATTGATTTTAAATCTCGACAATTTGAACAAGATATGCAAGTTCAAATTGATTTAATTCAATTAAAGAAGAAACAATTTGAATTAGATTTACAAGAACAATTTAAAGTTATTGAATTTGAACATCGTCAAAATTTAAAAAATCTTCAAGAATATTATAAATCTGAAGTTGAAAAGATCTTTAAAGCGTAATGTGGAGGTAAGTGTGGGTGTAAATAGGGCATGTCATATTATTTATTAAACAAAGTGTATTAATATACATTTTAGAAAATGTACGTCTATATATATATATAAATAAATTATTCTTACTTACTTTTTCAACTTTAAGAATGAAAAGATCTCCTTTGCGAAATCAGGAGGATTATCAAGATATAAATGATGACCTGAATTACTCAAGATTCTAAATCTGGCTAATTCATCATTATAATTCTTCTTCTTCGCCAATTGATTAATTTCCTTTGTCATTTCTTCTCCTGCTTCTTCATTCATCCAATCTTTATCCCCATACAACCATAAGGTAGGTAATTTCCAATCGACAAATTTCTCAGGACATCTATCCAATAAAGGTAATTTTGCCAATGCTCCAAATGCCAATACTCTCGTTATAGCATATTCTCCTGACCCTTTAGCATTAAACACTCTATATATATAATCATGCATGTTTTGAAAATGTTGAGGATTGGAATAATATACATGAGAGAATCGATGAGTTGTCCAACCACTGATTAATTTTGATTTCATTGGACCCACATTCCTGACGATTGAGAAGGGGGAGAAATTATTATCCCACATTTTACGAATGATTTTAGCTCTTCTGGTTTTAGGGGTGGTATCTTCTTCATCTTCAATTTCATCTTCACTAGTGGCGCTTGATTCATTATTATTCATAGGAGTGGCTTCTTCATTGATTGATTTGGCAGTAGAGGTGGTGGTTGATGCTGATGAGACGATTTCTTCTTGATTGGCCAATACTTCTTGTTCGATATCTCGGGAGGATGATTGTTCATTTTGACGTAATTGGGATGACTTGGTAATATAAGATTCTTGAATGTTTTTTAATAATGAGAATTTATTTCGTTCTAAACCCACTGGACTTATTAAGACTAATTTATCAATGAGATTTAAATTATTAGTTAATTTGGTTTGATATTTTAATGCATAACAACAACTTAAATAACCACCAAAGGAATGACCCATTAATACAAATCGATTTATATTTCTCTTTTGTCTCCATATTTCAATAGCATCAATAAACCAATCTTCAGTTTTTTTAACATCTTCAGCCGTTTCAGATTTAAAATTAGGAAAATTTGGTCGAGCCGAGAATCCAAATCCTAATAAATCAATAGCATGAATTTTTATTCCTGGTATTTTGGATAATGAATCGAAATTATCAATGAATAAACCTAATGAGGCAGCATATCCATGAATAAGAACCACATCACGAGGACTATGATTTTTAGTGGTGGTTATTACTCCATTATTATTTATGATTTGAGATTCTTGTTCAAAATCAGGATGGATGGGAGTTTCGATATTTTCAATATATAATTCATGAATATAATTTCCATTTCCAATATCAGTATTGATAACTTTAGCGATTCTTTTCCCATCTGATTCAGGATAAAATGGTAAGACAGATAATAAATTTGATTCAACTTGAAGATCAGTATAATTTCCATAGAATGATTGTTTTACCCAATCTCTGAATGAATCAGACCAAGAATAGATGGGTCTTTTTCTACCATCGTTGAATTCACTTCTTTTACTGCTCATCCTTTCGGTAGGAGCTTGAGACGTACTTGAACTCATAGCTGGTGTGATGGGTTATATGATGTGATGATATGATATGATATGATATGATATGATATGTTGCTATAAAAAGAAACAACCAAGAATGATGAAGGCGAATGAACAGAACAAACTAGATCAAAACACAACTGCGAACTAGACTAACTTATATCAAATAACTTATGAAAATCAACTGTAATCAAATAGTGGCAAAGCAAGCAAATTAAACGTTGTTTTGAAGTGATGATACGTTTGATGATTTTGCGATATGATTTGGATTTTATATTCGGCGATAACTTCAAGTTTCACCCGACTTTATAACGGAACAACGGAAACCTGTAAACTGGAATGGTGGTAACCTGTAAATTTATAATTGTAGTATGACCATAAATATTTTTTAATCAGAAGACTGTAAATAATGTGTAACCTGTAAATGAGGCGTTTTCATTTCTTTTTTTTCTAAATGACGGGAAAAGGAAGAAGAAGTTTTACAGGTAAAGGATCCGAAGTCTACAGTTAATTTCATGTTAGAAGGGAAGTAGGAATTCAAAATATAGGAGAATTACCCTCTATCAAAAATAATTATCCGCTTAGTAAGGTTTGAAGTCAGCATATGACTTTAAATACGTTAACTTACGTTATTTTGCAACTATTTAATTGATATATTGTTACTATTTTATTCTCTGCATATAAATTAATCTCTGTTATATCTGAGGCATGGATGTGTTTATGAAACGTCGTGTCAATTGGAGAATAAAATTATACTTTCCTGTATATAAACCATCTCCCAAAAATTGAGTATTACACTACCAGTCTCTCATAGTTAACTTTTTTTTCTCTCTCTCTCTCTCTCTGTATAATCAAAATTTAAACCCATATTTATATTTACTTTTACTTTCTCTTTTGATACTTCTTTCAACTTATCAATAACTATATATATACAAAATGGTATGTACCGTATTTGTTACTAGTTGAATATCATCATGTCATAACACGTATACTAACTCAACCTCTCTAGGATACCAAAACTCCAGTCACTTTAGCCCAAGTTATTAAAGTCTTAGGTAGAACCGGTTCAAGAGGTGGTGTTACTCAAGTTAGAGTTCAATTTATTGAAGATTCTACTAGAACCATCGTTAGAAATGTCAAAGGTCCAGTCAGAGAAGGTGATATCTTATGTTTGATGGAATCTGAAAGAGAAGCTAGAAGATTACGTTAAGTTATCCCTCCTAATCATATCCTATTTAATCTATCTCATCTTTTCATTCATTCATTCATTATGGGCTTTTAGTTTAAATTTAATCATTCATTAATTTCGATCAATCAATATTCCTACATTCACTATTTGTTATAATTCATCTTACATAAACATCGAATTATCTTCATTTATCGATAACCGTTATTCTACGATTCATCTAAAGTTATATCATTGATTATTATTTTTCAAACAAGTTCATAAAATGTATTTTTAATCAACCAACCACATCTACACTACACACGATCCCCTCAAAGTTCTTCATATTAATTATAATATAATAAAAACATTAAAATATATCATTTATAATGGACATGTAGTAGAACCTTTAATGAAAAGTCCTATATTAAAAAGGTGAAAGAAAAATTTCTCTGTAATGAAAAATTTAATCTATGTGCGCATGCGTAAATCACGTGAATCGTGTAAAGCCCTAACCCTGACCTAATTCGGCCATTTTGTGTCATCAAATTTATAACACACATCCATGCCGCGAGGTCAATTTATTAATATAACGACATTTTCTCTGTCAGAGTAAATGTCTCCATGATATTGATTTGTACGACATATCTATGCGTGGTTTGAAAATAGTTGACCAAAACCGAAATATCAAACCCGTACCAATATGCCAAAGTATTGAACTATACACTTTATAAAGGACCCATCTTAAGAATCAATCAATCTATCGAAAGAGGATTTGTATTATATTTATATCACATCAACCTTTCACATATATATTTAAGTACACATACACAGGATGTCTGATTTAGAAGATGATTTATTGGCATTAGCTGGAGGAGATGATGATTCCGATAGAGAAGAAATCACCACCACTAAGAATGATAAAGGTGGTGAAGAATCTGATGATTCTGATTATCATAATGATATTATAAAGTCATCCAAGAAGAGTTCCCATCGATTCGATGATGATGATGGCAGTGATGATGATGAAGATGAGATATCTTCCAAACGTCGTAAGATTGAGGAGGATGAGGATGATGAACTGGATGAATATGAATTACCTGATTTTGGAGATGCTAGTGCTGATCCAGATTTAATCAACCCATATCCTTTAGAAGGCAAATATAAAAATGAACAAGATAGGGAGGAATTAGAAGATATGGATGAAATTAAACGTGAAGAGATTCTTTTTGAAAGAACTCAACAGATGGAAAGATATAATGAAAAATTATATTTACAACAAAGAATGAAACAACAACAACAATTGACTAAACCAAGTTCATTGCCTGCTAAACCTTCTCGTGCATCGAATCGTGATAAGACTTCAACGGTTAAGACTTCTAAATTGGATAAATTGAATGAATTAAAGAAACAAAGACAACAGAAATCGAAACGAAGACATGATGATTATGATGAGGAGGATGATGAAGATGAAGAAGATGATGAGGATGAAGAAGTAGAGGAAGAAGATGATGAAGAAGAATATGACGATGGTATTGTCACTTGGGGAAGTAAATCTAAATTATCCAGTGGTGGTGTATCATCAACTAGTTCAAGAAGAAGATCAACTGAATTAGCTAAAGTTGATGATATTAATCGGGTTAGATTTGGAAGATCTAAATTAGCTCAATATTGTTTTTATAATGAATTTAATGATATAATAGTGGATACATTTGGGAAAATCAATTTAGGATTTGATAAACGAACTCGACAACCGATTTATAGAATGATTAAAATCATTGATGTTGAACATAAACCAGCTAAGATTTATAAATTACCAGGAGGGGTTAAATGTGATTTATTTTTAAAAGTGAGTCAAAATTCAAAACAAATTAAATTATTCCCCATTAATATCTTTTCTGATAGTCCGATTAGTAGAGATGAATTTGATAGATATGTTGATGAATTAGAAAAGAATAATGAACGAATGGATTATTTGGATGATATTAAAGATAAGTATCAAAGTTTAAAACAATTTGTTAATAAATCAGTTACTGATAAAGAAGTTAATGAAATCATTAATAAGAAACAACAATTACAAAATCGTAATATTAAAGATATGAATATTTATGATTTAGTTAAGAAGAAGGCTCAATTATTAGATGATGTTAAGATTGCTGAACAACAACAACAATCATCTCAATCAGTGTTGGAAGAAATTCATCAATTAGATTTAATGATTGCTCAAAAGAGAGCCATTACAAATGAAAGTTCAATGTTAAAGATTAATGAAAGAAATCGTAAATTGAATCAAACTAATATTAGAAAAGCTGAAATTAGAAATCAAATTCAAGCTGCTTTACCATCATCAAGTATTGATGGAGATGGAGATCCATTTTCAAGATTTAAAACAGTGACAAGAATCTTTTATCAAGATTTAATTAATCAAGAGAATGAAAAGGCATTACAAGATATTAAATTGAATTATGAGAATTTAGTTAATGAGAAGAATAAACAAGAAGAAGAGATTAGTAAGAGTACTTATCGTGAGTTAGGAGAGATGGATAATTTAATTAGTAGTATTGATATTGATATTGAATTGAAGTTATAGTGTTTTTGTTGCCGATAAGTGCTTGGACATGGATTAGATAGAGATATTATGAGATATTTAATTGAATTGAATTGAATTGAATAAATAAGCAATTGATTTGTAAACATATATTTGTAATCGATAAAAGTGATTAGTAGGATAGATATTATATACCATTGGTTATATACAGGATAGTTCTCTTTTTCTTTTTCCTCGGATCAAACAAAAAAAAAAGAAAGAGTCAGACACGTGCATTGAGTCATGTTACTCTTTTTTTTTATTTTATTGCTGTTGCATCGGATTCAATCCCCGTTGTCACTTTGTACTCTACAGCGCTAACTAATTAAAATTTAAACATTAGCTCACAAAACTATAATTAATTAAACCAATCTAACCCAACCAACCAATACAGCGGAAGCGGAAGTTAAAAATAGTGTTAATTAATTTATTAAGATTAATATTAATTAGGATTAATTAAGATTTAAGATTATCATATGAATTGATCATATGATATCATGATTTACCAGTGAAGTCAAGAGAAGAGAAGGAAGTGAATGGAAGGAAGGAAGGAAATCTATCTCGTAATGAAACTATATAGGTTGATTTATAATATAGTATCGAACTTAACGGTGTTTGGATCGTTATTTAATTAGTAATACTGACCAGAGCGGAACAGGATACTATTTCCTAATTAGGAAGGTGAAATGTGAGTCTTTTCACTCAGAGTCATTTTAAAATTTTTTTGTGTTAGTGAGCAGAAGGAGGAGGAGGAGGAGGAGGAGGAGGATGAAAATTTTATCAACTAGAAACAAAAATAATAAATATGAAAACGTTTGCTAATTTTTATTTATCACTTCTTCTTTCTTCATTAATTATCAACAACATCAAGTAAGAACTAACTACTACTAATAGTCATACTAGTTACTAGTTCATACCACTATACTCCCAATTCATGATCTATATATTTTATTAACTTACCACTCGTTATACTAATAAGTAAATCATTCCTTACATACCATAACACAACACAACATATCACAACACATCACATCACATCATATCATATCAATATGAACTTTCAGCCTAATGACTACTTACAAGGGTTAAACCTTGATTTCGATTCATCAATCCCTTCTAATGATGTATCTCCAAATTTCAATTCTACTGATCTTGATATCTTTTCTCAATCTGATTTCTTTGCTTTAGATGTATTTTCAAAAGATAATATCGTTCCAAATAAACAACATCATGGTCATGTTCAATCTCACCCAGTACAACCTCAACCAGTACAAGTTGCTCCTGTTGTTACTATTCCAGAACCAAGAATAGCGATCAAACAAGAACCTCAAGAATCTTCTTTAAATTCCACTGATGGATTAGATTTCTTAGATTTTAATCCTCATCAATCTCCTTTAAAACAAGAAACTCCATCTACTAATCAAACTGATACTGTCATTGAAGAATCTCATCATTTTGTTGCTGAATTAGCTGCTAATGAAGATAAAAGAAAACGAAATACTGCTGCTAGTGCCAGATTTAGAATTAAAAAAAAATTAAAAGAACAAGAAATGGAACAAAAATCAAAAGAATTACAAGATAAAGTTTTAGGATTAGAAAAGAGATTAAAAACTTTAGAAATGGAAAATAAATGTCTTAAGAATTTAATCTTGCAACAAAATGAACAAAAAAATAGTGATTTATTAGAAAATATCAAAAAGAGAAGTATTTTATATTCTCAACCGGTATTTCAATTCACTAATTGAGTAGTTTCCTAATCATCCTACTTTATCAATCAATCAATCATCATCATCCTTCAATTCTTCTTACTTTACATATAAAATCCAACTTTTATATTATTCATCTCCCCCAGGATTCGATTAAAATCCAACTTTTAACGACCTAATGAAATAACCTCTCCTAATGACACTTAATGAATTAAAAACAAACAAAGACAAACAATCAATCAATCAACCAATATCTATACAGTCAATTATACTTTCACTTCTCGCTACTACAACTTACTTTACTATTATTATTTTGTTTTGTTTTTATTTTGTTTATTCTATTTTATAAAGCTTTTCAAAAAGATCCAACTCTTTTTTGAACAAGATTAAGAAGATCCAACTCTATCTTAATCTTACCCATCATCATCATCTCCATCATCAACTTATTCCATATCCAATCCAGTTCCATTCTAATGATTTCCTTTTAGTTAAGTCAATCAATCCAATCTAGTTCAAAAAAAATATAAAATACTAAAAAATGAAAGAAAAAAAATATCTTCCTACCATATCCCAATCCAATCTTTTTAAAAGTATAAAAATAAATAATCGATGAAAAGAAAAGAAAAGAATGTAATAATATTACTTCACTTTACGTATATGTATATAATATTAATCGTACAAACCCTTTGACATTTAAATTTAGTTCTTCCCAGATTTTGTAAAATATACTTCCCATCTCTCAAAATTTCAATTGACTCTGACAAAACGATGAGAAAATCAAAAATTCCACATCGTCTATCAAATCTTCATTAGTTGATTGACGTACTTTATCTACATACCTAATCAATCATAGTTGTGATTGCGTTACTTTGAAAACTTAACTATATCTCCCCATACTTTCATACTCTATTCTCTACTTCCCCCTTTTTAGATGAATATGTGCAGCGGCATGGGTGTTCCTTTTAGAGTGCAGGTTTTAGGAATCCAAAATAAACTATTTTAGACCTTTTACGATTTTGTAGTATTGAAAAGGTGTATAATACAAATTGACAACAGCTACATTTGAATTATCATCCATCCATTTTTTATTTATTTCTCCATTACGTTATATTTCCAATTAGATCTGTATATTGTTAATCTGTGTGTGTCAGTCTGGTTTGATTCAGTTTATATTGTTTGTTAAGATACCAGCACGCCCTTTTTCCCTTGTTTGTTTGCCCCAGGTTGTTACGTTTAGATCATTTATTTATAATCAGAGGTCATAGGTCCGTGATTGATTCATCTTGATTGATTCATTTATTGATCAGATTATAGTCTTCTAAGGTCATTTAGACGAAGGTTGGATTCAATATATGAATTGAAAACCTTCACCTTCTTCCAAACTCGTGTATATATCCCCTCCTATTCATAATGTCAGATTCAAATAGTTCAACCCCTAATCCAACGGATAATACTGACCATCATGATAATCAGAATCGTAATTTCATATCGTCTACTCCATTGGTACGGCCCATTCATTTGGATGATGGGATAAGTCCGAATACTTCCACTGATATAACCAATGATATCGATGCCTTGCATCATCTCCATCCTCATCATAATCATAATCATAATCATAATCAAGATAATAATAAACATGATGATGAGATGAATTCATCATCAGGTAATAACACTACGATGTTTCATCAACCCATGTTTCAACTTTCTCTTCATAATTTACGAGAATTTGAACGTTCTGTATCACCTAAAGAACAAGGTAGTAATGGAAAGAATTCACCTCAATTACAACAACAAACAGGAGGACTGAGAAAGAGTTCTCCATCAAGTTCACGATCCCAATCCCGTACTCCCTCATCATCCCATATCCGATCCCGATCAAGAACTCATTCTCCTCAACTCCCTCATCATTTACAACATCATCATCAACATCTTGCTCGTAAAGATCAGATTGCGAAGAATTTAGATCTCGACTTGAATGATAAGTATCCAACATATTTAAATACCATTGCAGAACAAATCGATTTAAGATTAGCATCTTCAAATAATCCTACTATAGTGATGGAATTGGATTTACATGGTAATGTCACTTATTTATCGAAGAATTGGGAATTCATAATCGGAACTAATATAAAGAAGATTTTACATAATCCGATATCCAAGATCTTAATCGGGAATAATGAGGATGATTTATTAGTGTTTAATAATGCCATCGACAAGATGATTACTGATGATGTAAGTTACAAAGTGAAATTCTTAACTCCAACCAATACCACCCCGTTATCTAATCCATTATTGAATTCAGAAATGATCATGAATGAAAATGAAAAGAGTTTGATTGATGATACAACGGAGGATTCGAATCAAAGTTTGAATTTGAATTTAAAACATCATCATAGTCATGATCATAGTAAGGATAAACATCATCATGATGTCGTGTTGGATGAAGATGAACATGATATTTTAACGCCTAATAATTCATTGGAAGATTTATCAAAAGTGGATTTGCCCAGTATGGATTATATACCAAAGAATACTCAGACGGAGAAGAATAATCGTCGAAGATCATATGTGAGAGAACAAGAACAAGCTGCTGCTGATGAAGGACAGAAAGATGACAACAACGATGACAACAACGATGACAACGATGACGACTCTTCAAGTACGATATCGTCAAAATTATCAAATAATGGTGAGATTATAGAATTGGAAGCTCAAGGTATTTTAATTCATGATTCAAAGACTAATTTACCTACTCATTCCATGTGGACCATTAAACCATTTGTTCATATCGATCTTGATTTAACTATCCCTACGTTATTAATCAATCTCCTTGGATTTGGAGCTGAAATCTTCGAAGGATATTTATTTAATTTAAAAGAACTTGGAATCATTGATGAAGATTCAGTCCCTCAACCTAAGACTATTCTTTGTCGGATTTGTGAAAATCAAATCCCAGCATGGTTTCTTGAAAAACATAGTGATCTATGTCTTGTTGAACATAAAGTTGATGAAGAATTACAAAACTGCCATGATTTATTAAATGATCAACGGGATTTAATCATCAAGATTCAAGATTCTTTACTGCAACAGTTACATAATAACTCATCAGGCAATTTAAATTTAAATTCTCCATCTCCAACTAATGCTGCTCCGCCTTTATTAATTTCAAATTCATCAATTTCACTTGCATCATCCGTATCTATGGGGTCTAATAATGCTTCGATAGCATCAATTGCATCATCGTCATCTGAAGATAGTCAACAACTTCCTGTCCTCGATTATAAAGGTATTCCCTTGCCTATGGTTTTAAAAGACTATGACTTACCATCATCGGGATCAGGATCATCATCAGGGTCATTTTCATCCCCAAAATTAGCTAATCAAGTGTTACAAAAGAATTTCCAAGCTAAGAAGAATCCAAATCCAATCATCCAATCAAGGAAATTCCCGTTCGGTATCTTAACTCGATTAATTGAATTATGTGATGATGCTTTATTGATCAATCCTCCCATTCATGAATATAATCTTGAATTTGCATTTTCTCCAGGTACAGAAAAGGCTCTTTCAAAAATTATGGGATCTAATTTATTTCTGAATAATTTCTTAGAAACTAATGATCCTGCTATAAAGTTGATTATTGAAGATACCTCAAATTTAATTAATGAAAAAGTGGATACTTTATCAAGATTAATTTCTATTTTACAATATAGTGATAAGATCAAAAAGGAAGTTGATGATGGTGTATTGGAAACTGTACGGGAAACAGTGGCAAAGATAAAAGAACAAAGTACTCCAAGTAATTTATTGTTGAATGATACTAATCAAGACTTAAATCGAAAACCACTGTCGGATAGAATCTTACATTCCCCTCGACCTTCCAGAACTCGAAGTCCAAAGATATTCCAAAATGATGATAATTCATTTGATGGTTTGAAATCAGTCACACCTAAAGATATCCTTTTACAACAACAACGTCAACCTACTCCACCTCGATTACTTTCAAGTATGTCAATCACTAATACTAATTCATCAAATTCAATTCATGCTCCTGCTCCTATCTCAGCTTCTTCTATTGTCGCTTCTTCATCCGCTGCTTCAGGTGGAATCACAGGTGCTCCAAATGCTATACCTCATCGATTGAGTAGTACCTTACTGGGATCTATAAATTCTTCAAATTCTTCTTTATCAATTCATCATTCCACATCTCGTGACTTGATTGAATCTATGCAAAATTTAGATTTATCAAAACGATCTTCTGAAAGTGGAGGTAATAATACCACTCATAATTCATCATCATTCTCATCTCCAAGAAGACACTTATCTCCTGCTCCTTATGTTGATAAACCAAATCTTTCATCATTACAACGGAACCCATCTCGGGTTGAAACTCCAACTCCATCTCCTTCGATCGATGCTACCAATGATAATGATAATCTTCCTACTCCACCTCCACCAATTGCTTATGCCCCTGCTCAATCGGCATCTAATTCAACTCCAAATCATCATCATTATCAAGAACGTCGGACTAATTCAGGCGGTTCATTAAGTATACCGACTAGTACTAAGAATTCAATCACCAGTATTAATAAACCTCCGTTATCACCATTATTAGTATCAACTACACCTAGTACTAAAGTAAGTGGTGGTGGAATCAAAGATTATGAAATCATTAAACCTATTTCAAAAGGTGCGTTTGGGTCAGTTATATTGGCCAAACGGAAATTAACGGGTGATTACGTTGCTATTAAATGTCTTAAAAAGAGAGATATGATTGCTAAGAATCAAATATTAAATGTGAAATCTGAACGTGCTGTCATGATGAGACAAACTGATTCACCTTATGTTGCTCAATTATATAGTAGTTTCCAATCTAAGGATTATTTATTCTTGGTGATGGAATATTTACATGGTGGTGATGTAGCAGCTTTATTGAAAGGGTTGAAAACTTTAGGTGATTGGACTAAACGTTATATTGCGGAAATCATCGTTGGTGTGGATGATTTACATAAACGTGGTATAATTCATCGAGATTTAAAACCAGATAATATCTTGATTGATGGTAATGGTCATTTGAAATTAACTGATTTTGGATTATCAAGAATCGGAGTGGTAGGAAGACAAAATAGAGATCATCGGAAAAGTAGTACTTCCGAACAAGCTATTGAAATTTTTAGAAGAGGTATAAATCAATATAATCAATATAATCAAAGTCCATTGGCCAGTGTTTCAAGTATAAATAATCTTAATATGCCTGGTCAAAATGCAAATTCAAATGCTCTTTCGAATACAAACACTGCTAATTCAAGTATCGGAATAGGTATTGGGATGGATTCACCATTATTTGAATTCCATCATAAACGAACAAGCTCAGTCACTCCTTTTTCATTATCTCCTAGTATTGAACATACTAAATTGAATAATCCATCACTCAGTGTTACATCGCCCACTCTTTCATATTTAGAGTCGTTTTCAAATCAATATCAACAGCAGCAGCAACAACATCAACAACAACAACAACAACAACAACAACAACAACAGCAACAGCAACAACAGCAACAACAACAGCAACAACAGCAACATCAGCTCCAACATCTGCAACTGCTGCTGCTGCTGCCCATGCCACCTCCATCAACTCATGCTCTGAGAGCTAGTTCATATTTCAAGCCAGGCAGATCTGGTTCAGGCTCAAATTCAAGTGGATTAGAATCACCATTATTAAAGCCTATCTTACCTAGAACCTCATCAGAATCTTCATTTGCTATATTTGAAGATGATATCCAAATAAGTCCATATCAAAATGCTTTAATAAATAATAGCAATCTTAATACTCCTATCATGCCTCCAACAACTGCATCATCTACAACTCCATCAACATCAACTGTGCCTGTTACCAACTATGCATTATTCGATCCTAAGAATGAAAATAATACTGCTATGATCAAATTCGTGGGTACTCCAGACTATTTGGCTCCTGAAACTATTGAAGGTGTGGGTCAAAGTGAAGCTAGTGATTGGTGGTCTTTAGGTTGTATTTTATTTGAATTTTGTTACGGCTATCCTCCTTTCCATGATGAGACTCCTGATAAAGTTTTTCAAAATATTTTGAATTGTGTTATTGATTGGCCTGATTTACCTCCTGATGAAGATGATCAATTTTGTCCTCCTGATGCTAAAGATTTAATTCGAAAATTATTGACCTTGGATCCTGAAGAAAGGTTAGGTTGGGGAGGTGCTGAGATGAAATCAAAAGACATCCATATTTCAAAGGTATTAATTGGGATACGTTGTTTGAAGAAGAGGCGTCATTCATACCAAGTTTGGAAGATCCAGAATCAACAGATCTCTTCGATCCTAGAGGAGTTGATATTTCTCATTTCCGTTTAGAAGGTGAAGATGATGATGATAATGATGACAGTGATGATGATGGGAAAGATATTGATATGTCAAGAAGAGGAACTAGTGGAAGTGGTGGTGATAACAATGATTCTCATTCATCCAATTCATTATTATTACCCCCAGGTTCAAGTCCTAATCTAAGTGGTGGTAATAAACGAGAAAGAAGAGGAAGTAGATTAGCTGATCCTTCAGAATTCGGCTCTTTCCATTTTAGAAATTTGACGGTTTTGGAGAAACAGAATAAAGATGTTATTAATAGATTGAAAAGTGAACATTTAGAACATCGGAATAGTTTCTCATCTTCATCGTCAGAATCCACACCTGCAGCTTCTAGATCTAGGGGTTATTCGTTTACTGGCGGTAGTCCGTTTAAGAGACCAGTATCACCTATTGGAATTAGATCTACATCACCTACTAAATATAATTCTGACACAATCAGTTCATCTTCTCCACAATCATTTAAAAATGAAAGATTAGATTCTGCTGTTAGTATCTATTCTAGCGGAGATGAAGATCATCATCTTCAACAATTTCAACAACATCAACAACAGCAACAGCAACAAGAACCTCCATCTCAATCTCAATCTCAATCTCAATCTCAACCACAACTGCATACTTTACAGCACCGTCCATCGTTAAGTGTCTTACAAAAATTCAGAGATTTTTCATCATCAAGTTCAGATAATGAGGAATCTAAAACTTCGGCTCTACTTCGGGTACAACGCAGAAGGGAAAGTTCAAGAAGTTTTCTACCAGATGGTGTCACTAACTATTCATCAACCTCGCTTCAAAAGGAACTTTATGTTCTTTACTGTGAACCAATACCTATAGTCCGTCATAGTGTATGCAAACATTTGGAAAAATCAGGATGCATCGTTCTTTCTATCCTGGATGGTGAAGAGTTAATCAGGAGAGCTACTAGTAAGGTCAAATTTGATTTAATATTTACTGCTTTAAAGTTACCAAAGGTGGATGGTATTGATGCTGTCAAACTTATTAAATATACAACCACATCAAATAGTATCACTCCAATAGTGGCACTTACTGGATTTGCAAGTGAAGCTACTGAATCTATGGTGTTTGATTATATCATTGAGAAACCCATTAATTATAATGATGTCGAAAGATGTCTTTTATATTTTAATGATCAGGCTATCTCTGATACTGAGGATTAGAGTTAGTTAATTTAAAGTTTATAGATATTTAATATATGCTTTGTAATTATTTATTTGAATTTTATATACTTCAAATACTATAATATATATTAGAATTAAATTATCATTAATAAGTTAATTACTGTAATATTTCTAAGATGGGATTAAACCTTTTACAAATTCATAAAGCTCACTAACATGTTTTTTAAAGAAGCCGAATGTTACCAATATTACCAGCATCCCCAAAACAAAAGGGTTTAAAACTATTTGACAAGCGAAGACCCTCATCATATGCCACTTAAAGAAGTAATCTAAGACTGATAAAATGCCAGCTATTGTATATAAAACAATGGAAATTCCAAGAGCTATTAATTTACCTTCGGATAATTTATTTTTTGAATTTTCTATCATTCCGTAAAACCAAACCCCTATCATAGATATAATGACAAAATAAGTAGTTAAACATGCATGCCACGACATACCTCTATGGAAGTAGACGTGGTATCTATTGAGTATGTTTGGGTTTGGATTAGGTGGGTTTTGTCCATTGGGTGGGTCGTTTGGATTAGGTGGGTTTTGTCTATTGGGTGGGTCGTTTGTATTAATGGGTGGGTCAGGTTGGATTTCATCGTCACCAGTTAGTTCTTCTTCTTCGTCATCAGTTCTCCTCCTATATGGACTTCAGCTTCATAGTCAATGATATCATGATTATCATTTGGGTCATTATCTCTTTCATCTAAACTTTCATTACTATTGACCGCCGCTTTATAATTTTGATTACTGAAGTTAACTTTATTTAAATCAGGTTCAGCTCTTCTGGCGATATCCAGTTCAAGTGATTCTACATCGATGTAGACTTTTCCTGCTCTTTTTGGAGAATCTTGACGTGTATAGAATCCTCTGGCAGTCTCGTTTGATAAATGCTTCTGGATATTGCATCTCCAAATACGTTAATGGATTTGAACGTTCATCACGCTGCAGATATTCTCCAACACAATATTCAGAACTGATAGATGATGTGAGTGGTGTCTTTTTGATTGCATTAAGTGGAACTGAACTGGATGATTGAGTTGTGAATGGATAATTTTTGTTAATAACCTTATTAAATAGGATTTTCTGATAGTGGATGGAATAATACCGTATGGGTTTGTTTAAATCTAATTGAAGAATCTAAAATCACCTTACGTGTAACTGGTTGCTTGTTAGAATTTATTTCGCTATGATATAACACTTTTTTTAGATGATATAAAGATGGATTAAACTTTTGAAGAAGGAAACATACCCCTGAAAGTTTATCCTTAAACGCCTTTTTTTTGCTGCCAATTCACATGAAACTAGAAAAAGAAAATATTTAACAGTTTCATACAAATTATCAACAATCGATTTACAAATTAATGATATTAATGATATATATTTATATAGATATTATATAAATATATAACTATTAATTGATTTTCGTCCCTCCATGAACAATATTATTGAATAATATTCTGCATGATCGTTTAAGCTTAAAGTATTTTTAACTTTGATTCATTGAATCAGCTCATTGATGCTATGAATGAATGGATTAGCCAAAGATGAAAACAATTGATAGATCAATTAATTAATTCGTCTACTGATTGATTGATTGATTGAATAGATAGATAGATAGATAAACAAAGATAATTAATAAAAATTAAGGTTAGTAAAACGTCCTATTGATGCGTAGTAGCATACTTACTTATATGTAGTGTTTATCTTCCAATCAAGATATATTCCTTCAAACTAAGAATTTGAAGTTAAGAATATATATAGAATATATACACAAGTGTGTTTGGAAACAAAATGGTTTTTGTCAACCACACGGCAAATTGATTATATAATCAAAATTATTTTTTTGCAAATTGGCCTATGCAGTACAAAATATTGTCGGATAATATTCCCATTTCCCATCATATGACCTACATAACGTGACTTGTATGCAGTCCTCTAAATATGCTACTTTACATTATTTACTTTACTATATATATCTCTACTTTCCTATAGTACTATGACACTTAACTTCTCTAAGCGTAATACAAACATAATCCCTTATAGATAAAATAATTAAAATATTTTTAATTTCAATTAGTAACATTTATTCATCAACCATATAGTGGACAACCGAAAAATTTAGCTACTCAAGAGTGTGAAATGGCTTATTTACCCATTTCTAATTCATGCAGTTCTACAGACTCGAAGCAAATTAAGAATCCGCTCAAGTCATATTCAACAAACAAAACCAATTCAAAATATTCTGCAACTACTTCATCTTATTCAAGTGAATCAGATCTAACGGCAGAATTAAACCATCTTGATTCAACAATTGAAACTATTGAGAATCAATTTGAAGAATATCACAAGGCTGATTGTGAGAGTATAAGAAGGAGATACCATGCAACTTTCTGTGCTCGACAATATAAAAGCTATTATACGATAATTGGTGCTATACTTTTGGAAATATTCTTCTTTTTTTTATGTATCTTTAATCCAATATGATATTCAACCTCAAAACATTACCATTTCATCTTTATGCAGTGAATAATATAAGTTTAGTTCTTAGAGTTATGTAATTTTCTTTATAAGTTTAAATATTACATTACATTAATTCCTGTTTTGGATTTCAGCGTAATAAATCAATTCATTATGCTAATGCCTACTTTATTTTCTTTTATTTTCAGCCCAATTTTGAACAGATTACTTTTCTTAAAATTAAGGCCTTATTTTTAAATCATGTCTACTACTGTTCACTGTGATTGTTGTCATTGTGTTAAAGCAAATAAAAGTCCTGTTGTTGAATCTTCAAATGGAAATGCAAGTGCTTCTTATGAACTAGATGAAATGAACCAAGCCATCTCGGATGAAAGTTTGATTCAATTTGGTAAACGAATTCACAATATAAGTATAGCTATCCAAAACTTAAAAGAAAAACTTCAAAAAGATTATTCTGATGAAATAAAGAAAGAGTTCAATTGTCGCGATTGTGGATTAAGCTTTGGTGCTATTTTAATATTAACAGGTGCCTTTCTAACAATCTTTACACCTAATTTTCTAGGTGCAACAGTTTGATTCAAAATTTGATAAAGACAAGTTAACTCGAAAGGTTTTATTGACTTCATAATGAACAGATTTATAATATTGAACAAATTTAAAATAGTATTTATATTAATATACCATTGATACCTTTGTGGTGAATCGAAGTAAACATTCAACAAATTGTAGTCCAACAGATTTATTAAACTTAAGTTACTTCCAGTCAAATTACATTTCCTACTAAACACTAAGCGTAATATGAGTTTTCAAATCGGTCAATATATTTGACAGTGAAATAAATGATATTATTTTAAACTTATTTATTTACAAATAATATTATCAGTTATTCAATTCTATGAAAAGCCAACAATCAAGTGCTATGCCATTTAGAAATTCGACATCTCAAGAGATTGAAATGGCTCAATTACCCAATTCTAATTCATACAGTTCTACAAACTCCAATAAAATTAAGAAGAATTCAACAAATAAAACCAATTCAAAACATACTGCAACTAAATCAAATCTAAAGGCTGAATTAAACCATCTTGATGCAACAATTGCAAGTATTAAGAATCAATTTGAAGAATATCACAAGACTGATTGTGAGAGTATAAGACAACAATATCACACATCCTTTTGTTACCGTGAAACAAAATTCTTTTATGCCATATTGGCTGGAACGATTTTGGAAGTATGCTATTTGGTCTATTATTTATCTTTATTGGGATGATATTCAAATGTAAATGCTAGTTTATTTTAATCGTTATAGGTGTTAGTAATTATTTCTACCATTTTAATGACAAATTTTTATGTATTGTATTTCAAGCATAATAAAGAAATAGATAATGCTAATGCCTACTTCATCTTCTTTATCTACAAAATATTTTTAAAACATTTACTTTTCTTTCACTTAATGACTTGTTTATCAGATCATGCCTGTTGATATTCATTGTGACTGTTGTCATTGTATTCCAGATAATTCAAATCCTACTGTTGAATCTTCTGATGAAGTCATTTCATTGAGTAATGAACTGGACAATTTAAAACTTTATTTTCAGATCAGATCTACTATTCCTCAATGTGATTGCTGTTACTGTATTACAAGTAATACAAGTCCTACAAAACGAACCATCTCAAGTGAAGACTTGATTGAATTCGGTAGAAGAATTCATATGATGAGTGTTGAAATTAGAAACTTAAAAATAAAGCTCAACCAAGATTATACTGAAAATATAAAGAGAAAATTTAATTGTAAAGATTGTAACGATGGTTTTGGTTGGTTTTTGCCAGTAATATCTCTCTTTATGCCATTCTTTTTGGTAAATATTATCTTTGCAACTGATATTCTTGATATAATAAATAAAACTAAAGGTCGGTGAAGTTGCAAAATGTAATATAGATGCCTAATGAAAAATTAATTCTTCTATTAGTTATATAATTGCGTTAATATACAATTGAATACTACTCTATATGAATGCTTAATCTTTGAGTGAATAGTTCATATTTTAATTTATTTATCTATTGTACACTTGTAATCGATCAACACTCTAATTGCTAATAATATTGACAGAGAAATTAAGTTTGATAAGTTAGCAGAATACAATTTATAATTAAACAACTTCAACTTTCTTGTCCTTCTTTCAAAATTCTTACATAATTTATTCAATATTCAATAGATCATTAACTTATAGTAAGTCTAGTTTTCAACATAATAAGGTACCACCAGACTCTTTAAGTTCAGATATTACAATGACACAATTTCCTAAAATAACTTCAAACATAGATATTACATCTGTTAGTGATTTCCAACATATTCAAACTGGAACTGAGCTTGCCAAACACTTCATGATCTAGATACAAAAATGAAAGCTATAAAAGTTCAAGTTGAGGAATCTTTCAAAGTCGATTGTGAAAGTTTAAGAAGTCAAGATCGTGACTGGACTTGTGCAGGTACTAAAGGACTTGTTGGTTAATAGTGTCTGCTTTGATTATAGAGATGTTGTCTTTTATGATTTTTTTCATCGATTCAATATATGAATTTGATTTATCTTGAATATATACTAGATTTATCGATTCACTTTTATATATCAAAACCTTTTAAAGAAATTATGAAGAACATGAAACTAACTATTGACAGCCGTTTAGAAATCATGAATTAATTTCCATTGTTTATCCTCATCATTGTGACTCTTGTCAGTGTAGCAGAGGGACAAGTGTTGAATCCGAATGAATCATTAATTATAACTCCATCCATAGATTCAAGTTTCACTTTAACTCCATCGATAAGTTCTAGTACATTTGATAAGAATAAACACAGCGAAAGAATTAATTCTATGGAGGCTGATCTCGATATTATTAAAACAAAAATAGTAATCCAAATATTAAGAATAAACAATACAATGTATAAAGGCAACACTAAAAATAAAGTAGCAGGCACATCTAAACATGATTCACAAAACCCTTGACTCACATCTTTAGAACTTGTATATAAGATATAAACAATGAATTTGTTTGAAAATTACAACCTCCTAAAATCGTTATAAGCATATGAAAGAATTATGAGAAATGGTTATATTTAAAGTCTAAGCGTATCACAATTTTTTAATCTCTTCTATATACAAAGTTATTCCACATAAGAATCAACTTTACATTTGTACGAGTAACATTATTTCAGTATGAATGGTCATCAACCATATAGTGCACAACTGAAAAGTTTGGCTTCTCAAGAGATTGAAATGGCTTATTTACCCATTTCTAGTTCAAGCATATCTATAGACTCCAATCGAACTAAGAATTCGCAGGAATTATATTCAAGAAACCCAAATTCTTCATATACGACCAGTTTTTCAACTGAATCAGATCTAATTATCCAACTTCAACTTCTTGATGCAACAATTGATAATATTAAGGTTCAATGTGAGAATCATTGTCATGCTAATCGCACAAGTATAACATGGAAATATCATACATCTTTCTGTGTCCGACAGTATAAAAGTTATTTGGCTATAATAGCTGGGATCACTTTGGAAGTATGCTTTTTCTTCTGTTATATTCATTTTGCATATGGGGTAACAGATTCAAAAACTAGGTAAGATGTAACCTTTCTTCTTAAAGAAATAATTCGTTAAAGATAAATATATTTAATTACGTTTACCAACGATAACAAGTTATCGCGTTACTTGAATATGAGGTACTTGTAGTATAATATTTTACCTCATTCTTTAATTTTAAGCATAATAAATGAATACATCACTGATTACTTGATATTTTCATTTTCATTTTCATTTTCATTTATCTTCAAAATAATTTTAAGCCAATCAGTTATATCCATGTGTATTACTCCTCATTGTCAGGGTTGTTGTCATTGCATTAACGTTAACACGCCATATGTTGTCAAATCTTCAAGAAATGAATGGTCACTGAACAATGAACTATACAAAATGGTACAACCTATTTCAGCTCCAAATTTGATCAGATACATAGACAGAATCCATAATATGAGGGTTAATATTACAAACTTAAAAGTCTTAATCAACAGAGATGATTCAGAACATATAAAGAGTCAGTTTGCATGCGTTTACTGTGAGTGTGGCTCTTTTGCTTTCTTCGGATTCACATTGTTATTTATAGTATGCCTTTTGCCTACTGTTCTACTTGCAAATCATATTCTAGATATTATAAATAAAATCAATGGACATTAATTCAAATGGTCAAACTTATAAAATAGTTTCTTATGAAAAAAAATAATTCAATAATTATATAATTCCGATAATATATGACTGAATCACTATTTTAATCGTAAAAAGTAATAGTCTTATATGTGTAGGCTATGAACTATCTTGTAGTGAAACTATAATTCAGAAGAAATCTATATTTAAATGAGTAGTATATTTTAGTAATATTTTGCAGTTCCTACTAATCGCTAAGCATAGCATATGCTTTAGATTATATTCGGTGAAATATCTGGGTATACCTTTAACATTTTATGCTGTTTATTTCAATCAGCTTTTTTTTATTTTAGAAATATACAAATCCTCTTTGATTATTTAATAGGAAAGTATTTCTCTTGATTTGCTTACATCTACAAACAATAAACAACTATACAAATTCAAACGCTCAATGGAGAACTCTATCAATACCATTTCTGATTTACATCTTCTGGATAATTGCTACTCAACAGAATCACATCTTATTAATCAACTTCAATGTCTTGATAATACCTTAACAAAACTTAAAGAAGAATCTCAAAAATATGGTCTGAATGATGATGATAATAATTCTTGTGCTAAACATTATGGTGTCGACTTTAAAATCATTAGAATAGCATTCTTTATAGAAGTTGTATTCTTTCTTGGATTTTCAGTATACAGTGCAGTGAACAAAGATTCAGAATAGACTACAAGTCATTATATTACAAAATAGAATGTCAGTAGTTTTTATATAAACCCTTTTGTATAATACAGATACGTAGATGAAATTCTAATGTACAGAATACTTCAATAATTTCTATATCATTTGTTATGCTAAAATCTAATTAATGTTCTATGCTTAAATTCAGATATTTCATATAACCAGGGCTAACCATTGCAAATAATATATATGTATCTCCTTTGACCTATAGCAATATATATCAAACGATGTCAAGTGAAAATTTCAATCTTTGCAAATGTTGCCACTACAGTGGCTCCCAAAAAACCGAAGCAGAAAGTTATACATCGGTTGAACATAATCTACCTAAATTTCATAATAATAATATGGATAATGCAACAGCTATGCTAGAGTCTAACAAAATTCAAGCATTACAAAATATTTCTGAAGAAGGCTTGATTAAAATTTGCAAACTAATCCAGACCATGAATAGCGAAATTGACATCTTAAAGAATAGAATTAACAAGAAGCCGGTGAAGATAGATTTCGATTGTGAAGATTGTATAGGAAGCAATTTTTTGACATTTTTAATGGTATATACTTTTGCCCTAATGTTCATCGGAGTTATGGTTTACGGATCAGATATCGCTACTACATGAAATTAAGTATGAGCAGATGGTATGAGAATATGCCTCGTCTTTTTTAGTTTGTTTAGTTTTAACTCATTCCAAGTCAAGAAAATTATTTGATCAGAAGCTTTAAAATCTGAGTATTAATAAAACCAACTTTTAATCGGGTAAATTACCTTTTATTCTTTCAGATATTACTAAGTTGTTAGTCACCTATCTCTATTGGACAAGATCAATTATAATCAATTCTATAAGAATTTTAAATCTCAATTCTGAAATTTAGTATTGGTTAGTTCATTTCAGCCAATTGTCTAGAATTACTTATATTGGAAAGTTGATTTCTTACATGGGAACTAATAAAATTATTATTAGAAGTTAATTTATTTACTGAATCAAAATCTATCGAAGGGTTATTTTTATTTATTATATACACATATGAATTTACGTTTCATTTAAAGAATGGTAATTACCTCTCACATTCGCGCTACATGTTTTAGTACATTATTAAACAATAAAAAGTAGAAATTTATTCTGATAAAATAGAGCTAACATAAGCTCAGAGATATAAATAAGCTATCCATCCCAAAAACATGACGAAAAGGAAGAATGTACCACAAATTAACATACACTACAATATATCTATAAGAAATTGGTAACACGAAAAATTTTAAGTTAAATATTCAAAACTAGCTAACTTTTAATATTTTCGAATAAATTTCGAAAATTGATTGAAATGAGTTATCCAAGTTCGAAAGTCCTACCATAACGACACTAAATAAAAATAAAAGAATTGAATGTTCACATTCATCTAATGTCTTTGAATAAATAAATCTGACCCAACATAGATTATAGCAGCATTTATACATTGCAATGTATTCCGCTATCATGATAGACAGGAATACCATGCTGGTAATGCTATTACTGAAACGTTTATAGCCTTCTCCAGTTTTTCCAGATGCAACAATTACTGTTGAAATAAAAAGATAAAAAAGAAACCCATACACAAGCAAGTGGTCAAACGTTAAGTTTCTCCACGTGCTGTGATTGGGATCTTTGTCCCTGACTGCATTAGAATTGTTATCACCGCCTCCTCCACCACCACTACCACCAGCATTGGCACCAGGGTTAGCTCCAGTATTACCACTATCACCACTGCCAGCATTTGCACTAGGGTTAGCTCCAGTGTTAGCATATCCGAACAAACCTTTTAGCCAATCTTTGAGCTGATTTGAACCAGCTTTAGCAACTGGTTTAACTGCAACAGCTCCAGAAGTACCCGAACTACCAGCATTAGGAGTAGATGTAACATCAGCACCAGAAGTACCCGAAATAGCAGCATTAGGAGTAGATGTAACAACAGCACTAGGAGTAGATGTAACAACAGCACTAGGAGTAGATGTAACATCAGCACCAGAAGTACCCGAAATAGCAGCATTAGGAGTAGATGTAACAACAGCACTAGGAGTAGATGTAACAACAGCACTAGGAGTAAATGTAACAACAGAATCTTTTGGAGCTCCAGTGTAAGGACTAGGATCAGCTTCAATATTAAAATCAGAATTGGTACCAAGATTGGCAACGCTTTGTGGAATAACAGGAGAACCATCCCCAACTTGAAAAAATTTATAAACAATTCTTTTTTGATTTGGGGAATCTAAATAAAGAAACAACAATCCAGATTCTTGAATTAATGTAGCAATGTTGGGATCAACACCTGAACCAACTTGCTTATCGTTTTGATTTTGATCTGAAGTCAGGTTAATTGGACTTAGGATTGCTGGTTGCTGAATTGCACTTGCAGCTCCAGGCATACGATGATGATGAAGATGATGATGATGGTGTCTTCTAGTCTCGATTAAACTTCCTCTATCCTGTTGCATGTCGCTATTGGAATGGAGATCAACTTGTAAATTTGAAGAAGCGGCACTTTTATCGGCGACAGCCTCGAGGCTAGAAGATCGCTCATTTGTAATAGCTTTCTTTTTTGGATTACCATAGTTATCAGCAGGTGAAGTAATTTCAATCAGTACTCGTTTCATATGACCTTCAGAAGAGTGTTCAGATGAAGATTTGGGTGGCGCAATAGTAAATAAACTCCTAAAGCTTCTATGTGCCTTTATTTTAGGGGTAGTAGTCTCAGCTGACATCTTTGATAGTTATAGGTGGTTAAAATCAAATGTAAAACTGGTGGGAAAGTTCTAACTTTATACTTCGCTATCTGAAAATCTGAAACATCTTGTTTCAGATATTTCTTTACATCTTTAACTTGAAAGAAAGGAATAATGTGTCACCTATTTTTAATAAAACATTAAAACTGCAAGTATTGTGGCGATTTCAGTGTTGTCTTGGTTTGGTTTCATGATTTGTATTTCTTCCCATATCAATCTATATCTCTATTTTGAGCTTTCATTATAATTCTCTAGCATTTATTGATTTTATCTCAGATGATGGATAGTAGTGTGAAATACAAAACTACTGTCGCTACCAATTAAATCGAATTTAATGTCATATATATCAGAGGAAATTTTGATTAATACTTCTTGTTCCTGAAATAATCGGTTTTTTTTCTATGTTTATTATTTCAGATTTAACTTCTTAAGAAATAATTGTTTGAACCTCTTTATTAGTAGGTTATTTAAACGTATTTAGCTTTTCGTTGGCAAATTTCTTTTTTATTTCTTGACTTCTCAGGACTCTGAAACATTGAAAAATAAAATAGCTAATGTTCTAATATAACGGACTTATACTTGTCTAAAACTCATCATCTAAAAACAAATTTGAAACAATTATGATATATGTCCTCTATTAATTTCAATTCAGGAGTTTGGGACTTTTATTTGAACAATATTTTGGTCTTATGGAAATTAGAGTCTTAAGATATCCATTCTTGTAGTATTTAAAATATTTACTGTAGCGAAACTTATCGTTTTAATCTGCTAAAGTTTTCGTTCTCTGTCGTTCGTTCAATTCTCTTCTTTATTACAATCAGAACTCTCCCATTTGTGCTTTTGATATCTAATTAGTGTCATACCTTCTATCATAATAAAGATTTTTCAAGACTGTTAATCATAAAATTCAAACAGTTAAAATGCCAGAATCACAAACCTTAATTGGACTAGTTTAAGAAAACGAAAACATTCAATTATGTGTTGCACTAATCAAATATTCTTATACATTTCGCTAGCACTTTTGTTTGAGTTCTTCTTGGGCTTCGTATATTTTATTTCTTTTTATATATTTGTGTTTACCTAGATCGTTAGTAACTAGAACTCAGAATTGGATCATATAAACAAACTTTCAATACACATATAGTCTATACTAGAACTTCTTCCTTTTCACCTGTAATCAAACAAATCATAATGAATCTCTTATCGATCAATTAGATATATTATTATGCTAAGCCTTCTCAGCTTTCTACTTAAATTCGGTAGCATTTATTTCCAGAGAATAAAATTTTCAGTAGTTCACATTTATTTATTAATCATTTATATTATGGATAGAGTAGCTCAGAATGATTTACTTCATGTTACCTCTACAAATTCAGAGGCCCAATAATTGCATGAAACTATTAGTACTATTGAAGATATTTCTTCAGAAAATCAAGACAACGATTTAAACAATGACAAGTTTAAAGATTTGAAAAGATTTTTAAATAAACTTCATGAGTATTTCCTTGAATTACATCTTGAGTTTCTTGAAGATAATAATCCCAAGGCTATACAAAGAATATACCCACCTAATGTGACATTAGATGAAAATTTCTGCGGATGGTGTAAAGGATACGGATGGCTCGTGGTGATCATAACAGTAGTTTTATTTATCGGTTGTGTAGCTTTTAACTGTTTTATGGGATCACTAATTCTTACATTGCTAGAAATCAAATCCAACGGTAAATAGTTAGTCTAATATATATATAGTTCTAGTTATGATTTGATTTAATGAACGTTATCTTCACTATTTTAGAAGTTAGAAATAAATTTGTTATGTTAAAGATTGTTCAGCTTCTACAAAAAGATTAAATGTGAGATATTTAACTTTTATTTTTGTATTTCATTTAGATTTAATTTTTCTTTTCCTTTTCTTTTCCACTTTTTTCATTCATTGATCTAACTATACATCATGCCAACTAATAATTCAAGTTCAAGGTTACAACAACCATTTCCGGAAATGAATACCAATTCAAACCCAGAACAAAGTCCAACTCCAAGTTTACTTGAAATTAGTAATAAAATCCAACAAATCAATAGTGATGTCACTGCCATTGAAAAACAATTAAAAGCTAAGAAAAGAAAGAGATTAGCCATAAAAATTTTACATTTTTTAGTTCCTTCACCTATGAATATTCTTGCTTTTTTTATGTTAGGTGGTCTGTTAGCTCATAATATTTATTATTTGGTTTTAATCTTAAAATCAACATGAACTTTTGTAACTTTACATAGTTTTTTAAATGTATAGGTTTTAACATACTTTTATTATTAAACTTTTTTTCATATGCTTAACAAAATGTAAGATTGTTAAAAAGTTGTTGCGAAAACAGTGGGAAAAAAATGAGTCAGGAAAAAGAATGACTTTTTTTTGCATCTTTAAGCATAACAAATATATAGTTAAAAATAAACAAAAATTTAACCCAAGACGAGAAAATCACAATGTAATACCACTTTATATTCATTTGTATGTTGGTCCGGGATGAAATATTGTTCTAGTGATCTTGAGGAAACCGACTTACTAAGAGGAGGAGATAGTGATAGTGACGACGAACATAATATATATGATTATAAACGTCATATATTATTCAAAGTTTATACCTGTTTACAAGATAAAATCAGAGATCAAGTGGTTAGATATCATGGGATTGAAGAGAATTCCCAAAATGTGGTGTTTTATCATGATTTAGAACCACAATATTTCCGAGAAAATAAACTTATGATGCATCTGGATGTTTATTTCAATAATTTTAAATATTTCCGAGATCATCATACGGTGATATTATCGTTTGAATTAGGTATAGACGATAATGGTGAAGGAATGAAAGAATTATTGAAAAGATTTATAGTGATTAATGATTTAGAACCTGAGATAAAAATCATTCTTCATATTAAAAAATGTTTCCCCTTAGATCGAGACCATTGGAGATTCAAATTACCTGATCATTTACTTCGAAAACTTCAAATCGTAGGGTTTATCTTTGATACTGATTATATCGCTCATGATTGTCCTTTAAGTTATCATCAGATCATTGATATATTACCCGTGATTTCAGTTGCATGGTTAACCAAACCTATCGTTACTGTATTTTGTATTGGAGAAAAAGTTCGATTAAAGGAAGATGTAGCCTTGATTCAATTACCTAATGTTAAATATCATGGGTTTGAAAGTTATGATATTGATTTACAATATCGATGGGGGAAATATTTCCTTAGTAATTTTAACACTAAGATTGAAAAATTAGTATTACGGAATTTTCTAATGGGTACTATTTCAATTAAATTTTTATTCCCCAATTTAAAAGAACTTTATTTGATTGGATATCATGATTTACCATTGAGTATATTTGATATAAATAAAGCAATATCAAGAGATGGGCTTTTAATTAAGATTTTAAGTTATTATAATGTGTGGAATCATCAACCAAAGATTGATCATATTGGAGATTCATTTAAATTATGGATCAGTAATGAACGGAATGATCAAAAGTCTTGTGTGAGTTATACTAAGACACGACAAGAAGTTACTCTAGTTGAATTTGAGCCTCATTATCATTCCAATTTGGATTATTTACAAGGACGAGAATTTAGTTGGGAATTCTTATCCATATATGTTACCACTGAGGAGATGAGTGAGGAGGATCATAAGACCATCAAAGAGAGAGATGAAGCATTGGCAAGACAAAGAAATGAGTGTTAACAAGTATAGAATCCCTATTACTGTTGAACCCATCGATCCAAGACTTATATACATATCTCATAGTGGGATGTGTGGTGTGATGGTGATGGTTTGAACAGGTTGGTAGCCTCAAGATTATTCATTTGTGCACAGTTGCGTCATCAAAAAAAAGGAAACATTTTGAACATTTCACACTACCATACTTTAAAGCGAAAGTTGGAGAGTTCTCATATGAAGAAAGAAACCGAAAAAAAATTTTGGGTAATTAGTTGTTTATACGTATCAAGTTATAGATAATTATAATCGAATATATCCACCATGCCATCTCAAGAATTCACTGAAAAAGTAAGTATCAGATACGTAATGGGAATGATTGACCAAGTGTCGAATTGAATTGAATTGAATCGGATTGAAATTGATTCAATTAGCCTCAAGTTTTGATTCGCCTTCCCCCACTCAATCCATTTTTTACAACCCAAATCAACACAACATACTAACTAACACACACATTAGGCTGAAGCTGTTCAAAACTTAACCACCCGTCCAAACGATGATGAATTATTAAGTTTATACGGATTATACAAACAAGCCACTGTTGGAGATAATACTACTACCAAACCAGGTATTTTTGATTTAAAAGGTAGATATAAATGGCAAGCATGGAAAGATTTAGAAGGTACTAGTCAAGAAGATGCTGAAACTCAATATATCGAATTAGCCACTTCATTAATTGAAAAATATAATTAGATTATTTATTTATTTAATTAGATATGAAAAAATATATATACAAAGTTTATGATTTTAACAGTATGTACGCGTCTCTGGTGAATTCTTTATTGATTCGAATTATGGAATCAATTAAGATCAATAATGGGATAAGTAAGTATGGAATGTAAAGCAGAATCAAATTGTAGACTTCATTAGGAGTCAAAGTCATGGTTTGAGCAGAATTGGTATACACATAAGCTAAACAAATCAAAGTAGTGAATGAAGCATTGAATCCATAAAGGATGGAGAAGACATAATAATTGATCGTTTTTCTCTTTTTTAATAAGATATAAATGAAATAGAAAAACAAGGGTAATTGAAATACTAATTCGAAAAATCCAGATACTTTAAACCATAATGGTTTTTCAAGAAGTAAGATATCTCTATTTGTCAGAATATGAAAATCAAGAATAGTATGGGAAATAGGTAAAAGATATTGAGGAGGGATGACGATGGATGAATCGATTAAGATGGTGATGGGGACATGAAGGATGTAGTAGGCCAAGTAGAAGGTGTCTAATGATATCATGGTCATGATGGATGGATGGATGATGGTAGTGAAGAAAGAAACAAAGTGGTTAAAGGTTGGATTTGATAATCGTCAAATTATAAAATGGTGATACTTTCTCGTTCTCAGTTTTGTAAACAACGCCAAAACTAAACTGGTACGAAGACCCAAAAAAAAAAAAGATTTGATTTGATTTCTATTTGACAGTCAATTTTTCAAAACTAAAAGTTTAAATTTTTAACATAAGATCGAAAGTTAGATCAGGTCAAAGAGGATATGTTTAGAAGTTTAATACGAACCACTAGATCGTCTACTACAACCATACTAAAATCTATCACAATGTCTATTACCCCTGTTAGATCCATCTCCACTAATGTTGAGACATCTACTTCCTCATCTGCATTATTAGATCTCATTAATAAGACTAAGAAAGTGACAGTTAAACAACCGTTGGTATGGATAGATTGTGAAATGACGGGATTAGAAGTATTCCAAGATGATCATATTATTGAGATCTGTTGTATTATAACTGATGGAGATTTAAATATCATTGAAGAAAATGGATATGAATCAACAGTATATTATGATAAACAAGTCTTGGATAATATGAATGAATGGTGTGTTACCCAACATACGAAATCAGGACTTGTGGCTAAGATCTTATCTCATCCTGAACAAACCCTTGAGAAAGTGAATCAAGAGATTATAGAATACGTTAAGAAATATATTCCTCAAGAGAGAGTGGGGATCTTAGCTGGGAATTCAATTCATATGGATAAATTTTTCTTAATGAAGGAATTCAAACCATTAATCGATCATCTTCACTATCGATTGGTGGATGTTAGTAGTATAATGGAGATGGGGAATCGTCATAATCCTCGTCTTATGAGATGTTATCCTAAGAAAAAGGGAAATCATACTGCTAAACTGGATATTTTAGAATCACTTGAACAATTGAAATGGTATCGTGATCATTATTTAAAGAGTGAAAATGAAGTTAAAAGTTTTATAGAGGATTATGAATCTAAGCAAGTTGATATTGAAGGTGATGATAGTGATAAAGTAATTAAGAAGAGGAAGGTGTAAAGGTTTACGTAATCGGTTAGATATTTGAGAGGAGGGGAGGAGAGGAGGCTGGTATAGAACCGTAATTGAAAGAGATTAAGACGTGGCGTTGTTTTTTCAGGAACAATAATCAAATAAGGGCGAAGGCAAAGGCAAAGTAAAAGTAACATTAAAGGTCAAAATTAAAAGGCGAAGTTACGAGATGGAGATTAGATTGAAGGGAATCTTCTAGAAGCCAAATAAGGAAATAACGTTTTATAGTGATTAGATAGATATAGTAAGGAACCCATAATAAAAAAAAGCCTATAGAATAAATAAGGTGACAGTATTTTATAGTAGAAGGAGATACGAAGAGATGGAGAGCACATGATTTCTAAGTAGTAGTAAACAAAGTAGTAATAATATAATTATAAATTAAGTAATGACAAATAGTAATGATCTTCACCAAAATTATTAATAACTAAATTATCATAGTTAATATGATGGTGAATCAAGATGATCTTCTCTTTATGATTTTTTTTACAGTTTATTTCGTTACTAATACGCTTATGTAATCGGAATCAGCAGAAGTTACAGTTTAGACATAACCATTATCCTAAGACCGCTTATGTAATCGGAAATAAACTGCAGAAAAATTTCTTTTTTTTTCCGAGTGTCAGCCATTTTTTTTTAAAAAGTTTGGAGATTTCGGATTCGGATTTAATGGGCAAGGATATTAAATGTTTAGTAATTTTAACTTCCATTGTCTCCGAACCGGAAGTGGCTGATTGATCACCCTCGTATGTTATGGTTTACACTTAGTGTCCTGTGATTCAGTGTCACTGAATCACACTGTTACGACCACTCTTTCCTCCATCCAGTAACTCCAGGTTTTGTTCGGGCTTAGTTATTTTAAGTTGTTTACGTTTTAATGTTTTTTTTTGAATTCGCGGCTGTCGGTAATAAAAAAAAGAAATGGAAATAAAAATGACAATTTATTTACGCTTACGCTTACGTTAACGCTTACATTACACATAGCCAGAATTGCAAAATATGAATAATCATAAATTGGTCTATATATATATTATAACCTTTGCCACTTTTATATTTCTAATTTATAACTTTAATTATTTGATCTGTCTTTAGTTTATATTTAAAGCCATTCGACAAGGTTATATCAAGAAGGTCATATCTATCATATACATATACATATACATATACATACATTCACCATGACTAAGAATATTCATCCTTGGAAATTAACTTACGATCAAACTTTAGATCAATATTATTATATCAATAGTCAAGATAATTCTATAACTTTTGATTTACCTTGTGAAGTGAATCATACTCCTTATAGTTCCATCTCTTCATCAAAGGGGAAATTCTTATCTAAATTGAAAAGATCCAATAGTGATAATGCTTATAATTGTTTCATAACTAATGCTACTAATAATAATAATAATAATAATAATGCTACAACTAATAATTCCAGTAACAGTTCAGTATTATCCAAAATAAGTTCAGTGTTATCTTTAAAATCATCTAAATCTCATGATTCCATGAATACCACCTCTACCAAACGTCAACATTCAATTGATAAATCCATACTATCAAAATCAACTAATAATAATAATACTACCACCACCATAACTCCTAATAATTCAGAAGAATCATCATTCAATATCTCATCATCAGACATGGACGATAACGATGGATCATCATCAATCATCTCAGGCTTAGACGATGAGTTCCTCATTAATAATTACTCCAACTTTAGAAACTTCGCCGGTACATCCGTAGTACATACTCCATCGTATGAAATGACAGATATAGAAGATTACGATCAAGAAGAAGAGGAAGAAGAACTCGAAGAAGAAGATGGTTCAATCAACTCCTTCGAAAGTGAATTCGAAGATGAAATCCATTCATTCTACGATTATACCTATATCAGAGATGATCATAATAGTATTGTCGATAATAATGGATACTACTATACTGATGATCAATATGAAAATGAATCTGAATTAGAATCAAATAAATTAAATCAAAAATATAATATCGATAAAGAATTAGAAAGACGTGAATTACGTTTACAAATGTTAAAAGAGTTGTATTAGTCCAAGTGGTGATTATACACTTGTTGGTTATTTATTTTTGGGGTAAAAAGTTTTTTTGGGGTAAAAGATTTATTTTTTTTTGGGTTAGACCTATCACTACCACATCATCATCATTATAGACACACACACATACACACATTAGATGGTAAGGTTGGGATGGGTCATACTTTCAGGTTATTATTAATTCATTTAGAGATGGGGTAAGTAGTTCAAACTACAGTTGCTATGACATTTAGGTAAAATAACTCATTTCATCAAATTCATCGGCGGTTACATTCGGTTATAATTAAAAAAAAAGCGTTATAAAAAAAATTCTGTACATAGACAAACTCTTGTTTCCTAAGCTAACCGTATTTCAATTTAATTTCGGTTGCAATGGATACTATAAATAGAGACAATAATATATTTATTTATTTAATACTTAAAAATGATTATCTGTAGTAAATAGTTATTGTAGTAAGGGGCTGCACTTGGAGATATATCCCCGTATTCCGAAATTTTACCATCTTAAGTTTAAACCCTTTTGACACCCTACAACCTTCGATGTTTCAGTTAAACTATGAATAATAGGCTTTGAAGATCTAATGTATGTAATTTAACTTAAATCTTGTCTTCTCCCCTTTTGTGAACCTTTCTTAATTCAGCCATTACAACCGATCTCATTATCAATGATTCATTTATTTTGGTTAATATATACAAGTTACTAATGTCTATTTACTTATCATGTCTTTTAATAAATCCATGACTATTTAATTGTTTTCTTTTCGTATTTAATAATTTCTTATCAGTTTGTCTAGCTTTCGTAATAGCAGTTTGTTTATTCTTTTCAATGAAATCTCCTACGAAATCTCCCATACTTTGATTAGCTTTAGTATTATTGGTATTCTTAATCATTGGTGGCATCTTAAGTATCTTTCTAAAATATGATGATTTAAATAATGAGGCTTGGATTAATGAAAATATCGAATTTATCATGAAATATAATACCACCGCAGCAGAGAAATTCTTGGTAATGAAAATAGATGCAATTGGTAATAACGTTAACATTGTTTTCATAGGTTTAGCCATTTGTTGATTCATACCAGTCTCCCCTCCAAATCTAATAACCATAATAATTAAAGCAGCAGATATACCTTGTAATCCTAAATAAGGATCAACATCAGCTAAATTTTGAAACCACGCATACCCTTCATTCTCAAATCCTTCTACAGGATGATTGGCCATTTTTCTTAAGGCTTGAAAGAACCCATACGCAAATGGTAATTGAATTAAAGGAGCCGCACTTAAATAAGTCTTTATCCCTTCCGATTTCATGATTTGTTTACGTTCTTGTAAGGCTAAATATCTCTCATTCGAAGTTTCAGCATTCTTAACATCATTCATAATTTGATCTAATTGAGGTTTAACTTTTTGCATTTTACTCATATTAACCGAACTTTTCATATAAAGGGGGAATAAAATCAATCTAATCCCAATTGTCAAACATACTATCGTCCCCCACCATGGTAATCCAGTATATACATGAGTTATCTCTAATAATTTCTCAATGGTAGCTGTTGGTCCCCATCCTTGCGCCATACCGATTGAATCTAAATATCCAAGTTCAGTAGAATGAAGTGTAGTGGTGATTTTATCGATGATTTCACCCGTAGATGAATTGACTTCTTCAAATGAAGGTAATGTATTAGATATAGTAGGTGTAGTGGTTGTACTGTTGGTGGAGTTGAATCTGATTGATGATAATGCCATGGATTTAGTAATTGTAGTTGGTGTAATGAATTGAGGTTTGAAAGCAAGAGTGGCATTCCTGCTTAGAAGGGATCTACTCCCGACCATAGACATAGTCGATCGACTAAGTCCAATTCTAATCATCGTTGGGAATATATGTGGTGGATGGAGTAGGAAGTTGAGTCAATTCGAGTTTCAATTAACTGATTTACAAATTGAAAAATTTTTTGTTGACTTTTTTTTTTTTGTGTGCGAATTGGTTAAAATAAAATAATTTGCAGCTGGATTAATCAGAACTAATAACTACAATTAACCATGTTGATTTATAGAACTCTATTACTATACATTAATGTATTTCTATTTATCATACTTATACTTTCATGGGATAAAATATCCTTACAAGGTATGACCATAAAGTATTTTGTAATAATGTATTATATCTGTCTATTGTTTCTTCTAAGATTCGTACTTCTTTATTCAATTCAGAATTAACTTTTTCTAGGGATTGTGAATCTGTATGACTTGGGGTTGATGCTCTTGATAATTTCAATTGTTCATATTCTATATGAGCTATATTCAATCGCTTCTTTAACTTATCCCGTACTAACCATTCCCGAACAATCATCATTAATATAAAACATGCTATAAAGCAAAACCCAGCAAATATTTGAGAATGAAAGAATGGTCGAGATGAAGTTTTACTTTTTAATAATAATGTTATAACTTCAGCAATTAAACAAAAAAATGAGATAAAAATATTCATTCCTGACCATGCTGCCGGTAAATTTTGAGGAAAATCTTCTAAAATATCCGCCGCTATAGGTTGAGCCATGGAACTTCCAATCCCCATTACTAACCCCACCAATGCTGAAAATCCAATCAATGTAGCATAATTCATCGCATTAATCCAGAAAGCAAATATAAGAATGGCAATTAATAAACTTATCCCACTGGTGACATTTGTTCGACCGATTTTATCCGCCATAAGTCCCATGATTGGTCGACCTACTACTTGAGCAGCATTTAAAATCGATGATAAAGCAGCTCCTTGTGAACTTTTCAATCCTACTGATGTGGCATAGGATGGAAGTGAGAATATTATTAATAAATATCCTACTAATGCCATAGCATACCAAAATGATAATAGTACAAGACTATAATTTTTAAATACTTTAATACTAAAAATAGCCTTGATATTTATAATTAAATTCTCTTTAGTTAACGTATCTTTTAAAGTAGGAGGATTCTTTAATCTTCGAGGTCTCATAATTAATAAAGCTAGCATCGCCAAAAAGAAGGTAACAATCCCACACATTCTAAGAGCCCATTTTTGATCACCAGTCTTTTCAATTAAACCGTTCACTGATAAGGAGAAGATCACCCCACCTAGACCTGATCCTGCCACCGCTATACTCATAGCCGTTGCTCTTCTTTTCTTAACCCAAGTTGGTAACACTAAAGTCCCCGGTATGAATACAAAACTAAATGAAATACCCACTAAAACACCTTGAGTTAAGAATAAATGCCAAAGTTTAGTAGAAAATGATGCAAGGATATAAGCAATCGATTGAACTAAAATCCCCACGAATGTTACCCATTTAAATCCAAATATCTTAAATGCAATGATATTTATAGGAGCTAAGAATTGAGCTAAGAATACCACTAATCCTCCAATTAAAGCATAATCATATTGAGTTGCTCCTGGAAATTTATCGGCTGATATATAAAAATCCAAAAATACTCCATAAGCACTATTGACTCCCCAGCATGATACTACTAACATCATGGTACATATCGAAATTATCATTGCAAACCATCCATCAATGGGATATTCCCCTTCTTCAACTTCATCATCGTGTTTGCCATCATCTTCAACATCATCATGTAAGTCATGAATGGTGCTATGTCTTGATATGATATCTAACTGATTGACCAATTCCGACGCTCGATAAGCTCCCCCAACGTATTGCTCTGAATATAGAGTACCACCATGTTGATCACACTCTGAGATTGAGTGCTTCTGATCATTTGATTTCATATTTGTTTCTGGATTATTTTCATTTCTTATTCCAAATCTACTAAGAGTAGTTAGAGTTTAAGACTATATGAGCTTTAAGGTAACTTTAAATGAATTAGACTGTCTGATTTTGGTCATCAGTAATTTGAACAATGATTAGAAATTATCAATTGATAATCGTTATCGAGAATGTCCAATTTTTTATCGGGATTTACGCGCGATTTGGGCGATAATTGGCCCCGCTGCCGCTAGTTGCTAAATATCAATAACGAGGTACACACGCTAATTTAACTAGCTAACTTTATTATTACTTGATAACCTATTTAAGCTTGCAATAGTCTTGGAAGTTCAGGTCTTTGTACATTAAGTCAATTAATTGTAAATTCAAGATCTGAAATGAAGACAATTGAATTATCTCAATTGGTTAATCCTCCAGTATTAAATGAACCAGTGAATGAAAATATTCCAATTCATTTAGTGTATGGAGATTTAATTCCAAAGGATATAAACGAAATAGATAATTTAGATAAAGAAATTGATGATTGGGTCAATGATTTTAATGAGGCCATAGATATCGTGCTGGAAAATACATCGGGTAAAGATACTTTAAGTACTTTATTAGTAAACCATGCTACTTGGAAAGATCATTTGGCATTAACTTGGGATTTCCATCAATTTCATGGCATAGATAATATCAATCATGCCTTAATCAATCAAACCAAACCATTTCACATTACAAACTTTAAATTGAACAAGGAAGTTGATGAACTCTTTAATAATGGATATAAAATTGATACTTATCAATCGAATAACCCACTTATTAAGGTTATCCTGGTTTTGATAGATGCTGATAATAAATTTGGTAAAGTGACAGGTGTATTTAGATTAATTTCAACTACAGAAGGTTTAAAAGCATATACCTTGTATACAGTTTTGGATAACATTAAAGGGTTTGAAGAGAAGAAATTTTCGAATAGACCAAAAGGTGTTAATCATGGTATTCATAGAATTAGAGAGCCTGGGTTAGCTTTGAATAACAACAGGTTTAAATGGGGTGGTGATAAACAACCAACTGTGTTAATCGTAGGAGGAGGTCAAAGTGGGTTGAATTTAGCTTCTAGGTTAAAGGCGATGGGTGTTTCTCATTTGATAGTTGAAATGAATCCTAAAATTGGAGATAATTGGAGAAATCGATATGAATCTTTAGTCTTACATGACCCAGTTTGGGCCATTAAATTACCTTATATGAATTTCCCTGATGTTTGGCCTCTTTTCACTCCTAAAGATAAATTAGGTGCTTGGTTTGAATCATATGCCGATTTAATGGAATTAAGTTACTGGACTAATCAAACGGTTCAAAAGTCTAGTTTTGATGAAAAGACCAATTTATGGAAAGTTAAAATATCAGACAATGTCACTGGAAACGTAATTGATTTGTATCCCAGCCATTTAGTAATGGCAACGGGTCATTCGGGTGAACCAAACATCCCAATATTTAAAGACATAACCAAATTTAAAGGTGAAATAATCCATTCATCCAAATATGAAACTGGAAAAGTATTTGAAGGTAAGAATGTTTTAGTGGTTGGCGGTTGTAATTCAGGACTTGATATTTCTCATGATTTGTATGAACAAGGTGCTCAAACTACTATTCTTCAAAGATCCAGTACTTGTGTAATCTCGTCAGAGGTAGGGTTACTGTTATTAAATAAAGGAGCTTATGAAGAAGGTGGACCAGCAGTGGAATTGGCAGATTTAGTGTCTCATTCTCTTCCAATTCAACTCCAAAATCTTCTTTTGCAAAAAGTTTATAGTGCTACAGTTGAAGCTGATAGTGACCTATATGACTCATTGAAGAAATCTGGTTTCAAATTGGACTCTGGTTTTGGTGGAACTGGACTAGTTGGAAAGTTTATAAGAAAAGGTGGAGGGTTCTATATTGATGTCGGGTGTGCAAAATTAATTGCTGATGGTAAAATCAAGATAAGACAAGGTGTTGAAATCGAGAGTTTTAATGAAACTGGTGTTACGCTTACAGATGGCACTATCATTGATAACTTATCAGCTATAATTCTAGCAACAGGCTACTCCAATATGAAGGATAGTACAAAAGGTCTCGTTGAATCTAACATTTATGACAATTTAAACTCAGTTTGGGGATTGGATGAAGAAGGAGAAATTAAAACAATGTGGAGAGATTCTGGTCACAAGTCTTTTTGGTTTATGGGTGGAAACTTGGCCCTATCAAGATATTTTTCCAAGTTATTAGCTCTAAGGATAATTGCTTATGAAAATGGTTATTTAGATTAATGAACGTTTGGATTAGTTAAATCACTCTCAAAATTTTCATGTAGAGATCTATATTAGTTAAAGTAATTCCAATATTGTTATCATCCCCAACTAACAACGTTGTTGATTCTTATATCGATACCCCTACATGGTTACCACAATAGCAGCAACATGATAAGCTTATTTATGTAAGTATCCAATGGTGAATTTAGTGAGATGTTTAATACTCTTTTATTAACTATAACTATGCTCAATATATATAACTCCTCTTAATCTTTAAAAGGGATCAAGACTTCTTGATATGGTTTATCCAACTCAACCCACCCAGTAATACCACCATCCAAAATTGTTACTTTGTAATCTTTTATGTCATTTTCATTAATATGGTCTTGGATCCATCCTGCAACCTTGACAGCTCTTTTTCTTGAACTATTACAATGAATAGCAATATCCTTAACCTCAGGCTTTTGGTTAATGATGACATCAAGAACTGTATCTTTGATATGTTCATATCCATCTATGGTAGTAGCAGGAATGCTTATAGATTCTTGAAGGATAGAAGGAGATCTATCGTTTCTCAAATCTAAAATGACGGTTGATTGGGGAGATTGTTTGATCAACTTCAATACATCTGCTGGAGCAGTTCTAGTAGCCGTTGCTTTTGGATCTGGGTATTTGTCCAACCAAATAAGGACAGGATTAGTACTAGCACTTGCCATTGTGATGATATTGGTATATATTAGATAATCAAGTAATGAAATAAATAATGAAAATATTTATACAATCTTTCTTCTCCCGAATATAATCGAAGTTTATTAAGCCATGTTGATAATTATACGCCGGGATTTGGTTGGTTTGTCGTCGTCACGTGACCATTAATTGGTAAGCAAAATATCATCACTATAAAAGCAAAAGAAACTTTCAGATGAGTTTAATTTTATAAAACCGTTTTCTTTGTTAAATATATCGAACGATAATACTATTACAAATGACTACTAAACCAGGATTTAGAAACGATATCAAATATGTGTTCAAGGAGTTATCGTTGGTGGACAAACTCTTACCATTGTTAATTATATTGGCTATGATTTTAGGTATCCTTTTATCAGTTTATGTTCCTCAAAGTAGAGATGCGTTTAATGGTGCCCAAGTCGTGGATGTATCTATTCCTCTTGCTGTTGGTCTTATTGTTATGATGATACCACCTCTTTGTAAAGTGGAATGGGAAAACTTTGCTCAATTCTTTAATAAAGATAAGTACCTTAAAGAGATTCTAGTTTCATTGTTTATTAATTGGGTTATTGGTCCATTTTTAATGTTTGGTCTTGCATGGCTTACCTTATTCGATGAAGATGAATATAGAGTTGGTATTATCATGATTGGAATGGCCCGGTGTATTGCTATGGTTCTCTTATGGAATCATATTGCTGATGGTGATAATACATTATGTGCTGTCATTGTATTAATTAATAGTTTATTACAAGTGGTATTATATGCTCCATATCAAATATTCTTCTGTTATGTCATTACGGGAGATTATCATTCATCAACTTTAGCTTATTCATTAGTAGCCAAGAGTGTCGCTTTCTTTTTGGGAGTTCCTTTAGGGTTTGGTTTATTAATTAGATTTGCATCCATTTATACTATTGGTTTAACCAAATATAACAAATTTGTATTACCATATATAAGTCCATGGGCTTTAATTGGGTTATTATATACTATTGTGGTTATTTTCATTGAAAAAGGTGATGAATTCATTAAGGAAATTGGATCAGCTTTAAGATGTTTTGTACCTTTAGTACTCTATTTCATGATCATGTGGTTTGGAACCTTTTTCACTTTACGTTGGTTATCTAATTTCACCAATGTTAGAAAATTCAACCTTAAAGTTCCATCTAGTGACTCTGAACCATCTATCACTGAAGAAACTAAATTATTATGTGGATGTGAATCTAAAATGGAAGAATTCCCTGAAAAGTGGAATAATGGATGTGCTGCTAATTATGCTAGTACAATCACCCAAACTTTCACAGCAGCTTCCAATAACTTTGAATTGAGTTTGGCTGTTGCTATTTCCATCTATGGTAATGGTAGTAAACAAGCCATTGCTGCCACATTTGGACCATTATTAGAAGTCCCCATATTGTTGATACTTGCCTTTGTGGCTAAATATTTCAAAATAAAATTCATTTGGTCAGACGTTGATGATCATAGAGAAGAAGAAGATGTGCAATTAGAAGGTGTAGAGTGTTCAGAGTGATTTAATGAAGTATATCTGTGTAAATAGAAGTTAGAGCTGATAAAAGTATTGTAAATAGCGGATAATGATAAATGAAAATTATAGAAAAATATACTAGAATAAAATGATAAAGATATGTAGCAACAGCAGGGAGCAGTTAATAGTAAAATTTATTGATCATATAATAAATAGATCTATTTATTTAATCATCTGAGTCATAATAGGATTCATTATAGTTTAACACAGTTGCAAAAATTAAGAGGTCGTGTGCAAATGCTCAGAATCACCAAAAAGAAAATTATTCTGAACTGATTTACCAAACCTGTTTACAGCCAAATTTGACGGTCAAAGGGGAAATATCATCAATATCTGGATATGTCCTTATCTAGACATATAGCTAGAGGGATACGGCATGGTGGTGGTCGATCCATCATACGACATCATCGAAATTTGCTGATTCATACTACTAATCTTGATGAGGGTATTACCTTACCTGAACATATCATTATTGAATATTTAAAATCAGATCATAATGATCATAATGACATACAAACTATAGAGAAATTAAGTTCCATCATTCTGAATTTACCCATTAACAAACAATCGACCATTTTAAATGATGTTAAGGAAGGTAATCATCACCCATCATCAACATTGATATTGAATATTCAATTACAATTGGGATTAAAACGATTATCCCAAGAATCAAACCATAATGAAGTTTATAAATTCATCGTTCAAACCATCAACTCTCATGAATCAATCCCCTTCCAACCCCAATTACTTGAAACCTTCTTATTCAATCTCTTACATATCGATAACATAACTTCAGTCTCATCATTACTTCATATTTTATTCAATGCATCTCCCCATATATCATTCTCCAATCAATTCTGGTCATTGTTATTAGCGAAGGTATGCCAATCAAGTCATTATCTTGGCGCATTGATCATTTATCATCATTTAGTGGATAATTATCAATTCTATGATCAAGAGAATTATACCAGTTATGCAAATAATTATAATAATCATATTCAATTTTTATTAACTCCATCAGTTATTGAAAACTTGGCCGTTATATTCCTGAATAATAATAATTCAAGTCATATCAAGGGTCTTCAACAATATTTTAAACGATTTTATTCATACGTCAATGATAAAAAAACTTTAAAATCATTAAAAATCAACTTGATTGAATGTTATAGTAATCAAACTAATCTTAAATCGGCATTGTATCATTTCCGAGATTTTAATTATAATCTAAGAGGGAATTATACGTTTAATAATAATAGTGAGAGTAGGACGAGTGATTCAGCCAAGATGAATTGGTCCAAAATTGAGAATTTACAACGAATTTCAAATGAAATTAATCATCAATGGAATATCAATAATATAGAATCCAATATCAACACCATTCCAACATATCCTGATGATTTTAAATCTCCCATTGATGAAATTCATGAACAATTATCATCTAATTTGTATAATCCCGATTATGAAAAGAATATTTATTCAAATCAACATAATTCTCAATCATTAGCATTGATAAATGGTTTGATTCAAACCAATGATTTACCTTCATTCCAATCTTTAATCACGAATTATATCAGAGATACCAGGAATTCCCTGTCGTCAAGTGATTTAGCCAATAATTTATTATCATTCATAAACTCAAATCATTTCAATTTATCAACATTTGTCATTAATGGACTTGCTGAATTGACCTTGTTTAATGAAGCATATCTTGTATTATCTCAATTATCAAATACGTTTAATAAAGTCCATGAACGGAATTTAATCAAATTAGAGAATTTCTCCAACGTCTTTCATCATCTTGATGCGCAATTAAACCAAGCGTTTGAACCTCAAGTATTGGAGTTCTTGATAAAGTTTATCCAATTTTATCAACAGTTGGATCACAAGTTTGATAATTCCTTACCATCTCAGATATATATCGATTACCTTGAAGTATCCTTAAATCACAGTTCATTAGAATCATTAAATTCATCCCATATCTTACCATACATAACCATCCTCAAATCAAAATCAATCCCATGTATATATCTAACTAAAGAAGCTTACGAATTACTTTTTCAAATCTGTAATGATTCTGAAAAAGATCATTATTTCCACTCTGGATTTATAAAAAAAACTTAAATTCGTCACCTGTACATATATAATTACACAAATATATAAATATACACCATTCTTAATCACTTCTTGGAGCCAGCATCTTTATAATTTTAACATCCTTACTATCGATATCTCCCACCACTGCAATATCTTGAGGTGTAATGAAGATATTTTGAGATTTAGGATACTTTCTTAATTCTCGTAATAATAATTTAATACTAATGGATCTATTAACCGAATCCATATAAACATCAAATTCATCTAATCCTCTAATCTTAGAATCCATAATTTTCCAAATCGATAGTAATAACGCAATTTGAGCAAATGATTTTTCTCCTCCTGATAATGAATCAACCGTTCTCTTTTCTTTATCATTCTTAGTTTGAGCTAATAAAGTTAAGGTCTTCTTATCAAAGGCAAAATCTAAAGTACCTTTGAAACCTCTTAATCCTAAAGCATTTTCAAAAGTTCTACTAGCTTGTTGTACACTGGAAAGAATAGTAGTATGTAAGAAATTGAATCTAATGTTTAAATCTTTATCCAATTTACGACAGGTTTGATCTAATTCTTCTAACATCTTATTCGCTTTATTTCTCTTTTCTTTAGCTATTAAAAGATCTTGTTGAACTTCTTCTAAAGATTTACCAATTTCCTTTTCAGCTTCCTTGATTTGATTTTGAACATCGGAATATTCATAGGCAATTGATTCTTGAGTATCTTCGGCGGTAATTACAACATCTTCACGATCACATTTTTCTTCAGCAATCTGTATCAATTCTCGTAATTTAATACTACCTTCTTCAATTTTAGATTCACATCGTTTAACTTCAATCTCACGAGTATTCTTTTCAATATCACATTGTTGAATAGTATTTTGAATAACGGTAGCTTCAGTTTCAAAATCTCTTAATTTTTCTTCTCCAGCTTCCTTCTGATCTTTAAGAACAATAACATCATTCTTAATTTGTTTTAAATCTTCGACAATACTATCATATTCAGCCTTTTGAGATCCAATTTCTTCATTAAAGGATGAAATAACACCTTCATTTCTGGAAATTTGAATTTTATAATCATCAATTTGAACTATTAAGGATTCAAGTCTACTAACATCACCATCTTCATTAAGTTTATTCTCAAGATTTCCAATTTCTTGTTGTAATCTATCAATTAATTTTTCCTTTGATTTAAAATCAGCTCTTAAATCTTGAGCTTTATTTTCTCGTTTCACTTCAATGGCTCTTCTCTTTCTTTTATTTTCATTGATAGATTGGATTTCTTCTTCTATTTCATCTTCTATTTCTCTTATTTCATTTTCAGAATTTAATGATCCAGAAGCAAGTTTGGATAAATATTGTTTATAATAAACAGGATCTTGTCTGGTTGTATTCCCACTCAAACTAGTTCTATTACCAGAAGATTTGGAGAATAAAGTATACACATTCATGACATTTTGTTCATGAACCAAAGATGTAGTTTGATTTCTTTCCTTCGTTATGATTGATTTTTCAAGAAAACTATTATCAATCACGGTATATAATACATTATCATTATTGATTTTAACCATATCCAAAAATGTAGTATGTCTAGCTTTACCTGATATATAATCAAATTGTTCAAATCTTCTGACAATAATAGGATTTGAAAGTCGATGATTTTTTAAAATTCGAAGTAATTCTTGTCTATCATGATCATTGGTAACGATAAATGAATCAAGAGTCTTATTCAAAACTGTATTCATTAAGGCTCTCCATTCATTATATTCTGATCTAAGTTCAATATGACTCCCTATTGGGCCGATAGGTTTAGTATGCCAGTTCTTATTTTGATTTATAGCATTGACGACTTGTTTCATATTTCTACCAAAAGCAGCATATTTATCATGATTTGAAGATTTCATTTCTCTCATTCTATCTTTTAATCCATTAATATTTTCAGTACTAGACTTGATAGAACTTATAATTTCTCTTAATTCAGGATCTTCTGATTCTCGTAAATCTCTTACCGCCATTCTGATTTCTTCTTTTTCTTCTATTAATTGAGCTCTTTCTTCTTGTAATTCTTGTAATTTTATACGTAAAGTTTCCTTTGAACCACCATTGATTTCATCAAGTCGTCTCTTTTCCATCTTTATGGCGCTTTCATTTTCTTTGATTTTCTTTTGAATCGATTCAATCTCTTTACGATGCTTTTTGATTTCATTATCCGCTTGAACTAATTTTTCATAGAAATTGGTCTTAACACTTTTAGCTTCTTCATATTCATTTCTTCTGGTAGAGTAACGTTCAACTAATCGATTATTTTCATCAACAAATTCGACTTTCTTAGTAATCAACAGTTTCATATCATCTGCACATCGTTGAATTTCAAGTTTAAGTTCTTCAATTTCTTCCGATGACTTAGTCATTCTGGTTTGATAATTTTGAACTTTTGATTCAACTTGATGAACATTAAACCAGTGTATTTTTCCATGTAATCTAGTTAATCTATGTCTTAACGAATCTGATTGTCTATGTCTATTATAAATTATGGCAATATCCTTATACTCTTTAGAACATTGTTGATAATAATCCTTAGCTTGTTGAACTTTACTATCAACTTGAACTATATTTTGAACAGTTCCATCATAATTGGATAAAATATCATTAATGAAAGCACCTGCCATGAAATAATCATATTTGGTTTTATCAGTGGTTGAAGTTAAGAATTCTCTTGCTTTATCTTGAGATAAGAATGCTAATGGATTATCAATTGTTATACTGAACTTATATAATATTTCATCAAGAGTGGACTTTTTAGTAGATATAGTTTTTCCCAAGGCTGATTTAATTGAATAAGAATTAGATCCTGCTCTTTGAAGTCTTCTTTCTACTATAATTCTCTTACCATATAAATCAGGTCTATAAGCTCCAATACCTTCATTAAGGAAAGTAATTGAAACACGGGCAGTTGATCTTCCATCTTTGATTAAATCTCTAATTGAATTACCTCTATTAGTATCAGTAGCTTTAGCTCCTAATCCAACTGATATACCTGTCAAGATAGCACTCTTACCTGATCCATTTCTACCAATAATAAAATTTATTTGGGGTCCAAGATCAACTTGTAAAGAATCATGACACATAAAGTTCTTTAATGTGATTTTCTCTATCACACCTGATTTGGCAGGAGAATTATCATCATCATCGTCATCTTCATCTGACTCTTCTTCTGATGAAGAAGATGATTGACTTTCATTTTCTTCACTACCATATTCTTCACTTGATGTTGATCCATGGCTCGTATTTGGATTTTGACTCATTTTACGTCGCTTCACCAGCAACTTTTGAGACATGAATGTACCAGCTGACACATCGCCCTATAAATATTTGTTAGTATATATGATTTTGACATGTAATGATTATCAAACAAGAGAAAATAACATACCAATGAAGAGTAGAAGTTTCCTTGTGGAGCAGGCAGATCTTCATGGGATCGTTTCGATCCGGAAGAAGTGGCACTGCTGCTCCTCTCTGATGTTGGACTTGAAGACATCTGCCCTGTGGTAATGGTGATGCGAGGGATGATATTCTATAAAGCTTCTATTGAGATCAATTAAGCAGTTTATACTTTAATGTTCTAAATTTATCAAAAACTTTTGATATACGCGCTTAAACTGTAAAATTTCTCATGACAAGTTTTACATGTTTTCAGAGCGTGATTTTAAACTGTAATTGTCATACTTTTTACAGGTTAAGTCCATAATTATTTTTTAAGAGATAACGGTTTATTTCTTCAATTGATTGTTTACAAAATTTTGCAAATTATGTATGTCAAGATTTGATCAAAGGAAGTTTCAATTCAAAGTTTAGTCAGAAGAAGTTAACGTAGAATCATTCACATTTACTAAGGACGAAGACAGAATAGTTTACATAGCTATTGTCAAAGTAACTCAAAACTTTATTATACGTCGTGTGACATCCTAAAAAGTTTTTCATAACTCTATTTAGAATAAATTCATCATTTGAAGACTTTTAACTAGATCCTCGAAAGGAGAGTACGATAGAAGTAGAAGATGTTCTTAGATCACATAGCGTCTCAGTTATTAGTCTTACTCTCAGTAGTAAGACTTTCATTATCTTACCCTTATCAAGCACAATCTATACTCAAACATGAACTGAAGATTACCCCAAAAATTGTCATAGTTTCAATGTTTCAACCTGAAGAAGAAGCTTGGACTACTAAAATCGATTTCAAACACAACATCACCGTTCCAGGTTTATCCCCTATGTATCCTTATTTTAGATGTGTTAAAGATTATTCTATTTGTCAATTCACTACTGGTGAAGGAGAAATAAATGCCGCCACATCTGTTGCATTCCTTTTATCTAATGCTCAATTATTTGATTTTTCAAAATCATATTGGTTGTTGGCTGGTATTGGAGGTGGTGATCCATCAAAAGTAACTACTGGTTCAGTTACTTTTGCTAAATATGCTATTCAAGTAGGTTTACAATTCCAAATAGATTCTCGAGAACTAATCGACTCTCATCCTGATTGGCCCGCTGGTTATTTCAGTTATGGAGCTCAAAATCCATGGGATTATCCTGATTCAGTATATGGTACTGAAATATTTGAAGTTAATGAGAAATTAAGAGATCGTGCATTATTATTATCTCAAAATCATGGTACAACATTAAACGAAGGTACTGAACAAAATATCAATTTACGTCAATTATATGAATCACCAGCCAATAATCCTCCTCAAATCTTAGCTTGTGATGTGACTACGAGTGATAATTATTTCACCGGTTCAATATTAGCTGATTATTATAATAATTTAACCACTATTTTAAGTAATGGTACTGCCAATTATTGTTCATCAGCTCAAGAAGAAAATGCTTCATTAGAAGCATTCATAAGAATGGCCAAAGTAGGTGTTATAGATTTTGAAAGAATAGTTATAATGAGAACTATATCTAATTTCGTTAAAAGTCCAACTAGTCTACATATGGATCCTATTGACTTTTTCCTCAATTATCCTAAGGGAGGTTTCCAACATGCTTTAGATAACTTGTATATAGGAGGATGGCCATTTGTGGAAGATGTAGTTAATAACTGGGATTCAATGTATAAAGAAGGACATGATTTCAAACCAGATAATTATATTGGAGATATCTTTGGAACCTTGGGTGGTAAACCAAATTTTGGTAAAGACAAGTATAGTATCAGCTGATCAGTAGTTTATCTTTATTATATAGTAGTATATAACTAATTAATATTTATAGATCATCATTTTAGTTAATACCATTTTTTTCTTTCCGCCTTTAATATGGCTGCCAAGAAAGTTAATGAAAAAATTCCTAAATGGGACATTTTGCTGTCATGATGTCGATTCATATAAAACAGAACTATAAACCAGTACTTTTATATCTGCTAGTCATATACTATACCATGACTATAGATAAAGATCAAATCCAGCAATGAAAAGAATAATCATCTCATTCTTAATATGGTTGTTAGCACTAGATTCAATACTTGGAATTCCTGTACAACAACCACAAAATTTACTTCAATATCCAAAAATAAAGCCCAAAGCATTTATACTAAACAATAGCAAGCTTATGATATTGGAGAAACATTCTTTGTACGACAACTTTTCAGTCGTCGTTATCAGCATAAAATATGTTGGAGTTGTATATTGCACATCAGATTATTCAATATGTGAAATACGACTCAAACTGAGCTTAAGATATCCATATACACGTTTCATGGAACTTCTGTCAAGTCAAGAGTTTGATTTAAGCCAATCCTATTTTTTGTTTGCCGGAGTCAGTTATGGATATTCAAATCTTGTATCTGAAAGAACGACCATATTTGCCGATCACATTACTCTGGTTAAACTAGATAACAAAGTTCATCGAACTCATCTGACAAAATTCAAAGACTATAAATTTGACAACCCACAAGACTTGTATTCAATAAAGATCTTTAAGTTGAATGAAAAGTTAAGAGATAGAGCTTTGGAGTTAGCCAATATAAAAAATCCAAATATGACAAATTCTGCTAGTAACGTTTTAATAATTCAAGATAAGTATAACTTTAACACAACTTTTATCAACTATATACAGAATTATACAAAAGAAATAACGAATAAGGATCCAAATTATGGTTCAATTGCTCAATATGATCGGTATGATTCAGAGTATTTGCCAGCATTACTCTGGATGAGTAAATATCAATTCATTGACTTTGAAAGAGTATTGATGATAAATTCGATTATGGCGGAATTAGATCCTTTAAGTGAGGAAGAATATCAAGATATAGATGAAAAAATACAGAAGAACATATTATATGGAAATGTGGATATAAAATTGACGGAAATATCGAATGCATGTTTTCCAGTTATAAACGATATAATCAATAATTGGGATTTGATTTACAGAGACGGTAAACAGTTCAAAGAAGATGATAATTCAGGATTAATGAATAATAATAATGATTAATGAGTAAAAATAAAGTAAAATATTATATAACTTGATAAGAAGTTAAAAGAGTACAGAATTGGATATTAATTGGATTATTCCTTCTTCACTGATGCCTTTCCCAGTAATATCTCGTACTACCCTAAAGTTAGACCAAGATGCCTTGAATAATAATTATTTATATATTACTTGCAGATTTGACTTCTCTTCTATATAACTAATGAACACAAAAGTTATGGCTTAGAACTATCGACATTAAATTAAGAAATCGGTCCGCTCAATTTGGATTTGGGTTTGTGTTTGTGGTAGTGCCCCCCCCTTTTAGAGAAATATTTAACCACTGGCAAACAAATATTATTAACAGATAGTGGTTGTAAAAATGATCTACAATTGAATCCTATCTTCTAATATTATCTAAGTTAAATGGGGAAATAACAATTGCCTTTTATAATATTTATTATTTTATTCCGGTGGAATACACCTCCTAAAAATAGAGATAAATTTCAACACGATAAAGAAAAAAAAAAGGAGGAGGAGACAGCAGCAGAGCCTCATTAACTTCCCGCTTAAAGATATGAAAAATGGAATCATTTTGACCAAATTCAATTGCTCGATCACTAACGGCAATTCAATGTCATAAATGGAAATTAATGTCGAAGTTAAACTTTGGAGAAAAAGAAACCAAAGAATGTTAAACTAGACTAAGAAGTAAAATTTTGTATCTTTATCTCTCTAATTACATTAAAATTAGCGATAATGAAAAATACACAAATAGCAAACAATAGCGCCAACCCAACCTACGTAAAATGAAATTGGTAATGTGAAGCGGCAATTCAAAGCTGATCTTCTATTCTTGAGGCGCTAACTTACCCATTCATAATATTTTACTCGTTCTATGCAAGTTTCTCCCATCCCATCCCTGTATACCGCCAACCCCTCCTTTTTGATACTAAAAATATAAAACAACACAAAATAATTTACCTCTTCTCATTACTATTCCTAATTGAGCCAGTTCTTGAACTAACTAGGATCAAGAGGGTATAGTACTTTCCTATTGTTTTTTTTTCGACATTACATTTCCCCAGGCCTGTAATTTGATTTTTGACATAGATAACGAAATTTCAGGCATATAAGGGAAAGACAGCCTATTAATTTTTCACTTTTAGTTGGATTGGTTATCAAGTTTTCGTAATTTTGTGGTTATTTCAACTCAATTGAACAATATGAAATCTTTTACTACGATGAGTTTGATCTTTAACTTATATTCCCCTATTTTATCGAGACTATAAATAGACTGTAAAATGTACTTACCTTGTTAGTTTTTTTAATTTAGTTCTTCTTCTTCTTCTTCTTTTCTTCTTGTTCTTGCTTCTTTTTCTCCAATATCTATACACCAATTAAAATGAAGTTCTCCACAGTCTTGGCAATTGGTTCTGTTTTAGCCACTGCTTTTTCTCAACCACTATCTCTTGGAAAGCGTGCTATCAATAATACCGCTATAGAAGATGCTATTCCTCCATCCACTAAAAACAATATTCAAGCAAGTTATGGTAGACCATTCTCAATTTATCAACCAAAAGTATTCATTATTTCCATGTTTTCTTATGAAAGAGATCCTTGGTTAGAATCTTTAGATTTCATTCATAATATTACTTTACCGGGTTTATCTCCAGTTTATCCAACTCTTTATTGTACCACTAATTTCACCATTTGTCAAATCACTACCGGTGAAGGTGAAATTAATGCTGCTTCTTCAATCACTGCATTAGGTTTAAATCCATTATTTGATTTATCAAAAACTTATTTTTTAATTGGTGGTATTGCTGGTGGTGAACCAGCTTATACTACTCTTGGTGGTGTTACATTTGCTAAATATGCTGTTCAAGTTGGTTTACAATATCAATTGGCTTATCTTGATTATATTAAGGAAGAACCAGATTGGATTTCAGGTTATGTTCCATATGGTGTAGATGATCAATATACTTACCCAGCTAATGTATATGGTACTGAAGTTTTCGAAGTTAATGAAGCTTTAAGAAACAGAGCTGTTGAATTAGCTTTAAAAGTTGAATTAAACAATGGTACTGCCCAAAATGCTTATATTAGATCATTATATGATGAAGAAGTTGCTCAAGGTTTACCAACTATCTTCTCTTGTGATGTTGTTACTTCTGATAACTATTTCACTGGTAATATCTTGAACGATTACTTTTCCAACTTGACTAAGGTCTTGACTAATGGAAGTGCTACTTATTGTTCCACTGCTCAAGAAGATAATGCCTCATTAGAAGCTTTTACTAGATTAGATAAATATGGTTTAGTTGATTTTGATAGAGTTTTAGTCATGAGAACCATATCTGATTTCTCAAGACCACCTCCATCTATTAATGCCGTTGAATTCTTCTTCAACACCTCTCAAGGTGGAAGTAGTGCTGCTGTTGCCAATATCGTTTTAGCTGGTACTCCAATCATTCATGATATTCTTACTAATTGGGATAAAGTTTATGAAGCTGGTCTTAAATACCAATCCAAGAATTACGTCGGTGATATCTTAGCTACCTTAGGTGGAACCCCAGATTTCGGAAAAGCTTCCTTTGAAGTCGCATAAGTAATTCTATCTTAAAGATGTAACCCTGTTATATACCCTCCTTTTCACTTCTCTCGTTACCACTTTATAGTTTCTTTCTTTTCACAATATAAATTTCGAAAGTGTCTTTATCATATTTTTTTTTCGCAACATTTTGTACCTGCATTAATTTTTCTGCATCGTGTGACCCTTAAACCAACATATACAAAATTTATAATTAATTCGTGCAAAAAGTGTTCATTAAGAATATATATAAATAAGAACTAAAATAAATAGTAATAATAATAATAACATAAATAGAATGATGATGTTACTCATCTCGATTATTAGTAAATGGCATCACAATTGGCAATCAATTTATCCAAGATAGAATTCATGAATCCAAAATTATTTACCAATGCTTCTAAACTACTGGCTTCTGTTAAAGCAGGTCCAATAACTGTGGCTAAATTAGATGCTGTCATTTTGTTGGAATCACTGTATTGACTTATTTTATTCAAATGCTGTATTAATGCTTTTACAGTAGCATAATTGACTGGCGGTAATAAATTTAAAATGTCTCTGTATTTGTTAATCAATTTGGCTTGATCACTAGCAGTTTGCTCTTGTTGTGGTTGTTGTTGCAGTTGTTGTTGTTGTTTTAAATTAAAGAATGATTCAATCACCTTGTCAGTTAAGATGGCATCAGGTAATTCTCTAAAGTATGATTTCACAATACTTGTCAAAGCATGAATATCATAACCTCTATCATTAAAATCAATAGTACCAGTTTTATCAATTATCGATTTGATATTACTTAATTCACTGACTGAGGAACTGATTCTATAAACACCAATATCCTTAATACCATCAGTTTCAATTTCATTGAAAATGGCAGTTAAGAATCGAGGACAAGTAGTTTGTTCACGATGACAAACAATGGAAATTGGAACTCCAAATACAATATTGGCACTGTTTGTTTTGACGTTTGTAAGTGATTTGGAAAAGAACCAATGTCTATTAGCATAATTCAATTTAACTAACCAATCATTCAAATCAGAATCATTTGGAGCTTGCAATAAGAAATCATCTTGAGAATTAGTTGTACTATCAGAATCAACTTTAAAACATAAAGGTAATAAATAAACAGGGAAGATTTTTCTATTTTTCAATGGAATTATTAAATAAGCCTTTTGTTTTGGATCAATAAAAGTATCAGCATCAGGTAACTCTGAAACATCGACTACTCTTTCTGGTCCATTCATTCCATTCAATGAAAATGGTCTTGTTTTATTAAATAGTCCACTGATTTTAAACCTCGATGCAGAATTCGATTTATAATTTAATGATTGACGTCTAAGACTTGAACTTGAAGTCTTTTTATTTAAAGTAACTGTATGATTTGGATTAACCACTGGTTTGGCACCTTCTTTCAATTGTTTTTTCTTATTGTCTAATTGTAATATCTTATGTTGTTGAGCAATTATGGATTTAAAAATAACTTTACCACTTTCTCTTTGAGAAATTGTAAAGTCTTTAATGTTATTAGCTTTCACTAATGATTCATTTAATTTTAATAAAAATTCAAAGTCTTTAGAATCGTAATGATTGAAATCAGTTTGGGTACCGTTGTTATTGCTGGTGGTATTACTAAGATCGCTAGAACCATCTAAATCTTCAATACCAAATTCTCGAATCAACTTAAACGTTAAATATCTCTTATTGAAATTAACACAGTTCTTAAAGAAACTTGGACATTTATTAGTTTCAATTAAATTTTCAATAATCCAACCAAAACATGGTAATAAAGGTTCTGGATTTTGTAAATCGGCCATGGTTAAATGTTTAGGTAATAACAGATCTAAATCATCAAAATGCGAGTAACTATGATTAGAATCGGTTAAAGAATTACTTGCTTTCATCCATAAATTATTAAACATTCTACTTTCAGGTGAATAGATAACATTGGTAATGGCAGTTTCGATACATGAAGGAATATTTCCACCTTCACCAGCACCTTCGAATACAAATTGATTTTCACCCATTTTTAATTTTGAAATTTGACACATGATCAATAATGTCTTCATACGATCTAATCTTTCTTCAACATTGATATTTAAATCAGTTAATTGAATCAATAAATAAGTTCTGAATTTGAAATATAATTTGAATAACTTTCTGAATACCAATGGGAATTTCTTTAAGATTAATTGTCTTTCATTTGGATCAATTAAAGTTTCAAAATAATTAAAGATATTTGAAATGATTATAGTCTCATCACTAGTGGTTGACTTTTGTAAATTGAATTCTAATAAACAATTTACTTCGAATGAATTTTCAAGAATTCGATAAACTCTAATCCAATCTTCTGCTTTAATACCTTTATAAAACACCGTAAGTAATTTATTAAATTTATGAAGGAATTTTTCAATTTTCAATACATTCTTATGGCTTGGTAAATTTCTATTCATGGGAACTTCTTGTAATGAATTATTAAATCTGAATTCTTTAATTAGATATTCATCAAATTTCAGAATTTCAATTGGTCTATAAGTCTTTTTCACAAATAATTTCTTTAATTTCTTATAATAACTAACCAAACTTTCAAATGATTTAGCTAAATTATTATCAATCTTATTTGAATTATACCATTGTAAAATTTCATTACTAAATAATTTCAATAATTTGATTAAAATTCTCTTATTAGTTAAATCAAGGGAAAAATAAGAATAGAAATTATTAATTAATACAATTAATGCCTTTAAGATATTAATTTGAATCTTCAATAATAATTCATAATCAACTTGACCTAATTCATTCAAATCAACTGAATTATCTAAACTCCAATTAGGAAACTTAGCATGAGCTAAATATTGAGCGGTAGCTTCTTTACCCTTTTGTCTAGTATAATATTCCTTTTTCATAACCGAAATAACAGCATTACCAGAATTAATAAATCTATGAGCTAATTTATCTAATAAATCTTTAGTAGAAATAAATGAAGTATAATTTAATAAAAACACAAATCGATATTCAGTTAAATCAAGAATAATATCTTCATTGAAATATCTGGAATCAATCAAACAAAGATCAACTAATCGATCCACTGTGGCATATTTTGGAATGAATTTATGTATTCTTTCCGATGGACTATTCAGTAAACGATTCTTATTACTTCCACCTGATTCAGTTGAAATGATACTATTGAATTTCTTAGAAGGTACTGTCTTAGGAGACATGGTGAAATTATTAAACTTTTCTGAATTTAAAATATCATCCACATCAATTCCTAATCCTGGAATATCATCTTCAAAATCAACATTATCAATATCGTCCAAAGTAGTTGACATTGTAGTATTATTAACCAGGTCACTTTGATCAACTATGAAATCATCAATTCTAAACGTTAATTCACTATCAATAACAAGATTATGTTTGTTAATGGTTGGATCTAATAAATGTTGTAAATGCAGTTTATCATCATTATTGAAATAAGCCGTCAATTCATCATATTTGGCTAAATTGATTCTGAAATATTCATTATTAAAGGTGGGTAATCTTAAATTTGGATTGAATTCTGAAGATGAAGTGGGGATAGTATTAGTTGAAATACTATCATTAACTGCTGTTGAACCTGTATCGAGTGAATTGGAAGAATTATTAACGTGTATGGCTAAACCATTATTATTACTACTGTGTGAACCACTACCATTGTTTCTATTCCTAATAAAACTTAATTCTAATGGAGTTGAAGGAATCACAGATGTGGTAGTTGGTAATTTCAAATATCCTTCTGGTAAGCCTGGTTCTAAATTAATCGATAATTTCATAATTTTATCTAAATTGATTGATTCACAATTAATTTCAATCAATTTCATTAATTTGGATTTCAATTCATTACTAGTATACTTACTATCCATTGTCATTGGTTGTTCAATATCATCAAGATCATTAGGAATTACAGTTTTATTACCGCCATTAGCAGCAATGACATTATCATCATTATTCACTCCCAAATATAAAACTTGATTCAAGCTTTCATTGGAGAATATAAATCCCATATTATCATATCTTCGTAAAACATCTTCATTATACTTAATGATTTCATTATAATTGACCAAATTTGAAAGATATTCATTCCAACGATTAAAGGAATAATTGATTCTTTTCCAAATTGATTCTAAATCAAATATATCAATCATATTAGTTGATGATTGATTATTGATGACCAAATCTCCAAAATAAGGAATGACTTTTTCCTTTGGATAAATCTTACCTAACCCTCTTGGAGCCATGATATGATAAGAATCTTTGAAATTCATACTTGATTCTCTTGATTCTTCACCAAATGATCCGGAAGTCTTTGTTACCTTTGGTGAGGACCCAATTGAACGAGAATCATGATTATTATTGTTGTTATTATGCATAGTGGATACAGCATTATTGGCTAAATGTCTTCTATCCAATTCGAATAAAACTGGTGACCAATCATTCTTAAGTAATTTAATATATTCTGGAGATACTAATGACCAAATTTTAGTTAATCTTAATACGGGTTGAGATAAGATGATTGAAGAAATACCTAACCATGATGACATATTACCAGATTTATCCAAGAGACAACCTAAATCGATCCATTTTTCTAATAATCTAGCTTTCTTTTCTAATGTAGTTGATGATGAACTGGATGAATTTTCAATGAATAAATGATTGATTAATAATCGAGATAAATAATGGATATGATGATCGTTATTGAATATTAATGGATTCTTTTTATAAAAATCAGAAGGATTGACACCATTATTTCCACCATTACTATTATTATTATCATCATGATTGTTGATTGAACTATATAATAGTAATGATTTATCAATGTTTGAATTCCAATTATTAAAAAATTTCAAATCAATTGAACTAACTATTTTTACAAAATCAAGTAAATTAATATCTTTCATGAAAACCGAGGAACTTAAATCTTGGAATGGATCAATATCAGATGAATTTTCATGATGATAATTATTGGAATCAGATTTATTATTGACAAGATTGATTAATAATTGTTGTTTTGATAACATAGTTCTCTTAAATTTATATATATTTTCTGATTGAACTGATGATGTTGATGAATGTTGTTTAACTTGAGTAGTTAAGATTTCAACTACATTTAAAATATAGGGGGCAATGGTTGATTTTAATAAAAATCCATCAAAATTCTCTTCAATATTATACAAGATTCTTAATGTTCTCTCCACGATCACATTCAAATTATATGAACCTTGAAATTTATTGGCAAAGATAGCTGATAAATAAGTGGATAAGAATTTTAATATCTTTCCAAAATGAGGTAAAATAGGTAAAATGCTTATAATGGAATCGATAGAAAGTTCATTATTAGCATCCACAGGAGTGAACAATATGAAATGAAAGATTGATTCGATGGAATTGATAGTTATGGATTTAGATTGATTAATAGAAACAATGGAAGATGAAAATTGATGAATATGAAAATCATAATTCAAATTAGGATGCGGGATTTGAGTATTAAAATAAGTAATGGAGAAATCAGTAGCTGAATCATCTATTGGTTGAGGTTCATGAGGTTGATATTGATTTATAACTGGTGATCCAGTTTCAGTAAGGGAAATGTTTGAATCATTATTATTTATCGATTTATAAATTTCATTGGATGATAATGAAGAATTTGAATTATTAAGGTTTTGATTAAGCATTAATTGAGTAGCAGGAGGTTGTAAGAAATCATCTTTATTATTGGTATCATCATTAGATGAATGTTTAAAACTTCTTACGTTTAATTGATTTGGAGGTTTATAAACATACAAGTTAGAACCTTTTAATTCCACTCTATATAATTTCAAAGATTGTTCATTAATATCATTTGATGATGAAGCAGGCACGGCATTCAACCATCCATTCTTGATGATTTTCGTGTCATAATCTGGTTTAATTAATGATTGAATAGATTTAGAAGATACAGCAGTAGCATTAGTTTGAATAGTTGAACGCGTTGAGGTTGAATTGTTAGACATGACAGAATCGGAATGTTTATGAGACACTGACCGTTGATTATTATGATTAGAATTAGAATTCGAATTCGAATTATGTTGTCGATAATAACCCTCATGAGAATAATCATCAGTATTGGATTGAATATAACTATGATTACGATTATGATTAATATTATGATTACTTTTACCAAGACTATCTACATCATCCACTTCTTCATCGATATAACTATCAGCAATATGGGATGATTCATTATCGTAGAGACTAGCTTCATAGGTGGAGGAAGCTGATAGACTTCGTCTTTTCTCTCTATCCTTCCTTTGATTCCAAATTTTTCTCATTTTTGGATATTTGAGGAGGGGCTATGGTTAGAAGGAATGGAGATGATTAGGTCCGAAGATTGATAGATTGATGGGATGATGGATTGATTAGGGTGATAGCTTACTCTTTGGATGATGAATTGATGGATTGAAGTGGATTTGAGTAATGGTGGTATGAAATGAGACGATTTCACGATTAAAATGACAGCAATAGTAAAACAAATAGACAGACGAGAGACGATTATACGATCAGTCGATTAGATTAGTATGATGGTGAGGGAGGGGGGAGGCAGTGGTAATTGGGGTAGATGATAGATTGGATGTATGATGTCTGATCTTATGACTGTGTCTGGTACATAAGAGGTGGATTAATGGATAAAGGGTTGTTGAAATTGATTTGAAGGTGATCTGGCTGTCCCTGTTTGAAATTATGACGGTCAAAATTTCGTTTTGGTAAAAATAAACAAAAAAAAAAAAAAAAAAAAAAAAAAACATAAAAAAAATAAAAATAGAAAATGTTGTTAGGGGAGAATGTCGCGGTTGGTGAATTTTAAAATTTTTAGCGTGTCATCTTTTGCCGTTTCTGTCAGTAACGTTAGGGAGAATCTCACTAATGAGAAGAAAATATTTGACGGGGAGTGGGGGGAGGAAGGAAATAGAGTCGATGTAATTAGCCTACTGATGATAAAATTGGTTCATATAACAGAGTAGTCAGAGTTTCAGGGGGTAATGATAGATTCTATTGCTAGGTGAAGTCAAGTCAAGTCAAGTCAAGTCAATTCAAGTCAACTATAACGGCTTAAGCAAACATTATGTTCAATTACCCCTCCACAAGCCCTATAACCTGTACATCTCTGATCTATTATGTTATATAATGATTAGTGCTGTTCCACATTAATTTCCTGATTGGGATATATTTGATACGTCTCACTAAAAATAAAAAAATAATTTTTTATTTACTGGCCCAGTTGGTGCCCTTACTTCTGATTTACCATTTATTACAATTATAATCTTAACGTCTTGATGATGATGATTTTCAGGGTTAGTCAAGTTCTGTTCTGAACAGCACACCCATATACTTTTCCTAAGTTGCTCCATTTTGTATCTATCTACCCAGAATAATTATAGTCATCATCATCGTCTAATCCCTATTTATATCGTTAGTTACTGAGACAACTTTTTTATCGTCAATAAAATTAAAAAATGCCACAAAAGCACGACATGTTTTTTTTCTTGTAGGGAGAAATAGAGAGAGAGAATTTTGTCGGAATGAGGATGAGGATGAGGATGATGATCTACATGATAATACAGTTTGTATAACTGAAAGGTGAAGGGTCCGTCTGATTATGATATGACTTAATGATGCATTAGTCTGTTTATTATTATTTATGTTATCTATTTAGAGTTTTTATATCGATCGCCGCCGCCGCCGCCTCCTCTTTATCATTCTTCTATTCATATCGTGGGTACTTCCATAACTGACGCGTCTTATTATACTTTCTATAATGGTTTGGCATACTTTTGATCATATCATCCATTGATATAGAACATTCTCTACAGCAAAACAATAATGTCGCTTAAGCTTATTCTATTTACATTTATCATTATTTAACGTTATCTATGTACATCCAATTCTTCATTGTTTCTTCACATCTCTTAAATTACCAAATGGTAACACTTGATCTATTCTATCCACACCGGCAAATAACATTGCTAATCTATCAATACCACATCCAAATCCTCCCGTAGGTGGTAAGCCATATTCCATACTTTGAATATATTTCCAATCCGGAATCAACATCTCTTCATCATTGAAATTAGCTTTCGATAATTCTTGTAATTTGAATTTAGATTCTTGTTCAAACGGGGAATTCTCTTCTTCATATGCATTCACATATTCTTTTCCATTAATGAATAATTCAAATCGAAGGGAAATATCATAATTTCTACCTCCATCATATTCAATCATAGTTGATTTCGCTAATGGAGATAAAATCGATGGTTGATTATAAATGAAAATAGGTACATTCTTATAAGTTTCTTCTAATGAAATTGATTCTAAATAAGTTGATGATAAAACATCTAATAAATTAGATGGTGATTTATTATCTGGAATTGGAATACCAATCGTTTCCAAATATCTAATTAAATTAATCGATGATAATTCACATGGTAATTTAACTCCTGTCTTCAGTTCCAACGTACTTACAAAATCAAATTTAGGATACTCTTTAAAACTTTTCAATGGGTTTAATTCATCTCTAACCCCTTCATCCATTATATGATATAAATCTTGATAAACAAATTTAATCATTTGTTCTGTCGTTCTCATTAAATCAGATAAATTTATATAAGTTTGATAAAACTCACAAGTAGTAAATTCAGGATTATGACTTGCATCAATCCCTTCATTTCGAAAACTATTCCCAATTTCAAAAATTCGATCAAATCCACTAATAATCAATTTCTTTAACCATAATTCGGGTGCCACTCTTAATTGAACCAATTCTTCCGATAATGAATTAGCCACCGTCGTGAATGGTTGAGCATTGGCACCTGTCCCGAATCCACTCAAGATCGGAGTTTGAACTTCTAAAAATTCTCGATCAAGAAGAAATTTCCTTATCGATTGAATTATCTTTGATTTAATTATAATTGGAGTCTTACTCACACTCGGATTAACAAGATAATTTAATACTCTATTCGAATTAATAATCCCTTTATCTTCTAATTTATTCGGAATCTCTTGTAAACATGGAACCAACATTTGTAAAGGTGATGATAATTTCAAACTTAATTCCCCCACATTACTCACAGATGCATATCCAAATCCTAATACATAATCTCCCTTTTTAAATTGAGAATGAACTTTATCAAAATCAGAATCTGTATCAGTTATCATACTTTTATTAATCATGAATTGTAATCGAACTCCCAGTTGGATAATATCAACAAAATATAATGATTTCCCCGATTTTCGAATCGATACAATCTGACCCTCCACTAAGAATTTCTCCTGAGGATATAACTTCTTTTCATATTGAGTGAAATCTTCATCTTTAAATTGATCACGGAATAAACGGGTCAGTAATAATTTCCCTTTGAATTTTTGACGAAGTTGATTTATAGGTGGATAATACCCACTTGGGTTTTGACTAATGATACCTTTTCTCGTCTCATAATCAAGACTATCTCCACTTATGATTGATTTGGATGAATTGAATCGAATAGTAGTATTACGTATCCTTATTCTAGCACGATTGGTTAGTATCCTCCTTAACATGGTGATTGATCTATACTATACTACCGGTTTAGTCTTACAGTGGGAGGTTTGAAAAAATCTGGAAAATTTTGGTGATACTTTTTTTTTTTGGTGTCAATTTCCGGTATATAAAAATTAACTACTACTACAATTTTGCAACTATACATAAATCATATCATTTATTAGCTTAAACCTATGTAGATTAAGTTGTATTTACTGAAGTTGTAACTGATAACTAGAATTTATTTATTTAGTTAAGCTAACCATATGATAAGAATTATATCTATTGTGTCTCCTCATATCCTGCTTTTACCAATTCCATAATTAATCTAGGATAAATATCCATCACTTTTGCAAATTTATAGAATGGTCCCTTGGTAAGCATATTATACATCTCATTAGCTAAGATCCAAGCAGTGAAGCAAAGTTCATCCCAAAACCATGGTGTCATATATTTATGTAAATAAATCAATATGAACGGTGTAACAAATATTAATACAATTTCAATATCACATAATTCTCCTTTTCTAGGTGGCCTCATCTGGAATGTTTGTGTTTGAGGTTAAAAGATACATCAGTTTAGTTCATTCAAAGAGTTAGATTCTTTTTTTAATCAATATGATAATAAGCATATTAAAATTATCACTCCTTGAAAATCTGGTGAAAGCGCTTAATAATCATATCTCGTAACTTCGGCAAAACTTCCAATAATATCATATACATAACGAACAGCAGTTCCAATGAAAATTATCAGTACCCAAGCAATAGCAGCTTGTAAAACGAATTCTCTACTTTCATCGCGCATTTGTGTTCTTGACTTGTAATCAATTAGATTCAAGGGTTCGTGTCCTTCTAACATGTTGAATAATTATGATTAAAACATCAAATGATATAAAAATTTGTGATTGTTGTAAAGTTTGTATTATATAGAATTGAATGCATAACAATTTTAAGATAGTCACATTAAAAATCTGGCAACCACAAAATTGAAGGAAGGTATAAGCAAAACTCTTCTGAATTGGTCATTAAAGTAATTATGTAACATACTTTGAAGTAATGGAATAGTTAGGAATAAGTAAATGGGTGTTATCATGATAAATTATATCTATTTTGTCACATTCATGTCCTAATTGGTAGCCCTGTATTTTGGTGAATCACAAGATCCAATAACGAAAAAAAAAAAAAAAAAGGATCGCCAAATTGACCACCAAAGAAAAGCAACATTCACTGTTACCAATTCAACCATCAAAGATTTAATCTTCTCAGGGGACGTGTGGTGTCGTTATAGAGAATCTAGTAAGAGCAATCAATCATGAGTGCTTTCGAAGCTAGAGAAGAGAAAGATGGTGTTAGACTTTCTTGGAACGTGTTACCACGATCCAAATTCCAACATCAACGAAATGTCATTCCATTTGGATCCATGTATACTCCATTGAATAATAAATCAGAATCTCAATTACTCGCTCCCAATAGTTACATTACTTGTCGTCAATGTTACTCCGTATTGAATCCATATGCATTCATCAACAATAATCTTTGGACATGTCAATTTTGTTCATTTACAAATCAATTCCCACCTAATATTCCTCCTGCAGCATATATGCCAGTATTAGATCAATCAGCCAGTACAATTGAATATTTAACCGGTAAAACGAGTCAATTACCTCCTATTTTCTTCTTTGTGGTGGATACATGTTTTGAAGATGAAGATGTTTCCGATGCATTTGCATCACTTAAAGAATCCTTAATTATATCATTAAGTCTTTTACCTGAGAATGCATTAGTAGGATTCATATCATTTGGTAAACATGTTCAAATCCATGATTTAACATCCAATGATATTAAATCATTCACTTTCAATGGGAATAAAGAATATACATTAGATCAAATTTCAAAATCATTAGGATTATTAGCCCAAGGATTATCATCGAATCATAATGATAATAATGGGTATTCCAATCTTGATCGTGTGATTGGTCCTATTGGGAGAAGATTCTTACAACCAGTAAGTTTGGTAGAGTATCAATTAACTAATATCATTGAAAATTTAATTCCAAATTCATTTCCTCATTCGAAATCAAAACAAAGATTGGATAGAGCAACTGGGAGTGCGATTAATATTGCTTCATTATTATTGAAATCAATCTTAGGAGATCATATTACTACTACTCGAGGTCATATTCTTTGTTTCATAGGAGGAATGGCTACGTTTGGACCCGGTAAGATTGTCAGTAATTTATTAAAAGAACCATTAAGATCTCATCATGATATAGAAAAATATGAACATTCAACTTTACCTCAAGGTCCAACTACATCCACTAAAACTAAATCTGATACTTCATTATTTACCAAAGCAAAGAAATTTTATCATGAAATTACAAAAACTTTAATTTCATTAGGATTAAGTTGTAATTTTTTCATTGGAAGTTATAATCAAGTGGGATTATTTGAAATGGATGAAATATGTTATAAAACAGGAGGAACAGTGGTAATGAGTGATTCATTTAATACTGCTATTTTCAAACAAAGTTTTATTAAATTCTTTAAAAAGAAAAATGAAGAAGATGCAGATACATTAGATATGGGATTCAATGCTACTTTAGAAGTTAAAGCATGTCCTGATTTAAAAATCCAAGGTTTAATCGGGAATGGTACTGCTATACCATGTATAAGAGCATCGGATGAAAAATATCTTTCTACTTATATCATGGGTGAAAGTGGATCAAATTGTTGGAAATTATGTAATGTGAATCCTCAATCTACTTATGCTATATATTTTGATAAAGTGAATTCAAATGTAATGGGATTCACTTATATTCAATTTCTTTTCCATTATCAACATCCATCAGGAGAAATGAGATTAAGAGTTACAACCATACCGGTTAATGTGGTATCGGATACAGATATGGCAACTTTAGAATTAGGATTTGATCAAGAAGCTGCTGTTGTATTACTTGCCAGAGATGCGATTAATAAATTACAACCAGGGAATTTCAATACGGCGGCTGATTCTAAAAAAACCACAACATCTCAAAAATCAACCACTATAATTAAGAATTTAGATCAAATGTTGATTAATTTCTGTACTAGATTTGCAGTGTATACTGCCGGAATATTTGATTCATTTCAAATCGCAGCAAATTATTCCTTGTTACCTCAATTCATGTTTAATTTAAGAAGATCCCAATTCATAAATGTATTTGGTAATTCACCTGATGAAACTTCATATATAAGACATGTGTTCATGCATGAAGATGTCAATAATGCATTATTAATGATCCAACCATTATTATTAAGTTATGATATTGATCAAACTTTTGAAGATGAAGAAACGGGTGAAACTCATTATGAAGCTGCTCCAGCCTTATTAGATTCAGCTTCATTAGGTCATGGAAAAATGTTATTATTAGATACATTTTTTCATATATTAATTCATCATGGTTCAACCGTAGCTGAATGGAGAAAAGCAGGATATCAAGATTTACCGGAATATGAACATATCAAATCATTTTTAGATGCTCCAAAACAAGAAGCTATGCAAATTCTTATGGAAAGATTCCCATTACCAAGATTTATTGATTGTGATGAAGGTGGATCTCAAGCTAGATTTTTAATGGCAAAATTAAATCCTTCAACAAGTTATGCTACAAATCCAAATCATTTAACTGGTATTGGATCAAGATATGATGTATTTACCGATGATACAAGTTATCAAGTGTTTATGAATCATATTCAAAAGAATGTAACCTCTCAAAAGTAGATTAATTAATAAATAATATATATATATATAATCTAAGTAGTGTCAACTGCTTTCTTCTTTGCATATTTAATAGCCCGATTTAAGAATGTATGATCATTCTCATTACTATCTTCCATCTCAATATCACCTGTAGTTTCATCAGCATCATCTTCAGTTTTAATTTTATTTGAATCCTTGGCAATAATTTTAACATTTTCACTAATAGTTAAATGTTCATGAACTTTACCAATTAATTCACCATAATCATCAAATATTAAATCAGTACCAATTAATTTCTTCCAATTGGTTTCATATATTTTCCCATCTATAATATTAATATTATCTATTCCACCTTCATTATCATTCCCACCTGGTCCAGCAATTGATGCATTATTAGAAAGTTTAATTAAAGGATTTTCATTATTTAAATCAGTGAATTGGAAATGTGATGATGGTTTGATATAATTGACTTTTGAACTTGGATTATTATTGTTGTTGTTGTTATTGTGGTTGGTACTTGTATTGGTATTAGAAGTAGCATCATCAAATGCTTGAGATTTACCAAACATTGGTATATCTACCGTTACATAAACATCCTGTTAGAATTTTTATTACAGTTAGTATAAAGTTTTTAAATTAATTAAGATTCAGTACATTAAAATTTACTTACTTCAAATTCATCATCATTTTCTTGACCAGTTGCAATTTCAGTAACTGGAGTTGTATCTTTAATTTGTTTCTTATTTTCATTTTGTTTTTGTAATTCTAATTCTTTTAATTTTCGAAGTTTAATATCTTCATCAGATCCAGCTTCAACAGTTATCAGGAAATCCCAATGCATTTCTTCTCCTTTTAATAAAAATTCACAATTACCATTCATAACATTTTCCCATTGATTTGAATTAGATTTAATATATTTATCTAATGAACAAGCACCTGCTCTTGGTTTAGTACCATGTTCATCAATGGAATCATAAACAGTTGATAATCCTAATAAACTTGTCCCTAAGGCAATCTTAGTAGCAGCATGAGTTACAATTAAAATTGATTCAATATGAGGATATTTATTTTCAAATATGGGAAAGAATTTTTTCCAAAATAAACTTGCTCTATCAAAGATTTCTTCAGGAGTTTCACCTGATAAAGATGGTATAATTCCAATAGTTTCATCTCTGGGCCATTCAGATTCTTCAACTAATACATCTTTAAAAAATCGATGTAAAGTATCATAATTTGCCGGTGATGGAATTACTTTACGACCTTTTCTATACCATTCACCAACACCACGTTCAATCACTACAGATAAAGATAGTATTTGAGCAATCGGTTGACAAGTTTCCACACATCTATAAAATGGGGATGATATGATGAATTGGGGTTGTTCTATACTTGGTAAAGAATGTAAATAAGCTGCCAATTGTTTAGCTTGATCCACCCCATGAGGAGCTAAAGGAGGATCACTATCGATACCAGTTGGATTAGGAGGATGAGGTTCAGGTAACCAATTGGATCTGTAACCATGTCTGGCTATGTATATAGTCTTAAGAGTCATTTATAAGCTGTGTATGTGAGGATGGATGGATTATGATGATAAGGAATGGATGTTGTTGTTGTTGTTGTTGTTGTTGTTGTTGATATTTTTACGGTAAATTTATTTTGGTTGTAAATAAATTTTGTTTTTTTTTCCCTCTGATGATGAAATAAAGGGCCGGTAATTAGTGAACCACCATCAGTTGTCACTAGTGACAAAAAAAATTATAGTGATGATGATGATGATTTACGGTAATGACAATACCATGACAATGATGACAATAATACCTTAGATGAATGGATGGAGATGACTGATTATGATGACATTAGTTAATTAGTGGTATAATATCATACAATTATGAGTTATAACTTGTGTAAAATGTGATAAGTTTTAGGAAAGAATCGTTTATAATTATCTAATTTAGAAGACAATTTATGATTCTTCAGTGATGAAGTAGAAGATGATGGTGAACCATGTAACAATAAAGAGGTTGAACATTCAGGAAGAGTGAAACTATCTAAAGTAGTTGTAGATGATTTACCCTTTCTATGCAATGACCATTTATTTGAAGTTACTATATTATGAAATATATTATGATGATGATGATGATGATGATGATATTTTCTGGGGATAGTAGAAGTAGAAGAAGTAATATTAATCATATCAGTAGATGGAGTATATTCTAATAGAGGATCGGTTATTTCACTATTATTAGTTAGATTAAAGTTATCAAAACTAGTTAAATCAAATAGAGCATCTACTTTATTTAAACTTGGACTTGAAGCTTGAGTGAATTGATCATAGATTAGATCATCATTAGTATCTAATAATCCCATTTGACTATTAGTACTATAATCATCATCATCATTTGAAGTATCAGAGGAAGAATCTTGGGATGAATCATAATCAGCATAAATAGTTTCTAAATCAGAAGTTGATATAAATGAAGTAATAGTAGTATTACTATGTTTTAAATTGATTTCAAAAGTTCTAGTCTTTTCAAATGATTTATATTTAACATGAGAACTGGAATGGGTTGACTCTGACTCAGAGTCAGAGTCATCATGATTCAAAGTATAATTCAGCATTATATATTAACCGCTGTTTTCTATCCTGTTACAAGACTTGGCTGGTTGTTGTAAAAAAAAGCTCATTAAATTTACTGTTGCGAATTTTTACTTAGTGAGATGAATGGGAGGAGTGACGGTTGCAGTTAGGCTGATGTCATTTTTTTTTGTCATGTCAAATTTGTTTTTTTTTTCTTGTCATAAAATAAATAAATTTTTTATGTCATTAAAATTTAACGACAGAGAGAGAGGGAACTTAAGGGAACTTAAGGGAACTGTAATGAAGTGGTCCCACTGGTCGTATACCTAAACCATAACAACTTATCCAATACAGACCATCTTTTTTATATCTTAATGCATAATCCCCGGTAAATGCCATAAATCAAGAAAATCTTATCTAATACTTATACGATATATTTAAGGTCTAGATGAAAAATGGATTACATACAAATTATAAATCATGTGGTAAAATATTTATTTACAGTACTTTACCGGTTAGATGGGGAGTGACTTCTCACTAAATTACTTCTCCACTTTTTACCAATTTAGTGAGATTGTGCTTCATTGTTATGACTTATTTTTTTTTTCTTCTATTTTTCTCGTGGCGTGGCTTGTCTCTATGTTTAGTGGGGGAGCAGCAGCAGCTGTAAGCACTAAGCTCTAAATCTTTTTAGTGACAAAAAATTCTTTTTTTTAATGACGGAAATACTGAGACATGAAATTTAGCGTGTGTGTATTTAAGAGTTATATAAATATAGCCAATATCCTTTCTCCTCATTGTCATGAGATTCCCTTAAATATGATTTTAATACTATATTCAATATAACTTATTCAATACTAACTAACTACTATCATCTATTCATAATGAAACGAGGTTTCGATGGACTTTTGGTGGAAAATATATCTCCAACTCCTAGTATAGTTGATTTTAATCAATTTATTCAAGATTTTTCATCTTCCCCACCTTCTCCAAATTCTTTAAGACTCAAGAGGAAACCTATTAAAAGGTATACTACAAAGACTCCTCCATCTACCCTCATACTATCTCATCAATCTGAAGCATTATCTGATCCTATCAAACATATATTCCATCAAATATCATCTACTCATACGCGTAATTTAAATCAAATGGATATTGATTATTCCAGTAATAATAATACCAACTTACGATTCGTATTCTTCTTAGGAGTTCAAGGTAAAGAATACATCGATATCATTCAACACAAATTCATATCGATGATCAATACGACTTCATCCACCAACTCTCAAATCTTATTCATATCTTCAAATTTACCTCAATTAACCTTCCCTATATCAACCAATAATCAATGTTTACAACTTGTAAACTCATTCAAAATAAAAGATCCCTTAGGTGGGGGGTTATACCCCTTGGATTATCTTTATGTGATTGATCAAAATGATCTTATAAGATGTAAGATCCCCATCATTATAAATTCAAATTCAAATCGTTTAATGAATAAATCCTCATTGAGAAATCGAAATTTAGGTGGATTATCAAATCATTTGAATTTTGGGGTTGAATTGGAACAATTACCAGGATTTATTGAAGAATACATGGCATATTTCCATTAATAAATCATTTCTATATTATTATATATTATATTACATACTATTATACACTTAATGAAAGCATTTCCGTAACGTCTTAAAAAAACCTATCTTCATTGTAATAAAGCTAATTTTTCTTGTTCTAAATCTTTATATTCATTACGTTGATTTTCAATCTCTTCTCTAACTTTCTTCATATATATCTCTAATCTTGCCAACTCTTCATTCTCATCCGTTCTAGTATACTCTTGATCTCGTTTATCAGGATTCGATAATTTATAAGGTAAAAGATTACATGGTTTATTAGTCAAGATCTCAAATACTTTCTCAGTAGGTTCCAGAAATACCAACTCATCATAGATAACCGAATGAACTTCACCATTCTCTCTGGGAGGTTGGATTTGAGGATTAAAAGGATGTAATTTCAATCCATGAAAAATTTGAAAATTCTTTTCATTAATCCCTAATTCAACCCCACTATGAAAATGTAATTTAATAATAATCTCAAACTCACCCCATCCCGATTCCGTAACTTGATAAGGCGGCTTTTCAATCGATCGAACTGGATTCTCATATGTTTCATGTAATTTAAATGTAACTTTCTTAATCAATGGTGTTAAATCAAAATCTTCAATCACAGGTTTAAAAAATACCGTCCATTCATGAGTATGATCAGGTGGAGTAGTAGGTTTTCTCATTTCGGGTGTTAATTTATAAGCATGATTACCGTATAATACCGGCACTGATATCGATATAAACTTCATTCGTTTAGAACTCATCTTGGTATGGTTTGTATTGTATCTTGTAAAGTATATATATATGTTTATAACCTTTTGATAATCAGAAAAAACGACTATTTTTGAAGTGCTCAAAAAATATATCAAAAATTTTGTCACGTGAATACTCACGTGTGAAGCTTATAAAAATTCTACAGTTGCAAAATTGATTAATTATTTATATATATATGCATTATGACTTAACTACTTTGGAACTAATGGTTTCCATTCAGACATACTACTTGGTAATGATGAAGAATTTTGAATACTTGAATTCAATCTCGGTGGTGGTGGAGTTGGAGGAGTAGTATTACCTAATTTTGGATTAGTTTGAATTGATAAATCAGGATCTGATTTACTTATTTCATTATTAGGTTTAATTATCTTGGTAGTACTTAATGGTGTTGGTTTCTTCGGTATCATGGGTTTAACTCCCTTATCAAGTATACTTGTATGTGATAAACTCGATGGGGGTGGAACTGATGCTGATGGTGCTATTGATACTTTTGAAGGTGGTGGTGTCACAGGAGTAGCTGAATTGGATCTACTTGGTATTAATGGTGTTGTAGTAAATCCTATCGGTGTTGGTTTGGGTTTTGCACTAACAGGGGTTGGAATATTAATATTACTGGCTGATAATGTAGTAATTGATTTACGAACTGGTGGAGGTGGTGGAGCACTTGCAGATGTATATGCTGGTGGGGGTGGTCCATTAATTAAGAAATTTTCATCTGGTTTAGGAGGTAATTTCCTAGGTAACGTTTGGGAAAGAGTTGATGTAAAATCAGTAGCATTCTGTTTTCTGCTAGCTGGAGGAGGTGGTAATCTTCTTGGCACTAAACCGACACCATTCCCATTTCCATTCCCATCATTAACATTATTATTAGTTACAGTAGGACGATTTGGAAGTCTTGGAGCTGGTGACGAAGAAGGAGTATTCGATGAAGGGAAATCATCTAATAAACTTGCTTCACTGGTAGATTCACCACTTAAAGAACTTGAAAGTTCTAATAATGGACTTTCTCCTTCATGTTCAACTTTATATTGATCATATAATTTCTTTGATAATTCATTCTTCTTAGCTGTATTAGTAAACTTAACTTTACTCTTGAACGTTGAATAAACCGGTTTATGATCACTTACTCTAAGATTCATCACTGAATTATAATTCAATTGTTGTAATTTTTCTCCATATTTCTCATTATCTAAATAAACCACTCTATCAGTCCAAGATGGAACTCTTTGTTTTTCAGAAGTATCATAATTTTCCGTCCCTTTATCGAATTTATAAGTTGGATAAAATTTAATATCCCCTTCTTTAAATCCCGTAAATGCTCCTCCTTTAGTATTCATTTCTTGATTTAATTGATCTAACGTAATTAATTCATCAAAGGCTCCATTTTCAATCAGATTTCGACATTGATCATTAGCTAATGCTATACGATAATTTAAATCTCCAAACCAAATCACATGATCATGATCATTGACAGTATAATTTCTCGTAAACGTTAATCCTGCCATAATAGTTGAATAATCATTAAATCTTTCTACAATAGCAGCCATACCAGCAGCTAAATGAGAAGTAATTAATACAAAGGATGTATTTCCAAATTCAAATCGAACTCCACATGCCCCTTTATTAGCGGCTATACCACCTAAACCTGTCTTTTTAGAAGCACCACCTACTTGAGTTACATTATGAATTTGAGATTTCTTAACAAATAAAAATAATGACATTGATGTAATTGATTCAGTTCTTAATAATAGATATTCGACATTTTGAGAATTTAATTGATAATTTAATATATTGGCCCATTTACTAGGTAAGGTAGGATCAGCATTAAGCATTCCACCGGCATTCAACTCAATTAATTCTTGTAATCCGATAGCGTAAATATCAGGTAATTCTTCATAATCGAAATTTTCAGGAGGGAATAACCATGTACTTAAATCACCGGCATTAGATGGATCTAAGGCATTGATATTATATGTCCCAACAAAGATCTTTATATTGTCATAAGTTGTGAATTCGCTATATCGATTTCTTAATTGTTCATTGACGTAATCATTTATAGGATCGAAAATTTTAACCGGTTTGGAATATTTAGCATCATAACCTAATAATAAATCCATGGTAGATTGTTTCTTACCATCTACAAATGTATTTTGATATAATCTTGATACTGATTTCGTTACATCGGATAAAGCACCGGCAAAACTCATTTTACCAGCTCTTGAAAAGGATGATTTTAACGCATTTGTACCAGTATAAATTTGAGATATGGCATCTCCATTATCGGCCCATAAAGTATTATATTTAAGTCTAAGATCTTCAAATGAATTTCTATCACGATGATTACTTCCACTGCCTTGATTTTCAAGAATGATTTTTATAACTTCTTGACAAATTATTTGTTGGATTAAATTAGTTCTATCCAAACAATCCAAACAATTGGTTCTAAATACCCCATTTTGATTCATGATGCTTTCCTTATTATTAATATCATAAGAATACCATCCAAATCTTGATAAGGAATCTTCCAAATACGGTAAGATCTTCGAAGCAGCGGCAAAACCTGCATTCAGTTGTTTTGTTTCTTGATGGAAATCAAATTCAGTATAGATATCAGTATCACTATGATCGGGAGCATTATTGTATAATTGTTTATATCGTTTTGAAACTGAGATTTCATTTGGTTTGGTTTTTGATAAAAGATTGACAATATGATAATCACCATATTTATTAAATATGTCTTGAAAATGTTTATTATAAATCGGTTGAGTTGCTTCTAATGATCTTGTTAAAGTGATTTTTGGATTTATTAAATTAGTATCTTGTTCCCAAAATGTTGGAACGGAACCTCTAATTTGAATAAATGTGAATATGGATGCTCTTGAAGGTTGAAAATAAATGAATTCTGTTTCTACTGAATTGGCAACATTCCCATCATCATCAATACCTCTGGCATTATATCTTGTTCCTGCTCTTTTCCAAGATTGTTTTGAAACTAAAGTAATTGAATCATGATAAGAATTTAGTTGAATCGTTTTTGCAAAACCTCTAATCACAGAGACCAAAAATTTATTTTGATCCACAATCTCTTGACTATATTGATCTAAATTTTTTCTAAATTTTAATAAATCATCCATTAAGAATGAATTCCACATATATTCCGTTTGATAATGATCAATGATTGATCTTGAAACTTGAGGTTTATTTGAATTTAAATTATTATTAACAATCCCTCTATTTTGTAAAGTTGAAGTTAAATCAAAATCATTGGAATAATAAAATGAACCATTGGATAATAATTTCTTTAATTCAAAACAGGGATGAACAATTCTTGAATTGGGATCATAATTATCTTCTTCACCATTAGCAGTTAAAACTGGCATACCATTAGTATCTAAATTAACGAAATCCCATTCATCACCCGTTAATGAGATGAATTCAACACCAAAGATCTTATCTACTGATTCATAATTGACAGGATTGGCTACATTGATAATAGCTCCTGATATAATAGCTACAAAAGTTTGATGTTCTAAATGAATCAATCCAAGACATCCATAAACTTCACGACCTAATAAAGGTTTGAACCCATTTTCACGATTGATTCTAGCATTAGGACTGATTTCAACGATAACTTTTTTTGATTTTTCAGGTTGATGAAATAATAATGAATGAGTTTCGGAGTATAATGCAATGGTACGGGGGTTTTCTAGATATAGTAATCTCATGATGAATGTGCCATCTATCTATAGGGGGGTTTGATCTATCTAATTCTATTAAGGGTCACAGTCGGGGTTGACAATGATACTGTTGATGGATGACTATTGGTCCTATGAGATTGGGTTGTAAGTGTTAATAGATAGCAATGACTTCACTTCAATTAAGTTGAGTTGGGTTGGGTTGGCTGTAAGTGTTGTAAAGATCAATTTGTTCAGTCTGCTTAGAAACTTTTGGTCTGTCACACACATTGCCCTTTTAAGTAATAATGTCGCACTCTTCTTTATCCTTTCCTGATGTTACATGTCGTGTGGATGTCGCCCTCCACATCTAACTATTTCTCCTATCCTTATTTTAAAGTTAGATCTTATAACTACTTCTTTATAGATTATTAATCGTTTATATCTATATATATCATAATGAATACTGATAATACTACAGATCAAATAGAGCAAGAATCAGAAGTTGTGGTTCAACAAGAACTGGAGCAAATTCCAACAGAAGAGCCTACCACTTCTAGTACGACCCCCACACCATTTGATCTTGAAGCTCAAATCTTCTCGGAAGTCAGGGAAAGAAGAAGAAGGAGGGTTAATCTTTTTTTATTTAGTTTCATACTAGCTTTCATTTATCTTGTCTTACCTCATAACTTATTTTATCCATAATGTCACTAGTTGTTTGGATTATTGGTTAAATTAAAGTAGTGACCATCCATGTTAAGAATAAAGTTATAATTATATGTGAACCACTTCAATTATATGCATCATCGGTTAGTATATTGTCCCTATCTAGTAACTCATCATCATTATCATCCTTCATTCATTCCCCATATATCATATATATCTAATTACATATTGTGCGGCTCAGATTGTTTTCCCAATTAGGAAATCACATCCATACCTCCCAAGCCTCTCCTTATTTTCTTAAAAATTTCCATAAATCAAACAGTAAAGATCATGAAGCAATCAATGATACTTCATTAAACTATGTTCAACCATCAATTATATGATAAATTAAATCAATTCAAATTCATCCTTGGATCAACGTCACCTCGTCGATTAGAAAGCCTTCAACAAAATTTAAATATTCAGCATGATCAAATCCATATAAAGCCATCTCATTTTAAAGAAGACTTAAATCATGATGATTATAACGAGAATGATTATGTCATAACTACCAGTTTACTTAAGGGGGAGTATATCCTAAAGGAATTACAACAAGAAGAAAAACAAGATATGATTATCTTAACTTGTGATACTATCATCAAATGTAATAATGAGATATTTGAAAAACCAGAAACGAAACAGAATCAACGAATCATGTTTGATAAATATAAAGCTCATCCTCATATTCAAGTGATTTCTGCTACAACTATCATAAAAGTTCATGATTCAAGAGTCACAACCTATCAAGATACAGAAATAACAGATTTAACATTCAATACGGAAGATAGCGATGATATCATCGATGCATATATAAATTCAGAAGAAGGATTGCATGTAGCAGGAGGATTCAAATTCCAACAATTAGGAAGTTTATTATTCTCTCTGATTAATGGTGATTACTTTAATATCGTTGGGTTACCCGTTTTAAAAACATTCAAGTTATTAGAGAAAGCTCTTAAGTAAAGTTACATACCCTTGTATATATATAAATGGTCGGATTGCAAAATGTCGCGTATGAAAAATATGAAAATTGAATTTTATTTTATGTGTAGAGACATTTTTATCCATCTCATCAAAAAAGAATTTAAAATATTTTTTTTTCAGTATGAAAGATTTAGAAGTTTGTAGCATATACTTAGTTTAAAACATAGAATATATTTATACAGGGATAATGGCTAGAGCAAGTACAACTAAACAAGTGAAGTCTAAGGCTCCAGCTAAGACTGAAAAGAATGAAAAAACTATAGAAGAAATAGAAGAAGATTTACAATTACCTGAATCATCTGAAGAAGAAGAAGAAGATCAAGAAGAATTATCAGAAGAAAGTGAAGATGATGATGAAGAAGTAGAAGGATTATCTGATGAAGATGATGACGAAGAAGAAGAAGATGAAGAAAAAGATGAAGAAGAAGACGAAAAGATCATTGAAAAACTCGCAACCACCACTGGTCATAAAGTTAATAGAGTCATTACTAAAGATCAAACTTCAGGATCAGCAACTGCTAATAAGAAATCTAAACGTGGAATCATATATATCGGTAGATTACCAGAAGGATTCCAAGAAGAAGAATTAACTAAATATTTCGAACAATTTGGAAAAATCATAAATTTAAAATTATCCAGAAATAAGAAAACGGGTAAATCCAAACATTATGGATTTATTGAATTTGAAAATGTCGATGTTGCTAAGATTGCTGCTGAAACTATGAATAATTATTTATTATTTGGTCATTTATTAAAATGTGAAGTTATAATTGATAATGAAAAAGAATTATTTAATGGATCAGAAAAGAAATTTAAAGTTATACCATGGCAAAAAATTTCTAAACATAAAAATGATAAACCAAAATCTAACAAACAATGGACTAAATTAGTTGAAAAATTCGAACATCAAAAAGTTCAAAAGCAAAAGGAATTAAATGATAAAGGTATTGATTTTGATTTAAATAGTATATAATTTACTTACCCATAAGAACAAGAAATTAACTTAGCATATATGTATAATAGAAGTATTTACCTATCATGGATCAATCAAAATTGTAAGTAACGCAACATAAGTATCAGACAATCTAATAATAGTTTTGATATATAATCAAGCGTCAAACTTGTCTTCCTAATTGGGCATTCTAGATTTGCGGTTATACTCTTTCTTAACTGTGTCTGTATCTTTATATGCCGGAATTTGGTATATGAGTGTAACGTTGTATTAAAATTTGGCTGTTTTGACTGTGGATTTTCGTATCAGTAATAATCGATATTTAATCGTGTTAAGTTTGAATGAAGAAATAGATGGGGAAATTAATCGTAAATATGCTGTGGTTGGTGAATTGGGTCAGAGATATTTAACCTTTAATGATTTCAATCAATATGGCGTTGAGGTTAGACAAGCATCTGATTATACATTTCTAAGTCTTAAGGAAATATATGATGATGAAAAGTTGACATTAGATGATTTGAAAGAAACTGCAACTTCTAGATTCAAGAAGAGATTTGATAGATATATGGGTCATATTAGACTTGCTAACAAAAAGGCTTAATATATGATTATATCGATGTAAATTGGTAGCGTATTTGTTTTTGATCGTATACACGACCTTGCCTCCATACCTCCAAAATTTCATCGACAGAGAAGAGAACTCGGCTTTATCGACCCAAATTAAATTTTTATCATATGAAGAAAGTCTGTTTGTTATCACATGAATGTAACGTATAAAAAACTTTGTTATTAATAAACTTAATCTTGTTGGTTTAGAATGTAGAATGTAGAAGTAAAAACTAAAATATCACTTGATAATTCTTAGTAGAATCAGATCATATTTACCTAGACTAAAGTATATATAAAGTACGTATAGTCTATAAATAAATCAGAGATTTGACAGATTATTATCTACTATATAAGATTATTATCTATAACTCATACCACCACCAAAATAACTGTTTATCAATTATCACTTTATCTATAACTAACTGAAAATTGCAGTCATTTAAGGTAAAAATATCCCGAGCCAAAAAAAAAAAACTCACACGCTTTTACCAAAAAAAGGAAACAGTGTCAACAAAAATAAAATAAAATAAAATTAAAAAAAAAAAAAAGAATTTAAAAATTTCAGAAAATCGTAAAACCTTTTTTTGATTTAAACAAGTTGAAGAAGAAGAAGAACTGTTGTTTTTATTTATATTATAGACCATTTATCAGTCATTGCAAATAGTTCTCCTGTCTAATCACGTTCATATAAAACAAAAACAATATCTAAAATGTCACAAGAATTAAAAGCATACACTATTGATGAAGTATCTCAACATAACACCACTGATGATTTATGGATTGTTTATAATGGTAGAGTGTACGATGTTACTAAATATCTAGATGAACATCCAGGAGGTGAAGAAGTTGTGGTTGATGTGGCTGGTTCCGATGCTACTGAAGCTTTCAATGATATTGGTCATTCTGATGATGCTCATGAAATTTTATCTGGTTTATTGGTTGGTAAATTAGAAGGTGGTGTGGTTAAGGAAACTACATCTATTATGGATAGAACTGGAGGTGAATCTAGTTCTACTTCATTCCCTTTGATTGCTGTTGTTGTGTTTTTAATTGCATCCGGTGCTTATTATTTCTTACAACTTAAATAGATTAATTGAAGAATCAATCATTCATCCATCAAATCTCATAACTGTTTAATTCTATTTAATTAGTTCTTCATATTAGTACCATCATAACATATGATGGTACTATTATAATCGCTTCCAACCTTCCCCTCATCTCTAGTTTAGAATATTCAATCCTTTTTATATGTTATATAGTTTTGAATTATCAGTATTAATTTAATTTACAATAAAAAAATGTTTCTACTGTTGATTTACGATTAATATTATATCACACCTATTGAATCAAACTATATGAATCGAAAGTTCGATTAATGATCTATCCATTACATTTACTCATTTGTTCATTAAATCTCGTTGAACATACTATAAACACGTTGAATACTGATATTACTGATCAATTCTTATGGGTTTGCTTTTTGTTTGTTATCTGATTCCATTTTTTTTTCCCACTCTGAGTTTTTGATGAGCGCTAAACGACAAGAAAGTGTTCTGATAAGAAATAGAGTCAATTTTTCATCGTATAAGTCGAATTATAAGGAATAAATGGACTGCAACTATTGGATTATACGGTAAAAGTTGGTATATACCTTTATACAATGTACTTACACTTACCCAACCATCATATAGGAAACAACTACCTATACTTTCTATCAATATCTTCCTATATTCTATCTCTTTCTTTGTTAGTAATTAAATTTAATTATTTTTTTATTGGCTCATTTTTTAAACAGTGCGTAAACCCAAACAAAATTGTCATATTCTGCTTAAGACTGTGTTGCTCTTGCTATTTTTTTGCAACTATTTTTACTCCATTTGGTTTAACCTTTAGTATTTATACATGCTTTAGTTGGATAGAAGTACCTCTCATTGATTATGATGTTGTTGCCAACTATATATAAATCATGTAATTTGAAACATCCTTCTTTTTAAAAATAATTACATCTCTTTTCCCAACTTTCTATCCAAAATCAAAATGAAATTATTTACTTTATGGATAATTGCAAGTTTTCTCTATGCACAACAAACCTCAGCTGTGTTATTCAGAGGTAAAACAGATTATAAACGTCCCAGTGCCTTAGTTAGAGCTTATAATGATAATAAAAACATCAAAACCGTTAAATCATATGATCAAGTTTCCACGGCTGATTTATATAAATATGGAATTATAAGAATTGAAGATGATAAAAGTCTTATTGTTAGTGAATCGTTAGCTAATCAACTTACTAAATCTGATAAAACAAAAGGTCATTATGATCCTGAAAGAGATTATTATTCTAGTTCTGAAAAAATGAAAAAATCAGATAAATTTGTTCAAATTAGTTTTGAAAATATTAAAACTAAAACTTCAGATAATGTTTGGTCAAGTTTAGGTGGTTGTCGTCATAATCGTTCCAATCAAAAATCAAGTTATAAACAAGGTTATTCCGTTGATGCTAATGCTGGTACTAGTGGATCTCTTAAATGGACTTTACCTTTAGGTTTAACTCCTATTCTTGGATTAGAAGTTACTGCTGGTGGTACTTTAAGTGGATCAATTGGTTGTGATGTAGGTCCAAAAGAAACTCTTTTGGCTCAAATTAGAACTACTAGTATTAAAGTTTCTGGGTTAAAACAAAGAACTCTTAAACTTGGTTATTTCAGTCATTATTTCCCTCTTACTCCAACTTATTTAAGACAATATCCTTATAAGCCAATTAAACCATTTCATGTTAATCAAAGAAATAAAGTTCAATTGAAATGTATGGTCAATAAGAAAGAAAATCTTAAATGTCCAAAATTAGGTCATCAAACTTCAATTGATGATGATGATGAATTAAGTTTCTGGCCAATTGAAGAAGATGGTAATGATCCAAATTTGGTTTTATTTGAAGATGGTGATGATGATTATGAAGTGGTACCAAATATGGTTACTGCGGTTGATTTACCTCAAGATAATGATCATTTCATTGAATATTATCATGATGATGATGCGATTGAAGAAATTGAAACTGAATCTATCACTCCAGATGAAAGTGAAACTCCAACTGAAACTGTAAGTGAAATAACTCCTAATACTACTCTTACTACATACTATAATAACTAATTCTAACTTTTTTAATCTCCCCTTTTTTTATTGTTGTTAATTTTTATATTTAATTGTTTTTAATAATTGCTGTGTAGTTTATATTGTTTCGGACTTTGAAATATTTTAGCGGTCCCTTCAACCCGTAAACAAAATAAAAATTCCATCATCTCCACAAACCAAAATTTACAAATATATATAAACCCCATTGAAATCCCACTCCACGTTTCCACCCTCTCATCTCTGTAGATATCAAACGACATGAGTAAGAGTGTTGGATTCTGTAAACGATTGGGATTGAAATATCCTATAATCCAAGCTCCAATGGCAGGGACATCCACGGTGGAATTAGCTACTGAAATAACTAATAATGGAGGTTTAGGATCATTACCAATTTCCACGATAAATTTCACTCAATCTCAGGGGTTGATTCAATTAAAATCATTAATTGAGAAATATAATGTTTTGAATAAATCGATAACTAATTTGAATTTCTTTTGTCATGAAATTGTGGAGGGTGTTACTCCTACTCAAATTAAAAATTGGTTTGAATTATATAGTAAAGTTCTTAATGTTAATGTGGGAGATGTATCTGAGGATGAATATTTTAAGAATGGGAATATATCATTTAAAGAGTATGAACATAATGAAGAATTGATTGATTATCTTACGAAGGAGTTGAAACCTGCGGTGATAAGTTTCCATTTCGGTTATCCCTCTAAAGAAACGATATTAAAATTCCAAGCGGCTGGCATTCAAATTTGGGTTACATCAACATCATTACAAGAGACGGAAATCTTAGGGAAATTAGGAGTGGATGGGATTGTATGTCAAGGATTTGAAGCCGGTGGTCATCGAGGAAATTTCATAACTTCTAAAGATTTCGATGAGAATTTATCAACGTTAGCATTATTCTTAAAATCAAAACAATACTTACACCAACATGATTTACATGATAAGATTGATTTGATTCCAACAGGGGGGATAATGGATTCTAAAACGGTTAAATTTTATCTTGATTCAGATGCTTCGGCTGTTCAAGTAGGTACCGTATTCCTCACTTCCCCAGAAATAACCAATAATAAATCATATTTAAAATCCTTACTCCAATCACATGATTACAAACCAACCATTTTAATAGATATTGTTTCTGGTAAAAGAGCGAGAGCAATCCAAACTGATTTCATAAAGGGATTAATCAAATATAATCATCCATCTGATGACTTACCTCCATATGGGATATTATATAATGCTTATAGGACATTAAAACTGAATAAAACCTTATCAACATCATTAGATATTGGATTTTATTTAATGGGACAGAATTATTTCCAAACTGATTTGACATTAACTTCAACCAAGGACATTTTCCAAAGTTTAGTAAAAGATTTATAGTGTATAGTTTTTGCAATTTATCGTTATAATAATAATAATTTTGTTTTGTATTTGTAATTTCTTATGTAATCAAGAAATTTGGTATAATTTTTTTGTTGAAAAGAAATCAAATTTTTTTAAAAATAGCTTCAGTACCAAAGCAAGACTAACTAGATCAAACTCCATATACAACACATATCACATAGTAATACGATGTCAGACTCACCAATTAACAAATATCAATTCACTTTATCTGATGAATCCAAAGAAAGAATCGCCAAGGTTTTAGATTATTCTAAAGTTATTGCTCATTATGGATTCATACCATTTGTATTATATTTAGGATGGTCAAGTTCAAGTAATAAACCATCATTATTCAATTTATTAAGTCCTTTCCCATCTGCTTAGATCTGATTAAGCTGAATTCAGTTTTGAGCAATGATTAACTTTTTGATGATTAGGATTATTATGACGAAGATTTGTATTTGAAGAACGAAAGGGTAATGGTTGAAGGTGGATACCGTAAGTGATGGGTTTAATTATGAGAAGTAATGTGATGACAATCAGATGAGACGATACAAGTCACTCTGATATTGTTATTACTACTATCATAGTGATAATCCTTTGTATATAGTATATTTAATATTCACTGTTTAGCTTACTTTTTCAATGAAAATACAATAAAAATAGATAAAATATATAAAAAGCATATGTTAAATAAGAAGTAGCATATGTAGCTAGGGTAACTTCCTGTAAGATTCAACTATTCATAATAGTGTCAATCCGAAGTTAGGATATACCAAATTACAGTTACAATTACAGTTCTAGCAGCAGCAGCAGCAGCAATAGCCATCAGATTTTTTTTTCTTGATTTTTAATTTTGCGTACTAAGCAATTATTAATAACTAACTACGAATTGATACTATATACAACTACAACAACTAATCCCATAATCATTGCATTCCATAAAGAGGAACATGTACATATATGACTGAACCATCAACTACAGTGGCATCACCTGCCTCTGACTCATCATCTACTACTACTCTCACAACCAACCTTTCATCAATACCGAGACGGTATATCACTGATCCTAGACAAATTGATATCATAGCTGGATTATCAGCTGGATTCATGACAACAGTGATTGGCCATCCGTTAGATTTAATCAAGATTCGATTACAATTATCCCATTTAAATCCGACTCCATCCTCATCTAAAAAAGTCCGTTTTGATTCTATAATTCAAGTGATTCAAAAAATCAAACAAGATTCGATCCTTGATTGGGAATTATTTAAACATAAAGGTGGCATACTTAATCGATATTATCCTACTCATGTTATCAAACAATTTTATAGAGGGATCGTACCTAATTTAATTGGGAATGTTTCAGCTTGGTCGTTATATTTCACATTATATTCTGAATTTAAAACTATATTAGGATCGAATCAATCATCGATCTATTATTTCACAGCTAGTTCTATGGCAGGGATAAGTACTTCAATCATAACTAATCCTATATGGGTTTTAAAGACTCGATTTTTAAGTAGTTCAAGTAATGAGTTAGAAAGTTATAAATCATTATCCGATGGAGTTCGAACTATGTTACGGAATGAAGGTATTTTTAGTTTTTGGAAAGGGTTAATTCCAAGTTTAGCTCTGATTTTCCAAGCTAGTATTCAATTCACCATTTATGATAATTTAAAATCGTATGTTAATAACGATAAGAAACATAAATTGAATGATCAATTAACTACTATTCAATATATTTATTGTTCGGGGATTTCGAAAATCTTCAGTATGATAATAATGTATCCTACTCAAGTTTTACGATCACGATTACAAATTATAAAAGGTGATGCTAAGGCATCGATATTTGATGTGGCCAAGGATCTTTATGTGAATGAAGGTGGATTAAAAGGATTTTATAAAGGGTTAAGTGCTAATATTGTAAGAGTTGTTCCTGCTACATGTGTTACATTTGTAGTTTATGAAAGTGTAAAGAATTATTTAAGTTAAATTGATATAGACCTTGTATTATAGAGAAGAGTTAATGTATATACATAGAAGATGGTGTTCATTTGTAGGTATATGTCATATCATAAGTGGTTGAAGTTATGTCGCGACAATTTTTTGTTTACACCAGACGCGTTTATCATATAAATTTTCAACTTTTGATTCAATTGTATATTAGTTGACATAGAAGAAAGGTATAAATATAGGTATAATGACAAGGAGTAGATCTGTATCGGAAGATCCATTGTCTGATATTGAGAATATCGATCCTGAACAACAAGAAAAAGATCAACCCATTCCAAAAAAGAGAAAAATAGAAGAAGATACCAATGGTAGTACCAGCACCTTCCCATTATCAGTAACTACGATTGAAAATCCATTACAATTCAAATCATCAACATATAGTTCACCCATTCCGCAAGCCATTCTCGATGATAAAGAAAGTTCTGTGGTACTTGGAGTAGATGAAGCAGGTAGAGGGCCTGTATTAGGAGCTATGGTATATGGAGTTGCATATGCATTAGAGAATTTTCTGAATTCATTACAAAAGAAGTATGGTTTCGCTGATTCTAAAACATTAAAGGAAGAAAGAAGACAAGAATTATTTGATTTAATTGAAAATAATAATGAAGAATTACATGAACAAGTGGGATGGGCTACCACTACATTAACAGCCCGAGATATATCAAGTGGGATGTTAAAAGGATCAGGTAAAGTATATAATTTAAATGAACAAGCTCATGATACTACTATTGATTTAATTAAATTAGTGATATCCCAAGGAGTTAATCTTACTAAAGTCTATGTTGATACGGTTGGACCTCCTCAAACCTATCAAACTAAATTAAGTAAAATATTCCCCGGGATTGATATAACGGTAGCAAAAAAAGCTGATAGTATATATCCTATAGTAAGTACTGCATCAATTGTTGCTAAAGTTACTCGAGATCAAAATTTAAAATGGTATAATGAGAATGTCATAATATTAAATAATCATAAATTAGGATCAGGATATCCTAGTGATCCCAATACATCTAAATGGTTAAATTCAAATGTTGATAAAGTATTTGGATGGTGTTATGGATTTATTCGATTTTCATGGCAAACTGCTAAAGATAGTTTAATTAAACATGATGGAGTGAATGTAATCTATGAACAACAATGTATGAAGAAAGAGAAAGGGTATAATGATGTGGGTAATTTTTTTAATGGAACATCCCCCAATTCTAGCCAAAAGGTTATACCATCATTTATAGATAAACTGTATTATAATTCAGATATAGTTAACCTTTAGAGTTATAGTTTAAATATATACACTATACTATATTAGATAAATTGTCGGCCATTAAATACCGACAAATGAGTCTGCGCATCGATGTGTTCCGAGTTCATTTCCCAAAAATTTATTTTTGTTCGCTCTCGGAAAAAAACGTTTAAAAAAAAATTATAGAGCGCTAAAAATCAACAGAAGAGATTTGGAGGAAGAAGAAGGAAGAAGAACTGAACTGAGAAGAAATTTAATCAATCAATATTTGTCAATTGCTGTGTGAAGTACAAGATCGATCCTCCTCCTCAGCATCATATAATCTATTCATAGTAAACATATACATACAATGTCTGCCTTCTTAGCTGCTTCAAGATCTTCAGCTGCCATGGCTGTTCGTGCCATGGCTCATAAACAATATAGTTTAACTAATACCAGCTTCCAATTGGCAAGATTATATTCATCAGGTAAATTCCCTGCTCATACTGTCATCAATATGCCTGCTTTATCTCCAACCATGACCCAAGGTAACTTGGGTTCTTGGTCTAAAAAAGTGGGTGATGAATTGAGTCCAGGTGAAGCCATTGCTGAAATTGAAACTGATAAGGCTTCTATGGATTTTGAATTTCAAGAAGAAGGGTTTTTAGCTAAGATCTTAGTCGATTCTGGAGCTAAAGATATTCCAGTTGGTCAACCAATTGCTGTCTACGTTGAAGAAGCTTCTGATGTAGCTGCTTTTGAAAATTTCACTGCTGCTGATGCTGGTGAAGCTGCTCCTGCTGCTCCAGTTGCTGAAGAAGCTCCAAAGGAAGAATCTAAACCTGCTCCAACCCCAGCTGCTGCTGCTGCTCCAACCCCAAGTGCTTCATCCACTGTCTCCGCTCCAACTACTAGAATCTTTGCATCTCCATTAGCTAAAACTATTGCTTTAGATAAAGGTATTGCCTTAAAGAATATCAAAGGTACCGGACCAAACGGAAGAATCATTGCTAAAGATGTTGAAAACTATAAGGCTCCAGCTCCTGCTGCTGCTGCTCCTTCTGCTACTCCAGTTGCTGCCCCAGCTGGTGCTTCTTATGAAGATATTCCAATCACTTCAATGAGAAAAACTATCGCTACCAGATTATTACAATCAACTCAACAATCTCCAACATATATTATTCAATCACAAATTTCAGTATCTAAATTATTGAAATTAAGAGCTTCCTTAAATAGTTCTGCTGAAGATAGATATAGATTATCTGTTAATGATTTATTAATTAAAGCCATTGCATTAGCTTCAGTAAGAGTTCCAGCCGTTAATTCTGCTTGGTTAGGTGAAGAAGGTATCATTAGACAATATAAAAACGTTGATGTATCCGTTGCCGTTGCTACTCCAACTGGTTTAATCACTCCAATCGTTAAAGATGCTCATGCTAAAGGTTTAAGTCAAATTTCTCATGAAATTAAAGAATTAGGTAAAAGAGCTAAAATTGGTAAATTAAATCCTGAAGAATTCATTGGTGGTACCATTTGTATTTCTAATTTAGGTATGAATAATGCAGTTACTGCTTTTACTTCTATTATTAACCCACCTCAATCTGCTATTGTTGCTATTGGTACGGTTGATAAAAAAGCTGTTCCTTCAAATGTTAATGAACAAGGTTTTGTCTTTGAAGATGTCATTACTATTACTGGTACTTTTGATCATAGAACTGTTGATGGTGCTGTTGGTGGTGAATGGATTAAAGAATTAAAGAGAATTATTGAAAATCCATTAGAAATGTTAATTTAAATTTAAATTTAAATTTAATCTAGTTTAATTAGATTTTTTTGAAATGAAATATAAAAAAAAAAATTTGAAAATAAAGAAAAAACAGCAACAACATAATGGCATTCTATATACATTTAACCTCTAATACTGTCAATATATATATATATAATAAGTTATTTTCACTAAGAATTTGTGATTTTGTTAATATTAATTAAATTGAAAAAAATTAATTATCGTAGTTTTGTATAACCAGTTCTATTATTGAACCGTACTTCGCCGTCATAGGCATCGATACAATTTTTTTTCTAGTCAATTGACATCTGTGGGCATTAACTAATCGTATCGACATGTTTTGGTTTGTTGGAATCGTGGTTCATCAACTTAGGCATCGATTTCAATTTTTTTCCCTATTTCTCCGGGCTCTAAAAAATTGAATCGATCGAATGATGATTGCAAAAATTAACACTAAGCGTATTTTGCCATTCTTATCGTCAATCTTAATTTTTTTAGCCATTTAGGCTAGCAGGCGTCAATTTCAGTATAAGCCTGATGGATTTAACCAATATGATAAAATAAGAAAAGGTAAAAGAAGAAATTATAACAGAAAAGAAAGAAATAGAAGAAGACAAGATAGAGAGAAAGAGTAAATAAATAAACCTAGTCTATTCATGACAATATCCTATAAGCATCAAAACTCCTGAATGTTATCCTCTATCTAGTGAACTAAAGATTGTCTAACATGAAATGAGTATTTGTAAAGACTTTCCAACACAATCTCCTCCATTAAGTCAAAGGTTACTAATCAGCTATAAAGCCTGACTGTAAATATCACTTTGGAACAACACAACTCACCGCGAAGTAAGTAATCTAACACCTTCAACCCACTCATAGACCAACCCAATCTATAAAGGTATATCATATACAACAGGACAGCTAGAGTGGCTCCAATACTGTTTGCCATCCGGTGTTGTAATGATCGGCTGGCTAGAACTTACTAGAGTGGAAGTGGATGTGGCCCCTGACTGGTTCGGATTGGCGGTAGGTACAATACAACTCTTTCAAAGCAGATCTTATGACTATTGATAATAGAAATCCATTCATAATATCTCTAGCCTATGATTTTCACTTTCAACCTGATGGTTCAATGGATTATTCAACTCAGCCTCAGTTAACTGAAAAGAAATATATGACTTTGAAATATATGTAAATAGACATTTACAGCCAAAATCTTTTTAGTATTTTAATTTTTCAGTGCGGCTTTGTTAACTAGATCTGAAAAAATATTCGTCTTTTGGTAGCGCAAACATCGAAATCTAAATAAATCTATGGTTTATAATTTTATCATAACTAACTCTAAACAAGTATATTTTAAAGCTTGTTCTTGATTGTGAATTAAAGAAGGTTTAATTAAAAGATGTCTTCACCGATTACGGTCCAAACTTCCTCTACAGGTGTTACACTCACACTTCCATCAGTTAATGTTAGACCCATCAATGTCAATACTGCAACAACTACCACTACATCAACTTCACAAACTTTAAGGCCAATTGAAACATCAAATCAATCAACAATCAATCAAGCTATTGATGAAACAACGATAAATTATAATACCATCAATTCCTTTGGAAAAACGATACGTCAAAAATTTAGCCGCTGGATTCATCATGGAAGTTTTCATTCCAGAAGTAATATAGTGCCACATGAAATTCCAGATTATTTACTGCAACCCAATTCATCAGAGATTACATTACTGAATCCCATGAATAATAGTGATTATTATCAAATAATGCTTAATTTACCACTTCCACAAATCAAATTAGTATTACAAGAAGTGGAACAAGCCATTGATATGAGAATGAAATTAGGTTATTTCCCTGTTGTTGTTAATCCGACTCATGCTAATAATAATAATAATGGTAATGATGCTATTAGTGTCAATAATGACACTATTAATGATGAAAATGCTGGTGATCAAGGTAATTCATCTGGTTATGAAACTTTTGATGAAGAGGAAGAAAGGTATACTGAAGAAGAAGATCAATTTTTATTAGATTGTTTAGGAGATTTAAAAGCTGATTTATTAAAGATGATAAAATTAAGGAATAAAAGTAGTAGGCTATATAAGTTAAAGAAATTTTGGAGCCATAAAGAATAATGTTGTATGGGTATATATGGAAGGTTGCAAAAGTTGAATAATAAGGAAAGGTTATTTAGAATGATTATTATACATTAAGCTTTTATTATCTTATCTATAGAATTACAACGTAATATTTGACGTGTAGAGTCTAATGTTATATAGTTTTTAAAGTCATAATTATGATATATAAGTAAGTATATATTTGGTTAAAAGCAGCACCCTCCCTAAAAAAAAGAAATCATTTTTTTAAAAGCCTTATGTCGCCCCTCTCTATTCTCTTTTCCCCCACGAATTTAGCGATGCGAAGGGGTAACCCAAAAGTAGAAATTGTGGTAGTGGTGAGAAGGTATGCACAAGCAATTGATAGTAAAAGAATTTGTAGCATGATTGTGATTCTTAAACCAACTAAATATAATAGCTTAATAAAACTACAATAACATATCAAATTCGAAATAAATATCACTTTAAATAACTAACAAAGAACTAAAAAGTTAAAAAAAAGATTTGAAAAAGACTAGAAAGCAGGGTATATATATGTTTTTTTAATTTTCAAGATATAGCAATTTAAATTTTTCTATTTTTAAATCAAATCTAAGACTTATAAGTTGGTGGAGGACCTTCTGGTCTAGAGAATTGTGGGACTTCATCAGTGACATGAGATGGACCATAACCACTTTGTTGATAACTATTACCAGCATTATAAGATTGTTGAGGATGACTTGGTGGAACATAACCTGTATTATAACCAGAGTCTTGTTGATTGTAATAAGTACCCCCAGTTTGTTGAGTTGGATAAGGTTGTTGAGGGAATGGTTGTTGAGTAGCAACTGGAATGGCAGTGGCATTTCTTCTTCTTCTTCTCATACAAAGTAAGAGGAAAACAGCAGCTGGGATAAGTAATAAAAATAACATGTACCATCTATTACCAAACCATGAACTATTATTATAATAAACAAATCTCTTGACGGCATTAACCGTCACAGTAGATCCTCTATGATGAACTTGTTCAACGTACATCTTTGATTGTAAATGGATGATATATCAATTGAATTAAAGAAAAGAAAAGAACCCTATTTTGCCTTTAAATATATATTTATGAAATGAAATTTAGCATGGCCTTGATTTTTCTTAACTGTTAAGGGTTATTGTTATATACAGGATACTTGCATCATTAAAATCGAGTTTAGTATTGAAGTTTGGATGTTTGGAGATCATGTGATTTGTAGACCTGTATACAAGAAAATATAAACCCAAGACCGATTTTGAATTCTATAGATCATATATATAGATCAAGAAATATTTTACGTGAAAATGATTGACGAGAGATGATTGGTTTATTGATAGATGGTGTATATTAGAGATTATTGTTTGACATTGAGGATTTGGAATAAGGTGTTAAACACTTCTGTTATGAGCGGCTGAGAAAGAATAGAAATAGATGGAACGGCTGATCACACGATACAATGAGCTGTCTACAAGATAATATTGAAAGAATATAATGATTATATTAAGTGGTATAAAAGTGTAATTATAATAATATAGAAAAAGAAATAAAGGGAAATGCTAAATGTTAAATGATAATCGTAATAATAATAATAATAATAATAGTAATACTATAGTATGTAAGAAAGCATAAATCATGAAAACGTTAATAATGAGTAATCCTTCAGGATTTTATTTAATTAATTCTTAATATGAGCATCTTCAGGAGGTGGGGAATAAGGAGGTGGAACCACATTACCATAAGCATCTTGTTCTTGAGCATAAACATGAGGAGGTGGAACATTTGGTCTAGTATAATTAGCTCCATTTGGATTTAATGGTGGAATATAACTTGTAGTAGCTGGATTTTCATCAGTAACTGGTTGTTGAGGATGATTTTCATAATAAATTTGATTTGAACCATGTTTCTTTATATATTGTTTACGTAATCTTCTTCTTCTCCACCATACGAAGAATACAACTAATATAAGTGGGATAAGGAATAAAAATAAAAGATACCATCTTTCTCTATACCAAGCTCCTCCACCAGCACCAATTGGCATTACCATAAATCTTTTTTCAACTTGATCTTTTATTGACTCAAGTTCTTTGATGTACATTGTTGTAGTTGATATTTGTTTGTTTGTTTGTTTGTTTGTTTGTTTGTTAATTATATAGAGCAAATATTATCATGAGTTGCAAAAATGGATAATAACGAGGGAAATAATCTATTTAAGTATATAACGAGTGGGGGCGCAATATAATAAATAAGGTCAGATCAAACATCAAAGAGATCGATATATGGTATGATCCGATGTTTATGATTTACATATATCGAATAAATTAATTAAACTACATACATCATTATATAAATTTTTTCCGTATACCAGATGCAATATGTACCATATCATTTTATTTTTTAGAGATGGGATTTAAATAGATGATCAATTTACAGGTTAGATCATTTCTTGGGTCACTGTACATATTGTTGCTTAGCGCGCTCTAGTTAACCACCCGACATTCTGGTTAATTTATTTTACGACGACATTCAATTATAGCCCTGTTTCTAACCAAAATAAATGATTGATTTTATAGACAATGTCGTCGTATTTTTTTGGTGTTATTGTCTGTCATCTATCAGTTTAACATTATAAGATGACACTAACTGCAGTACCGTTGACCTAATAAGGAAACATGTCTATTTAGTAAATTAGTACTCAATTAAACTATTCTGTCTATTATTAGAAGTCTCTCATAATTTACACATGCTACATATAGTATATATATATAAAAATACCAACATTTCTGACCCACACATACAAAGTGTTGCTTTTAAAAAGGTGAATAGGGGATGATAGACAGAGAGGAGAGTTGAGCGATAAAAAAAAAAATGACAGACAAAAAAATAATTTAAAAAATAAAAAAAAAATAATGACAAAACAAAATACTAAATTCAGACACAGACAGACACAAATGAGAGAGATAAACAATTTCAATTTTTTTTTTCTATTTTACGACAGTAATTCAAACTTCTGACATTTTCATTTCATTTCATTTACAACATATCAACATCACCAACGAGTGATCCTCCTATCATCACCATCCAACATCTTCAACCATCATTTACAGTAGGTGAATCAATCAATCAATCAATCAATTCAAATCAGTAGAACGGGCCTAGACTTACCACTAAGCACTATCCCACCTCAACTTACAAATTTACAATTCCTTTAATCGTCTGTTCTGTATTATTAGTTTGGCAACCATCATTGTGACCAAATCTATATATATGTTCATTTGATCCATTAATCGATCAATCAATCAATCAATCAATCAATCCAATTATTAGAACAATCCGATCAATCATAAAACCAATTGTATTATATGTTACCTATTGACATTATAGAGTCTGAGTATATACATAGATAGACATCATTTTTTATTATCCTTCCTATATCAATCAATCAATCATCATGAGTTTCTTCGTGGTGCCCGCTGTATCATATCAGACTCAGCAGAAAATCAATAAACATAATGAAGAAAAAGAAAAACGGAGAAAGAAGAAACTACAAAGTGAAAAGAGACAACAACAACAACTGATCCAACAATTACAACATTCTCAATCTCTTAATCAACAAACAAGTGTCATATCAGAAGAATTAGAACCTCAATTAACATCTCAACTGTATCTGAATTTACACTCTGCTTCACCAACTTCATCTCCATATCCTCATTCTACTCCAACCCCTCCTTCAAATTCAAGAAAACAAAGTGATCCTTCGGATAATGCATCCGTCCTATCATCAAGTAATTCAATTACAAGTTCATCTATAAGTAAACCAATTGAAGAAAATACTCCTAATATTTTAATAGATGCTTATGGTTTAAGTGGTCATTCCATTGAACAACCAGAACCATCTTATATAGCTGAGAAATTTACGGCAGCTTTGGCAGGATCTACTCCAACTTCATCATCGACAAATATAAGTAATTCATCATCTCCAATATTACCCAGAAGACAACTTGATGATCAAAATAAATCCCCTTCTTGGTCTGATTTAACTGTCTTAAATGATAGAGCAAGAAATAATTCAACATTTTCAAATTCAAGTAATGCATCAGCTTCAACTAATCCTATTCCAGCATCAAGTTCATCTAATTTAAACAGTAATATAAAATATAGAAGAAATAGTTCATTATCATCAGCTCATTCAAGTCCAAGTATGATGATCACTCCTACTAGTAATAGTAATACAACTCCAGCTTTAAGTTCAGCTCATAAAGGTTCAACCAGTTCAAGATTTTCTCGTAAATTTTCCACCACATTTGCTCCTACTAGTGAATCAAAATCTCGTTCTCAACTGATTCAAATATCACCTACTCAACTGACAACTTCATCAATGCATTCCATTGAAATCCCTCCTTATAAACCTTTAATTAATTTATCTCAATTAAATTCCATTGATGCTATGAAACCTATACTTTTCACACCTGCATTTCAAATCTTTAGATATAATAATTTTTTGGAAATAGTTAGTGATCATCATAGTCATGATGCGGTTAATTTTGCCAGTATTAGAAATCATTCTATTTTAAAATTTTTAAATCGTCATCGGAATTCAAAAGATTTAATGAAAAAATATGAAACGGTTCAACATTATGATATACGATTTTATGAAAGTATACTAGCATATGAATTAATTGGAGCCAGAAAATTTATTCGAGAATTGATTTTAGATGATCTGGAATTAATAAATCATCCTATTCAAAATCATGAAGAATTAATTCAAGTTAATTTTTCAAATTATGTTCGTTATTTATTAAATTTACCTCCCCTTTATAATCGAAATCATTTATCAGAAACTGAACAAACTCATTATCGATATAAAGATTTATTCATTAAGATTGCCGATGCTTTATTTGTTTTAAAACGTGAAGAAGCAGGTGATATATCGAATAATGAACAAGATTCTATTACGACAAAATTTGCCTTATTATTACAATCCATTACCAAAGTATCATATGAATTCATTTTATTAGAAAAATATCATATTAATATCATTAGTAAATTGAATAATAATTTCATTATTGAAAGTCGAACTGTCAATAAATTATTTGAAAAATTCAAATTTAATAATTTAAATAATAATCAAGAATCGGTAAAAGTATTGGTATATAATACATATTTCAGTTCTCAATATTCATGGTATTTATCATTAACTTTACCATTTGTTAGAGTATATGAATCGAATTGTTATGTTGAAAATTCAAAAATTATCGGTGATGCTGAATTATATAAAGAATTAGAACCAAAAACTATAAAGAAAAATTTTGAAGCAAGTGATGAAGAATTATATACTCATTATTTCCAAAAATTAGGGTTTGAAACATTTAATGATTTTAAAAACTTTACTCCCAAGAGATTAATTCGATTATTAAAATCAATTGATAATTCCTCACCTAAATATTCCAAAATTAAACGTCATGAAATACCGGATCCTTCAGCCGCTTATAGTCATAAACCCATGAATTTTGAATATTTCACAGATAGTTTATTATCTATCCCCAATGAAAGTTTTGAATTAATTCAAAGTCGAGATTTGGCCTTACAATTGACTCCAACCAATTATAGAAATACCATCCGTGAATTCTATAGAATTTTAAAAGTGGATGGGATTTTAGAATGTCCAATATTACAATTTGGAACTGAATCGGTAAAACAATTCAGTAATCAACCTACAATCTTAAAAAGAAGATGGAATTTCTTGGATTTAGATGTCCTGGATTATCTTGAAGTTATTCCTAATTTCCTTGAAGTTTTACTTTCAGAATTATATTTGGTATTTGGAAAGGGTAATGTTAAATTCACCGTTGTGGTTTTAAGTAATAAAAATGATTTAAATAATTTCTTATTAACTAGAGTAGGATTACAATTATTTGAAATGTTTGGTAAAGTGGATGAATATTGTATTAAATTTAAAGATCATGATGATACCCCGCAATCATCAGTTCATGATAATTTATTCTATTATATTCATATCAAATGTGTGAAGAAAAAGTAAGTGACTTTAATCATGACTCTTCTTGCTGGTCAAGGGTCAATACATAGATATATTCTCTTAAAATAGATAGTCATTTATTGATTTAAATATACAATTTATAATTGTTATACATCGGAACTATTGTTCTGATATGTTTTCTCTTTAGCCGCTGAGGTTTCTTTTTTTTCTTTTTGCAGTCTTTTTTGTGGTTCCAGAAAAGCCCAATTTTGAGATTTAAATTTGCGGCTTCTCATTTCATATACAAAAATTCTTTTTGTACATCCTCTTCTTTCATATATCATATCGATTCCCCCTCAATCTTAATATCATTACATTAAGATTATTCATTGGAATTGATATATATTTTATTTAAGATGCAAAAGAAAGCATTTCAAGTTATTGTTTCCACATTATTTTATAATTTTGTGTTGGGCTCTTCCAAGGTTGAAGATGTGGTTGGAGAGTCATGTTGTGGAGAAATTGAAGACGTTGAATATGATTTAATTCATATCATAAGTGAAGAAGATGACGATGTGGATGTTTATTTCAAGGATGATGTGGAGTCAGATGTTGTCGACTCGATTCCTAGTTTTGAAAAGTCAAGTTTTTGTTCAGAATCAAGTGTTACTATTAGTTCTTCCGAGGAAAGTGGATCCGTCGATGCTGCTGAAATTAAACCTGTGGATGAAGTCAAAGTTATTAGAGGTAAACATAGTTTTGGATTGAAACATATTTATGAAAAGATTGAATCTAAGGGTTCAACTTCTGTTATTACTACTACTACTACTGGTGCTGGTGTTGTTAATAATGGCGGTAAAATTTATGATGAGAATAAATCACTTAGAAGAAAGTTATCTAACTTACTTAGAAATAGAAGTTCAAGAAAAAGTCAAGGTTTTTATGATAACTCAAAATTTGATTCAAATAATTCCATTTCTCAACCATCAAGAAAATCATTAAGAGGATCTTTTTCAAAATTAAAAAGAGATCATATTAGTTTTCACAAATCAAGTTTAAAAGATAGTTTGAGATGGTGTAAAGGTTATAGAAGTATTCCTGCTGTTTCTATTAGATCTGACTTAGAATTAGAAGAATTAGATTCTAATTATGGTTCTTTAATTTCTGATAGTTCAAAAGCTTCTGTTATTTCGGTAATTACTCATGGTTCAATTCTTTTTGATGAACCTGAATTGGAATTTTCACTGGTTAGAACTTTAAATGCTGGTGTTATTATTCCTAAAAATTATGTTGCTTCTGGTATTTCTGATAATACTTTAAGTTTGGTTAAAAAGCTTACTCCAGTTAGCAAAATTTATGCTGTTTATTATCCTTTTAATATTACTCCAAGTTATATGGTTTGTCATAAATTTAAATCAATGAATCTTTTGAATAATTTAGATTCAAGATTATTTTTCATTCCTACTTTAACTAGTTCTTTTGGTCCAATTACTTTAATTTCAGGTTCTTCTGCTGAATTGGTTAGAAAGGTTAAATTACCTAGTTTAATGGGGTCATCAGCTATTGTTAAATCCATTGGTCCATGTGTTTCAGTTAGTTCTGCTGTTGTTCCTCAAGGTTTTATTATTTGGTTTAAACTTGAGTTGAACTTCAAATTGGAAAAAGTTAAAAGTATCTTGAAAAGATTTTTTGGTAAATTTAAATTGGTTAGTGGTACAGGTTCTGGTTTTGTTGGTAATACTGTTGTCGCTCCTCAATCATATCTTATCTCAGGAAAATTTGAGTTGAGCTTCGTTAAAAACCATTTTGGTTCAAGTATTGCTTCAGCTACTTTAATTGGTCCTGTTAAATTAACTTCCATTTACAAAGATATTTCTGGTTCAGTTGTTTCTAGCTATACTTATAAGGCTCCCCTTGTTACTAATAAGCTTGGGTTGAGCTTTTGTTATAATCATTTAGATTATTGTATGGCTAAAGTGACTTCATATGAATCGGTCAAATTAACTTTTTCTAGCAGACTTATTGAGTCTCTCAAGTATGATTCAGATATTGTAGGTTATTTTACTGTTGTTCCCCTTGTTACTATCATTCATGGACTTGGGTTGAGCTTTGAAAATAATAATTTACATTCAGATAATGCTTTTAGTTTGGTTCAATGTGATACATTTATTAAGTCTGGTATTTATGCTGTTCATTATACTACTTTTATTGGTCCAAGATCTATTAGATCTTATGAATTGGAGTTGATGAAGTTTATTGGTCATATTGATTTTGATATATATTATCCTCCAACTAATTATGGATTTGGTAGAGCTGTTTCTTGGGGTTCTGATGATTCTGATGACTCAAATGAATCGGAATCGTGTTTTCAAACCGATGTTTCTGGTTGTTCTATTAGAGATGAGTTTGCTGGTTCTGATGATGAATTTGATGATGCTACAGATAATATTATTTCAGCTGTTTCTGAAAAGCATTTTGTTCTTACTTTAGATGATGAATTTTTAGATGATGAAAAAGATTATGATAATTCCAGTGATAATGATGCAAGTTTTTGTTGTGGTAAATCAGCTGGTAAAAAAGATTTCTCAGTTGGTATTGAATCAAATTTATATTTTGATTCAAATTATGATGATGAAGGAAATTCTTTTGTTAAACCAAGAAAGTATCAAGAATTAATTAATTATTATGGTAGTGAAGAATATCAAAACTATCTTAGAGACTTATTAGGAGAGAGTAAGGAGAATGAAGGTTATAAGTTGTGGCCCTATTGGAATGCTGATAGAGAGCTTATTGTAATTCCATATTCTGAAAATCCAAATTGTTTCAATGATACTATTACTTCACCTCCATCTGATACTTATCGTGCTGATTCTGCTAACGAAGATATTAAACATCTTTATAATTATCAAGGAACTTTTTTAGATAAATGGTGGTTGCCTCTTAAGAGAAAACCTGATTATGTTAAGTCAAAATTATCTTTATGTTATCCTCACCCTACAAGAGCTTCTAATGATGATTCTTGTTTTAGAAATGGTTCATATTATAGTAATGATGATTATGATGATTATGATGATTTTGATGTTGAAGATTATGATTACAAGGAACCTAATAACATGTCTACATATGATTCAGAAAAACTTAAAAATTTAGAAGAAGGAACTTATAATGATAATCATGAATTTGTTGTTGAAGCTGAAACTTCTTATGAAGAAACTATTATTTCATATCCGGTTGAAACTGAATCTAGTGAGGTAATATTTGATAGAGATTATTTTGATAATCTTGTTGTTGATGATTGGTGTGATTAATGGTGGTGATGGTGGTTTACGAACATTTTATATAAGTTAATTTTTATTAACATTCTCTTTTTCTTTTTCTCTTTTGTTTCTCTCTTCTCTCTCTCTCTTCTCTCACATAGGATACTTTCTTATCTTATTTTATATTGTTATTTGTTTTAATAAATTATTGTTTTACTAACTTTCCCTGTCTGTAGTTAGCGTAGATTTTTATGGTGCAAAATATTTTATGACTCGTAAAATATTGACTCACTAAATTTTTCAGAGCAGAAAAATAACTCTGACTTTCATAAAATTATCATAATTGATGAACCAGCCAGTTTCATCATTATCAACAATTATTACTAAGGATGACTACTATCAAAACAGTGTATGTCATTGATGTGGAAAGTGGTAACTTACAATCATTATCCAATGCCATCAAATACATTGGTGGCTATGATATAAAGTTCATTCAAAATGAAGAAGACTTCAAACAATTTGATTCAAAAATTGAAAAATTGATCTTTCCAGGGGTAGGGAATTTCGGTCATTTTGTGAAGCAATTACATGATAGAAACTTAGTTCAACCTATTAATGATTATATCAAAAGTGGAAGATCCTTGATGGGTATTTGTGTTGGGTTACAATCATTATTTAAATCATCAGAAGAAAATCAATTTGCAGTAGATGGATTAGATTTATTATCAGTTAATTTAAATAAGTTTAATGTTGATGATCCAATCTTTAAAGCTATAAACTTAAAGAAATCAGTTCCATCTATTGGTTGGAATCATGTTAGTGAGATTAAAATCGGTAAAGACGAAGATCTCGATTCATCAAAGACACTTTATGGAATAAATCTTGTTAATAAATATTATTTCGTTCATTCTTATGCTGCCATTTTAAATGAAGAAAATACAAAAGCAGTAGATGAAGCTATTGTAAAAGGATGGGAATTTTCATTTGCAACTTATGGTTCAGAATCATTTATTGCTGCTGCTTCATACAAGAATTTCTTTGCAACTCAATTTCATCCTGAAAAATCAGGTATTGCTGGTATAAGAGTTCTTAAGAATTTCCTTGATGGGAATAAGTATGCCAAAAATGAAATTAATATCGATCGTAATTCATCTATAGAAAAGACATTGTCTGGATTAAGTAGAAGAATCATTGCTTGTTTGGATGTTAGATCAAATGATAATGGAGATTTAGTAGTTACTAAAGGTGATCAATATAATGTTAGAGAATCTAATACTGAAGGAGAAGGTGAAATTAGAAACTTGGGTAAACCAGTGGAATTAGCTACTAGATATTATAGACAAGGGGCTGATGAAGTGACGTTTTTGAATATTACTTCATTTAGAAACTCTCCTATTAATGATCTTCCTATGTTAAAAGTATTAACCAAAGCTGCAGAAACTATTTTCGTCCCATTAACTGTTGGAGGTGGGATTAAAGATCTTGTTGATCCTGTTTCAGGAGAATTAGTACCGGCTGTTAAAGTGGCTGATTTATATTTCCGTTCTGGAGCTGATAAAGTAAGTATAGGTTCTGATGCTGTTACTATTGCTGAGAAATATTATGCTGATAATAAACAAAAGACCGGTAAAAGTTCAATTGAAACTATATCTGCTACTTTTGGGGTTCAAGCAGTAGTCATATCGGTTGATCCAAAAAGAAAATACGTTACATCACCAAAAGATACTACTATGTCAGTGATTGAAATTAAAGATCCTGCCAAGTATGGACCAAATGGAGAAAAATACTGTTATTATCAAGTGACATCTCAAGGAGGTAGAAAAGTTCATGAATTAGGAGCTTTAGAATTATGTCAAGCTTGTGAAGCCTTAGGAGCTGGTGAAGTATTATTGAATTCCATCGATCATGATGGATCCAATAAAGGATATAACTTGGAGCTTTTACAACAAATAAAATCAAATGTATCAATCCCCGTCATTGCTTCTTCTGGAGCTGGTAAACCAGAACATTTCCAAGAAGTGTTTGAAATGGAATGTGGTATTGATGCTGCCTTAGGAGCTGGTTTATTCCATAGAGGAGAGTACGAAGTTAATGATGTTAAGAAGTTTTTATTAAACAATGCTAATATGGATGTTAGATTGGAAACTGATGTAGAGTTGTAAGTATATAATAATAATAATACATTTAGACTATATTGTATAATTTAAAATACTGCAAATTTTATGACGTAGTGAGAGGGGTCTGAGCGTATAGCAAGAAAAATTAAACCGTAAAAAAAAATCTTAAAATTTGTGCCTAGCCCCTATCTGGCAGCAGAGATTAATTACAGCAACCAGATCAACATCAACGTCAAGATCATGACTTCATTCTAAGAGCATCATGTATAAGAATAGAAACGTATCGGACCCCAGCATAAGTCTGAATGATGCTGATGATGGTTCAAGCCAGGTCCTTACTCCGGTGGTGAGTCCTAGTGATTTAGCATCACCCCTCCATCAATCAACATATGTGGCCCATACTTATGAAAAACATCGATCAAATTCATCTCCAGTACTGTCTAGTTTGACTCTTTTGTTCAGTAACCTAAGGACAAATGATGGGAGTAATAGTGAAGCATCTTCATCGCAATCAGGAAGAAGTATTTTGAAGAAATTATTATATAAGAATAAATCAGAAGAAGACTTACGATCATTATCACCTCCTAGATCAAGAACAAATTCAATGGGAAGACGTGGTTCTGGATCGAAAAGTCCAATTCCATTCATGAATAATACTAATGGATCAATTGATCTGAATGATATGGAATTGGATCCTTCAATTTATGCCAGTATGGGACATCATATTAAAATCCCAGATGTATTTATTAAAGATGGTTTACCATTATTAAAACTATCTCAGAAATCAAAAAAGAGAATCATGTTAAAGGTTGATCCTACTAGTTTCATATTCTCTTGGAAAAGTGCTTCTTCAACTTCAATATCAGCTTCAGCATCTAATAAATTTCATAAAGTTGTACCGAATTCGATTCATACTCCGAAAGCAAAACTACATGAGTTTTCATTAGATAATATCAAAACTATAGCATATCTGAAAGAGGCTACTAATTATAGAGAGGAGTTACATATATCTAAAGAGTTTGAAAGTCAATGGATAACGATTATTTATTATAATGAAGCTAAGAAAAAGCTTAAAACTTTACATCTTATAGCTGATACTGAACATGATTTAAAACGATTGGTACAAGCAATTAAGAATCTTAAGGTATTACGTGATCATTTGGCAAAGGAATTATTTATAGATGCAGAAAATATCAATGAAGATAAAATTCGTCTGATTATGAGTTTAGCTAATCATACTGAAGATACGGTTGATGGCAATGAAAAACATCATCATGTAAGAGAATTTGTTTCCTTCAGTGATATTTTGAAATATGCCAAACGATTAAATATCAATTTAAGTGCCTCTTATTTGAAATCTATTTTTAATGAAGTTAAAAATGTATCAAATAGTAAGGATACTGTATTTGAAGAAGGATTAAATTTCAATCAATTCAAACTATTCATATCGAATTTAAAGAAAAGAAATGATATTATAGAGATTTGGATATCCATTTGTGGTGATGAACAGCTGAAGATGTCGTTTGAAATGTTCAAGAATTTTATGATAAATATTCAAAAGGAAAATTTAGAAATCGATCAATTACAAAGAATTTTTAAGAAATTTGGTAATGAAAAGAATGATTATTGGTTACCTGAGAATTTTAATAGTTATTTGATGTCTAAATATTGTCAATCCTTAATTTCAATTCCAAATGATATAAATGCCAATAATTATTTTAATCATCCTTTAAATGAATATTTCATATCATCATCTCATAATACATATTTAATTGGCCGACAAGTAGGTGGAGAATCATCAGTTGAAGGATATATTAAAGCTCTACAACGAGGATGTAGATGTGTTGAGGTTGATATTTGGGATGGTGAAAATGATGATAGTGAACCAATAGTTAATCATGGTAGAACTTTTACAGTAGCTATATCATTTACTAATGTAATTAAAACCTTGAAAAAATTTGCCTTTGTTTCTTCACCTTATCCTTTGATAATTAGTCTTGAAATCAATTGTAATGCTAATAATCAAAGAAAATTAGGTAAGATTCTTATCGATGTATTGGGTGATGCATTAGTGTTGCATAAGTTAGATGATAATGCTATATTACCATCCCCTCATCAATTAAAGAATAAGTTCTTATTGAAAGTTAAAAAGACTAGTCCATTCAATGATCTTATTCCTATGGATGGAAGTTTTATGACTGCATCGCCAAGTACTGCATCAACTACTACAACTTCGTTTAGTGAAGATAATGGTGTTGGTGGAGGTAATAGTGGAGGGTTTAAGATGAGACGAAAGAAGAAAGGTACTAAAGTGATTGATGATTTAAGTGAACTTGGTATATATGTTCAAGGATTAAAATTTAGAAATTTTTCATTACCTGAATCGAAAACTTTCAATCATTGCTTTTCATTAAGTGAGAAATCGATAAATTCGATGTTAAAGGATGATACTAAGAAAGTTGCGGTTGATAAACATAATAGAAAGTATCTTATGAGGATTTATCCATCTGGTTATAGAGTATCTTCATCTAATTTTATACCATTAAAATATTGGAGTAATGGAGCTCAAATGGTAGCGACGAATTGGCAAACTTATGATTTAGGACAACAATTGAATGAAGCTATGTTTGATGGACTTCAAGGAACAGGATATGTATTGAAACCAATTTCATTAAGAAAACCATTATTGAAATCAATGAGAGAACTGGCATCTAAATTGAAATCAACTACATATAAATTTGAAATCACCATTATTAGTGCTCATCAACTTCCCAAATCAAAAGATGATGGAGCCCATGCTATAAATCCTTACATAACGGTTGATTTTTATGGTGCAACTCCATTCGCTGAATCTGAAGATTATAAACTAGCTACTTACAAATCATCTTTAATATTAGAAAATGGGTTTAATCCAATTTGGAATGAAACATTCAAAGGTACCATCACTACAGAATCTGATTTAGCATTCATTAAGTTTACGGTTAATACTGTGTCGGGGCCATACACAGAACATGATAGAGGAACACCCATTGGAGGTCTTGTGTTCCGGTTAAATTATTTAAAACAAGGGTATAGGTATTTACCTATAAAGGATCTGTTTGGAGAAGAGTTGGTTTACTCTTCGTTATTTGTAAAAATTAATTATTGTAGAATTAACTAATAACTATGAATGGTTATTAAATTGATATTACTATATTTAGTTAGATTCACTTATGTAACTTATTTATTTAATGAATCTTTTAATTAATTCTTATTATAATTCAGTTGTACTTTTAAAACATATAAAGTAGTTTCTATAGAAAGACTAACTACTAAGAAAATGGCCCATATACATTACCTTGTACAAATACCGTCGATATTGCAACACTAGTCACATTACCATACTCTCTACCTGAATAACACAAATCTTGTAAAGTGCTGTTTAGATTAAATATAGCAGCATCATACATTTCTTTATTCTCAGAATAACTCAAACTATTGTTTGTCAACATCCCATAAGCCATGTCTAAACCATACCAACTGGATGCCATCTCAAACTTTCCCCATTGGCTATCAGAATACAAATGAGACTGCAAATCGTTCTTAATTCGCCCGACTAGTTCAAACACTGGACTTGACTGATGAACACTATATGTCATACGATCTGTTAATAGTGCTTGATTGCATATGCCAGCTATATCATTAAATTCGACAGTAAAGAATATCAAACTGTTAGAAGAATTGTCAAATGTGATAATAGTCGCTAATGCTAATTCATAAAGTGAAAATAAAATAATAACCCAAAAATACATAATCCATATGTAGAATATTCAAGTAATAATAGATTCACTTATCTAACTTATTTAATGAATCTTTTAATTAATTAATTCTTATTATAATTCAGTTGTACTCTTAAAACATATAAAGTTTATAGAAAGACTAACTACTAGGAAAATGGCCCTTATACATTTTGGTGCATATGGATTGATCATGTGATCCATCTGCAAAAAAAAAAAATTTTTTTTAAGTTTTTTTTTGTAAGTAGAGAGATAGCTTTAGACATAATTAATAGACCTCTTCTTATTTATTTATTTATTTATTTATTTATTTATTTATTTATAACTGATATATATCATGGGTAAGATTACAGTATCAGAAACAAGAGGGAAGCCACGTCATAATCCTTTGTTTAAGGATATTTCCACCCAAGGTGGGAATTTAAGATCAACCCCAAGGTCATCGCATGGATCTAATAAAGCTAAATCATCTAGAGCTAATAAAAAGGAAAATGAAGAAGAAGGATTCCTTGATGCTTCTGCTTCGAGAAAGATTTTACAATTAGCTAAGGAACAACAAGAAGAATTAAGAGATGAAGAAAATGCTGAAAGACCTGCTTTTGGAAGTAGTTTCCAACCAGAAGAAGAAGAAGATGACGAAGAAGAAGAAGAAAGCGATGAGGAAGATGAAGATGAAGAAGAATATTCTGATTTTGAAGTAGAAGAAGAATACGAAGAAGAAGAAATAGAAGTTGATGAACAAGATGCTGAATTATTCAATAAATACTTTCAAGCCAATGGTGGACTTGGAGAACAATCAATAAATTTAGCTGATAAGATTTTAGCCAAAATTCAAGAAAGAGAAATAGAAATACAACAAGAACAAGAAGGTAAACCTTCTGAAGGGGTTTTATTACCACCAAAGGTAATCATTGCATATGAAAAGATTGGTAAGATCTTATCAACCTATAGACATGGTAAATTACCAAAATTATTTAAAGTCTTACCTTCCTTAAGAAATTGGGAAGATGTATTATATGTCACCAATCCTGAATCATGGACTCCACATGCCGTTTATGAAGCTACCAAATTATTTGTATCTAATTTACAAGCCAATGAAGCTCAAAAATTCATTCAAACTGTCTTATTGGAAAGATTTAGAACATCTATTGAAGATTCTGAAGATCATGCCTTAAATTATCATATTTATAGAGCATTGAAAAAATCATTATATAAACCAGCTGCATTCTTCAAAGGTTTCTTACTTCCATTAGTTGATTCATATTGTAATGTCAGAGAAGCAACCATTGCTGCTTCTGTATTAGTTAAAGTTTCAGTTCCTGTATTACATTCTTCAGTTGTATTAACTCAATTATTACAAAGAGATTTCAGTCCTGCTACTACAGTATTCATTAGAGTTTTAATCGAAAAGAAATATGCTTTACCATATCAAACTTTAGATGAATTAGTATTTTACTTTATGAGATTCAGAAATGCAAGTCAACCACAAAGTCATGATTCAATGGATGTTGAATCTAAAGATAAAAAGGGTCCACAATTACCAGTCGTCTGGCATAAAGCTTTCTTAGCATTTGCTCAACGTTATAAAAACGATATAACAGATGATCAAAGAGATTTCTTACTTGAAACTGTTAGACAAAGATTCCATCATGGTATTGGACCAGAAATTAGAAGAGAATTACTTGCTGGTAAAGCAAGATTAACTTCTGAACTGGCTCCTAAGGAAGCTATTATGGTTGATGCATTTTAAAATTAAAAATTAAAAATTAAAAATTAAAAAGTAAAAATGGGTCTTTTGTATATTAGAGGATTAATAAATAAATAAATATCCGTAATTAAAACATTAGAATTGTAGATAATGACTATAATACATTGATTTCTATTATGATGATGAAAAAAATAGTTTCTAAATTTATACATGTTCAACAGTACTAGTTCTCTTTCTAGCATCTTCACATAATTTTCCAAAATCAGCAAATAAAGCAAAATAACTTTGAACCCCACCAATTATAGTTAAAGCCACACAAGTACCTATCCAAAGACCATGTAAAGTTCCTTTAATCGATGAATAAAATGTTAAATAAATTGATAATGGTAATCCAACCACATAATATGAAAATAAATTAATAATACCACCTATTTTCGTTTGACCTTGACCTCTAAGACAACCAGCTGAATTAGCATTTACAGCATCGGAAATTTGCATTAAAGCAACTAACCACATAATATTTTGAACGGTTTTAATAACTTCTTCATCATTTGTAAATGCTTTGGCAATAGAAGTTTGGAAACAGAATAACACTAACAAATTAAGAAATGAAAATAAAAGTCCAAAAGTTAATGCAACTTGAGTTGATTTTTTAGCAGCAGTATCAAGACCAGCACCTAAGAAATTAGCAATACGTGTAGAAGCGGCAATACCAATAGCAAAAGGAACTTGATAAGTTAATGAGGCCATGGTGGCACCGATGGATTGAGCTGCAAGAGCAACTGTACCTAAATAAGAAGCAATTAATGTTAAAACTTCAAATGCTAAAAATTCAGCTTCTAACATAACTAAACCAGGAATAGCTAATTGAGCTAATTTACCCCAATTACTGAAAGCTTCTTTAATATCTAAACCTCCCCAACAAACTAATGGATGTAATCCACTAGTGGTATCTTCAGGTTTAACCAAATATATAGTTGCAAATAATAAACCAAGTGCCATCAACCAATAATTAATAGCCACAGCCATTGGAGCTCCAAGATAACCAAATACTTGAACTAAAGCATAATTCATAATTAAATTAGATGGAGCAGCAAATAATAAAACATAAGTTGAAATATGATAAACCCCTTGAGCTTGTAAGAATCTTTTCCCACATTCAAATAAAACATAAGCTGGAATTCCAGGAGCAATATATTGTAAATAAACAGCTGAAAGTTTGGCGGTTTCTTTATCGGGAACGATAAGACAGATCAATGCATAACCAAAGAATTCCCAGATAAGTAAGACAGGAATCATAACGACAATAATTAATGCAGTACATTTTTGCATATAAGAACCTACTAAAGTATACTTTTTAGCACCAAATGCTTGAGGACATAATGTATCCAATGCAGTGGCTATACCTTGAATTGAAGCATAACCAGTAATATTTGCTGTCATGGCTCCCATTGAAACAGCTGCTAATTCAGTAGCACCCAAATGACCAACCATAAACACTGAAACAGTAGAAAGAGAATTTTGTAATAAAAATGTTAACACAAGTGGAATAGATGCTTTAATCAATGCTTTTAATTCAATCAAAGTAGATGTTTCTCCTAACTTGTTGGAAACTATAGCATCTTCGAAAGCATCAATTAATTCTTCTTCATCATCATATACCGGTAAATTGTGATCCTTTAAAAGTTCACGTTCTTCTTCTATCAATTCTCTTGCAACTTCTGATTTACGACGAAATCTATCATTCTTGACACCAGGACTCAATAATAATGGCAGTCTTTCATCAGACTCGGTTATTTCAAGTACATCACTTTCAGTTGGACTTAATAAATCATTATCTCGAGGAGATGTTGATAAAAAATCAGTTGGTATATATAAACCCCCTTTTCCAACAGATCCAAACACCACTGAAGCTCTTCTCTGGGTATTCGAATGAGTAAACTGATGACTTCTATCTGAATTGGACATGATGATATACCCTTTTAAGCTTCTTGTCACTTATAATGAAAGAAAACCAAAATGAAAAATAAATTATTCAAACGATGGAAGGGTGCTGATAAGGGATCTTTTTATTGCATCGGTACAGTTTCTTTTTTTTTTCCTGTATCGCACAATTTTATTTAGAGATGCACACTTTATTGCCAGTTATAGTAATGGCGCTTGCGCATTTCTTTATTAGCTATTATACATTTATTCTTTATATTACAAGACTCTCTATCTAAAATCCTACTATACACAGTTGCAAAATATTCTGCTGCTTCATGATTACTATGACTGTTGAGTCTCATTAATATTGGTTAATAATTGCGCTAAACATCTCTTGGTTTGTAAATCATCTTGTAAGATTAATGAAAAAGTTCCATCTCTTAATGGTTCGGGAAGCAAAGTTCCTAATGCTTTTCTTGCTTCAATATTATCAGAAAGTCTTAAATAACATCTCACAACATGTTTTAATAATCTACCTGAACTATTTGAGTTTTGTTGATTGGCTTGAGGTGTATTGGTGGTTGTACTAAGTTGTTCAATCATTTTAGCTAAAACTGTGGCTACAGTATGGAATCTTTCATAAGTGGTACAAATATAACTTAAACCTTGATCATCAACAAGAATCTTTTGTAAAATGAAAATAGCAACTGTTTTGGATAATTCAGATGAAATCTCCATAATATTTAAACATAAAGGTACTATTTCAGTAGTAAGTAAGAAATTAATAACTTCTGGTGTATCATTTTTAACAAGAGCACCTATCACTCCTAAACTTGTTAATCTTAAATATTCAAATGATCTTTGTCTTGCATTAGTTGATAAAAATGGATATAAATAAAGTGGAAGATTGGCACTTAAAAATAATCCTCTAGTTTGAACATTTGATGCCACACATTGTAATAAAGCAAGAGCATTACAAACTCTATTGGACACAGATGCAGTTAAGGTTGGTGGATTTAAATATGGATATACAGTCGTGATTTCTTCTAATAAAACCGTCATAACACCAAATGAATTCCATAATACTAATGCTAAATCATCATATTGTTCACGTTTCTTCCCCAACTCCAATAATGCACGTTCTCTATTAGTACCAGAAACTAATTCTGCTATCCATTGGTATATTTGCTCGTCGTTTAAGGCTCTATTATTAGTTGATGGAGCTGATTCTCCTACTGCTATGGGATGATTATTATTGGTTTGGTTGATGACTGATGTAGCCCCTTGATTTTGTATTGCCTTATGCATCTCTTTTCCTATGGTATTTGATTGATCTAAACCACTTGCTACCACTTCGAACTGATCTGGATATATGAAAGTCTCTAATTATGTATTATGATTCAAACAAATAATAGTAATAGTTCTTCAGTCCTTTCTTTCTTTATAATTGGCAGTCAAATTTTGGACTCAGCAAAAATCTTTTTGTTTGAGGTCGTGCCAATTGTTCAATTTTTGATGCTCTAGTATGGGGAAGTAGAATCTAATTAACTTGACAATATATCTAGTTAAATAAACCTCTTATGTATTTAATATAGTCGACTAGTTTGGTTTTAGAAGATGTTGATAGCAAATTGGGGGGTTTTAAAATACTGTATGTTCTCTATGCTGCCTATATTTTATTCAACATTTGGACATGTTTTTGCAAATAAATTACTGCGAAATGGTAAAACTTTGTTATATTATGCTTAATTTGACTTTACACATAATATTCACCTTACCCAACAAATCTACGAAGAACCTATATTTGATTAATGATGTTCAAAAATTGAACTACTTTTATATATTGAATTACAAACAAAAATACTATACAATAATTCTACAATTTTAGTCCTTTCCATCAATTTCGTCATACTTATCTATTCTGTCTTCTGCTTCATCTTCATCACTAATTTTAACACCTCCACTGACTGAAAATTGACCTCCAGCATCTATAAGTTGAATATCATAATACTTGGTAGCAGTATTGACAATTCTTTCTGGTTTTTCAACATCTTCTTCTAAAGGTCCTAAACCTGGTCCATAAGTATCAGCAAAACCCCAGGCATAAACAAATCCATCATCAGTAATAGCAAATGAATGATGAGATCCAGTACCAATTTCTTTAATTTTAACTTCCTTTTCACCAACTCCAAATATTAATTTAGTTGGTACAGGAACTGATCTAGGTTGACCATGAGCATCTTTAAATGTTGATTCAGGTAATTTATCCTTTGGAATACCAACTTCTTTCATATCATATCTACCCCAAGAGAAAACATCTCCAGAATCAGTTAAGGCAAGAGCGTGGTGTTCACCAGATACAATCTTTACAATCTTTTTATTTGAAAGAGCAGGAATTAAAGTTGGTTTGGTGATTAAAGAACCATCTTCTAATTCACCATTAACATCAGTCAAAGCACATTGACCATATTGGTTTAATCCCCATGCAAAGACTTGATAATCATGATCAATGGCAAAACAATGGAAATCACCACTAGCAATATATTTAATATTGTATAAACCAAATTGTTGAGGTTCTAAAGTACGGAAACGATGTCTTTCAATCACACGACGTCCTAATTGAAATTGTTGACCATTACCCCAAGCATATACAATACCTTTAGCATCAAGAGCTAACAAATGATCCTTACCACCGGCCAATTGGACAATATTTTTCAATTCCTTTATTTTTAATGGAGTTCTTTGTAATTTAATTTCATCTCTCAAAAATCCTAATAAACCTTCATTACAACGGAAACAACCCCATGCATAAACATCACCATTATCATATAATACAGCACTTAAGTTATCAGTAGCTGAAACTTGAACAATCTTGGACCCTTTAATTTCAGGTAAATTTTCCACTAATTTTGGAGTTGATTCTTCTTCGTTTAATTCTCCATCTTCATCATCATCATCTTCAGCTCCATCAGCATCTCTCAAAACTTCTTTTGCTTGAGATGTGTCTCTTCCTAAAACTCCACTATCATTACCACCCCAAGACCATAATCTACCCTTACCGTCTAATGCTAAAACGTGCATACCACCAACAGAGAAATCAACAATTTTGGTATCTCCTAATACTTCACTGGTCAAAAGTGGATTTAATCTTGGTCTTTTGACTTCTTTACTTTTAGGTCCTAATCCCAATTCACACATGGAACCGGTACCCCATACAAATATGTCCAAAGGTTCAGATTTACCTTGAGGATATTCATTCAAATCGGGTAATTTTGCATATGAATGTAAAATAAATGATGAAGTCGCAATTGATTTCAATCTCTTGTGTCCATTCTTCTCGGTCGAAGCTTCTGCTTCTCTCTTTCTAACCAAACCAACCATTGTATAGTTATAAGTTCTAATTCTTACAAATGTTATAGTCAATCCAGATCAAATCAAACTTATATGAAAAACTGGAAAATTATGTCGGCCCATTGCGACACGACATTTTGCTAAACAATGTCGCATATTTACAGTTTCCTATTTTAGCTACAAGCAGCAAGTTTTAACTATGTTATATCATTAAGGGGTATTTTGTATTATTTTTGAATGGTATATCTAAGATATATAAGAAATGAAACTAATTTAAAGGATTATGACCAGTTGTGGTATAGCCTTGTTTTTTATTTCTCCATTTGTTAATTGATTCTACTAAGAATCTAGCGGAGTTTTGCATAAGATAACCAAAAGATCCAATTGCTCTGAATAAAGCTAAAATTGCAACAGACCATAAGATAAATGCTAAATAAGCATTTCTCTTAGTTTCACCTGGTTCATAAACTTGAAGCATTGTCATAATGAAAATTAAGTTTGCTAGCATCCAACATAACACGACTTTGGTTCTTACATTTTTGGCATAATCTTCACCTTCCATTGGAGGTTTAGGTGTATGAGTGAATAATACCTTTCTGTTGGTTCTCTTAGCACGAATGTTATATAAGGTTTCCAAATAAACTTCATCAACATTAACATCAACCACAGTTGCTTCGAATTCTCCTTTATCATTCTTTTCAATAATATATTGATTTGTTTTATCTTCTTGAGGATTATTATCACCTTTAGTACCCCACGAAACATCATGAGTATTACAAAAGGCAAAGATTTGTAAAGTACAGGTATACGATGGAATCATTAAAAAGTATTGAAGTGAACAAGTAAGCATATGCCATGGATCTAAGTATAAAATTGACATAAGTGTGTAAAGACCATATGTTGACAACATGGAAACAACAATAGTTACTAAAACATAAATCGATGAATCACCTATACCATATTGATGAATAGTGTTAAAGACAAAGTAGAAACCAACAATTAAAGCATATAATGCACAGACTGTTAATAAGATAATCAATGTCTTGAATACATTTCTAGAAGCTTGTGGTCTGTTACCAATAGAAACAATGAATAAAGATGTTAAAACACAAATGCAGAGATAATTGAACAAGGTGAAGATCCAAAACCCTCCACGACCAAGAGTTTTATCATCAATTAAAGATCCAGTAAGGAAATAGAAAGTCAAGTAAAAGTTACTCAAAGAAAAGAATGAAAAGATAAGTGTAATGAATTGATAAATAAATTCAACATGGAACCAAAATTTTCTGGCAAATGAATGGTCAGTAGCCCATATACGAGTGAAATTACGTAAGGAATATAATGCAGCAAAGAAGGCACCATTAATCCAACGTCTTCTTTGAGAAAGGAATTCTGAAATTGATTCTGGAACATCAGTTTCTCCAGTAGCCAGCTTAACGAATTTAAGAACCCAGTTTTCATTCTTTTTAGCCACCAACTCCCAACATAAAATACGATCTTCAGCTAAGTACATATTAGCTTCAAAAAAGTTGGTTTTATTATTCTGATTTTCTTTGTGATGATTATTAAGTAAATCTTCTCCCTTGAAGTAAGATGCTAATGGACCTGTACTATCTTCATGATTTTTCAACGCTATGTAACGATAAGCTGATAATGCACCTGGTAACACGGAAATATATCCAAAAACAGATTCTAAAGGTTTATCGAGAATGTTTGACATTTTATATTCAAAATTTTGTGATGCTACTAATGGATTGGTTAAATTGATCCATCCTTTTCCTTTCATAGCTTTGATTTCACCTGCTGCACCGGCAACATTTGAATCACGATCAAATGCTTTCCATAAGTTATATAAGGCATGATTATCTGGTTTTGTACCCACATCTAACAAAACAACGACATTTGGATCTAATATAGGACAAAAGGCATTAAAAAGCCATCTATGTGAATTAATCTTCTTTTGATTTCTTTCTTTAAGACAAAACAAAACTTGAACTGGTGCTAAGTTCTTTTCATCACCTTTGAATTTTAAGTTTTCATCAATTGAAATTTGGGTGGTATATTCGAATAAATGAGCATTTACACTTTTGTTGTTAACATATGGTCTTGCCAAGTTTTCTTGATAACAACCAGTTGCAGTTAATAATTGTAAGACGGATTCATTAACTTTATTTCTACCATCAGCAACAATAATAACTTGAATTTTCTTCCAACTGTCTTTACCCCAAACCTTAGATTTGGTTCTTGAACATAAGTGTGCAACATTTTTCATTACACCATGCATAGTTCTGGCAAATGAAGATTCATCTTCATTATACATGGTAATACAAACCACAAGTTCAGTTTCTCTACCATATTTAGCTGCTCTTAAGGTAAAACCATCATTAACAAAACTATCAGGTTCTGAAGTACAAGCAGTATAAGTCATATTAGCAAACTCTCCGAAGGGTGATTCAGTTCTTGTTATTACCTTTTTTAATTCTTCAGGAATTGGATTTTCCAATACCAAATTTCCTTTAGCACCACCCACTAATCTAACTTTTCTTTTAGTGATAGTCTTTTCTCTCTTTGGAATGAATCCATTGTTTATGTTATTCATTAAATTTCCATCAATAGAAGTAGTAAAGTATTCACTTCCATTATGATGGGCAGATCCAGATACATAAGAAGAACCACTATAAGCAGTTGAATCAGAATATACTGATCTTGCTTCCAATTGATGATCCTTTTGGTAAGCACCATATTCGTAATCTTCATCTCTTTTGTCTTCATCAGCTATAGTAGCTTGATCGTCATCTTGGACGTTTGCAGATGCAAAAGTTTCACGAGAAAAGATTGGTTGTGGAGGTGATAAGAAACGTTCACTTGATATGTTACTTCCCCCATATTGAGATCTTACTGGTGATCCATGAAGACTTTCAATATCATTCTCATCATCTGAAATTATGATTTCAGTTTTTCTTTGTCTACTAGGGGATTCTCTTGATGTATATTGTGCTCTTGGAGTCATACCATTTTCATATTGTAAGTTTGGAGCATTACCCAAGGAGTTCTTATTCCCTATTTGAGCACGAGCAGTACTTCTAGCAAATATGTTTGGAGAATGTCTCTGTGGAGTATTCAGAGGAAATGCAGTGAATTCTTCGTCATCTGAATCAGATTTCGCTAATGGTTGAAATCTCTTTGGTGATGCTTTATCACTGGTGAAAGCTGCTGTTGGTAATCTTGGACCGTTGTCTCTAAACGGATCTTCATCCTCGTTGTACGGATTCATGACTGTTTAGTTGACTTCTAGGGTTTACAAATAAGAAAAGAGAGTTTTTAGAGTCCGATTTCTCAACTTATAATGTTTTCAATTCCATCAACTGTTTTGGTTGCACAAATATTGTTTACAAAATTTCCCAATTAGGAAGCCTAACATTAAATACCATGCAATTACACAAAAAATATATATGAAATTTATAATTAGAAGTAACGAATGCTTAGGGCAGTGCTTAAGACGACAGAGGAGATTTCTTAGTTTAGCGAAGAGTAATGTTAGTAATTAGCTTTCGTGTAATCTCACTTCGTTTATGGGTGAGATATTCTTTCTTTCTCTTAAATACATTCTTCAAACTCTAAAATTCGCAATTTATTATCTAAAGTATAGATCAAGTTTAGTAGATTGAATTCTAGGACAGTAGAAACCTTTGTATTGATCTTTTAAATTGCTTTAGCTTGGTAAAAATCATCAACTGTTACTATTTTCGTTATAACATCACTAATAAGCAGTATAAAATGGATCCAATGCGGTTATCCGCTTAGAATTCGCAGCAGTTTACAAAATTTTGATTATCACCAAAAAAAAATATGATCGGTAATAAACGTTTGTAAATCATAGTGATAAGATACACCCCCAAAGCTAGAGAGATGGACGAGAGTGACGAGAGTACTCCATTCTACATCCATTCCAATGGCTCAAGCTCATCTAGTACTCAAGTTCTACAACCAAATAACATATCATCACAAGTATCGAGTGTGGGATTTAATAACCTTAAAAAGTTGAATACTAATTCCTCACTGATTTCCACCATTAGTTCAAGTACCACGAAGAATAATGCATTGACAAGACTATTTACTAAGAATAGATCTAATACAAATCTAGCACCACAGCCGATTGAGTTCTCCGAAGCTGATGTTACTGGTCATGACAGTGACGATGATTTGTCAACTCTAACCTCGCTTGAAATAAGGAGAACACCTTCATCACTCTTCAAACTTCCAAAGAATAAACTAAAATTTGCAACAAAGCCCAATTTGAATAAACCAGACTTAACAATACAGACGGCAGGTCATCATGGCTTGAAGGTTTCAAAAAAGATCCTTAGTTCAGGTCTGTTTGACGATGCTCCTAAATCTTTGAGAAAAGCCTCTGTCACATCACCAGCATCTACTTTTCATAACCTTTTCCACAGGTCTAATCAAGGCTTTATTGATGGTCAAATTACTTCATCATCAAAAGAAGAATCTCCTACACAACTGAAGTTGAATATCAATCCCTCCAGAACTACTATTTCACTATCTTCAAACAGATCAAACTCTTACGTTTCTGACAAGAATTTTGCAAAAATATACAACTTCACTGATCCTGATTTTTCAGCTGAGAGTTCAGATAGTGCTACTGAACATAGTTCATTTCATGATATTCATAAGAAATTGATGTTGCCTACGGATCAATTTATCCTGAATATGACTCACAAACATAATGCCCAAGAGATGGGGTTAGGTATAGTTACTGATTTTGATTACAAGAACGAATCCTACAATAAGTATATTTTAGAATTTAGCAAAACGAATGCCAAGTTTTTCAATAGTCTTTTGAATCTTTCAAAACCTTTGTTCACTCCAACTCAACAAAAGAAGTTAAGTAATGGATCAACTTACTCCAATTTAGGATTTTCAGTGGAAGATATATCAAATTTCATCAAAGATAATTACCATTCAGATATGAGCCAAGAAAACCAGTCAACCAAATATGCAAATCGAAAGAAACAGAGTAAAATCCCTAAGTCAAATTCCTCCACTTCATTTTCATTGGATATAGACGTTGCAGAGCCTTTTGATGAATTTGCAATAAGAGAAATTTCACTGGATTTGTTGACATTCTTCACCAAGGCGATGATAATATTTCAAAGAGACTCAGTTAACTACGATTTTCCAGGTGATATTCTAAAAAGTGAAATAGTACCAGCTAAGTCAGAAGCAACCAAATCCCTTATCAAATCTTGGCTTCGCATATGCCAGCAATGGGACTTTTTCAATCAACGGATTAGATATCATTTGATAAGTATATTTCATCCCTTACAAATAAGTTTTCGAGAATTATCTACACAGCGGCTAACAACAGAAACTACAAATATCGAAATTGAGAATTCTCTATTATTAGCATTTAGAGATGTCATAGTTGTTCCATTTTTGATTCATAGGAAACGCCAACATGAAGAATTTAACTCTAATGAAATCAATTTCGTTAAGGGAGAGGAAAATAAAATTATAAAGGAAGAAATAAGCATTTTGCTAAAGAATACAAGACTCTTACGAAAATTAAAAAGTTGTCTAGGGATTCTCATGTCGAATACACATTATGAAACAGGAAATGTGGACGGAGAACAGCATATTCGAAATGAAGTCTTTTTCAACGCTTATGTATGGTTATCTAGTTTAAATTAAAAATGATATTTTTTTTTTCTTTTCCAAATTTGTTATATATTCTTACTCTAAAATACTATAAAACTATAGGATTTATATAAAGAGAAAGTATATAACTAGTTGAGGGAGAGAAAGGTTAAAAATAAGAATTATTTTAAACTTAAAACTCTCTTGATTAGATGATAAAGTAGCTATTTTGTAAGATTTGATTGAAAATTGAAGATCAATCTAATGATTTATTTAAAGATTATGAATGTAGAACGATACCCATGATGAAATAAAAGAAGAGTTGAGCGGTAAAGCTGAACCTTCTTTTTGTAGGATGTATCGTCGACGTCCTCGTAATTTATGAACAGCAAAGAGGTATCGATTGAGAGAGATTAATTGGTTTTTATCCAATTCTGGATTGGCTATTATAATTTCCCATGCTAATGGAAGTGTGATTCCCATTTTGGTCCATATTTGGCGACTTATAGAACAGATCTGAGTAAGTAATCGATATCGGTTGATCACAAAGTTCACAATTACCTGATTATAGTAGCTGTAGGTGTATTCGGTGTCCTAGATTCACTCTATGTATCTCTTCAAACCTGTAGGGATCTTGTGCTTTGAATGAAGATAGTTTAGACCAAAATTCTCCCCATTCTTCTTCATTTATTTGTATCTTTTGTGTCCATTTCCTTTTTGCCAACTGGCTTTTCGGAAAAAAAAAAATTACTTAGAGTAATACATAACAAATTTGCAAAAAAAAAATATATATATATATTGGAAAAAAAATAGAGAGCGACCTCTATATAATTCACTCCATTTATTTCTTTTGTAAGGGCACGATGATTAGCAACTATTTGCTCCTTATATCCATGTAGAGCATTTCCAAATGACCGGAGATTGGGCTATTTTGATATTATGACCTGAAGTAGAGCGACTATTGTTAATGTCACCATACCAATCAGTATCATAATATACAAGGATATCAAATTTGGGTGTTTGACGATAGAACAGGCCAAATTCAAGTGAGATACTAAGATATCTAAGAAGTCTTTTCACAGCTTTGAGATGGTGGCTTGTAGGATTTTTAATTTGTTTTTCCAAATTTGTTACATTAGAACTGCGATAAGTCGGAAAAAACTAATATTAATACGAACAGTATTTGCTAGAGAATGCAATTTGACGATGATATCATGATATATACTTTCTCTTTATATAAATTCTATAGTTTTATAGTATTTTAGAGTAAGAATATATAACAAATTTGGAAAAAAAAAATCATGATGTTCTCTATCATCAGCAGGAGTAGCTTCATCGGATATCTTCGAAACGTTGATTAGGAAGTAATGTGGATTGCACTGGATTAAAATCTTCGGGGACAAGGTCATACGAAGCAAAAAAAGACTTGACTTGGTGCAATTAGTAGCAGTAAGACCTTTTGGACCATCTGGTAACTGAGTGATATTATTATGCTTTAAGAATTTGAAGCAGGTGCCTGAATCCTATATTTAGTAATGTGTCAGCAACACAGCTTTGACATGTTCAATTTCATCAATGCTAGTTCCAGTAATGAGAAGATAATCAACATATAGTGCAATTGTAACAATTCCAGCAACAGAATGGCGAATGCATTTTTTTTTTTTCCAAATTTATCATACTCAAATTTTATGAAGTTTAAAACGAATTTGGATGTTGTAAATGGATATAAGGAGTAAATAGTTGCGAATTATCATGCCATTACAAAAGAAATAAATGGAGTGAATTATATAGAGGTTCATAATCTTTAAATAAATCACTAGATTGATCTTCAATTTTCAATCAAATCTTACAAAATAGCTACTTTATCATCAAATCAAGAGAGTTTTAAGTTTAAAATAATTCTTATTTTTTAACCTTTCTCTCCCTCAACTAGTTATATACTTTCTCTTTATATAAATTCTATAGTTTTATAGTATTTTAGAGTAAGAATATATAACAAATTTGGAAAAAAAAAAAATAGAGGTCACTCATAAATCATGAATGGAGTTATTCATTGAAAATGGTCACTCATAAACCAAATAACTCCATTTATATTTCTAAATTTATAGAATATTAAATAAATGTATATTTCGAAAAAAAAAAGATATTATAAAAAGAAATTAATTATGTGCTAAACTGAATTAGTAATAAGGGGTAATAGGGGCTATTTATCCCATATGGAATTAATATAAATAGACCTAGATATTCCCTTCCTTTGTTTTAAGTGTATAGATATATAGAATAACAAGTATAATACATACAAATATGTCTTCTATATTTATTTCAAAGGTTGACATTGATGACTACGCTATCAGGTTTAAGGCTGAATCTCAACACTAGAAAAAAAAACGAAGCAGTTGTAATGTTCGATTAAAGGTTTCGACTAAAGGGTTGATTCCATTGATAAGGAAGTGGGTAGCTTAAGGCCAGAAATGGACTTGTTCACCCTTGAGAACCTGCTTGGAATCAATTTCGTAAGAAGGAGGTTACATGAGATAAAGATCCTCTACCAAATGGGTATTAAGTACGCTATTTAACATCAATCTGATGGATGATTAAAACCAGTTGAGCCAGGATGGATACCAAACGTACTGACTCGTATCTAACTACTGGAGCAAAATTATGCAAATTATTTCTTTTGCAATGGCATGAAGATTAGCAACTATTTGCTCCTTATATCGATTTACAACATCCACCCAAGAATCACCTTACCAAAGATGAATATTTCCAGTCGTGGGGAAAGAGCTTGATTTGCTGCATAGTTTGAAATTACAAAGCTTAAGAATCAGAGACTCCACTCCAAGAAAAGCCAATATTGGTAGCCAAAGATAAAGAAAGACAATTGATACATAATCCTGCTCGAATTAATAATTGGACCGGTTCTATGAAAGTCAATCTAAATACATTCAAAAGTAGAAGTAAGTGTTGAACTTTTACAATTGACCGTTTGGTCCTATAGTCTACAAGTCTAATTGTAGATATACCTTTTATGTATTTATAACTGCTTAACCTCTATAAAAGAGATAAATAATCTAAATATATATAAATGATCCTATTTATACCTCAATGTCCACTCGTTCCTGCATATAACATACATGTGGAACTATCTAGAACATTGGTAGCGTATTGTAGGACAGTACAATCCAAATATGAATTACCACAGAAGTAGTCATTACAACATCCTCCCTTGATTCATATTTTCTCTGGCTCTAATAGATCCAATGATCTAATTTAGTTTACCAGTAAACTTCTATCCCATTTGTGTGGAATTGAGATAAAACATAAGCACCTATCACGTCAGATACTTCAAGACATTAGTATGTCTTCTTAAACAAATGCTCAAAATTAGCAATACTATAGCAATACCATTATCTGGCTTTATAGGCTAAAGTTAATTCTTGTCATTTAATTGAGTGTTAATTTATCCTTTATCAGGCTTTACAAATTAACTCAATACTCAAATCATAAGACATAGTATAAATAACTTAACGAATTCCTCCCTTAATCTTAATTCCATAGAATCAAGAACTTTTGGATTGAAGGAAAATAAAAATATCATATACTTTTTGCCATGAATATTGTGCGATGATCCCAGAACTATACCAAAAGTATTTATGAAAAGCAATTCGATGATTGAAACAGAGGTCGTGAGGGCTGGGTAATCCTTGAATGATACAGGAAGATCTTGGTACATACCAGAGGATTAGTAACTCTCTTAGGCTCTGAAATCTGAATCCTTGGACATATCACATGTATGATAGTATAAATAAATACTTAAATAAAACAAGTAATCACGTAATCGGTATGAAGGATAATATACTAAGAATGATATAACCGATTGCGATTTTAAATGACTCTGACCCAATCTGATAACTATATGATTTGCACCAATAATCATATATCTTTCATTTGGAATGAATGATGGAAAAGTAATAAATTTCCCACAAAAACATCCTCCCTGAAGCGAAAACGCCATGGAGGTAGTACCATAGAAAGAAAGGAAAATTCAGCAAATAATAGGATAAGTGGATCATACGTAGGAGAATCAATTCGTAGGGCAACTGAGATTCAGTGATGGTACCAAAACAGGAAGGATAACCAATCACATATATAACCCCAAGGAGATCAATACCTTGGGTAATAAAAAAAGGAAGGAAGTTGGTCCTGCTCCATAATCAAACGGGAGTTGGCGACCAAAAGCCTTATATTGTATAGCCACGTAATCAAGACGGGAAGAGATGTGAGCTACTCTCACAGTACAGCATACGAGTTTGGAGAACAAAACGGGACGGTATCCATAAATTCGCAAAAATGTAAACCCATCTGATTTCGTATTAAGCCCCATGTCTGCATTCCAGGTGTTCATTATCAGTGTAAAAACTGATCTTCCAGTATCCATATCCTGCTTACTTGCTTATCCGGAAATCAGAAATAAAACATATGTAAAATCACCTCACCACATGAGGCTACTTGACAATAGACGCAGTAAATAACAAAAGGATATCTGTGGTACTCAACCAAGCCGAATAAGTACTTTCAAAGAAAGACTCTCGCATTCCGCTTGTAAGAAAACGGAACAAATAAATGCAAACATATTATTAGAAAGAAACTAGGCAATAAACATTGCAGTTTAAAATGACTTCAAAATTCATCTCTGATGAGATGGCATTAACCATACATATTTCGATGCAGTTAAAATGACTTCAAAATTCATCTCTGATGAGATGGCATTAACCATGCATACTTCGATGCAGTTAAAATGACTTTCGGAGAACATTTGCCGGACAACCAGCAAATGGTGTCCTGGGTGGAGACAAATGTTGCATTAACCACACATATACCCATGCTGGACAATGACTTAAAATGAGCCAGACAACCATCAACAGGTGTCTTATAAAAAGGCGGGTTTGGCATTAACTATCCATATGTCAATGGGTTAAAATGACTGTAAAAATAATAATATAAATTGTCGGCATGGAAACAAAATGGTGATGGGTAGTTCCCCACGAGCAAAACCAAAATAAGGGAAACAACGCATGAGGAGGGAGATAAGAACCAAAATTTGGTCCAGCTTAGTTAGGAAACAATAGCATAATGTTAAAAAAATTGTACCAAAATATACCGACAAATGAAAAAAACTACTGTTTGCAAAGGAAATAACCGTAATATCCAAGCGAACAGTCAGATGTATAAGGATCATAAAAACAAAGCATCCCTGATAAACAGAGAGCCGTACATGCAATATTGATAAATGTACCGGTGACTAACACTATTATAGGTTAGATTGATATAGGCAAACGAGTTCGATACAAGAAACGAGATCATGTTGCAATATCGTCAAACGTAAAATAAACTGGAAATGTTTAGACAGCGAAGTAGATATCAGCCAGAAATCAGTCAACATTAAATAGATTGTTCCAGCAATGAACTGCCGTATGTGACCATCAGGTGAAAAGCATTGTAGAATAAAGTCTCACGGTGGATCCGAGCAATAAATGAGAAGGGCTGGAATAATGAACGTTTCAGTATAAATGGTATATCCTGTGCTAGGAAACAAAATACTTAGTACCAACAGGAAAAACAAGGAAAGCATAAACGGCCAAGTTCCATTATAGCCAAGGCATTGCATCAACTAAGATAACAAAATCATATAATGGACGATTTCTAAAAAATAATTTGTAAACACTGATGGGTAAATGCAAAATAGTATACAAACAGCATGTATAAAACGCAAACAGTAAGACCTCACACAGGTCTATACAAAAATATGTTCAGGAGTTGGTGAACTCAAAAATATAAAACATAAAGTAACGATATGTGATCAATTCTCAACACCATAAAGAACCAATCTGGGTCCAAGTGTAGAATAGTAGTGAGTGGGTGAACTCAAAAAAATAATAACCTATTTCTCAAAAAAAATGAGAACAAAAACTAGCACGAGCTGTCTGAACAAGAACATACGTGATAAAGAAAACCCTTATAGGCTTGGATAATAATGAGTAAAACTAGTCGACTTAAGCATTAGCAAGGAGTAATCAGCGAAGTTTAATACTCTTAGACATAAGAATATACCAGGATGAAAGATACACATAACTGTGAAGATCCTAATCCAACATCAGAGGATTCGGGAAAGATTTGTAACAGCTTGGATAGATAAACGAGCAAGCCTGCTAACAACTCACAACAGAGAAAAGTGGGTGAACTTTCTCAAAAAAATATCATAAACACCTTGCATTATACTTCAGCAAGACTGTTATAAATAGTTATCAAATAAAAGAACTTATAGAAGTTAATATTTGGAAACGAACTTTGATAGGATTTATATGAATCGTTTAAATAAGACCTTGGTAGGCGAAATATAATCCCATATCGATTCCAATTGGAATCCATCGTATAAGAAGAACCTGTCCTCAGATATAGCTCACGAGCAGTACCTGCATCGCAGCAGACTGAACTCTGCTAGTTTGGGACAACTGTAAAAGACTGGTGATGATATGGTAGTCAAACTCATATTTCACTTATAAGTTGAATATGTGCTGCTCTTATAAAAAGAGTATTAAAGCCATCTGATAAGTTCATGTAAAAATATAATTGAAATAAACAAAACAGACCACATGAGAATAAACAACAAGGAAGGAAGCAACTGCAACTAAGGAAAATCATATGCATGTCAACAATAACCACATCATAAATAGTGCTTGTATAGACAAAAAGCAACTAAGCCGAACCAAAATGAATATTTTCATACATCCAGTATTCAAAAAAATATTCACTATAATCAAAATAAAAACTCAACCATTTCCAGAGGAGAAATGAAAACTATAAAGGAAATTGCATTGGGCCTCATAATAAGTAATCAACAATAACTTTTCTTGTTCAAAATCATTGGTCGAAACTTGAACCTAACACTATGGGTATAGTGACATCATTATTTCGGTTTGCAAGTAAGTGACACTTATAATTTTAATGTTCCACTAGTCAGATACTTAATATCAGTTAGTCCTAATGCATCCTATCAACACATTTCATTCTCAGCAGCTAGTAAGGAAATAGGTTTGGATCAACGGGTTTCTAAAACCGTGACCATTTCAAATAAAAAGAAATTCACAATAAAAATTTTCAAAGTATTCATGATTGAAATTCTCTTTAACATCATAAGTGAACGTGGTAATAACAGGGTAAGTAATGAAATAACTCTTAATCAAAAGGATTCATCATCCTCCCTCGACGGCCATCCGTGTAATAAAATCTAACCAAGTATTCTGTCAGATCTCGGAAAACCAATTGAAATAAACCACGCCACCATCAAGGAAATCAAAACCAAGACTGCGACCAGGACCGAAACGACTCTGTATAATAAAGGCTCATAACTTGTTGAACTTTTACAATTGACCGTTTGGTCCTATAGTCTACAAGTCTAATTGTAGATATACCTTTTATGTATTTATAACTGCTTAACCTCTATAAAAGAGATAAATAATCTAAATATATATAAATGATCCTATTTATACCTCAATGTCCACTCGTTCCTGCATATAACATACATGTGGAACTATCTAGAACATTGGTAGCGTATTGTAGGACAGTACAATCCAAATATGAATTACCACAGAAGTAGTCATTACAACAGTAAGAAAAGCCAGTTGGCAAAAAGGAAATGCTTACAACCACCTGGACACAAAAGATACAAATAAATGAAGAAGAATGGGGAGAATTTTGATCTAAACTATCTTCATTCAAAGCACAAGATCCCTACAGGTTTGAAGAGATACATAGAGTGAATCTAGGACACCGAATACACCTACAACTACCATCATCAGGTAATTGTGAACTTTGTGATCAGCCGGTATCGATTACTTACTCAGATCTGTTCCATAAATGGGAATCACACTTCCATTAGCATGGGGAATTATAATAGCCAATCCAGAATTGGATAAAAACCAATTAATCTCTCTCAATCGATACCTCTTTGCTGTTCATAAATTACGAGGACGTCGACGATACATCCTACAAAAAGAAGGTTCAGCTTTACCGCTCAACTCTTCTTTTATTTCATCATGGGTATCGTTCTACTTTTTTTTTTTTTTTTTTCCAAGTTTGTTATATATTCTTACTCCTAAACACTATAAATCTATAGAATTTATATAAAGAGAAAGTATATAACTAGTTGAGGGAGAGAAAGGTTAAAAAATAAGAATTATTTTAAACTTAAAACTCTCTTGATTTGATGATAAAGTAGCTATTTTGTAAGATTTGATTGAAAATTGAAGATCAATCTAGTGATTTGTTCTACATTCATAATCTTTAAATAAATCATTAGATTGATCTTCAATTTTCAATCAAATCTTACAAAATAGCTACTTTATCATCTAATCAAGAGAGTTTTAAGTTTAAAATAATTCTTATTTTTAACCTTTCTCTCCCTCAACTAGTTATATACTTTCTCTTTATATAAATTCTATAGTTTTATAGTATTTTAGAGTAAGAATATATAACAAATTTGGAAAAAAAAAAAAAAAAAAAAAACAATCTATATCAATAAATAACTAATTTGGAAAAAAAAATTTCATATATATTTAATTTTATTTTATTAATAAACTACACTAATTGGACTTAAAAGTTGATGATGTTAACCATGTAATTTGATTTTCGATAACCCTACAAAGCTCATTCAAGTCAGCATCTTGAAAGTGTACAAAATGTATTTTCTGCTCACAGATTACCTTTCTCATATGAATCCATTGATTCAACTCAAAATCAATTTTCGAACTTTTGGAACCAATAGTCAAATCATAAGAAAATGAGCTGTACAATCTGTATTTCAATCTCTGTTTTTCTTTATCGAAAAGATCATCTCTGGCTAATAATTGCAAAGGATCCAATTTGGGATAATTACAATGAACTGCAAAAATAGGAACTTGGTTGTTCTGGCTGAAACTTTCTTCCTTGACCTTTTCAAGGTATTCAATTTGTTGGTCTATATCCAATGGTTTGCTTTGTTCGTCAAATAAAGGCTTGATTACCACTTCTTCGAATAGTTCATTATCCTTTAAAGGATTCATTTGTCCCATGGCTACACCTTGAAACTGACTATTTGAATCAATGTAACCTATGGTTTTTATAAAGGATTTCAACTGATAATACTTTTGTTTCACAACTATAGCAGCTGCAACGAAGGTATCTTTATCACCTTCACCCTGTTCACCTAATGACATTAGCTTGTAATATAAATCAGGACCATAAATATTATAATATAATGCTAATAATAAAGTCTTACCATGAGTCCCTTTGTTTACAAAGAATTGACCCGACTCAGTAGATAAATCAGGTATAGCACCTTCTAAGTCATGATATGGAACATCTCCTTTGTTTTTTGAACCGCTTAAATTAGGTTCAGCTCTTGATGCAACGTTTAACGGAAATCTGTTATATCTAACCCTATGTGACTCGTTTATATCTACTCCAGCAATCTCGTAAAATTTTGGAGAAATTGTTCTGGACCAATAATCGGGCCATGTAATCATTCCATAATGCTTGTATAAGCTACTTCCAAAAATTGTATCTGGGTTCGAGAGAACAATATTGTCAGAATCCAAAAGCAAGACGTGTTCGAATGAGGAAGCAATCAAGGATAACGCTTTGAACTGATAATTAGCAAATTTCTTGTTCCACTCACTATACACAGTTTCTCCTAATGACTCCAGTAAAAGAACACATTTTGCGTTCATTGGAGGTAATATGGTGTCACAGAAATCCTTCTCATTTTCGTAATCGTTTGGGGATGGAAGGAGAATTTCAACTGGCAAGAGAGAACCAGTTTCCCTAAGACCAATCAACGACAAGTATGACAACCAGGAAAATCTGCCTCCACCTATCATCACTATACCCTTCGTACCCTTTTTGTATGCATAGCTAGGAATTTCAGATGGTAATCGCTGGAGAACCATTTGGTGCTTCAATTTTAACTCTTCCAAGGATTTCTGGCCAATGAAAGCTTTTGAAAGTAATGCTTCTTTTGTATTTCCTTTTATTGATTCAGAAGTATAATCTATCATTTTGTACAATCCTTCTCCAAAGTCATCGACTTTGCATTCTTCTAAGACTTGAAATATCTTAGTCCAAAATCTATGGGAAGCAGTCTCCGAATTACTATGATAATTTGGAGATGACAATTTGGGTGGTAATATTGGCTCTGATGTAGCATCCATTTCCACTCTTGAAAGCAGTGCTTGTGATTCTTTTTCCACATTGTTGATATTCCCTTCCTTAGATGGTTTTAATTTATCATTGTTTGAGCTTTGATAGCTTCCGATGGTTGTATCATCATTAACTAACTCCGGATCACTAACAATTAGGTATTTAGAAGTCAAGAACAAAAATGCAATTATGAATACCGTTATCAAGACCCGTAGCCTTGTTCTCGGTAGCCTCTGGAGAACCATGAATGTTACACTTATTCCTTATTAATACTATATCTGGATCAACTAACGCAACGATTTTTTATTTTCATAAATAAAATTTGAAGACGCGAAGAATTTGTTTTTGATTATTTTGAGTAACAATAGAAAGTAAAATCTAATAGGCTCTATATTCAGATTCAAGTCATATCAACATAGATAAAGGTTGATGGCATATGACGAGTACAATATAGCGACAAATTTTGATACTATATAAGAAAATGTCATATAACGGAATAGGGTTGCAAACTGCCAGAGGATCGGGGACATCTGGTAGAGTTCAAAAGAACTTAACTACATCAAAAGGCTCATCAAAAGGTCATTATGAATCTCGAAAACAGAAGAAAGTATTAGATAAAGTAAAAGAGGCAAAGATCGAAAATGATATAAATAAGGAAAAGGCTAAGCATGATATCTTACAACATAATTACAAACGAGAAATCGATTTAAAGTGTGCTGAGCTAAGGGACAAGCTAGAGGATGAAAGTGAAGATGAAGAAACCATATTAGTCAAGTTAGATGAATTGCGTAAGAAGTTAACGCTGAAATTGCTAACTACAAAGACTAAAGAAAATTCCATAGAAAAACCAGAAATGGATGAAAAGGTTAATAAGTCAGAATCAGCTACATATGCTCCACGATATCCAAAATTAAATAAAGATAAGAGGAGTGTACGATGAACTTTGTATTTAATAGATTTATATATAGATAAATGTATTTACGTTTAATGAGTCACGATAATCAATCATCATTGACTTCTCTATCGATCGGAGCATGTATAATTTCGTCTTGAGTTGCTGAATCGTTTAAGCTGGAACTTTGATTAGCTTCAACTTCGTGGTCTTCCAGAACAATTTCCAGCTCAGGTTTCTCACTCTTATTCTCTTCATCTGCTTGCTCTACCTTTTCATCTGTGATGATTTCTTTCTTGTCTAGTTTGGTGGTATCACTTTCCAATGAATGAGTGGTAATAGGTGGTTCTCCCTCACCTATGTCTTTATCATCCAATTTACTTTCATCATTAGCTTCTTCTTCATCTATTTCTACTTCATTGCCTTCTTCTTCGTTGTTACCTTCTTCTTTTTCAACTTCAGCAACATTTTTGGGTTTTTGTAAATCATCTTCTGGTTCTTCTTTTACGATATCTCCCGCTGAAGAAGGTTCATTAGAATTTAGGACGTTCTTAGGTTCATGTAATTCATTTTGATCATCGTCTGCCATTAGCACTTTCTCATTGGAATTATCCTCCGGAGTGGTAATTTCATCAGTTGATTCCAAAGACTCCTCTTTAGGAATATTTTTCTTAAACGATACATCCCAAAGATTGTAAGTATGCAATTTAAATTTCAGATCTTGTTCGATATTAACTGGTTCTTTTAAGGCTTTTGGAAGCTTTTTTCCTCTTGGTCCTCTAGGTCTAGCAGCTGTTTTCCCTAATTTAGTAGACTCTGATGTTGGTTCATTCACCTTTTCTTCTTCCTTGGATTGTTGATCACTTGCACCTCTATTAAGTAAGGGATTAACCATTGCTGGATTTACCATCCCTGGCATTGGCACTCCCATTCCCATCATACCTTTTAAACTTTCAGCAAACTTCATTTTGTCATTTGACAACCTATCCTTCTTGACAAAATCACTAGGCGATTTTGAGAGTGGTTGTAATGGTGTTTCCTGATTGAACATTTGTTGGAAAGCTGCAATCTTTGATGATAACTTCTTTGGCTTTGGTGGTGGAGGTTTAGGTTTAGAGCCAGCTTCATGTAAAGATGAAGGTTTTGATGGTCTCACTGGAATCTGTGGGATTGTAGCTTCTTCTACACTAGATTCGCTAGTATGTGAACTCTCAGTAGTAGTTGCGGTCTTGTCGGTTTGTTCGTCAATCAGATCCGTATTACTAGCATCTAACAGAGGTGATTCAGCATCAGACCTGTCAACAATATGCGTTTTACCTATAGGACGTTTAGATGGCCTAATTGGTATTGATGGGATAGAACTGATGGCTTCTTTTGTCTTGGAATCGTCAATTTCTGCAGCTATATCTTCCTTTGAATCGGCTTTATCTGTGACTTCAACTTCAACTATCTTGGAATCATTTTCAACAAGTGGTGTTTCTTCGACATTAGAAAGCCCAGGGGGTGATTCATCACAATCTTTGGTGAAGGTTTTTGTTTCTTCTTCATTAACCACCGGTTGCTCTCCGGCTACCAGTGTAGATTCTCCTTCCTGTAACACAGTTTCAATGTCATCATTGAATGATGTAGCTGACTCTACGCCAGACAAATCGTCTACATCATCTTTAAAGCTAACTTTTGTATTCGAGTTTCCAGGTGTCGTTTCTCCATCGTTCTCCACTTTTGGTACTTCGGTAGTACCTTGAATTTCTTTTTCATCATCATCTTCTTTCTCGGCATCTTCGTCTTTCTCAAGAGACGAGTCAGGTAACTCTGATGTCAATGCTGAATCTGATTCTTCTTCGATTTGCTTCGATGTTAAATCACTAGATTCAACTTCTTTCACATTATCTGTTTCAGCTGGAACATCTTCATCAATGATTGGGGTCTTAGCTGGTCTTTCGGGAATAGATGGAGTTTCCGCTTTGACTTCTTCTTTTGTATCTTCAAAATCAACTGCTGTTTCACTATCTTTACTAGGAGTCTGACTTGGACTTTCAGATTCAACCTCCTCCTTCCGGGTTTCTGTTTCAGCTGAAGGTTCATTCTCTATAACAGCAGTTTTACTTGGTCTTGATGAAATAGTAGGAGTAGCAGACTTTGTATCTTCGGTCTGGGAAATTTCAATGGATTCTGGAGCTGGCGATTCTGGTTGTTCGGATGATTCAGACATTGTAACTTTCTTTCTATTAGGTCTTTGAGGGATAACAGGTTCTAAAGAAGTAGTAAGAGAAGTATCCAGCAGTGAAGAGGTGACCTTCACTAACCTTTTTGGTCTTCTTGGGATTTCTGGAGTCGATTCTACTTCATCCAGCATTATTATGTTGTCAATTGATAATATAAATTAATTTGAATGTTTATACTGATCTAAAGTGTTTTGATTTTTATGCGGAGCAACGTTTTTTTTTCGTTTCGTTTGGTTAAACAAAGAATTGTTCACTTATAAGCCTTAAATCAAAGCTTTAAAGATCCCATCAAAGGCAACTACTAAACTACATATTGTATACTTAAATATGATGATAATTATTATGTAAAATTATGTTGTATTAATAACTGAACTCACTACGGTTATGCAAAAATATATTTTTAATCTAATCTAAGAATAGTTTAATCTGAAGATATCATTAAAGACATAGTATGAATTTCCATCTGGAATCAAATGGAAAACTTGGGAATAACGTTGAGCATTTTGTTCTTCATCGATTAATAATTCACCAGTAACCATAACTAAAATATCACCACTTGGAGAACCTGGTTGAGCATCTAAAGTTGAGATTCTATGAGCAACTTTTTGGAATGGTAATTCAACTAATTTTTCAACAATATTCTTAGCACCTTGTAATTGAGAAGTTTCAAAGGTTAACATAGATTGATCTCTATATAAGTTACCTAATTGGGTTCTATCGCTATCGAATTGTTGATAGTAGAAGGTACAGAATTCTTTTGCAACGGTATTGAAATCGACTAAAAAATTGATCCTAGTTAGTATTGATTCTTAAGATCTAACGATTTAGAAAACATTAATTGATAATGATGAATCATATCGATTCAACAATCATTTGATACATACCAGACATGATGATGATTTATGTTATTGAATACAAGATCAATTTGATTATAAGTCTACACTGTATAATTTAGAAATCGTCTTTTGTCATTTTGTGTTGTCTGTAAATAGAAAAAAAAACTTAAAAAGAACATCTGGTATGTAAATTACGCGGTTCATTCTAATATATACACGTAAGGAATAATTTAGTATTGATATAAGATGTCTATTTCATAAGATCAATATGCCAAGAGCAAGATAATTAAACGTGTTTCAAGATTAACTACAATCCCTGAAAACTCAAATCGATGTTGTTATCTTTATTATAAAAATATTAGGCATTATTATTATTATTTTTCGTTAAAATGTATGTAGTAATTTAAATCAAATCCAAACTATAAAAAGTATGTGTATAATATGAATCGAAACTAAACCAATTGAGAATAATCTTTCAAGATACCCTTCATATGTGTATTGGTGATCTTTCCTCTTCTAGCTTTCTTTTGTTTCTTTTCTTGTTGTTGAGGTTTCTTTTTAATTAAATTTGGATCAGCTCCAGTTGGTTTCAATCCTTGATCTATTAAAGCTTGATATAAATTATCAGCTTCAGGGATTTTAACTTCGGCCCACATCTTTTGATATTCATCATCAATTTTACCTAAATTTCTACCTTCATTTATCCAAACCATTCTTGGAGCATTTTCCTTTTTATTTCTTAACACCAAGATTTTATTTTGTTTATCTAAAGAATCAATAGCTGCTATACATCCTGCCCAACCATCTTTTAAATCTTTAACAGGAGTTCCTTTAAATGTGTTTTGAGCCTTTAAGAAATTCAATAAATCTTCCGGAGATTTTATATTATGTAATGAAACATATTCTAAAGTTTCATTTTCCGGATCATATTTAATCCTATCAATCTCTTTCAAAAGAGCTAATAAAGTATCATTGACGTCCACTGATAAATATGATTGTAATTGACTTACAGGTATAGGATAATCATACTGTTTAATATGTTCGACAGCTAATAATAATAAAGTAGATAAATGAGATCCTGATATGTCTGCATTAGCCAACTTCTGACGTTTAAGGATATCTGTAACAGATTCAGTAGGTCTTTTAGTAGCACCAGACTTCAACGGAGATGAAACATTATTTAAAGCTGGTTTTGGAGTGGCAGGGGTTGAAGTTGAAGGTTGAGGTTTGCCAATGATTGGTCGTCTGGCAGCAAGTACTGACGGACCATTTTTGATCTTATTTTTAAATGCAGATAATTGAGCTGACAAGTCCGACATCTCTTGAATATATATATATTATGATATTACTTCAAAGAGAAGAATGAACAATGTAGATAAGCTAAAGAAGAAAGGAATCATTAAAATTTAATCAATGATCAATTTCTATATCAAATTTAGCATAATCATTTTTCTAAACTTAAAAGTTACCCGGATTTTGAAAATTGAAGATAAAGAAAAAAAATTTTAACAATAAATTTTCACTATAGATTTCTACTCTTTTCTTTCTTTTAAAACTATGGGACCTTTTTAAAGAACTATTTTGTATCATTATTATTAATGAAATTAGCATTAACATTGGAGCTAAATTTGTTAAGAGATATGAATTGGTGAGTTTAAGAATTTTCTAGATCAATCCATGTTAAGATTTAAGGAGAAGTCTTTTTATCTTTAACCCAGCTTTAAAACCATCGCTATTAGAGGTCGCCGCTTGATTCTTTGGATCTTGGCTGTGCTGATCCATGAAATGGTGATGACCTGAAGTCTGGAACATTTTTAAATTAAGAGTAAACATCATAATCATAATCATAATCATAACAATATTAATAATACATTTATTTTGAAAGAAATGAGGACGAGAATTGAAACAAAACAATAAAAAACACTATATAAGTAAACACACTAGTAGATAATAAAACAACACCGGGTTGGGAGGGGAAAGCAATCTGAAAACAATGATATTTGGGTATCAAAAATAGAGTATAGCTAAACAAAAGGTAGCAAAACAAAAACGGAATAATTTTTCTATACAAAAAAAACATAGTAAGCAGCATAGCATATGTATTGACCATAGGATTAATTATAACCTATAAAGCCAAATAATTTTCACCAATTCTTCCTCTTCTGATTCTTTCTCTTCTCATATAATCTTGGAATGGATCGAATAATTCATCATTAATGATTTTATGAACCAATTTACATCCATCTTTGGTATTTAAATCAATAATTTTAGCCCATTGTAAATTCTTATACATTCCTGAATCAGTTAAATCAATGATTAAATCTTGTTTATAATCGGATGCATTGAATGATTCATTCATTTTATATAACGAATTTTCTTCACTAGTTTCATCTTCAACGTATTCTTCTTCTAATTCATCATAAGATTCATAATCAGTAAAAATCATTGAAGAATGAGTATGTCTATCTTTATTAATAATTAAATTCTTTAAAAACTTTTGAATAGATGCTTTATTTAACCAAATCATTGATGATAAATTAATATATTTTAAATTGGTAATGGTGAATTTTGAATCATTTAAAATCATATTAGTATAATAATTATTATAATAATTAAAATCTCGTTGACTATTCTTAGCAATTAAGGGAGATTTTGAACCATGCATTTTAATTATAGCCGTTAATAATTCAGTTTCATTTAATTTAGTTAGATAAGAATTATTAATCGATTTTAAATTTAAATCACTTAAATAAACTTTACCATCTCCTTTATTAAGATAACTTATATCATTAACCGTTTGAGGTAAAGGAGGTAAAAGACTATTATATTTACGAATTGGTTTTGAAAAAGTAGTTATGGAATAAACTGAAGATGCAGCGGAAGAATTGGATTGAGTAGATTTGAATAAATTTGATTGGAAAAATGGAGGAGGAGGTTGTGATGAAGAAGAAGTCGATTGTTGTTGTTGTTGTTGTTGTTGATAAGAAGGAGTTTGAGATTGTGACAGTGATTGAAAGGAAGAAGATGGTTGAAATTGCTGTTTAGAATTGGTAGGTAAATTAACATTACCATCATTTAATAATAAACTCGTACTACAACCACCATCTAAAGTTGATAAATTATCTCCATATTCGCTAAAATAATCATTTAAATTCATAATTTCATCAATTTTATGAACGATATCTTTAGGATAATTATTCATTAAATCAAAAGTTTGAAATTTATATACCATTGCTCTACTAATTTCATAATCGATTGATAATGATATATTAGCTAAATTTAATGATACCACATTTGGACATAAATTAATTAAATGTAAAACATAACCTACTGGAATATCTTTTGAAGTTGAATAATTTAATAAGAATTTATTGATTAAAGGATGAGGAGATGAATTTCGAGTTAAAGCAGATGATTGAAAACGAACTGATGATGAATGAGAATGAGAATTAGCATAAGTTAATAAATCACTATGATCATTATGATGACGGAAATGATGATTGGCAGCTAAATTTAAATATTCTAATTTAGGAGGATTTGATTTTTTTGATCTTTTCTTTGATTTAAAATATTTAAATGGTTTAAATCTTTTATTTGGAGATGATGAATTAAAAGATTTATGAGATGATGTAGTTGAAACTACTGAAATTTGAGAATTTGATGAAATTTTAGTTAAACTCATTGAAGTTCCAACAGGATGAATTGAATATAATGGATTATTTTTAAATTTCCAATCTCTCCAACCTGCTAAAATTTTATCATTTATAAATTCATCTTGATCTCTTGAATTTGTATTATGAAGATCTTCATTTGAATGATTTACTTCTTGAAAATCAATTTCAATATTATGATTTTGATTATTAACATTATTATTTTCTTCAGCATCTTCATCATAACCAGGTTTTATATTAGATAAATCAATGGTTTTAATATATTGACCAATTTCCAGATTTAATCTTAAATAAGATATAAATTGAGCAAATCTATAAGTGGAAGTGAATTGTAAATCTTGGTAGTAATAAGGTTTAGCAAAATAATAGAATAATTTATCGGTATATAGACAAGCTTTATAATCTGATTTTGAATCAATAAAGAAGAATATTAAATCTATGATTTCAACTGGTAAATTTTTAAATTGTAATGGAGGAGGTGGTGGTGGTGGAGGTTGAATGATGATATTATTATTGTTAGTGGTAGTAGTTAAGGCCAAACTTCCTGATATAGATGCATTTGATGAAGAAGTAGCAGCATGAACTGCTGCTGCGGCAGCTGCTGCAGCAGATAATGTAGTTGATACATTTGCCATTAAATTTGGATTTGAAAGTCTCATAGATAATGAACGACTTACATCACTTAAAAGGGACTTATATTTCATTTTAAAGCTATTATTACCTCCATTGTTGTTGTTGGTAGTGTTAGTGGTGGTGGATGGACCTGAAGTGATTAATTTAGATGAATTATCTTTATTGGTGGTTCTTTTTCTTAAGGTAGCATTTAAGTTATTAATTTCATTTTGACTTAAGGGGATTAAAGAATGAGTTTGATAATCATATCTGGCGTTAGGGTTCAACAACGACCTATAAGGAGGTAAATAGCTATGAAAATCGATTGATTCTGATTTTATCATGTAGAAATCGAATAGGGGTGTTTATATATGGGGTGAGTGAGTGAGTGAGTGATCTTATCTGATCCAGGATAGGAGGCGGTTTGAATTGCTCTCTCTGTGATTGATTTATATTGGTGTTATTGGTATGATATAATCAAACGATAAGGGTGATGGGTGAGTAGGTGAGATCAGTTGATTGATTATTTGATGTAACGGATATTCACTTTTGATTGGGTACCACTGTGATCCTTTCCCTCAGTTGGCAACACAGTACTAATTTTTTTATTTTTTTTTTTGATTAAGAAGGATATATAAAGGTAAAATCCCTTACTATATATCACAATAAGAATGCTTGATTCTATATATGGTTGATTCCAAGGTTTATCCCAAAACTGGTGATAAATATGGATTAGATTGGCACAATCGGGTATATTTATAGGGGTATAAAAAAGGAATAGTTAGTAACTTTTATTTTTATTATTGTTTTGATTATTTTTATTTTATTTTTTTATATCGTGTGGATCCTTTTTTTTTAGTTACGGATTGAATAGGGGCGGGGTGGAATTGAGGAGACTATTTAGTGAGTGGTATTTATAGAATAGTTACTACTAACTTTTCACTTTCTATAGTTAGAATATGTATATGTTGTATAGTGTATATATATATATATATATAGGTTGATATGGTACTGGTGATACATATAGTAACTAAGTAACAAATCAACTAACTATGGAATAGATAAGAAAACAAAGACAAAACAAGCTAAACACAGAAAAGATCTGGTGAGGTTGAGGTTAAACTGCGTGGTGGTGCGATAACATTACTGAAGAAAAATAAAAAAAAATAGACAGAACTCCACCACCTCCACAACAACATGACATGACAATACAAGACACAAACATAACACAACCTTATAACAATGCCATTCCAGTTTATGGAATGGCTTTAGTTTAAATGTGTTAAAATCAAACATACACAAAACTTATTGAAATCCTTATGCCACCTCTCCTCTCCTTTGGGGGACTTTGTTAGTTAGTTAGTTAGTTCAGTATATATTATTTATTTTTACCCCTATATCATTATTTCAGTTTGAAACCTGTTATTTATTATTATTATTTAACTTTGGATATTTCACAATAAGTACTTTTATTTACTTCGGATTAAACTACATTTGTATCAGATTTGTTCCATTTTGAGGCTATTTGGTTTTAAAATGGTTATAAATGTGGAGCAAAATCTAACAAGGACATTTAAGCCTAATTAAATTTATACACCCATCAAATAAAGTAAAAAGAAAAAGTGGAGATAATGTACCCTAAGCTAATGGCTTAGTTAGAATATAGGGGTTGGTCTACTTGGTCTAAGTTAATTGTATCCTTAATCTCTTAATTATACCATTCTGATTAACCTTTATCCTAATTATACTTGTGTTTGTATGTATGTAACTAATTACATATTAAATCTGATAGTAACTATGTAAAATTTCCTTAAATGGCCAATTCAGTCCACCATTAAAAAAAAAACAGGCTTTAAATAAAATGTTGCATCAATCAGTTGACTATTACTTTTTCTCTTTCCTTTCCTTCCTTTCTTATCCATTTACAATTAAACTACAACATTGTCTGCTATGATACCTTATCTCATCTCTTTCATTACTAATAATAGTTTAATTTTTACTGTTTAACAATTAACAAAGCAATCATAAACTTAAAATAACTCAATTCTCACTACTAATTACAAACTCTCACTAACAAATTCTTATCTGCTGTTATCGTCTAAATTAGGAAGTAGTGGGGGAGACTAAAATTGAGCCCCCTCAGCTTGGCACGTGTATTGTCAGGTGTAACTATTTCCTGTATACAACAAACGCTACCATAAACACAAGTTATTAAACAAAGTTCTCAAATTGGCAGGCGTCTTCATTAGCTATTTTTTTTTTTTGGTTCCAATTGATAAATGGTTTGCTCTTTGTAAATCCGTTTCTAGACTACATAAAACATTAAATAAGTTGAACAGGCTTATGATTCAAGTTGGTTCTAAACTCATTGATTTTACTATTTTTTTTTTCTAATGAGTAGCATTTATTATGTATCTAAAAATTTTTTTTTTTTCGAAATATACATTTATTTAATATTCTATAAATTTAGAAATATAAATGGAGTGGAATAGAGAAACATAATGTAAAAACTCTATTTATAGATTAGATGGAATAGAAGGTCAAACAAGACCGTTATATTAATAAATCAGTAAGATTTATTTAAGCAAAAGTTAGGTACGATATCCACTAAAAAGTAGACTTAGTATCTAAAGAAAAGATTTGTAAGAAATGAGTTTGATAGAGAAACTATATAAGGAAAACTCTATTTATTTGCAGACATAGGGTAAAACTCCTGCAGGAGTTATTAGGAGACAGCTAAGCATAGTCTTAGCGGTTGGTAGAATACTAATCAATTGATAAGTTATTTTTTTTTCTAAGGAAATCAAATGTTTATATACCCTTTTTCTACAATTTTTGCTAACATTCGCTAAAAATTTTAATATATAGTTTTCGCTTAATCTTCTTAAAAGTATGATTTAAATGTATACATCGTAATGTTTATACTTCTTCATTCTTTCAAGTTTGATCGGGAATGTTAAATTCGAACTATTTGCAAATACTCTTCGTTTAAACCCTTATGCAGGGTTTAGCCTACCTTACTCTCTGTTTTACTATATCTAAAATACCTGAGGCGGATCACAAAATATATTTTTATGAGACTATTCTAGCCTCTTTATGAAATATGGGTCAATATCAGCAAATCAAATAACTAGATATGACTTAATTCGCTTATGTGAAACTTATCGCCTCATTTATAAACCCATCTCGATGTGTTTATAAATATCGACAAGAATTTCCCAACTGAAATCATCTATCGTTGTTTCCATGGGTTATATATCTTAAATATGAAATATAAAACCGTTGCTTGTAAAATCGATGATACAAATTCCACCAATAGTTATGTCGTACCATTCCCTGGGACAGCTTATTGTATGAATGGAACTATATATATTGCTGCTCCAAAACTGGGAGGAGCAAATCTGATTGAACCAATAAAAAAGTCAAGTGTTTTGGTTTTGATGGTTCTCTTTTTATCATTCTTTGGAGTTTGTTCTGTATTATAGTTAAGTAAATGGCATCTAATGTCTTTTTTTGTATTATAGTGTATCTAATAGTTTTGGTAAACGATAGAATAAATAGATTAATAAATGTACAATAATAAACAAACAGATTAATTCTTGAGTCGATATGTCAATTGCATTTTATTTCCATCGTCAAATTTGTTGTAAATATACTCGTTATTGATCAATTCGGACTTGTTTGTAGATCTTTAGAGAAGGAAATATTAGCTATGGTTTAATATCTCCTATTTTGATGTAAGTGGGGAACTATTCTTGACAATGATACATATAACCACAAAAGTAAAGTATTCATTAACTCTAAATCTAAACTTTTATAAAAAGATCTTCCTTATTCATGAATCGGATAAACTCTAAACGATTAAGAAAGTTAGATATAGTCACAAGACACTTATTTTAAAAATAAACTTGATATATTGAAAAAAAGTCTAACTCAATTTTGCGGAACTGCGCGTTCTTATCAACCCAAACGCAAATTCTTCATATTTGGAATTAACTTTTTAAGTTTTCAAATATGAAGTATAACTGATAGTATAATAACCATAATCAAAAAGTTACTATAAATAACAATTGGTTAGTTCTAAAACAATAAATTCAAAAATTTAAACTTTTAAACTACAATTTTTCTCATAACTATTAACCCCCTATTTAATTCACGCTTCTAGACGATCTATTTTTAGCTCATAAACTAAACCTTTTAAGTTCTACATAATCTAACAATTGAATGTATGTATGGAGTTCCGAGAACTGTTATGCAAGGATCTGTTTTAAGCAAAAGTAAATCAAAACCATAAAATAAACCTGAATGGATTTATTTTTACGCATTAATGCCAAGTTGTGTAGGTTTAAAATGATTACAATAGATGATTTACAAACCAAAAGGTTAAAAAAATCTTAATTTTAATCAGCCGTTCAAAATCGTGAAAAAGAAAAAAGTAACACATTCCCCATATATTAACCCTTCAAAAGCATTGTTTAGTTTTAGTGATCAGTTGATTCCATGTCAATCACACCATCAACTATTAAACTTCAAAAATTAAAAGTGCAAAAGTATCAGGACAATGGATTTGCAATAGATTAAAAGAAAAAAATTTGCGACAATTTTGCCAACCTGCTATATTTAGTATATACTTTAAAATTTCAAACCACTAAAATTTAAGGTAAAAATTAATAATTTTCCACAATTTTTTTTGGCGATTCCATTATACCTGATTAAAAATAAGGTGCTAAAGTTTTATTGATTTAAATATCTATCTCATCTCGAGGTAAACCACAAGCGCAATTTCAAACCACAAACCAAACCAAGCCAAAGCCAAAGCCTGACAAAGTTAAAGTTTGATTTATCAATTGCCGCAGGATGGCATAATCTCTATTTATTTTTTTGAAATTTAGACCACATAGAATACCGTACTAAAAAACTGTCAATATTAAATCACATACTTCAAATGGTAAAACTTGCCATTTAAAAATCTTTGTCGATCCATAGGCGTTTTGAAGCGCAACCAAGAACACTAAAAAAGAAATTTAAAGTTGCGTTGACTCTATATAAAAAAAAAAAAAATAAGACGAGGTTCAAAATAAAAAAACCGAAGAGAACTATCAAGAACAGTACCCATAGAGAAGAAGTAAAGGTCAAAATAGAAGACGACGACATTTTTATTTTTTGGTTTCCCTTACTTAAGAATAATTAATTTTTCTTTAGAAAATAATAATAATACTCATAGTGCATGAATATAGTGGGTATTTTAATCATATGTATGTTGTACATTTACACCTACATTCTTGATAATTTTTCCAAATTGAGTATGCATATGTACATCCTCAGAAATGGAAAACAAGCATCC